GAAGAGTCTCTCGGTTGGCCTGCTGGGCGCCGAGGCGAGCAATCGATTCTACCATTCCCAGTTAGTGTATAGACTATCCCAGGCTCAATCCGTTCGTGGGCTGGTGGATAACGGACTACTGCATGGACTTAGCCATGTATGATATAGCCTTGGCCACTCTCAAGCAAATGCAAGGGCACCGTAAAGCCGGTTAGTACAAGCTGGGTGTGAACATCAACTGCCTTCCTTTATACTCCCGCATTCCGGCAGTGAGCTGCAATCGGAAACCCAAGCCGATCAACCAGAGCAACCCTTTCCCATGGGGGTTTACCGAACCCATGCTTCGGTATGCTCTTGGTTGGAGCAGAGGGCTTGTAAGACATCAACCGACGGCCCCCTGGCTGGACATCTCCAGATTCGGTGATATCAGAAAAATCCGAATCCCAACTAGTCTTTTCGGATCCTTTTCGGATCCTTTTCGACTGGGATAGCGCGACTGTCCGACGAGAGTCGTGCCTGTTATGTTTGCTGGTTCAGAGGCACGTGCCTCGAGACTGTTACCTGGTAGTTCATTTCCATGGAAGATCCGCTAGGGGATCTGGTTTCGCATGGTCTTCGACCACCGGTGTTTCCATGGCTAATGCACACTTCCAAAGTTTTGCAGTTGTGCGATGATCGAGTTACCTGGTCAATCGTCTTGATCGTCCGAAACTTCTTGGAGATAGATGACTGGGACGCCGGCGGGATCTTGCGCTGTTGAGGGGCGGCAGTTGTGTTGCAAGCGCTTTCAAAAGAGTTCCTAAAGCCCGTTTTGGGTGGTATTCATACTGCTGCTTTGGCGTATAACGCTTGATGGGCGAGAAGCCGAGCAGCAAAATGGAGTATAAAGGGAAATCGTTCCAGTTTCCACGGACGTAATCGCTGAGAATAACTGTAAAACAGACCGCTGGAACAGTCTGGATGCAATCTCCCTTAACCCTGGAGACCTGCCATGTGGACTCGAGTTCCTGGGTTCTGCGGTGGAGGACAACGTTAAAGTTTGTGTCCAAATGTTTGATTAAACTCTCCAAGCTAGTATGCCATTACTGGTTAATCTTGTCACCGAATTGCGGGTATAACTACCACTGTCAGAAGAACCAGTGTGCCTTTTCTGCCTCTGGAGAATTGGGCCGAGTATTGGGTATGGGCACTTTCCGTAGTCTCAGGGCCGGTGGAGTAAGCTTCAAGTGTCCCAGTTGATCCACATCCCACGTCCAGCAACTTAGGGCGTCCCCCCAATATCTCTTTTCGAGCGCTGTAGGAAGGCACATTGAGTGGGAAAGAGGCCAAACCCGTGCCAAGGTAGATCTCTGTCATGGCCTTCACGAACCCTTTTTTCGGATACCCATAGTGTCGACTGACCCCCAGCGCGCATGACTTTTCTTGCCACCCATTGCTCAGCCTAATTGCTCAGACCAATTTTCTTCAGCTTGCTCGGTAGGTAAACGAGTATGATAGGTCTAGTCCCCGACGCGCAGACCAAAGCAGACTTGGGGGTCAGCTATCGTCTGCTGATGCAAGCCCTGGAGTGTGGCTGGTTCACCCTGGTACATGTGGCCTTTTTCGCCCCACCTTCTGGTGCGAGATCATTTGCCAAGTTGCTCTGCCGGATACTAGGCCATCAGGGGCAGCCCGGCCTGGGAATAAGTCATGTCGCGAGGATGATCATCATAGCCGATATGTGGTAGTCTGGCATGTGATTCAGACCGATGGGCGCGTCTTGAGAGTACTCTGGCTAACCTGGTGCCACGGTCGCTAGTATGGTTGATATGGACGACGAGGACGTGTTGAATGCCTTCGATTCAGGGACCAGCCGCATTTCACGGATCTGAACTGAACAGGAGAAACACTAGAGACGGGACAAATTTCATTGCCCATAGCCGCATGCGGCTCCTTTTACGCACCGTCCAAACAGAGTGGCCGGTTTGCCAGCATAGCATGAACGAAGAAGAAACGTCAATCTCGGGATGACGTCCATTCATTGCACAATAAGCACGCTGTGGTCTGGCTCGCCTATGTGTGGTCTTCCTGGGCTTGGTTCCTGCGGTTTTCTAATGCATCACAGATTTACTGTGCCTATCCCTCCCTTCGTCGTAGACGTTTGCCTCGTGTAGCAACATGACTCTGTGCTCGATATATTCCTTCAAAGGCAGGTCCGTTTCTTTGGCAAAAGGGGACCTCATCTTATCTTAGGTTCCACGAGCCTTGAAAATCTTTTTTTCGAGCCACTTTCCTAGACGCAAGACGCGCGCGGACAGCAAAGTGCGCATCTCGTCTATATCCTTCACAGACCTGTCATCTGAGAGATTCCCAGAACCGCGTCCCGCACGGCGGGTTTTCCTACTGCTCGGCCAGCTGTTGAAGTTCTTTCGGTCCAAGAAGGACACGTACAAGGAGGCCTTGCATTTCCACGGATTTCTTTTGCTCCGGGGCAAGATGGAGTCGAGTAGTTGTCCGTCGTGGGGAAAGTGGATGTCCTCCATCTGTTCATCACACAAGTCGAGTCCTTTTCAGTCTGCACCATATCGTCGTTGTGTGACTAGGTAGACGCCAAACTATCCTCCGATTCTGTCCTGGGGAGCCGAAATTCTGGTTTCCAACGCTTGAACTTGTGAAGGAGGACCGCCCGGTAGCCGCTTGTAGCATAGTCACGAAATTGAAGGGTTGCAGGGGGGCTGGAACCTGTGCTGGACGCCCAAGGCCAACACTACCATCAAGGACAAGTATGTCTCCGAGCTGCAAGAATGTCTGCCAGATGATGAGCTTGGAAATAAATCTGATTAATCAAGACTCTGCGATACAGGAGCGCCACCCGCGTCGTCTGAGTCTGAGTCATCGGGAGGCTCACAGCAGGCGCAATGAGTACGCTTCCGCCTGCAGCAGTACAATAAGAGAAGGAAGCGCAGGGGACATGTCCTTAGACAATCCCCCCACCGCCGTGGTTTTTTTTTTTTGTTTTTTTTGTTTTTGAAAGGTGGGCACAACGTCCACGCCGACGTCCATACCAACGGCCATGTCAGTCGGTGCTCTCAATATGAGGAAATGGATAGAGTCAGTTCCACTACCGTGCGCAGACTAGCCGCAGAGCAAAACTAGGGGCAAAGCCAGAGTGGCGATCCCCATGCAATAGAATACCCTAGTTCTGTTGCGTTGTCGACAAATTGCGCCATCCAAAGTGGCTTCGAGACAGGCATCCTTTGCCGCTTGGCAAACAGGGTAGATCTAGACGCCATTCTCGTGTTTAAAAACACTCTGGGCAGTCATGGAAGGTCCAAAACGAAATACTGTCGCATCGGAGCATCCCCGTCATCCGCTCGTTTGGTCTGAGATGGAGCACGTGGAGGTCCGGTAGCCCAGGGCCGTATCCACGTTGCCAGTCACATCGTCCAGGCGGGATGTCCGGTTCTCCGGGTCCATATTGGCGGAGATCATTCCCCATGGTACGGGATGGCCGCTCCACAATACGTAGTAAATACTGACTATCCTGACCGCTACCAAGTCTCGGTTCTCCATGAATACTCTATCTCACTTGTACGTCGCTATATCGAATCGGTCGCAAGCCTCGGGCCAGGCGCCAGCGCGCGCCGCTATTGACTCCATCAAGCGCCAGGAGCTCTCCAACCAGACACCGACATGTGAATCCAGTTGACGGTAAGCGGTGCCGAATATCAACAAGTCTGTACGGGAGCCCGCCAACTGTGCCGGTGTGCTAGTGTGCTAACTGCCGCTATCAGGCGCGATTGTGCCCCCGTTGCCGTGTTCGCGGGGTCTTTACTAGTATGGATGAAACGGGTGGCTTCCAACAGTCAGTCTGCGCCAGAGTCGGCGTTTCGGATTGTTCTTTCAGAGCCCTCCAGAGGTTGCCCTTGGAAGGGACAGGCCAGTAACAGCACCCCTGAAGGTGTTGCGAGCTCTAAGAAGAGCTCGCTTTTGAACGACTCTTCGTCGGTTGGTTCCAGCGGCAGGAAGCAACGGCACCTTGCGACCAAGCCATCCACAGAGAGGGAGAGGCAGGTCACCGGGCCAGGAAGAAGAAGGCCTATCTGCGGCCCCCACACGCTTCACGGAATTGCCTTGGTTTGAGATGGCAGACCTAGAATAAGGCCGTACGGTGATGCGCCCTGTATAACTAGACTGGCTACTACCCCAAACGGAAGGGCAGGGTGCTCGGCGCGAAGTTTTATCCGGACAGCGCCGGTGTAACATTCTCCACGTCGATAGATGAAGATGGAATCGGCTTTGCTTTCGTGGTAGAAGCGAAGTGCAGTGGTCAGCAAAAAGCTCGTCGACACCGTCTGGATTCCGTACCTCGCCAACTACTGCCGGGTTTTCTCACAGCGTCCTCGGCATCGACCTTTTGAAACGACAGCGACATGTCTCAATCAGCCAACGTGGTAGGTACTTCCCGATCAGGTCATGAGCAATCGTATAGGTGAGCAGGATGAGAGCCCGTAGGAGGTGCGCCGGTAAACTTGCTATGTCTGGGATATCTGAAGGATGCTGGAGATGTACGAGGATTGAGAAACTGTAGCAAAAAAAAAAAAAAGAAAGAACAAGATGATGGGGAGGATGGAGGGGAAAATGTAGACGATTGTTTTAAAGGCAAAAGGAACCCTATTTAAAGAGGAGGGTCAGGCAGACATGCAAACGGGGGGCATTCACTAGAAAGGTTAGCAGCCTGGCGTTGTTGGTAGTATTCACGGCTTTGTTCGCAAAGGGAAGGTTGTGGAATCGGTTTAAGGGCTCTGATTATGTAAGTTCAGGCTTCAGTTCGCTCCTGTTGAGGGAATAAGAAGCAGGACAAATTTATGGGTATGGTGAATCTTCAGCTATATATATCACGGTGAACATGTATAGAATGCCGGCGCAAATCGGAATGGAAGGGAAGAAGTGGCCTGAGTTAGGGCTACAGAAGTCACCAGATCACCCCACTTCCTGAGCATCGACAAGTCCGCATACTAGATTTAAATACACAGGCATGGCAGACTTGAGATCATGGTCGTATTTTGCCCTGTAATGCATCAGCTGAGCGCTTAGCCACACCCCACAAAGCTCAGCGCCTACATGCAGGATCGCACACCAATCATGTAGCTGCCGGATGGCGTGGGCTGCAAGGCTCACACGGCGCCAATTTGGCCAGCCTGACGCCTGATGCCCCTCTCCTGGAATTTCCCAAGTTCTCTCGAGAGACCTCTCTCAAAGATCTCGAGACCCGGTCGAAAATTGCGGCACAATGGCCGAACCCATCGGCCTAGCCGCAGGTATCCTCGCCCTCGCCGAAGCAGGCTTCAAGTTATCCAAAACCCTCCACGGCGTCGGAAGCAGCATCGCTAACGCCCGAAGCGAGTTGACGGAACTCGCCGGTGAGCTCGACAATTTCGCATCCGTCCTCGTGTCCGTCGGTGAAGTCATCCAGAGATCAGATAACGATGGTGGCCTTTCGTCATCGGATAATCTGGTGAAAGTGACGGAGCAGATACTGGATAAATGCGGGCTGGAATTTGAAAAGATTCGAAAGATAGTGAAACTTCCGGTCGCTGTGACAACTGGGTCTGGAGGTATACCGGCGTGGGATCGGATACGGTGGTCTATAAGGAAGGCGAAGACGACCAGGTTGAAGGTTTCTTTGGAGTATTCCAAGACGTCCCTTATGCTTATGCTGCAGACTCTGCATCTTGCTGTTGGGTTGCATGCATTGCGGTGAGTGCCATATCTCATATCTGGTCAGTCACGAAAGGCTCTAACGCTTCTCAATGGACGAACAGGTCTCTCGAGAAGATATCCGATGGAGGAGACAACACGGAACCTGGTCGGCAACGAAAGATACTCATGGGCGCAAGGACGACTCCCCCGCGAGCTTACAGCCCTGAACGTCCACAGCCAGTGTCGGTGAATGCGACAAGCAATTATATCGATTCAGCTCAGTTTATTGTGAAGAACACCGTCGCTGCAGTCTGCGGCGCGGCCGGCGAGCCAATATTCGATTCCGGCTCCCTCGACATCATCGAAAAGGAGATCCAAAAGATGGTACAGGTTCTATCCAGCGGTCCGGACTATGCTAACGTACTCAGGTAACCGAATACACGGCATCGTCCGACGTGTTCCAGAGTCGAATCGCCCAGGGCAAGCCATCAAGTCTCCTCGATTCCCTAAAGAGGATGGGCCAGTCCGAGTTGGAACAGGTGTTTGACGAGAGCGGCGATATCGCCCTGGTGAACGAGATAGGGGACTTGGAAAGGGACCTCGGAATTCTACATACTGTATTCCTTGCGCAGAAGGAGCTGATAAACCAGATGATTGCAACTTGCAATGAGCTTCGCCACGGACAGCATCTCTTTTCGGCGATTAACTGCCTCACTTGGGTGAGCAGCGTCATTGATGGCTGCAAGACACAGGTCACGGGTATGCTCCGGACATGTCGGACAGTCATTATCAGCGTAAGGCCTCGCTTAGCTTCTCCTCCCATCAGACAGCGAGCTGACTATCACTATCACTAGCTCGACACACTCATCCAAGCGAAGCAGTTTCAGAAGAAGACTAACACTGCACGCTCCAAGATAGTCATGTTCGCGTGGCTTTTACTTGTATGTTGACCGCCGTGCCCCCCTCTTCGTGTATATCGCGAACATATTTTTTAAAAAAAAGCTGACACTTTGATGGTATTAGGCCCCCCTCATTCCCGTTATATTAACCACTGCTTTAATCCTGGAAGCCTCCCCCGATGGACCATTTTTCTTCCTTGTGACAAATTTATATTTGGTCGTTTATAGTCTTCTGTTCTGCACACTCCTTATATCGTTGGCGCCGGTCCTTCGCAGAGTAAATTCCCCAGGGGCTCTTGTGAGGATTAAGGCTGCGACTCAGGCGATTTGGTCGGCGCCCTCCGGTCGAGTTCCGGAATAAGGGGTGTTGTATCTGGTCACCAGCCGCACGATATCTGTATTCGTTTTTTCTTCAGGATTCTACTCTCGGAATCACTATATACTCTGTACGACAATTGGATCTTTTGATTGCCTACTGCCACCAATTAGTGTTGTTAAGTTCTATTCTCCTTACACCCATGGACTTATTACTGGGCCATCTAGCACCATGGCCTTGATGGCTCGGATCGATCCAAGTAGGTAAGCGCCAAGCGTAGAGTGCCGTGTCTGCAGAGTACCAGAGTCTCGACATAGTAGTAGTACCTAGTACTAGTAGCTGGATGAGACTATAAACACATGTACTAGGTACATATCAAGCCCAGCCTCGAAGATTCGGTGGAGTTGTAGAAGCCTAGAGATGCTACTTACTTATGAATACAAACAGCAAGTCCTGTTTTGGATATGGTTGATATACAGGAGCTGGTTTGCAATTCTTAATGTAGGGGAGATAATTAATTACCAAAGTCTACTCTCTAGGGCAGAGACCGCAGGATCTTATATCCTAGGTAATAGAGGGAAGACATAACGTTACATTTCGGAGATGACATCCATGCGTCTACGGCTCTACTCGCGGGGTAATCTAGAGTCCAAAGAAGCACGGTGGGAGAATCTAGGACCACAGGAAAAGAGCTTAAATAGTTTACTACTCTAATGCTACTTTAATGGCAAAATTCAAAGTAGTAGGCTTATTTATTCACTATATATTAGCTTGCTCTAGCGCAGATGATGCGAGTAGCGATGCCTGTGCCCATCTACTTCACTCACTTCTGGTATATTATCATCCACCGAGAGCAATTGAGATCTATTCATCCTGCATGTCAGATCAATCCTGGCAAGGTACGGTACGTAACCGCGTGTGATAGATGCGGTACGAACCAGGAATACAGTTCTTCCTTTCCAATTTGGTGTGCCTGCTTTTGTGCTGATGATGAGACAACCATGTTATATGACCCGTGTTGATATTGAATAGCAGGAGACTTCACTAGAACCAAGCATTGTAGCGACTGTAATCTCTGCTCCGAGCGCGAAGTACGTTCGATAATCTCAATTCATTTTCTGGTCCAGTTTTGTCCTAAATGATGCAAGGATTGAGATAAGGCTTAACCCCTGTAATAGTAGTCGTAAATAAACCGCGACAACGGAAGTTATTTGATTCACAAAGCAAACGCTGCAGACCATGTTAACGAGCTGGATGAGCGTCGACTAATATACCCTACCGCGATATGGGAAAGAGAGAAGTCATGGTCAGGGCCAGTTCTATAAAATGAGCATGAGAAACATGGAAGGCATTTCGTTTCGTACCCGCCATACATAGTGCGAGTTATTCAGAATGCTACAAGGCTGGTTGATATCGCTCCCATACCGATACCGATTCCCGGCCAGCGAGAACCGAGACAACGTAGCGAAATCTGAGTAGGCTGTGTGGCTTGGTATGCAGAGCTCGAGGAAAGCTTAATCTGCATGAGACCACTCGACGACGTCGACGACTTGCATTGAACTAGGCCCTGTAGCGTTGACTCGTTCGGGATATTGGTTGGAAACGCCAGGGGGGAGTAAACAGTGCCAGTTCACCGCGCGAGGCGGGTAGAAATGTGGTAGATTATGAGGATTAGTTTAGCGGGAGAAAGAATTCTGAAATGTTCAGAGAAATATATGATATAGACTAATATGCTAACTACGCCACTACAGCCTCGAACAAGCCAAGGGAGAAATGAAACTCGGTCTTGGGCTTGTATACCTTGTTGATCTTGAAGCCGCCGCGTTCAATGAGATTTAACCACTGTGCTTCCGTCCGCTCAAGCGAGGAAAACACCTCCATCATCATAAAGTCAAGCACCGTAGTGCTAGTTGCTTCGAGACCGTAGAGCTTCCGATCCGGGTAGAGGATTTCATGCACCAACAACACCGAGTCCGGTTCCATGGCATCACGGATGTGTCCGAGGGCTTCGAGGCACTGTTTATCAGGCCAATCGTGCAGCACGGTCCGCATGTAGTAGGCCCGGGCGCCCTTGATAGGCTGCGGTTCAAACATGGAGTGGCTTATGGCATCGATGTTGGGGCCGAGTGGTCCGGAGAGGCCATCGATAACGGCGGGGACGTCTTGAAGGACAAGGCGATCCTGGATTTCTGGAAAGTGCTTGCAAAAGGCAACCACTTCGTGGCCGATGTTGCCTCCAATGTCGACGACGAGCACTCGTTCGGGGTCGCGAGGCCCGCCGGTGAGCTTCTCAACGACAGGATAGAACTCGAACCAGTTGTTTTCCCATTCGCGACCACTATTCATTACAACGTTGAACGTCGCTTGCTTTTCGGGGCGCTTGCCCAGCCATGTGAAGTAGTGCTCAGCCGTGTTGTAAGCATACTGGAAGGGGCTGTTGTATGTATCTTCGGGGTTCCGGTAGTTGGTTGCTTCGAAGAACTCGTGAAGCTTGGCCGAGATAAGCAAGTATTCGTTGCTGTAGCACTTAGTATGGCGAAGTAGAAGGACAAAACGAGAAAGAGCTGGCCGTACAGGAAGACCAGGTTCTCTGCCATGTTGGTGCCTTTTCTGAGCGCCAAAGCCAGGGGAGCGGCTCTGTAGTTTCCAGGGCGGGTTTCTTCGAAAAAGTCGTGGGCCTCAAGAAGACGCATTATCCGGGCTATGCCATATGTCAAAAGTGTTGGATTACAGAGGCAAGATGAACACACAAATGAACTTTTCATCCCCTTTCACCTTCGTAGTGAGCTCCGCGATGGTGAGCTCGTGCAAAGGAGAAGCAGCAAAGGCCTCGTATATCCCCATATCGAGGGCGATGCGGCTAGCCACAAGCAAAAATTGCTTGCACACAATTAGCTTTGCCAGCAGACAAGAGCAGCTCTCGCACCGCATAGCCAATTCTCATGACCTTGTCGAGGGGCCTCTCCAGCGTATCCCGCAGTTTGTTGACAGCGTCAAGGAGCTGCATACGCTCGCCATGATCAATACTTTCCAATGGTGGAAGGGTGCTTATCGCAGAGATCACGGTAGCGGTGAGGTCGGCTACTACGGGCATGGTTGCGACAGGCGGAAATAAAAACGTTGAGTTCAAGTTCTTGCTTGTTAGGAAGTGCGATATGTGTGCACCATAGGAGTACAGCCTGAGATTCGTCTGTTTATAGCTGGCGGCGCATGGTACTTAGGGTATACTTCTGGGACCGAAGTGACCTCAGCCCGAGCCCGTGCGACAGTATATCGCGCGGATGCAGAAGTTTCAGCGATTTAAAGATGCAGCATTTACAGCGATTGCTGCCTAGTCAGAAGAATGAGCAGGCAGATTCGTTGAGCCAATCATCGGTACAGTCGGGGATATTGACGATGCTGCCCTGTACCATGAGGGTCAGAGCTCCCTGGTGCTAATCACAACAGGGGGCCGCAACTTCACTTGAAAGAAACTCTAGACCAAAAGCCTATAGCCCATTGTCGGAGGGCAGCAACTATCCGTCTGTGGCAGGAGCAACAAGATTGCAGGGCGCGGTGATGATGCAGTCGAGCCGCCACCTACATGAACGACTGGACGCAACGCATTGCCAACTGGCATGGATATCGGCAATGCCGCACGGCTGGTTGAGCAGATCATGACCGGGATACCGATTGGACGAATTTGCGGGGATTTGACAAGGCTGCTTAATTTGCCGGTCTTTCCATATACAATCATGATACGTACTCTCATCCCCAAGTATAACAAAGATTGAAGTTCCTGAGCTTTTCATATACTCAAACTACCTTCGTTTGGGAATCCCTTTCGGTATTGACTCATGTTAGCGGAAGAGGCTGAAAGGGACTTCGACCCAGGCGTCTCGGGGAATATCTGCGGCCGGATTGTCGCACATCGAACCAGCGTAACATCTTTTCAGTTGAAGTTGTCGGGAACCGAAACTAACAAGGAACATCCCTTCTGTGGCCAGATTCAGGCGGGTACAGAGGCTAGGCGGTTCTGAGAGTCGTCCATCAGCGACGGAGAAGCAGACACGTAAGGGTACCCAGCTCCTCGGATGATTTCTGTCAACTGCAGGTCTTTCTCAATCCGCTTGATCAACCTTGCTCATTGGATTCAGCTTGTCCTCGATGAAGAATGCGTGAATCTTGTGGTCCATTGACGTGAGCGCACAAGCCGACGAGTCCTGGCAGTCGGACACTGTTGCAAAGATTGAGGTATGCAGCCCCAAAATAAGATACCCCTACATTGCGCCGATCCCTTTAGATACTCCAGTCTCGGAATAGCTGCAGATCTCATGGAGGTCGAGACGGATGGAATCAATGGATTGATCACCCCTCCGAGTCGCTGGGGAACATCACGTGGCATCCATCATCACAGAACACAGTAGCACGTGACCAAGGACGCAAGCAAAGCAATTTATAGTAAGCGAATCGTAATAATAATAGGCACTGGTGCCAGCTTCGGAGCTTCTTCAGGATACTTGACCGAGTTGAATATGGGTGCTCAGGCGTCAGCCTTCGAGAACGTCTATAGAATCCTTGGCCTTCCTTCCTGCTTAGCGGCCGACAATAACCGTCCCTCAGTCTCTCGAGAAACTCCGGCCTTCAGTGTTTCGTACTCCTGCCTGGCGATCTCATAACTCCTGCTAGCCAGACATACTAAGGGGATACCGCGATAGATTCGCAAGAATATGCTAATTCCAAGCATGTGATGTTAGCCTGTGCAACAGAGAACAACTAAACTCGACTGATGTAACAGCTGGAGGAATGATTTTCCGGAGCTCAGTGCCAAGGCTCACAGCAAGCTCACCTCTCGCCCGACCAAACCAACTTTCATCAGAGTGACTCGGAAGCTGCAACAGGAGGCGGAGGTTGCGGTTTAGCTTCAAGGTCGACTCAAATCCACGTCTCAGATTCATTTCACTTCAAGGTCTGCGCTCGTTCTTTGCCTCTGATCTCGATCCTCATCCCGGGGACGATGGTCGGTCTGGATCCGGTGTCTGCGCTGAGTTTCTGATAAGGTGAGCGCCCCACTGGCGAATCTGGTATTCTGCGCCCCTGTATGAGGTTGAGCTGGTTAACAATGATTTGGATCTTAGCCGACGACGATAGATGAACACCATGAGCATCGATTTATCATGAGGGACCCAACTAGAGATATGGAGCAACGAAACACAGCGCCGCAACAGGCCTCGAGTCTTCAGGCCGACCCGCCGCGAAGGAGCAACCAGAAGTCGGTCCGTGTTGCATTTGGCCCCGACCTAGAAACGTATATTCCGCCGCGCGAAAGATCCCCTCATCCCATTACCAGTCATCACCAGCGATCCTTAACCAATGTCGAACACAAACAACCTCCAAACGGTCGGCCCACGAGCTCCTCTGGCGAAAACTCCGCTTCGACAACCGAGAACAGCTCTCGATACGCATCAGGTCAAGAATCGGATACCGCGCGGCCGACGGCGGCGTTGAAGAGGGCGAGGAGTGACTATGGGCCTCGTGGAGGCAGCTTCGAAAAGCCCCTGATCATCGACAATGAGGAGGAGGAAGACTTTGCGATGCGACACGGGTGGCAAGAGGAGTACACTTCGAGCGAATACCTCAAGGTTCTCCATTCGGTAAGCCGGCAGCTGGGATGAACCCTCGACTGCGATCTGACTTGTCTCTAGAATTTTTACATGTACTTTACGGAGAAGCGACACGAGACGAACGGTATCCCACGCGATCCCGTCGGAAGCTGGCCATCACAAGATTGGCGCATGAAGGACCGCTTGAAGACCGTTTCTGCCGCGCTAGCCATATGCTTGAATATCGGTGTCGATCCTCCGGACGTTGTCAAAACGAATCCCACCGCGAAACTCGAGTGCTGGGTTGACCCCACATCTACTACCGGAGGCGGCCACAACAAGTTAATGGAGCAGATCGGGAAGAAATTGCAGGAACAATACGAGACCCTCAGTTTGAGAACACGGTACAAGCAGTATCTTGATCCGTCGGTGGACGAGACCAAGAAGTTCTGCGTGTCGCTTCGCCGCAATGCCAAAGACGAGCGAGTGCTGTTCCATTATAACGGTCACGGAGTTCCTTTGCCCACGCAGTCTGGCGAGATTTGGGTGTTCAACAAGAATTATACGCAGTATATCCCAGTGTCGTTGTATGACCTGCAGCAATGGCTGGCCGGGCCTAGTCTTTTCGTTTTTGACGTGTCTCACGCTGGAAATATTGTTCACAACTTCCACACATTTGTAGAGAAGCACGAGAAGGAGAACTTGGATCAGAAGAAGCTCGACCCCAACGCCATTGTCCAAAGCTACGGGGACTGCATCATTCTCGCAGCGTGCCAAAAGAACGAATCGCTTCCGACGAATCCGGATCTTCCGGCAGATCTGTTTACATCTTGCCTGACAACACCGATTGAAATCGCATTGCGATTCTTTGTCCTTCAAAACCCCCTTCAAATGCCTACCGCCGGCGACGGATCTGGAGTACCCGGCCGTTTGCAGGACCGCAGGAGCCCACTTGGAGAGCTGAATTGGATATTTACCGCGATTACAGATACGATAGCCTGGAAGACTTTGCCGCGGGCTCTCTTCAAGAAACTCTTTCGCCAAGATCTCATGGTTGCTGCTCTGTTCCGGAACTTTTTGTTGAGCGAACGCATCATGCGCACATATAAATGCACACCAATCTCATCACCAGAACTCCCCGAAACGCATAACCACCCGCTCTGGAAGAGCTGGGATTTGGCGGTAGAGATGGTTCTTGCGCAACTTCCCGCTCTCATCGATCACGAGGAAGGCCGAAGGCAATACGAGTACCAACATTCTACTTTCTTCGCAGAGCAACTCACTGCGTTTGAAGTGTACCTGTCCTCTGGGCCGACGGAAAAGAACCCGCCGGACCAGCTTCCGATTGTTCTGCAGGTCCTTCTGAGTCAGGCTCACAGGTTAAGAGCTTTGATTCTGCTCAGTAAGTTTCTCGATCTCGGTCCATGGGCTGTACACCTGGCTTTGAGCATTGGTATATTCCCGTATGTCGTCAAGCTTCTTCAGTCAGCTGCTCAAGAGTTGAAACCTGTCATGGTCTTTATCTGGGCGCGTATCATGGCCGTCGATCATACAGTCCAAAATGACTTGTTGAAAGACAACGGGATCCATTACTTCATCTCAATTCTCAATCCCTCCTCGCCAATCCCAGTGGGCAACGCTAGCGAACACCGAGCTATGTGTGCCTTTATCGTCTCAATCTTCTGCAAAAACTACCCCCAGGGCCAAAACGTGTGCCTGTCATCTGAGCTTTTCGAGTCATGCTTGATGCATCTGATGGATGTCGAGAACCCTCTGCTGCGGCAGTGGTCTTGCCTCTGCATCAGTATGCTGTGGTCCGACTTCCCTGAAGCCAAGTGGATGGGCATTCGATGTGCCGCACCGGCGAGACTATGCGAACTCAACTTTGACCCTGTACCGGAAGTAAGGGCCGCAATGCTACACGCTCTAACAACTTTCCTCGGTATCCCAGATTTGACGGATCAGGTGGCACAAATCGAAGAGAGCCTGGCCCTCGCTGTCCTGCCCATGTCGGCGGACGGAAGCGTCGTAGTCAGGAAAGAGCTATTGGTGTTCCTCTCGACTTTCGTCAAACGATATCAGAACAAGTTCCTGGTTGCTGCCTACGAAGAACTCCAGGAAGAGAAGCAAAACCTTTACCGCAAATTGAGCCAAGATGGTCCTCGCGCGCTGTTACCCGATGAGACGAGTGCGCCGGATGCTTCAAATGACAAGACGCAGCCCATGTCTCGGGACACCACTTTCGGAACCATCTGGAAGCAACTTTTGATCCTTTCTGTTGACCCTCACCCTGACATCGCCCAAGACGCAGGCATGATTGTTGATTTCATGCATTATACCTTATTACAGTCCCCGATGGCTACGCTAACTGAGCGAATTCGAAAGGAAATTATGGATCTCTCAAGCAGAGTAGAGCTACAGTCACAGGTTCGAGAAAAGCCGAATCCGAAAAAGGCCGCCCCACCCCCTACTCCCCCTACAGCGCCGCCAAAACAAGAGGGTTATCTCTCGTTGAGCCTGCGGCGGACTGCTAGTGTCGCAGCCTCACTGAAGAATCTCGCGTTTGGCGGCGCACAGGGCGAATCGCAACCATCCCAGTCCCCTACATCCCCGAAGAGCAGTCGTGTTCCCGCCACCCCACGCGGCCGCGCTCCACCCGAATGGTCCCGTCCCCCGGAAGTCAACGATCAACTTGCGCCTGCGACGACTTACCAGCAGGCCCCGGTCCCCACATCCCGAGGGTTTGGTCCCAGAGACCCGTCGGTGGTCCCAAACATCCCCCTGATGAGCAGATTCCTAGATTGGTCCACAGAGGTAATCCCAGAACTCCTCGATTTGATATGCGAGCACTGCAACGATCAGTATGAACGTTTTCTTACACATGCCCAGTATTTCCGGGAGCCCCAGATGAAACCCAATGAGCCCGACGAGCCCGGCAGTGCGGATTACAACGAGCGTCTTTGGAGGCGCAGCCGCAATGAGAAGATCATCTCGGAGACCCAGCCATTGAAAGGAAGGGCGGGGAGCAGCCGCTGGGATAACTCGGCTGCATTTCTTTCCAACGGCAGTCAGCCGCTGAAGATGTGCTTTCATCAATTTGAAGATCATATCGCCGTTGCCGATGATGGGGATACCATCGCGTATGTTTAGTGACTATTGCGCAGGATTGCGCTGACTCTTTATTAGGATCTGGGACTGGCAGAGGCAGAAGCGCCTTAACCGTTTCTCCAACCGGAATCCCGCTGGATCGAAGATCAACGAAGTTCGCTACATCAACGAGGATGACCAGGCACTTCTGATGACCGGATCGTCGGATGGCGTTCTCAAGGTGTTTCGCAACTACGAATCCTCGAAAGATGTTGAAATTGTCACTGCTTTCCGAGCACTGCCTGAACTAATCCCGAGCAACCGGAATGCCGGCCTTGTTATGGACTGGCAACAGGGTCAGGGTAAGGCTCTCGTTGCAGGAGACGTCAAGGTGATTCGAGTGTGGAATGCAGCTACCGAAGTTTGCACCAATGTAAGTCACTCGACCAGAGTGGTAGACTTTACTGACTTTGTTAGGACATTCCTGCACGGTCAGGCTCATGTATCACTTCCTTGACGTCGGACCAAGTCGCAGGCAACATCTTTGTGGCTGGATTCGGCGACGGCGCCGTCCGAGTTTTCGACCAGCGCATGAAGCCTACAGCGGCAATGGTCAAAGTGTGGCGCGACCATAAGCAGTGGATCACCAACGTGCACATGCAACGAGGCGGCTTGCGAGAGTTGGTCTCTGGCAGTCGAAACGGCGAAGTCAGACTGTGGGATCTGCGAATGGACGTCCCATTCTCGAAGATCACGGCCACCACAAACACTCTGCGCACCCTAAGCGTCCACGAGCACGCGCCTGTCTTCACAGTGTATGTTTTCCACTAAGACTTTTGTTGACCTTGCTAATCGCGTATAGGGGCACCAACCGCCACGAAGTCAAGACATATAATGTCGACGGCAGCTATCTCTCCACCTTTGAGCCCTACTCCAGCTTCCTACATCACAACCGCTCCTCCCCGATCGCCAGCACCGCCTTCCATCCGCACCGCACCCTCTTCGCCTGCGCGGCACTTAACGACCACCACATCAACCTTGTGCACTGCTAGACGTACGACGTAATGGCGTAGACTGATATACGCTTTTTCAGTTTCCTCCTAGTATCCTTTTTTCTACCTACTTACATCACGGACATGGCGCATTGTCTTCGGGTGGATATCTGCTTATATCTTTTTGTCTCTTGTCCTCTTCTCCCTATTATCTCCCTGACTAGTTCAGCACAGACCGGTATTTACCTATCTACCTACCTACATACCTATGGTATCCTTTTCTATCTTACTTTCTAATGACGGACCCTACTGACCACCGACACATGTCATTTTCTGGCGTTTGACGGAGACGGACGATGATCTGGGGATTTAGCACTATGCAGGTCCGGTGCTGGTATCCGATGACATGTCACTTATCGAATGGAGCTATATGCGTTTTTCCTCTTTTGTGTCCTCTTTTGTTTCTCTCATTCGGATGCTGACGCTTACGGCCTCGTTATGTATGTTTGCGGCTACTTGTTAATAGGTATAAATTGGCTGGCTGGTAAGACGGTAATAATTCATGGTGATTTAATCTTTGAGGTATATCTTTTACTCTTGATGTATATCCTTGGGGTCAATTGATAGTGGCTAAAGTATGCTGGATTTCTCGTACCGCTTGGGCGTCTCTAATGTGGGTTCTGGCGTGTGGATCGTCTCCAGTATATCTCCAGCCTCGCCGAAGCCCAGGCCAACTCATCCCAACATCCCCTCCCCATTCCTACACTCACACGCCCAAGATAGCACCAAAGATATAAATATCCTGAAACATTTACAGTACATAATCCTACTTCCACCAGCCAGTCCAGATGGAAAGGGCAAGTCTAGTCCGAGGAAGGCGCCACCATGTCGCGGGCCAGCGCGTTGTCTGTCACTCATCTCCAACCTCATGGTTTGATTTTTAACACTCGTGCCTGTTGATGGTGCCCTTATTATGCATAGTGCCCCTGTTGTAGGCGGATGAGGGAATCCACTGTGGCTGCGAGCGCGCGTCATGCTGGGATGAGACGAGGGGCCTATACGTCGGTGCTGGATGAGGCTGGCCTGCTGGGAAGAAAGAAGAGTGGGCGCTACGCGGTATGTGATGAATATTCAAACATAACTTGGCCCAAGCAGATGGTTGGATAGCTGTTTTCTGTTAGGAAGGACGGCGTTGAGAGTCTAGCTATATAACCCTAACATATATATACCTTACGAGTGGTTTCCAAACCTCTGAACCAACCGTAATCATTGCCTTGAAGATACTATATCATATCTTTCTTTTGCTAGTCGCAACGTGCACCCCACGAACATGGTTACGTCGGCAGTTCAGCGGTTAATGCATGATTGGCTCTGCGTTCCCCATTCCGATCTGAAGGAGCTGTCCATACCCGTGATGATTAATCGGAGCGCGGGGATTTTCTTTCTTATATGCAAGGTGACTGCGGCGTTCTCGCTCTACGCTCCATATTACTCGTGGTGGTGGTTAACCCTGCATGCGGGACCGCTTGGCGGCGGCAAGGCATGTATCGCGATCTAAATCTGGTTTTGATCATCGGGATCGTGATAAGACTTGGATTGTATTTTAGGAGAGTCTGCAGTGTGAATAGATTGGGGATAGATAGGCGAGATGGTCGACGTAATCTGGCTGGTGGTGCATACTAACTAAGGATTGCTCAATTGGTCCATTGTGGGCGTGGAGGGCGTGGAGGGGTTTGCTTAAAATAGCAACCCTATGCCTCATAGTATCTTCGATATAGGAATAGAAAGACATAAAAGCGCTCTCATGTCAGCCCAAATAGAACACAGATCAGATATCCATCTCTATCTCCCGGACAGACAAAACTCACTACTGGCAGAAAGCAACAAGCCGGCCATTGTTGCCATACCATACCATCCCATCATCGCCTTTGCAGGAACCTAATTGGCCTCGTACTTGTTACCATCAGCCTTGTCCTCTAAACGCATAGCTCGCAAGTCAAGATAACAACCATGCCGCCCCGAATCCGTCACTTTGTCGGCGTCGAGAGCTCCGAGCAGCTCGCTTTCATCGATGAACTGCATGCGTTGGGACTGAGTAGTACGATTGAGTTGCCAGAGGTATGTCATTACCATATATCCTTCTCCTTGCTTCTCCTACCTTGTCTCATTATTTCTCGGCGCTCCGCCCTTGTCATGTCAATCACCTGCTCAACCCAAACTGACGATGTATGGCGATGGCATGTATAGCTCATCGTCCTCGGCGACCAAAACACAGGAAAATCCTCCGTACTCCAAGCGATAACCGAGCTGTCGTTCCCAGTCGAGGATACAATGTGCACGCGGTTCCCCGTGCAGATATCCTTTCGGCAGACGGCTGGCTCTGGCTCCGCTGCTGGGCGGCTTCGTTCTCGTGTCAAGGCTACAGTCAACCCCGGGCCCATGACGGAGAAGGACGATGCGTTCCTCGAGCGTGTGAAGGGTTTTGTCGTTGAGAGGGACGAGTTGGACCAGGAGGGGATGAGGGAGATTATTCGGTTGGCCGAGGAGTGTATTTTTGGTTCTCCTTCCGAGGATGGGAATAGATCCGAGAAGAAACAGGTTAACGAAACTACGAAAGGAAACACAGAGAAGAAGACGAAGACGCTCTGTGATGCGACACTGAGGATTGAGCGCTCTGGTCCGGACGAGATGCATTGGACGATTGTCGATTTGCCCGGGTTGATTCGGTCAGGGAGGGGTGGCTCTGCGTCTGCATCTGGCTCTGGGAATGGCGGGCCTGTTACGAATGGCGAGGCGCCATCGGCGACGAATGCCCTTGTTGCAGAGGACATTGTTCGGAGACGGTTAAGGAATGAGCGGAGTATTGTGCTGTAAGTCCAATCTCATGCCGTCTACCCAACCTCTCTCTAGGGCTATCCCACAACACTTGATGCTATGTTTGTACTAATGAATCCAGCCTCGTAATCGACGACGTCGACGTCGAGCGGCAGAAATCCCTCGAACTAATCGACAGCATACCCGGCCTGACAAACCGCTGCATCGGCATCCTCAACAAATGCGACAGGCGCGAAGAAGGTTCCGGCCATTGGATGGTCTCGCTCCTGCAAAACGACCTGTCCACTGTCCCGCATCTCCCGCACGGCTGGTTCGGCCTGCGAAACCGGAAGCCCATTGAAGCTGGCTCAAGCGATATCGAGCGAGACGAGGCTGAGGAGAAGGAGTTCAATCAGCCGGCCTGGGCGGCTGTACCGCGGGACCGGTGCGGGATCAAGGCGCTGATGAGTTACGTTGATCGCGAGCGGCGCGCACAGATCCAAAAGGGGATGCCGGCGATTATCGGTGAGATCCGGGGCAAGTTGCGCGAGTGTGAGAGCGAGTTGAGGCGTATGGGCGAGGCGCGGAGTAGTCCGCGTGCCCAGCGGTATTTCGTCCTGCAGTTCTGCAACGAGATGCAGAGGATGGCCGAGGCCTGTCTGCGCGGACAGTATCAGGATATTCCCTCGGATGATGGGAAGGTCCGGCTCAGGTATCTAGTCCAGGAAAGACTTGAGCGGTTCTCTGTTTCTGTGTTTCCGACGAGAGATGTCAAGCTTGCGTTTGGGAGTTTTGAGGCCGAGTTGAGGAATCTGCGGGCGTTGAGTCCGGACCCGGGGACGTGGGAGGAGCGCATCAAGCGCGAGCCTGGGATCTATTCTGAGATCTATAAAGAGGCCATGCTCTGTCGTGGACGCAGTCTCCCGGGGAGTGTGCATCCAGACGTCGAGGAAAAGGTCTTCCGCAAACTGTCTGCGCACTGGGAGGAGTCCGCGCGAGAGATGGTGGAGGACGCGAAGCTGCTCGTCAAGAACTGCTACGACATCCTACTCCGCCTCGCGATCCCGAATAATCGTGTCCGCTTCGAGGTCGGCCGCGCCATTGCCGGTGAGCTGGAGGAGTGGAATCGCGACGCGGACAATGCGCTCCGCGAGCTCATCGAGGATAACCAGGTCCGGCCGCTGTTCACGCATAACCCGTTCTTAGAGCAGAACCTCGCGTACGCGGACCAGCAGCGGAATGCGATTTTCCACGGGAAACCATCCAAGTCCTCATCGCCATCGCCATCGGGTGGCGGGAAACAGAGTCCTCTTGAAGAGGAAGAGAACTTCCTCCCCAATCTGCTGAACAATATCATCCAGACGCGAGCGAAACTCGAGTGTTACTATGAAATTGCGGTCTATCGGTTCATCGACAATGTTGCGATGCAGGTCATCGAGCGGCATGTCCTCGGACCGAAATGTCCGCTGCGAGCGGTGTCTCTGGAAACGTTTACGCAGCTTGATAATGAGGAGCTAGATCGGGTGGCTGGAGAGGACAAGGCGGATGCTTCGACAAGGCAGAGGTTGGAGAGGGCGAAGGATCGGTACAAGAAGGCACTTGGGAAGTGGGAGCAGTTGAGTGTACTGTAGATTGGTTATGTCAGCATTAGGGACTCTGCAATATCAATGGAACGCAAGGTGGTGATGACTTTGATATTATAACTCGAATCCGGAGTCTGGCCATGGCACGGGCTGGAAGCAACAAAGGCGATAGTAAACTGATATGGTTCGTCGTGTGGAACTTCATCAGGATTCTGTTTTGATTAGATTGAATGGTGCCATGATTTTAGCATGTCAGCTCTGTTCAGTTAGATACGATCCTCCAACTGACCTACAAGACGAAAGAATAGAACAGATCCAGTTAAAGTGGGTACCTCTTCCAAACAGTGACGGGTGGTTGCCAGACAGTCGTATCATGCCTGTTTCTGAGACCAAGGTGGCCCCCCAATTCAAGATATAGCTCCTTGCTACAACTAGTCTTTGGGGCTTAGGTTCAGCCTGCAGGCCCACTGCAGAGGATTCTAAGAGCAACCGAATTCTTGATTGCTCGATATTACGGAGTAGACCGGGTTTGGGAGCAATCCATCCGTTGTGACTAAAAGTACAATAATGCTCGGAGCAAGAACTAAATGCTACATGTGAAAACGCAACGCAATTGTGTATGCTGATGGTACGAATGTAGGAACGGACCTGGATAGCAGCTTAGCCATCGCCAACATCTCAAGGGATTGAAACAACCCAATAGACGAAAGCCGAAAGTGCCCCTGCATGAAATCAATGAGAGTCTCCCAATCACTCGCCAATCACCTAATTTGTAGCTATCCTGCTCCAGCTGAATTTCTCGAGCAAACGACACGATGGCAGTGAAATTGACAGCTATTATTGTAAGTCGCTCTCGGCCTCCAGAAAGGCTCCACCCACGCGTCTCCAAGAGTCGAATATAGGATTCCAATCAAAGTAGCTGCGCTGGCCTCCCGTCCGTGCCTCATAGCAACGGGGATGCATATCCTTGTAGTTCGCAAAGTATCTCGCAGGGTCTCTCTTATCTTGTGGAGTATAGGCACGAAGATTCGCAAGAACCCCACCCACAGTCGTTATGAGTTGGTTGGCGAAGATGTTGTCCTGCTCGGAAAATGCTTGCGCATTGCGGCGTTCGCGGTTTTCGACAAAGTTGTTAGCAATGTTGGCGATGTGTTGGCGAAGCTCATCTTCCCCACGGTTGTCTTTATGGAACCACTTGTTGACCTCTTGGAGTCTTGCATTCGCTGCCAAACAAGCGGGTTCCTTATTCTCTGCACAGCTGCTGTCTCTCTCAATCAACCTGTTGGCCTGCAGGAGACTTTCTTTCGCTGGGAAAGCAAGTGAATCCTCAGTGTCAAATCGCCTAGATAACCCAGGAGGTGGTTTTATTGTTCTTTCGGTTGGCTTGTGCGAGTATGACGAAGCTGGAAGCTTTTCTGTCGAACGTGGAGACTCGGATTCGTAAAGCTTGAGCAGCCGTCCCTTTTTCGAATCGCAATGATCTTTTGAAAGTTTATATTGCCCTTCTTTTATTCCAAGGGCTCGATCGACCAAGTCTTCCTTGTTCAACTCGAGCATGTCCTCGTCCTCCACACCTGTGCCATCGCCGCTGCCTTGAGGCTCGGACGGCATTGGGCTTGGGTCGTCGAGTGGTTCGAGATGTGCATCTGATGCAGAAGATCCTGTCTCCGTGGACTCGCTCACCTGGGGAGATGACGTTAGCTGGGAGTTGGTATTGGGTCCAAGGCTCAGATTGTCCAGTATAGCGTATATCTCCTCTTTAATTGTGCGCTGGGAGACGCTAGTTCCGGATGATAGTCTCGAATGGGTCGCAAGTACCTTTGGCGCTTTGAGCTCTTCAAGCGGCTTACGAGCGGCTAGAGTCTCTCCCATAGTTTCAGAGTCAAAAATGTTCGGAAGTCTCGCATGATAATGAGTCGCAGGCGTAGGCTCCGAGCGAATGGTTGCATTGGCTGTGTATGGTTTGTACTCGGCTTCGGGGTTAAACCCAAACTGCAAGCCCGAATTAATCTCAGGTAAGACGGTTCGGTTGTTGCGATGCTTTATACGAATGGTTTCGTAGGGCGATTTATCCTGCGGATGGTCGAAGCTATCTCGATAGAGTTGCAACGAAGATGGTGCCATGTACTCTTTATGGGACTGCATCTTTGAGTAGCTCGTATTGAAAGGAGTTGTCTGGGAGACAGCTGTGGCCGAGTCTGCAGGCCAGGTCTCGCCGTTTGGAAAGCTTCGATCCACTTTCCTCAGGAAAGGACTCTCAGACATGCCGCTGTTATTTCTCGACTGCGAGGGATTGCCGTGGTTGGTATAGCTCAGAGGGTTTCTCTGCGTCTGGTACTCGTTCAGATCATGGTGCCATGATTGCCCTTGATCAAGCCCGGTAGCAGTTCCATGACGCTGCCATGGGTATCCTTGTGGAACGAATCGTTGCGGTGGGGTGAGATGCCCGGTCTCGTTGCTCAGCATATACTCCCCTGTGTTGGCACGCGGAGAATAAGACGCGTGGGTATCAAATCCATGGACTGCATTACCGCCTCCTTCTGCCATGTAGTCTACGTTATCATCGAAGAAAGATCTCGAGTTCCTGCCGGCCTTGTTTCTCGAGGTTGTCTTCTTGTACAGCTGAGCTAAGGAAACCGGCTGCGAAGAAGCGAGATCTTGGTCGCTACCAAGCTCATAGTCGGGCGCCCGGCGGGCATAGGCTGGAGTGAACTGCTGACCATCAAGATAGTAGTTGAACCTCTGAGTCGCCATCGAAACGGCTCTGCGAGACCCAACTGGCCGCAGCGGAGAACGGGGGAGTGTTAATGCTTTGAGTGAGAGCTGAGGGTATTTGAGAGGGGTTGCAGCACGCGAAGGTGGGGGAGGAGAATCAGGGAGGACGAGTGTTGCTGGAGACTGGAAAGTGGTGAGTTGAGAGATGAGATCAAAACAGTAAAGTGAAGAGAGGACTCACGAGCAGATTGTGTTTTGGGACTCGCCATTCATTGAAAGGCCTCTCCGTGGCAACTTTCTTGGGCGGACTGCCCTGTAGCACTTCCAAAGGCTGTCTTTTCCGAGAGCCTTGCCCTGGAGCCGAATTAAAAATTAATATTGCACTCGAGTCACCTCTGAAACTTACGTTGGTCAAGGTTTTTGGACATCGTGTTGGCGGTCATGATGGCCTGAGTTCACGGATTGACAGCTACTGGTGGGATTCATCGCATGACAGAGTTCAAAAGGCAGAGAACTGGGGTGCGCTGAGCACCTTCCAGACTTGACTGCGGTAATTTCAGATTGCTGCTTCCATTCATGATTGCCTGTCCTGCAGTAACACAACTGATGCCACTTACACGACACGCCCAAGACAAAAAAAGTAACATTCGAAGAGAACAAATCCAGACTCCTAAATCTTGGTCAATCTAGACAGAAGATAAAATTTACACTACCACTGGCTCCCTTGAACACCATTAGCCGCCAACCTTTCACCAGAGCCATATCCATAAGACCCAGCGCTGTAGAATCCCACTCTGTCTCTGTTGTAGCTACTGTTACCATTAGGGGCGCCAACATCAACTCCCTGGCCCTTCCGGGCGCCAACTTCGGAGCCGTATCCGTCAGTTCCAGAGCTAAAGGTCCGCGTGTGGTCTGGGCGAGCGTATGCTGCTTCACCACGATGTCCATAGTCTTCACGACGAGGGCGGCCAGTCGAGTCGTAACTGACTGAACGATTCGGCCCGTAGCTCCCAGAACCATAAGTGCCGGGTCGTGGCCTCTCTCCGTGGCTCTCAAATCTCGAACCATAGTCACTGGTGCGATGATTGGACCTGAAGTGGCTTCCAACCTTGGGCTCATGATCATACTCGTTGGTGTCCGAGTCGCGACCTAAAGCAGGTAAGCTTGATATACAAGATGAAATGTCTGGAAAACGCGTACTGGGACGCTTAGATCTGGAGTTCGAGCCAGTCATGGCATCCATGAATTTGTGCAGGATCTTCGACATGATGGAGGCCTAGTAAAGCGATCGTGAGGCTCAAAGTGGGTATCAAGTACGAACTCGTGAAAGAAATCATTTACGCAGACTGTTGTATCAAACCTGGGGCAGCCAGCCATAAGTATATATGGAGTTAAAGGATGACGACGGAATTGTTGTCATGCTTCCGTCCTGGCCCGTAGACGTCACCACCATGGTTCCCCCCAAGACGGTAGAGCCATGAAGCTTACCGAGAGGAATCCCTAAATCGAGGGCACGACCCAAGGGTCAGCGGACCTTGCCTCAGCTTCCGGGCCAAGAGAGCCGTTCACAGGTATCCACTTAAGCTTCTGTCACTGTCATGTTCCGCCCAAGCCGTTTCCAGATTGTGGTTTCCACCGCCGCCACCAAACGTATCCTGCGCTCCTAGTCGTGCGCTGCATAGTTTTAGGGATAGGGAAGAGGACATGCACGCTTCAGAGTAAAGCAGAAGGGACGTCGATCGCGTCTCAGCTGCGGGTGTGTGGGGTTGCTCGCGCTATGATCTACATCCACGTACAGTGAGATCCTAATCTTAGGGAGAGGTCGCTGTCAGGCATCAACTCGCGAGGTACATATAACCAAGGGGCCCAGGGGTTTCTCGCAAACCTCGTATTATATCAAAGCTAGAGCTAAATCGAGTAGCATTAACGTAAGAGCCACTGGCGGAAAGCGTTGATAAGCTCTAGCGAGGTTGCCTGACAAGACTACTGAGGCGCGGTGGTGTGACACATCCTTTGGGTGCTTTGTTTCTGCCTGAGGCAGCGCCCCGTGACTCCCGAGGCTGTCATGGGGAGAGAGAAAGGCATCCAACTTTGGTCTCTTGCATGCTTCATCGCATCCCCGTCCAGCCTCTTTTGTCTCCTTCTGTCCTTTGCTCTGTTCTAAATACCCTGATACCATCGTTAACCTGATTGTTCTGTCTCTTTTCCCGTGTTAGCCTCTTCTGGCTTGCTACCTTGTTCCCCCTCAATGAGTCCGCTTTCCATGACGAATCGACGACCTTTGACCTGTTCGTGAACGAGCGTTGCCCAGCAAAGGCTGATTCCTTCAAGCTTCCTCTGCTCCTCAGCAGAGCACTACTTTTTTTCGTACATCATCACAATCCACCGAGAACAATGCGACCCCCTCGGCTCCTCTTCCTCGCTTTCTGCCTGATCTTCTTCCCGATCTTCCTTATCTTCTACTCCGTCCTCACAACAACACCTCGAGTATCGACACCTAGTTCGTTTGCTGGCCAGACGACAGGCCTACACGCTCTCTTCTCCTTCAACCTTCCCTCCTCGCTCTTTCCTCCCTCAGCCATCATCAGCCTTACAGATGAGAACGCGACATTTTTCCTAGCCAGACCTGCAGCGTTTGGTCCCCTCCTCCCTACCAAGGGACTCAGCGGGCAATTATGGGTTGCCAGCGGCTTTGGGGAGAGGTCCCCTGAGGCTGGTATGGAGCTAGGCTGCTCAGATATTCCGGGTTGGGAAGAGGGTGACACACACGGGCCAACGGAGAACCGGGCAGGGAAGCCTAGCCTCGATGCTCAAGACGCTGGCCTTACACAAAGTCAGCGTCATGCTGATTTCCTGCAGAGCGCTGATACTCAGAGTGACGCACATACCGGAGCCCTCCCTCCTTCTACGAACGACGGCACAGACGACCATCTACACCACCCCCTTCGCGAGTCGGCCGTCATCGACCCGAGCACATCTGAAAAGAACAGGGACTCCCCGCAGATCCGACAGAGTGCGCATGCCGATATCCAATCCCTGCAAGAGAGTGCCGAGATTAGTGGTCGAGTCGTCCTGCTGAGCAGGGGTGGCTGTGGCTTCCTGGAGAAGGTCAAGTGGGCTCAGCGACGAGGGGCAGTCGCGTTGATCGTGGGTGATGATACACGTGGGGGAAATCTGGTTACAATGTACGCTCGAGGCGATACCTCGAACGTGACAATTCCCTCATTGTTTACGTCTTACACAACCGCTCACTTGCTCTCATCCCTTATTCCCCCGCAGGATCGGGGAGATTCTACTGGCGTCGATGGACCTCCAGCGTTCGATGATTATGAAAAAGACTCTACAACAGCTATTTCTGCCCGTCCGTCACCGTCCTCTTCCCAAGCCGCCAATGACAGTCCAGCTGCCGAGTCGGAGTCCGGATTTTTCCATACCTTGTTCTCATTGCTAGGGCTAGGCGGTGACGGAGGATCTGGCCGTCAATTGGAAGAAAACAGACGGCCTCCTAGCAGTGGAAATATCGACTGGATTCCAGTGAACCATTGGGACGACCAGGAGAGCGATGTTGACTCTGCGAATTCGGCGGGTACCGATAATAAGAACCGCAAGAGTTCCAAAACGAACACCGGCAGCGCCGAAGGTGATGGTTTCGTCATTGGTGTGCAAGATTGGCGTGACCCGGATCTTGTTCCTGCGAAGAGCAGCGCCGTGGCTGTTCCAACGGAAACCGCTGGGTCGGAGTCTGCTCAGCAAAGTAACGAAAAGGGCACTCAGCCCACTGCATCACTCAAAGGCGGTAGCATCACACCTGGGAGCGGAGAATATCACGCTGTGGAGAAGCCAACCAACTCAGAAGACAACACTCGAAAGGAATCTCGCAGCTCCACTAGCACTGGATCGGAAGACGCTCCAAGCACTAGGCGCAACTGGTTTTACCGCCACATCATGGGCAAGGGGGACAAGACTGAGCGATCCACAAGCGGCAGAACACAGCGGGCTCGTGATGTGCCAAAGAAGCAGGTCGTCAAAACCAAGGAGCATGACGGTTTATGGGTCACGCTCACGCCGACGAGCATGTCCACCAGCCCGTTTTTCGACACTCTACTTGTCCTTATTGTCAGCCCGCTGCTTACGCTATCTGTTGTCTATGTTCTCCTGCTGCTCCGCTCGCGCATCCGCCGACGCCGCTGGCGAGCACCCAAATCCCTAGTTGAGCGCCTCCCTGTGAGGACGTATCATACAATCCCCACCACATCGTCGTCTTCATCGAGCTCTATGAGGTCGTTGAGCCCGGGGCCTGTCTCCCAGACGTCTCCACTTTTGGGGGCGAAGAGCGCGACGGAGCGTGTGCGCTCGCGGCCACAGCAGCAAGAGGCCGAATCCAGGTCATTCGAGTCGAGGAGAGAAAAGACGGGAACATCTACTATGTGGCGTCGGAAGTATACCGGACGGCAAGTTGAGTGTGTTGTTTGCTTGGAGGAATATGTCGACGGGCAAAGCCGAGTGATGAGCCTACCGTGCGGCCATGAGTTCCACGCAGAGTGCATGTAAGTATCAGCCACGCCAAAGGTCTACCGGGTCACGCTAACAAGCACAGTACTCCATGGTTAACGACTCGTCGACGAACCTGTCCAATCTGCAAGGGAGATGTGGTCCGATCCATGTCCCAAAGCCATCACCCGGATCGCGATGCCCCAGAGCCTGAAGGTCGTGCCGCCTCGTCAGCCCCCGTCCCAATCACTGCAATCAGCGAAGACGAAATGTCAGACTTAGAGCGGCACGCATCCACTGATACCGGACTCGAGCAACATGCGACTTCCACCCCACCAAGCTGGCGCAACTTTGCCGCACTCAGCTTTTCGGCCCTCAGCGGCGACACCATCTGGCACCAAGGCAGGCCCGATAACGAACACTAATCTCGCCTCGCACATTACTACTCTACTTTCGGGTTCTGGTTGGATGACCTGCGGCGTCTCTTTTACATGAGCGAATTTTCTATTAGCGATCTGGGCATTGAAGTTGGTTGGCGTTTGACACGAGCCGGTTACCACCCAGCTCAGCAGCGGCAGCGGCAGCAGTATTCTGCGTTGTATATCTCGACTGTACTTTCGTTACTCTCATTGAATCTATTCTCTTATCTGGCTGCGTGTGTCATTCTTGTACAAAATGTACCATAAGTGGACTTGCAAAATAGTGACGTCACCATAACATCGAAGCTCACCACCTCACCCCCTCCTCTATTTAACCTCCAGCGTAACTCCAACTCATTGACGCCGGACAGCTCAAATATCTTCTACTCCTCTCCACATCTTTCGCGCCTCAGAGCTATTTCAATAAAAATGTCCGACAGAGCTAAAGAGGCCATCCGTGCGGAATCCTCCAATCTCGCCGCAACCGCCCACGACATCGCCTTCTCCGGTGCATACCTTTACCCATTCAGGGTCAGCCTTCTTGCCCCTCTCAATTACAACCATCAATTATCCCACCACTCTCCCCGAGCCCCAAAATAAGATAATAAACTAACAGTGAAACAGGGCATAATCCACCTCCTCACCCACCCACCCCTCTACACGCCTCTCCTCCGCCGCGCGCTCCAAACCCTCACGCTCGGAATCTCCATAACAACCTCTCTCTTTGTCTTCACCTACCTACCCCAAGTCGCCCTCGTCACCCTCCTCACGGGCCCGCTTGCCTTCCTCTCGCCCCTAACAACCTCGCTGCTAATCCTCACCGAGTCCGCGATCCTCACGAACTTTTTCGCGCGCGGCTGGATCCTCTCCGATGCGCTGATCGACATCTTCGACGCCGTCCTCCTAGACCGCGGGTGCCAGGCGCTCGTTGAGCGTGGGCGCGAGGTCAAGGCTCTACGCGCGGGCAGCGGGGACGGGGTTATGGCGCGGCTTGGAAAGTTGAGGGTTAAGCCGCGGTTTGTCGGCGAGGGTGGGGTGTCAGGTTGGGTAGAAGGTCTTATTAGGTCTGTGTTGTTGCTCCCGTTGAACTTTGTTCCTGTCGTGGGCACCGTTGGGTATGTGTATGTTGCCGGGAAGAAGGCCGGGCCCGGGCTGCATGAGAGGTATTTCCAGTTGAGGGGGATGGGGAGTGAGGAGAGGAGGAAGTGGATTGAGAAGAAGAGGGGCGGCTATACTGGGTATGTTATTTCTTTTCTCTTTTATTGCTTGACTCGGTTGACGTCGCTAACGTGTGTGTGTGTGTGTGTGTTTTGGCAGGCTGGGTATGGCGTCTGTGCTGCTTGAGATGGTTCCCTTTGCGTCGATCCTGTTCGAGTTCAGTAATGCTGTTGGCGCGGCGCTGTGGGCGGCTGATTTGGAGAAGGGCAGGGAGTAATCTGTTGGGGAGTATATGAGATGATCTTGGCAAAATGTACACCTCTGTATTGTTGATCTATAATGATATGTCCATGGAATCCGTATCCGTAGTATGCACACATAAGGACCCAAACCCATCACTCAGCCCAAGCACGGCCACTGTATATACATCACTCACTCAAAGGCCGGAACACACCCCGAACTACACCCCAGCCTCCGAAATGGCAGCGGCCTGAGCCTCTCCCCAGACGCCCTCGCCCCCTTCAACCCATTCTCATATGTGCTACAATCCCACCACTCAATCCACTCGGCGCGCGCAATCACGAAGCTCCGGTGACAGATGGAGCACGATCGCCCGCCTGCATTGCGCACGTTGCGCGCTAGCCGTAGGAGACGGAGCATCAGGTTGGGAAAACCTGGTGTGTCGTCTTCGGGGATGAGGTCTGTGTCGGAGGGGGAGGTGGATTTGCTGAATGTTAGGAGGGCGACTTCGCGGAGGGAGGGGACGCGGGAAGGGGGTTGTGGTTGTGTTTGCGCTGTGGATAAGGAGTGGGAGTGCGAGTTAGGGTTGGGGCCTGAAAGGGTATCTGGGAGGGGGAAGCCTTCCATATCGTAGAGGGTGATTGGGCCTGTTGCGACGTGGATAGGTGCCCAGGCTTCTTCTGGTGGTGGGCCGGTGTATTCACAGCTTCGCATTACGTCTTGCGTCTCTGTTTCCGTTTCTGTCCATGTGGGCAGATGCCACTGCGAGATCTGCGACTCCTCGATCTGGAGGAGCGGGTTAGGTCGCACAGTAAGCTGCTTCAGATCTCCCTTCTTTATCAGCCAAAGGAGCTCCCAGGGAAGGAACTGCAAGCGGTTCACAGAGAGGTTGAGTTCCTGGAGTTTGGTGAGTCTGCGAATAGCCGGTGGAACTTCGGTGAGTTTATTATTGCGCAGACTGAGCACGCGCAGCGCGTCGAGCTCGAAGAGCTCGCTTGTCAGGCATAGGAGTCCGTTGCCGGCTAGGAAGAGTCGGAGGAAGGGCTGCAGCGAGCTGTAGACCTCTTCTGTGATTGGGGCTTCTTTGATCGGGGGCAGCTTGGTGAGGTGCTGGAGTGGCCGGAGGAGGCCCAATGGGAGGCCGCGGAGGTTGCCATTGCTTCGAGTTGTTAGTGTTCATCCAGGCATCAGAAGAGAATTGAGAGGCATACCTAAGGTCAATACTATCCTCCCCCCTCTCCAAGCAATCATTCACAATTGCCCGCGCAACCCGATGCTCTTTCGACTCCTCCTCGACCTTTTTCGCGAACCCCATGCGAGTGCCCGCAGACACCATTCCACTGCCATTCCCATTCCCAGTGACATGAACATTATCACCTTCTCCCTGTCGCACATCTTCCTCCACTGAACCCCCGAGCAACTCCTCCCCCCACCTATCCCCTTCACTCGCAAAAACCGATCCGGACTCATCACTCCCCATCCACACACCACTATCCACTAGCCTCTTATCCTTGAACTCCGCCCTCTTCCGCTTCATCTTCCTCCCATGCGCGTTTCCATATCCGTATCCATATCCCTGCGCCTCCACCACCTCACGCACATCAGGAGCCGCAACCTCCCCCCACCACGTCCCGCGATACCTTCTCTTCCGCGACCCAGTCCCCGATCCCGATCCCGACGCAGGCGCATGGTAATTCTCTAGCCCCGAAGCCGGGATATCGTCGCTGGAGAAAAGCGCGGGGTCGCTGGAGGGTTGGCTTGATTGGTCGTCGAAGCGCGGGGAGAGGCGGTAGGTTTTTGCGAGGGAGGAACGGTGCGCGCGAGGTTTGCTGCTGCTGGTGCCGCTGTTGTTGTTGGTTGTGGTGGTTGACGTGCTTGAGGTTGGGGAGCGGTGCCGGATGCGGAGGGGTGGGGGGAGAGGGGGGTCGCTGTCCATTGTGGCTTTGCGTAGTATCTTCGAATGATATGGTGAAAGGATGAGAAGCTAGATAAAATGCAAAACTGCTTTTGTCCGTTTGATGCGAGAGAGGTCAAGACGCGTGGTGGGGAGTCGAGTCAATAATAACTCGGAGGAGGCACGCGATCGGTCGCATCAGCGCAGCGCGGAGTGATGACGCGCGAAGGAATGCTAAAGATCAGATAAGAGCAAACAAGACTCTTGCTTGAGGAGAATGAAACAAGAATTTCGTCCGTCGGAACTCGAGTGACCGAGTCGCCAGACCTTCGCGACGGCGAGTTTGGATTTTTCCCAAAACAGACGCGTCTTGTCCACTCCGAAGTCGGTGCGCCAATCACATCATCGTCGCCTTCTCCAGTACATCCACCTCGACTGTGGACTTTCGAGTCTCCATCAAGATCAAAGTTATCAATCATGATTCATGGACCATGATCGTCGTTCAGCCTTACGATGTATAATTTTCCAAGGTGACTGCGGCGAACTGGTCGAGATCGCAAGGTGGACACCACTTATGCATACATTTGAATTATGCTGTACCAGCGCCGACTGCAATGAATTCGGATATAGAGTCGACCTATATACAACCGCCATGTACAACACAGCTCATAGAATCCTGGCCGAATCTCACCGAGCGGGTCGCCAATCAGAAACGATAAGAAGTAGATAAATACGGCAAGCACCATAAACTCATAAATAATCGTGAATAGGGGGTATAGAATCCATAACACCTGACCGTCCCACTTTTCTGCCTCGATCGCAGTCGAGAGCCAAGGGAACGGCGACAGAAAGGTAAAAGTTATAAGTTGAAAAAAATGGTCACAGAAGGTAATAAAAATAGAGACAAGAAGAGAAGGTAAAGTCAACGTCAAATATGATCGTTTGTGATCAGCTGCCCCTCCGTGCGCCGCGAATAATGACACTGCGCAGACGCCATTGAGCCATTGCCGGAGTATTCGTGGTTCGCGGCGTTTATAGCGCACCGAGGAAGAGGGCCAGAGCACCTCCTGCAAGAGCAACGGGCATATTGCCCTCGAAACCAGCCGCCATATTGGTGTGCTCGGGCTCTTCGGGGGTGTTGGTCACGGTGGCAGTGGCAGTCTCGGTCGAGATAGGAACCAGAGTGCTGCTGGAGATAGGGTGGCTTGTAGGAATGACGTGGCTCGAGGACGAGGGAGTCGCGGTGGGAGACACAGCGTTGACGCGGATCAGAGTGCGCGTAATAGTAGTGGTCAAAGTTGAAGTGAGAACTTCTTCAGCACCGACAAGCTGGGTCGCGCCCAGGAAGAGGACGGTAGAAACGATAGCGCTGAGCTTCATTTTGAGGGATGCGGTGTGCGAGATTGGTTTGGAGGATAGAAAAGGGTTCTTGAAGGATGGATTTTGGTTGCGACTGGACGGATTGAGAAGCGCAAGGGGGTGAGGTGTGTCGGCTGACAGTGAACGAGTGACGGTCAATCGACTGAAGAGACTGGAGACGCAAATGAGTGAGCGAGTCGCAGTCGGTGGACGAGAACGGTAGAGGTAAAGAGCGTAGAGGGAGCGCAGCTCGTGGCCAGATGGATGGGGAAGGAAAGGGAAAAGGAGCAGAAGCGACGGCCGGGGCAGGCGTTGGACTAAATACGAGAGGGTCAACAAAGAGGGCCAAACACGAGAATGGGGAATGTCTGGGAAGATTGCTGGCCCAATAACAAGCGCCCGCGCAAGGGGTTCGTGTCCCGGCCGAAATTGCACGATCGGCGGCTTGCTGCCATTGGGTTCAGGGACTGAGAATGGGCGAAAGAATGCGTTGGCCCCAGCGAGCTAATTCGCTACACCCCCTGGCGAGGCTCCTCTCCTGGTTGCTGCTAGCGATGTTAGCTTCGGGTTCCTGGATGTTGGGCTTGATCATCTTTCGTCAGGAACGAAAATTCTTGCTCCATCTGACTCAGATTCAAAGATCGAAGGTCTAGAGCCTAACAGAATGAAAGAGTTTTCATTCTCCTCTGTTGTTCCCTTCTGATTCAAAGGAAAGCGCCTGCTTGTCGCCCCCATTGTCTCAGAGGGTTTCATCACCTCATAGCTCATTCAACGGCGGCTACAATCAAGTGGCCCCTGTCGCAGATTCAGGGGACAATGGGGATGTGGCCATGAGCGCTCGAGTTCCACGGTTAATTCTTTGTGTTCATCTGACGATGTCCTCCGTCAAAAACTAGTGGCCGGCCTACCGAACTCTCAGCAATAATCTCACTAATTTCCTCTAATTAACTCGTTACAAGCGAGACCCTGGTCTGTATCGTGATTACCCAGATGAGCGGAGTTTGATGGCGTGATCGACAGTAACCTCGTTTTATTACTGTATGACCCGGACCTCCGATCCTGCATCACAGAGTCGCAGCAAATCGTTCTGCTCGCTTCAAGACACTTCATCTGCCAACTCCTTGCAGACGACAAATCCTCCGACAGCAAAGTGACATCATGGCCTGAGAGAGCACACTTTCTACCTGTCACCTCATCCTGAGCCACGCAACCAGCGGTCATTTGAAAGAGGACTCGTATTTGTGTGATGCAGCCCTAGCCAAGCCCTGCAGCGGCTGCAGTGCTGCACCAGTGCCAGTCGAGCGAGTGGATTGGGGCCAGCGAGACGCCGTCAGATCTCGCCAAGTCAGGCCAACTCATTCGCCATCGAAGGTTCGAGGCTTCGACTGCCACTTGTCGGGCAGTAAGTGCTACCAATCGCAACCATCTCACATCACTTGCTGGAAGGCAACCCTGTCAGTGTTGATGAAATCTCTTCCACACGTGATTGCTGCATGGAAAGAATCGGCAACAGGCCTGGCTGCACTCCATGTGCGACGGCCAGCTGGATGCGTGGGATTGCGGCCAGTGCTTGCCGGATTCCCAACCTGTTACCGATGGTCTCCAGCTTTCCGATGACCCAACTACGGAGGGTGTACGATACCCCAGTTGCACTTGCGGCTATCATCAAAGGATATATTGTCATGATTAATCCTCTTAAAAGAGTGCGGTTATCTTTCAAGCCCTGGCTTGCAATTCCAGCGCAGATGTCAGTTGCCAGCTGGCTAATCACCCTCAGGGACTGCTCTTTCTGCTCTGTCCATTCGGGGCTCGGCGCTTCCAGCTTGCCAATGTATACCAGGATCAGCTCATTGACCAGCAGGCGGCCTAGGTAGTAATGGTTCAGCACTCGAGGGGCCCAAGCGTTCTGGTAAACGTGATATTGGCCCCAAAATGTCCCAGGCATGTCTGCAGCCTCTTTGATGGTAACAGACCAGTCTTTTGGAACTCGGTCCCTCCAGGTCCAGAGCTCGGTCTCCAGATTTACTGCCTCTCGTAAGACTCCCTCCTCTCCGCTTACTGCTTGGCCATGCGGAAGGCTGGCGCACAGACGAACAAACTTGACAAAGATATCCATCAACTCGAACGCCGCCCAAACCTCATTGGTAGGTGATGCAATCTGTTGTGGAGACCAGCCTTCCAGTTCCCGGGGAAAAGAGCCTCCAGTCTGCAAGTAATTGAGGACAACGGAAAAGTAAAACCACAGCTCTCCTTGGTTGTTGAATTGCTTTGTTTGTGGAAAGGGGAACCCCTTCATGATCATATGAACACCAGCTATATGGGCCGTCCCTTGGGAGGTTCCAAAGGACAGTGCGTCTGGCCGTGCATCCACCATCTATCATCTTCAGCCATCACACCATTCGCCAAACTCGACTCTGTGATACTGACCTCAAAGATTGCAAGCATAAGGATCAACCTCAACACGCTTCCTACAGTAGCGTAGGACAGATTTGGAATTGTCCGACGAACTTCGTTCAAAGTGAGTCCATACCGCTGGCGAGCCTGCGAAAGCAGCTCGGGATCCCGAATCACGTTGGACACCGCCGCCAGGCCGATAGAGATGACGGAATGGCGGAGGGAGGCATGGACCTCGACCTCTTCGAAGAGAGACTTTGGGTACTTGTGTGCGAAGCTTCCATCGAAAAAGGGAGCAGAGAAAAGTTGTGAACGAAGAAAAGCAAGCCATGGGCATCAATATCCCGAGGTTTTAAGGACATGGGCCGTCCAAGGACCGGGATAGGTATGAGGCCACGAGTGTTGAGCTGAGAGACCTTGGCCTCTACCAACGACCGACTATCCTCTGACACTGAGCTTGTCTCCGACCCCAGGCTGGGAGTCTGTTCTTTCACGGCGATTTGACCTTTGGCAGCCTTCACCTTTCGAATGATACGCTCATTCTCATTTCGAAACACCAGCGACTTCTCGTCTCGGTAGCCCGCACACTCTTTGCCGGCCCTCTTGCATTGGGAGCATGCAGGTCTGGCCTTGTCGCACTGATCATGGACGCTTACCTTGGAGCTCAACTCGGTGCCAGGGACTCAAGTAGTCAAACACACCCTCCGTCGGGGAAATTCAACTCACTTTGATACGCCTCTGCCGACAGCGGAACAGTTTGGGCTGGGCCGAGCGCAAAACGTCATTGTGGACAACGCCTTTAAAAAAGCTATTGAGCTAAATTTCTTCCGCGCACGTCCAGGCAAAAGTCAAACGACATTAAAGGAGGAGCCCATGATTGCTCAGCCACTCTGGCAACCCTGTAGACACGTACTCGCGCTATCCCCGATAAGGCCACCATATCGTCCCACCTAGCCAATGAGCAACGTTGATGCCTCGTTGCGCTCAGGTTGATTACAGCTCCACGCTTGCAAGGCTGGTGCCATCTTCTCAACCAAGACATACTCTGTGTTAAATGGCGGGACAAGGCGCCCCTCCCAAGAAGGAGTGGCTATGTTTTGTCTTGCGCCCTCTTGGTAGACACCAATTCACTTGCCGAAGAGGGCAAGCATTTACTTGTCCGCTAGCAACGATACTAAGGCTAGCGGTAGCGCTGCCATATATGGGGGCTGAAACACCAAGTATAAAGGATCCATATCGCCGCGAGCTAGATCACATTTCGGTCTCAACACTTTCAACGCCCTTTCTGCACCCATCAAAGTCAAGATGCTTTCCCGTCGAGTCGACCGCGAATCATACTACAACTACGACCCCTCGGTGGGCGCTGCCATTGTCTTTGCGGTTTTATATGGAGCTGCCTTCGTCGGGACCGTTGTACAATGGATTCGCTTTAGGCCTGTGGTCTGGCTCGTCATGGTGATTTCTGCAGCTAGTATGTACATTTCCTTCCATCTCAACTCCATCTAGTAATAACCCCGGAAACAGTGGAAGCAGTCGGCTACATCGCTCGCTGCATATCGACCCGCGACGTATCCGCCCGCACAGTCTACGTCCTCCAGTTCGCGCTCCTAATCCTCGCCCCGGTCCTCATGGCCGGTGCCCTCTACGTCCTCTTCGGCCGCATCATCTTCCTCGTCGTGCCGAAAGAGCAACGCACCTTCAAGATCTGCTGGGTACCTCCACGCTGGGTTACTCCCATCTTCGTCGGCTTCGACATCTTCGCGCTCTTCCTGCAACTTGTCGGTGCAGTCATGATCACATCGGGCAATGGAAGCAGCCAAGATGACATCGACACCTTTAACCGCGGCCGCAATCTGGCGCTTGCGGGTGTCATTGTCCAGATCGTCGCGTTTGGGATCTTCACGATTGCCGCCGTGCGGTTCAATTTTACCTCGAAGAGATTTGCGTCCGGGGCGCCGGAGCCGCTCTATGGGGCTGATGAGTTTGCCATGGCCGTGCAGGATAAGCCGAGAAAGGCGAACTGGCCTGTATTGCTGCGTGTCGTGAACATTTCGACTGCTATGATTCTTGTAGGTCGACCTTTCTCATCCTCATCCTCCTCTCACTTTAGCTCTCGCTTTAGCTCTCGCTTTAGCTCTCGCTTTAGCTCTCGCTTTAGCTCTCCCTATACCTCCCACTAATGCTCTCTTGGTCATTCAGATCCGATCCATCTTCCGCATGGTCGAATTCACAGAAGGCCACGGCGGCTACATCAACAACCATGAGTGGCCCTTCTACGTCTTCGACACCGTCCCGATCTTCCCTGTTGTTGCGCTCTTCGTCTGGTGGCATCCGAGCGAATACCTTCCGTACCTGGGCTTCCGGCTGCCGAAGCATGCGCGGTAGATTACCGTGTGTAATATTTCACCATTGATACCCTACGTTGTGATGGAGTTAGGAGGTGGAACCCATTTGGATTAGCATTGATACAGGAGGATGCTATTATGTGTTTTGTAATGTGTTTCATCTAGAGGTCGGGCTGGGACTTGTCATTTATAGGATTTATAGGATCTTGTTGGTTGTTCAGCGAGGGTTTCTTCTGCTGTCGATATTGATACTGCTTGTTTCTCCTCCCAATACTCATCTGTCCTATAGCGACTTGTGTTACATATTTTTATCAAGCTTGCCATCTTTCTGGTTCCATTGAGCTACGTGCGCAGAGCGAACAATCTCATCTTCTTCCTGGTTGATCCATTAACTAAATAAATACTTGGACTCCTGGACTCCATCTTCATCCCTATAAACCTAAATCTATGAATCCCTTAAATCATCTAATAAACAACACAACCGAAGCGCCCGCCTTCGCCAACATCAGCCCTGAGAGTCCTCAATCTGCATCGGGTCTTATACCGAGGCTCATGAATGTTTGAGCCAAGTTTCATTTGGAGTGCCGAAGGACAGCCGCGAGAGTTTCTCGATTTACTCACCTTATCTTATGGTTTTCTCGGTCGGAGTTGAAACGAGTGTTGTGTTAGTGTGAGATAGAGCGGTGCTAGTCGGCTACACGAACCACCTACCTAATTATGATGTAGCTAGGTTTTGTGGAGATGCGAGGATGGATATTGTTCACTGGCAGGCTCTAACCGTCGTCAATTCGAACGGATCGGTATGTCGATAAAAACAAAATCATGGACGGAGGAGAGTTGGACTTTTTGTTGGGTTGGGGTCTTTGCTAGTGGTCATATACTAGAGATATATATTCATTAGTAGGCTGCCTGCTCCGTGGCAGTTGAAGTCTACAAATATATATTTGAAAGCCAGAGAGAAGAAGCAAGAGAAAGTTTATAGATAATGCCATTGTGAGCTATTATCAAAGCCCTGGAGCTGCAGAGAAGAAGAAATCCAGCTGGAACCCCGAAATCCAAAACAGCTCATAACCACTAACCTCATCCCCTTCTGCACAGCATTCGTCAGATCATTATTGATTAAACTCATACAACCAGAGACATCGCTTCGCTAGATCGGAGTCCCCGAGGCTGAATCCAGCCCAGGTTATATACACATTATCCTCCCTCTCAGCTGGCTCGCCTGCCTTGACATACTATACTTCGGGATGTTCCTCCACAATTTTCTAACCCCAAGTAGAGCACGTGGTGAAGATACGCTATTGTACAATTGTCGTCGCCTGTCCTCCTTGCGTCGACCACCTGGTTCTGCCACACAATTGTCGGTAGCCTTCTACTGCACGCGTCGCAGTGGTGCTTGACGGGGGAGCATCATGGGTGGCCCCCGGGCTCGGAGCCAGGCGTCATTGTGAGGACCTTCGGTACGAATAACGCTGCCGATGGACATGAAGAGGCTGGAATTGAAAGCGCATGTCAGTACAGTCCCTAATCCACTGGAATTGGTGTGGAGAGGACATACCCGAATGTCGCACCGGATCCAACCATGTATTTGCCCAGTGTTCGCATAACTCCGTTAGGGCCGGCGCCGTACTGGAAGATGGTGACGGTTCCTGGTTTCATAAATATAATATCGTTCGGATAGTATCGAGTAGACTAACCGATGATGAAGCCCATGATGCCTCCGACAGCTACACAAGTTAGTGGTTAGCCATTGGTACGGCCGATTGAGAAATTTGGATATTAGATTGGAGTACTTACTTGATCCCATCATCGCACCCATCTTCACTGTACAATTGTAAGCTCACCCGCTCTCGCATGCGTACACAAGACATAAGATCTTCATTCGGGGAGTATAAGAAGCTCACTCTTGTCAAAGGTAGAGGGGCCATGGGCCTGGGGAGGGCCTGCAACGACGGGCATTGTGAAGTACAAGAAAGGTGAGATCAAAGTCAAAGAGTGTGATTGTAACAAGTGAGCAAGGCTTCACAATGTCCTTGATACTCTGTCGGATGCTAGCTGTGAGCTTCTCAGTCGCAAAAACAGCTTCGGTTCAATGTCGGACCACCACCAAAGCCGACAAGCACACGTGACTGTACTCCACTTGCTTGTTTCTCACGTGACTGCAAATGGGCCTGGGGCACGACGAAATGCGAGCTGACTCTCGTCTCCCGTTGCGATGTTCGTCTGGGGTTTCTCGACGATTTTCACCCTTGCGTGTCAAAATATTTGCTGTTTTGGTGGCTTACGGCCCGTGCAAGGCGGTTGTCCCGTCTCGTACTTCCTTTCTTCGCTTTTCTTCGCAACTACCTTCCCCCTGGGACGCCGTTTCTTACCGCCTACTTCTCGATCCTGGCCTAGACGCAGCGCCTCCTTGATCTGAAACCCTTCATTGCCTCCTATTCAACCCTCAACCCTGCCCTGGGTATCTTATTTCATCACGTCGAGGTAAGCCTGCCGATTATGCACCGCTTGTGACACTCTCGACTTTGGTTTTCGGTATCCTGAGCTCGGAGAGCACCGCACGTTCGCTTGGTGGGACTCGCATGATGCTAACGTGACCTCCCCGGATTAGTTGGTCGATTGCCGAGAAAGACGCAGTTTCCTGTGTTTGTCGCGCCCGGATCGCTACAAACCTGCCTTTTTGACTACAAACCGCGATACCTCAATTGAAACATCCGTCGATCAATTGCCTGGCCGTCGTCTAAACAGACCGACTCGCGTCCGTGCGTTATCCTACTAGCGCCCATGAGATAGAGAGGCCTCCACTACATCTTACAACAACATTTCGCACGACATCGTTCCTCCTCCTCCATGACTGCTGTGGCGTCACCACCTAGTGTACAGACGGGGCCTCGCTTGGGATGGTATGATTCTGGTAACGGTGGACAAGGCGCACTGTCTTCCATGAACACGGAAGAGGTTTCTCGCATGTTCATGCCGCGAAAGACCCTGCATAGATCAAATTCGTCTTCGTCTATAGGGTCCAACTCGTCCACCTCATCCACTTCGACTATCCCCGCTAGCCCGTCTGGGACTGATGCGGGACAAGCGCCCAACGGCGAGTCCTCGAATTGGTCCAAAAAGAAGTCCTCGAAAAGTGTCTGGCCTACTTCCAAGTCGGAACCAGTATCTGGGATAAGCACCGCGCGCTCGCAAGCGAAGCCAGCCTTCTTTTCCGGCGCAGGCGCCTCTTCTGCCATGTCGGCGATCCAGCAGCCTTCTTCTATCCTTCCATCCCAACAGCAGCACTTTCTCCAGTCGTCCCAGCAGAATGGCGTTCGCGCAGGGAGCGGGCCTACTGGAGAACCGCCCGCAATTTTGACGCTAATTCCGATAAATGGTACCTTTGAGAAGAAACAAATTACCGTGCCGTTCTACCCTGAGACTCTGCGGATTGGTCGGCAAACAAACGCCAAAACCGTACCTACGCCCAAGAATGGCTTCTTCGATTCCAAGGTGCTCTCTCGACAACATGCTGAGATATGGGCCGATAGAAGTGGAAAGATCTGGATCCGCGATGTGAAGTCGTCCAACGGCACTTTTCTCAACAGCCAGCGCTTGTCTCCGGAGAACCGCGAGTCCGACCCTCATGAGATTCGCGAAAATGACACATTAGAGTTGGGCATTGATATTGTCAGCGAGGATCAAAAGACAATTGTTCATCACAAAGTTTCCGCCAAGGTTGAACACGCGGGTATATACGGGAGCGTGCCCAACATCTTTGATCTCACTCTTGGCGACCTAGATCCGGCATCCGGAAATGGGCTCCTCCCATCTCCCCTCAGCCAGCCGCTGTCACACCTTCGAGGGAGAGCCGGTAGCGCCTCAAGTACCCGCAGTAATCAAAGTACTGCGAGTAGCCAGTTTACTCAACTTCAGCAACAGCGCCAGATGAACTACTGGAGCTCACCACTGTCAATCGAGCAGATAGTCAAAAGGCTGACTGTAGGTTGATCTATCCCTCGTGCTTGGATGAACACTAACACGCTTCAGACCGAAATGAAGCAGGCTAAACAGCAGCAACAAGACCTTCGCCAGACTGACGAGTTCTTAACCGGGTTAATGAAACCAGGTGTTGTCGAGAAGGAGAAGCAAAGGCATTCACCCGGTGACAGCATTTCGTCGCGTCAAATGAACGGACGCCCAAAGATGCCTCGTATGGATTCTTTCTCTCGGTTCTCAGATCCTCCAGCACCCCCTCCACAGCAACCACTACCCGAAAAACCCGATGCTCTCCCGCGGAACGGAGCAGACGCGATCTCTCCTCTAAAACGGACCGATACGGAAAAGCCAAAGATGAGTGCTGGCAGCTCCCCTGTGTCGCGAGAATCCAGTCAAATACTCTCACTCATCGAGGCCTTGTCGTCTGCTAAGAGAGAGCTCGACAGCCAAGGTGCCCGCGTGAAAGAGCTTGAGAATATGCTCATGCAAGAGCGGCACGCTCGGGAGTCGGCAGAAGAAAAGGCCAAAGCGCTGGAGCTTCTTTCCACCAAGGAGCCGAAAGACACTTTGGCGCCTATCCCCGACTCGCAGCTTGACAATTCTCTGGAGAAAACTGAGGAGGCAACTCCTGAGAAGCAAGATGCTGAAGTCTCGGACGGCCCTACTGAACCGGAACAAGAGCAAACATTGGTTGATAACCAATCCGATAAGCTGCAACGTCGTCTAGAGGCGTTGATGGGTGAAATGGAAGAAATGAGGAAACAGGTCTCCTTGTTCAAGGATCGAGCAGAAAAGGCAGAAACCGAAACCGTCGAGACCCGCAAATCGCTGGCTGAGATGATTGAGACGCTCCGAAAGGAGCGCGCCGAGACTCGTGACTCGCGTAATGAGTCAGTCTCTGGAGTACAGACCACACCGGGCGTTGAGAGACTATCCCCGGAACCTGATGACGAGTCAGCTGCTGCTGTCGACAAGTCAAAGGCACTTCCGCAACTCTCAGTGTTGTCGCCTCACGCCACAGGGACAGAATCCTCCGCCCCAGGAGTCACGGCACAGTCTCACAGACGTCTTGATGCGATTGAACAGTCAAGTCCGTATGCTTCAATGCTCGGGGTCGTGCTCCTTGGAGTTGGGCTAATGGCCTACTTGAATGGGTGGCAGAAGATGGACAAGTAGCTGGCTTACTCTACTTGATCTCTCTGACCCAAAAGCTGACTATATTCTTGACTGCCAGTTTACACTCGATTGAATACCCTTTGATCGTATACCTTCCTTGCCTCCCCATTTCTTTTTGTCGCAACCATTTTTGATTAGCCTGTCATCTTGGGCTACTATTTTCTATAGTCCGTGTATCCTGATCGGTCATTCCGGCGTTGATCATGAGTTCCTGGCGCTTTTTCCTGTTTCATATCTTTTGCAGTTATGGATTGCATAACTTGCATGACTTTCTCTCTCTCATTTCTTGTTTATCCTTTGACTTGATTTCTCCAACGCTACGCTGTTCCAGTTATGGTTCCCTGGCAGCGGCGTCCTTTCCACCCATGTTAATGTCTCTTTCACATACTGGCAGTTTCAGGGCCTTGTGTATTAGTCTATTATAGCGGCATCGCTGATCTCCTTTGACCAAGTGACGAAATGACTACTCATGTGATTTCTTCTCTCTCACTCTGTCCTGTCACTGACCCTTGATACCACCTTTCCTCCTCTGTACTCTATGATTGAAGATGGTCCGTTCCCTCCCTCTCTTGCATTTAGCGCCCGGTATAGGTTACGGAGAAGTATGAATTTCCTTACTAGAACGGCTGCTGTTGTCGGTTGAGGAGACTACGCTGGCTGTTGCTTTCCTTCCGAGTCTCTTTCCTCTCCTTCCCCATCTTTTTCTCCTTTTCATATTTGGTTTCATGCATGTTATGAGATGTATATATCGATATTGATTGATACGGGTTGCCTGGTGAGCGTGGCATATGAATTGCAGACAACTTTATTCGTTACTTTCTGCTCCGTTTCAGTCTGAACTGCTAGCGTGTATTGGGATCTGGTCCAGTTGCGTTGCACGCAGTATGGCGAGCGGCATGTCGGGGTGTCAATGCTCGTCGACAGGTCGGCGGTCTGACCTCAGCTCATAATCGAGCATATCCGAAGCTTAATGGGGTTCTCCTGGTGATATTCAAGACGACTCTCGCTAGCAGTAAGCTGGATAAGCATATGGCGAAGGAAGCATTCTCATACTTTCATGTAAGGTTCGCTGATCGTCCTGGGACACTCGATGTACCAGTCGGGAACCGTGTACGATCAAGGTTGTAAAAGCTGTTGTAGACATGTGTTTGTCGATGAAGTTTGATCAATGACCCGCCTGGTGTCTCACTTGAGAGAAATCGCAACCTGGACCGAATTGACCCATCTCGTCCTCGACTCTGGCAACTCCTTTCCAGCAAACTGCGCCGCCAGCGTAGCAGCTCGTTTGCGTTTCTTCTCTGCGTTTTCCGAGAGCGGTTTCGATTTTGCTTCAGTCGTCGGAGGTGTTGGATTCCCCCTCTTCTCGCTCATGATCGTCGTATCGTTGACGTCTGTAGTTGTGTCGGGTACCATTGTAGTTTCGTCTGTCTTCCCATCGCTATTCGGACCGGCCATATTTGCGCCCGAACTCGTGGTTCCAGTTCCACCCTGTACCACCTCACCCCCGGCACTCACACCCTCTTCGGTTCCACCCCCCTCCTCAACATCATCAACAACAAGCACACTCCCCGTCTCAACACGAACAGTATACTCTGCCTCCCGCTCCCCCTTCCCAAACCACTTCCCCACCTTGAGTGCAGTCTCAATCGCCCTCCCAGTAGCCTTAACAAAGACCTCCTCCCTCGCAAGATCCTCTTTCCCTTCGCCCCTCGCAAGCGCAGCAACCAACTTCTCCGTCGAAACGCCACCACCACCTCCACCACTCCGACCCCGACTTTGGCCATTTCCGCGGAGAGAAGCTTCTACTGCAGCTGTCGCGCGCTTCTCAGCTTGCCGCAGGAGTTTCTGTACGCGCTTCACGGCAGCCATGTAGGGGGTTGAGGAGGAGATGTAGACCGTTTTGGGGACCGAGGCGCCGGCGTAGGGAGAGGCTGTTGCGGGGTGTGGGATTGGGCGTTTGTGGACTTTCGCGGCTGGAGTTTCAGAATGGAGATGTTAGTCGGGGTTTCTTTCCTTTTCCCTTCTTGTATTTTAATCTTGAATTGTTTGATGGCGCGACGTACATTTCGGTAGCTTAACCATGTCTTGGTTTTTGCGCTCGAAGTTGAGGGGGGATATGGTAGTTTTGGTGTCTGATGTGGAAGTCTTTTGGCGTTTTGCGGCCGGCATTTTGCGTCTCAAGGGTCGAGAGTTGGGGTTCGGTGCTTGCTGGTGAGAGATTAGGGTGCTTCGAAGGTCGGATGGAAGAGAGAATGGTGACCTTTTGTAACCGATAGACGACAAAATGTTTTGTGTTTGTGGTGTTTGCATTTCTTATCGGTGCTTATCTCTAGGTGCCTCAGGTATAATTTGGAGAATACTATATCCCAGCCTAGAATTCTAGATTATCTAGATTCCGCTGGCGAAGTTTGGATTCTTGGAGAAAACTACGTCTTATGTATTTACTTATTTTTACTTTGGGCTTTTTATAAGGCCTTGAAGCTGACGCGAACACATGCCTTGCTGCTGTATCAAATAGCGACGCAAGTCCGTACCACTCGTCTTCAACGGGACCAGCTGATATGTCGCACACTGACATTGAAGAGGAAAAAAGGCCATATTTAGTATCCGACGCGGAATCTCTGGCAATCGTCCTGAGCACCCCTGAGAACGACCTGTACTTCAAATTCAGCACCAACCCTCTTCAACCCTAACTCAAATCACCTCACTCACCGGCATGATAACAGGCTGATGATTACTCGCCGCAACCATTGTACAGACTCGATAGTAGCCAACCGGCAGGCCTCCTCTGACCTGAACCGAGAAGCCACCTTCCCCACCTCCTTTCCCAAAGATAGTCTTGAAGAAGGCAACCCTGGTGGGATCAGGAGGCGCTATGTGGGCTTCCTGTCCTTCAACCATACCCTCGGTAAACCCGAACAGCTGTTGTATAGTAACATGGACGTGGCCGATGACTTTGCCGTCATGAATTGCCTGCGGTGCCGCATAGAGTGTAGAATTGGGATTCGTCACGGAGCCGGCAGCGAGATTTGCAGTCCGGAGTCTCACGAAGAATGGGGTATTGACCGTGAAGAGTTGGTTCTGGAATGGGTAGGTGATTATGGTTGAGATCATGTTTGTTTCGGCGGGGATGTCGCCCATTACTAGTGTTGAGAAAGTTTCAGTGACTGCACTGGACTTGAGCGTTGAAAGCATATGATGAAGATACTCGTACCAATTCCATTGCAGGAGCCGCCTTTGAAGGATTTGCCGTTCGTGAGGGTTCTCTGGGTGCAGTGGTTTATGAAGTTTGCGGGGTCACTGGAGTGGATGTTAGCCTGGGGAGATGAAATGTGCTCGAGTCTTCATTGTACATAGCAGAAGGGGTGTATCCGATAGAATTGTTGCTTGGAAGGCCATCGCTCTGGCTGGCGGTCTGGATGTTGTCTGTCTCAAGGACGAGCCAGCTGCGTTTTTGGTTGTCTTGGGCGGAGATGAGAGAGGCGAGGGTGACGAGAAACAGGAGCAATTTAAGGGTCATTTTGAAGAGAAGACAGGATGCTTAGTGAGATGGTTCGTTTGGAAAGCTGGATTGCTGCTGCGTTGCGGAGATGTAAAGTCGAAGTCCGAGATGGATGAGTTCCATTGAGGACTCCTAACACTCAGGACGACTTGAAACCTACAGACTGTTACGGAAGATCGAAGATGAACGGTCTGATCGAGTATTGTCGTCAGATAGACTTATCTGTCTTCTATATACACTCTTCGCTAATGCCATCTTTGTACAGAAAATCCAATCGCTATGCATGTAACGTCGTCACATCATAAACCGCGAAGCAATCCACCATGGTCTCAAATGAATACTGATCAAGTGATAGCCTTATCAGACATCAGTTGCTTGAGCTTCATGAAAGGGTTAAGCCCTCGAAATGTCCGAGAAGAAGAAGTCTGGTTTCGAGCACCAGTGTTGCTCGTCTCATTCGCACTTCGGGCCTGCACGCGCGACAGGGTATTATTCTCGGTGACGTTCTCTAGATGAGCTGATTGAGAAGCCGCACGTCGACGACCTATCGACCTGAAAGCACCCGATATCTGCGCCCGCTTGTTCGGAGTCGTAGTCGGGCGCTGAGGTTCGGAAAAAGTGACATGGGGACCGCCGGACGCCTTTAGAGGTGATGGTGCTGTATGTTCTTGCGTTGCGAAAAGGCACTTGATAAGAAGGCCATGGTGACCCAGGCAGCGACGGAGATTCGGTTGGTGGGATGATGCCTCTTGCTTCAACTTCACGACGGCCAGTTGGCCTAACACATCGGGTGCACCAAGGACAGATGCAAGGAAGCCTCTAGCAAGACCCATTGGAGGCTAGAGGGTTCGAAGACGGTGCAATAATGAGGCTGAGGAACGGTATCTCTCGAGTTTTGATTGATTTCCGACAGGATAGAGCGTGGGATGAAACCTCTTTATACTTTCTGCCATCTCCGATCGAATGGTTGACGTCAGGTCCAGCAACGCAAGATCGAATATCGATAAGATCTGGACCATCGCTGACCCACAAAATTGGCCACTCAGGGCTCTGCGATCAGTTTTATGCTTGGGACGTTGATCTACGATGATCCACCGGGTACGCTTCCGGAGCTTTGGTCTATTCTTATAGGTGGGATCAGTTCCTAGCCTTGATGGCACTCTCGTTCGCCTCCTTGGATGAGTGCTCGATCCTCTGGAGATCTCGACACTCGTGCTTGACACCGATTACTGTCGACGATACTATTCCGATTCTGAGGACTTGTCTAATCAGACTTTTCGCACTTGTCTTCATCAGTTTGTGATAGGTGCTACTTGCGTTCGCCAGAGGGGCATCATAGCAATCCGCAAAATCTGAGGGAAGTCGAATTGAGAAACCTGAACGACAATGATGCTTGGAGGCTTACGAAGACGGTCAAAGTATAATGACAGTGCGCAATCTACTTCCGATGCCATGTGCTTCTGGCTCAAGCGAACATGTACTGGCCGGAACGAGATACAGTGGGACTGCATGCATTACGCAACACTCCAGAAAAGGCTCACAGTGATGATGTCAAGTCACGCGTGCCCGTTCCGCATCAGGAACTCTGAGTGGTAGCCAATGAGCAAACTATGATCGATTCATGGCATGTGGGGAACCGCCTGCGATCCATTTTCCATGGGACGAGCCGAGTCGGTGAAGGGGTCTAAGGCAAGTCTTGTCCTAGTGGTGCCAGACGAACACTGGCTGGTTAGGAACACTAAAATGCAGCTTAAATCCAGTCCCGTTTCATGCATGAACGCTGCAGCGGATATTGAATGGGATATCTATGTACCCTGCGCAGATGCCCCTAGACAAGTTCTTTGGTCGTCGTACATCAGTCAAGCCGGGCGCTGACTATTAGTACCTGCACCATGCAGGGAACATGATTTATGGCTAAGTCGAGGTTGATTTGTCGTCTCTTTGGATATTCTTCCAACGCTCAAGCAACACCTCGTTGGTCAGCCCTGAAGCCCTTGTACGACACGAACAACCCTAACTGCTCGAGAAGTCTAACTATACTTTCACACAGCAATCAAACCCTCGAACGATCCCGAACGAGCCCTTTTTTTGAGATGAGGGAATGTTCCGTCTCACATGCGGCGTGGAAAGTGCCTGGTGACGGAGCCAACAACATTTGACAGTTCATATATGAGGGTATTTTGTCAGTGATTCGAGGCCATACTAGATGAACTCCACTGTTCTCAAGCATGGAAATAGACCTCCTGCATATACATCACTGGTTTGTTATTCATAAATGTAGCAGCCGTGAAGGAAACTATCAGAGGTCATTCACGGATCGGATCTTGGTCTTCCCGGAGAACACACCAATTCACAAGGAAAGAAGTCCTGAGAGTCTGAGAAGATTAAGAGAGAAGGGGCACGTCTATTTATCTCTGCTCGATCCTTCTAGTGATCCTTCATTCGCAACTATCCACCACCCTTTTATCATTCTGCAGACTCTCTAAAAAAACCTACCTACACTGACCTGATCTTACCTCTCTTCCTGTGAACATCACGACTTCCAGCATGGAGATATCTCGCTGCGGTCTAGGCGTTTTAGGTGAGTTTGGCCTCACTTGAGCATCTACGTGGTGTCTAACACTCAGTGACCGGGTGCCACAGAACCCAAGTTCCACCGTCCTACCAGCCTCGAAGCTATCCAGGAGGACTTTTACAACAAAGGCGTAGCATTCATCGAGGGATGCGATGAAGAGTCTTTGACAAAGCTCGCACACCAGTTTGGGGACATTGTCCGCCCGCGCAACGAGGTCAATGGCGCTGGTATCAGCAACATTCGTTTCGCGCCCTCGTTGGCTGGAAAGGGGTATAGTTCCGAGGGTATGACCAGGTCCAGACCTTCAGGACTCTATAATTGGCATCAGCTGACAATTTTTTTTAACTGTCTAGAGCTGTACTTCCACACTGACCGCAGCGGCTGGGAACGTCCTCCCCGCATCATCATGTCTACCCTAACTAGAAAATCGACAGCTGGAGGCGAGTCCCTGCTAGCAGACACCACTCGCATCATCAAAGACGTCAAAGAGCAGGGAGACGGGCTCTACGAGCTACTCACCAGTCTGAAACACGCAAGCTTCCGCTCAGACGATGGCGTGTTTGTGCCCCGTCCTATCTTCGACGAGTCCTCGGGTCTGTTTCGCTTCCGCTTCGACGACAACATTCAGCTCTCTGCCTCGCTGGTAGTTCGCTTCCAACAGCTGTTGGACATTCTCTACCGCAATTCATTTGCAGTCGCCTTGCAGGACGGTCAGGGCTATCTGCTGGATAATCACCGGTTCCTGCACGGACGTACTTCATTCACTGGCGCGCGGGAGATGCTCAGAGCTCTCGTTAATCTTTCGCCCCCAGTGCCCGTTGTTACCGTCTTGTTCGACATTGACGGAACCCTCTGCCGCTCTGAAGAGATGAGCGTCGATGCGTATTACTCTTGCATCAGCGATATCGTTGGCAAGCCGATCAGCCACGCGAATACTACCGTGAATCTACACGGAAGGACAGATCTAGGTCTGCTCCACGATGTCCTCGATTACCATGCCGTCGACAACAAGGCCTCCGTCATCGAACAGTTCTTTCAACTGCACCCTTCATACCTACAGAAATCCGCCGGCAAGGGCCTACTGTCCGTCCCCTGTCCTGGGGCAAAAGACACTCTGGAGTGGCTAGCAACCAGGAAGAACAACGTTAATCCCAACAGCAGTTCCCCCACCCTTCGCATTGGCCTTATGACCGGAAACTCCCGCCCAAACGCCCTCCTCAAGCTCACCGCTGCGGGAATCAGCACATCCATATTTGACCTCAGCATCTCCGCATTCGGGGACACGCACATGGACCGTCTCTCTCTGATCCAAGACTCGGTGACTAAGCTCCGCGCGATAGACGGTCAGAATTTCCAGGGAAGTAAAGTCATCATCGTCGGTGATACCCCTTTGGATATCGAGTGCGCCAAGCAGGCCGGTTGCGCGGTTGTCGCTGTTGCCAGTGGTAATTACGGCATGGACGAGTTGGCAGTGCTGGAGCCGGATCATGCTTGTATGAGACTTAGTGACTCCAAGGCGTATCTTGATTCTTGTCTTGGGGCGTCGGTACAGGCGGCGTAGACGGCGCCGGTGTCTATGGTTGGCGGATAGGGGGTGTTTCATTCGACCAGGCCGTACACAAACCCTACATGACTTTTCGAAAGGAAAGAAAGCCGGTCAGTTAACTCGCGACTTTAGTTATGCATTGCATATTATTATTACAATTCTTGAATTTCTAGTCCGAGACCCTAACAATACAGCTTCTTACCTTCTCACTTTCTATTCCTACTCACGTATCCCTTAGCGTCCATCATCAATGACACATTCCGTCGAATTCTTCAGCTCCCAATATCATGGTACACAGGCTCATCAGGGCAGGCTGGCTGCTGGGCTCGAGCTGATTGAAGCCAATTTCATAGATGAACATGGGGCCAAAAAGCACTAATCTGGCTGCAGCAGTCCCATTTTTACGACTTTTTTGAAAAGGACCGAAAGGTCGTAATTGCTCTACATGTAGTCAACAAACGAAAAACTGTAGTCTATTTGTCATATCGGCAACTGTAGTCTGGGCTGGCACTTGGCAGTAAAAGCAACGATATACAATTATAGGAATGGGCGCAGGGCGTCCATCGGACGGCCTTAGGACGGCCTACCATAAGGATCAGTGTGATAATGTCACAAGGACCGCTTCCCCAGCCCCTACTAGCACCTCTTCATTGTCATCTACAGACTGGCCGGCAAATGTGATATTCCCGGCGATCTCAACGCCCGGGCTTGTCAGTCGCTTGACACTCGCGCCAGAGAATGCGCGGTTCGGCAATTTGAATGCCGTCTATGGTCTTTTAGCCGTCGGTAGTGTGGAGATCCAGACACCGAGCCTGAGAATGGCAACCGGCTTCAACGAGGACGATGTCCTGCTGGACCCGGAATTTGTGTTTGTGCTGTAGATGGCGTATACTGCAAGCGAAGTCTCGTTGACCAGAGCCAAACCTGCTTGTTTCCTCCCGATAGAGCGGCCGCTGTAAACCAGTTTCCGTAATAGAGTGGTTTCACGTGTGCGGCAGTTCCATTAGACTCTACTGGCTGCCAGACGCTATACCGATACGAGTGCCCATGTGGTAGTATATACGGGATATGCTCAGACAGGCGGCATAGAACGTGAAGTCCACAGACCACAGGGCCGCGGCATAGACGTCCGACACATCGCGAGGCCTTGGTATGAGACCGAATTCGTTTCGCCCAGAACATAGGCGGCCCCGGTGTAGTTGCCGAGATAGTCATGGCAGTACATCAAAGATGTCACGTGGTGATGGGTGAGCAAGTTGTCCTCGATAGTTGCATCGGTTGCCCCGTCACACGCTGATTCTATGTACTGTTGTTGGCTTTAGTACCAATCTCGAGGCCAAGAGGAGGGAAATGAATGGCAAAGAAGAGAGGTAAATGGATATTGCGTACATCATGATCGACGACCTTTTTCACCATGTTTATAGTGTCCAATCCCAGCTCCAGCGCATTTTCCACATTACAAGACGGAGTTGCGTTGAACCCTAAATTTCGGGGTGCCTGAAATGCACCCCCTTGGAAAAGCGGCTCCGTGCCATCGTTGGTAGCGTCACTGATGATAGACTGTTTCACAATCGCCGCAGCGTACTCCTTGAACCAGCATAGCTGGCGACGGTCCAATTGCAGTCACGGTGGCTGCTGCATTGAAATCCTGCCGACGCAATATCAGGATATGGCTCAAGCTATATTAGGATATGAACATACAGTCTTTCCTTCCGGTGGCGCGGGAATAACTGAATGATTCCTGGTATAAGCAAATGCACAGTAGTACATGAATGTTGTCTCGTCCTTGTCTTCAAACTCAAGGGTAACTTAACTCCCTTGGTTTCAGCTCCGAGATCGTCAATCAATCTGCTCACCTCAGATGCATGATTGGTCATCAGAAGCCGGTTCACACGATATCGATGCAGTGAAGCTGCATCTTCGCTGTGCCGCAGGTCTGTCAGGTTGCCTAGCTATCGCTCTTTTGAGTTCGAGCTGTTGGTGACTGGAATGGATCATTATCGCGTATATTATCTTTTCAGTGGAACTTGAAGGCCCGATGAGGATGGCTGCCGGTTATTGCCTGGGTTTGGTTGTGTTTTCGAACAAAGTCTTTCCGGTCGGGGTAGTTGTGGAGGAGATGAGAGCAAAGCGCCCCTCTGGGAAACAATTCCATTCCCCGCATTAGCGACAACCATCTGGGAATATGCTATTTACTCCATTGCAATGCGAATTACGCGCGGCATCGGAGCGGTCGATGGGTTCACCACGAGTACGGATGGCCATGTCATCATCCGATGTAACCCTGACTCCTACTCCTCTTGATTCTCAACATCTCAGTCGCTGCTGACTTCGACCTTGGGGTATTGCGCGATCGATCTGGCCTTGGTTTCCCGCTTGGTTGGAAGTCGGTGGGTACTCCGTAGAGTTCATTCCTTCCCCGGTTAGGTTCAGAAATCCCATCCCGAGAGGAAGTAGCATTCCAGCCATGGCCCAATGCAACCTTGTGTTTGCTTATATTTGGCAGTTGGGGGCTTCGCTCCCCGGCTCACGGGTGGCACCATTTGTCATTGTGGTTGCTGTACTCCTTCTTTACTCCGTTCGGGTTTCGACATGGTTTTGACTGAGTCCTAATGTGAAGATATTCCTTATCGCCGGGCATGTTTTGCTCACCGGCCTTCTGTATGGGTTCGATACCAGTATGTCTCCTGCTCTCCCGAGCAAGCGACAGTTGAGTTGATAGAAGATTGAGGCTCAATCGGTGTCATCACCCAGATGACCCAATTCACAAACTCAATGGGCCGCCTGACCTCAACCCAGCAGGGAATATACGTCGCCAGCATCCTTCTCTCGTCGTCCGTCTCCTCGCTAGCCAGTGGACACATTTCCGACCGAATCTCACGCAAATACGGCATCCTGCCTGGCGGAATCATCAGTCTAATCGGGACAATAATATCAGCAGCCTCGCCCAACTTTGCCTCTCTCATCGTTGCCCGCCTTGTCACCGGGGTTGGGATAGGTCAAGCTATCTCAGTGACCACTGTGTATCTTATAGAGATGGCGCCCGTGGGAATCCGTGGTGTCGCTGCATGTTTTCTGCAGACGTACGTGGTGCTAGGGATTATGGTGGGGTATTTTATTGCGTTTGGGGCGCATAATATCACTGGCAGCTGGGCGTGGAGGGTGCCGTTTGTTGTTCAGGCGGTTGTGGCGGCTGTTTTGTGTGTGGGAATGGGAGTTGTGCCGTTTTCGCCGCGGTGGCTTGTGCAGGTTGGAAGAGCGGATGATGCGAGGAGGGCATTAAGTAAAGTGAGGCCTCTGACAGATGTCGAGAAGGAGTTGGAGGAGATCCAGCAGAGTTTGGATCCAGAAAAACAGCAGCAGACGGCGAGTATCAGGGAAATTTTCAATCGGAAGTACAGGGGTCGGACAGCACTGGGAATCTTCTTGATGGCTTTTCAGCAGCTGACTGGCGTAAGGTTGGCGCTCTTTTTTGGAGATCCCAGGCTAATGTCCCATAGATTGACGTTGTCTTATATTATGCGCCGATTCTATTTCGACAAGCTGGATTCACATCCCAAAGAGCTTCATTCCTGTCTTCTGGCGTGACCGGCATCGTCATGTTGGTATGCACCATCCCCGCTCAGATCTGGGTTGACCAGTGGGGTCGGCGCAAGCCGTTGATCTATGGAGGGGCTCTGATGGCAGTCTGCTTCCTTATTATCGGCTCACTCTACGCTCGATACGGCCATACAACTTCGGATGAAGTACGCCTTGACTCGGACTCTGCTCAATGGGTTGTGATCGTTCTGATCTATATTTTCGTGGCCAACTTCTCGTGGTCGTGGGCAGTGGTAAGTGCACCTTTGTCTCCAGCAGGACTGTCACTGACGCCACCGGCTCATTACGGTGTACAACGTAGGTTGGGAAGATCTATGCGTCGGAAATTATCCCGACGAGGCTCCGGGCAAAGGTTTGCGCTGTCGAGCTTGTTGCCAACTGGGTAGTGAACTTCATCGTCACCTTTACAGCACCGTTATTCTTGCAATCCTCGTCAAGTGGGCCATACTTCCTGTACGGATTCTCGACGGTGGTAGCAGTGGTCGTCTGTGTTCTGATGCCGGAGACCAAGGGCCATAGCCTGGAGTATATTGAGAGATTGTTTGAGAACAAAGAAAGTCATGAAGAGTCGAGGCCTTCGATTCTGTCGGGATCGGCATGATTAATTTGACATTCGGAAATGATTTGCTGCCTGGGAAGGGACAGATTCCTGTTTGATATTACCTTATTACGTCGCTTCAGGTGAAGCATGGATGACATAACATGATGTCTCTCCACGGCGAAGAGGCTTCAAGCCTAAAGGGAGGAAGTTATTCTACTTTCAACCGCCGCTCAGGACTGGGGTATCACCTCTAGGATCTTGATAAGCCGGGGTCATGTCTGACATTCAACGGTCAAATATGAGATGTCGATCGTAGAATGTGAGCGACCACTTATCGTTCAATTTCGTCGTAAATTGAGACGTTGAGCTCGAATTCGACGCTGTTTTGCGCTTCGGGTTTTCGCGGCTTTTCCGGCAGCATGGATAAATCCAAACCATAAATTTCTGGGCGTTTCACGTTCTAAAATGATCAACGGTGGCTATTTTAGTGCGAGCTGAAGCTGGGTGCCTCCTCATTTAGGGATGAAGTAATGCACCCTGCACATTGCATATTCTCGCAGCCGAAGGAAGGGATAGTAGGTACTTTTGCTTAACCACCCTCCAGTCTGCTTTTTGAGAAGGCATTGCGAGACAGTGGTCTTGCGGAGAATGAGACTTGCTTAACTCCGCGCTGGACCATCATCAATGCAGCGATAGCAACGACAAAAAAACTCGATTTCACTGGTCGAATCGAGGAAAGGGATCGACAGGGTGCTTGATACTTTCCCAGAAAAGGCATCAAGTATCAACGCTCGCATGACTATTACTAGCGAACTCCAGTCTACAAGCTGGCGGGCTGAAGAACTGAGAAGTCGAGTCCCGAGTCTTTGAGGCTGTGAATTGGCTCTCGCCATGCGACCCACAGATCTGTCGGTAGGCAGAGACTTCCCCCTTCGCTCATACCGGTAGGTCAATGTTGCATAAGACTTCTGCCCTCTTACGGCATTGTGCAGGTATCGATCCACTGGTTTCAGCTCCCGCATGATCAATCAAGCAGAAGAGTCAAACCTCAAGGGCAAATTGGTCAAAAAGAAGCGATGGCAAGAGGGCGAAGATGGGAGGCAAAGTTCTGAAATTCTGCAGGCTGGAAGCTGACTGCGCGGCGAAAGATTGAGACCGCTGACGAGCCGTGAGCCGTGGCCAGTGACCACCATCCAAATCCTGCCTCCAAGATCACGGATACAAAGCGACTCAGGGAGGCGGAAAGCATGGACTCAAAATCCAGCCGTGGCCAGCCCGTTAACCCTTGAGCCGTCCCACAGCGAGCACCCCAATTATCGGTCGCGCTACTCGTAGACACACGATCTTTGCCTGTTCCGTGCTAGCAAGATCGTTGGAGCTTCGGGACTCGTAGTCGACCCAGCTCACTGGAGCCGGAAGTCGTTACGCAAATCCGGTTGATGCATCGAATTCGAACGGGGAAATTCGAACCTCGGGGGAATATGAGTCGGGATATTGTTTGCTGTCGTGCGCCCGCGCTGGTTGTTGAGAGATCTGATCGGGACGCTGGCTTTTGTTAGCAGACGAATTCAGGAACCAGGAACAGAACCACGACCAGGAACGAGGGGGATTTTCCGACCACTCTGCGTAGCCGAGCTTGACCGTGGGGACGAGAATCAACAAGCGATAAATGGCGCGTGGGAGAGGCAGTGCTGATCCACCGAGAGCGAGTGAGGCCATCCAGAGCACCGGGAGTCCAAGACCCAACGCGAGTTGATCCTTCCGTGGCAGCCGTGCCACTCACACACCTGGAAGCATCCTGAAGGAGACGCTAAAGAGCCACCAACGTTGTGCCGCGGAGCCCAGACTCTCGCATCCTGTCGTTTTCTCTGCTTATCCCTGATGCAGTAAAAATCTGCCCACTGGGGATGGCTTAATTTGGAGGCGCGGATTTGATTAAAGAACGTTCGAGATGACGACTCCTCCACTGTCGCCTTTGTCTCTGCTTTTCTGATCTTTTCCTCGCTCACTCTCCCTCTCTCCCTCACCTCACCTTCCTTTGTTGTGTGCCTTGACCGCGAAATTTACCTAAATTCTGCTTCCAACTCTCTCGTTTCGACTGCTCTGCTCTTCGAAGAAAAAGAGCCTCTGCTTCTCTCCTTGTCCCAGTGACACCAATCGCAGAATTTACTCCCTGTTTGCTTTGAGAGTGAACCTTTCTACCACCAACTTTTTGCCCTTCGTGCGACTCGATCCACACGTCTCCATCCGTGCTTCGGATCTATCAGTCGATCATTCATCATCGTCAGCTCTTTCTTCCGCCGTCGAGTCGGAAATTCAGACGTCAGAACTCAAAAAACAAAGAAAGTCTTAAGCTTTGTCTTCTTTGACAGCTCGAAGCTGTTTTCCACTGGTAGCCACCAAACGGACCCAAACTCCCGGACCCAGACATTTTCGTTCCACTTCCCGCCGCAACGTTTGCTTCCCCCTCACGCAGAAGAAATCAAAGGGATACTCTCCTTCTCTCCCTGCCGAGCGCGCTGGTTGTTTCGATCTTTTTCTGACCGCTGCCATTGGAGCTCCCATTCTCGAGGTGCAGATTCGTGCTATGGAGGGACATGTTACACTCAATTGATGCCAGCCGTCACTGCGAACACGTCCCCGTCTCTTTGATTGTCCTGCACCTCAATCACGTCGTACACACAAACCTGGCGACCTCTCCTCTTCTTGGTTAATCCAGCTGGACAGCCTCTGTTATACCGTATCTACCTTCGTAACCACTATTCTCTAGAGTCTGAGCCTCGCCCGCATACCTTCAACCTCCTCCGACAACTTTCCTTGGCCTTTCGTGGTACACGCATCATTAGAGCAATGGCGCATTCAGAAGAACAGCTGAATGCCCCCGATGGCTCTGCACTTACCTGGATCTTTGACCATATCCTGCGGTATCCAGGCACCTATGAACTTCCCCTGCGCACAATGTACACATTGAACTGCAACCCTACGAGACAGCCGACATCGAATAGTATTCCCGAGACAGCGTTTGCACGTCGTCCGGCTTCTCCCAAGTCCTCCGCCGCCGAGGATTTCAGAGCCCAATTGACCCATCAAATCTCCCGACTGCCCTCCCAGCCATGCTCATTACCGCCGAGCTTCATCACTTCGTTCCTGCGACGTTGTTTCGCTCCCCAACTGGAAGAAGTCGATTTCCCCCAAGCCTTGACTGGTTTGGACTACCTCAGAGACCTCGAAACAAGGCGAAAGAAAGAAATCGCAGCAGCACTTCAAAGACTCGGCGTAGAGCCGAATGATCTCCAACCGAATTCCGAATTCTCCAGAAAATTCCCCGGCGTCGTCGCTTGGTTCGAGTCGATCAACATCAAGGGCCGCAAGGTGGAAGCTCTCTACACAGAAATCTACCTTGGACTCCGCCGATGGGTATGCCTTGTCTCTTGACACTTTGGTCTACACCTCGCTAACCTCTGTTTAGACCTTGTTGAACGAAATGCTCATGGAACCGCTCAATAAAGCGAACTGCATCGCCTACCTCAACACCCTCTTTCCACCCGTCACCAACGCCACCGTTACCCCCACTTCACACCTTACCCCGCAGATCCTGAGATCACAGCGTGACAACTATTTTCGATACATATCCGCTATCGAGACCAATGGCAAGCAAGTCCTCGACAGTGTTATCGCGCGGGGCGCACCCGAGGGCGAAAGCACCGGCTGGCCTCTGGTGCGCGACGCACTAGACAAGTACCTCCGCATCGCCAACGAGATAATCGATGAATGCGCAATGGTCAATGGCCCAGCCAGTCTCGACGACGGCACGGGCCCCACCACTCGAGGACACAAGGGCCGGAAGGCTGACTCTGGCATCAGCTTTGGGTCAGTGGGCGAACTTTCAACCACCCCTTCCATCACGAGTAACAATAGCTCCGAAGACGTTTCTGAGAAACCGCTGCCGCCTTCCCCAAGAGGGACACAGACCAGAGGTGGCTCCACGCTTGAGCGGCTGGCCCGCGAGCTTCGCAAAGTCAAACTCGGTGATGGTGGCAAGGCGAAAGGTCTGAGAAAGATGAAGTCCACAAATACGCTCGGCCGCTCAGAAACGATGGCCAGCACGGACGAGATATCCTTTTTTGAGCTCGATGAGCAGAAACGCAAGCGACTCCTCTGGGCGCACTCAAAGCAGTCCAGCGGGAGCTCATCACGTTTTGATTAGTCCAGCCGCAGGTTGGCATTTCTTGACAAAAGCAAAACAAAAGTCTGGAGTTTTACATTGCGCCATAGAGTTGGCTTTGATCGCTTTCTCTTCGCCGAGGGCAGATACCCCTAGCCTTGACTCGACTCTGGGTCATGTATGTCCTTCGCCTTGTTGTTACTACTACTGTCATTCCATCGTCCCGTTGAAGCCGGGCGAGCAGCGATGGATGGTTATTTTGTGGTTCTACCCGCCGTATCGGTATCTACTTGGGTTGTTGGTGTATTGGGAAGATCAGATCTGGTGTCATTTCTGGCGCAAAAGGCTACTGTACCTAAAACTTGAACAAATATGCTTGAAGCATTACCTTCTACACTACTCCTGTCTGTCACATGCTGATGGGTATCAATGTCTTATGATAACGTAGCGTTATTCTGAATTCAATGGATTTCTTGTCATCAAGTTAAGTAGTATTTGGCGAGTCGGGTTTAGGCTTCCGTACACCGGGATATATATTATTGTCACCAAATCAAGCAGCCAACCTGGTACCCATGGAAATACATTCGGACCTAGTGGTGCAGGTTTTGAGTTTTAATTCTTGTAGCCCTATAGAGAAGTTGTCTGGGACATCCGGGATGGAAGCAAAAAAAAAAAAAAAAAAAAAAAAAGGAATCGACACCTGTGAGAATCACGCTCCCGAAGGCGTCTGCATCTCAGTAAGATTAAAGAACCCTGTTATCATTTGCCGGAAACCTTGTTCCAGGTCTATGTACCCAGCTTAGAGTTGCACATCACCGCTTGAGTCTAGACATTCGATTCAGTCAACTGCCATGTGACGCGGGGGTCCTGCGTATCTGGCCGCTGCGCCGACCGTAGTAGCTCTGGAAATGTGGCCTGAAACGCCCTCACCTGCTTGACACCATCGACTCAAAGATCATTATTATTCTGACGTTGATCAGCTCCTTGTGTATCATCATTTTGGTCAATGCCGGATAGTGTTTGTTGAAGATTTCCTCGCGCCGTGATGCTATCGACCTGAACGCCGCACTCCGCTATCCATCGCGTGGCCCCATCTCCAGTACAACCGACCATCGAATTGAGCAAATCCGTCAAGCGGGCAGCCGAAATGCTCCAGAACCCAGGGCATGTTGCCTCGTGGCGATTATCGTACGCGGTAATCACCGCTCTCCTAGCGAGTGTTGTACACTCGAGCCCCTCCGTCAATGTTGCACTCCAAGCTTCATTCGACTCCGCCCCATACCTCGTGGAACTACTGTGAGTGAGCCCTTGGCTAGTCGAGCTGGAGCAATTCGATTACTCACAGAAACCAGTGAAGTTGCAGCCGAAGAAAACCCAACGTCATATTTCCCGTTACTTGACCGTCTCGCCGAAGGAGCCTTTGACGACGCCGTGACGGACAAAGAACTATACGACCGCTTCTTGCAGGTTGCAGTCGACGACGGACACCTCGCCAACCCAGAGAGCCTTTCGTCTTTTAAACTATCGCTATCGATCCGATCTGCCAGTCCGCGAATCGCCGCCCACTACCAGTTCTATAATGCCTCGGTACAGCATTCGCTTATGGCGGCGCAGGATGCTGCCTGTCCGGTCTGGGTACACTCGGATGGAAAGCAGTACTGCTCTTCTACGATGGAGCGAGCGCAGCAGGACGTGCTAGGGGAGCTGTATGTTGCGACTTTGCCCGGTTGGCTCCTTAGTTGCTGATTACTCTATAGGGACGGACAAGAGCTACCCTTTGACCGAATCATGGGACACGGCTCGTTGCCTCCGGCGATTCTATATGCTGATGTGGCTTCTCCAATGTTTAGGGATTTCCACCAGACGCTCAGTGCCCTTGCAAAGGAGGGAGAGATCTCGTATCGGGTTCGGTATCGGCCGCCTCAGCACTGGAGCTCGCGCCCTCTCTTTGTCTCTGGTTATGGTGTTGAATTGGCTTTGAAGCGCACAGATTATATCGTCATTGACGACCGTGATGCTGAACAGAGAGACTCAAGCGGCGAAGCTACGTTGGCGGAAACGGAAGAATCACCAGATGACCTCCGACCGCTATCATCGTCAGAAGTGGCCCGCCTTGGATATAACACAGTCGGCTTCGTCGCAGATAGCGCCGACCCGCTCGACACACTTGTGAAGCTGTCTCAGGACTTTCCTAAATACTCTTCGACAATTGCTGCGCACAACGCGAGCGTGGAACTACTGCAAGAAATCCGCACTAACCGCCTAGAAATGCTTCCCTCCGGGGCTAATGCGTTGTGGATAAACGGTGTCCAGATTGATCCCCGACAGATAGATGCTTTCTCACTTGTTGACCACCTCCGCCGCGAAAGAAGGTTAATCGAAAGTTTCCGAAGCCTAGGTCTTTCTGCGCAGGAGGCTGTTGCTCTTCTGGCACATGAGACCGTTGCAGAATCGGCGGCGCAGGACACGCCTCAGCGGTATGATTACCGCGACGAGATCGAAGGTGGCGGCGTTATTATCTGGTTGAACGACCTCGAAAAGGACGCAAAGTACGAGTCCTGGCCCGCTGATCTAGCAGCGGTAAGATCTGTATTTCCATTTTGGTGCACTAAACTGACGGCTGTAGTACCTTCGACGGACGTACCCTGGCCAGCTTCCGGCTGTGCGCCGCGACCTGAACAACATCGTGTTTCCTATTGACCTTTCCAGCCCTCAAGATGTGGATTTGGTTACGACTACAATTCAAGTCTTCGTGAAGAGAAAAATACCCGTGAAATTTGGCGTTGTTCCCACGTCTTACTCGCCAGGCTCGACAGCTCAACTAAAGGTGGCTCACTATCTGCAAGAAACATATGGTTTGGCCAGTCTCATGGCTTATCTAGAAGAGGTACGTTCCTTTGCTGCTAAATCAGCTTCCGTTCCTAATGTGAGTAGAGTGCTAGAAAAGGCAAGCTGGCGACTCCGGATAAAGCCACCTTCTTGGCCGCCACGCAAGGCCGGACAACTAGAGCAGAGAAACAAGCCCTTTCGCTAGATGAGGTTCTAAGCAGCGAAGAACTTGCTTCTTTAGTCTCTCGTACAATACACTACCAAGACCGCCTTGGTATCAAGAGTGACGCTTCCGTTACGCTCGTCAATGGTATCCCAATCAGTCGCGGTGAAAACTGGCCTCAGGAAATGAGCGCGAAGATTGATAAAGACCTGCGCGTGATTCAGCAAGGCATCATCGAGGGACAGTTTGAAGAAGAGACCTGGCTACCTGGGCTCTTCCTTGCTCAGGCATTTGCTCGACGAGTGCCGTGGATCATTCCGGAGGACCCCAAGGACGTCAAGCTCGTTGATTTGACCAAGGTCTCGAAATTGCTGGATGGAGTGCCTCGAATTGCGTCTCAAGTTGAGCCGCTAGAAAGCGTTCATATGATTGTGATAGGAGATTTTGACTCTGAGGCTGGGTTGAAATTGCTTACCTCCGCGCTTGACCTCCGGGAGAAGCAGGCGAAGACTGAGATTCTGTTCCTCCATAATCCGGATGAGCTCTCAGAACAAAAAGCGTCGGCAGTTGTATATCGTGCCCTGAATGGCAAGAAGGAAGTCAACGCCGAGCAATTGTTGACCGAGGTTACATCTGCTCCTTCAGAGGAAGCACCAGAAGCGTCCGACTTTTGGACAAGACTCCAGCCGTTGGTCGAGACGCTGGGTCTCTCTCCCGGAGAGACTGGAATTGTCGTCAACGGCCGGGTTGCCAAACCCACTCAGGACGTGACACCAGAAGACTTTGGCCAGCTTTTCCTCTACGAGGACATCAACCGGATTGGCCCTGTCACAAAAGCGGCCAAAGACTTGTCGCTTACCTCCAAGGTGTCCGATCCGCTTTCTTTCGCGAAGCTGACATCGCTAGTTGCCCTGTCGACCGTCTCGGATGTCCCTGAAGGCCTTTTCGAAACGTCGTCCGACGTACGAGTTGACTTTTACAAGAACTGGACCGGCTCTGGTTCAATTATTACTGTTGCAGGCTCTGATGACCCTGCAATCACCATCGCGGCGTCCATTGACCCCACGTCCGAGCATGCCCAAAGATGGTTGCCCATCCTGAAAGTACTCTCAAGTCTAGACGGTGTCACGCTCAAGCTCCTTATGAATCCCCGGGATGAGCTACGCGAGCTTCCCATCAAACGGTTCTACCGTTATGTTCTCGACCCAGAGCCTTCATTCGGTGACGAGGGCTCTGTTCTGCGTCCCACAGCTACATTCTCTGGAGTCCCGGTCGAAGCACTTCTCACACTTGGTATGGATGTTCCGCCGTCGTGGCTTGTCGCACCACAGGATTCGATTCATGACCTCGACAACATCAAGTTGGGCTCAGTGAAAGGATCCAATGTAGACGCTGTGTACGCCCTAGAGCACATCCTGATTGAAGGACATTCGCGTGACTTGACCACGAAATCCCCTCCCCGAGGCGTCCAGCTTGTTCTCGGAACGGAAGACAACCCATACTTTGCCGATACAATCGTCATGGCCAATCTTGGCTATTTCCAGTTCAAAGCGCAGCCAGGACTGTGGAATATTAATCTCAAGCCAGGCCGGAGTGAACGCATCTTCAACCTCGACAGCCTGGGCATATTGGGTTACTCTCCTCAGCCCGGCGACGACAGCAACCAAGTCGCACTCCTCTCCTTCCAGGGCAAGACTCTCTTCCCTCGGCTCTCACGAAAGAAGGGCCAAGAAAACGAAGACGTCCTTGAGACCGGGTCAAAGCCTGGATCAGCCACAAACTTCCTCTCCAAGGGCCTCAACTTTGCTTCGGGCGTCCTATCCAGCGTCGGCGTCAACTCTAAGAACTTGGAAGAGCATGCCGACATTAACATCTTCTCTGTCGCCAGCGGCCACCTCTACGAGCGCATGCTCAACATCATGATGGTCTCGGTCATGCGCAATACCAAACACACGGTCAAATTCTGGTTCATCGAGCAATTCCTCTCCCCCTCGTTCAAATCCTTCCTGCCCCACCTCGCCGCCGAATACGGCTTCACCTACGAAATGGTCACCTACAAATGGCCGCATTGGCTGCGCGCACAAAAGGAAAAACAACGTGAGATCTGGGGGTACAAGATCCTTTTCTTGGACGTGCTCTTCCCGCTCTCCCTCGACAAAGTCATCTTCGTTGACGCCGACCAAATCGTCCGCACAGACATGCATGATCTCGTCACGCTGGACCTCGAGGGCGCCCCCTACGGGTTCACACCCATGTGCGATTCCCGCGAGGAAATGGAGGGCTTCCGCTTCTGGAAGCAGGGGTACTGGAAGAACTTCCTCCGCGGTCTACCCTACCACATCTCCGCGCTGTACGTCGTCGACCTCAATGCCTTCCGCGCAATGGCCGCAGGTGATCGGCTTCGCGGGCAGTACCAGATGCTCTCGGCGGACAAGAACAGCCTGAGTAACTTGGACCAGGACCTGCCGAACCACATGCAGCATCATATTCCGATCAAGAGTCTGCCGCAGGAGTGGCTGTGGTGCGAGACTTGGTGCTCGGATGAGGCGCTCGGGCAGGCGAGGACGATCGATCTGTGTAATAATCCGCAGACCAAGGAGCCGAAGCTGGAGAGGGCGAGGAGGCAGGTTCCGGAGTGGACGGAGTATGATAGGGAGATTGCGGAGCTGGCGAGGAAGGTTCAGGGTGCTGGGGAGGAAGTCATCGAAGACGTTCCTGTAGAAGAAGAAGAGGAGGAGGAGGAGGAGGAGGAAACAGCTGCCGAGTGGAAGAAGGATGAGCTTTGATTGTCATTGCAAACTAGCTTGGATGAAGTATAATGTATTGCCTATCATATATCTAGACTAAGCAAATGAACTTGGCCCTTGTTATAGGATTGTCGAGTAAAGCAGCGCTCCTCAAGCTCGATCGCCTTTTTTGCTGACATTGAAAGGGAGTACAGTGGAATCTAGGCAGGAAGCACGCACCTGCCAGATTTAGGAGAGCAAGGACAGATCTCCTTGGGAAGGTGCGATCAATGATGGTGACCATACATGGAAGGTACGATGGCCGCTCCTTCCTCCAGAACTACCTACAACTCCAGGAAGGTGCGACCCAGTGCACAGAGGAAATAGCATAGGGGTATCTAGCAGAGCTATGCCGAGGGGCAGCAATCGCGCAGTACCCTCTACTCTTCCAGACTATACACATCAACACGCCAACTCATACCTTGTCGTCACTGCCGGCTTCTCCTCCAGCTCTGCAAGACGCACCATCTTTACCTGCTCCCCAGAGTCAAGCTCAGCCTTTTGCTGCCCGCCGGCGTCAAGTTCAACCTTCTCGCTCTCAGCTCCAAGCTCGGCTTTTCCATGTCCTCGCTCAACAGCCTCCATCTCAACCGGATCCTTTACTCCTCCATTACCTGAACCTTCATCACCATTCTGATCTTCACTAGCAGCAGCCTTTTCCATCTCCCTCCTCTTCCTCTTCCTCCGTCGCCGAATCAAAAACACCACCCCGAATATCGCCGCCGACATCCCCATCCCCAATCCGACCCCAATCCCAATCTTCGCCTCGGTCGAGAGCTTCGAGTCCTCCTCGTCAACGACCTCGTTCTCCCCACCAAGTAAACTCACCCCGTCGACCCGACCTAACTCTACTTCCTCAGAATCATCATAATCACCATCCCGATAATTCAGCACAAACCCTACCGCCGCCGTCTCCCCCGGCGCAACAGACGTGATGATCCCCGCAGGCAACGTCGTCAAGCTCAGACTCGCCGCGGCATTCACTGTAACGTGTGCCTCGAGGGTGCCAGAAGTCGTGTACCCGATTTCAATTGTGAGTGGGTTCGTGTTGAGGTCTGTGTCTGTGTAGGCCCAGCGGAGGGTTATGGGGTCTGTTGCTAGGAGGGCAGCTGAGGGGGTTGGGGCGAGGAGGGTGAAGTTTGGTGGGTGTGTGGGTGTTGCATTGTTGGTAGGGTCTGTGGTTGTTAGAGGTGGACAGGTGGATTGATAGGGAGGGAAGGGGAGGGGTTATGAGACGCACCTTGTGCGAGAACGAGTTGAAGGAGGGAGGTGGAGAGGAGGAAACCTCCTGAGGCGCGCATGTTGCCAGTATGTTCGTAAGCGTATTGGCTGTGGACACAACGGTCAACTCAAGGGGATCCTGTTCCTCGAAAAAGCATCAATATCTCGCGCAAAGCGCCCTAGAAAAGCCCCCTTTCTTTGTGGCTGTTCGACTCCTCTCACAAAATGGTATGAAGAAGAAGAAGAACCAAACGCCGTTGTTGAAAACAGGGGAAATAATAATTTTTGCCTCGCACCGTCGCTCAATTCCACATCTAGATAGTTGGAGTACCATCCAGAAAGGGTCCAGCGTTGCTGTACTTGAGGGCCAACGGGCCCTTGGCAGGCAAACTAAGGGAGAACTAAGCCCTGGCTGGCGTTGGGAACTGAGCAGATTGCCGCTGGAATTGATGGGGATTGGGCGGCTCGTAAGCGTAAGCGTATCGAGGCTACGTAGTGCCATTCCGGAGTAAATTGATAGAGGAGCTTGAGCGACATTAGGCGTGCCGTTTGGCTCCAACGAAGACAGCAGATGCAATGAAGGTAGCAACCTATTATTCAACTACATTGGGTGCTGTAATGACGCGGGGTTTGCTGCATATTTAACCAAGATCCCAACCCTAATCTCGATAACGGATCCTGGGGTTTGTAGATAGACCCCATTAAAATCCATCATGAGAGATTAGAGCGTTCTCCATCCTCCAGCCCTAGCCCACACTCAATGTAAGGAGCAGTCCAGATTAAGCAACCATCGAAGCGACAAGCAGCACAATACTCCCAAACCCATCCATCCCCTCACACCACTCTTCCCAGCCCACCTCGGTCCGCACCAACGATTTCCCGTTTTCACTCGTAGAAACTTGCAGGAGGAGGTCCTCGTGTCGGGTTAAGACCTTTCCTCTTGCTTTTCCCCTTCCCTTTCTCCTACTAGTAGTATCTTGGGAGCTATCTTTGTCTCCATTTCTATCATCAACCCCCTCACCATCCTCTTGGTCCTGGTTCTGGTCCCGGTGAACCTCAAATTTAATCAGTTCCCCACTATCAACCAACCCAAACACCGTCTGGCCCTTTGGATCCCTATCAACTTCTCGCTTCCACGCCGCGGCATCCAATGCCTCCCAGAGCTGTTTCTTTGCCGGGAGCGGTGCGAAGACCAGGTCCTTGGGTAGGTCGCATCGCGCCGCTGGCTCGAAGTACACAAGGATGTTTATTATGCGGTAGATTACTGCAAGTCTGGTTCTTGTCAGTACTTTGGTAGGTTGTAGGATTATCAGACGGGGAGTAAGTGAATAGATCTACCTTCTTCGCGATTCTTCGAAAACCCATTCCTTCCACGCGGTATCAATCTCAGCCGGGGATTGCGACTCGGTATAGGGTTGGGGCGGAGGATGCAAGGAATCGAGAGAATCCCAGGTGATTTGCTTCGCGAGGACAGTCACTGTGGCAAGGAGGAGAAAGTCGAGGTTGTTATACTCTGTTTCGCCCTCATCGATCCGGAGTAGAATGTAGAATGCGACGGCTTGCATTGCGCTGAGAAGCTGACTGCGGTCTAGTTTAGAGTACTGTTGTTCGATATCATTAGCTTTAGCTCGAGCTCAAGATCAACGAGCCACTGCTCGGGAACGAGACAAAACAGATAGAAGAAGAAGAGTCGTACCTCAGCACATAACCATTCACATTCACCTCGAACATTACCCCAGAACAATGCTTGGCCTGTAGTACCCTTGCTAGATGGTTTCCGGATCCAGTCGATGCACCTTGTTAATGGGCTCGTGCGGTTGTTAGGGCTATCGCTCTTGCTGAGGTCAGCTGGTCCAGAAAGCGGATGGATAAACGGTGGCAGCGTGTCATGTCGCAGATGTCCGAGATAGGACTTCAGCGTGTGCTGTATGAGCGCTGTGGCTCTCTGTGCGCCCCGTTTGGGTGTTGGGCGCGGGACGAGGAGGCGGGGGAGGGTGGTTATAGCAGGCGGGAGTGGCGTATTCTGCTGCATCTCCGGGGGCCGTTGAATTGTCTCGGGAGATACTTGGACAGGTATTGATGAACTCGAGCTTGGTGACGGGTATTGAATATCCTTAGCAGCCATAACCCCGTTCGAATTCAAGCTCATTGTGTTGCCCGGTAGGTTGAGAAAGTCCGTAAAGTCGATATCGATATCATCCCAGGGGAGATACTCGCCTCCAATCTCGAACCCGAGCCCGAGGTTGGCATTCGAATTTAAATTTGCAGTCTCGGTCTCAATTTCGGGATCCATAACGACCAGGTGATCTGGAGTCGCGTCCTGACTCTCACTCGATCCTGAATCCGTTGATGTGGGCGTCTTCGCCTGCTGATTTCGATCACTCCTCGCAGTCACACTCGCACTCACTCCCGTTCCCGCCGGATAGCAACAGTCCGCTGCCCGCCCAGCACACCTCGAACACACCGGCCGCCGACCATCGCACCGCGCCTTAGCCTTTGCGCAGGGTATACATGAGCGATTCCGGTTCGCATGTCCGGTTCGCCGGGAGCGACAGTAATAACCATGGCGCTTAAGTGTTGATTCTGGAACACAGTCAGTAAGGACGGGCTGGAACAGAACCAGAGTGGGGCGAGATGAGGAGGGGGCTCACGCTTATCGAATGGTTTGTTACATAGCGCGCAGCGGAGGATGGGCAGCGCTTGGGTTTGATTTTCGGCTTCGTTTTCTCCAGTGTACATTTTGTTTCTAGCCCTTTCGGAGATGGGTAGTGCAACGTGTATGTCGGGCTCTTCATTTTGTAACTGCTCCGATGTTGGAGGACTCCGCTGTTCATTTGTCAGCGTGTCGATAAATGAGATGGGCGAATGAGATGCGGTGGTTGGGTTAGTGAGGGCGTCGGGCGGGACATTTTGTACAGCTTCAATTTGCCCTAATCCGGGCCCATTTTTGTACTTGGGAGTTGAGAGTCAGAGTTGCGAATATGTATTCCACTATACTACAATTTGTACTTGCTAGTTCCTCTAAAGTATCTAAATAAAAGATATAAAGATGAGCACTCACTAACCATTCCATCCTACTCACATCCCCCATTCCTCACTCAACAACCCATCAACACACCACACAACTACAGCTATTAGTATACAACCGATCGACCAATATGTCTCCCCCTTTCCCATCTCTCACAAAAACCTGGCACGACAACACTTATGCGTCGCTGTCCCCGACTCTCCCACACCTCTCCCAAGCCGCCAAAACAATCCTCATTACCGGCGGCGGCAGCGGCATCGGCGCTGAAACAGCCCGTACCTTTGCAGCCGCCGGCGCAGCCTACATCGCTCTCCTCGGCCGCCGCGAAGGTCCCCTCTCCGAAACAAAGACGTCTATCGAAACCGAATTCCCCGGAACGAAAGTCTTCACGGCGCCGACGGACGTCACCGTCGAGACGGAAGTGAACGAGGCCTTTCGCGCTTTCGTCGAGTTCACGGGCGGAAGGGCGATTGATGTTCTTGTTGCCTGCGCGGCGGTCATCGGGCCGCAGGGAGACATTGCGGATCTTGCAAGTGAGCCGTTTCTCGAGTCGATTCAGAAGAATCTGAAGGGGGCGATATATACGGGACAGGCGTTTCTCAAGTACAAATCCGACGAGGAAACGGTGGTCGTCGAGATTAATTCGAGCGCGGCACATGTGAATTTTGCTCCGGGCTTCGCGGGATACAGTATCTCGAAATGGGCTGTTTTCCGGTTCTGGGACTCTCTGGGTTTCGAGAGTAAGTTTGGTGCAAAGGGGAAGGTCAGGGTTTACCATGTCCAGCCTGGCGTTGTCGATACGGATATGAACCGTGAGGCGGGAGGGGTCAAGGCTATGGGGTATGAAGATCATGGTTAGTTGCCTTCTCCTTAACCGTTTAGCTACCTTGGGTATTGGACTAGAGGGGCAGACGGCTAATTGAATGCGTGCAGTTTCTCTTCCCGCCGGATTCAGCCTGTGGCTCACGAGTCCCGAGGCGAGGTTCCTGGACGGCAAGTTCCTATGGGCGAACTGGGATGTCGATGAGCTTGTGGCGCGCAAGGAGGAGATTGAAAGGGGGGGCTTACTGGATCTGCAGCTAGTTGGATGGCCATTTGGGGCAGAGGGCTGGGTTTCTGGGTGGAAGTCTTAGCTTTATCATAGCATACTCACCGTTGTTATCGATCACGATTGAATAGATTGTATAGCTGTCTGTCCCGATGCCGAAGACCCTCCCAGGTGGCAATCACGCGTGCCCGCCTCTTTCCGCGCGATGTAGATCATTGTCAAGACTGCTACATAAAATGCAGTCACTCGGGACGGCCAAACGTAAGACGCCGTTTGACCGCAAGTATGAGATGGAGTATGGCGCTAAGGCGCGCGGATCGACGCCATGTTTTCGGTCGAAAATCGCCTTGCGGAGTTGAAATCGGCGAGCTAGGAGGCAACCGGGAGAGAATATTCGAATAAGGTATGTGTGTTGATAGCAGGAACCAAGGTGAGCCTTGCCAGAATCAACAGATTCACAGATCATGTCAGCTTGCTGAAAACTAATTTGAGCCCGCAGATAATGAATCCCATTGTGAGAGGCGTACAAGACGTAGGATCATTGAGTGCTTCTCAGGCAGATTGTGTGATTGATGGTATCACCATTCCTGTCCCGAGGAGAGGCGCCATGAAAGCTATTTGGAACGGGCTAAGGGATATTAAAACAGGGTAGGTAGGGCAGGCTTCACGTTGGCAAATGGGAAAAAGAGAGGCGGCAGGAAGTGCAAGAAATGAGCAATTTGGATAGTCTATGGACAGGGCGATGGGGAGACTATATATTCGTCGAAAGGCGACCATAAAAATTTCCCCAATTCACTATTCCCTACTACAGAATCAATAGTTCTATACCTACGAAGAGCATTACTAATATAGTTATATTGTCGACAGCGGGATCTGTTAGCATTGATGAGTTATACATATTAGGAATAGGAAGTCATTCGGTCTGCTAGGGAGTCTGAAGGCAGAGAGTATGAGGTGAGCAACAGTGTAGGCTTGGGTTAGGGCTAGTGATATTGGGACTTCTGTCTGGTTTCTAGGTATATGGTGTGCCTGCTTTGCATTGAGATATCGTTTCGGCTTTGCTTGGTGTGACCGTATGAGCGTGAGGCCGGTCTCCGGTCCCTAAGTTTTCCTCTTTTATCAACGCACTATATCAAGGCAAAACTCATCTTTACTCGTACATACGACCACAGGGTGTGGAGAACAGGGCTTCCCGTCCGCTCAGCCGTACTTAAGCCACACGCCGGTAGGTTAGTAGTATGGTGGGTGACCACATGCGAATCCCTACTGTTGTATGTTTTTGTGTCCTTTTTTTTTTTTTTTTTTTTTTTTTTTTTTTTTTTTTTTTTTTTTTTTTTTTTTTTTTGATTTTCGTTTGCTGTTTTGTATGTGTGGAGCCATCGGCGAGCCATGTATCGAGTACCTAAACCACAAGCATGTATGTAGTAGACTGGACCTTTGATGAGTAGACTAGTCGCAGATATTGTATGTAGGTAGGTGTGTCTGAAATGGGAAAAATAGTATCATAATGGGTATCATAAATTAAACATATGTTGCTCGACATATTACATAACTTGCTATGAGCTAGTCAGGGCTACTCTCACTCCTCGCCGCTGCTGGAGCTGCCTTCTGAGCAGTCGTTTAGATCCACCACTTTCTTGCCTTGGTTGGGACGTCTTCAGTATTTGGCCTTCGATGAGACAAACCAGCTTGGCTCATAGTTTTGTACCTTGAAACCAGGGCCAGATTCTGCATCACTGTCGCTCTGCTGGCCGCCCTCTTCGTCCTCTGACATTGTCGGACTGAATTCTTGCTTGATGATCTTCGCCGGCTTCTCATTTTGCGCTTCGTCATCCTGGATAGGACTCTCGCGCTTTCTTTTGATGGTGTCTGCATCTTTTGTGGCACGTCTCGTAGATGAAGCATCACTTTCATTCTCGTTGTCACTCTCACTCTCATCGGCACTGTCACTGTCTCCTTTCGAGGATGAATTGTCAGACTCATCATCCGTGGTCTCGTCGCCATTGTTTCCCCCGCTCTCGGAACCAGATCTCGAATCTGTTTCCGGCTTTTTACTAGACAGCGTCTTATCTTTGGGATTGGTGTCGCTCTTGGCGGCTGTCAATTTTGACTTCTTCCCTGTCGTTTGTTCCTTTTCAGACTCGGACTCAAACGAAGAACTAGAATCACCCTCAGAGTCGTCTTTGGGCTCTGAAGCTGCTTCGGAGCCGGAACCAGATTGACTCTCGGAGGAAGAAGCTTCCTTGCGCGGTGTATGCTTCTTCTTGATAGGTGATTTTTTCCGTGATTGCACGGATGTAGAGCCCTTTTCCTGGCTAGCCGCATCGTCATCTTGCCCATCCGAATCGTCACCATCCGAATCCTCAACGAACTGGGAACTTCTGAATCGAGAAGGGCCTCTTGATGGTCGCCTTGACGATTGCCGTGGGGTTGCAGGTGTTCCGCTTCGAGAATTTGGCTGCGAGTTGTTGCGTTTGGTCTTGATCCTGCGCCACTTGTCTGCGCATTGTTGTCTTGATCGGACGTGTCCCATCTTCTTGCTCACTTCGCCCCAGGAAATGAGTGACTCGTCCATCTCGTAGATGTCCTCCCCCACGTCGTAGCCGTGTTCCTTTGATTTGTTCCAGGCGATTGTCAATGCGCTCCGCAGAGCATCGAGCTCGTCTTCTGACCATACACCGATTTTCATTTTGTCCTGGTGCTCAAGGCGATTTTTCCACCTCTGAACAACATCGTCGTAGCTTCTGCCTAGCATATCAGCTATTCTGGCATACTGAGTTCCGTGCTGCCTTATAAGCGCCACCAGCTCGGCCTCCTGCTCTTCTGTCCACACATGTGACTTCTGATCCGACCCTTGGAAGTGGCGTTTCATAAACCGCAAGACAGATCTGCGATCTCGATCCGGGAGGACCTCAAAAGCACTTTTCCAAAAGGGCCTTTTTCCAATCCACCTCTCACCGGGAAAGCTTCCTTGCTTGCCATGTTGCACCATTTGATCAAATGTCGCCAGCGAACAGTTATTCGTGTTGCAAAACTCGACTTTGAACTTCTCCAGAGCTTTGACCTCTTCCGGTTGGAACACTCCCGTTGCGCCACTACGATTCGACTTATCCGGCGTCTGCCTTGCCAGCGAGCCGCGAATGCTTGCCGAAACTGACGGTGACCCCTTGTGACTTGCAACTCTCTGCACTACTTTCTTTGGCGTTCGTGGCTCCGACTTTGAACCCTGGCTTTCAGGTCTTGTGGAAGGGTTGTTTTGCGACTTAGAAGGCCTCGGGTTGGTGCTTCCATTGGGCTGTGAGGGAAGTTTGCTCTCAAGCGAGTCGACAAGCTTTTTGCGCTTGGTTAAAGGAGACTGATTGATTGAGGGTCGCGCCATGTTGAAGTCGACGTCAGAAGGTTCCCGGTTGAGCTTGGGATTTCTTTCCTGGGTAGTCTGCGACTCTTCGTTTTGTCGATTTGCAGCCTCCGGAGACTTCGGCTGTGAATTGACGTTTGATGATTTTCGCTTCCGCTTGCGGACTGTCTCGTGATTCTTTCGCGATTCACCGGTTGGCGGAGCTATAATATCGGGTGATTTAGGCTGTGAGTTTGCGACTTGAACGTTTATATCGTCTTCCGGAGCGAGGATGAAAAGTTAGCTGTGGGCTTGTGGGACCGGGGCGCCGCAGGTCGTTCGCGAGACTCGAACTGCCAAGCTGATGACTACTTACGAGCTTCTCCGTTCTGAACAAAATGAGCTCCATCAGTCGGTTGTGAAGACCCTTGACCCATCGCGGGCAGGTAAAAATATAGAAATTAACTCTTATTGATGAAATGGTCGGTGGTTGTAAATGCGCTGGTGCTGGGGAAGCAGAGGGGAAAAAAAAATTCAGTGACACGCGACGCGGAGCTTCCCGCGCCTGCTCCCACCACCACCACCACATACTAGTCGACTGCGCAACTCAAAATGGCGTATTTGTACCAAGGTAGGAAGGACAATTGAACGGATAATTGGCGTGCATTACTTATCATGACTCTATTTTCATTTCCCGTAATACCCTTGTCACCAACTTCCTTTGATCCGTCGGGTTGAGGTTGTGCTCATCGATTGTGGTGAGGCATCGCCCAATTGCTATAGTTACTCGCACCGCATGGTCCGCACTATTCGAGCAATCCACCCAAACTTTCCCATTCCTTCCCACTGCAATCTCAAATCCTCCGGCCTTCTCCAGTTTCTTGCCCAGCTCGTCCAACACTACCAGGCCCGCAACTCCCTGCTGCTCGGCCGACGCTGAGCTCGCGCGTATCAACCTAGCAGCCATTCCTGTAGAGATATCGAACACCATCCCACCATTCAATGGGCCGAGTCCACCTGGTTCACTTTTTCCGGTCGCGGGATTCACGCAAGTGAGCTCGACTTCTGCACCAGCGCCTAAGCCTGTGGATAATACTCGGGCGTACACCAGATCGCCGCCCCGGAGCATCGGTCTTGTCTTTTTCGTCGCGCCTTCGAATGACAGCTGTCCAAGGACCGCATGCGGCGACTGAGGCGTAATCATGCAATAGAAATAGTCCACGCTGGAGTGGTGGACTTGCGCAATCACGAGATCGTTAGGCGTAGGGATGTAGCGGCGGTTCGAGGAGGATAGTATAGAGACAGCGTTTCTTTTGTTATCTGTAGAGAGGATACCGGCTTGTGTCGCAGTCAAAACATGTTTTGAGGTAGACGCTGGCGCGGGGTGTGCTTGTGAGAGAAGTCGGAGGCCGGGGCCTAATCGTAGCGGCGCTGAGCCATTGGAGGGAAGATAGTCTGTTGGTACTTCATCACCAGGAATAAATATTAAGGGCGACGACATTATGAGCAATGGCTTAGGCGTAATCGTGGGCAATGAGCTGCTGATTTGAGGATGAAAGAGCAGATCCAGACAGGAAAAAGTGAGCTTATCGGACTATCAGTGCACGTGACTTGAGGTCTAAGCTGTTGTCCCGCTCAAGTTCTGTCAGCACAGCTCGAAGTCTTGAAGATTCAAAAGAGAGTAGTAACTGGAATAGATCAAAGGACGCCAAAGATTGTTCTATTCTAATATGGGATCCTATACCAGCTACCCTACTTTGGTGATGCACGTGGTGCTGTGCTTGGTTGCTGTACCTGGCACCGCCACAGCCACTATCGATAAGCCGCACGAGCCACAGTCTCGCCTTCTGCAAAATCAAAAACTTTTTTTCCGCCCAAGTGGACTGAATTGATCTGCTATTTCGTTGTCTACTGTCCTCGTCTTCCCCTCTCTTCCTCCTCCATCTTCCTCTCTATTTCCCCATTCAACTATCGTATCCTTTTCAAGATGAGCGACGAAACCTCCGGCGCTGGCGAGCGATTCGCTATCGGTATCTCTTTTGGCAATACCTCCAGCTCCATTGCCCGCATAAACCCTGTATGCACCGCACCCTGTTATCAGCGCCCCTCTAGCGGGCCGACAAAAATGAAGTTTTTGGCTGACATGATATACAGGAAGGCAAGCCTGAAGTCATTGCCAACGAAGAAGGAGGTTCGTCCCAGTTTCCTCGACCTTTCACCCTACCCCGCCCGCTGCGCACCGCCTCGATCTGAAACTTACAATTCTCCTAGACCGTCAAATCCCTACTGTCCTCTCGTATATCGGCGGAGAGCAATACCATGGTTCCCAGGCCAAGGCTCAACTCATTCGCAACTCCAAGAACACTGTTGCATACTTCAGAGATTACGTTGGAAAGAAGTACGCCCAGCCGAATTGCCATTAAAGAAGTAATAGTTTACTGACTGAACTTGCAGCTTCAAGTCAATAGATCCCACTCCCTGCCACAACTCTGCACACCCCATCCAGTCCGATTCAACCGTTGCTTTCTCCATCTGTGACACTGAGAGCGATACCCCCAACACTGTTACTGTCTCCGAGATCACTACCCGTCACCTTCGCCGCCTGAAGCAGTCTGCCACCGATTACCTTGGCAAGGAGGTCAACGCCGCTGTCATTACCGTCCCTACCGATTTCACCGACGCCCAGCGCGAGGCCCTCACTGCTGCGGCCAAGGAGGCCGGCCTTGAGGTTCTCCAGCTCATCCACGAGCCTGTTGCTGCTGCTCTCGCCTACGACGCTAGACCCGAGGCTACTGTTGCTGATAAGCTCATTGTGGTCGCCGATCTCGGTGGCACTCGCTCTGATGCCGCTGTCATCGCTTCCCGCGGTGGAATGTACACCATCCTCGCAACTGCCCACGACTACGAGCTGGGTGGTTCTACCCTCGACAAGATTGTCATCGACCACTTTGCCAAGGAGTTCATCAAGAAGCACAAGACCGACCCCCGCGAGAACGAGCGTGGTCTCGCCAAGTTGAAGTTGGAGGGTGAGGCCACCCGGAAGGCTCTGAGCTTGGGTGCCAACGCCACTCTGAGCATCGAATCGCTCGCAGACGGAATCGACTACGGTTCCACCATCAACCGCACTCGTTTCGAGCTGCTGTCCAACAAGGTCTTCGCTCAGTTCACTAGCTTGATCGAGCAGGTTATCAAGAAGGCTGATCTGGATGTTCTGGACATTGATGAGGTTATCTTCTCCGGTGGTACCTCGCACACTCCCAAGATCGCCCTGCTCGCTCGCAGCATTTTCCCCGAGACCACCAAGATTTGGGCTCCCTCTACCGAGACTACTGCCATCAACCCCTCCGAGCTCTCCGCCAGGGGTGCTGCCATCCAGGCCTCTTTGATTCAAGAATTCGAGACCGAAGACATTGAGCAATCAATCCACCCCATGGTCACTGCTACTCCCCATCTCAGCAAGGCCATCGGCGTTGAGTTCTCCTCTGGCGATGCCGTCGAGTTCAAGCCCCTCCTCAGCACCGAGACCGCCCTCCCCGCTCGCCGCGTGGCCCAGTACAACGTTCCCAAGGACGGCGGTGACGTCCTCATCCGCGTCTGCGAGGGTGTCCGCGACATCAAGGTCACCAAGCCCGAGCCCAAGCCTAAGGAGGAGAAGGCCGCCGAGGACGAGGAAGACTCCGACTTCGATTCTGAGGACGAGGAGGAAGAGACCCGCGAGATTGTTTGGAAGACCGAGAGCCCGATCGCCGAGCTTGCCGTCAAGGGCGTCAAGGCCAACGGAAAGGTCGAGCTTATGGTTCACATCAACGCCGACCTCGGCCTGCAGATCACCGCCCGGGAAGTCGGCGGCCAAAGCGCTGTCCGTGGTGCCGTTGAGTCGCCATGAATGATGAATGTCATTCTCCATAAATCTTAATGATCCTTTCTCGATTTTTGCTTGTTCCCGGAACCTCCCTCTTTGACGATGAATGTATCAATGAAAGACTCTGCAAAAGTATATAGAGTATCTTGCGCAATAAAGAACACTCGATAGATGGGGTACCTTTGTACATACACAGTAAGATATCTGTGGACTATCACATCATATACTACGTGCGTAGCTAGTTGATAGTTGAAATAAAGCGAGGTATAATTAACCCATTATATTACATGTACTTATACCAAACATTAGAGGAACTAGTAAAGATAGTCGTAAACATGTCGTCAAAGCAGGTAGGCAGTCAGATAGTACAACTGAACATCCAACATAAATCGACCATACATCAGCGGACTCTAGATAGCACTGCAAGCGAGGGAGTGGAAAGCACTAGAAAAGCACTGTTGTAGCGAGCGGGACCACAGAGGGGATAATGTATGTTCGGACAAGGGTTGCACGGTGCCAGGTAGTTTTAGCTCGGAATGGTCGTTTCAAATTCCGTTCTGCGGCATTGCATTATTTTAACATTGCACCAGAGCAAGCTGTAGTAAGTTTTATACGTGACCGGGCTCAGCTGTGAGCTAAGGGAACAGCATCGTAGTATCGCAACGAATTGCTTAAGGAGCAACTTCCTTGTTACGTTCCACGCTAGGCTGTCGCGTAGAGGAGAAGAAGCCGCGGCGGCGCTGCTTGCGGCCGCTGTAGCCCCGGTCCTTCCGACCGACTGAGCCGCCCATGCAGTACATCAGGCATGCGAGCATCCAACAGGCGACGGCAGTCCACATGAACGCGAAGGCCTTGACGCCGAGGCGGGCGCGCTGGTTGTTTGCGTTGAAGTGGTCGCGGCCCTGGACGTAGACGGCGCTGATTCGGGGTTAGTCTGTGCTGGGTTTATAACTGTGGTGGAGCCTGGATCTGGACTTACGTGATGAGGCAAGTGGTGATGATCTGAAAGACCAAAGCGAGCCAGGCCATCAGGGCGGAGAGATAGCTTCCGATACGGGTGCACATTGCCAGCATTCCGGTGAAGAAGGAGATCACACCGAAGAACAGGGCGATGATCATGAATGGCCAGGAGAACCGGGAGGTCAGGAAGTAGTGGCTGGTGCTGTGGAGAGGAGAATTGTGAGCGGCCAGCGTATATGTCGTATACTAGAAGTACTTACCCGATGAAAGCCCTTGGGATATTCTCCTCGGTGTTGAAATTGCGGTGGCTTGGGGGGTCGAATGGGTAGTCGGGGTGCGAGCTTCCACATTGACTATCGCCATTTTCAACGGCGCACAAGTTCCACCACGTCCATCGTGATAGAGCCGGTGCGCCAGGGATGTTGCTCGTATCTACCTGGAGGAAGTAGATCTGGTTCAACGGATTGGTGTTTCTTACGCCGCCCAGGAAGGTGAGCCACATGAGCAGCAGGGCTCCGGCAGTGAAGAAGAGGCCTAGGAAGCCTAGTGCAGCTCCTGTGAAATGAGCGCGTCAGTGACTGAAGGCCAAGCTTAAGTCTGAAAGACCATTGAGGGGAGTAGTACTTGAGACTGGCATATTCGATTGCTCTGTCTATATTGAGCTGGAGGTGACTGTGACGAAGCCGATGAAGAAGAGGGGAATGGAGTAGATTATGACTATCACGACCTCAAAAGGAAAGCTGATCTGGTATGCAGGGATCTGATGGCGGGAAAGACCAGAGAAGGCTGGAAAGAATGGAATGTCGAAGGACGTGGCTCGAGGTTATCCTATTAAAAGGATCCGAGGATTCCGACCGCAAACCTAGGGCCAGAGGGCCGAGCGAGTCATGGATGATATAATGGTGAAACTGCATCATCATGGCTGCCGGCGTGGCCTCTGCGACTCTGTAGTAGAGTTGAAGCCATAAAAGTATGAGTGATGATCTCAACGTCATCGCTGGCTCCTCTCCAGCTAGCCGTTCCTGGGCTAGCGTCAACAAGCTATGCCCAATCAGGCGCGCATCACTCGACTTCCAAAGTCCATGACGTTGGCCAACTTGTTCAGTGACTGCGACGACTGACGTTGCACCACCCACGACCAGTTTTCGAGCTCGCCAGTGTCAAGCTAATCAGATCGACGTGGGGCTCGTCAACTTTGTTCGGGACGGAGTGTCTCGCTCGCTGCACCGATCTTCGTCACGGTTACGAGGGAGTAGCCGAGGAGCTTGGACATCTGGTCGCTATTCCCAAACATTGTATGGAACCCCGTTCTTAATTGGGGTGGAAGATATTGACTGGACTAGATTGCGTGAAGTTTCTGTGGTGGAGATAGAATGGCGACCTGGGTTTATCCACCGCTCCCTGAAAAGCGTCTGGAACAAGAAGCTGATTCTGCTCTGGTAAGTTTTTGTTGTTGTGTAGAGTTTATTTCGCGTGCTCAACTCTGGCTCTAGGAAAGAGAGTTAGAATGGCTGCTACGATCATTGCAGGACTCCCTTGCATCTCTAAGGGAGGGTCTGCTTGAATGTGCAGAACTGCTAGCTCCAAAAGAACCTGGCTCTACCCTAGTTCTATCGTCGATGCGCTCGGAAAGCGTCAAAGGCTTTGTAACCCGCGTTGGAACGAAGATCGTAAAGGGGGTATGTTAATCTGGGCCCCAAGCGCGCCTTGCAGTTATTAACGGTGACAGGATATCCAACTGCGCCTCAGCTCTCTCAGCTCGAGAGCCGGCCCTACAACGAGATTATGCATGTCTAGTTCACCCAGCGCTCCAGAGCTCGTGCTTAGCCAGCTCGTCTCAGTAAGGGATTCGGTCAACCAGTGCCTTGACATCGTGGACGTGAGCACTTGGACTGGCGATCCTCTCGATGCACGGTTTATCTATAGTCAAATTCACCTTCTTGGGGAGACTATTGCCGAAGGGCGACAGATGTTGAAGGGTGATAGTGATGCAGTACGAGGGAAATGGTGGGAGACAAGCGCATCAGACGATGTAAGCCCTGCTGCACCCCTTGATGATGATACGACTGACGTTGGCTAAACAGCTGTTTGACCCGCCATTACCTCCGAATCTTTCATTTCATTTGTCCATTGCAGACTCAGCTCTAGTCCTTTACTTGCGGACGCTAGAGTCTTCCACGCCCACACATACGCCAACAGCTTTCGCGTCTGATATCTCATTGACCGGGTTCAATATACGCGATCGACTATTTGGCACTCGACAGCCTGCCCATGATGAAGTTGGCGACGTATTTTCATGGAAAGGGGACGATGTAAAGGTTAGAGAGAAGGTCCGCGTAGAGAGTCAAGATCCTAGTCTTATGGCCGTGATGGCCAAGTTGACGGCACTTCACCACGAGGTGGTGCGGTGCAAAACCCACCTAAAGGCCCTGATGGGCAACGATGAGGACAGTGAGACTTGACTAAGGCACATGCTGTATTTACGTCAATTTCTCGTGATCTATAAAACTAACTTCAATATTCATAAATTTCTATGCGGGGAGTAAGCATATTATGCTAGAGCTTATATAACTTGCACAAAAGTTGCCAGCCAATGAGCAGCCATTAGTTTCATCGCATGTGTCTTGGCACTGATATTCTCGCGCAGAGCTCTTTCTGTGGCGGCGAAGTTTTCTCAACCCACGCAGCGTCTTAACCTTGATTCCAAGGTGGTGGACGGGCTGAGAATGTTATCGAGATCCCAAGCGCTAAGGGCGAGTCGGTCCCAACCCTACGGCCTCCTCCACACGACACAATACAATCCGACGCGAGCTGGCACCCAGCAACACCGATACAGAGCTCCGAGTTTGACAGTCACAAGTTCCCGATTGAGCTCGACTATTTCGCGGAAAGCATCGAATTTGTCTCAGTCATTACGACGCCCGGACTCGAAGTCTATTGGATCTGGATCTGGATTTGGACAACCGTTGATTGGGCGAAGACATGCCTCCGGCGGAACAGGAGATGAGGCCGAATCTTCACCGGAGCAGAGAAGCGAAAACCTGGAACACCATCGAGTAGACGAATTCCTGCACGGAGATGCGATCTCTGATTTGGTCGATAAAATCAGCACAACCGAGGCTGAAATCTTGGAACTGCTTGACGATCTTGATCTGACAGATGCGTATGCCGGGACAGCGAGAACCGAGACTCGAGATGTTGAAGAAGTCGAAGATATTGAAGATGACGACTTGAGGGAGGAGTTTGATGACATGGAGCCGGAAGAACGCGTCCGATTGGCCAGACAACAGTTTGGGGAGATTCTACCCGAGGGCTTTTTGAATGAAGAGGAGACGCTACTGTATACCCGCCTGTACGGCGAACCTATTGTCCGCTCGGTGGGGGAATTGATCGAGATGGAAGGAGAAGAAGATGAAGATTTGGGCCAGCTTCTTCGTGATGACGGTCAAGGAGGGTGGGAGGAGGTTCCTCATGACGAAGTTGCAACGGAGGATGAGATTCAGGTGGTATATGACATGGAACGGGGTCCACCAAAGGTCGAAACCGCTACGATGCGGCGAGCTCGAGAGGTGGCCGAGCAGCTGGGTGCCGAAATTGACCTTGAGCCCTTCGAGGATGGAGAGGACGACGAATCCACGCCGCGCTTTCACCCACTAACAATGCAAGCGAAAGCATCTACCGATCCAGCTACTATTTACCCGCCTAAAGATACCCTGACTGGACCTGTATCTGTAATCCTGAGCGAGTATTCCAACAAGCATATTGCGGAAGCTGCTCACAAGTCTTTCGGAGGCCCAATGCTTCCACACTCTACGAGAACACCACCAGCACACGCCCACGAGGCACAGTTACCTATTGCTCTTGAGGCCAAACAGCGATTTATGTCTGAGATGGAAGCCAATGTGTTTCTAGCAGTCCTATATCCTGGGATGTACGCTTCGGTTCTGAGCGTGTTGACCGAAGTTCGAAAGCGCTTGGGCACAGACTGGATACGATCCCTGATAACTCAAGAAGGAGGTCCCAGTGTTCTCGACGCTAGTGCTGGAGGAGCTGGTATACTGGCCTGGAGAGATGTTCTCCGTGCCGAGTATGAGGTTATGGTCCCAGATCACCCTCCGTCCGACCCTTATCCAGTCGGCAGATCAACCGTCTTGACAGGCTCAGACGCTCTTCGCCATCGCGCTAGCCTCATGCTGGAGAACACGACCTTCCTCCCGCGACTCCCCGACTACCTCCATGTCCGCGCTGGACCCACCGCTCATGACAAGCGAGCGCCCCAGCGGAAGCAATTCGACATCGTAATTGCTCCCCATACTCTTCTTGGCATCGAAGAAGATCACCAACGCAAAGCCTATATCGAGAACTTATGGCAGTGCTTAAACCCAAATGGTGGCGTCTTGATCCTCTTGGAGAAGGGACACCAGAAAGGCTTTGAAGCGATTGGTGGTGCTCGTCAGATGCTACTCCAACGCTACATCGCGAGCCCTGGGTCTACAGAGTACACTAATTTCACTGAGTCGCCTGACGATGCACCGAGAATACCCAAGCAACCCGGAATGATCATTGCCCCTTGCACCAATCATGAAAAATGCCCTATGTATCAGGGCGAAGGCCCAGTAAAAGGCCGCAAAGACTTCTGCCACTTCGAACAGAGATATATTCGCCCGTCTTTCCACCAGCGCATTATCAACGCTAAGGACCGAAATCACGAGGATTTGAAATTCAGCTACCTCGCCGTCCAGCGTGGCGTCGACCTTCGCGAGACGGAGGGTATCGTTCAGGGAGTCGAAGCCACGGACGCCGCGTTTGCGGGCTACGAAAACCTCAGCGAGCCAGTCAAAGCATCTGACCCAGAAGCTGCCGAAGCAGCCACCACCCCGACACCAACAGAACAGCCGAAGTTCCACACGCTCTCCCTCCCACGCATGGTCTACACACCAATGAAGCGCCGCGGCCACGTCATCTTCGACATGTGCACACCAGCCGGCAAGATCGAACGTTGGACCGTCCCGCGCTCATTCAGCCGTCAGGCCTACAAAGATGCCCGCAAAGCACGCTGGGGTGACCTCTGGGCTCTCGGCGCGAAGACTCGCATCCCACGAAACCTGAGGATCGGCACTAAGGACAGCGAAACCAAAAAGGAACGACTGGCGCGCCGCGCCGCTGAACGGGCGGAAATGCAAGAAGCCGAGGAATCCTTTGGTGAGGGTGGCACGAAGACGACTGCGCGAAAAGGATCGCCGATCCCGAAGACGCCGGAGAGGAAGAAGGGACAGCATGTGCCGAGCTGGAAGAAACATTCGCATACGAAGAAGGTGAGGCAAGCATCAGAGAAGTATTCTAAGAGCTTTCTTTAGGGCGCTGTGACTGCTGTAATTTTTATTTTTTGAAGATATCTATTGGGATGGAATTATTGGCGTCGTTGGCAATATGGGTGTGAAGAAAGGGACCATCATGTATTATATTGTATATCAGGCGCAAAGCCATATAAGATAGTTCAAAGGCCTCTCTGAAATGAAGCTCTTCTCTCAACCTCTTCCTCGAGCTTATGATCGGTTTGTCAATCACCAATAACCGGACGTTTGGCAAGACAGCAATTCAGTTTCCTGACGGCTTCTCTCGCTGCTTCTTCGGATGATCAGGGCTTGGTGAACGCTGGTAGGGTGATTCTAGGAAGTTATATGTAGCCGTAAGAAGTGGTGTCTTCTCAATGGCCATCCATGATTGCTCGCGTCTCGCTGGGGCGGGCTCTGGCTTCGCAAATCGGTTTCAAACAAACAGCAAGCCGACAGGGGGATATGTATCAGGCGCGAATGCGGCGCCTCAAAAGCCGCGTTGTTTTCTCTCTTCCACTCAACTTCCATATCCCACAGGCCACTCACTGAAACGCCATACTCTTCCTTAATTGCCTCTCCCTCTGCTTACTCTGCAACTCCAACCGCTCAACCGCATACTGAAGCCTCTCCTTCTTCTGAACTAGCCTCCGCATCTCAGCTGCCTTCGCCGCGGAAGTAGCGCCTCCACCTCCACGAGCGGGACCCCTCCTCTGCGCACGACTCCCGGAGATCTGCCTTGCCTCAGAAGAGTTCAGTCTCCCCTCTTGCAATTCACATTTCGCGCGCAACCCTTGTTCGCGGCGGGAGAGCTTCTCGACGTGGTTGGAGGCGAGGGAGAGGAGGTGTGCGATGCTTGGAGTGATTTCGTCGAGGAGGGATTGTTGGGCTTCGCGGAGGGTTGGCTCAGGGAGGAGTTCAAAGTGCTAATGAATCGTTAGTATGTGGCCCATGAATGGCTTTATTGGCGACATACTCGTCTTGTTTGGAGGACTTTGGACATTCGGGGGAAGTCGCTGACGCTGGAGTCGAGAATTGAGATCGAGGAGTCGATAAGTTGGAGGGAGGATTGGAGGGAGGCAACGGAGGCTTGAAGTGAGGCTGCCATTTTAATAAATAGATAGGTATCTTCAGAGCGTAAGCGTTTTAGCTACTCTAAGGCGCAATGATATCAAATTGTTCAAGCTGTTGGTTGTTTACATACTGTTGCGAGGGACCCGCCCGCATTACATCGGAACAACAAAAGCGGCGACGCATACCGCCCTAAAGCGGCTAGCCCCCGGGCTTCCGGACAAACCTCGTTGCTCCCGCTCTTCTTGATCGCACCCTTTCCCGCTGCATCAACCCCATCTCTTCTCCACAACAGCACTTCGCATTCAAGCTACGAATTGCTACCATGCCTATCCTCCCCAAGAAGTTCCCGGCCCCCGTCGGTAAGTCGCACCCGCGCTCAAAACCCGCCTGTACCCGAGGTAGACGTGAACAATGAACTAATTGATTATCTCGGTGTAGCCGGCCCCATGGCCCCCTTCTTCGCTGCCGGTACGTGATATTATCCCATGAGAGAATCCATGGAACCGGAGACATCTGCATGGAACGAAATGTCGTGCATATGGGGGGCTGGAAAGCGCGATTCGGACTTTGATATTGATTCGATCTTAGGTCTGGTCATCCTCTACGGCATCAACTCTGCCTCCAACGCCATGGCCAACTGTGAGTAGCCGACTTGATAAATCCTTCCTCGATCGTGAAGCGCCTCGCCATCTACGACTCGACTCGAATGCATAATCCGGATATCAAATTGCTAACATTGAATCCTCCGCAGCCGCCGAGTACAAGAACGACCCCCGCAACCCCAACCTTAAGGCCGCGAAGCACTAAGCGATCAGAACCATTGAATGATTTTGGAGCGGCAAGTGGATGATCGGCGTGTCGGATTTGATGTCTCGCCATCGACTCGATGTAACGCGCGATTCCCTGTACAGACATATAGACACTACCCGTCAGATAAACAATGACGAATTGACAAGTTGTACCACTACCACTTCTTCAATCGCTTTTTGGGTGTTGTTATCATGCCTGACGGCAGGACTGCGCATGCATCAACACGAGGCTTCTTCCAGGGAGGGTCCTGGAAGTCAGAAGTACTGCCACTGGTGGTGGGCAGGGTGCTTTGCATATATCCCCTGAGTAGTAGCTATTGGACTAGTAAACCGCGCAACCCTTCCGGTGAGCTTATAAACCGTTATTATCTCCTCTTAGATCATTTGAACAACTCAATACACGTGAGTATGAGGCAAGTTGCTCAACCTGTGACTCCGGAGGAAACCCCATTTTGCCTGTCAAATATACGAATGCGGCCTCTCCAAACTAATAGGCAGCTATAAATTGACTGATACTCGAGGATCATATTCCGCCCTCCTAAAAATCTTACGGTTGAGGTCGGAGGTATACTGACACTATTCCCGATCGGGAGGGCGGCCTCCCGTGACTTGCTCTCCTGGAACCTCCGACAAATTATAGCAACTCCGGCGACATCGAACATATTCAGAAAGCATTCCCCATCACCACTCACAACCCCACCATGTCTCAATTCAGATCAAAAAAGCTCGACATTGGCGGTTTCATCAACGGCCGTATCATTCGCGACCACACCAAGCGCAAGGTCTTCGAACAATATGAACCCGACCGGTATGGAACTCCGATTCCGAATTCGCGCTCGCACCGCACCCTCGAGTTGCGCCACTATAACGGCCCCATTCAGACTGTAGCTAACACTTTCTCTAATGATCAGACAAGCCCTCCGTTACATCATCCGCAACACTTCGCTGCCCCAGCGTGTCCGCGCCCAGGCTCAATTGCAGCTCTCCCAGATGCACGCCTACACCCGCTCCACACAGATCAAGAACCGATGCGTAGCAGGAGGTGTGGCAAGGAGTGTTTTCCGGGACTTCAGGATCGCAAGAGTAAGGCAAACTCAACTCGAGTCAAATCAGGCTTGTTGGTCGGGCATCAGACTAACATGTCTCTTCTTTTAGTTCCAATTCCGTATGCAGGCTCTCGCCGGTGAATTGCCGGGAGTTCGGAAGGCGAGTTGGTAGAGAGTTTCTGTACAGTATTACTGGGTATCTGGCATATTTGGTTGCTGGGTTGTTTGCACACATGGCGTTTGTTCGACATATCATATCCCAACGATTGTACGATAACTAAGCTAGGAGGGTTTATACAAGATTATAAATGCGTTTTGTTCACTTTCAATTCTGACCACCCTCACTTGCTATGCGAGGTTTTCCTGCTTATTGGGGTAGAAACGAGGGGCTTCAAGGCACTATAATGTCAACGATTCGACTCGCTACATGTTTTGTCAATCGAACCCCGCTTCTCTATTGAGGTGATTGCAAACGGGGGAGAGCCTTTGATTGCATTCACCATTATGCAAACAAGGTCATTGCGCTCTTGTTGCCTACTAGGATAGCAGTCAGTGGGACCTCCCAGTTTCTCTTCTTCATCTGTCCTCGAGTTTCCACCAAGATACCCCGTTGGAACATCCTTCTTGCCCATATACCTTCGAACCCTATCCTCGACTCGACAACTTCCTCTGTATAGGACACCAACTTACTTCAGACGGGCTCTACAACCCGTTCCTTCTACCATACTACCTGAACTCTACCTCGCGTTTCACAACAACCGTTCGACCGTATTCAGCTGAGAACTTACCTTGACAGACTTGCTGCCCAAGATGTTCGTTTATCGCAAGGAGGACCTTCCCAAGGATCCTGTGTTTCCCGCCGAACTCGATAAGCTGGGGTATGCGCACCTATAGACCTTGCCCAGACAGTCCAAGCAGCTAACACGCTCACAATAGCTACTTCATCAATGACAATGATCAAATCAGGAAGATATCAGACCAAGAGAAAGAGTTCCAGTTCAAAATCAACAGAAACCCCCGCTGGAACGAGCTACAAAGAGAGGCAATGAATGGTCCGTCCCGTCCTCATCAGGACGAAACCCATTGGAGCCCACTTTGCTAATTGATTCAACCAGAATGCATCCGCAAACTCGTCTCAACTCGTCTCCGCAACCTCGGTCTCGTTACCTTGCATCTCCCCCTAAACTCCGGCCCAACAAAACCCCACGTCCCCATACTCGTCTCGAAGAACCTCTCAACCGCCTCACGCATCATCCTCGTCTTCGGAGAACCCATCCAGGACCTAGGGATCTGGGCATACCGCACCGTCGGCGCCGAGAACATAAACGCCGGCTCAGCCGTTGACTTTGCCAAAGCGATTTTGGAGCATGGGGAGAAGGAGAAAAAAGATCGGAAGGGAGATGTGGCGCTTGTTCTTGCGAACACGGGTCAGTTGATCTGGCACTGTGCGTCTGGTCGTGCGCTGAGTATCAACTCGTGGCTGGCCCAGCCTCGTCCTTCGGCGGTGGAGTCGGCGCCTGGAGAGACGAAGAGAAATAAGATTCCTGGCAACGAGAATTGGCAGGCGCATATCGGTTCTGTCTTCAATGGGATCTTGTCGGCGAGGGGACAGCTCGTTCGCAAGGACGCGAAGATCGATGTCATCGGCCTGGCCGAGGGAGGGCTAGGTGCGATTCGATATGTTGCACTCAACTGTAAGTGCTCTGTCCCTTCTAGCCCTACCAGTAGCGCAATCCTTCCTTACCCTCCGACCTGTGCTGACTTGCAATCAGGGAACACTTGGCGCTCCCACATATCCGCAATCTGCCTCGCGAACCCACTCCACACAAAGACCGTAGACCTAGTCCCGTCCTACGGCCAACCCAGCGGGCCCGACTCATTCGCCGCATTCATTGCTTCGCGTTGCCGCGCATATCTTCTCTCCAATGAACCTCTGGGACTCCCGCTGTTCGACGCCCCGGAACATGGATGTAACTGCTATTCGTCTGGGGAAGGGCTGAATGTGGAGTGTATCATGCCCAAGGCCTGGCGGCATATGCTGAAATGGTTGGATCGTGCATATGCAGAGCCGGGGTACTGCGAGGAGCAGCTTGAGGTTGTCCAGGTTGCCCCCAAGTGTGATGCGACGGGTCCTGAGGCAGGTACTGAACGTCGAGACTGATATTTCACCATTTTGCAGCGACGGTGTGCTCTTTTCACATTGATTTTACGCGGTAGAACGATCTCACTTAGGATCTAGATTTCTAGCATTTCTAGTTGGTTTCCTTCTATGTATCTTACTACCAATCCGCAGTTGATAGCGCAATAAATGGCTGGCAGTCCTCCCAAGGTACTTTCTCACTCAATATATTTCCTCACAATCGCCTTCTTCCATTCCTCAAGAGAAATCACCTTACCAGCAAACGGCACGGAATTCCTCGGCGCATCCTTAAGCACCGCGCCATCCCACTTCGGCACTTCAAGAAACTCATGGTCCTTATCACACACCTTCAGCGGCAGCGTACCGTCACGGAGCTGCTGGAAGCAGTCCTTGTCAAATGTCAGGTTGATGCAGTCCTTGCACCACCACATCTCGCTCGCGGCCTCCCAGTAATCACCACATCCGCCGTCACAGATCGCGAAAACCGGAGCAGTGGGGTCATCGAGGTTAGCAGGATCAACAGGTTTCAAGTCGGGAGTTTTTGTTGGTGGTGTGTTTGGTGTGCTGGGTCGGCGGAGTTCGGCTGGTGCCCCGGTTTGCAGGCTGCTGCTCCGTGGGCGTGGGCTTTGCTCTTTCCTTTCTTTCTTGCTGTGGTCTTTCCCTCCTTGGCCTTTCGGTGAATCTCTCTTGGGCTCTTCGAGACGTGGGACTCGAGAGATAGCGCTGGCAATTGTTGACTGACTCGCCAATGCTGCCATCGACACAGCGGCAAGTGCGTTCTGGTCATCGTTCAAAGGAAGGAAGACAAGCAGTAACCTCCAATACGCCAGATAATCATTGTCGTTGTCATCATCAGATAGCATCTCCAGCGCTAATTTCACGATGCTCCGAACGATCTGCTTCGCCTTTGCCTCGTCACCTTCAACCTGGTAGTAGCGCGCAAGATACAACTTGGACGGAAGGATTACGTTGCTCTCAGAGGTCTCATCGGGGGTGATTGATGAGATACGGTGAAGATAATCCTGCGCTGTTTCCGAACCTTCCTCTGCTTCTAGTGCCCTACTCAGGTAGACCGGTGCTAATTTGACCGTCAGATAAGGCAAGACATAGTCGATATCCAAGAAAGACCGTGGAAGGTCGTCCTTCAACGCGGTTTCCCACAGTTCGATCGCCCGCTCCTCGCCGTTATCCTGCTGGAACATTTCGTTCGCATAGTGGTACCGGATATAATATAGGCTCGTGTACGCTTCGCTTTCGGTGGACAGCTTGATCGCATCGTTGTATACCTGCTCGATGAACTCGAATTGACCGGTTTCCACAGCAGTCTGCAAGACGATACTGTGAAACCTTTCCTCCGACGCAAGGTCGACGAGCATCTTCGAGAGGTGCGCTTTATCCCCCGAGCCGGCCTGGATCGTCCTGAGCAGGGATAAGATATCCGTCCACAGACGCCGTCCATAGTACTGCTCGATGATCTGGAGGATCCGCTTGAAGCCAGCATAGTTGACCTGGACCGATTTCGTGTAGGATTCGATGGCCTGCGGAAACTGTTCGGCGTCCCAGAATCGCTGTCCACGGTCAAAGAGCATCTCTGCAAAGGCCCAGACGTGATTCGATTCTTCCATCCATTTCTGGTCAGCCTCAAGAGTTCCTATGATGTCGTTCAGAATCTCAATCGCCTCTCCGTTAGAGGGCACTACGTGTGCAAGATAGTATGATGCTCTCCAGTTCGATGGGTCGAGCTGTAAGGAGCGACGACACCTCTTCTCGGCATCTGCGTCGAATTGAAAGTTGTGCAGGATAACGGCTACCTGTACTTCCCAGAGGGAGTCCTTTTCGCAACCTAATAGCTGTCTCGACCATTCTTCGATTTCTGAGATATCTTCGACTGTGGGTACATCTGGGTTCGATCCGGGAGTTTTGACCTTAACTACACCATTGATCTACGCAGAATCAGCATTGGTCTTGTGCTTGAAATCGAGACGAAAGTGCTATAACATACCTTCTTCAGCGCACCAAGAATAAACGAAAACGCATAAACGGCCAGCGACTGAGGCGTCTGCTCCCGCAGCCAGCGCACCACCATCCGCTTTGCAAGTATATTGAGCAGCTCCTTATCAGGCGACAAGCTACTCGTGAAGTTCGAAACCCAGGACCTCGCTTCGTCATCGGTGATGTCCACTACAGCGACTGACTCTCGCAGCCACCGTACCGTCTCCGTGGCACCCCCATTGCCGTCCAACCACGCAGAGCGCACCATCCAGGCAAAGTTCGATGCTAGATCAGGGTCACTAGTCCAGAGCAGTGCATCTGTTGACCCGTCGTCCGTGAACAGCTTCAAGAGGAGCGGCCCGATCTGGCGTTTCCACTGACGCCCGACGAGTGAGAGGTCGACGGCGGCAAGATGCTGATGGAAGTAGTTCACCGCATATAGCCTCAGGATCTCCCGTCTCTCGTCTCGCTCTTCTGTGAGTATGCGCAGGCACCTCACGGCGAGCTTCGCTTCAGCGGTATCCTTGTCATCGCGGTAGATATAACCCCCCGTGTGCCGAAGCTTTTGCTCGAAGACGGTCTCGAAGTCGAATTTCGTGTACAGCTGTGGTGGACATACGGTGCGGAGGAAGTGTCTGACGATATCCACCTCCTCTGGCAGAACCCTCTTGCTAGCCTGTCGCAGATCCTCGCCCGAAGGCTGGTTCCCCTCTGGTATCAGCTCGACGATTTCATAGGAGCGGAAATCAATGTCGCCGTCGCTGTCAACTTCGAAGATAGTGTACTTGATCTGCAACTTCGCTTCCAGTGTCAACAAAGACAGCTCGCCAGTCTTTGTATAGAGCACAGCGGCCATCTGCTGGGGCTGAAACCACTCCCTCCCGTACAGAATCCAGAGGATAATCTCGTTGATCTCTGCAATCTCCTTTGCGTTCCTGGTACTGTTCAGGGACTCAATCTCCGCCTGGATTTGCTGAGACCGTTCCCTGCCTGCGTTTTCAAGCACTTGGTCGATGTCATTCACATAGTCGAGGTTATTAATGCGCTTGAGAATTGTATTAACTCGGAAGTAATCGCCAGCCGTCTTGTCGCGCAGGCTCTCGCTGATCTTCTTCCTGAGTGCTGGCACCCCAAACCGTTGCTTGTTCCTTAGGGCATCAATCTTGTCCATCCTTGACTCGATGTACATTTCGATATCGGGTCTGTTCCTCTCACTGATATGAATCGTCTTGTAGGCAATCTCCTTGTGTGCAGATATCTGCTCAAATGCCCGCGGGCGTCCGGTCAACAGAATGCGTATCTTCCGATGAGACACAGAGCTCGACAACGCATTCTCAAGGAACGTCACCAAAGTATCCCCGACAATGTCATTCAGCCCGTCAATGACAATGAAAAAGTTCGCATCGATCGTCTGTCCAATATCCCCGTTGTCGAACAGCAACCGCCCGGGTACCTCATGCGGATCCATATCCCGAGCCTGCTCGCAGATGTTCGCAACAGACTTCATATATGAAACATCGGCCTGGACAAACTGCCAGATGAGCGACTTGGCAATAACATCCAGATGGTTCGTCCTTTTCAGCTCCTCCTTGGAATCGCCCTCGACGAAATAAAACGCAAGAAGAGTCCTCGAGTCTGAACTTTCGACGGAGCTTCGGTTCCTCAACCGGCGGATAATCGTCGAGGTGAGATAACTCTTCCCGGACCCCTCCGTCCCCTCAATTGCCAGGATACACGGACTCTCCCGACTACCTCGCTCCCAAGCCCTAAACTCGGGCTCCTGGAAAACCCACTCTCCTGTTCCGGGGACAACGCACTTCCGATAGTTGTAGTATATCCGCTGCCAATATGGATCGGGCTCCCTTTTATCCTGGTCGAGCTTATTCTCATCAAATGCCAGCGTCTCGAGGATCCTCTCCTTTCGCCGTTTCGTATCACTCTCCTTGAGCGAATCTGACCGGTTGGCAATGAGCATATCCAGCTTCGAATTCACTGCACGACTAATCGCCAGATTCTCCCTCGTGCTGACGACCGTCTCAGACGCAAAACTGAACGTCTGCGCCGCAACGAGCCTCCCTTCCTCATCAACAAGCCCATCCATTTTCGTCAAAAGGTCCTCAATGTCATTATCGTTGAGGAAGAGGAGCTTGGTGAATACCTTGATTCTGCGGCGCGTCGAGCGACGAAGTTTGATCGTTCGGTCGCAGATTTCGACGAAGAGCTGCAGGTGCTGGCAGGCGACCTTGGCGAGCTTTGCATCCATCCCCGCGCGGATGTAGTACTCCAATCTGGACATGTACTGGCCGCATTTTTCGAGGAGGGTTGCGAGGCTTTCGAAGACGCCTTGGTAGCCCTGCCATGCTTGGATTACCATGCTTAGGGCGTTGAAGCATAGTTCCGAGGGGCCGAAGGCCTTGCAAGCGTAAGCAAAACCTCCGTAACCCTTCAGGAACTGCAGAGTGCGTATGATCTTACCTCGCTCACCCCCACAGCAATAACTCCTCCAACTGTATCGATAAACCGCAGCGTCTTCTCAAAGGCGCCACGAATACTGCTGTCCTTTGGAGCAGACTGATCTTGGGCCTTGTCGAGGTACACAAGCACGCCTTCGATTGTGAGATCTTTTTTGATTTTGGACGGGTCGTCGCCGGCGAGTTGGATGACGCGGACTTGGACTTGGGACCATATCTCCACGATTTCGCCTTTGAGTGCGGAGTTTCGGCGCTCCAGGGGCGGCGCTTTTGTGGAAGAGGGGGAGATGGTCATTTTGGCGCGCTGATCTCTTTTTACGGGCACCTACATAGATTGCTAAAAGGAGAAAATATTGTGAGGTAGAAACGATGAGTTATATTAGGATAGATCACAAGAAAGAAAGAGAAAAGAAGGAGTTCATAACAAAGAGAAAGAATAAATAATGGAAAATCGACAAGGCTGAAATGATGAGGGGATCGTCGTTTGGAGGCTGTGTTGGGCGTTTGTTCAGGTGCAGCCGGACCCTATGTAGCCAAGCTATTAGCCTGGAATTAGCCCTACAAACGCCAGTCCAGATCCTGCTATGTAAGCCCCACCCATGAGATGGCAGCAACAGTACATACATACATTGGCCCCATGGACATCAGTCTGGTTCTTGCGATGAAGAATCTCCGGTCGAAGATAATGTAGACGAAGAGTCGCCAGACTCACGCCGGAGTCGTTCCCGAACGGTTGACTTCGGCCGTGACCAAGGAGTAATTTTCCCAATGCTGCTCGCTTTATTGTTCTCAAAGGCTACTCTCGTATCGGCGGCACATCTGTCAGCGACCATGTTACCGGGAAGTTTAGTATGACCTGGAACCCATCGTAGTTCGAGCTGGATTCCCCGCTCTCGTAGCTTAACTGTCTTGGAAGCTGCTGCTTCTGTTACTTTCGAGAATTTCGCCGTCTTGCTCGTGAGCTGTTTCTTGATCATCCTAAGTGCCTCCTGGCTGTCAGTTAGGAGAGATACCTTTTTCCGGGGGTCCTCTGGGCTCAGTGCGTCCAAAGCCAACTGCAAAGCTTGGTCGACTCCGTACATCTCTGCTTCCCCAGAACGCACAACACCCTGTAGACCAAAGCCTCGCTCGTACCATCCAGTGGGAGCTGACTTGTCTTCGTAAACCACTGCTGCTCCTGAGTATTGAATGAGCGATGGCGGGGACTCGGGTTCGGATGGGGAGCTGCCTCGTGAGGATGAAGAGGCGGTTTCAGACGACGAAACGGAGGCAGATCTGCCTCGTAGCGGGGATGAAGGTTCAGGCGAGGCCGCCGGACTTGAACCTGGACTCGAGGCGTCTGTATACATCACCCAGTGAGAACACGAAGACCGAACTTTCTTCGTATACTCGGCAGCGGCTTCTTGCTTCTCGATGATGATATCGGGGAATTTATCACTGCCTTCCAGAATATAAGTCTGCTTCGGCTGGGCCTTCTCTTTGCCACCCTCAGCGGCAATCGAGCTCTTGTCCTTGGCCTTGTCATTCTGATATTTCCCTTTACCTTTCTTGCGTCCTCGTTTCTTGCCTGGGGAGGTTTTGTTGTTGTCAATTTTGCTGGCTGGGTGCTCGATGGCGGGGACTGTATCAGAATCGGGGGCAGGAGGGGGCGAGCTTTCGCTGAGGTTGGGTGGAAGCTCCTTGGCAGGAGCCATAGCTGTTTATCGCAGACCGGAGGGGCAGAGCAAGGGCGAAGGCTTATGAATATAGATGCATGCCGTGTGTCTCGACTGATTTGATATGATGTGCTTGAGTACTGTCTTGAATGTTCAAGCCTCGTAGAAAAGGGGTAGATGTGAAAGATGTGGTAAATATAAAGCTGGGAGGGAAAAGATGACTTGGAGAGGATAGAAGTACGCCTTCGAAAGAAAGCTGATCTTGAGAGGATAGATGTTAAGCAGATGGAAGATGGAAGCAAAGACGGAAAGCGGCAAGGGGAGAAAACTACGCAGGGAAAGAACGCAACAAACTTTGAATACCTCGCTGTCCGGGGGTCACCTATCAGGTTGTTGGTGTCACGTTCCGGCCAGTGTGAATCAAATTTAGTCTTCAAGCCGGGGCTGAGAAGCAGGAAACCCATGGACTGCAGGACAATTCGCTTTTCGCTATGCCCAAAACATAACAACGAAAGCAAGCTGTATCCTCGAACCATCAGCCATTCGGCTCTATACCTGAGCCTTCTCCACAAGAAAACTCTGGAGTAGATACCTCCGCTACCCTGAATCTCGAGGAGGAACTTTCTTGAAGAGTGCGAGCGGAATTAGGTCAGACAACCTATAGCGCCTCTCCATTCAGAACGTCATATTGCCCTTCCCTAGCCAACGAAAGCAATACCCTCGAAACTGGATAAACCAGTTTGAGAAGATACTATGCCTGTCTCGGCCCACCTCGAGAATCAGCACCATGGCCCCAAAGTATCGTACCAGGAGACGGTACATTTGAGTCACCTGTTGCCTCAATGCAGAATCTTGCGGAAGGAATGACCATCCCTTCCTTCTTGCACTGCATACGATACCCCAGAACCTGAGGTCGAAGTTGATGCCTTGTCAGGGAGTATCCTGACTTGTGTTCCAATTTATGGATAAACAACGCATAGCTGTAACGTGACAATTCAATGCATCGAATGGCCACCGCCGCCTAGGCCTGGAAGCCAGCCAGCATCTTTTCCGTCTCGGTGACGCCGAGTCCGTTTCATTTTCGTGGCTCTAGAACCTTGCCCTTCTTAACAGACTGCCAGTCCGGAAGTAATAGCCTTTCTTCCATGATGGCACACTGCTCATATGTAATCAGGGCGGTCAGTAGGCCACAGGTAGCAGCTTCCCTTGCAGCCTAGTGATATCGGCTGGTTTCTGCAGTGCTCCTGGTTAATATTGAAGATCAGAGTTTGACACACAGCTTACTACCACGATGACTTTCTACCAGAGAGCGCTATCGGAGATAGGCGATAAAGAGAGAATTTGGATGCTTCAAAGCCTCTTTTTAGCGCGATGAAGACTGCGATCTATTCGCATATTTTCAGAGAGAAAACTTTTGCACTGCCCCAGCAGGCCAAAAAGGTGCTGCCGAAAAGGTGCCGTAACACCTAGTTGAAGCGAGATCAAGGTAATTCCTTTTGATAGAACCAATTTTTTTTTTTGAAAACAACGCCCAGCGTTCTCGAGACTCGAGGTGGTAGAGAAGAAACAATTCAAGTTCAATTGGGTCTTGAGGCATGCAGAGAATGTGCAATCGTCAAAACCAACACAACCGAATCATCGCATAGATGAACAATTGAATCTCAATCTTCAATCATATTCCCCCCTGGTTAGCTCGAAGTAGATTCGCTTAATGGTTTCGGATCTATCTGCCGAGTGTGGGGAATTGCGTGGATGGTTCCAGACGTTCATGATTCGCTGAGCCTCGTGGTTGCTAAACTGTCGGCCCAAGCGGAGGCGCGAAACTCCGACTCGCCGATCTTCTTATTCAGCGTGTCCCTTGGCGCCCGGACATCTTGGCCTGATTGTCTTGATGTCATTTGTCAGTCGACTGATCGCTGCAGAGAAGATGCTGAACAATTCCTGGAAGATGGAGTCTCAATTATCAAGCCAACTGACTTTGCCAATGTATATAAGGGCCGTGGTTCCCTGAAGAGAACGATCCATCAACAAGAGAACACTCTCATCCACCACCAACAACTCTCTACAACCCATTCCATCAAAACAAACAGGCACCCATAAAAATGTCCAAACTCCTCACCGTCTTCGGAGCCACAGGCCGCCAGGGCGGCTCTGTCATTCGCACCGTCCTCGCCGACTCCAGCCTCTCCAAGCAATTCAAGATCCGTGGAATCACCCGCGATGTCTCGAAGCCGGACGCTAAGGCCCTCGCGGACAAGGGTGTCGAGATGATAAGCGTGTGTAACCTCTTTTTCGAATTTTGTACCCAAAGTAACACAGCTAATATATGCACAGGCTGATATGACTTCCGTCCCGTCGCTCGTGCAAGCCCTAACAGGCTCACACTCGGTCTTCCTCGTGACAACGCCTACATTCACCCAGAACTCCGACCAGGAACTCACGCAAGGCAAGAACGTCGCTGATGCCGCCAAGGAGACAGGCGTGCAGCACCTGATTTACTCGTCTTTACTTCATGTCACTGAGACCACCGGCGGTCGTCTCAAGGACGTCCCGCACTTCGACCACAAGGCCGAGATTGAGAGGTATATCCGCTCTCTCGGCGTGCCTGCTAGCTTTGTACTTCCCGGGTACTTCATGTCCAATTACACCTCTATGGGCATGATTCTGAAGGGTGAGGACGGTGTTTTCAACCTCGCCTACCCTGTTAGCGAGGACTCCAAGTTCCCGCTTATCGATATCGACGCTGATATGGGTGAGTTCATAACCTCTACCCTTGAAACAACGCACACCAGGCTAACTTGAGAACAGGCAAATACGTCGCCATCGCACTCAAGAATCCCTCCAAGACCCAAGGCTCTCAAATACTTGCCGCAACCGACTACTACACACCAACCCGCATTCTCAAAGAATTCGAAGAGGTAACCGGACACAAGACGCGGTTCGTCAAGATCGACAACGAGACGTACAAGAGCTTTATGCCGGGGTATCTGGGCCTTGAAATGCTGGAGAATCACCTGTTCATCGAAGAGCCGGGGTACTACAACGGCCGAAGCCTGAAGGAGAGCCAGGATCTGTTGGCGGAGGCCGGGTACAAGCCTACTACGTGGAAGGATTTTCTGGAGGAGAACAAGGCTGCTTTTGTCTAAGGCTTCTCGTCACTTGTCTTCTTATTTCTTCTGTCCTGAATTGATTGTTTGATATGATACATCCGTCGTTTTATCGGATACTTATTACTATCCGAAATCCTTATGATATGGTCCAACCAACCGGCTCTTCTCCTGCCTTTACTACCTACTAGTAGTGGTAGGTATGGGATCACGCCTTAACTAAAATGGAGGTTACTGTTCCAAGTTAACTCTGCCCCAGCTACCCTAGCCCAAGCTATTAGTCCAGTACCATGCCACCAAATCCCCCAGATCAGAAGTGTAGCCATTTCAACAAAAGCGGAAGTCAATACGGTGTCGAGATCATCGATAACTCTGGCCAAACTAAGGTAGTCCGAGTAACAACGCCCTCTCTTGAAAATCCCCGTAAGTCGGAGCTTGAGACTCGATTTTCAGCCCTACCCCACCGTCCAAGGTTCGAGGGAAGCTGAAACGAGCAGAGAGTTTTCAATAAACCCGGTTCCACCCAGGTTCTTGGCTCCTTCGCAATTATTGAAGTTTGTTTTTGTTTTTTTCTAGATTAGGTACTCGGGTGAATTGATTGATCTTGATCTTGATTTTTATCGTTTGTACTTTTCTTGGGCACCTACTCATCCCGTACTGTCTTCAAGCTTGTGGTTTTTTTGCAATGCTACTTACATGGGATAATCCACATGGAGTGAATTCCTTGATATGACGAATACTAGACTTCATGATACATACTGTTTTACAAATATCAATGTCATCATCCAAGACCATTATTGGAATCGCGTTCTACCTTTGCTGCCCACTCGACATGCTTTTTTCGAGGCTGTGTGAGTAGGCTGAGTAAACCTTGATTTGAACTACCTAGAACTGATCATGCAGGGCGGCCGTAACCAAGGATCCGACAATCCTCACGCACACGCTGGGTGCAAATCTCCAGTCAGATGTGCAAGGCCGGGCGCGCCACGCTGCCAGTATAATTTTGTCGGCCTCTTTCTGGGGCTTTTGATCTTGAGAAAGGCTCTATCTTATGCCCTGCTAGACGGAGACTCCCAAGGTCCCGCAAGGCGACCAATATCTATCTCCGGAAGGTCAGATGGGAGATGACCATGCTTGACCATCCGCTCTCGGAGTTCCTGAAGCGGTTTGACCTCGTTCTTGATGAAGTTCTTTTAAGCAGGCCGGACATTACAACCCCAAGAGTGCGCTATATAATAAAGATTGTGAGTAGCACAGGTAGCCCAGAATTTTCTCTTCAGCTTACTGGCCATCCAATTCATACGCACCAAAGCTTTGAGTCGGGCTTCGAAGTCACGTATCAGAAGATGCAGGATGGCCTGGTAAACCCATCCACGTTAAGAATCTCCATGGGATGCTGCCCGGGCCAGGGAGAGGCAGGCCGCGCTTTTTTCATGGCGACATCACTTCCTTATTTCCCCAGTCCTGCGGTGGTAGATGAGGGTCTGTGGAAAGCGTCAAGTACATGTTATCCCTATTTGGCGGTCTAAGCTTCAGCTCTGGCAGCCACCAGAGTGGAGTCGACTTGCGAACAAGGTAGGTCCGGCCGAAGGATTTTGTATAGATATTGAGCATCTGGGATAGGTTGGATGAACTTGCAGTGTCCTCGTTGATAATCGTTTTATTCGACCGATCTCCTGCGAGGTAAATGCAGACTGGTTTGGAGCATACCTGAAGCTCAATGTTGTAAGGTGCATTGGCCACCGGAACCTGAGCAAGCGCATTGGCTAATGTCCTCCAGCACAACAAAACTGAGTTGTATAGGGGATACCAGGAAACGTTAGAAATACGGCACACGGTAGAACATGATTTATTCGTTATCTACGTACTCCAAAAGAGTTTCTCTTTTCGTGCAGAAATTGAGCACTTCTTCTCCGAAAAATATGCTAGGAATATGTGCTTCGTCCAGGTCACGACCCACAAAGGTAGCGTATTCTGCACTTACTGGTAGGTCTCTAGTGAGGGACATGATTGTAGAAGTTTGCGATAGATAGCAATCTTTTGAGGTTGCTGAAAAGCAGGGAGTTGGCCACGTTCCCTTGCGACAAGGGGAGCTGGCGTCGGCTGGTGCCTCTCGGTACCTTCGTGCGCCAACGAAAACATTTATGTCCCGCTTTATGGATTATCTCTTTGACTTGGGTATTTCGAGGCCTTGTCCTTGCCAATTGGCCCATGAGATCCGTGTAAAGTCAGAGGGGCTGCGAATGAAGCCGCTCGCTAATTGTCTGTAGGGTCCATTATTCCCTAGCCTCAAAGCTTGTCTCTTACCGATGGTTAAATGACTTGTTCACAGTATCTTCTCGAACGATTGCGACGTTATTGTTTGCTTACCAGTGCGACTCGTGGTTCTAAAGCAGGTCTACACGACTGCGCGGGGCAGCTTTCCACTTTTACATCTAGTGCTTTGTTCGAGTACCTGTGGCATTGGAAACCGCTGCCGCAATCGTTTGGTGATCGCACTTGTTGAGATGGCAATAACTTATCTGTCCTCCAATCAGTAAATGAAGGAGTTCTTGACTCTCTCAGCCTATGAGAGAGGAGCTTTTCGTCGAACATAAATGATGAGACGGACTAACTTGACTGATCAGAGCTAGCGTGGGAAACAGCCCCCAATCACCCCGACTCTGTAAACGAGATGACGAATGAGCAAAGCCCGATCGCGAGGCCAATTTGTCTCCGAGCCTTAGTAAAGATGGCTGATGAGCAAATCAACGGACAATAATCGCGGCGTCGGATCTGTCCGACTCCAGGTATTGGGCCAAGAGGGAGTATATAAGAGGAAGGGCCACTTTACCTTTACCTCTCGACCTTCAACAATCAGAAGATATAAAACACCAATCGTCCCAAGCTCGCTTCCGCTCAAAGCAACTCCAAATCCCAATGGACTTTCGATCGAACCCCAAATATCTAGGCTTCGACCTGATCCAAGCCACATACAAGAAAGTCGGCAGCCATGAGATCGAAACCACAATCCTAGTACCTCAAACTCCATACACCGGCAAAAGGCCCACGATAATTCGCATTCACGGCGGTGGTCTGGTGCGTAATACTAGTCTACCTCGCGTTAGCTCACAAACATTAACGAAACATAGGTAATGGGCGACTCACTTTATCCACAATTCTGGCCGCAGTGGCTCTCAGATCTTGCTCTGAAACATGGAGCAGTCATCGTCAGCCCCAACTACCGTCTCCTACCTGAAGCAACGGGCCTGGACATCCATGATGACCTGGAGGATTTCTGGACCTGGCTGCATACCCCTGAAATCCACAACATCCTGGGCAACCGCACAGCACCGACCGATCTCGATCTCGATCGTATTCTGCTGGCTGGCGACTCCGCGGGTGGACTCCTAAGTGTAAACTTTACGCTCTCCCATGGAGCAGACATCCGCGCGGTTACAGCGGCCTACCCGTGTGTATCGCTAGACGCACCCGAGTTCGTCAACACTCGCACGATCCTGCCATTCGGTATCAACACACCCGAGACATTTATCACAGACCATTTGGCATCTAACCCTCTTGACAACCCTGTCTCATCCGATGCTTCACCTGCTCGTACAACGCTGATGTTTGCTGGTATCCAGCATGGGGGGCTGGGTCCCTGGTATGCGCGAGGGTCAGAGAATTCTCCCCGTCGTGGTTTGATATATCCTCTGGAGCGACTTGAGCAACCAGGAATCCAGTTCCCCAAGGGCGGTCTCACAATCACGCATGGCCGACAAGATAGTGTGGTGCCAGTGGAGCAGTCGGAGAGGTTCGTGGCAAGAGCGCGCGAGGTGACGAAGGGCCAACCGGTTAGCGAGAAGATCGTCTTGGTTCTGCAGGATGGGGAGCACGGGTTTGACTCGGAGCTACGGTATGAGGAGACTTGGTTGAAGGATGCGTTGAGGACGGCGGTTGAGGTGTGGTTGGAGTGATCAGTTGGTGTTCTTGGGCGGGTTGTTTGCTGTTTGCTTCGGGGCCGGGTAGATTTGTGTTGCTTTTTGTGCATTTTTTGAGGATATGTTTTTAGAAATTCGGTTTTAGAATATATTCTAAAACAGAGCAACTGGTCATTTGACAAACTAGACAGACAATGTGCCCACAAGTTACTAGCACACTGCCAGTGGATGCTCGATATGCCAACTATCATCCTACCTTCGTTGAAGGAAGGAAGGAGCGGTTTTGCTTGAAGCCGGCTTCGCCAACCTTTCTAATTATTTATCGTGTTCTCAGCTCATCATTTCTTTGAAACATCCGCAAGAAACAACGTGATCTCACAGGCCATATAAGTCTCTAACCTCCATCTATTCAACATTGGGAACTACCCCTCTTGTTTAGTGCTCGCCCCTTTCGAAACCTCTTCGTACCTTCAAACACTCTTCGGGGGAATCGTGACCAGCCCCTTCCGCTCCTTGACCCGCCACTGCATCGCCTTTAGTGTATGATACAGAAATGTTGCCGTTGGCATCGACACCCCCCGCGCCGTTCCCTCACGTAACGGCTCCCCAAGGATATTCTCAAACTCGGTCATGTTTCCCTACAGCACATCAGCCTCGACAATTCTGCGGAAGGAAGCATGAACGAAGAAGAAAGAGAAGAGACATACCCTCTCCACATCCTCCAACATACTCGGTCGCAGATATATCGTCAACGGATCAACGTGAATCATCTTATCCACAACCCCCTCGGGCAACTCAATCCCCGCCGCCTTTGCTGCAGCAACAATCTCCTTCATCGCAGGCCTGAGCAGCGTCTCCACCGTATCTTCCGCGAGCCGAATTCGTCCAGTGTCCAGCCCTGTCACAGCACATATCGTGTTCAAGCACGCGTTGTACACGAGCTTTTGCCACCGGTGCAGTGGCACGTTACTCGTATACGTGCAGACTGTCTTCCCGGATGCTGAATAGATGTCCACAAATGACTGTGCTGCGGCTTCTTGCTCTGCGACCTCGAGGTTAGGGTTGGTGAAGGCGCCGATAATGAGTCTGTCGGGATCGTCGTGCTCAATGAGACCCGGGGATGTTTCGTGAGAGCCGATGAGACTCACGCCGGAAAGACATATATTGTGCGGATACAGCTTGAAAAACGGCTTTTCGATGTTCAGTCCGTTTTGGATGAGCACGATGATTGTCTTCCCCGGGATTACGGCGGGGAAGATGAGTTCTGCTGTTGTGGGCGAGTGATCAGCAATATTTTTCGTCGCCACAACGATATAGTCGAATTGCTGCTCCTTGTGGCTGGGGATTTTGTTGAGGACTGTCTCCGAGGTGTGGTCAGAATCATATCGTTGGATACTAGCGAGGGGATTGAGCTCGAATACCTTCATGGGGCCGCCAGGCTTTAATCTCTCCATGATCAATGGATCTGATGTGGAAGCCCTCGGAGGTGACTTTTGTGTAGTTGGATCGGAGCACTGTCGTGACGGCTGCTTGGCCGCCCAGGGTGAGGTTGAGGGCGGCGATTGTTCCTACTCCGCCAGCACCGACGAGGAGAACGGTTGCTTTCTTGGTCATCTTTGGGGTTGTTCCGAGGTCACTTTCACTACCGACGAGATGTGCGACTTTATATGGTCCTGGAGCTCTGGTGACTATTGTCCCCGCCACGGAGACGCCTTCCAGCTACATTTCGGCTCATGGCCACTAGAGTGACGCTATTATGGCTATTCTTATCTGTGGATAAGATTGATAACGATTCCTACCAATAAAAGAAAACTACATCGATCTGACCTGCCATCTTTATTTCGCTTCCTGAGAAAGATCAAAATCTCCGTATTCGTCAAGCTGCTCGCCACGGAGATGCTGTAGCGGTGTCTTGAAATTGATAAATCCGATGTTAGGACTGGAAAGCTCGTATCCCATGATCTTTGGACTTCTGGAGACCAGGAAAATACGTCTTCGGCTGAATTGGCCAGGTAGATGTTCTCCTCCCCTCGATAGAACCCTCTGGCGAAGAAGAACCCATGGAGGATCCTCCGCTCGCTTTCAGTGATGTTGGCACCGCCTGCATGGTATAGACCTCCCAGCATTACCCAACAATCTGTCACCTCCATCTCCGCAACTATGGCTTCGCTTGTTCTAGGCGCTCGATCCGATCCCCATAGATGGGAGCCAGGGATAGCTGTCGTTGCTCCGTTCTCAAAGGTTGTCTTTACTCCAGGGACCATGAACGCCATCATCAATCACATCGGATCCCTTCCGGTAGCCCGTCGCTGTCTGATCTTCGTGGTCCACATGGAATTTCTTATCATCGCGGTGCAACCGCTGGGCCTTTGCACCAGGTCCGATGTCGAAGGTCATTGCCATGGAGCATATGGCCTCACTCGTGTATGTGTGTTTCGTCTCGCCGTAGAAGTTGGAGGTGGTCTTATCCACGAAGAACCCTGTCAGCTTGTGGATGATAGGATCAACTATCCACTTGTCTCGCACAGTCTGGCTTCTTCCAACCAGGTTTGTGCACCGCCTTGTCTCTGGAGGAAACAAATCTCCCTGCAAGATTGTGAGCACATCTTCGCTTGTTCATTGTGCTATGACATACCTTCCATGGTTTATCTGCTTCGATATATGGCCGCACCTCCTTGTTGACTTTTTTCACCGTCTCGACGCTTGTAAAGTTCTTGATGATGCAACACCCATCCTGCACGATAGCTGGCTCTTACTTCAAATACTTCTGTCGGAACAATTCTCGAGCAACTTGACCTCCAGGGAGATGAACTTCAGGAAGGGACCAGTGCTTCTCAGGGGCCTTTTCATGTGTTTTGCACCGAGGAATCTACAGTACCGACGACACCGTTGCCGGTTCCCGCAGATGTTCTTGACCCTGAGCTTTGGAGACTTCTTGCGGACTGCAATGCGGGCACTTTGGGTGGAGAAGAGCTCATTACAGTTCCTTGGCCGGCAAACACTTGTATAGCGGATGGTTCAGCACTACCAGAGGAGGTGGAAGGTCATACCAGCTCTCCGTCTCCTCGAAATCAGCAAGCCTCGTCGGAGCCACCAGTATATGAGTCACTGCTCACACTAGGACCCTCATTATCAACTCCGTTAGATCTACAAGAATTTCTCATGCCGACAGCAAAATTGCTACTCGACCACTATCAGACCATATCTACCACACTCTATACTCCTGCGCCTGTTGAATCCAAAACACCTTGGGAAATTCTCTACGTGCCGAATCTGCTGAGCACGCTAGGCGAGGTCGCACTCACTGGAAACAGCAGTGATGCTAGGTTGTCGCTTCTCTTCGCCGTGCGGACCATCAGTGCTTTCAGATTAGATATAATTCAGCCCATACCAATGAGTCGGCGACTCCCAGTTGGCATTCGCTCGGAGTGGTATATCGTGAACGAGCAACCAGGGGGCTGCAAATGACATTACGTGGCCTATCGGGAACTGCTCCAAAGAGAGAGAAATACAAGAATATTTTGATGCCTCTGTTGAGTATGGTGACCATCTGTGTAAGTTTTGCCTTCGGCACTTTACCTCGTCATGAAACGAACTGCTCGAATCTAGGATGTTAGTGGTGAAATGAAAAATGCAGCTCACTACTTGAGTGTCATCGAGCGGATTATCACACGATACGGGATTCCCAAAGTCCGGAAATCGCGCAAGGTTAAAATGCTTCATAGCATCTATCTCTACCTTCGCATCCTAACGAGAGGTGCCCACATCTATGATCAAAGTCTAGCCAGCGATCCAGACGAGAGTGCAAACCCGGGTGCAAGGCCATCCTCTCAGGAGACGACGTGGGACGTACTGCTAGAAGAATCCTCTCATACAACTGACACGCTGAATCTGAGCTTTATGCAAAATCTGGCTCCTGTGAAGACGACTTTCGAGCAAATATACTCTCTCTCGGAGTCACTATTCAAACTGATCTTCGAAACAACTCAACTATCAAGCACAATAGACAAGCTTCGCCATCAAAGACCGGCGCACACGGACCATGACGCACTATCGGAGAATGTGAAGACGCTCGAAAATCGCATATGCCAATGGGACTATAACTACAGGGAAAGCACTCAATTGCCTGATCCTGCAGGCACACAATTGCCCCAGAAAGAACTATTTCCGTATCATCTTATGCATGCTATCTATACTGCTCTGATCATATACTTCTACCGAGCTGTTCGAGACGTGAACCCTATTGCATTGCAACATTATGTTCAGCAAACTATATACCACCTCCGTCAATATGACAAACACAAAGAGGAACGGAAAGATCGCTCTTCGGATATATGCTGGCCTGCGTTTATTGCAGGATGCGAAGCAACCAGTTTGCATTTCAGACAGCAGATCTCGGAGTGGCTAAGAAAATGAACAAACTCCAGTGGGATGCTCATGCTCAAAGTGGCCCTTGAAGCTCTTGAGAAAGTCTGGGCTGCTGAGAGTGGTCCTGGAAATCAAGATCGCTCCTGGAGTAGTATCCTCAGCGAGTCCACCGACATGAGGGTCTTGGTGCTCAGCTAGCGATACGTATCGCTACGGGAGAAATTTCATAGAGCTTTGTACCCATCGTGAGATACAACCGCTTCGTATTGCAAGTACACCTGGAACTCAGCATACAAACGCTCCTGTATATATGTCAGTAGCTTTTGATGCAAGGTCAACGCAGAACCCACCGACTCACTGGTACTTTCAAAATTGTACCGAGCCGCTGCATCGTCAATGTAAACCTTCTGACGGCCAACAGCAGCGGCTGCATCAGTCGCAAGCTGAATTTGGCAGCTCTTTTCCATAAGCAGGAAAAGATATGCAGCCTCGTCAACAGTACCTCCGACGGTAAGTAGGCCGTGGTGTCTTAGGATCATACCTTTGCCTTCCGCGCCGAGAGCTGCTGCTAACGCCGCTGATTCTTCTTCTTTCAGGACGACGCCACCGAATTCTTTATAGACGCTCTGGGCCTTGGCGCAAAACATTGTGACGTCCTGGTTCAGCATCTCTAGGGGCTGGGCGGAATGCGGACCACGCCTTGCCATAGGTAGAATGGAAATGACATGCAGCATTTACGTCGGGCCTGGCCTTTGTGAAGTGCGGCATGAATGAGGAATCCGGCTGCGTTGGCTGGACGTGACATGTTTCCCCCGACAGCTACGCCAGACTCGTCGACAAGTATCAGATCGGATGGTTTGACGGGGGCGAAATGAAATCCGAGACTATCGTCCGTGAAGATTAGTGTACGAAGAATCTGGTCATGCCAAGGTGGTGTCGTACGGGTTTGTCCAGAATCTCTCAGGGAACTCGGGATCTCTTAGTGAGATATGCCCACTCATTCCTTCAACAAAGCCATGTCTCGCAAAGACCCTGAATGCTCCCGCCATATGGTTCAGCATGTGCTGCCGTTGGAGCTCCACATTGGTAAACTTCGGCACTCCAGGCAGCGGGGTGCCCTGTGAGATTTTCTCTAGGGCCGTTTCCTTTTTATCTCGGGAGATGTCTTGCGCCGCGGCTGGCTGGTCGATTGACGGAGCCATTGCAGTATATCAGTAGTCAGGAAGCGGGTTGGAGATACCTAGGATGGTAGATTCTGAAAACTAGGAATCTGGCGAAGATCTCTATGGGGGATGAAACGCTTAGCTTTTCGGCTGGTTCAAACGAAAGTTCGGCATCGCCTTCTGGATTCGAGCTTGGGAAGGCGACCCCGAAGCCGATGATCGGTTATCTTTTATCGCGTGGAAAGATGACGCACTTGGAGATCCCCAGATTGCGGCTGGACAGACGATCCCACTTCTGACATCCCTTTATCCAAGGCAGGTTTCTTATCATTTGGCGAATCAGCTGTTGTTTATCGCATTCTTTTAAACCGAGCACGCCCCATGTGGCAGTCCGCTTACCCCTATGCATGCTTCTGCTACTCCATATACAGCGAGGATTCTATGCTGATTGCCTTGAACATCTTTGTCCACGTGTCTTTCTATTTTTTCCATAATGAGTGATGACGAAGAATCACAGACTCCTTCCGCTGAAAAGAAGGCCAGTCTAGAACCAACCATCAGCGTTAATGTAGGCGAGAGCGACAACCTCGGAAGCTTGCACCAGTCCTTTACTCCAAGACAGGTCCATGTGAGTACTGATTACGCTTTTCCGTTGCAAGGTAAGCTTACCATTGCAGGTCATCTCCTTAGGTTACAACACCGACAGTGGATTGTTTATTGGCACCGGCAAGGCACTCGCAAATGGAGGCCCTGGGAACATGATCCTCGCATACCTCGCCGTTTGCCTTGGTGTCTGGGCTCACCTACAGACTCTCGCAGAGATAACCATCGCTTTTCCAACGTCCGGTAACTATATCGACTATGCTGATCGATGGGTCGACCCGGCCCTGGCTTTCGGTGCAGGGCTTGCTGAATGGCTCGGTATGCCTAGACGCTCAATGGTGATTTCTCCGGTGCTAATAGGCAACCAGGATGGACGGCTGTGTTTGTATCGGAAGGAACCTTTTTTGTCGTTCTAGTTGACTACTCGGCAAAAGGTTCTGTGCCAGAAGCTGTTCTACGTAAGTTCACTCTCCTCAAGGACCGGAGCTGCCTTTAACATTGGATAGTATCCATTTTTGTTGCGATATGCCTCGTGGTATTCTCGGTTCCAAACCAATACTTTGCCTGGCTTCAGTACATCGGATCATTGGTCAAAGTATTTCTGTTCATTTTCAACACCCTCATCTCTCTGGCCTTAATCGGAGGTGCCGGACCCAGTGGTTCTGTCACCGATGGAAGCGTATGGACTAAGCGTATGGACTGACTTTCCAGTCTTCAAAAACGGCTTTAGGGTGAGTGAGCTTACAATACCAAGGAGCCTTGGTTGACTCTTAGTAGGGCTTTGCCAGTGCGGTACTTCTCGCAATCTGGGCCATTGGCGATCAAATCTATATCGGTGTGCTCGGCGGAGAGGCGAAATATCCACGATATTCAATGGCGCATGCAGCAAACGTGGTTCCATGGCGCGTTAGTGTCTTCTACATGGTCTCAGTTGTCCTTGTCTCAGTCCTGCTGCCTTCGTCATTTCGATACTTATCCTAATTTGTCTGCTATACAGTAGCATCGAATCATTGGTACGTCTCTTAGACCTCCTATTATTTCTTTGAGAATCCCTACTCATGCGACTGATTCCCAGGGCGACACGGGCTTCACCGCATACAACTTCTTCGTGAATCATTGGAATCCTAGTCATCGTTGTGCCGACAGCGTTGTACAAGATTGTCCTGCGCACGGAGTGGCGTGACCCCGCCGCGGTGGATCTGGTCACTGGGAGGAGACAGTTGACGCCAGAGGAAATTATCCTTATGGACAGCCACTACAGTCGGCCGCTTTGGAGGAGGGTTGGGACGTATGTGAAGCTTTGGTAGACATTCCCCAGTATTACTCTGTTGCCGTTGATGTATAGTAGTACTAGGATGGCTTTTTGAGATTAGTATTTGACTTTAGGCTTATTTTCAGGATTGAAGCAGCTGGATCTACTTTGTCAAATGAGCCAGAAGCACATCTTGAGTTCCAATACTACTACATAGAGGCGGTTGTTATTTCCGCACCATCTATCTTGGAGTTCTGGTTATCAAGAAGATAAGATTGATATCGATATCCCTATCGATAAGCTGGATAGCCTCATGAATTCCCAATCGGGCAAGCGGCGGCGATTCCGCCCGCCCCGCAGGCGCCACAGCTCCGTCAGTTGGGTAACCCCGCATTTAGAGATATAACACCCTTCACGAATGAAGTTGGGTTGGCTCTCAAACTTTGGCTCAGTCTTCATCCTTTTGAGTTTTTGCGTAGGACATATCGTACAAGCAACCGCACTGCTGGATGGGTTGCGTTACTCTTGAGGAAATGATTTCCTTTACTTACTCGATATTACGTTGAGTTGCAGGTGATTGCCCCAAAAGTGTATGGATTTGCCACGAGACTACGGGGGTGCTCGATATGCGGCCCTCAACGTCGCGAGGATATCGTCGGCTCGCCACGTCCTTGTCAGGTCAGTGCGTACGTGCTCGGTCTATTGAGAGACCGCGGTCTGGACGGGTCTAGGTACGAGCACAGACTCTATCTAGCTCGTCCCCTGCAGCGTGACTGTTTGTTTGTCTTACATTTTAACTCAAAGAAACTCTCGAGGAACTGTCGAGCTGACTGCCAGTGTGTCTGTCACGAGGCCCGAACGCGGACAAAGAGATTCGAGCCAAATTGCGGCCTGACCTGATGGAGTCGAGTCGTGAATGACTCTCAATGGACACCATTGCCGAGATTTTAGGCCAATTTCGATAACGGAGGACGCCGACGACTGGTTGCGCAGCGCAACGCAGCGCAGATTGTATGGGAGGACTGTAGGAGCTTGTGGAGAGTCGAGGATGGCGATTCGCAGCCGTCAAAAAGACCCTCCGAGTTCTTTTCAGATTCAACCCGACACCAGCGCCATTGGCAAATCTTGTTAGCCCTCAACAATCATTCGTCTCCGCGGAGTCAATCAGCGTAATAAAATTGGCTGCAGATGTGGTGCCAAAAAGCGCTAACCGCTTCGATACGTGGACAACAATGCGCAGCAGCGCAGCCAGTGCAGTCAGTCAGACGGAGCCCCTGTCACAGATTGGTAATGCCGCGCAGAAATCCATCGAGTCAATGGAGGGCCCCGGAATGATCCTTCGCGGATTGAAATTTTGATCGAGTAATTATACCTCGGGGCTGAGGTGTCAGGAAAGCGAGGGTCGAGCCGATCGCGGATTCCGGAGACGGCCGATGGCGAGACGGGGAGAGAAGGGAGGACAGAGTCGACAGACTGGGGAGTCGTGGAGACAGAAGACAACTGGAGTAAAACCATGGGTCGAACCTCGAAGAAAAAAAGAGATTGAAGGAGGCGACGGATTAACCGGCAGTCCCGATCTCGGACCTAGTCCCAATTTGGCAATGGTGAGGGTATCCCAAGCGTTGCGAAGAAAGGGACCCTTTCTGGCGCTTGCCACTTGCGCACGATGCCCAGAAAGGGTTTTAACTGCGTCCACGTCAATCCAACGTCTGTATGACCTTTGGTCAGGGGGGCAAACAGCGAGAGGAGCTGGTGCTGGTGGTGGTTGAGGCAGAGAGTGGACAATAAGATCGAGTAAGGTGGTTGTGTCCGGCGGTTGGGGTGGATCCAGGTCTGGGTCCCGCAGACGAAGTTTTTGCAGTTTTTGTTACTCGATGGATAACTCTCACGAATCCAGTTGGATTGCAACGCCTATCGAGCTATATAAAGACATGCCCAAGGCTCTTATCAGTTGCCGCTTTGCTTTCAGCGTCTGACTTGGCTTATCTCCTTACCTGCGCGCCTTATCTTGGGTTATCTCCATTAATCCCACGCTTCCCAGTCCGTTCTTTTCTTTCCTTTTTTTGAGCGGTTCCTTTATCCTCTACTTTCATCCTTGGGCGTTTTCTCTCCCACCGTTCTAACCCACTTCGAGATGGACGCCGACATCCCTGCCATCGCCGTCTTCACCTCGTCGCGAGCCGTCGTCGGCGGCCGCCTGACCTCTGCCACCATTGTTGTCTCGCGCTCCACGGGCAAGATCACAGCCGTCTTCGACTCGGTCATCCCCGTCTCAGACTTCCCCGATGACACTCCCTACACTGACTTCTCCCCGTATGTGCTGCTCCCCGGATTGGTTGATGCTCATGTCCACCTCAACGAGCCGGGCCGCACCGAGTGGGAGGGCTTCTATACAGGCACCCAGGCCGCTGCCTTTGGCGGTGTCACCACCGTCATTGACATGCCTCTCAATGCCATCCCGCCCACTACCACTGTAGAGAACTTCAAGGTGAAGTTGCAAGCCGCCGAGGGCAAGTGCTGGATTGACGTCGGCTTCTATGGCGGCATCATCCCCGGCAATGCGGGCGAGCTCAAAGCGCTAGTCAAGGAGGGCGTTCGTGGCTTCAAAGGATTCCTTATCGACAGCGGGGTAAGTTTATCGCCGTCCCTTGGTTATCAGCATCATGATAGTATGTGATAAGGATCGTATACTCACATGCATTGTAGGTTGAAGAGTTCCCCGCTGTCTCTTCTGAAGACGTTCGAAAGGCTATGGTTGAACTGGCCGATGAGCCTACCACGCTCATGTTCCATGCTGAGATGGTCCCTCCCAAGACCTCGTCGTCTGACGAGGATGCTCTTGTCGTACCCGAGGGTGCCCCAGAGGCATACTCCACCTTCCTGGCCTCGCGCCCTTCAAACTTTGAGACATGTGCCATTGAAGAGATCCTCTCCCTGTCTCATCTTGCGCCCAACCTCCCTCTGCACATCGTCCACCTTTCCGCTATGGAGGCCATCCCCATGCTGCGCAATGCCCGCGCAGAAGGCGTTCCCATCACCGCCGAAACATGCTTCCACTACCTTTCCCTCGCAGCTGAGGAGATCCGCGATGGCGACACTCGCCACAAGTGCTGCCCGCCCATCCGGTCAAAGAACAACCAGGACGCCCTCTGGGCCGAAATTGACCGCCACGCCGAGGATGGTGTCATCAAGACTGTCGTCTCAGACCACTCCCCTTGCACACCAAACCTCAAGCTCCTCCCTTCCCACATCCCAGGCCACTGCGCTCCGACGCCGAAGTCAACAACCACAACGACCGCACCGGCAACCACAGACCCCGTCATCAACGAGGGTAGCTTCCTCTCCGCTTGGGGCGGCATCTCCTCCGTCGGCCTTGGCCTGCCCATCCTCTGGACGGAGCTCTCCCGCCGCAAGGGCCTCGCCTCGCACCCCAACGACACGACAACCAAGCAGTCCCTGCAAGACATTGTGCGCCTCTGCTGCGCCAACACCGCCAAGCAGGTCGGGCTCGAAAAGTCCAAGGGCGACCTTGTCCCCGGGTTCGACGCCGACTTTTGCGTCTTTGACGACACGGCCGAGTGGGTCGTTGAGCCGTCCACCATGCTCTTCCGCAACAAGTGCTCGCCGTACCAGGGTAGGACGCTCCGCGGTATGGTCCGCGAGACCTGGTTGCGTGGTGAGAAGATCTTCAACCGCGAGGAAGGGTTCAGCGCCAAGGCGCCGACGGGAGGGCTGTTGCTTGAGACACGGGTTTGATTCGACTTTTTCTCCTTTTCCCTCATTCTTCGAGCACCACCTTGCACATACGCATCTCTCCTTTCCTATCTTCCATCATGATTGCCCCTGCGCTGCGTACTCCAAAGCGCCATTGCCACAGAGCTGGTCGACCTATATATATGACGACGACCAAGAAAACAAAAAAAGAAAGAGACACATATGATACCCACTAATGAATGACCCGCACAGCATCTGAGCATGAGCATGAGAAGCATGCCGTGTTCTGCATTACACCAGCGAGTGTAGACTTCTTTTCGTTAGCTTTTTTGTTTGATAGAGAATACCATAATCATGTTCGTGATAATTTTTGTTCCTTCGGACCATAAATCTCTCTTCGACTTGTAGAAGTTTGATGTAGCGCAAGGTTGTCTCTTGAAGTGGCAATCGTCTTTCGACGAGAGATAGTTCATTTTCGTTGGAAGTCATCTGGTAGTATCGTACAAATCGTCTGCCTGTCTGCGCTACTGCCTTCCAGTGACATGTAAGACAGAACAGGACAGAACTGCAGGACAGATAAGTCCACTAAGCGAGCTTGACAAAACTTACTATAGCCCCATCCCTGTATCCATCCGTCCATTCGTCACCCAGCATGGCCTTCATCCTTGTCTTTCTTCTCCCCTTCTTCCCACTTTTCTCTTACCCGTCTCCGTACGCCTCCATTGGGACCTCGTCCCCAGATGACATCCTCATCTTTCTTGTCGGGAACAGGCACGGGAATAGGAGTTTCATCATCCGCATCCTTACCCCTCGCCCGAACTTCCTCTTTTTGGATAACCCTTTTCCTCTCCTTCATCTTCTTCTCCTTCTTCCTCGCTTGCTCCACCTTTCCCAGATAAATCGCATAAATGGTCACTTCCGCAACACCAATGGCCAGCGCCGCAAACAGCGAAAGGAGTACGCGGATGGGCTCAGAGGCACCCCTACCACCAGTATGATTATGCACAGACGCCCTCGCAGAAGGCGACCACATCGACACAATGGTCGAAACTAGCACCTCCGGCGTCTGAAACGACGTCAGCGCCCAGTAGACACTGAACCCGGTGATGAGGACGGAGAGGAAGATGTTTAGCACGAGGGAGGGAGTGAGGGGGTCATTGTATTCGGAGTCTGAGTTCGCGTTCGGGTTTGTATCGTGTAATGCGGCCAAGGTTGGTGTTGAGGATGCGAAGATGTCTGGTGATTGGGATAAGGTGTTGTTTGCGGCGTGTGCTGTGTGTGGTTGGAGCATGCGGTTGTAGGCGTCTGATTCGGCGGCGGCGAGGAGGCGCGCTTTTAGCGCGAGGTATTCAGGGCTCTATTCATTTATCGGTTAGCTCTTTTCGGATACGCATGAGGAATGATAAACGGCGGCGCACAGGTTCTGGTTTCGGAGGCGGAGGCGGGATGTGCAGTCTTGTTCCGCGGAGGAGGGAGTCGAGGTCGAAGCTCCTGCCTTCGATCTTGGTGGATATAGAGACATCTTTAGATATGTGCTTATCGCGGAAATAGCGAGATATGCGGATTATTTGATCGTGGGATATCGGGTTCCCCGGGTTCAGCGTGTTGGGGACATTGAGCTCTTCGCGGGAGGAGGGAGGGATTGCCTCGAGGGCGGCGAGGATGCGAGGCGTTGCGATCAGGCGGACCATGATGGACTTTTGCTAGATTGATGGATCCATAGTATTTGGTAATTAAGGGTGAAGTCAGATGTTGAGGAGACGTGCAAGCTCAAGTCGATTCCAGGTCCAAAAGCAAGGCCAGGTCCTCGGTAAGCCACCTTTCCCGAAGAGGAAATCAACTCCCCCACTCCGCTTGACACTTTTCTCCCACTGCATCATCTCAGACTACACCCCAGCTACACTCTCCTCAACACCAGGACAGAAGTACACATATCACAATGGCAGACAAGAAAGCAACGTACGCTGTCTCCCATCCCATCCTAACCGACTCCATTCCAACCCTCGTGCTCTAACACAATCTAACCAAACCAGAGAACCAACAACAAACCCCCGCGGCATCCCCGTCGCTCCCTTCGTCGACAATGTCTCCGACTACGTAACGACCCGCGCAGACGTCGAACCGACCATGAACTCCTTTCGCGAGATGATATCTAAGTACCAATTCATGGAAGTCAACACAACGCGGCGCGCGGCGGGGCTCCGCGAAAAGATCCCGGACATCAAGAAGACGCTCGAGATGGTTCATTTCTTGAAAGCGCGGCGCGAGAATAGCTTGGGGCCCCTCGAGACGAACTTTGAACTTAATGATACGCTTTATGCGCGCGCGGCGATCGACACGCAAGATACCGATGAGGTGTACCTGTGGCTCGGGGCGAATGTGATGCTTGCGTATCCGATTGACGAGGCTGTGGTGATGTTGGAGGAAAAGCTCAGTGCTGCAGAAGTGAGCTTGGCGAATTGTGATGAGGATTTGGAGTTCTTGAGGGAGCAGATTACGGTATGTACTCGTCCTCGTTCTTGGTGCCAAGTGGTGGTGGCTAATCAATCGGTTGTAGACACTGGAAGTTGCTACGGCGCGTGTGTATAACTGGGATGTTGTGCAGAGGCGGAAAGAGAAGGCGGAGGGGAAGGAAGAAGACAAATAATTGATAGTTAAGTTAAAGGGGTCAGGTAGCTGGCTACTGACCTGCGATATGTGCTGTCTTTCTGTTGAACTAAGCGATCTATATAACTTGTCTTAGTTGAACTAGACTGCAGTTGACTCTCTAGCAGCCTAGGGAATCGAATGCGGTATGATGGCATCGTTTGATTCCTATATATGTAGACGCTTGGGGGTGTTTCGGCAAATAAGGCACTCTAGCTTGTACATTCAATTCGATCATTGATAAAGCCTGTAAAACTCATTATCGCTTGGACAATTATATGAATTCGTGTCTATCGTAGGCCTCATAAACATCGTTCTAGATGCTGAAAACCAGGTGTATCATGAAAAGGTCAACCAATAAACAACCGGAAATATGCGCTTAGATGAGCAGCTTAAAAAGTAGCACCAAATGCTCAGCGGTGTCATAGGCAGTTCATTCAAAGGCGTTCTTAGGCGAGGAAAAGTGAAAGCGAGGGAAAAAGATTTGGCAATATCCCAGAATTGTCAACGATATATCAAACAAAAACCCAATCATTGGAGGTCATCAATCATCAATCAGAGCCGCATTCAGGCTCCAAAAAGTGCATCGTTTACTTGGGAGAGTCGACGAAATGTGTGCTACCCAAAAAGAAGGGCTCAGGCGAGTTATTAGCATCGGACACCGTTCTATCGCGGGCTCGCTTCGCAGCATCGAATTCGGCTTCGTCGTCAACGAGCGTCCAATCTTCAATATCGGCAAAATCGTCTTCAGTGTCAGGCTTTGCCGCTTGTGTAGGAGAAAGTGGTGTAGAGGAAGCAATCAAGCGCTGTTGAGTCAGGGTTCGGGCGTATTCCAAATTCCGGTAGATGGTTTGTATAGCCACGCCTACACCATCCTCCTGTCTGATGTTAGTAGCCGTAATACATATTTTGATAATTAGGGATCTTACATTGCGTATCCGCTCTCCAAGGTTCCTAGCCTTCACAATCATGCGCTCGCTATGTGTGACCTCCCACAGGGCACGGGAAAACACGCTGACATTCAGCTTCCTCATGCAGATGCCGACGCCGAGGTCTTCAACCCTGTTCCCGAAGAAAAACTGGTCGCCAAAGAACGGTTTGACTATTGTGGGCACACCGGCCCGGAGGCTTGCTCCGGTAGTCCCCGCGCCACCGTGATGGGCAGCAGCATCAATATGTGAGAAAAGCCAGTCGTGGGGCGCAGATTGGATCTGATGAATTTCAGGTGGCAGGGGGATCTCTGCTTTCGCACTCGATGGATCTCCAAGTCGAGCCGACCATCCTTTGGAGAGAATGCAGCGTACATCCGCCTTCAAAACCGACTCGATGACAGTTCTCGTCAACGCAGCCGGATCTGACACCACGATAGACCCGAAGCCTATATAGACAATCTTCTTTCCGTCCTCTCGTGCACGTTTCATGAAATCCGCAAGTTCTTTGGGAGGAGTCCAATTGGACCCTTCGTTGAGGAACCAGTACCCGGTTATATCAATCCAGTCTGGGTAGTCAAGAGGCGGTGGCACGACTGAAGGCGAGTAGTTGTAGAGGAACGGAACCTTGTTGGGAGCCATCTTGTCCATATTAGTAGACTTGAGTCCTAAGTCTTTCGCTCTCCAGCGGTTCACTTGTTTGGAGATGGCCTGCCAGAAAACGGTGTCAAACATCATGTAGGAGATATAATTATACGCGCCGCCCATTCTATGTTCCGGCACTGCGAATGCATGAGGGTACGCGCGTGTTCGAGACCAAGGCATTGTGAAGCCGCGAAAGTATGGGATTCTCAGAGCTTCGGCAACATGTATTCCAGCCATCGCACTCGGAGACTCGATGAGTATGTCGCTACCCTGGCAAGCTTTCCAAGCAGAGGACAGCAGATCATCAATCCAACCCCGGAACTTGGCGGTAGCTTCTTTGAGAAACGAATAAGTAAACATTCCGTTTTCCACGCAGAGCCTCATGAGTTCAGCTGGGTCACCATCCACCGGCGCAAAATCAATACCATGCTTCCGAATCCAAGGTTCGAATTCGGCGTGTGTGGCGATCTTGGGCTTGTGTCCTTCCGCCAAGAAGCCCTTGCACAAGGCGATATATGGCTGTACATCGCCACGTGAACCGATTGTTAGGCATGTGATCCTTAGAGACTCGGTGGGTTTGAAGTTGACAATCGAGGCACGCGGGTCGTCAAAGATGGTTTGAATCTCGGACGACTCGTCTAGTGCGGAGCGTAATTCTTGCTCAGAGGAAGCATCTAGGCGGGCTTCCTGTAGCATACGGTGCTCTTGCTTCGCTGCTTCAGAATCATCATTTTCTTGCTGTGTCAACAGAGCCGACTCAGCTAGGAATTTCACGGTCTCAAGTCTTTGATGGATAGTAACAGCGCAGTCGTCACGGCTGCCCGGGTCGCTGAACTCAAAAAATAGTTCCTCGTGTCCTCTAATGATCAGAACAAGTCCATGGTACCCAAATCGGAAGCCTTTTTCTTTCTCCACGTTCTCAAGATCTTTCAACGGAAGTATCATTTTGGTCCGGGTGCCTGGCAAAAGCGTGCGGAAGCAGAGTCGATTTTGACTCAAATAGATCTTGCCGAAGAGCGGGAACATGCGGTGCAGATGAACGTAATAGGCCGCTTGAAGTTTCTCTGTTGGTGGCAATGCAAAATGAGCACGGAAGCGTTCGGCATCCTTCTCCTTGGTCTGGAGATCAAGACCGCGTTCGTTTGGGCGACCGTCAACCTCGTCGTAATGTTTACCACCACCTGCCCACATCCCTGAGACCTTTTCGATATACCCCATCGACTCAGTCGCCAGAAGAGTACTCATTTCTTTAGACCTGCTCTTCACATACTCGGCGATATTGACGGCACCCCGAAGAGGAAACGAGCCAGCTCTGACGAGATCGTTCAAGGCAAGCGCAGAGGTAAGTCGTGAAACATCTTTGGATTCTTGTCCAGAATCGCTAATGGCATCCTGAGTTTCGGGTCCACCGCGGACTAGGCCATCAAGACCATGCTCTGCTATTGACCTAGCCGTTTCGTCGGTGTTCCGGCGCCTAGATCTGATCGGGCCTGCACTTTGCTTCTGCAGATTGTGTATCGTGGGAGATTGAAAGACATCGCTCCGATTGAGTATGTCGCTCGCAGATTCCGTTGTGTCGGTCACTGATTGCAATACAGCCGAGGACTCTGTGGTCTGATCTATGGACTGGATAAAGGAACCTGCAGAATCCTGCTGTCTGATCCGAGGAGAAGTTGCTGCGCCATGAGGTTCAGATCCTAGAAGACTTGCACTGGCACTTCTTCGCCGCCTTGAACTTGTTGACAAGGGCTCTTGTAGTTTGTTAGCACTCGTGATCGACCACCTGCTCTGAGATCCGCGGGCCCTCCTCGAGTCGGTTGCACAGTTCGGTTGTGGAGATAAGCCTGAGGGAGAGCCTCTTGTCGGAGTCTCACCGATAAGCCCTTTCAAGATATCGAATGCATCTCGGCCCGACTTGAAGAACGTGAAGTAATACTGGATAAGATTAGAAAGGTAAGTGTCGAATACGAGAATTGAAGGACGGCATACCTCGTCAATTGCAACACCATCTTCAGCATCAACGGCACGGATCTTAAACGTCTCAGCGAAGTCCACCATTGGACTCTCCTCGATATCAATGATATTCTCGACAGGAAAGGACACCTTGACACTGTCGTGCTCGTTGTGAGTCCGGAAAATAACTTTCTGCAGAGCTTTCACCCATTCTTTCGCAGATCTCGAGCTATCCGCTTTGAAATAATACGTTCGATAGTCGGTTGTGATCTGGAAATCTCTCGACTCTCTCCCCTTCTCTTTTGACTCGGTCAAGGACGCAGAAATCCCGTACCTAAGATCGATCCGACCGGTTGGGAAGTAACGGTTGTGTGGTTCGGCGAAGTACGAGAGGACGTCTCCTTTCAGTTCAAACCAATAGCGGTTGTACTTTGGGTTCTTCTTCCCGCGTTTGTGAATCCAGCCAGTTTTACTGACGACGGTGGATTTCCTGGGCAGATAGGCGTAAAAGCATATGTGCTTTTCGGTCACATACATGTATCCTTGCAAAAGCATACATTGCAGTAAGGAGCATGCGTACTCAACGATAATCTTTTCTGGTGTAGAGAAGCCGAACATCTCCATCAAACGGAGCGAGAGCGGAGACGCTTTTGACTGCGGAGCTATACTGTCGTTCTTGCCCTCTTGTGAAGTCTCCAACGTCTCCGAGCTTTCCATTTCCTCACTCTCCAAGCGTGCCCGTGCCTCAAGCATACGACTAAGGACAGGGGCAGCTCGAGGTGTCGCGGAGCGTGGTCGCGGAAGAGATGGGAGCGCAGGGAACGGAGACAACCTTTCGTTTGTCGATGGCTGAGGCGGCGGCGCAGTTGTTTCCCGTCCTTTGTCCCTTTTCAACCCCGTCTTCAATGGTTGGAAGAGCTTATGATCCGATATTGACCTTCGGTGGCGACGGCCTCTATCCTGCGAACTACTCCTATCTCCAGGAGACGGCGGTACTTGTAGAGTTCCATCTAGTCGTGGCGAGTCAGCTTCTTGTGAATGCGCAACTTGGCGGGTATCCGTCTCTCCTTCGCCCTCGCTGTCACTAGAATCATCAAAGCGGGCGCGGAAATCAGAGCGAGTTCCAACGGCGGCAATCAGAGACAACATGGACTGCCCCATGTACTGTAGACCATCCCGCGATCTGTTACCGCCGGGCGGAGCAGTGTAGTCTATTTGAGCATCATCTTGATCGTCCTTTAGACGTTCTGGAAAGGCGCTTGAGAACATGCGGCTAGTCGATAACGATTGTCTGCTTGCGCTAAGTCTTTGGTCCACTCGCCGTTTCGCATCGTCTAAGAATGGTCGCATCTTCAATATCTGAGAAGGTAAGGAGATATGCGTAGGCGCAGAGTAGAGGTTCCAGGGAGCAGGTGTTTAGTGGACTCCGAGGCACCTAACGAATTTCTGGGGATCTGGTGGATGACTTTCTATAAAGTGTCGGTGGAGGTCACGATAAGGCTTCGGAGCAGATCAAACTAAACAAAGCAGCTGACCATGTTGATTAGTATGGTCTGTCAATTATCCGGACAAACAAAGGGAGAGAGAAAATGTAAGAAGCGGAAGCTACCCACTGTCGATTCCATGAAATGATAAGGGACGAGAAAGGGTTCCGAGGACGGGGAATCAACGAACCGTTACTCCGTACAGCACTTTGGGACGGAGCTATTGAGTCATTTTGAGAGCGGAGAGGCTGTGACGGATTCCGAGAATGACAGAAAGTCGGAAGGCGTCGAGAAGCAAGGTGTGATGCAAATCGACTCGGCACAAAAGCGAAGCAGAAGTCCTGTGCAGTGGACAGCAGTCGATGGCCTCGTCCTCTGGCGTCACTTGTCTGTATCAGCTGGCGCATGTGAATCGCACGAACCAATCAAAGCCATTCCATGTGACCGCAAGGCGAGGATCCTCCAATCACTTTACTATAGTTTTGAAGTCCTTACATGTTTATGTCATCCAGTATCAAGTTTGAGTCAGGAAAGCTCGCGACCTTAAGTGAAGGACAGGACCCTCGTGGGTTCCTTTTGGACTCATTTTCCCCAATGATCACTAAAGAGACGCTCAGGGCATCTTCTTGCGGTGCCCAAGGTCCTCTAGACCCTCGCGGTTGAGTCCACGCAGATCTGTCTAGCTCCATCGAGTTAGTTGATTTGCTGTCACCAGGTTACTGTCCTGGCGCCTGATATCAAGGCTTAGCACTCACGGGCCCACCTCTAGGCTATTTATTGACTTCTACAAGGCATTTTCATGGACTGTCCTCAAGAAAGACGCGAAATTGCTTCATCATGAGACACCGAAATTGGTCATTGCACGGCCGAAGATCCAATATTACATCATTGCAGCAGTCCGTCTTCTATGTCCATTCGAACCGCAAGCGGTGACCAGAACATAGAGAGCGATGCGCCAGAAACCAAACCGACAGCCATGAGAATATCCCGGCTTCCTTGGGATATACAGAACAAACCATCTATCGCTAAACTTTTGAGAACATTTCCAACTAAATCATAATCAACCCCCGATTAAGCCTTCTCTGCCTTCTTTCGCTTTTTGCCGTCTCGGTCCTTGCTCTTCTTTACCTTCTCTTCCACGGCGTTGTCGCCGTTATCGATGGAGTGCTTCTTGGACTTTTTCCGCGGTAAACCAGCAGACTGGCTCGCATCACCCTCTGTTGACTGATGCTTGCGCTTCCGTTCTTTCTCCTTCTCGCCTGCGGGTGCTTTGAACGTAGGCTCTTCTCCTTCTGACTCTTCGCCGCTCGAACCAAGCGTCTGTGGTGGACCATCACCGCTGCCTACAGGCCGAAAACGCATCTTCAGGTTCTTGGGTTGTTTCCTCGGCGGTTTTTCAAGTGCCTTTGCAGCTCTAACAGTCGTTTCTTCGTATTCCGCACCTCCTGGAAGCTCGATCGTTTCTTGAATGTGATAAGTCGGAACGTTCGACGTAGCGCTTCGGTAAGTCTTTGACTTCGAATCGTAAAGGAAGAGTGTCTGCCCACTGGAAGCGGCATGTTTCAAGCTGTCGACTGGAATACCGTATCGCACGCCCTTGTGCTCCATAATGGGCTCGCCCTTCAATGCGCGGGCTAGCGAGATCTCCTCGATCTTCGAAAGAGGAAGGTATGCGGGGGCAGTTATGTGGAATATTTGCTTGCCTTGTAGGTTAGATAATATCGAGGGTGTAGAGGAGGTCGATGACTGGTTTTTGGCGGACTTGAAGCCGGAAGGCGGCTTGTAGAGCTGAGCAGGGCGGATGGTGCGCGCTTGAGAAGTCCTAAAACGCATTAGCAAATATAAAGACGCCCGACCGGAGAGCATACTTGAACTCAGACCGTCCATTAGAGGCCTCTGGCTCTTTCTCTGATGCGACGCTTGCGCTCTCGCTTTCACTCGCGGAGTTGCTTGACTCCTCTTCCTCCGAGCTGGAACTCGACGATTCCTCGGCCTTGCGACTTGACTCTGCAGAAGAACTTGATTCACTCTCCGATCTCTGTGCGCGAGCCGACTTTGGCTCCTTGGTTGATTTCGCGGCCATTGTGTTTGGTGTGGTCTGAATTCGAGGAGAAAGCTGGTTGAGACGTAAGGAGTCGAGCCAGCGCCTGTGCACTGGAAGAGGAGTTGAAGAGAATCAACTTAGTCCAGATCAACAATTGTTGATTTCTGTGAGGCGAAAAAGGGCGCTCGAAGGGGATCTGCTAGACCTGTGTTCGTGCAAGTTGCGACAAGCCAAGTCGAAGTTGGAGGGATCTTTTTTTTTGCTCCGCAGAGCACGGACCACCACCGAAACTCCGCAGAAATTATTCTCAATGAATTTCGAGAGGAACTCATCGCAACCAATCACCCTACAAAAACCGCCAGAAAGCATTCCCGGCTTCAGCATGATGAAGAGAAAAGCTGAGAAACAGCAAGCTGCAGGTAGAACCCCGACTCTGCAACTGGTTACTTCTGTAATTGCGGCTCAAGGCTAATGGAATCGTTTCATAGCTCCGGTCAGTGCATTCGCGGCGCGCAAAGCCCGAATGCAGCAGACGCAGACTGTAATAGTTACGGAGAAAGCTGCACATGCGGAATCGACTACGGAACCGCCGTCTAAACGTCCGCGACGCTCACTTGAGGAGACACAGCCGCAACCGAGACAGGATGCACAGAAGCAAGTTGCGAAGCGGGGGACTGTGAAGGCTCCGAAGGTCACGCAAACAACAGTTCGGAACGGAACCCGAACAGTCCGAACGAGGAAGATCGAAGATGTCGTTGCTGATGGGAGCGGAAATCAGAGTTTGTCAGAGGAGTCGGAAGAAGACGTGCTGGAGGAGAATGCCGCTGTGATGGCTGCCCCTGAAACTGAGGATGGGTATATACAAGCCTGTTTTGGGAACTAAGACTCTTGCTGATGACTGTAGCTATGAGTCTCCTGTCGACACACCAGCTCTGGCGATGGAGTTTCCGTTGTCAAAGACCCGATTGAACAAGAGCAATATTGTCTACAGCGACGAACATACCCTCTGCGTCCGCATACGAGAAAAGATGGTATGTACGTGGCATACATCACTCAGATCAATGCTAATACCTGGCTACAGAGCATGGTAATCATCGGACATTACGACCTCTGGGTGAAACGGGGAGTTGTGAGCTTGATGGGTGCCAAATTGCACCCCTCACCTCGAGTCTACAGGGTCTACGCCCCTTCAACGCATTCGCTTCCTGTGATAAAGTGTGTCTCCGGCGTCGATGGAGCAGCGGAGGTCGAGTTCAGGTCGTGTCACAGCGGAATCTACCGTCTTAGAGATCTATCGCATCTCTATCAGCGGATATGGAATGGCGCAAACACCCCAGCAGACAAGCTCAGTCTCAAACATGTGGAGCAAAGCACGACAAGGACATTCTCAGTGGTGAGATCTGACCATACCAGCCGTTGTGAAAACCATAGTCTGACAATTTAGCTCCACACATCGGCAGACGATCCCCTGAAACGCCATCTGCGGCCACTGCACCTGGAAAAACAGTGGAGCGCGGCTATCAAAACCCTATCTCAACGCGCAGGCCGACTTCAGGTCCTCGTTTGCGGCCCTAAGTCTTCTGGAAAATCGACCTTCAGCCGCTATCTTTTAAACCACCTCCTCAGCCCAGCTCCCCAGACAGAATCGAATTACTACAACACCGACGGCGTCGCCTTTCTAGACCTCGACCCCGGCCAGCCCGAGTTCTCCCCCATGGGCCAAGTATATCTCGCCCACCTTCGCTCCCCCGTCTTCGGACCACCCTTTACTCACCCGTCGTTGAACAATAACCGCGATGGAGCCATCATCCGCGCCCACCACATCGGCGCAACGTCCCCAAAAGAAGACCCGGATCATTACGTGCTTGCCGCCACAAACCTCATGGAACACTATCGCGCTCTCTTAGCAACATACCCGCAATGCCCCCTCATCATCAACTACCCCGGCTGGATCTTCGGTCTCGGCCTCGAGGTCGCGACATACCTTGTCCGCTCGCTCGGCCTCTCAGACGTGGTCTATATGAGCGACAAGGGACCCATGGAGGTCGTCGAACCGCTCAGACAGGCCGCAGGGACCGCCAGAACTCCCTTGACGATTCTCCCCTCGCAGCCCACGGAATTCGTGAGCAGATCCAGCGCACAGCTCCGCGCGATGCAGATGCAGTCGTACTTCCACATGTCGCAGCCAAAGGAGCTGAACCAGCCTGTCTGGCTGGAAAAGCCGGTCTTCAAGACCCGCCCGTTCCACGTCCGCTACAAGGGCCCGAACCAGGGTATTCATGGGATCATGGTTCTGGGTTCCCAAATCGGCCCTGATCTCCTCGCCGATAGCCTCGAGGGTTCCGTCCTCGGCGTCGTGGCTGTTGAATCCCCAAATGCGCTCCCGACACCTCCAGACAACCAACCCTCCACCGAAGAAAAGGAACTCACTGGCCGCAACGAGGACGTTGACATCGAAATGACAAGCAACCCCGACGACTCAACCCAACCCATATCAACATCCACATCACCAATCCCCACCCTCACCTCCCAAACAACTCCTACAAAAGAAAACCTCCCCTACCTCCTTCCACCCCCCGGAACCGGAACCAGCACACCACTCCACCCATCATCCTCAACCTCCCTCGGCCTCGCCCTCATCCACAGCATAAACCCGACCAACAACACAATCGCACTCAGCACACCAATCCCACCTTCGCGGCTCCGCCAATCCCTTGAACAGGGCCACGCGCTCGTCCTCGTCCGTGGAATGGTCGATAACCCGAACTGGGCTGTTAGCGAGGGGTACGTTTCGGCCAAGGCTGCGGAGCGGAGGGCGAGGAGGGCGCTTAAGTCTGGAAGTGCGGGTGATGGGGACGATGAAGGTCGGGAAGATAGGGCGGGTCAAGAGGCGGCTCTCGCTAGGGCGAAGGAGAGGGTTCGTCGTGCCAAGAATGCGCCGTTCTTGACTGTTGTTGAGGATCATGGAAGGAGGAGGCAAGATGAGGTTGAGAGGGAGAGGAGGGGAGGGTTGTGGAAGTTGAGGAAGAAGGCAGTTGTTGAGGAGGAGAGTGAGGTGGGTTATTGATCGATATGGAGGACTACTACTATCATGACCGATGGACTAGATATGAGACTACGTGCTGTGCTGTTGGTATAAGGTGTAGCAGGCTAGCTGCTATGTATATGTGTTATATTTTTAGTGAAGTATAGATCGATGAAGCACATTTGGCACTTACCAGACCCTCAAATATATACACCTATCACTTCCTTCGACTTGTACCTATCCGTTTCAACCAGATCGAACGACCAAGCATTCACCTCTCACCTTACCCCCAATAAAAACCTAAGACATTCTCGCATCCGCATCGGAACCGCATAGATTACACCGGATATACGGTCTCCCCATGTTACCGAAACCCATAGCCGGCGCACCCCGGAACCACAGACTCAGACTCAGCGGAGAATCGGAATTGAAAACCTTGAAGTAAGCAACCCGAGAAAGTTTGGTAAAGTATAATGTAGTTCAAACCTTCACTGGGGCCCCTGGGCCAACGAGAACCGAGTTCAGCGTTTAGCGGGTTGTCGGCGGCACGGCGCACGCACTCTTGGCCCCGTTTACTATGGAAAAGCACTGTAGTAGTGTTCACGATTCATGCGCAGGCGACTCGATTCTATTTCCGGTGTGTTTGGAACTTTGGTGTCGACTTTGGAGTCTGGGCTCCAGGACGCGGGACGGACGATGTGAGTTGAGTTGCTGACCGAACCGGTGAGTTTGAACTTGTCAGCCTCGAGTCGAGTCCAGCGCCTTCGTACATTTGACTCAGTGTAATTTCTCGTGTATGGAGAAAGGTACAGCGGCTTGTGTCCCTCCATCTGCGGTCTTGAGGGTCGAGAACGATGTCGATGCTACCTAGTATACGAACCAAGTCATGCGGTGCTCGAGATGTAGCCTGTAAGGCTGATTGAGCGAGACAGCGCGGTCCGAGTCCGAGTCTGAGCCCGAGTTTACGTGCAGACGCCTGCAGCGTCTCTCTTACTCGGGATGGCATGAATGAGGGGTTAATGCAGGTGAAGAAACAGTGCGTACATAAAGTTCCACCGTGCGGCATACATGTTAGAAATGAGAATGAATAATATGCCTCAGCGCTAGTCTTAGCGCAGTGTGCAATATAGTTCTATGGCTGGGAAAGCTTTTCCGGGATGGCGGTCTGCTTGAGATCAATTGCGATGTGTCCACTTGGAGAAGAATTGGAGGCGGGCTAGAACTGGTTGATTAGAAAGATGCGCGACTCGAGATTGTTGCCTTGTCGTGGGTTTGGTTGTCATGGCCTTTGCGGCTGTTCCAGGTGACTAATGGGATCCTTCTTATAGGTAAGCTAGACTGCAAAGAATTGGCTGCGCATGTTGAAGTGGGACGGCGACTGCGAATATCGGTGGCAGTGGGCTTGGAGAATACTCAAGAGTAAAGATCGGCTTTTGGACACGAGTGTCGGTGAAATTGACAGTGTCGATGGGCGAGAATGACTGTTAATGAACTCAGTGATCGACAAGCGATTCGTAAGTTGGTGGGCGTTGAATGATGGACTGGTTTGAAGTGGTTTACAAACAGACAGGTTTCTTGCATTTGCAACCAGTTCAACTGTTATGCAACTGGTCGACTCTCCACGTGGGGAACAGTTCTTTACCGTTCGAACTTCTTCCGTACAAACTTCAAACTTACACAGACCCGAACTGTGTGGGCGCCGGGCGGCGCAACTGTCTTCAGTCGAGGTCCACTTTAGAATCGTTTTGGAATGTGGATAGAAGCGCGATTTTCTCAGCCTTAGCTGTGAGTGGGGTGCCGAGGTCCATAGCCGTTAACAGGTCGTGTGCTTGGTTGCCTCGAGGAGGTGAAGGAGGGACGAGGATTGGTAGAAAGACGATGATAGTTTGGATGAGGAGAGGAAATTAAGGAGCTTGTCGTGATGCAAGAATTATGTGAAGATGATGGCGCCAAGTCTAGGAACAGGCGTGGTGAGGAGCCCAGTGTATCCGCGAGTGTATCAGCGGTCGATCTGAAATACTGATACACTTCCTGGAAACTTCAAACAGCTTGAAGAGATAAGGAAATGAATTATCACATTCCCACGGCAGTCGGTGGTATGACTGTACAACATCGCTTTCTATCGGGGGCTGACAGCCCAAAGAGACAGGGAATGTGGCCGGTCGCAGCCCGCACCCAGCCATGAGATCCATGTCGAGTTGCGAAATGCCGTCATTGGTAAGTGTCGAGTAATCGATTATTACTATCTGCACTCCGCATGCAGAGCGATAGCGTATGCATAGGGAATCACATCCCTTTAGCCTCTTGATGGGCTGTCGAGCGAATCGGAGGCATGGGAACTCCGACTGACCGACCTCTTCTGCTGAGAACAGGCCAAATCCTTATCAACAAGGAGTTTAGGTTGCCTTGGAAATGGAAGTGCGAAAGGATTCAACAACGGCGAAGGATCGGGGGATGAGAAATGCGCCGGGCCTGTTTCGTCCACCGTATCGTATGCCCACCCCGGCCTCGAAGGATGTTCCAACTGCCATTACAACCCCGAGCACGGAGGTGTCGTCCCATTTACTCCGAGTATTTTGGCATGTGATGGCCTCTCTCGCCCGCTTCTTCTTCTGGAACAAGCTGGGGATGCGTTTGCTTTTTCCTCGAGATGGCTTGCCAGTGCCCTGTGATAGCTACCCGTCCCACCAGCCCATGCAGCTGGAACTGCGAAGCTAGGGATTATGCCGGCCTAATAAGGGTATCGGGAGATCCGGCATGGGGGCGGCAAAATAAGGAGCAAATCATCCTGCATTCCCATTCGGCCTGATTGCACGGCTTGGTTTCTTTTTCTTGGTGCTTCAGACTGATCCAAAAGGGCAGGAGATTGGTACTCTGTCAACAAGGATACATCCCTGCTGAGAATCACTGAGAGCAAGATGGGCGTCCTTGACTCCGTGGGAATATAGATCATAATGTGCCTTCTTGCCGACTTTGGCGGAAGAGCGGCCGGATGGAACTGGGCTGGATTGACTTCTTCCATTTCCCGTTCCACGAGGCTTCCACTACTGCGTAAAAACAACCTTGGGAGGACTAGCGGCCAACCGCCGTTCCGCTGCGTTGGGTACGCACCCATCCACTTTGATGTTCCATCCCAGCTCCATAGTCGACACGGCGGGAGGCGCAAACTGCTTGTCGAACTGTAGATAATAGAAGTCTGATATCCTTCCCGGCTATCGGCTGTCTGCGTCTTGTGTGGTCTTGATGGAAACTGGGACAAATGAGGATCAAATATTTCCCAGACTGGTATGGCGCATCAGGCTGAAGACCGTTTTCTGTCGGGCTCCAGCCGCTGACGGCCGGAAAGGGGTGGACGATAGCTCACTCCAGCTTCGCATCAGGGAGTAAGGTAGCAACCTCGGGTGGCTGAATTGGGTACCCCCTCTCACCTTTATTTCATCTCAATCTTGTGACAACTCCCCTTCTCTTCAAGGAGACGACGACGAAGCACTGAAGACAAAGACGAGAAGTATGTATCATACCATACAGTATGGTACGTGACGACTGGGGCAGACCAGACCAGGCCAGACCGGAAGACCGGGCCAATAAGGATAAATTAAAAGCATGAATAATGTGGAAGTTTGGAAGCTCCACCAGGTGGCCCCCCTTCCACTTGAGATCTTTTCCTTTTTCTTCCTTTCCACTCGTTCTGGTCCCGAGAAATGAGATCCTTCAAGACAAAGCCGTCGAGTAGCATTTATAATAATTCAAAGATGTAGATTCTGTCTGGTGATCCCTGGCTCTTCTCTCCTTCTTCTCCTTGTCTCTGGGGCTGAATGGGGGGTGACTCGTCCTTTATTATCGAGTCCTCCCCGTGTACTTGTGAATAGTCGACTCATCTTCCCTCATATCTCCTCCACGCCTTGCTTCTTGTCCCTTTCTGCGTTCAAGCTTCTCTCTCTCCGTTGCTGCTTGTCGGACACTGGTACCTCTGCATCCCACGCAAATCAACCCACCTCAACTCGAGCCACTTCTTCTACCTTCCTCCTTCCCCTCCTGCCCTCAGCGCTGCGTCATTGCCACCACCTGAACCTACTACCTACCTGGGTACGGTTCTGCCACTCCGCCGCGGGCCACCAGCCCTCCGTGCCCCATCGTCGCCTTAGAAAGCATGAATTGCAATTATGGATTAATCTCGTTGCTGGAAATTGTTAGACGTTAATCTGCAGTTGATATGGATTTCATTGTGAGTATCCTCATCTCCGTTGCATGTCATCTTGGTCTCTCGGGACCTGTGTGCTCTGCGATTGCACCAACACTGCGCCTCTTTTTTCATTGCTTTTCCTCCAGTGGGATTCCGCTTCGATCGCATCCTCCCAGCGCAGGAATAGAATCCTAGCGTGGATGTGTGCGACGTGGGCGGACTATCCTGTGTCTTGTACTCTCCGAGGCCTGCTTTCCCAAGACTCCGGGCATGTGTTCAGGCTAACCACTCTTCTTTCGCTGTGTGCACAGCTGTCTTTGACGCACTTCTGCGAGGTACATGGTCCTACCTCGATCATCTGCTCGCAGGTCCTTCCCTTCTCGTGTTCGCAATGCTACCCCGAGACCACCATTTCCTCGCCTGAGGATACCCCTGCGACATCCCACGACACCGTCTCCTCCCACAGCTTCCGTAGCCATGCCAGCGGCAAACGCTCTTTGTCCTCGAAATCGGTTGCGAAGTCCGGTGAAGGCTCCGAGAAGCCTACCAAAATCGAAGACTATCCATGTTTTGTGAAAGGACAGTCCAATGCGACTGAGACTCAGAAACTGAATGTGTTGGGAGGCGCGGACGGTGACACTTGCGCAAGCTGTAGCTTGACCCTTCCAGAGGACGTGAGCAAACAGCTACCCCCCGGCGCCCCGGGAACTGCCCGCGGCGACGGGAAAGGCAGAAATGGCAGCCCCGTTTTGCGATCCAGAGAGGTCGTTTACTCTTGCGGTACAAACCATTCCGAGCCAGACGACACAGCGCATGACACTCACGTTCACGGCTCCCTTCCCGATTCTTTACACTCTTCATCCGTTGCCTCTGACGTCTCCTGCCACACACACATCCTTACTTACCTCTCTCTCAGGGGACCTCCAAACCCCGCAGACTACGCCCTTCTCCGTCGGTCCTCTATCAGGACGCTCAGCTGCGAGCTTCTGCCTCGCGGACTTTCTTCCGGGCCATTGTGCTTCGGCGACTCTAACGCGGGTTACACCATCGCCTACATTTTTCGACTTCCCGATCCCATGGCACGCGGCAAACGACGCAGCTATGCGCTCGTGGCCTTGGCTGGCAAGGATTCGCGGAGAGCGTTCCGTGCCTGTCCCATAATCTTCCGCGCGTTTGATCGGCTTGCAACCTCAATTTACAACGCGGCCGAGAAATTCCAAGAGGAGGAGAAGCGTCGCGATGAAGAGAATAATGTGGCCAGCCGACCAAGAAACCGCCAATATACCCCGGTGTCCTCATTCCTCACCGGACGAGCCATGGACCCCGATGGGCAAGTTCGTCGCCCCGGTCCAGTCAGAGCGAGGAATTTGACAGAGATCGTGGGAAATCAGTATCTATTCGCGGAGATCCATGGAAGTTTTGTGGCACTGCTACAGCAGCTCGGTTCTATGTTCGGGGCGGCGCCCGTTTCTGAGGAACGCTTCATCTGCAGCACCGTCAACGAGGATGGAGAGGCAAATCCTCGCCGATCTGTGTCTCTGGCGAGCCCGAACGAGAAGGAGAAACGTCGCGCTTCGCAGAAACTCGAAGGCAGTGACCTCGGTATGTCAAATCTTGATCTGTCTTCGGGACCAAGACCCATTCCCATTGCACCTCGGCGCTCTGTCATTGCATAGACCTGATGTCTACGAATGTCAATTCGTCAACACATCACATACACTACGACATGCGCACCAACCTTTCTGATCAACAACTGACATGATCACCTACATCACCAAACCGCGTGCAACATCAAATACGGCATCTCAGTCGCGTGACCACATCTCAACACGCATATTGTACTTCAACACACGGAGGATATTTGCACCTAGTTTTTTTCTTCGCTGTTACGCATGATATCAACATAGACCACTGGGTAATGGCGCTCTTCAAGACTGGGACGGAGTTTCGGGTTTTCTTATGGCAAGCGTTTCGTCTTCTTTCTTTTTCTGCGAAGCATAGGTGGACAAGCGCTCGGACTTTCTTCATACTTTCCGCAACTTCTATGTCTGTGTTTACTTCTCTCAATGATTCTCTGGGGCTGCTTACAGCCTGAGCTGGGCCGAGCCACTCATGAACCTCAACGTCGTTACGAAATACGATGAAATAGGCGCTGGTGCGACCCTTGTTTGTGTTTACTTTCCATGTATGTATTTCTAGGGATACGATACCCAATGGGTTCCAGGTTTTGTTGATTATGGGGTTTTTAATCGATTGATTGTTTGAACGCAATTTCTTCCCGGTCTCAGGCCGAGACAGAGTAGATCTCTATAACCATTTGCCAGATGACCACCGAGCATTGTATCGTGGCTTACCCTGATCGCACCTCTACATGAACACCCACACCACCCTGAATTCGATTGCATCCGAACATCTGAGGACAATCTTTCATCCCTCTCCATACCCCCATAATCCTCGCAGTCCGAAGCAAATCAGCAGCATCAGCATCAGCACCATCCCGGCGAAGGCTCGAGCTCAAGCCCAAGCTCGCATTAAGCACCGAGCACAAACATAACCCCCTGCAATCCCCAAACCACTCAGCCACTGACTGGTCATTCCGTCGTGTCGAGAGCAAGCTTTCCAAGGCCAGGGTACATACAGTAGATAGTCAGCCCATTGAAAATATGTTTGGTACATATACATATGGATGTATGACGCAAGGGCCGCCCCCCTAGTAACCATAGCGGAAGCTTATCTTGCATCCGCGAGTCTCTAGGCTAATCAGTTACCCACTTCTCGAGACAAGGAGCCTACGAGCTAGGAGGGGGCTAGGGCGGCGATAAGGACGTCTGGATCTACGTATTATTTTATCTAGGTCTAGACTCGCCTCTTGCTTTTGGGTTGTCTTTGCTTTTTCGTCAGTCAAGATTCAAAAGGGTGCCAAGTGTCGAGTTCACAGACTTTGGCTGGGTGAATTGTGTGGAAGCTGGGAATCAGGGGGTGAGTATCTGATCCTCCCTCCGGCCGAATAAGAGCTTTGTGTCCTTGTCATGGTATACGTGCATACATATCAACCGCAGCCGGAGAGGAGCTCGGGCTTTGACCTGGCTCCGGGTTCGAATCCAGTGCTGTATGGCAAATAAGATTCGTTTGTCTACTGTGCTTGAAAAGGCCAGGGACTTGAATCTGGGTGAGGTCTGTCGAATTCAAGGGAAACAGCGAAAATGGTGGCGTTGAAATATGGTGAGTGGTGAAAGTTTGGTGGGCTTGGGGGTATTATGGTTTGTTCCGCTCAAATTATATGTCACAGAAGGTATGTGAGGTCCAGGTCTCATGATCCAAGGCCAAACTTCAACAGAATTGGCTGGCCATCGTCTTCAATGCGTCTACGCTATGACACCTCCCTAGTCTGCTACTAGCATAATATAAAGTGTATGTACCTGTATTGAATAGACAACCCAGAATGCAACAGTGAATCATTCCAGTTGAGCTCCGTTACCTGCTACCATGTACTAGATCAAGATCAACACAACATAACGCATTATCGCATGACAGACCCCGCAAAAAAAAAAAAAAAAAAAAAAAACCGTACCAGTCATGGTTGACCAAAAAGTAAAACCAACGCGAATATTTACAGATGCAGAGCAATTATCGTCCTCTAATGTAGTCTCTGTTCTCGATCGTCACGCTCTTGGTCATGTGGCTGACCTTGTAGACTCCGACGAGGCGAGATGCAAGTTCGAACTGCGAGAATAATTAGCGAGGCTGAATCTGTATAGAGGAGAGACGTAGCTTACCATGTTGTTTCTGAGGGAGATGACTATAAACTGAGCGTTCTTCGTCCTCTCCTTGATGTACGAGGCGACAATGGAGACATTTCGGAAATCCAAGGCAGCGTCGATCTCGTCCATGACGTACAATGGTGTGGGTTTGTAGTGGTGCAGTGCAAAGACCAGTGCCAGACTGGAAAGCGTCTTCTCACCACCAGACAAGTTTCCGATGTTTTTCCAACTCTTCTTCGGCGGCATCACAGAGAACAGGATACCTTCCGAGAACGGGTCAAGAGAGTCCACCAGCTCCAACTCCGCATTTCCTCCCATGGTGATCATCTGGTACATCTCCTTCAAGCGGAGGGAGATAATACCGAAGCCCTCCATGAAGCCGTTGAGACGAGCCGACCGAAGTCCGTCAAGGCGAGCTTTGGCGCTATCGCGTGTGGCCAATGCAGTTGCCAGGTCAGCAGAACGCGACTCATGCTCTGCAGCCCTGCGGCGGTACTCCTCGATAACCGAAAGGTCTATTGACGAGTTTTGTGTCTTCTCTTCCAAAGCTGCAATGGCTGCCTTCAACGAATCCTTGTTCATCTCGGACAATTCATCTTTTGTGAACGTCTGGAATTCAGTAGGCTGCTGTTCCTCGCCCAAGTCGCTAACGTTCTGTAATGTCAGCTTGGAGAGCTTCTCCTGCCAGTAGCGACTTCGCTTCTCGTTCTCTGTCAAGGCCTTCTGGTTCTCCTCAAGCTTATTGCGCATCTCAATCTCCGTTGCACGGGTTTCGTTCAACTCAGCCACCTTCTCGTCCAGTTCAGATTTGAGACTCTTGAGCTCGAGCTTCTTGGTGTCTAGGGCTTCTTGCGCCTCGTCCACCTTGTCCTTCCACCCAGACGCGTCACTGGCTTGGTTGGCGACATCCTCGTTCAACTTCTCGAGCTCTTCAGCCACGTGGGCAAGCTCCAGTTCAGAATCTGCGCGAGCTTTTTCATGCTTCTTGATGAGCTTCTCGTTCTTTGACTTGCCAACCTCGGCATTTGAAATTTCGTCGGAGAGGAGGCGAATCTGTTCCTTGAGCCCGTCGACCTTGGCCTTTTGACCGCGCAGTCTGACACCACCAACTTCCATGATCTTGTTCTGAAGAGCCTGGATATCTTCTTCAATTCCACTCTTCTGTGAACGGAGGTCCTCAATCTCCTCCTCGAGGCAAGCAATCTGTTGCTCCAGGGCCTTGACTCGTCCTGCGTCAGTCTTGGAAGGTACGTGCGCTTTGCTCAACTCCTGGACACGTCGCTGGGCATCGGCAAGACTGCGCTTCGCACTATCAATCTCAATCATGATCTTCTGGATCTTGGTCTCGGCTCGGGGAATCTCCTCGGTCTTTTCTCGCAGAGCTGCCTCCACTCGTCGCTGTTTCTCTTGGAAGTGCTGGAATTTCTTTTCCATCTCCTCAAGGTCGCTTTCCATCTGGACCAATTGCTCCTTGCTAATATCGCCGACTTGTTTTGACGACATCGCCCCGCGAGCAACACGAGTACCGCCACCACTCATCGTACCCGAAGTATCGATGAGCTGACCGTCGAGAGTGACTACTCTCCACCGTCGGGCACCGTAGGCAATTCGGTTGGCTTGCTCTAGGTCTTTTGCAACAAGCGTATTTTGCATCACACTGTAGAAAGCGGGAGCAAACTTGGGGTCCTTGGGCTTGACTAGATCAAAGAGGCGCGGAACATTCTCAGGTGTGAATATTGTAGACAGGTCTCGCTTCGGAAGTCGGTCTAGAAGGATAAAGTTGGCACGGCCAAGGTTGTTCTTTCGCAGGTAGTCAATGCATTGTTGTCCGACCTCTACCGTGTCCACAACCATGTTCTCAAGTGCAGGACAAGCTGTTGAGATAGCGACGTCGTATTGCTCATCAATTGTACCGAGATTTCCAAGTCGACCGTGGAATCCTTCAATACGGCCAGATTCCTTGAGACGCATAAGCCCTGTCAACACGCTACCACGGTTCTGTGTGCTCGCAACAGTAGCTCTAGCCTCCTCAGCTTTTTGCCGAGCACTCGAGACATGTGAGCGGACCTCGGGCTCTCTAGCGCTGTATTTCTTCAGGTCGTGCTTGAGTTGAGCCACTTCCTCATCTAGAGTGGACCGTTGCGCTTTGCATTCCTCCAGGTCCTCCTCTTTCGTAGCGATATGCTCTTCGATGGATGAGATCTTGGACTGTGCTTCTGAGAGTAAAACTGCTCCAGCGTTGCTTTTCTCCTTGAGAATGTCGAGTTCACTTTGGGCGACAGCAAGTGCAGATTGTTTTTGGTTAATCTTTTCGTCCCAAGGTTCGAGTGACTTCTGTTTTGCGGAGATCTGATCTGACAGGCCTTGCGTCTTGCCCTTGAGGCTTTCACGGATGCTAGAAAGTTCTTCCTCCTCGACTTCAACTTCTTTCTCGAGTTCCGCAGTCTCTTTGCTCTTCTTCTCAATGTCGTCAGTGTGCTTCTTAACCAAGCTCTGACATTCAGAAGCGGCAAGGCGAGCAGTGTTCATGGTCTTTTCCAGCTTCTTCTGCTTTCCCACCAAGAACTTTTTCTTTTCCTCGAACTTCACAGATTCCTTGTCATACTTGGCCATTCCTTTCGCTAGTTCCTGAACCTCCTTCTCCATGCGCTCGTACTCCTTTGTTGCGCGCTTGTACGCCTTTTCCAGCTCTTTGATTCCCGACTCGCTTCCTTCGTGTTTCTCGAGCTCAAGATTCAGAAGCTCCTGCATCTGAAGGATTGCTTCTTCCGTGACACGAAGATTATCCGCACACTCATCGATGTAGATCTGGTACAATGCCGACTGTTTCTGAGAGAGCTCGTTTTCTTCCCGAATATAGGCGAGAGCTTTGTCTTTCTTGTCCACCAGGGCGGTTTTCTCCTTCTCAACATGTTGAACGCGGTTGTTCTTCTCAACACACACATCGTTGAGTGTTTCCAGTTCCGCCGCGGCTTCCTCGATTGGCTGCTTATACTTAGAAGTGCCGATGATATCCTCTAGGTATTCTAGAAGCCCGTCTTCGTGTTCATTGGCGGCCTTGGGTTTCATCTGGGCAATGGACTCGACTTCACCCTGAAGAATCAAGAAACGTTTATGGTCGAGATCAATTCCGCGCTCACGAAGCAAGGTAGTGACCGCTGTAAAGTTCGTCTCTTTGCCGTTCATGTAATATTTGCTGGTGTTGTTCTTAAACGCCTTGCGAGAGATAATCAGTTGGGAATCTGGTACAACCTCATGCTCTCCACCGGGGAGATCATTGATTTCTTGGAAATAAACCTCGACTTCACAGAATGGAAGGTCCGGGTGACTGGCAGAGTTGTGGATCAAAGCGGATATCTTGCCCTGTCGCATTTTGCTGGCTCGAAATCCGAAGACAAATAGCAACGCGTCGATAACGTTTGATTTTCCGGATCCGTTGGGGCCGACGACGGAGGAGAACGAAGCGTGGAACGGCCCTACTACTTGTTTTCCTGCGTAACTCTTGAAGTTATTGAGAACTAACGTAGTAATCATGAGGCGACTCTTGGGACCTTGAGGCTCCTCAGGCACGCTAGGCCCGAGGGTCCGCGACTTTAGCATGATGTCCATCGGCTTCTCTAAGATGGTGGTATTCGGGTTGATGATGGAGATCTGCGACTTCGGATCCTCGGCGGGCTTCGCTGGGGTCTGGTTCACCGCGGAATCCGTGATATCGGCGAGCGGGGGAACACTATCTCGCTGGGAACGCGGTTGAGGCTGCGGCGAAAGCGAAGGCTCTGGAGTGGGGAGTGAGGACTTTTCCGGGTTGAGTGTAGAGGACACACGACTCTTGCGGGCCATACTTTTTCTTTTCATTGCCGCGGTACGTGAAGGCGATTCGGGCTCTTCATGCCCCATACTCTTGCGCTTAATCGCCGTGTTCGGTGAGGAGGATTCGGATTCATCTTGCGCGGTAGCGACGGAGTCGCCTTCCTCGCTCACATCCGCGATCATAGAGGTCTCCATTGTCTCTGCCGTCTTCGACCGTCGCGATCTGCGGGGAGCTTGTGCGGCCGGGGCCTCGGACGTCGTTCGTCGGCGTGATGCTCTCTTTGGTGCAGCCGACTTCTTTGGTACCGGCGTGTATTCTTCTTCGGCCTCTTCGTCCTCCTCGTCATGATGGGATGGGGTGGGGGTAACGTTGCCCGGGTCCTCTGATTCTGATGTTTCTTCGGCCACATAGCTCTTCCGCGCGGCGGCGGAGCGCCGTGATGGCCTGCCTCGTGCAATAGACGCCATTATGTCTGTGGGGTATAATGAGAAAGAGAGTGTCCCATCAAGGCGGGCCGAGACGATATGGGCGATGCTGTGATGCTGGATGTTGTTGGAAAAGCGACCGAGAAAGTGGGTTGTTTACATAGCATCCCAAACAGGTAAAGTGCTGTTTTCTGCCATAACAACACTCGGCTGGTATCAATGTCAGGTGATTTACCGCCTGGCGTATCAGCTGTACGATACGTTACTTATCGCAGAAGAAGGGCACCAAGCTCAAATAAATCTTTGGAACTGAGAGGAACAGCTTGGAAAAAGTACATGCACAATGGCTCCTTGGGAAGAATTCGACACAATATTCCACTTCAACAAGAATTTCACCTACGATGGCAAGGTCATTGAGCAAATCCTTTCCAACCGTCGCGCGCTCGAGAACCAGCTGTTCGCCGACCGGTTGTTAGAGCTTCTTGGTGTTCAAGCAGGTATCTTACTCCATACTAGAAGCTTGACCTAGCTAGACACTGACGGCAGAGCCTGCTGATAGTCACGAAGCTGTATCCTCCGATCTCAAACTCTGACATCCGCACACTCATACGCCACATTGTATCGTCAGGACTAGATATTCACCACAAACAAAGCTTGATCTACTACATCTTGAAGGACTGTCGGGCGCCTAGTGATGCTGCAACACAGTTTGCGCGAAGATGTCATCTACCGGAGAAGTATAGGCTGTTCATAGAAGGTCTCTGGAATCTTGACCGGCTTGAGTTCAAGGTATGTCCGACTCACGGCCTAGGACCTACATGCCCTAATAGTTGAAACAGCGCGCTATTGAGTACCTGACCGAACCATCCATTATTCCAACCTTCCCCGACGAAATTCTCTACGCCCTTACTCTGTCGCACCTCCCGAGACACGATGACAGCCTTGTCATGGCTTACTACTTGACCGTCAACCCACCACTCGCCTCTGAGAAAGCGCAGAGAGCTTTCATGGACACACTATCCCGAGCAAGCGTCACTGAAGCATTCTACTTCACCCGCAAACATCACGAGACCCTTCGACAGAAGTACCTTACCCAGCTCATCGAGTTTGTCCATAAGACAGATGCCGGCCAAATCAGAAGTAGACGAGCGATGGAGCTGATAGGCCTTCCGTTTGATGAACAGGAAGAGGAGTGGTTCGAAGATGCTTTGTTACGCGGAAATGCGAAGACCCTGCACGGTGCAAAAGACACGGTCATGATGCGTCGCCTTGCTACTGGGAAGATGGCAGGTCTTTCAACTGAGCTGGAATCCTTGGGCGGAAAGAAAATCGATGGGTTGAACTGGGATACCCTCAAACAGAGCATGGAGCCTGCGCGAGCGTCGGCCAGTACAGGGCAATCCTCGTGAGAGAAAGTAAGCATTTATGATACCTATGGTTTGGAGCGGGCGTTCAACCTGGATTGCATTATTTTCTCTAGTGGACTGCAATAGAAGGCGCAAGAGTCAGGCTTTCAAGACTGGCTTCCTAGTAGCTACTAATCAAGTACTAACTGTGCCCAGCGCTAACACCTCTGGAAAAATCGCAAATTCGTAACCCTGTTCAATGTATCCACTGACTTCATGATGGTCATTTCCAGTAGTATCAGGTCCTTTCTTTCAAAAAGAGTTGCGAATATCTAGTTATTGGTCATGGCGTGCCCTGAAATTACAATACATATTGATACGCCAGTGGTCGGCAATTTTGGTTGAAGGGAACGCCTCCAGCTCAGATTGTATTGCCATGGATCTCGAACCATCAAAGAACTGTCTCAAGCCTGGCAGCTTCAGGTTCAACAAAGCAAAGATCCTCTTTCACTACAGCCATTTCTTTAATGACATCTCAATTCGAGCTCCGAATCCCTAATAAGATATATGCTCTACTCGGCCCTCCTTGAAATGAGGCGTTGAAGTATCAGAGACTCCCGAATTTGAATAATTTAGCAAAACCTCACGCGCGCTCCAGACGCAGAGCAATATGACTGTCTGCAGCTTTTTCCAACAAGGCCGGTGCAAGTATGGAAGTAAGTGATCTAAACTTCGTCTCACGAATGTATAACTAACTGTCATAGATCGATGCAAGTTTGAGCACCCAGGCCAGCAGCAACAGACGTTCCAGGGCGGGAACCGATTTGGCGCACTTTCTGGCGGCGGTGGTGGCTTCAACAGTATGTATTCATTCTACGATGTTCTTGGCTGAATTCGAAGCGTTTCACTCTCGGGATGTTTTGGTCGAGCTTGCCTTGAAGCACCGTACTGCTTTTACAGCTCGGTATGTGGACTTGCTAATAAAAGGTAGACCGTGGACAAAACCAACAACAATCACAAAACCAGGCCAAGTTAGTGAATCTACACCTCGGTGCATCTAACACTGTTGACTAACTTTGTACCAGTTATGGGGTGACAGCAACTGATATCAAGGCTGACCTACAGGCTGGCAAAGGCCGTCCAGACTGGGTCTTCTCTTGCTATGGGCCTGGGCGAAATGCTCCAAGGCAATTATTCGGAGGCCCGCAGCGGGAGCTGAGCTTCGAAGAGCTCAGATTGCGGCATTATGAGGCTGCTGCCGTGGGGAACCCTGGACCAGCAATTCAAGAGGCCGAAACTCTATATAACGAGGCCGTAAACCAGATGGAGGTTGTATTGAAAAACCTCGATGACGCCGTCAAGTACATCACCGATGGCGCAAAAGAACACCCCAACAGAATCGACATCACAAACGGTCAAGCGGCCCCCAGCAATGCTACCGCCCCGGCGTTCTCTCAGAAGACACCTGCGTTTGGAGCACCTGGGTTTGCTCTGCAAGCGCCTCCTCAGCCGTCGTTTGGTCAGCCAGCGTTCGGTCAACCATCTTTAGGAGGAGCATCTGGTTTCGGCCAACCAAGCGCTTTGGGTGCAGCGGCACCTGCATTTGGTCAACAACCTGCCTTCGGGCAGCCCAGTTTCGGTAAACCCAGCTTTGGCCAGTCGGCGTTTGGTCAGCCATCCATGGGAGCCTCGCCTTTCGTCCAAGCAGCCGGTACTGCATCTTCATTTTCCCAAATACCAAATCAAACGCAGGCTCCAACCAGCGGCTTCGGTCAGCCCTCTCCATTCGCGCAGGCAGGATCTGGGTTCGGGCAGTCAGCGGTGACTTCGACAACAACAAGCGGTTTCGGCACACCAGCACTAGCAGGATCAAACCCCTTCGGTCAACCGCCAAGTATGCTTAGCTCTAATCCTCCGCCATTCCCGGCAGGTGCTGAGCCACCGACACTACCACCATTCCCAAACTTGAGCGGAGGCTTCCCATCAGCACCTTCAGGTTTTGGACAACAGCAACAGTCGCAGCCGCAGCCGCAGCAACAGCAACCACAGGCTGCTGCGATATCCTCCACACCAGCAGTAGCAAGCTCTGGGGCCTTGGGCCCCGGACCAGCCGCTCTTCTGAGAATCGAGAACCCCAGCGACCTCAACCCCATTCCTCCCCTGAACGGACAAACAGTGCGCGATAACATGTCCAAACGAATACTGAGGTGGAAGGGGCAGCCGGTGAAGTATATTGACGACGCCCCATGCTACCTGCATCCCCAAGACCAGAAGACGGCTGTACGGATCTTCTTCCCTGACGGGCCTCCAGACAAAGCCACCTTGCGGGATGCGCAGGCGAAGCCTGAAGAGTATACCCCTGAGGTGACGGAGCAGTATGAATTCTTCCTCAAGAACGGATACTTCAAGGATGGAATTATTCCTCGTGTACCGCCCAAGACGGAGTGGGTTAGCTTTGACTTTTAGGTTTGATATTGGGGGTTATTTTGTGTCGTATGCGAATCTACTTGTGATATACCGGAAGGTGTTTGGGTTATAGTTTAGTAATTGTTTTTCATTAAGGTGCAATCTTACTGTATCTCATCACTACAGACTACAAAAAGCACATGAATTACTAGATCATACGGTTTCCAAGTTTTCCATTTTTATGCCTATTTTAGGAGAGTATCGAAGGCAACCCAGCACAAAGTCTCGAGCAAGCCCATCGTCACCCACACAGACCCAATCAAGGGCTTGTGCTAGTTCATTCTTCTCCTGCCAGAGTAGAACGAATTTAGGCGGCAATGGTGACCTCAACCTCAACACCAGCCTCGATGTTGATGATGATCTGCTTGACGGTCTCGGTGGGGGCGAGGAGGCTGCAGAGCATTAGCATCGCTTGTGCAATACAACTCGCTCTCCCGTCTCTCGAGCGGGGAGCGAAGTGCAGGGAGGTAACTCACTCGATGAGACGCTTGTGGATGCGCATCTCGTACTTGTCCCAGGTCTTGGAACCCTCACCGTTGGGGGTCTTACGGGTGGAGATGTGCAGGGTCTTGGTGGGCAGACGGACGGGGCCCTTGACCTGCAGGGACTTGGAGCGGGCACGCTCGATCAGAGCAGAGCACACGGACTCGAGGGAGGCGACCTTGCGGGAGGTGAGGGTGATGCGGATCTTGTGGACCTTCTACATTGCGGAAGAGAGGTCGTTAGAACATTTCTCTCATGATATGCGTCGCAGGCTCAAATCGAGCAAGCGTAGGACAGAATAAAGGTTGGGATTGCAACGTACGGGGCCCTCGCCGAAGTCCTTCTCCTGCTTGTTGTAAGACATGTTGACGGTGAGTGTGCGGTTGAGAGACCGGGTTGACTGAGATTGCTGATGATCACTTAGTCCTCTGACATTGCAGCGCACAAGGGATTATAGAATTCGTAGACATACCGCAAGTGAGGCTGTATGCCAATCAAGACCTGAACTTCGAGGCTCGGTAAGGTGATGATGGCCGTTAAGCTGGGAAGAATCGTCGTTCGCGAAAGTGGATGCGATCGAAAGCGAAACTTTTCTTCTTTGGGCTGAATTTCTTGTGCGGGCGTGAAGTCTTGGCGCTCGCCTATCCCGCGCTAACCCCGATTAGGCACCGACTGTTCTCGACGTCAAGTAGTCTGATACAACACCAGCGATGAATCATAATGACTGCGGGCGTCCATGGATGTGGGAGTGAGGAGGATATCTTTGTTCTGTTCTCTCCTCTCTAGTCTACGACTATACGACTTTCTTATTTCGACTCGGTGTTGGCGGCCATGATCACGTTGCCGCCTTTAGCTCCACTCCCTCCCCTGGAGGTGCAGAGGTCCATACCATCTGATGAATGGGAACTGTATCTAGATGCATGGGTGCTGCTGCTTGGGGCACGACTGGACGTATCAGCATCGGCGTTTGAGGAATTCGCGCCGAAGGATGAATCTGTGGTTCCTTTCTTGGCTTCATATTACGACAACCTTGCTACATCCGGAAGTCTGATAAACCAGTCCGGAGCAAAGTCTCGAACCTTAAGGAAGCTCTGCTTTCTACTAACACGGAGATTGATACTGGAGACCACTGCGGTACCCCCGAGCTTATTAGAATGGACATACCTCAGCAAGCTGTGCTGCTGCTACCCCTCGAGCTCGGCATTAAAGAAGCTCATAATTGATGCATGGGCGAAGCACGAGGATGCGATTACGACGAGTATTGAGAAGGGAAAGGCCGTGGCCATCAAACAGCTATCAGCACCAGACTCTATCAACATATCAAAGGCTATTGCGGACATTCGGCTACTGACGATACTGGCATCGTCACTCCCAGCAACTGGACATGTGCTCATGGCGGGATCTGAGTTTCTAGATACGCTCGCAGACGCATATCAGACCCATAAAAGAGACGATATTCGCAAGACGTTGGTGGCCAATGTCTACGTCGGCCTGACGTCCCTTTTGAGGGGCACGAAGCCGAACCTGTCTTTACTTCTGGACCAACTATTTGGCTTGAAAGCCAGCTCTGGCGTCGGCACCCCAAAGGCGAAGAAAGAGCCGACGCTCCTCTCAGATGTCATCTGCAGTTCGGATCTGCTGTCTCGGCTAGAAAGATACCTTGTCACTCAGCCTCAGAAGCGAGGGCAAGATCTCGCCACTAGCCTGCGCGCATATCAAATCGAGTCCAAAGCATTCCACCACCGCTATCAAAAACCAAAGAAACGAGTCGACAAAGGCAAGGGCCGGGCATCAGGCCTGCCTCCTATAGATGAGCTGCATGCCCATAAAATGTCTCTAATAACCCAAATCCAAGACCTCTTCCCGGACCTTGGCTCCGGGTATATCGTCCGACTCTTAGATTTCTACGGCGACAACCCAGAGACTGTAATTGCACATCTCCTGGACGGATCCATTCCATCCGAACTCCAAGACCTTGACAAATCAGAACGACTCCCTACCCCGGTAACAACAGCACACCACGACCCTCTACCGCCCAGATCAACACCACCACCACCACCACCACCACCCACAGAACTCCCCATTCGGAAGAACATCTTCGACAACGATATTGACCTCGCCGAACTCGCCCGCTCCGACCAAGCCCCCAGCACCACCGCCGGAGCAAAGAATGCCCTCCGCTTCGGCCGAGCAAACCCAACCCTAACAGCGGACGACCTCCTCTCAGACCGCAGCAACCACACCGCCCAAAAAGCAGCCATCATCTCCGCGCTTGCAGCATTCGACTCAGACGACGACGAGCGCGATGACACATACGACGTCGCCGACGTCGGCGGCACCGTCGACGCAACCGACGAAGGCACTGACCAACAGCAACGAAAGTCCGCCGATGAGCTGGATCTCACCCTCCTCCAAGCCTACAAGTCTAACCCAGCCCTCTTCTCCCGCGACTCAGCCACTCGCCGCGGACAGCCTAGAGCATCGCTCAGGCGCGAGACGGGCTTGACGGATGAAGCGATTGAGGGGTGGGCTGTTATGCTCACGCGGGATCCAAAACGGCTGGCGAAATTGGAAGATCGCTTGGCGCTTTCCGCTGCGCCTGGGGCTGGGATGGCGCAGCCGGAGCTGGCTTCGACGTCATATAGGCGGCCGAAGGTTACCGGGGATGGAGAAGAGGAGAGTGGGACCGAGGGTGAGCAGCATGGTTCTATGAGAGGTCGTGGTCGCGGTGGGATTGGTAGAGGACGGGGTCGAGGGCGGGGAGGCGGGGGCGGAGGTGGAGGACCCTCCGGAAACCAGAATACAGCTGCGTCGCGGCAGAGGAAGGAGGAGAACAAAGCGAGCCGAGCGAACCATAACCGGCGACAGCAGAGAGCTAAAAAAGTGGCGAGAGCTGGAGGCATGGTTGGGTGATATGATGCGATGCATCATCTCAAGTCGGATTGGATCAGCTGGTTTCTACGTTGGTTGAAATATATGGTGACGAGATTTTACGAATTCTGCTAGCTTTCTCTTTGTATAGTCATGATGTAGATAGGACTATAGAACTCAATGCATATATATTGTACGCATCACTCTAGCTCTTTCTCTAACTTGGGAAAATACACTATGTATAGGAATTATCATGAGGACATTATGTACATCAGCGCGTGTTAGACCAGGCCCAACTGCTGCCGAGTTGATGGTCGAGAAGACATTATAGATTATCTCAAAGGTCTAGCGGACGATTTGAAGCACGGAAGGTGTGGTTCAAGTAGACCGTGCGTTAAGACCAGATAAACGATGACGTTTCTTAATGATGATCGGAAAAGACCCCATTTTCCGCACAGGACTTTCTACACTCCTCCAAGATGCGAAGCTGCTTTGCAACATCACCGAGCCTGCTGATAACCTCTTTGTTCCCGTCCGTAAAGGTGAATAGTGCGTACGGTATCCCTGTGTCGCGACAGAATTCCAAGACCAGTTTTTGGGTGCGGCGCAGGTTGTGGCGCGGGATCCGTGGGTAAAGGTGGTGAATCGCCTGGAATTGAAGGCCACCGTGGAAGAAGTCGAGCCACGTCGGGCAGTCGACATCCATGGTTGTGCGAAGCATCTTCTGGGGAAATGATTCGTGAACGCCCAGATCCGCGGTTGACATGGCAAAATGGGAGAGGGTAATTTGCACGTGGACGGGGGCCGTCACCATATGTGAGACTAGGAGGAAAATTGTTCGGTTGCCCCAGCCTGGAATTGAGCAGTAAAGCACGCCGTAGCCGAACCATGTCCAGAAGAAAATCTGGCCGGCGATCTCGAACCAGCGATGCCACCAGGCGGGTCCTCGTCTTGGTCCTTGCCCGAGGATAAGGTATTCCCAGCTCAGGCGGTAGAGGTTGAAGCGGCCAAATAGGAGGATAGGGTAATAGAGATAATTTTGATATTGGAGCATGAACTTGGCAAAGGCGTCAAAGTACATGACACGGTCGTAGTAGGTGCTTCGGAGGTTGTCAAAAAAGCGGTGCGTGATGGCAAAGAAGGGCATGTGCTCGATATCAGGATCATGCTCTGGTTCGTTTGTGACGATATGATGCACGTTGTGACTTCGTTTCCACCAACCTAGGCTCAGTCCCCCGAGAAAGTCGGCGATGATCATCCCGATTGTGCTATCCACATGGTAATGGTGGGTAATGCCGATATGGCCTGCATCGTGCGCTGTGAAGACAAGTTGGTGCCAGAAGCATCCTAGGAAAATGGCCGAGATTGTGTACCATCCCGATTGTAGAAAGAAATATGACAGTCCAGCAAACAGCGTGTATCGGCAGGCTTCGATGAAATAGGAGAAGTAGTTGCAGTTGTAGAGACCCTCTGCTTCAATCCGAGTGTTCAATTCACGATATCTCCTTTTGATGTCCTCCTGGGTTGTCGAGTCGAGCGAAGGATACTTGGCGGTATCGAATACGATCTCCTCCCGTGTCCGCGCGTCAAGGAAGAAAGGTTTGGGCTCAGAAGGTTCATTGGCCGGGGTTGGTACGGAGGATCCGGGGGAAACAGACCGTCGGCGAGCTCCTGGAGCAATATCGACAGCATCGAAAATGGGGGACGGAGGTTGGGAGCTCCCGGAGGTGTCGTCTTCCTCGCTGCAAGTAGCTTTCTCGTCGTACGGACGAAAGTCTCCGCCCTGGATTGGGGGGAGAAAGTTCAACCAAGGACCCTGGATTCGACCGATCTGGAAAGCCAACATTCGCTGGCGAGCTTCTTTCGAATGTAACCTTTCCCAGGATCTCCGTTAGGCAGCTGCGGTTTAGATAGGTCGAGGCACATACGCATTGATCTCGTCTGTCGCGTCCTTCCCAACCATGTGCTTGATGGACTTGTCGCCCCCTGGATGGAATGGGATCCACGAGTCGACTTTTAGAACACGATCGTCGAAGATGATGACATGTTTCCCTTCTGCTATCTGGCCTTCGATGTAGCGTCGGGACAGGAGCGCATCCTTGCGGGGAGTTGTCGCAGACATGGTGGAGAGCTCAAGAAGGGGTTATTCAGTAGGTTACCTCATAACTCGGGCGAACGACAACTCGAAGGAACGGGGATTTGTAAAAGAGATAAAAGAAAGAGCTCAGGAACTTGAGGAGCGGTGGGCGTCAACAGAGCGAACGGGTCCAAGCGGGGAGCCGAAATGAACTTGAAACGTGCCGCGAGGATCAGACGACGATCCATTCAGCATCATCCCACGTTTTATCTTCTCCAAGACACACCATTCTCCTTTTAGCTCTCCTCTTAGCGCCTCGATTCTCGATCTCTCATTCTTCCCTCCCCTCTCGTCGTATGATTCAACATGGCCTCCCACGAGGTAAAGCTCTGATCTAGCATTCCTGAGCCGCGGTCTGACTTTGTAGGATTCTCTCCCCCCGCTGATTCAGAAATGGCTCGAGTGGGACCAGGTTAGCGAACTTTCTGCCCTCAGGCGTCCCTGAGACTAACGGCTGGCAGGATCCCGCTACACGCTCGGAAATCGAGCAGCTACGCGACTCGGGGCAGGCCGCTGAGCTGGAAAAGCGCCTCCAGAAGCGTACGTTTGAGCTATAGTATCCATTGACCCCGCACGCACTGCTAATACGGCATAGGGATTCAGTTCGGAACAGCTGGGCTCCGGGGTCGCATGGCTGCTGGTTTCTCATGCATGAATTCATTGACAGTGATCCAGGCATCGCAAGGCCTGGCCAAGTATTTGAAGGACTTTCACAGCGAGCTTGTCCCTCGTGGGGTGATTATCGGCCATGATGCCCGCCACAACTCTGCTAGGTTCGCGATTCTCGCTGCGAATGCATTTATCGCACAGGGAATACCAGTATGGTTCTTCTCGGGGCCGGCAGTTACGCCTACGGTGCCTTTTGCGGTGACCGACATGCGTGCTCTTGCAGGTGTTATGGTCACAGCAAGCCATGTAAGCTTCTAGTCATGGGTATCCGGACTCCGCGCTAACGAAATGACAGAACCCTGCGCAAGATAATGGTAAACTTGCCAAGCTTATATTCCTATGAACTTGCTAACGTCGTCTAGGCTACAAAGTGTCTGGTTTCACCATATCGCGTATCTTTTCAATTCCTAACGTCGTCTAGTTACTTCAAGAATGGCTGCCAGATCAACTCTCCCATGGATAAGGAGATATCCGATTCCATCGACGCAAATCTCCAGCCATGGCCCAATGCCTGGGTTGAGTCACCAGCGAGCGAGCTATTCCATTCCGACTCCTACGAACAGCTGTTGCCACGTTATACCACACGCGTCTGGCACTACTCTGTACTGGCCCTCGACCCTGTATGCTTCCGGTAGGCTAACCCCCCTTTGCAGAAGTCCACAGTTCAGAACTGGATATACCCACGGCCATTTGTTTACACGCCATTGCACGGCGTTGGAGGCTTGGTTCTTCCAGACCTTTGCCGCTCATTAGGGATTACCGATTTTACATCGGTAAAGGAACAACTTGAGCCGAATCCCGACTTTCCCACGCTGCCGTTTCCCAACCCCGAAGAGTCCGGAGCGCTAGACCTAGCCGTTGAGACAGCAGATCGGGAAGGTAAAACTCTCATCATCGCTAACGATCCGGATGCAGATCGCTTTGCCGCCGCTGAGAAGGTCGAGTACGTACCCCATTACATCGCTCAGTTGTTCCTCGGAGGCTAATTTGAGTAGCGGCTCATGGTTCTTCTTCACTGGTAACCACATGGGAGCTCTACTCGCGTCTCACCTCTTCGACTGTCTAGAAAACATCGATACCGATACACGGGTCGCAGTACTAAACTCAGCAGTCTCAAGCACCATGCTCGAAAAGATGGCAGTGGCCAAGGGAATCTACTTTGAAGAATCACTCACAGGCTTCAAATGGATGGGCAACACGGCTCGCAAACTAGAAGAATCCGGCTACTATGTCACGTTCGCCTTTGAGGAAGCGCTCGGCTATATGTTCCCAGAGGTTTGCTACGACAAAGACGGCATTACAGCTGCCATGGTCTTCCTCTCCGCACAAGCAAAGTGGGCTACGCAAGGTCTCACTCCGTACACGAAACTGCAACAACTATTCTCTGAGTACGGACACTACGAAACGCTCAACAACTACTTCCGGTCCCCGAATCCCGAAACAAGCATGGCTCTGTTCGACGCGATTCGCGCCGGGCCCTTCAAGTCCGAAATGAAACTAGGGTCTTTCAAGATCCTGCGATGGCGAGACATGACAGAGGGCTACGACTCCGGCACGGAGGATAAGACGCCGAAGCTACCCGCCGACAAGAGCAGCCAGATGCTCACTCTCTGGCTCGACCGCGAAGTACGATTCACAATCCGCGCCTCGGGCACAGAGGCAAAGGTTAAATGTAAGACCCCATAGTTTATCTCTCACTGAAATCGCAACGAATCTAACATGCGTACGCGTCAGACTACATTGAAAGCTGCGGCGCCTCTCGCGAAAAAGCCATAGACGCCATCTGTGACACTCTCCGGGCCGTTTTGAAAGAATGGATCCAACCGTTCTCACCCTCATTGACTTACAACAAACAACTTCCCACGTCTTCCGGGTATGTTCTCGAGCTTGATTAGGCGGGTAGATAAGAGCGCTAGATGTAGATGCATATATCTCGGGTTCCATAAATAGTCCCAGTTTTCTCTTCTTCTTTCCTTTTTCTTTCTCCTGATAGAACAAAGTAGCATGCCGCACGGAAGCATACCTTGCCGACTGCAGACTGCAGTTCTTTGCCCCGGAGGTTAACCACAGGGGTATAATCCAGACTAGTCCAGGAAAACAACAATCCGGCATCACACAGCATTTAGATCTGAAAGGTCTTTGTTATTGGGTACAAATGCCTCGTTTTCCTTTTCTAGATTTTTGCATCAACTGTGAACGTTTCATCTTCAAGACCCGCTTCAACCTACCCTGTTCTGTAGTTGGTATATGAATTCTTACTCCTACTCTTCTGTCGCACACACATCCCTCCTTGACTGGTCTGGAATAGTGCATTACCACTTGATGGTCATTTATCCACTCCTAGTGCTGCTACCTGGAAGTTGCCACTATAGTCCCTCTCGGAAGCCAGAATATCAGGCACCGGTTGAACAGTCTTTTCTAGTTTCGACAAATAGCCACTGTCGAACACCGATTTCTTGGAGGAAGCGCCTACGCAGCCTTTATCTCCTACAACGAGATTAACAACGACAGCGATAGCGACACCAGCACATTCTCTGCCATCACTACCAGCAACATAAGTTGAAGCAGACCTACAACTAAGGCATCTCAATGCAGACACGCAACCCATGTCGGGGATCAAGAAGGGTGGAGTTTGCGTATGTATACCCTTTCTTGCCGATGTCTCGTTGCCCCTTGCCTTCCTACCGTTGTTGTAGTCACCGTTTCTCCCTCTTCTGTTTCATTTAAAGCAGACGGCGCAGGCTAATCGGTATACTGCCTTAGATTGCCAGGAAACGAATGTAGAACGACCGCTGCACGTGGTCATTCGCATTCACATGCCCATGGATATACCCATTCCTACACAGCTACGTGGCCCAACCATGCCAATTCAGGATGCCCAGGACACCACGACGAGCACAGCTACGACCGCTACATTCTCTTCAAAGCACCCACTTCAGACCCTAATCCTTGCGGACATTGCCATGGACATGGATACGGGTGTGAAGGACGATGTGGCCGACAACACGACAATGGAGGGTGCTGCTCCGCGTCTCAGCACCAGCCCTGTTATGACGGTCAATGTGGGAACCAGTGCCAGGAACTAAGTCAACTTCGCTGCATCGCTGCCGCTGCCGCCGCCTTTCCTTGTGCTGGTGCTGGTGCTGTGGCCGCGAGCGCGAGCGCGCGTGCGACGGCTGACGCGCAGAATATGTCTGTTCGAGCTACGGCGCAGACATATCGTGGCCATGACCATGCCCATCGCCACCAGTATCAAAGTCGATGTGCAGAGGCCTGTGGGAATGAATGTGCGAGTTATAATCCGTGCAGTGGATGTGGTGGTGGGTGCCAGGAACAGTGCGGGAGCAGCGGGCAGGAGATTCATTGTTGTGTGTCAGTTGGGCCAGTGAGGGATTCGACCTCGAGATGTAGAGGACGGTGTCAGGAGGGGTATGCGTATGGGCCTCCGTTACCTGTTGTGGTGGATGTTGCCCGTGGGAATTGCCGTGCCCGGTGCTAGGTGGCTTGAGTTATAATGTGGTAACTAGGTTAGAACTTAGACGGAGCAAATCAGCACGTTGCTTTTGGACGAAAGGTTTGTCTATGATCAGTTTAAGTCTTTTATTTTCATAACTTAATACAGAACAACCAACATAGGAAATATAATGATGTCAATGCTACACGGAGACGACTAGCAGGGCTAGACTAGAGAGATACAAAATTGGTCGGGATTATGATGATGCGATTGGGTTGAGGAGTTTAGAAGTGGATGGCCTTGGAGTAGGTGGCCATGGCAGCCTCCTTGAAGGCCTCGGCGAGGGTGGGGTGGGCGTGGCACGTCCGGGCGATGTCCTCGCAAGAGGCGCCGTACTCAACGGCAAGGGTGGCCTCGGCGATCATCTCACCGGCGTTGGGGCCGATGATGTGCACACCGAGAATGCGGTCAGTCTCAGCGTCGGCAATAAACTTGACCTGACCCTCAGTGTCGAGGTTGGTCTTGGCGCGGGAGTTGGCGCTGAAGGGGAAGGAGCCGACGCGGTACTTGATGCCAGCGGCCTTGACTTCCTGCTCGTTCTGGCCGACCCAAGCGACTTCAGGGTGTGTGTACATGACGCTGGGGATGGCACCGTAGTTGACGTGGCCGTATCCCTTCTTGATGTACTCGATAGCGGCAACGGCCTCCTCCTCAGCCTTGTGGGCAAGCATGGGGCCGAAGGTGCAGTCACCGATGACGCGGATGTGTGAGACCTTGGTGCGGTACTCCTGATCGATCACAAGGCGACCCCGGTCGTCCTTCTCGATTCCGGCGTTCTCGAGTCCAAGACCCTCGGTGTATGGGCGGCGGCCGATGGCGACGAGGACAACATCCGCATCCAGGGTCTCCTCCTTGCCACCCTTGGCTGACTCCACGGAGAGCGCGATAGTAGCACCGCTGTCATCACCCTTGGTGACCTTGAAACCGGTCTTGAACTTGATGCCCTGCTTCTGGAGGATCTTCTGGGCCTGCTTGGCGATGTCGGCGTCCATACCGGGACCACCGATCTGGTTCAGGAATTCGACGACGGTGACTTCGGATCCGAGGCGAGACCAGACGGAGGCCTAGAAGTATATGTCAGCACAAGAACAAATGTAGTGCCTCGAAGAGCATACCATCTCCAGACCAATGATACCACCACCAATGACAACCATCTTCTTGGGAACCTCCTTCAGGGAAAGAGCGCCAGTGCTGGTGATGATTCTCTTCTCATCAATGTTCAAGCCGGGGAAGGGAGTGGCCTCACTACCAGTGGCGATGATGATGTTCTTTCCGCGGAGAGTCTGCTCACCACCATCCAACAGGTTGACCTTGACAGTGTTCTGGTCAACGAGCGCACCGGTACCCTTGACGTACTCGACACCGTTCTTCTTGAACAGGAACTCGATACCCTTGGTCAGACCGTCAACGGAGGTGTCCTTGGCGGCCATCATCTGCTCAAGGTTCAATTTGACGTCACCGACCTCGATACCGCGTTTTTTCGTGTCGTGCAGGATCTGGTGGTAGAGGTGGGAGTTGTTGAGAAGGGACTTTGAAGGGATACAGCCGACGTTGAGACAGGTGCCTCCGAGGCGGCCGCGCTTCTCGATACATGCGGTCTATGTCGGAAGAGAATTGCTCAGCGGATAATTCAACAGGGTCAGCGGGGGCAGTTGCGAATCTCACCTTGAGGCCTTCTTGACCGGCCTTGATGGCGGCAACGTATCCGGCGACACCACCACCGATAATCACAACATCGTGTTCAGCTATCCGAGCGCATCCAAAAATTAGCTAGCGGTTTTTCGAAGTGTTGGGCGACCTCCCCAACCGAATTCGCGGGGATCCAAGAGATGCAACCTACCAGATTCTGAGGCATAACCACGGGTAGAGCGAAGGATAGGGAGAGTAGTAGCGGGAACGAAGTGCGAGGGGACAGGTTGGGGACGAGCAGAGCGGATAGCAGCCCGCGGTGTCGTCCGCGGCAGTAGACTCCGGAACATGGCGAGAAGAGTGACGGGACGGGAAACCGAGATTATAGGTAATTAAGAAAGCAGTATCGACTCAATCCTCCAGGTACACAAGCTGGGAGGAAAGGAGAAGCGAATGGCAAGGGAAGGGAGGTTGAACGGTGATCGCGGAAAAAGGATGTTGAAGCTTTCGAACTGGAGACGAAACTGCCAGCAAGAGCAGAAGCTGGCGGCCCGGTACCGTGACCGTATCGTCGCGTATGTAATCATTTCTCAGCCACTCAGCGGCCGATTATTTCGCTCATCGGGCTGCCTGCCGTATCTCTCCCAGCGAGATATCTCACCACTGGCAGGATTAATATCTCAAAATTGCGATACCGACTGCTCATTATCTATCTCTTATCTGGGAGTCTGCTGTTTCTTACGAGGGGTAGCGTTCCAACGTGTATTCAACGTGACGGATATCCGGCCAAGCGGAAAGCCCCGGTCAGTGGATAAGAATAAACCCTATCAAATACACTCCTGTGCAGCTCACTGCTGCCCAGGTGTGTCAACTATTTACTCCGTTGGGAGGTCATTCCGATCCTTCATACAGAGCACTACCAATGACAGGTGCTGTCGACAGCAAACTATGCGGTTTCTCCGCAGCCGCGAGTATCCGCGGGTAACGCAGAACAGCATTACGATGGCTACCGTCGGCGTCTAGCATCGGGATCGGGCATGAGTTCCAGGAGTCTGGGGTCGCTGGTTGCTCTGATGCAACAGCCTATTATCATGATTATTATTGGGCGTCGTGGCTCGCAAGCTACATACGTATACGGACCTACAACCTAAATGTTGTCCGACCGATGCTTTACGATATATATTTTGCAACCCAGGTCGCGCAGACTCGCACACAGCCAACATAGGACAAATGATTTACCATGTCAGATTACGACTATCAGGTTTTCAGCACACAGCCGCTGGTATGCTGACAATGTAGCCATGACATATGGTGAGACATTTACCTACAGGTTGCCTACATTCATTACCAAGTCCATGTGTTGCTTTGTGAGCGGCATTTGCTAGCACGACGGCTTCACTTATGAATTACATGGTGCTTCCAAGCTGCCCCAAAGCACACGCGCACTTGACGCAAGGGCTTTCATGAGCAATAGACATGTACCACGAACTCAACCTTCTCCCAGAGGTGTCTCTTGGCGAGGAAGCGCGCCATAACATGCAATCTGGACCAGCGGTATGTGAGGCGATGAACAGGGAACCAAATCAGTATGCTTCTATGGACGACTACAGCTACTGCCTGCGAGAACATCCAGTTCCTGGCGCTTTTCTGACCGGGGATACCTGTGTGCGGTCGATGCTGGACAAAAAGAAAAAAAGCCCCCATTAAAGCACTAGTTCATCCAAATTCGATATTCTGCCTCGTGTTTGACAGCACGGAGGACAAGAGACTTGACCTTAAGGAAATGGTGCCGGCCGCCCGACCTGTTGATACAAAGCCATGGAACTCTTATATATCCCGCCCCATGCTTACCTATCCACCATGGGCAAAGATCTCCTGACCCTCATGGCTGTATGGAATTGCTACACACGATTCCGCCGGCCCACGGTGATATATAGGCGAGACTGAGTGTATAGTCCGTGCTATGCTGCAACCTGTCTTTGCAGAATGCTGGCTCTTGCAGTCTGAAGAAGACCAATTCCCTGTATTCGCCAGGCGGTCTATGCGCGTTGCATCATTAAAAACACAGCGTGCGCGCGAGTTAATGTATGCAGAATTCGCTCGTCGGCAGTCTTCCATGACATCCAAAGTGGCCCGCGCGTGCATACATGCAGACTACCAGGATACATTCGACAGTTTGAGTACTGTTCCAGATGTATGGCTCGAGATTGACTCTTACCATTGCACCAACAAGCATTACCACGAGACAATCAATTTTAGGATAGTGGAATTGGCATGGAGATCGACGAGCTAGAAAGACCAGATGACGACGGGGCGGGATTCATTCCCTCTGCGTGCTAGAACAGGGGTTGCAGAGAAGCGACGGCTCCCAATCCATGTACTTGATCCGGTATATCACAACAGACGATGTAGGCCACAAGCCCCTGGGGCTGCAAACTATAAGCTCGACTGCGGGCCAGGTGCTACTGCATGCTTGCGTGGTTGATCCAGCGACTTGGCCTGTGCAGCTGTACATGGGGTCAAACTCAATGATGTATACCGGCATGCGCCGTTTGCGGAACAACAGGCCGCAACCTGTGGGACTCGGCCCGCGACCACGTGTGGTTATCCCTGACGAGGGCAAGGGAAGGGACGGGGACGGTGAGGGAGTCTGTTCGGCAGCATCGTGGTGCCTCTTGAAGCCTGAGAATTAGCTCACTCTCATGCATCAGGGTCATGCCGTGGTCATTTTGTATAAAACGTGATCGGGAGAGGAGATGCCGAAGCTTAGCCGAAGCTCGTCGCAAAGCTTGTGAGGGATGCCGAGGACGCCGAGAGCTTCCTTATAGATGGTGACATGACCACATCAAGTTATCAGCCCTCAATTCTTGCAGAAACAGGAAGAGCATGGGGTAGCTTAAAGTACTGCCCGTACCGAGTCCCTTTTTTCATCCTATAACGCTCGCGATCGTCCTCGTTAACTCTCAAAGAGGAAAGTCGGAGGACTTCCGAGCGCAACCTCACAACCCGCCACCAGCCCGACCAAGAATCCCCAGACTCTCCCCACAAAGCCTCCATTCGCTCGCTCTCAACTTTGAAAAACCAAATCAACCAATGAGAATGGCCCGTTCCTGTCCTGCAAACCTGGACCAGGCCTTTCCCCTCCAAATCGGTCCCGTGTCTCGTGTTGCTGCCCGTGAAGTTCCCGATCCTTCAGTCCGGATTCCCGATCATGGGCTCATTCACTCCAATCCTTGCAGGTTTTGGGCGGTGGACTCGGTCGAGTCATCCTCGTGTTTTCGAGTGGAGGAAGATGACTCCATTGGCGTGCTCTCCATTCACAGTCGCTCTCCCACCGGGATGTAACCATATTCGTCAAACCCAGGCTTTCCATGACCTCAGACCCTGTTTTTATCTGGTTGGTCTCTGATGGACATCGCGGTTAAATGCCGTGTAACCCCACACATCTTCACTATTTATCTCTTGAGTTCCCACTGTCAGGCGGAGCGTACCTAAAAGTGACTGATCCGTTGTCCCAAGCGTCATACACCAAGGTAGCCAAAATGAGCGACCAAATCTCCTCATGGAACGTGGTCCACCGCTATGAGAAGCGCAGCCTTCTCATAGCCATCAACAGCGTCGCCGCCCTTTCAATCCTCTTCTTTGGTTACGACCAAGGCATGATGGCCGGAGTCAACAACAGCAAGGACTACATTGACCTTATGGGCTTCGGCTACACAGAGATGAAAGACGGCCATCCTGCTCCCGTGGTGACTGACAGTCTGCTCCAGGGCGGTATTGTCTCTGTCTACTATCTCGGAACCCTCTTTGGCGCGCTCCTTGGCGGCTGGACTGGTGATAAGGTTGGGAGAATTAAGACGATTGCGTCTGGGGCAATTTGGGCAATGTTTGGGGCTGCCCTGCAGTGTTCCGCGCAGAACCATAACTGGATGATTTGCTGTATGTTGGATGTATTAAGTGGTGTGATGGTTACAACTACTGACAGGTGCAGCGCGCTTCATCAACGGTATTGGAACTGGTATCCTCAATGCGATTGTTCCGGTTTGGGCTACTGAGACGGCTGAACATACGAGTCGTGGTCAGTTCATCGCGATTGAGTTCACGCTGAACATCTTTGGTGTCGTTTTGGCGTACTGGCTCGAATTGTAAGTGCCTACAATATCTCTCCGACAAGATGGGCCTGTATGAGCACTATATAGAACTATACTAACGAGTTAGTGGCCTCTCCTTCATTGACAACGGCGCCTCTCCCTTCCGCTGGCGCTTCCCCATTGCATTTCAAATCATCTTCCTAATTGTACTCTTCAGCGTTGTCTGGTTCTTCCCGGAATCTCCTCGCTGGCTCGTCAAAGTCGGCCGTGAACAAGAAGCCCGCTACATCCTTGGCCGTCTCCGCGGAAGCAGTGACGAGGATGCAGTCCGTGCCGAGGCCGAGTTTCAAGATATCCTGAGCGTTGCAGAGATGGAGAAGTCCATGGGGCATAGTACCTCGTATCTGGCTATGCTGTTTGGGTATAAGACGGGTAAGTTGCATTTAGGGAGGAGAGTGCAGCTTGTGGTCTGGTTGCAGATTATGCAGGAGTGGGTTGGGATTGCGGGTGTTACGGTTTGTATGTGTCCTCTTTTTTTCTGATCGAATGTGGAACCTGGTAGGATGCCGCTAATATTCTCAGATGCACCAACTATCTTCAGTATCGCCGGCTTCGACTCCATGAAAAGCCAATGGATCAGCGGTCTAAACAACGTCTTCTACATGGTACGCACCCCATCGTTCAAACCCTCACTTATAAAAAAACCACTAATAGCATCAATACAGTTCGCAACCCTTGTCTGTGTGTTCACCCTCGACCGCATCGGCCGCCGCTGGACCCTCTACTGGGGCGCCACAGGCCAAGGCATCGCCATGTTCCTTGCCGGCGGCTTTTCCCGCCTCGCCATCAACGCCCGCGAGGCTGGAAACCTCTCGCGCGCCAACTCCTTTGGCGCTGCGGCCGCATCAATGGTCTTCATCTTCACGGCCATCTTCGGCGCAACCTGGCTTACTGTTCCTTGGATCTACCCGGCCGAGATTTACCCGCTCGCTGTGCGTGCAAAGGGGAATGCATGGGGTGTTGTGGGATGGAGTATTGGGAATGGATGGCTGGTGAGCAACGCATTCTTCATAATAAAAAGTCATTTGTTAACCTTTGATGTATAGACCCTCCTCTGCCCTGTAATGTTCGAATCCATTGGCGAAAAAACACTCTACGTCTTCGCCGCCAGCAACGTCATCACCATTCCCATGGTCTGGGCGCTGTACCCGGAGAGTAACCAGCGCACGCTGGAAGACATGGATCTACTCTTTGCGGCGGATACTCCATGGGTATGGGATGCAGAGAAGACGTTTGCAAGGTTGAAGGCAGAGAATCCCGGGTTTGTTGAGACTGCCGCGAGGAAGAATAGTGTGCTTGATGAGGAGGCGGGGGCTGGAAAGCCGGGCGTTAGTTTGGAGCAGAGGGAGGATGCTGGCAAGTAGATGCCTAAGATGTGGTGCTGGTGGTAAAGGCGGTAGGGATGGGATGGAGGGATATGACGGAGGCAGGCAGGTGATACGGAGAAGGCCTGTCTCTTTGGCTAAGAAATCGAATAGATATAGAGAGCCCCGTTTGGAGGTATCGATCGGTACCACCTACCGACTCCCCGAGACTTCAAACCCCGATGAAATACCTTTTGTCAGCGGAGTAGATGTGCCCGTGCGTATCTCATTCATGAGAGACAAGGACAACATCTACTAAGAACCCCAGAACCCGGCAGTATTCGCAGGAACACAGCCTCAAGTCTCAATACCATCTGCCCACACATCAGCCCAATCTTCCCCCAGCAAGCCTCGCAGCGCCCGCCAACCAGCTCCCGGAATAAGCGACGCTTTGCGCCGCTGGCGACCTGGAATGGTTTCCCTGCCTAGATCCCTGGCTCCTAAGCCAAGTACCCATGTCGGGCGAGCATGTTGATATCCTTTCAACTCCAGGCTCAGAGCAAGAGCGATATCTGCGATTTTCCACACTCACTCGAAGGTCGAAGCGGAAATCAAACTCGGCAACCGAACGGGTTTGCCTGTAGCCTGTTCATACCCATCCAATCGACCCCTGCAAGTCCCGTTTCAGATGCCCACCTAACCTTCGTCAGGCAAGCTAAGCAGGCAGGATCCAATTCGATAGATCGCTTCCTCGCTCCAACCAGTACCCGAATTAACCGGACAGAATCGATCGCCAAGGGCTGTTGTGGGTGAGTGTGGTTGGCTGGTGCTGCAGAGATGGTTACATATGGCGCTGGGGAGTTGATGTAGTAGGCTCAGGGATCTGGTTGGGTTGGGAATTCGACTGGGGGGTATGCAGTGCAGTGGGAGTCGAGTCGGAGCTGAAATGGATGGGATTGTGAGATTGGGTAAATATATAATGCATTGGGGGTTCCGGTTTTCTCTCTGCTTAGATTACTTTTCATTCTGTGTCGTACTTGAACTGAGCCGGAAGATTTGTATACAGATATCTATACCTACCTAGATATCAAGAATGCATTCCCTCACCATTAATCTCACCCTCGCTCTTTTCTCCCTCCTCACTCCCACAATCCACGCGCAAAACTTCACCACTTTCCACGATTACCTCTCCACCTACATCCCGAACTGCATCCTCGATTGCACAATCTCGGCCGCAGAGCGCGACACGGAGTGCGGTTCAGGATCCGTGTCGAGCACCGACGCCGACGACATCGACTGCCTGTGCGATGCGTTCTGGCATACAAACGGCCGCTTCGTGAGACACTTTTCAGAGTCCATGGCGCGGTGTGTAACGGATGCGAGGTGCTCGCTTGATGAGCTGGAGGATGTTGCGAGGGTTGATCCGTGGACGCTTTTTGATGGCGTGGATGGGTTGTGTGGGGGTCGGCATGGGCATGATCATGATCACGATGATGATAGCAACAATAGCAATGATGATGAGACGAGCAACAGTAACAGCAACAACAGCAACAGCAGCAGCAATAGCGATGATACACAGGACTCGAGCAGTGATACTGCGAACGATACCAGTGACAGCAGCACCAGTAGTAGCAGCAACAGTGGGGATGATGACAGTAAGTTTACCTGATCCTCTGGCTCTAGGCCCCTATTGACATGGTATCTAGATGGTGCAGCTTCTATCGCCTCTCGTTCCATCACTGCCCTGGCCGCTGGCGCTCTGGTGGTGCTTGCTGCCTTCTGATTGATCACGATTTGAATATAAACGAGTGTTCAGTTTGTTTGGAGGGCGAGTCTTTGACAGGAAAAACATGGAAGGAGTATAGTTCGGATTGGCATAGGCATGATTGTAAGTAGTTGAATGGACGTATTTGAGTATATACCTGAATTGAATGAAGTCAGTTCCGATCAAGCCGTATACTAGATTCGAAAAGAGAAGAGAGTGTAATGACATCCGATTGGAGAGTGGCCTCGCTCGCGACTAGAGACGTTGCTCTAGATAAAATGAAGTTGACGGCGAGGATTGATGCTCGAGAGGCGAAGTTTCCATATTGGTGGCATAATAGGACCTCGTCGAAGGGTTTTCGCCTCTTACGATTCAAAGCTCATGACTGCCCAGTGGTTTTATCAATGACCAGAGGTCTCAGCCCAGATACAATATCAATAGGCAAATGTACGACACATGCGATCTCATAAGCAATCGGGCTTGTGATAAGGCGCAAGCAATGCTGTATACCAGTTAGGAGGATTTAACACCTCGGATTACCATAGACCAAATGCGACGTGCACGCCTAGATCAACAGCACCGCCCTCAGAGAGGTGAATCACCTGCTACCCAATCGCCACCCCATGTCATTTCTTTCACCCTGCTTCACCCTGCTTCCTGGATCTACTTCCTAGTCGGAAAATTCGGGGAATTTTCAAGCTACAAGAGCCTCCATTAGTCCGGGAATTAGAGTGCTGCCGGCTCACCTATCGTAAACTCAAATGGCACGCTAATATCTTGAGAGCAACTGCGCCTTGCGCCTGCTGCGCCCTGAGCCTTGCGGTCCCAGCCCTAGTTCGATAGACTGGACATCCAGGAGACCTCGGTAATCGAGCTCATGGGGCACTGCTTGATTGTAGCTGTGAACCTTGGAGGAACTGTTCTCCACATCGGACGAGGGTATTCCTACTCCCGCTACAGATGGCCGGTTTGGGGAGATACGAGTGCGAGCAGTGGGCACCTGACTGGGGATGCCATCCCCTCCATGACGCACGTCGCATGTCAACCGGGTGGGTTCTGTCCGAGAAAACACCGGGGCGTGAAGTGCGGAATCTGAGCTCGCGTATGGAGCCCAACCTGATTTGTCCAGTAACTTGAGAGAAACTTCAAGTCACAAGACCATATTTGAGCCCAGCCAAGACTCCAAGTGTCAAGACCAACAAGGATCCCGGTGAAGCTCACGCCAGAGTTTCAGCAAGGTCAAGCAGAGGCTCAAGCGGGGAAAATCGGAGGCGGATAAAATCCCCGCAATCTCCGGGAAAAACAGCAACTCAGATCGTTCTGTGGCTGGTGACAGCCGTGGCTTGTGAGCACTAGCCACTGTGAGCTTGGAGATACGTGGCGGAATCGGCTTCGAGTTAATCCGGACCCTTTTCCAGCTCCAACTGCCAAAAGCACAGCTGGCATGAGTTAGAGGAGCACATCCAACGTCTTCGATACTCGCCAACTTGCCGTTTTCTCCAACTTCTTCTTTTCTCTGCTTGATTGACGCGCCGCAACACGATAATCAGTCAATATGTCCGACCAGGTCCAAGAGTTGCTCAACATCCCTCAGGAGTTCCTCAAGGATGGCATGCAGTTTGTCAAGCGCAGCCAGAAGCGTATGTCTTGCATTCCTCCTGTTGGCTTACTTTATCGATGCTGGGCGGCAATTGAGAACGGAAGCTGACTCTACGTATAGCCGACAAGCGCGAATTCATCAAGATCAGCCAGGCTGTCGGCACCGGGTTCCTAATCATGGGATTCATCGGGTACATTGTTAAGCTGAGTATGTTGCCGCTCCCAAAGGTTTCGGTGTGTTTGGTACTAATCAAATCAGTCCACATTCCCGTGAACAACGTCCTTGTCGGCGGTGCTTAAGTTCTTTGATACAATTTTCGATGGCGGACGGTCGAGTAGAATGTCCGAAAGCGCACGTCGACGTCCAACCAGGCAGAAGCCTACCCAACCGGAGCCATCACAACCGACAAATGAGTCAACTGGAGAGTGGGAAAGAGAGGAGGGGAACTGAAACGTATACCCGCACCACATCGACCGTGAAAGCGTGCAATTGTATAGTCCGACGGCGGCTGAGTCGGAAGGGGGGCAGATCTAGACCCGTCGTATGTCGAAGGGGGAGGATCTGCGATATCGCATAACTGCTCCATGCATGTATGGGGCCTGAATCAGGGCGGCGTTAGTGTTGCTTTTTAACCTACTTCGTTTGTGTTCTTAATATACCAGACAAACCTTTGCTCTTTTGGCCAATGGTTTCTCATCCTGTTCGCATGCGCTTGAGCGAGCCCCTGATGGCTTTTCGCGCCTCCCTCCGAAGTTCAGAGGACTCCTACCCCCACGCTTATTGGGAGGCACTGTGGTGATCAGCGCTATATCCTGACTCGACACCGGGCCTGGACAGGTCGAGACAATTGTTTCACTGGTCTTCGTCTGCAGCCGGTCGATCCATCGCTCAGGGGTATGCAGTAGCTCTATATATTTTTTCTGAAAGCGTATGCGTAGATAACAGCTTCAGCGTCAAACGAGGAAAAAGCAACCTGCCATCGAAGGCGCCCTCAAGTTGCGTCTTCCTCAGTCTAATTTCGCATACAGGGAAGAGCAATGCGGCCGTTACTTCCCACAATATCTGGACTCGTATTGAGTTCCCGATCAGAGAGGCGACTTTTCTAGTCAAGCCTGACCTGAGCGACACGACGACGGTCCCGGCCCGTTACTCCGATCGGCGAGGAGCCGTCAGTACTAGAGTGGTCACAACCGTGACATCTTCTGCGAGCGTGCGGGCTGGCAATTAATCCAATCCTTCAACCGTGATTGGCCAATTCCCAGACAACGCTGACTGAGAGCGCCAAATGCCATCATCGCCTACAAATTCCAGCTCCCCAGCCTTCGCGACTCGCAATCCATGCAGATTGATGATCTCCAGTCCGCATCCTCCAACGAAACTCGACCTCTCGGAATTCAAGGATCAGTGAGTGACTTGCCAATCAACCCGAAACCTTGGACACCTTCCGTCAGCCTTCGACATCCCTTCCATGATCCGTTCCTTCGCATCAAACGTCACGCCTGGAACAGACCAGACCACAGATCAAACCAGACCGACACCATCTAGACCCCCAGCCGGCTCAATAACACGGTACCACGCCACATACACCACACTAAATCCTCCGAATTAAGCCAGTTGATCCAGGGACCAGTGAGAGACACAAAGAAATCAGGACAAGACAGCGCTTACCTTATTCTGGTAGTCATCCTGCGCTGCTGCGACACCGCCCAAAGAGGGAAGACACTAGAAGCCGCGCTAGAACACTCAGCAGCCCCACCCTCCTCCAGACTGTGGTCGCACAACAAGTCCACTTCGAGGCGAGGCCAAAAACTCGGCCAGCCGAGTGAGCGGTCGCTGCGTTGCGTATCCTGCCCCTCGTCATTCCGCAGCACGAATCCACGCACTCCACCGCGCATAATACCAGAGAGCAAAAGGCGGAAAGTGTAAAAGTATACGTATTGGAAAAGCAAAATGCCCGGGCCTGCTGTTGTTGCTCCACTCTCTGGCCCCCACGAGTCCGACCCTCCTTCCTGCGGGCAGTCCCCAGGCCCAGACCCACTTCTCGACATCAACAACGAAGACCAAGGCCAACTCCACAAGGATCCAACCACAACCGATCATGACGCCACAATCCTCCTCCTTATTCCACATGCAGCTGCAGGCTTCGCCGGCGTCAACAAAGAACAGCGCAGCATTGCATTTGGCAGCGATCCCAACCAGACAATGAAAGATGCCGCTGCAGAAAACTCAATCGCCCCCTCGGCCACATGCTCAATCAAAGAACAGTCCCCGTCGTCCCGGGAACTGGAACTGGCACAGACACAGGCACAGGAACAGAACCAGCAAATCCTGAAACTAACAAAGAAAATCTCCATGCATCCAACACTGACCTCTTTCCGAAAACGGACGTACATGTGCCTTCTTGCGATTCCGCGTGGTCGCTGGACGACCTATGCTGCGCTGGCGAAGCATTTGGATTCGAGCGCGCGCGCAGTGGGGACTGCAATGCGCCTGAACCCATTTGCGCCGGGGGTTCCCTGTCATCGTGTTTTGAATGTCGATGGGGGATTGGGCGGGTACATGGGGACGCCTCCTGAGAAAGACAAGGGAAAGAAAGGTGCCGGGAGGGGAAGTAAATTAGTGGGCAAATTGGAGCAGAAGAGGAGGTTGCTCGAGAGTGAGGGGGTGATATTCGATGAGAGGGGAAAGGCAAGGGGAAGTGTCTATGTAGACTTTCCCACCACATAGATAACTACAAAGCTACTTGGAAAGAGAAGAATTGATTGCGCGGTTATGTCGTGTATCTTGTATCGCGTTCATGTGAATGATGCCAGGTATCGTATCTCCAACGCCGACCATCTATAGTGTATAACTAACAAAAAGACATGATAGAATAATCAAGAAAAAAGTGAAAGCAAAAAAGTAGGTGAAAAAAACTAGATGCGAGTCTCATCGTCTCATAACGCCGTCCAGTCCAAGTCCACAGTCCAGTCCCATTCCGCATTACTCGTCAACCATGAGAAGAATGTGACGAATCGAATCGAGTCGAGTCTTCGAAAAAAAAAAATGACGGAAAAGAAGAAGAAATGGTATAAAACAGAATCTCTCAAGAAGTATAAGAATCAGAACCAGGTAGTATAAGAACAGATGTCCAGGATAGCAGTAGGCCAGAAGAGCAAGGTTGTATGTATACGGTGCGGGGATGAAGAGAGGTCGGAGTACATAGGGAGACGTTTAGGTCAGCTTCGTGCGCTTGGCGGCGCGGCGCTTTGGCACGTCCATGTGGTGGTAGGAGCGCAGGTGCTCGATGAGGTGGTCGCGACGTGGGAAGCCGTTGTTGTCCTTGCGCGAGCAGTCGGCGACAGGGCAGTTCTGAAAGACCGGGTAGTGCACGGTTGAGTGATGGCGTTTCAGGTCGGCGGGGCGCGTGAAGCTCTTGCCACAGTCTTCGCATGCATAGGGTTTGGCAGGCCTGATATAGTCAGACTTGGTTTCAGAATCAGTGGGGGATTGGGTGAGCATACTTGGGTGCCTCCTGGCTCAGGCCGTCGAGAGGAGGGAACATCCCTTGGTCGAGGGGTGGCATGGATGTTGGCGACCAGGCCGGCGTGGAGCTGGAAGGGAAGGAGGTGGGTGGTGTGTCCATGAGGGGGAGAGGTTCAGGCGTGTACATGGGGAATGTTGGGTTAAAGTCGTAGACTGTGCTCTCGAAGGACGAGGGTTCGAATGTCGGCTGGTTGAGCGGGAAGTCATTGATACTTCCAGGGCTGGTCGCAGTGCCACTTCCATTGCCGTGCATCAGGCGGTACATGTCCAGGAATCCAAAGCTGGAATCATCACTGACGGTGGAGTAGGACGAGTTGGACGAGTATGAGGAGTAAGACGAGAAGGACGAAGAGGACGGCTCCATTGGAGGGCAGGCAATAGGTTGGCTCTGCAGCGAGGTCAGCATTGTAGTGAGTAGGATGGCAGGGAAGGCAAATACCATTGTCTGAGAGAACATCTTGATGTTATCTTTTGTCAACTATGACTTGACAGAATGGATGGAGACTACGATGTGTTGAATCTGGGGAATGAAATCATGGGGGGTCGGCAGGTTGGGAGATAAAGCAGGTGACTGGGTGCAGGCACAGCTTTTATAATAGAATTTAGGAGGGCGAACCTGAATCGACGACCTGTGGAAGTCATCGACGTCGGTTTCGCACATGCATTAGATCCAAGAGACTAGTCCCGCCGTCAGGTTAGCGATACGAACATATCCATGGCGGAATATCACCTGAGCAAGCGCTCGTAGCAGACCAAAAATGTCCGGCTCTGGAAAAAGCAGGCCATGCATGGAGACTCGGCACAGATATTGGACGAGAGGGCACACAGCCACCCCAGTTGCCGGGCTGTCATTGGGGCAAAGCGACTGAGGCCATCCCTGCTAGCTTGGGTCGACTTGGCTAGCGTGCTGACGCTAGAAAAAGGATCGAAGCATTCGAAAGTTCTCCCAGCCTTCTAGTGCTTCTGGCGTTGTTCTGCCCCCCTCCCCTCGCCGAATAATAATGGCAGAAAGCGGGTGGTGATTGGCAAAGAGGGGACCAGGGAAAGCCCACACGGGCCGATTACTTGGAAGGGACAATCTGGCTCCATTTGGGCTCGAGCAGACGTCGTCATAGCGATCCCCCACACATTATTGCTAGTCGCAAGGCACTTGACATGAACGCTGCCTTTGCTGTACCCGGGCGGAACAGGCTGTGCCGAACCAGCCTGGCAGTTGAAAACAAGGGCAAAGACGGCAAGCACAAGTGAACCGAGAGACAGAATAACAAAAAGAGGGGGTGCATGCGGCTCGAGTTCGTCTTGGGAGCGCCAATCAGCCTCTTGTCTGTGTCTGCAGTCGCGGATGGACTTATCGACGCTGAGGGCGCTGGGGAGGTGAACGTGCGGGATCGTCATTTGCTGCAGATACCTGGGCGTTATTCTTTTTTTTCGGGGCCCTCCGATGGCCAAAGTACGAGTCAGTCCGCCTTTTGCTGAAGATGAAGTAATAATGTTCTTTTTCTCGGTTTCAGTCCAGTCTTGCGGCGGCCTCAATGAAAGACCACAACTCGGCACGATTTCCCCGGCGGGGCGTTTGAGGATCCGCACCAGGAGCGACAGCCTTGTCGGGCATCATCGATTAATCGTCATAAGGAATTCATTATAAGGAATTCATTAGTTCGAGGCATTAATCTGACTTGTGTTTGCCGGCAAGTGGTGTGTTGACGAGCGGTCTGAAAACAGGAGGCTGACTTCAAGGCAGACATGGTGGTCTGTCCTTCTCTAAGCCTGCCGCTCAGTCACCCACGATCACCTTCCTCAAGAGTCAACACTAAAGCGATCCTTCTTCACATCGCGCGCTAATTGAAAATCCCTCACCAAACTACCATGAGGCAACAATAGACGAACTCTTGATACAGAACCTAGTATCTAGTCTACAACAGCTTCACCAATGCTCGAGACACAAAGGGCCTGCACAAGGCCCTCGAGTTTCCTATTTTCATCAACGTAGACTTGACCTGATCTTCTTCTCGAGAGCACGATTTCTTGATTCAGTTTATTTTATTCTATTTTTCAGCATAATTTTGTCAGGTTTATTTTATTCACGTTTGATTTTTGATTTTTCTTTGTCTGCGCCGATCTGGGCTCTTCAGTCCTCACAGCCACCATGAATGCTTCGACGGTTCACAGGGTTGTGTCTGTGTTACAATCCCCAGTCTTCCGCATTGGTACCTACTTCGGAAAAGGGTCTACGCTGCATACTCTGTGTTTGTTTCGCTTAAGAAGACTCTTGTCTATTTCAATTGGTTAACCAAGCAGAAGCTCCTGACATGGCTGCAAGCCCAGCATAGCACTACTAAAAGAACAGCGTTGAACTCCCTGTCCCGCAGACCCATTCATAACACCTGTTCCTGAACCGGTTGAATACATAAGAGTAATAAAATAATAAAATGAGGTTAGATTCCATCTCACTTGCAGAATTGTGATCGAAGATAGATCCTTTCTCCTGTCGGTGCAGAAAATGACTCAACAATCGACTTCATAGACTCTTGCTGTCTTCATCTGACCAAACAGGTGACACCGATCCAAGCCGAATCAATATCTGAAGGAGGGACTAAAGCATGAGAATATGTGAGAGGAGAAAAGTACAGGCGTGGATTACAGTTCGTCTTCCAGGTACTTGTAAACGAACTTGAAATCAGCCTTGCGGCGGTTCATCCTGCAGTTCGGGTTAGAAGGAAAACCAGGCAACCAATGTGAGGCGAAAGAAAGTCAAAACTTACCAAGTACTCTCATAATCAAAGAAGCGGTAGGTGCCCTGTTCGAACTCCTCGGTTATGGTCTTGGGCTCTTCGTGTCTCTGGAACCAGGTCTGGTACTGCTTGTGGAATCGCCAGCTCTGGTTTTTGAGCGCCTTTGCCGACAAATACTGCTGCTGGGTGCCCTGACGGTAATAAAACAAGTAGAACAAGGTATCAGTGTCGATACGCCCAGTCTCGTAAAGGCGAGGATCGTCCAAGATAGCCAGAGGCTCCTGCGGATAGTACAGAGGGGTGTTGTAAGGGTTCTGGGGCTTATAGTGACGGGGTTTCTCGGCATCGGCGGGCTCGGGGCAATTGGTTGCGGACGCGGTGAGAAGACGCTGCACAGACTGGGGCTGGCTAGTAGGGTTGGCCGAAGCGCGACTCTTAGTAACCTCGAACGAATGAATCAGATCCTGCAGACCAGGAGGCAGATGGTAGATGGACTCTTCGCCATCTTCCTGGGCCTGGCTCTCTTTTCCGAGTTGTCCGTTGACAGCGGGTTGCGACTTGGTGGTGGCGGTTTCTGCCTTGTCCATCGCAGGGGTGGTGGGCGTCGTATTTGCAGCGCTGACGGCGGCAGAGATCTTGGGACTGAAAGCAGGAGTCCGTGAGCAACCTTCCTCCGCTACGATAGCAGATGTGGGTGTAGCTTTCGGAACAGGCTGTGCGAGGGTGACTACAGGTGAGGCGGTAGACGATGCCTTGGAGGCGGGCACTGCAGCTGGGAAGGCGGGGCTAGCGCCAGGCGGAGGAGGGAGAGGGGCGATGCCAACGCCGTTCTTGTCACTTGCTGCAGCTGCAGCGGCGGCAGACGCGTACTTCAAGGTTTCACCGGGCAGACGCGTGGGAGGGGGAGCAGGTTTCATGCCGGTGGTTGAGCTGCTTGAGCTGGACGGATGCAGTGTTGCTAGAACGGGAAGTGGAGACTTCATCTGAGCAGACGGTCTGCGGTGTCCAGTGGCTTCGGACGACTTGGACGACGATGCTGGCTTGGGCTTGATTTCGATCTCTTCCTCTTGTATTGACTGAGTATCTTGCGACGACACACGGTCGTTGTCACCGCTTAACCCGAACTGCGCTTCTGTCTCGTCGCCCATGTTGAGATCGTCGTACAGCGTCTCATCTTCTCCAGAGTAGTCTAGATTGTGGCCATCTTCCACATAGTACTTGATACTCTCTTTGAGATCCAGCACCTGATTTGTCTCGATGTTGCCATTTTGAAGTGATCGCAGCAACAGCTCCAGTTTATTGACATGCCATTTATGACGTTCCGTTATGCGTGAAATATCTGCTAGACGGTTGGTCTTTGTGACATCTTTCTTCCCTTTCTTCATGGACATGTGGAGCGACTCTTCTTCTGCCTCCATGGCTTCAATCTTCTGCTGCAATTCATCCACCATGTTGGACAGAAAATCGCACGTTTCGACCTTCTCCTTCTCTTTTGGATCGAGTCGCGAAGCTGCAGAGAGACCTTCTTTGGAATAAGCTTTGGTCTTCATCTCTTTCTCAACGGCTTTGAACTGTTCCATGCACTGGTTTGTGTTAGCCTCACTCGACGGCCAAAACCATAATCTATTCCAGCCTCACCGTCTCAATGGCCCTACGCTGCTCAAGCAACGGCCCTTTGTCTTTGACTTCATTGCCCGAAGCCCATGATTTTATTTGATCACGATATCGCTGGAGTTTTTTGATCTCTCGTTTGAGGTTCTCTTCAAGCTTGTCGCGTTGTGTGGGATTTGTGGCAGCACGGATCTTCTCGTATATTCCTTCGAACGTCTGAATACCCTCCGCAACCTTTTTGAAGGTCTTATCGATCTCCTGCTGCGTCTTGCGGGACGTCATGGCTGCTGTTCAGGCGAACAGATCGCCAAGAGACGAAATTCCACTATCGTTGGCGCAGGAATTCGAAGAGATTCTGGGGATAGCCTTGGTGGGATAAAGCGGAAGGAACGAGAAAAGAGGGTTGCCCAGCAACTTTTAACAGTGGGTGACTATCGCTTAACAGTGTTATCTAAAAATGCTCAAAAGAGTGCATGGCTCATTCTCCCAAGGAGCTGGGGGATAATGGCTGTTATCAGAAGGCGGTCACATAGAGTTCTGCCACCTACATTTGTCTGCTGAGACCATGGTGGGGAAGACTATCTCTTGTGCAAACCAGTCACTTTTCTCTATTTGGTCCTGATATCATTGATATCCACTGTGCTGACTTGCCTTGGACTTCTACCGTACCTATCGATGGATTGATTCTTATATCCAGGCTTGGTGGTTTACTATATCTCAACCGCCGACGACCACCTCACGTGTCAACACCAACTGACAGAGATCCTCGATAACAACAGCATCATGAAAGGTGAGTAACCTGCTCCTATCGCTCTCCTATCCTCTAACACACTTATAGCCGTCATCCAACGTGTCAAGTCTGCGTCCGTAACAGTGGATGGTCAACTCATATCCAAAATTGGTCGAGGACTCCTAGTCCTCGCGGGAGTCGGGAGAGACGACACCGAGAAAGACATTGACACAATGGTCAACCGGATATTGAAGGCAAGGCTGTTCCCAGCGGAAACCGATAAGCAGGTACGTGGCCCGGGTCAAGTCTTGGACTACGCTTACGCTGGGGACACAGTGGAAAAGGAACGTCCAAGATATTGACGGCGAAGTGCTTTGTGGTACGTCTACTGCACGTTTTCTTTTTCGTGAAACTTCTGCTAACGTCTATAGTATCACAATTTACGCTTTTTGGCCAGCTAAAGAAGGGCAAGCAGCCGGATTTTCATGAGGCCGCCAGTGCTGATACGGCACGCAAGCTCTACGATTATTTCTACCAGCGGCTCGGCGAGAACTACAAACCTGAGCGCGTCAAGAACGGCGTTTTCCAAGCAATGATGGATGTCGAGCTAATCAACGATGGGCCGGTGGGTGTCGACTACCGCAGTGAAGATGCGGCGGTTAGCAAACTCTCGCGTCTCCAGTGATTTCTTGACGAAGCAACGGTAGCTGACATCATATTTCACATACAGGTTACAATTGAAATTGACACGCAATTACCGAAGCGAGAAAAGAGTACTGACGACAAAGACTCCTCTGCTACGAAAAAGTCAGGGACCGTGGAGTTCAAGCTGCCCGCAGAACTCCTAGAGTAGACGGATGAAATTCTCGATGAATGATACCCTTACGGCTGTATAATAGACATAGATGATTCGAGGGATAAATCCCGATACATACAGGAAACACTAATCTTCGGTAAAATCTTCGATATCCTAGGAGGATTTTGGGAACCCACACTATCGAAACCCGGGCGCTCTGCTTGAAGGGGAAGGACGAAACTTTGCCCAATTTTTGGGATTACATCGTTCGCCAACCTGATGTCCATCTTATACTTCACGCCCGAAAAGCTTTATCACTGATGCTTCCGTGTCTTCGTCGTCATCATCTTCTCGCGTTGCGCCTCCTGGCATATGGTCACTGCCCTCGTCATGTACTCATCCTCAGGTCCGATCTTCCACACAAGGTCTTACAGCATTTTCGAGTCGTCATCATGATAGGACGGTCTGATCTCCCCTTTCTATCCGCAGAGTCCGGACTATACCACACCTTAATTCAACGAGAAAACCGCAATCTCTACTGACATGAGCTTGCGCGTCAATGTCAAATGCATGTCAGAAGCATTGTGCTTGTCAACCTTGCTTAATGCTGATCTATTGCAAAGATTCTCGCGCAAATTTGGGATAGCCACTCTCATCACAACTTCAGCCATGTCGTTGAAATGTTTCTCTGAGAGCCCATTTTAAGGCCCAGACCTCATAGGATTCAACGCCTCATTCTCTCCTGTTACTGGTCGTTGAACCAAACATATCCCTCCCTAGGACAACACTTCCGGTCTTCTTTTTACAGGATCTGCTATTGGCTGAAGAGTTTCGTGACAGCTCTTGCATGGGAAACACTCATTACGCGAGAGTTCTATTAGGAAGGTTATGGTATTGTTTGCACCAATACGATCTCGAGAATCCTCCCCGGCCCGCAGGCCAGGAGGGGCCAAGAATAGCTCCGTTTCAACGGCCCTATCACCCCATATCTGTGACCAGGTCTGCGATCCTGGTGTAGCAGCTGATTGTCGAAGGAGCAGGATGCAGGATCCCTCACACGAACGGCGGCGGTTCATCAGAACCTTAATGTCGTCAATCGGAATACGGACTGATGCGTGATCCCAACACCCTGCCCAGGTGGAAATCCGTTGAGAAGCAGGCAGGCGCAAAATTGCTTTTCAAATAATCGCGCCGCCCTCGAGGCCGTTCTTGTCTGTGCCCTTCTGCCTTCCACTTCAGAACTACTTTACGTTGCAGAACCATTCGGGTCAGTCTATTATGCAACCACCTGCATTAACCACTACCCTTCCTCCAAGTCGTCGAATCTCAAAATGGTTTCCGATATCCATGATTACCATCGGCTTCATCTTCATCGCTGTTGGCGGTGGATTGATTGGTGTATCGTCATCTCGCAATCACCACAACGAAGACGGTCAATACTATGGCGCAGTCGCCTGCTTTGTCATTGCCGGAGTCTGTGAGCTGGCCGGCTGGATCATTCTTATCATATACTGTATTCGAACGCGCCATGCTCAGGGGGTGTCTGTTAGCTACACCCACAACCCTCCGGTCAATCAGCCCCAGCCGACATATACTCCTCCTCACCCTGCCGCCTCGCCGCGATACCCTAAATATGCCGTTTCTCAAGCTGAGTTGGATGTAAAGAGGCGGTACTGTGGTGAATGTGGCGCGGTGCTCATAGCGCCTTTCTGTACGGAGTGCTCTACCACAAGATAGTCCGTGCTCTGTGAGATTATTATGCAATATTCGAGACTGTTATTCAGGATTTGAATGGCTTGTGATTGCTGTTGCCCCACGAAAAGTGAATTGATACAATGCTGCTGGTTGACCGTTGCTTTCCTACCTTGCCAATGCAACACATCCAAATATACAGACATATTTCTGATTGCCGTCCTATACTGGTTAAGTGCTTTTGCCCGCAGTACTTTCAAGCGCGGCGAACTGATGACTATGTGAATCATCTCGAATGAAAGCGATCCTGGCCGTTGAGTGACAGGCCATGTATCCTGTGTATTTACTCTGTAGAGTCTGTGGTCTGGGCAGCTCCACGAAAACATTGTGATTTAGAGACGCCAGTCTGATTTCAAGTCCTCTCTTTCTATCACATGCTTGTTAACTATGTGCTCTAAGATATGCGAGGTGATTATGGAACCAGGCGACAATCAACTCAGTGCTCACCATATGGGGAGCGATCATTTTAGCTTAAACCACCACTAGCTCCAATCAGACGAATAAGAATGACAATAGCATAAATGCCCCTCTTCCAAGCAGCTAGACCCCTCAATTTGGAATTCAATCCCGGAGTCACAGCGTGCAGGCAATCGATGGTCGCGGCGCGGCGTGATGGAAAGTGATGGAAGCCATCGCGGCCAAAAGTCAAGGTCTTTCAGCCCACATCTTCCCCTCGACTTCCTCCTCTTCCTCTTCCCCCCTTCAGCCTTGTGTCATTCATCCCATAAATACTTAATCTGACATCTCCTTTCCTAATCCCCTTCTTTCAATTCTCCCCAACTAACACAACATCATGGCTGAATCTCAGCGTACGTCCTCGAGATCTTCCCCGCTTTTTCTTTCGGAGTGCTAATGAAGCTCCGGATCAGGTCGCTCTCGTGTCTTTTTCGACATCCAGATCGGTCAGCAGAAGGCCGGTCGCATTGCTCTCGAATTGGTGAGATTTCTCTATTCTGCGACTAAATGTGGCTGCTACAGTGCGCTAACTACCCCGCTTAATAGTTCAACGATGGTACTGCCCGTTGACTGCAGCACCTTTTTTTACCGTTCATTCTGACTCTTCTCCAGTTGTTCCCAAGACTGCAGAGAATTTCCGTGCCCTCTGTACCGGGGAGAAGGGAGTGGGAAAACAGGGCAAGCCATTGAGCTACAAGGGTACAACAAGCTCCCCCATTGTCATTTGAGGAGCAAGAAAAAGTCTGATTCAAACTCCGCCAGGTTCCATCTTCCACCGAGTCATCAAACAGTTTATGATCCAGGGTGGTGATTTCACCGCATTCAACGGCACTGGCGGCGAGTCAATCTACGGCGAGAAGTTCCCCGACGAGAACTTCGAGCTCAAGCATGAGCGCCCATTCCTTCTTTCCATGGCCAATTCCGGCCCCGGCACCAACGGCAGTCAGTTCTTCATTACCACCGTCCCTACTCCTCACCTCGACGGCAAGCACGTTGTTTTCGGCGAAGTCATCAATGGAAAGAGCATCGTCCGGAGGATCGAGAACATGTCAACTCAAGCCGACAAACCCACTTCCGATGTGACCGTTGTGGACTGTGGCGAGCTGGTTGGTGAGGATTACGAGAATGCGGATAAGCAGGTTCCCGACGCTACCGGTGACCCATACGAGGACTTCCCCGATGACCACCAGGGCGAGCAGCTGAGCGCTCCTGTCTGCTTCAAGATCGCTTCGGACCTCAAGAACTTCGGAAACACCGCCTTCAAGAGCGGTAACGCCAGCTTAGGTCTCGAGAAGTACCAGAAGGGATTGCGGTATCTAAATGAGTTCCCCGAGCCGGATGAGCAGGATCCTAAAGACCTGGAACCCCAGATGAAGGCTCTGCGCTTCACCCTTCACTCCAACTCGTCTCTGTTGGCCAACAAGCTCGGCCAGTTCAGAAATGCCAGAACCTGGGCTACGTATGCTCTCGACGTAGCTGAGGCTGCCGCCGCCAAAGATGCCGACAAGGCCAAGGTTTACTACCGCCGCGCAGTCGCCAGCAGCGGACTCAAGGAAGAGGACGAGGCTCTGAAGGATCTGCAGGAGGCTTCTAACCTGGCTCCTAATGATGCCGCGATCACAGCCGAGACGGCAAGGGTGAACAAGGCCATCAAAGCTCGTGAGGCTAAGGAGAAGGCCACTGCTCGCAAGTTCTTCTCATAGACGGCACTTGTCAAGCTCATGATTCATGAAACGTTCATATTCCCAAATTTTTCCACCCCAACCATTTGCATAGAAAGTGAAGGTGTCTCGGTTTCACGGAAAAAGACGTCGCAATTTTGCTTCTCTCCCGTCTCCGAGCTCGCGTAGCTCAGTGTTCCCCAAAGGCTTATACAGTACTGGTTTCTTAGCGTGGAGAATGAGGCGCACTGTATTGTTGTCCTGGAATCTACATCCTTAGTTCAAGTCAGCACTGGGATATTCACTGGAGAGCGTAAGGAATATATGGTTTATCCTTGCCAGCAATTATATCCGTGACCTTGTCCTCCGTAGGCTGTAGCAAACACCTTGGTACAAGGACTCATCGATCTTGGTGCCTGAGGTGTCAGTTGATTTAATGGGCCTCCGTTCCTGGGTCCAGACCTCCTCCATCTTCATCTTCTCATCACTACGGCCCAAGCCCCATGCCTTGTTAACGATGTGACAGCTGTATCAAATCTTTTATAGCTTTAATGCCCTCCTCCAGAGTGCGTACTCCCTAATTTGAAGCACACTGGTAACTAATTTATCCGCGCAGACACCAGCACATCCTCTCCGCCAAACTGCGCGTCCGCAGTTCGCCTCTACCCCGCGCTTCCTCTTCTCCCAGCGATCGGTAGATCAATATAAGCGTCACGAGAATAGCGATTCAATCCTCTCCGAAGATGATGCAAACACATTCCACCTTGTCCCGACCCAAACAGCACCGCGGGGTTCAACGCGCCAGAAGGACGCAATTGAAGACATCAGCAGCGAGTTAGGCCAGGAACCGGACATCTATGAACAACCAGTCGACGGAGAGCAGGCCGCAGAGATCCCAAGTAGCCCACCGGTGGATGTGCCAGAGCTAGATGTTGAGCTTGATACACTGTTTGGACCTACGAGGTCTCGAGCCAAGAGACGTCGTATTTCGGTTGATCTCGCGACTCCGACTACTCAACCTCAGACGAAGAAACCGCGCGACTTTGTTCAGTCTTCTTCTCCCGAGCCCTCGTTCCCAGCAGCTGAGCCTCCGTCTCCATCGCTGCCATACCGGACCACCCCCATCACACCCCGACATCCTGCGACGCCCGCTACCGTGACACAGTCCTCCCGGACCTTTCCGCGTTTTCGAGTGCTTTCGTCCTCCCGCCCACTGCCGAATACACAGACTCAACAGAGAGTAAGACCCGTGGCAGGAACACCTGGTCCGACGACCCGAAAGCCAGCCTTTGTGCTTCCGCGCTCTCCGTCTCCCGAACAGGAGGATCCAAATGGTATCCCCACGCCATTCTCTCCGTCATCCCATGCACTCCGTCGCAAAGGACGGCAGCGCTCATCGGCCCCGACGTATCTCCCCGGCGGTATGGCAGCAGAGGTGCGGAGCTGGATTCTGGAAATTGGGACTAAGCGCGAGCAGCAGAAACAGGCGGCTCGCGACGCTCGTGCCGGTAACGATTCGTCCTCGGTTGATATGCGGAGATACTCGCTGGTCATTTGTTTAACCAGCATCCGTCAGTCTGCTCTGGGCAGCTGTGGGCCTCTTGCGTTTATCCAGGGTCAAGAGGTGCTCTCTCTCGGACAAGAAGAATCGGCAGATTGTGGAGAGCCTCCGCGAAGGCCCAGGAATGTTCTTCTCCTAGGTGCTCCTCGATCTCGCCCCGGTGAGCTCCGCACTTCTGCTTCTGCACGTGTGCCCAGTCTTCAGGCTGGAGACCTAGTGGGCATATATGGAGGACTAGTCTGGGAAATAGGTGTGGAGTCTAGTACGACTCTCTCACCCGAGCAAGGGCAGGTCTTGTGGCGTGAGGCCCCAGCACTGGGGAGGTGGCTTGTCGGTATGGAATGGGAGGTGGTATCTTCTTCGACTTAGCTTACCGGCAATGCTTGTTTTGTTACTGTTGATGATTGTTTTCGTGATACCCCAGTCTTCTATTGCTGGACTTCTTCCTTCCTTACGGAGTATGGAGAGAAACTATATACTTCATGGGGATATTTACTCTATGGACATGAAACGATATATGTGCATCAAAGAACTTTTGAAGCCGATGTAATGCCATACATCCCCTATGCAACCTTTACGCCATGCTTCCAACACACAAAACTCATGGAGAAACATATCTGTCGAAAAGAGAGGCGAGCACAATAAGAAATGCGAAAGACATCAGTCCAGAGTCAATTATAGAGCACCGCCCTCCTCGCCCTCAACAACCTTCAGTGCATCAACAGCAACCCTAACACCCCACTTGACCTGTTTCGCCTCCTTCTCCGAAGCAACAATATCCGTCCGCGCAACAACCTTGCGCAGGAAGAATATGCACCCCTTGACGATCTGCGGTGTGTCCCGGGTACGCATAAAGATCTCAACAAGAGGTTTCTCGTCGAATCCAGAGTCGTCAACGGTATCGGAGTTGCTCTTGCTCTTCTTGGACTTCTTCGTTTGTTTCTGGGAGTGTTGGATGATGCTTATCATGAGCAGCTCAACGAAGGTCTTTGTCTTCGGTTGCAGGTATGCGAAGTTGAGGGTCTTAAGAATTCCGAGTGTTAGAGTGCCGTCGGTGACGAGTGACGCGTACATCTTTGCCAGATTGACAATCTCAGGCATGGAGAGTGCATTCTCCTCATCTTCGCCGCCAAATCCGGCGTCCTCTTCGTCGTCGTCGAGATCGCCTGTTTCGCCCATGCGCTTGAATATGTTCCAGAGTGTAAACATAAAGGAGACCTTGATGCGACGGCCGAGTTCGCCACAGAGGCGGCGCGCGATGAGCGTGTAGTAAGGGTTATATGTCTCCTCTTCCATAGCGCAGTGTGTAAGGACACGAGGGATTTCGAACTCCTGATTGCGCTTCAGGCGGAGCTTGAGCAGGCGCACGTGCGCATCTTGGTAGTCTGTTGCGGACATGATCGCTACGAAGATGGAACGGCGGACGTCGGTGTTCATGCGGTGGGCTTTGGCGAGGGAGGCGTAGTCTGGTTCGGCGTCGGAGTCGTCGTCTACGACGGTGTTTCGGCTGGTGTTTGATGAAGATGGGAGGGATGAGAGTTCACGGCGCGCGGATTCAAGAGGATCTTCTTCCTTCCAACTCGCGCCGACGAGCCACCATTTGCCCTTCTTCGAGGAGTTGTGGATGTCACTACGTGAGATGCTGATGGGTTCTGAGGCACGGATGACGCGGGTGTTGTTGAGGGAGCCCAGGATCTTGCGCATCTTCGTAATATGTTCGGAGGCGACGGTGGAATTCGCGCCAGGCCCGGATTTAATGCGGTTGTTTTTTAGGTCTGTGATTGTGTCGATCATGAATTTTGTGCGGACGGAGAGGGACTCGGCGCCGGCTTTTGCCACCGCCGGTTGAATGAGAAGGACGATGTCTTTGAGGGAGGAAGGGTCGTCTTGTCGAAGTTGGGGCCCGGAGTCTGGTGCGGTTAGTGTCAAGTCAGAATACTAGGTATGGGGTAACGTACTTCTGATAATCTTGAGGAGGAGCTCGGTATTCTCCTCATTGATGTCTTGCAGGAACAGCCGGATGTAGTCAAAGACCAAGGTGCTGCCAATGACATGGAAATTGTATAGTTGGGAAAGAAGAGAGATTAGGTTAATCATCTGCTTCCCTTCAAACTTGCCCCGTTCATCGCCGCCAGCATCAAACGTTTCCACGATCTTTTGCACTATCTCTGCGCCAAAATCCGTCCCCACGACCTTGTATATAGCAGCAATGAAACCCGCATGCAGGATGACGAAGGTATCGTTGAGCGCGGATCTTTCGCAGACGAGCCCGAATAGTAACGAGAGCAGTGTCGATGTCACGTTTTGACGGGGGTATTCTCGATATAGCTTCTCAAACTCCGCCAGGATGGAGACTAGGTTTGCCTCGGAGAGCTTGTTCAGTTGGCCCTGTGCTTGCCTTCGCAGACGGATGAGCGATTCGGATTCGGAGTTTGACGCAGCTCGTAGAGACGGTGGAATGTATTTCGCCGGGTGGGTATCTGGAGCCGCTGGGACAGGCGCAACATATGGATTCTCTTTCTTTTTCTGCGCGGGTTGCTCTTCTTCGCTCTCCTCGTCGTTATCTTCCAGCCCGTCCATATCCTCGTCTTCGTCCAAGTCGAAGTCGTCTAAATCCTCATCGCTACCTACCTCCTCATCACTCCCCAAGTCGCTATCGGATTCATCCGAATCCCCGATGGGCTCCAAGCCCTGGGCTTTTCTCCTCTTGTTTAAAAGCCACTCGTCTGCCTCACGTTTTCGTTTCCGGCCTTCGTCTGCGGATCCCTCATCCAGGTCACCAAGCAAGTCACCCAATCCATCATCCCCGAAGTTCTTTGGCACCTTGCCCTTTTTCAGCCCTAGTTTCTTCTCGAGCGCAGCAATCTCGGCATCATCCTGCTCCAATTTGTCCTGCACCGCCTTCGATACCTTCTTCCGCGGAGCCTCGACCACCTTCTCCTCCTCCTTAGTCTTCTTCAATATCGACTTCGGCTTCTCCTTGTTCTGTTTAGCCAGTTTCGCAGCCTTGAGCTTCGCCATAACATCCTTCTCGTCATCGTCACCACAATCAAATCCGTCAAAGTCGTTCTCATCGTCAACGCCTCTCCTTCCCGAGCCAGACCCTAGCTTGTTCCCCGCCCGCGCTTCCTCTCGCCGTTCTTTCCGGGACAGCTCCTCAATCCGCCTTTTCTTCTTCTCGCCGAATCGATCACGGATCCCGAGTTCCTGTCGCAGGCCCCTGGGCAGAAAGGTCGTATTATGCCTCGGACGTGGCATCGTGGCGTAAATCTGTCGACGGTGTTGATTAACTCGAAAAGAAGTTTCAAAAAATTATTGTATTGTTTCCGCAGATTGGCGGCGGAGCGGAAGGCGGTGGCATTGAGCTAGCCTCCCCCACAATCATCACGGCGCCCATCGCATCACTTAACTTGCCAGACTCCGGAATTGAACGTTGGGTCGATTTTGATTGAATTGCTTTACAAGGGGTGATCACGCACAGAGATAAACGAAGATGTCGAAACCAGTAGGCCACGAGGAGGTATGTCCTACCATATCCACAACTATCATTTAGAGAAAAACAGTCCACCCTCTTTTTACCACATACTGACAATGCCTTCGCAGTTCTTTGCCTCCCTTACAACCCTCCTAACAACCACCTCACAAAAAGCCCGAGGCTCCGTTTACCTCACCCAGAAACCTCTTCTCCCCACGTCCGAAGACCAAACTTCCACCACAACCAGCCCACCATCCATCCTCATCCGCGCAACGGACGGAAATACCAACGCGCCGAACCCGAAGACACCTACAGACAGGAAGAAGAAGAGCAAGGAATCGAAAGTCAAGTTGTCGACTGTTGTGCAGCCGGAAGAGCTCGAGACGTTTTATGCGCGATATGCGGAGGTGTGTAAGGCGGGGATGACGGGGTTGAAGAAGCGGGATCGCAAGCAGAAGAAGGCGAAGGGGAAGGGTGGGGCAGGGAAGGTCGCGAAGGCTTGATTGATATTTGCGTCAGGCTTGGATGGGCTGTGATGGGATTGCATTTATGGCGTTTTAGCATTGTTTTATTACTATCAACATTGGGAAACTCTTCTTTCTGTATGTGTTCACATACCAGACTTTGGTCTTGTAGATAGATCAAGCATTTGGCGATGGTCTGCTGAGAGTCCAAACTGTTCCTCGATTTACTAGCGTATAGGTAAAGTAGTAAGGTAATGTTGTCACTAAAATATTGCTTTGCAGATCAGATACAAAATGGTCATTATATGGCACTAGTATGGAGATGATAATACAGTCAAGAGAAGGTATGGCACACATTCAAACGAGAAGAACATTGTACATGGGTATACAAAAAAGGTGGAGGAGAAGATGATCATGTCACGCCGTTATCATAGATGGAAAGAGGAAGTGGGATGGGAAGAACAACACTGCCAGTCAGAAAAAAGCGAGCATTGAAACAAGTAGTAGGGGTTGACCGCAACCCGGCCACTTAAGTTGTCAGGTCGGAGAAAGACGGTGTCCTTGAAGCCTCCGGCGCAAGGGGAAGATCGTAATCGTCGACACCTTCATGGGCCTCGGAGAGCTGGCGTTCGATTTTGCGCTGCGTGATACCAGCGGAGGAACCGAGCCCTGGGCCGATAACGATCCGTGCTGCGATGTGAATCAGAACGATAAGAAGCTGGATAGGAGGAACGAGAACCAGGGTGCAGGTCTTCTGGATGAGAGACGCCGCGTCTTGTTTCTCTGAGTTGGCAAGGATTAATGTAGATGCCGGAGGCATGGGGGAAATTTCCCGTTCCCGAGACGCCTTTGAGCGACGCCGAAATTCAATGCTCAGGTTTGAATCGGTAGACTTTGCGCTATAGAAGGATCCAGGGGTCCGGGGTAGTGCAAACTCTTGTTCGGGAGATGATCTTTGAGTTGAATCCATAGATTCGGACAATCGGTCTGTGCTCCGTTCTGAGCACAACGGTGGTCTCAAGGTGGTCTGATAAACTCTCTCTCCTTTCGACGACCCCTGCATTTCACAAGTCTCGTGCAGTGAATGTGTATCGCCTGGTGACGTAGGCGACGGGGGCGTTAGCCAAGATTCTGGTGTAAAGTCGAGCGAGTGAAATGAGTCGACACTTGAGGATAGAGATAACTCCGGGCGATCGTGAGGCTCCGCTGTGTCTTCAAACCTCGCCAGCAAGGTCTGAAAGCTCAGTTGGGCCTCGTTCACGGAACGCTTCGGCAGTTCGAGGGCCCCGGAGATGCTAATGGGCTCCGGCAACTGTTCCTGATCGTCTGGAATCGTCTCTAATATCACGCTGTTGCTGCCTCTTGGAGTAATAGCGCTATCATCAGTGGCAGTTCCGTCCGTCTCCTCGCCTGCGCTTAGCGAATCCGGCGTTGCAATACCATCTGGAACGAGGAACTCTCGGGAATATGTTGGTTGTATGGGAGCACTCTCCCTTCGCCCTTTCGGCCGCCACGCCTTCTTCCGCCGGGGAATCTTTGCTTCCTCTGGGATCTCAACTGTGAAACCACGCTTGAAAGGGCACGGAGTGACTTCATAGCGGAGAACTTTTGGCAAAGCCTCTTTCATCTGCATGACAAGCTCCTTGTCCCGCTCTGTTTCATTTGGCAGTTCGATCCGATAATATGTGAGGGGCCGGATACGAAGGACAAAGGTGGATTCCCCGTCAACACACCAACACTGAGAGTTTTTGAGAATCGCATGAACAACACTTCCGCATTTCAAGAACACCGTCAGTCCGTGAATCTTCTCCAGCCTCAGCGGGGCAAAAGCGACCGTTCGTTCTGTGGGGGACCGCCATGGCAACGTCTCAATGGTATCAACGGGGTAGTCGAAGTCGGAAGGAGTAGTGCTCGAGGGTATGGGCGCGATAGATCGAGGGGCAAAGTGCACGACTTTCGCAGATGGATGATAAAAGAGATCGTTCTCGGACTGTTTAGAGTCGGAGCTGCGTTGAGCGACTCGGTTCAGCTTTGTGGGAAGGGTGAGCGACCGTCGAGGGGGTGGCGCATCAAAGATATCAGACATGATGGCTCATGTGGGCGGATAGAGAGGAAACAAGAATTACATTGACTCGGGAAGATGAAAGAAAGAAGGAAATGAGGGACGATCAGCTGGTGGGCGACAATGAAGGGGGCTATGGTAGGGAGCGAAAGGCCATCCTCGGAAGGCGAACGGAGCAAATTCAATAGATACAACCTTGGAAGATATCCAAACGAAGGAATGCAGATGCCAATAAGCGTTCGCGAATCACGAGTCGAAGGACAATGACCTCACAGGATAATGCGCCCCTTAGTGCTGCATTTGAATCCATTCGTTTTATATGCAGCACTCGCAGACACTGGAAGCAGTGGGGTTTGCTGCCTTGTTTTCGAGGCACAAAGGCGCCAAGGCATGACATCGGCTTCACATGATCCTTGGCTCAGGCTGTTTTCTCCTGTTTGTCGTGCTCTGGTCTGATACGATTGCTTTGCATAGAGCATTACCCTACCAGTAATCATTTTGCAGTCGTAGTACAGGCGTCAAACGGTCACACTGATGAGCGAGTGTCCCAGATCTCCCTATCTGTTTGCAGTGACGCAGCTGTGATTAGGTAAGCCTCTAGGCAGTCATGATTCTTCAAGGCACTGCAGTTCCAATTCTTTGTTTGCTCCTGAAGTACTAAGTCGATTGACTGCTGGTAATTGACAGCTGCGTCAAATTCATCATTATGTCAAATTTTGAGCCAAATGCTGTCATCCGCGGCTTCCAGCTGACGATTGTTGGCAGTAAGTTGAAGTCTTGAGAACAAAAGCTATAAGCGATACTGACATCCGAAGCTCTTCGTGCTTTGCAAAATCCAAGGCTGTTCAAGCATGATCATTTTCGACAAGCTGCTCTCGCTATCAGTATTGGCATTGTTATCCAGCTTATCGTTCAAATCCCGGTATGTCGCAGTACTGTTGTTGCTGCCATGACGTAACTAATGTCCTTTAGATCATTGCGGTCAGGGTCTTCATCTGGTTCAGTTCATGGGTTGTCAGTCTGGAAGATGCCACATGGGATGATAAACTTCTCAATGGCCTCGACTTCTTGAACAAGTCCGTTCTGCAGGTTCCCTTCCTGCTCATGACTCTCCTGAGATACATCACCCCAACATTAGATGACATGTAAGTCGCTCGATGAGGATACGATACTCGTGGACTGACAGCTCAGCTTCATGGAATCCCTCAACTGGGTCGATACGACTTATGTCCACAAGCACAAGACCGAGGACCCTAGAAGTCTGCGCGCCATGTACTATCCAAACCTAGTCCAGTACTCAACCAAGGGTGAAAAGGCCGATTCTAAGCCAATCCATCAAGCGCTCATGTCATTCCTGAAGAGGTATGGGCGTAAAGTTGGGATGCTCCTGGGAATCTACCTCGCTTCGCTCGTTCCGATTGTCGGCCGATTCGTGATGCCCGCGGCCTCGTTCTACACCTTCCGCAGCGCCGTCGGAACCACGCCGGCTGCCGTCATCTTCGGCACCGGTCTTGTCCTTCCGAAGCGATTCCTCGTCACCTTTCTACACAGCTACTTTGCTTCTCGTAGTCTAATGCGCGAGTTGGTATGTCTCGAACGCCGCTTTTTAGTACCTATCTAATCAATCACAGCTCGAGCCGTACTTTTCCCGAGTCCGATTTACCTCTGAGCAGAGACGTCGTTGGTTCTTGGACCGCGAGGGGGTTCTCTTTGGCTTTGCATTTGCGTTCACATTTGTTCTGAAGATCCCCATCATCGGGGTCCTTATGTATGGCGTAGCCGAAGCCTCCACTGCGTATCTGGTCACCAAGATCACCGACCCTCCGCCTAGTCCGGCTCAGAGCGAGGGCTTTGCAGAGACGCAGACAACTTGGACAAACAAGCATGACTTTTTGGGCCTGTCTCTGGACAATCTGGACAAACTCAACTTGGCTGCACACGAACAGGAGCCTCCCAAAGCTACAATCCCCGGGCGGAAGTTCACTTAGTTGCCTTGAGAAAATTAGCTACACTGAACAAAAGTTCTGTCTCAATCGAGCTGCCTAATCGGGATTTGACCCCAAAGACCGCATGTGATAAACGATTATAGATAACTGATAGCAGCGATAAGCCTGCGTAATAGATTGTTGCCATCCAGACTCGATGAGGGGGCGTGAGGGGTCAATGCATATAAAGTAACCTTAACACACCCTCTCTCCAGCCATCCTCCCTCATCTATTCAAGACAGCATCATCAATATCATCATGGGCACCAAATCCATTCGCACCGCGCTTAAAGTAGACCTTAGCAAGCCTGCTCGAGAGCAAAAGGGTCTCCATGTGTGTACACCGCATCAAACCACCTGCGCCTTTAGGAACACTACTAACAATAGATCCGCAGAACCGATGGCACCCAGAGGGTACGTCTAACACAACACAATCTCGCCAAATGAAATACTCACACTCAAACTCACAATTTCAGTTCCCTGCTGCGGCACAATCGCCAACAACGAAGTCGTCAAGATCGAATGCCTTGACTGGACCGGCGGCCAGATCCAGAACAACGACTCTGCTGACGACGTCAGGGACGTCGACCTAACACAGATCCATTACCTCTCGGGCCCCTTTGACATTGAGTCCGCTGAGCCGGGAGACGTCCTCCTCGTCGAGATCCAGGACGTCCAGCCCTTTGAGGACCAGCCTTGGGGTTTTACTGGCGTCTTCAGCCGGGAGAATGGAGGAGGGTTCTTGGATGAGATTTATCCAAAGGCGTGAGTCAGCTTTTGTACTGAGAATAGGAAGACAGTGCTGACTTCCATAGTGCCAAAGCCATCTGGGATTTCGAGGGCATCTTCTGCTCCTCTCGCCATATTCCTGGTGTGCGCTTTGCCGGACTCATCCACCCTGGTATTCTCGGCTGTGCGCCATCCGCGGAAATCCTGGCTGAGTGGAACAAGCGCGAGGGTGAGCTGATTGCAGCAAACACCACGGGCCGCGACGTTGCGAAGCCCCCAGAGCCAGTCAATGTCCATGGCGGCGCTGCGGACGAAGAGCTCACTGCAAAGATTGGTCGAGAAGGAGCACGGACTATCCCGGTACCTTTTAATTTGCATTCACACGGTCTAAACACCCAGATTTTGACTAAGATGTTGTATATAGGGCCGACCCGAGCACGGCGGAAACTGCGACATCAAGAACCTCTCGCGCGGTAGCAAAGTCTACCTCCCCATCCACGTCGCCGGGGCCAAATTCTCCGTCGGTGACCTGCACTTCTCGCAGGGCGATGGCGAAATCTCCTTCTGCGGCGCGATCGAAATGGCTGGCATCATCACACTGAAGTTCGCCGTCATTAAGGACGGCATGGCCAAGATGGCCATGAAGTCGCCCATCTTCCGCCCGGGCCCTGTTGAGCCGCAGTTCGGTCCAGGGCGCTACCTGACTTTCGAGGGGTTCTCTGTTGATGAAAATGGGAAGCAACATTACCTCGATGCGACAGTTGCGTATCGCCAGACTTGTCTGCGGGTCATTGAGTATTTGAGGCGGTATGGTTATGATGATTATCAGATTTATCTGTTGTTGAGCTGTGCGCCTGTGCAAGGGCATATTGCGGGCCTGGTGGATATTCCGAATGCGTGTACGACGCTGGGTGTGCCGATGGATATCTTTGATTTTGATATTAGGCCTGAGGTGGGGGCTGTCAAGCGCGAGATGGGGAGTTGTGCGTTTGCTTCGAGCTGAGCTAGCTGACCTGAATTCAATCAAGCATGTGTCTATTCAACATTGAAACGAGACTGACATGGTCCAACCAGATTTAAATATGATCGTCAATTCATTCTATACTATATACACATATATCCACCGTGCCTCATGCCAATTTAGTCTCACGGGCAGACCTGACTCAGTCAGCTATACCACCCATATACAACCGACCCACCACCTCCAAATTTGAGTCAAGGGAACGCCTTACGTAAAATACTCCTCAAACCTCTCCTCCGCCTCCTTCACACAGTCGAACCCATATATCTCCCTCTGCACATCCGCATCCGCCCATTTGTCCGGCACAGGTCCCTTTCCTCCCTTGAGCGCCGCAAACTGCTTATCGCGCTCTGCCTTGGCCGCTCCATCTCCCAGGTGCAGCGCCCGCCCACTGGCTGCCGCAAGCTCGACGAGCGCATACGCTCGGTCTTTGCGCACCTTCTCGTACGCCTTCAGCGCCTTGTTGATGCTCTCGGGATCAGTAGACGGGAGCCTCGAGAGAACAACGGCAATAACCGCGCCATCTTCAATAGCCTGCGCAGCACCCTGCGCTAGATGCGGGAGGGTCGGATGGCACGCGTCTCCGACTAGGGCGACTGAGCCGTGAATCCACGTAGGGAGCGGTTCGTGGACACGGAGCTTCCACTCGCAGACTTCGCCCTCGGGCACATAGTTCAGCATACGTTGGACGAGCGGGCAAAAGTCCGCAAAGACATTGAGCATTGCGCTCTTGGACCCTTTGGTCGTGTACGTTGCGTTTGTTGCGGCTGCGAAGTTCGTGTCGGGCTGCGTGGTCGAGAGGTTGTAGATTGTGTTGTTGGAGACTGGGTAGGCGATTATGTGTCTCTTTTCGCCGATCCAGCGGATGACTTTGTTGCTCTCGATTAGAGAAAGGAGCTCCGTGTCGTCGGCGGCTAGGGCTTGGTCCTTGTGGATCATGATGCGGTATGCGGCTTGGTGGGTGTCCTTAACGGCGGAGGAGATTTGGAGGGCAGAAAGCATGGCAACGCGCGTGAGGGATTTTATCCCGTCCGCGCCGAGGAGGACGTCTGCTATTTCTGTGTAGGGTTGCTTGGTTGTGTCGCGGGGGGTTACGGTAAATGTGGGTTTGGGGGTGAAGGAGATGACTTCTGAGACGGTGGTGGAGAAGTGAAAGGTGATTTTGTCGGCGTGCTTGAGACAGCCTTGGTACAGGCCGTTTGCGAGCGACGATCTGTGGCCGACCATGTGCTTATAGCCATAGATGGACTCGATGTATTTGAGGTCGACGTGCGCAAGTTCCGTGTCTCCGGCTCCGGCTGAAGATGGCATCAGCATCCATGTTTCCACTCAACGTCTGCTCCTCTCGGGACAGAAAAGAAGTTTCGAAATGAGAAATATATATACCTCTGACACTCGTTTCCTCGATATTGACGGCCTCGGCCTCAATCCCCTTCCAGACACCCAGACGATCCAGGACACGAGCCATATTCGGCGCGAGCTGGATGCCCGCGCCTACGAAGCCCAGGTCCGATGCGGACTCGTAGACGTCGATGTGCTTGAAGCCCTTTTCGGCTAGGGCGAGAGCCGATGTTAGGCCGCCCATTCCTAAGAATCAATCTTAGCATCAATTTCACCGGAAATATATTTTTGGACAAAGGATGTACCAGCGCCAAGGATAGCGATCTTTAAATCACGCGGGACCATTCTGTTGAAAGTCTTTGCTTGTATTTCTGTCAAACTGGTAGACTCTTTAGCGCAATTGAGATTCTCTTGTACCAGAGGCTGTAAAGTATGGACGGACAGCGGAGTATATAATGGTTATAGCGGGACAAATTTTAGCCGGCATCTCCTCTTCCCCACGATGTCCCACAATTTCTGGGAGATGGGGACGTTTTAGCGCGCGAGGAGGAATGTGGAGGCAAAGCTTGGTTTTTGGATGATTGGAGTTTGGTAATGGCTTTTATTCGAGATGGATTGTGGTTGTGGTGGAGTTGACGGCAAAATTCTGTTCAATTTTCACAAACTTGCGATGGACTGGCATAATTATCAACAGTGACCGTAATTGCGAGATTTCGCCAGACTGGCAAACACACTATAGCGCCAATCTTGGACGAGTCGCCTTGGGGCGACAAACAGTCAAACATGATGAAGGCAAAATTTCAGTTAAGCATGTGAATGTATTATATTAAAGATGATAGGCAACTATAATACATGAAGGTATCCAAACTCATCCACAACGTACTCGTGGGAAATTATACAATGTCGAACCGTACTGTTTACAGGTTGCCGCCAATGGTGGCAATGATGGCGCCGACGGGCCCGCTCAGCTCAGGGAGGAGGCCGTCGACAAGGCCGGCAACCTCAGGGGAGAGGCGGATGAGGAGAGCACCAGTCTCGCGGCCAAGAACAATGAGGAGGTCCTCAGTGTCAGGGCCAAGACGCTGGATGAGCTGGGTAACATCAATCGCAACGTCGATGACGGTACCGATAACGCCAGCGAGGTGGAGGTTGTGGAGGATGTCACCGACTTCACCGGTGATGCTGACAATGAGACTTTCGTCGTGCTCACCGAGGACCTGGAAGATGTAGCCACCATCCTGGCGTTTGACATTGATACCGAGAGACTGGACAATCTGACCAACAGGGTTGTTGACGGAATCAAGGCCGAGGGTGACACCAAGACCACGGAGGAGGTCGGCAACTTCGGGAGCAAGTTCAACGAGCAGGATCTGGGCATCCTCACCGACAATGGTCAGGATGCAGTCGACGATGGGGCCGAGGTCTGCAACGAGCTCGCCAACGGAAGCAACATCGCCAATGATCTCACCGACCGAGTCGCTCAGGCTGACACGGCCCTCAAGAAGGTTGTAAATGTCCTCGTTGACCTCCACGAGGAGTGTCTCGCCGTGAGATCCGGTGACAGTCAGGAGACGGTTGACCTGAGGACCAAGGTCCTGAATAATGTGGCCGGTACCGTGGCAGCGCTCGTCATCGCAGGTGGGGACAGAGGTGGGAGGAACAGTAGCGGTGCCGGTCTCAGTGGCAGTACCAGTCTGGGTAGCAGTGCCGGTCTCCGTACCAGGATTGGTGTTGGTGTTGGTGTTGGTGTTAGTCTCAGTGGCCGTGTTAGTCTCAGTGGCCGTGTTAGTGTTGGTGTTGGTCTCGGTAGCCGTGTTGGTCTCGGTGGCAGTACCGGTCTCGGTGTCGGTCTCGGTGTCGGTCTCCGTAGCTGTGTTGGTTTCGGTAGCGGTGTTGGTAGCTGTCACTGTCACGGTCTCAGTCTCGGTATCGGTGCAGGGAGAAGTGGTCGTACCGGTAGGTCCGCCAATGGTCTCAGTGGGAGCAGGGACGGTGATGGTGATGGTCTCAACCTCGCAAGGGCAGTCGCCGCCACGCTCATTCTGGCGGGCGCTTAGACCAATGGGCCCGGCCATAACGCAGGCGGCCCAGGTGACAGCAGTGATCACAGAAGCCTTCATCTTGGGTATAAACGCTGAACGTAGATCAAGAAGGTAAAGCAGAATAAAGCAAACAAAAGAATGGACCTAGGTCGAAACGATCGTCAAGGAAAGACAAGAGCTGGAAAGGAAGCTGCTTGTTTGAATGAGTGACTGAAGAGAAGAAACGTTCGAGGATTGCCAACCTCAAGCCCGTATTTATACTGCTCAGCGGCGTTTCCCCCTTGCTCTTCATTATCTTCGTCCAGGCCCAGACCCATGATAGGGAGTTGCGCCTAGCATTGACTAAACCGACTATTCCAGTTTATTCTCCCATGGCTGTCGACCAACTCGGCTATTCGAACCAGAAAGAACGCCCCCGCTGACAGGAGCTTGGAGCTTTCAGCCCAGCCAGTACGGAGCAGTGGGCAGCTTTGCCTGCCTTCGCTCAGTCACAGTCGTACCTGAATCAGGGAGCCTATCGGAACTGCAATTGTGATGGGTTCCTGCCTAACTAATGCAGGCTCTCTTTTTTGCGCACCAGCAGCGGAGTTGACTGAGCAGGCATCTGGAACATGGATAGAGAATTTGGCAGTCTTTGACCAAGCACTTCGGGCGACTCAGGAAACGACAAGTCCTGGCCCACCGCCGCTCAGTTCCAAATGTGGCTGCCAATGGTGCAGGAACGATGGCAATGGTTCCCCAAAAGCAGAGCAGCAGCGCTCGACAGGTCGTACAGACGCACAGATCCAAATCTCGAGGTTGAAGTTTCTTTAGTTTTCTTTGTTTTGGGGATCTGCAGCTGGTGCATTGACTATTTGCAGTGGCGCCCGGGCGATCCGGGGATTGGCTGCCGCTAAGATTGGCGTTGGCTTAGTTTTGCGACTTATCGAATCTGTCGTCGAGTCTCTGGAATTCCGGCGTTTGTGGTCTCCGGAGTTTTGCGAGGCCTCTTGACAAGCTTGTTTGATAGCCGGTCTCCGCTGATTCCTTTGATCATGTTGTTCAGTCAGGTCGCTCCCCGAGCCCGTGAGCCCCTGATAATCATCACAAAGAGGCGGAGGTTTCATGCCCAACCACCGGCTTCCCTTGACGCTCACCGACTGTGACTTGGCCTCTCTATCGCGCAGACGCTTACGCAGGGGGAACTTGAAAGTTAGCTGATGGAGAAAGGAACAATAGTCACCCCGAGAAGGATCAATCGCCAGTTCTTCAGGAACCCAGCCAACCACCTGCTCTCAAAGGGGCAGGGGTAATGCGGATATCCGCCGCCGAGGATTTTCTCCCCAGTACCTTGGTCCGTCCCCGTTGAGTTGAGAAAAGTCGCGGCACTGCGGGTGTTTGTAATCATTGACTGTACCCATTGGCCACATGGGAATCATACAAATCTCGTGGTCACCGCAGCCGTTACAGTCTTTCCATGTAGTCCAGGACAGATATCTCATCAGACCCTGGATCTGGTTGACGGCCGTATGATAGTTTGTTTGCTGTAGTGCTTCTAGCAGGGTTGCGCATACGCTGCGTGACACAGAGAGCACCGCGTTGCCCGCGACCGATGTGACAGTCGTTGATCGTCTGATAAATTGCCTAGAGCAGCGCTCCACCTCGATTGAGCTGTTTCGTTGGTCGTAGTCGATAAAAGGAGTGAGCGCGTCTTCAATTTCCTGCTGCAACAGCTGCAGCGTTGGGGCCTGGCCAGACGCCAGGTACCGGAGTCGGTTCCCATACCGCTCCACCACCATGTCCGCCACAGCCTGCCAATCGACGGATGGTTCGTTGGGCTCGTGGTCCAGAATCAAGGCATCCAAGTCCCGCCGAATACGCTCTAGCTGATCAGACGGGAGATGTTCAAGTCTCGGAAGATTGCCGCCCTCCGGAAATAGATCCAGCTCGTAAAGATAAGCGGTTACGAAATGTTCGTAGTTTAGTATCACGCGGTCGCCGCCGATGTTCCAATATCGAGAAGCCACTGCAGGAAGCCACATTTTCCCAGCATGCTGCCCGATCCGATCTCCTGGCATCCCTTTCTCGCTCGCCCGTACCCGGGTTACCCGGAGCACTTCGAGGTCTCGGGCGAAATCGCACAATATGATTTCGAACCCAGCTTCCATGCGGACCATCCCGTCCAAACGCCCGTCCCATTTCTCCTGTACCATTTGACAAAAGAGCTTCGCCCGTGCCATCTCATCAAACATGCCTCCTCCCCCGTCTCCAAGCCCGTGCAGGAATAAGACATGGTCCTGTGAGTCCATGGTGCCATTCTGCGTCTTTCCAGCAGACATGCCATCAACGTACAATAAACGCAAATCCTTTGCAGCAGCAAACGTATGCAGAAATCCATCCTCTGCCTGGTTTGGCTTCTCCATAACCTGTTGCAGCTGCAAGGGCGGAGGAGGCTGCGGCGGGCCATCTCTAGGAGGCGGGTTATGAGGAAACGGATGGGTGAACACCAAAGCATGCTCAGGCTCGAAGGCCAACCACTCGGGTCCTTGAATTGGGTCAGAGCGCCAGTCACCGTGGTAGAGTTCGGTCCCTTCAGGTACTGTAGCCAGGAAGAAGGACATGCCATTATGGTTCAGCGACGACCCCCATTGTCGCATAGAGGAGTGAATAGCATTGAAGATGTGATTTGAGATTTCCGGGGCCGCATACGAAAATGTGTTGGTGATGAGAGCTGCAAGGCAGAGCTGCAGTCTAAATCGGACTCGCATCATGTTTTGAGATTGGAACAATGCACGATCTGCTGCAGCAACTGAAGAGTCCACAGTCCAGACTCGAAGCAAGGCAGATCAGATAAAAACCATGATCTCCAAAGTCACGCCATGGCTTCACATATAAATGCCGAGTGGGGGGCACCGTGCCGCGTCATCGGCTGGACGGCGCTCCTACGCTATTTTAGTATCCTCCAAATGAGAAGTGAAGAATGGCGTTATCGGAGCATACCTTTTTCCCATACAAGCTTTGGCTTTGGGTTCTGGGGAATCCATTATGATCTCGCGGCGTGTGCGGTGACGATCTGAAGATCTCCTGCGGAACGAGTGCAGGAAAGAGTGTTGGAAGTTGGAGCTTGGCCGACGAGACTGACCACTTCATCAACCCAACCACGCCCGCAGGCACTCTCAGTCTTCACCATCTCAACCCCCAACTTTCACGGTCGGCTGAATCCTCCGAGATTGAGGATGCGTCCGCTCTTACTAACACTCGACGCCTTCAACACGCTCTTCCACCCCCGCCACCCCATCCCCGCCCAATACGCTGCCTCTGCATCATCATTCAACATTCCCATCGCCCCCTCCGCCCTGCAACCCGCCTTCAAATCAGCCTTCAGAGCGCAATCACGCTCACACCCGAATTATGGGCGCGATCTTGCTCTGCGCGGCGAATATGGGGGTCCCAGACAATGGTGGGAAGATGTGATCCGGGGCAGCTTCGCGCGCGCCCTTGCCGAGAGCCCAAGCTCCAACTCAAATGCCAAGAGCACCGAAATCCCCGATGCGCTGGTGGCAGATTTGCTCGATCGATTCGCGAGTGCAAGGGGCTATAGGCTTTATGATGATGTAAGGCCGTTCTTTGAGCGCCTGCACGATATGCAGAGGGAAGGGACGAGTAGGAGAAGGGTCGTTATTGGAGTCGTGTCAAACTCGGATGATCGTGTCTGCTCGGTGTTGGAGTCCTTGGGTGTGTCCGTTGGCGAGACTAGAGAAGGTGAGCGGAGCGGCCATAAATTACCTGGGTTTGAGGAGGAGAGGGAGAGGATAGGTACACCACATCCAAACCTCAGAGACAGTGTCAGTCCCTTGCAGGGCCAAGTGGATGTCGACTTCGTGCTTACTAGCTACCAAGCCGGCGCTGAGAAGCCGGACCCCTTTGTTTGGGTTACGGCGCTACGGACAGCGCAAGTGTTGGCAGGCGATGCTGTTGGGGGTGAGGGAGGCTGGGAGTGTGTGCACGTTGGCGATGATTTTGAGAAGGATTATCGTGGTGCTTCGGATGCTGGGTGGAAGGCGTATTATCTTCCTCGAGATCCTGAAGCAGCGGCGAACGCACAGGAGGGTACGAAGACGATTACTTCATTGTTGGACCTTGTTACGGAGCTTGGAGAGTTCAAGCAAACAAGCTGAGCAGCAGGGCGTAGATGCACTTGTAATACACGTATAATAATCAATTGGCTTGTAAATATTCGGTATGTATGTACTCCTATCCCGACGCCAAACACAGAGAGATTCAAAACAAAAACAGACTAGCTTAATCCCAGTTCCCTGTTCCTCCCAGCGCACCCAGACGATTACCCGCGTGCTTATTGAGCAACGCAGTGATATTGGACCCGCGGTTGCGATGTTGTGTCCGCAACTGCTTTTGCCGCTCGCGCTCCCGCGCCGCAGTGTAGTAGTTAACAGCACCTTTCTTCGCCAGCGATGCCCCCCCCGCTTTAGTCACACGGGCTGAATCAGAGGTCGATGTCGACGAGCTGGACGACGAAGACGCAGTCGTGGTCTTGCGCAGGATCGGCGGCCGGAACCCGAACGAACCAACCTTGTCGTTTCCGGCACCAGTGTGGAAGGCAAACCGAGTGTTGGAAGCCGACGTAGCGGAGTTCGAGGATGCTTGCCGAAGCAGAGCAAGACGATCGACCACCGGTCCCCGTGTGCGGCGCGGGTTGCTCCGTGCTACAGACAATTCCCGTTGTCGGGTGGGCATCAATTGTTCCTCTGCCTCTTCTGTTTCATCGTCACCATCGCCAGCATGCTGCTTGTCTTCCTCCTCCTCGTCGTCGACAGAGGCATCGTCCTGGAACGAGTCGTACTCGGGCCGCTCTGTCAGGAAGGAGACCGTCTCGCGGATTTCAGCAAGGGTAGCCGGTTTCTTGGACATGGCACTAGCAGGCTTCCGGCGAAGATGCGGCGGGGGTCGGTTGTTGACATCTTCAGCGGCAGGCTCGAGGGGTCTCTTTCTCTTGTTGCTCTCGTCTTGCGGGCTGTTTGATTGCGCTTCCGTGGTAGCATTTTGCGACGAAGGCTCGTCCTGTGTGCTACCCTCTTGCTCGTAGCCCAAAAAGTCGAAACCGACGTCATCTTCGTCATCGTGATCCTCAATTGCCTTGAAGAAAGCGGCCTTCTTGGGATTCTCGGCGAGTTCCCCGATCTTCCCGTCGGCGAGGAGAGCATTTCGCATGCGTGCAAACTCTCTTTGCTTCTGTCGGCGGCGGGCCAGAATCTCATCGTCCGAATCATCCAGGTCAAACTCATCGTCGTTGCCTCGGCGGCGGCGAAGCGCTCCGGTCGTGATATCCTTGAGCAGTTTAGCAACGTCTTTCTCGTCTGCGTTCCTCTGGTGGAGTCTGTATACATGTCAGTATGCATAGTAAGATAGTCGCACACTAAACATACGCATTCAAAGCAGCCAGCTGCTTGGCATCAACTCTTTCCCCACTGTTGTCGTTGATCATCTCTCTGTCGGATGCGTTCTCCTCATCATCGGCATCATCGTCACTTGCGCCTCCGAGACCAGCATATTCATCGTCCGATTCCTCAGCAGCTTCCTCAACGACATCCCTTGCCTTGCTCTTCTTACGGTCAAAGTCGGCGACAGGCTTCCTGGCCTTCTTTGCCGCTTTCTTCATCATATCGAACGCGCTCTCATCATTCTCTGCCTCACTCTCTTCTTGCTCCTCGATGGCAGAAAGCTCTGGGGCTTTGCCGCGTCGAAGATTCCTTAGGTTCCTGGCTGCAACAGGAGAGTGATTCTGCTCCACCAAGACGGTCTCGATGGTTGATGTCGGTGTACCCAAGAATCGCTTGTTAGGGTCGAATGGGGAAAGGACAAACCCCGCGTCTTGCGTTGGGTCTGGGATTTGAGACATTTGGGACATGCTTCGAGGGACGGGTGATTCGGAAACCCGGTCTTGCTGCCAGTATCCTCCGAAAGTATCTACCGACCCAGCGCGGTTCTCTTGGCTGTCTTTGATAATAATCTGAGAATCGGGTTCCTGGCGCAGACTCACTGGTACAGGTTCCGGTAGTGACTGAGGGATTGTGGCTTCCTGCTGGCTCATATCCTGACTTGGAGCAAGCGTGCCTGCAAAGGCCTGTGTTAAGCTCATTGTGGCTTCTGAAGGCTTGACGGGAATATTTGGGCGTTCTACGGAATTGAAGAAGGGATTGATGGGCTTTGCAGGAGTCTTTGGTGCCTGGCCCTCATCTTCGTCTTCGTCGTCACTGACAACTCGAGTAGGTCGCTTTCGTCTTTGGGTTGGTACATTTGGCTCCTCCACTGGGACGGCTGCTTCCTCCATTTCAGAATCGGCATCAGCCTCCGCATCGTCGTCTTCGTCTTCATCGGCTTCGGAGTTTTCCAAGTCTCCCTCCCTTTCCGCTTTGGCTTCATCATCGAGTTCGTCCTCTTCATCCTCTTCCTCCCCGTCATCGTCCGCGACGTTATCCCCGTCTTCTGATCCGGAGAGTTCAAAGTCACTGTCATCATCGTCGTCATCTTGATCGCCACCATTCTTACGCTTCGCCGCCTCGCGTTCCTTCTTTGCGATATCTTCACCTTCCTGTCTTGCCTTCTCAACGAGGTTCTCCACCTCATCCTCAAAAGCAGCGCGTTCGGCAGCGGTTTCAATGACAATTCCCCGTGCTCTGAGTTCGTCTATCCTCTCCTGTCTTTCTTTCGCCGCCTGCTGTTTAGCTTCATATAGTAGACTCGCGGACAGCTCGGCGGAATTCATAGTAGACTTGCGAGTAGGGGAAGTAAGTTGTGCTAATACTTTCAATCTGAACATTGAAGCGGACTCTTGAACCTGTCGTGCCGGAAGATTCTCGAACGCTGCAATGCGCCGGCACTTTGCTGGAGAGGTAACAATCTCCAAGTCATCGTCTGAATCGTCCTTCTGATGCCGAGCTACCTGCTCACGAGTGAGCCGAACGCGAGCTGGTGCTACCCGCCCTGGAAGCTTCCCTTTCCTAACTTCAGACATCTCGGTGGTTGGCTGGATCGTCTCGTCCTCCGTTTTGTCTCCAATTGCCTTCACTGCCTCTACAGTCGGATCGCTCAGAATTTCTTCAATGGTTGGGAAGTTCACTTCGTCGTCTTTCGATAGGTCTGGGCCGTCGGTGGGCGGTAGAGCCGGCGATGTATGCGGAGTATCCTTATCCTTCTGAGCCTCGACATCTGAGGAATGTTGTGAATCTGCCGTAGTCGACGAGTTCTCCGCACTCTGCTCTGGCGCAGCCTGTTCCTGGGGTTGCATAAAGTTGAAGCGAGCAAAGAAGCTCTCCTTGCTAATCTTTTTCTTCGTCCGTGCCTCGTGGGCCAATTGCATATTTCTGCTCATGCGCTGTGTCTCACGGTGCATTTCCTCGAGCGCCTTCTTGCTGGCCTTTCGACCAGGACGATCCTGCTGCGGGGATTTCTTTTTGCCAGTCTGTCCGCCATCTGCATCTTCCTCTTCAGAGAACAGATTCGCGCTGAAATCTTCTCGCTCCTTTGCCTTCGCAGCCTTCTTCTCCTCTTCGATCCTCTCCTTCTCTTCACGTTCCTTTCGCTTCTTCGCAACAAGAGCGAGGAATCGGTTGTTTCGCTTCTGTCCAGCCTCTTCACTGCCGGGGCCGTCCTCTTCAGCCTGCTTCGTCGGCGAAGAAACGAACAGGGGCGAAAAGGAGCGTGCACGGGATTGCGACCTAACCGAGTCGCCATCCTCAGCACTATCACGAGCTACATCCGCATTTTGAATCCTCCGTCTCGGTCCAGCCGCGGGGAGATCATCATCATCATCATTATCGGACGATGCCTCATCATCATTACCCAGATCACGACGCGTCTCATTCGCGCCTTGCTTCCCCGCTCGCAATATCTTCGAAACTCGCTCGAACGCGCTTTCCGTGGCAGGCGTGTGCTGAGTCGTGTCCTGGTTCTTCTCTGCGGTATGTCCCTGTAAGCGTGCGGCCATACGGCCTCGAGGCATGACAATGTCGTCGTCTTCCTCCTCTTCCTCCGAATTTGAATCCAACGCCATCAGCTTGTCGCGCATACGAACAGCGTCAGTCTTCATAGAATCAAAAAAATTCGTGTTTGGTTTTCGAACGGTGGGCTTGCCGCTGTCTGATTCCGAGTCGCTGTCGAAAGCCGTGAGCATGGCCTTGATTTTTCTCCCTGGGGTGAGGATCTCTGGGGAGTCGGCTGCCGTGGACGCGGACCGCGCCGTGCGTGTTGAGGGGGCCGACATTGTGTATAATTATGATGGAAATGGTGCGCGGTAGCAGAGAAATTATTGAGTTCGGTAGGAGGGCATCTTATGATACCAATGGGTGTAGCAAGAGATTGTATTGTCAGTACTTCGGAGGAGTCTATTCGTTCCACCGCTACAAATCTAGGGCGGGATTCCGGCGCGGGTTGACGAGACGCGCACCGCGTCGTTTATCACCACGTGACTGCGCGCCAAGTCCTCTATCGGACAGCTGTAGAGCACCTCCATAGCATGAAGTTATAATACCTAGTACTCGTCGAGGTGGTCTCGGGTATTTACATGTCAAATGCTGGGAGGGCATGGATACAGTCAGTAGTGCTTGGTGTAGCCAAAATAAGTGAAATTGTTCAATAATACAGGTCGTAGGTAGTAATATAGTACGCCAAACAACACCATCCCTAGCAGATACAGGAAGGTTCAAAAAGTGTTGCGCCAGATGCTCGCCATGTCAGTCACGGCTGGTATTTTAAAAAAAGAGGTATACGAAAGCCACCTAGGCAGAAAGCGGATTAGAATGAGCCTTTTGGGCTTCAGGATCGATGGTCAGCAAGGTTAGATGTCAATGTCAATGTCCAGGTCCAAGGCTGCAATGTTCTCATCGTCCATGTTCTTGTGACGGATTGTGGCTATGCCTCCTTTAGATTGCTTCTTCTGAGAGTTGGAAGGTGTGCTGCTCCGATCAGGCGTGTTCGCCTTCGATGTGCCTGAAGCAGGAGTTCCGCCGCGACTTCCATTCTCTTCGGTTTTAGTCGTGGATCCGTTGACATCATGATGAGTCTTCGCTAGAGTCTTGACACGTAGGAAAGGGTTGATCGGAGCTTCGCCGCGAGCGGCGGCGGCAGCGGCCTTTCGGCTTGCCTTGCGCTCTTCAAGTTGGGCACGGCGCACGTTTTCGTAGTTGAGTTTCTGGTTCCGCAGATTTAATTGGGCCAAACGCTCGTGCTCCGAGAGCTTGTCGGCACGTGGCTTGGACATGCTGGAACCAAAGGCGAGCTTGGGGATCTGGCTGGCAAGCTCGGCTTGCAGTCTCTCCACCTCCGCGTCGTCGCCAATCTCCCGCGCAAGCTTTATCTTCTTTTCGATCTCAACACGTTTATAGATCGTCATCTTTGAATCCAAAGACCCTTGCTTGCGCAACTTCTCATTAAGTTCCTCATTCGTGAATTTGTGGTTCAGTAATCGGTTGATGTCTGTTAGTTTCTTGGCTACCTGAGACCGTGTGGCCATCTTGCAGTCTTCAACAGCCATGGTCTGTCGGTACCGACTGAACTCTGCCTGTTAAGGTGGTCAGCATATATAGTCTGCGGAAATAGGTAGAATAGCAACGTACTTCTGTGAACGAAGAATCGGAGCAAGCAATGAATGGAAACTCGCGTTCAGACTTGCCGTGAGCGAGGACAGCATACTGGTTTGTCACAAAAGACCGACCATTCGCTCCCTCCAAGGCATACGGCTTCCCTTCCGAGAATCCTAGGGACAATTAATAACAATCCAAAAATTGGCGATAGTTTAACCACCCACTCTTGATCAAGCAAAGCCTATACTCATTCAGTCCTGTATCTCTGTTCGGTCCAATGTTGACACGGGCGTAACACCCAGATATAGCTTCTTCAAAGCCAGGGTAGAAACAGACTTGGGCAAAGTTTGTCCTGCCAACTCGGGCTCGCTGGATATCACGCAGCTCTGCAGGAGGATCATCCTTTGGTGGCGACGGCGAGCGCTCGCGGTCGTCCCACTCGACTTCGCTCTCCCCGTCTGCATCCTCATCGGAGACCCGCGATCGGGATTTGTGATCCCTCGTCGCTGTGTCCCGCCGGCGCAGTTCGTCACGCTTCCCTTTCTGCTCGCGCTGTCGTTTATAGGCTTCGATAGCCTCTGAAGCCTCGCCGACTTTGCGACCACCAAGTGTTGTCTTCTGTCGAGAGCTCTTACGGGCTCCCTCGTCCAGATTGGCAACACTGGCCTTGCGCTTATTTTTCTTCGCCTTGCGTGCCTCCTCCTTCTCACGAGAGGCCAGAAGACGGCGAAGCGCGAGATCCTGATTGTGGCGGTCTACCTCCTGCGCACGCTCAGACAGGATCTGCTCCCTCTGAATTTCTGGCATGGCCATGATCTCCTGCTTGTCTTTGGCGGAGAGGTAGAGCTTCTCGTAAGGGAAAATCGGGCCATCATCTTCGACCTGTGCATCCGAGCCTTCGGAATCTGATGCTGCTTCTGATTCAGACATGCTGGCTGAGTTGAGAGAATCAGCGGCGGACCTGGTGTTAGGCATGTTCCGTCAGTAACCTCTCGGGCACCAAAAAGAAATCGGCCGGCAGTAATTTAAACATACACTTCTCCATCTTCCTCCTCGTCATCTTCGCGACGCGACTTGCGAGGACGACGCACTGGTTTTGCTGTACCTTTGCGAGCCATGGTTGATGTTGGTTCGGGGGAACGTGGGGAAGATGAAGGAGGGGGAGATTCAGAGGGTTGCTTGCGAGGCGGGGGAGAGGCCTCTTCATCGGAGGCGTCATCACCCGCCAACGCAAGCAACTCAGCGTCGAGATCATCAGCCATGGTGAATACCTGACGGCCGGGGCGGCGGCCGGAAATTTCAGGCGCTGCGTTACTAGTCTGGTGAATGTAAAGGGCGCAGAGCGTCCTGAAGCGAATGAAAGTCGCCGAATTAGGGCGAAAGACTTCCGATTAAGAGGGAAATGAATGCAGGACCCCTGGGCAGCTGGCGCAATGAGTGGAAAAGGGTCGACGGTGGCAAAACCAGATGTACAGTGCGATTTCACTGAGATGTATATACGGCGTACAGATGACTCGACAAGGGAATGTGAAATATAGAGTGATATAAGGAGAACAGGGCTGCGGAAGAGGTGGGAGGGTTGAGAGAGAGCAGCCGTGGGTGGCGGGTTGAAAGACTTGAGGTTGGAGAGAGTGCCAGAATTCACTCTAGACTAGTATTATTGGGCCCAGAATGACGTCCAGTCCAGCCCAGGGATGGCGTGCCGATTCGGAACGCTCCCTGATAAACGCGCGGCTGTTCTTCTCAATCGGACCACCAACTCGGCTTCAGTCGCGCGTCATCCTCACCCATTCCTGCGAGACAGCTGTTGAAGATGAAGCCCCGTGTGGTGCTCCGGAGGTGCTCTTCGCTTCCGTGCCATCGGCCAGCAGCGCCTTTGCTGCTGGATTTTCTCGCCCCGTCAGCGCTCCGTCACCGCCATTACCACACAACGCCCGCCTACCACTCAACCTCGCCAGCGACCCAGCCGACCTCGGAAGCCCGGAAGCCGAAATATGTTCTCAATAAACATCAAAGAGAGTTCCTGGATAGCGCGCTGCGGGTCAACCAGGCCGGCGAATTAGCCGCCACGCTGATCTATACCGCGCAAACGCCACAGGTTATCCGTTCGCACCCACACCTGCGCCCGTTGATGAAGCACATGTACGACCAGGAAGAAGGCCATTTAACCACATTCAACCATATGATTTCCAAGCACCGGGTGCGGCCGACTGCAATGTATCCGGTCTGGGAGGTTGCTGCGACGTTCTTAGGGTGGTCAACGGGTGTCATGGGACGTGAGGCAGCGATGGCCTGCACAGAGGCCGTGGAGACAGAAATTGGGTCACATTACAACGACCAAATTCGAGAAATCCTGTCGTGGGAAGCCGATGCAAAGAGTCGTGGGGAGGAGTTGGACGATGAGCTGAAGGAAATGCTTACGACCTTCCGGCGGATCCGCGACGAAGAACTCGAGCATCTTGATCATGCTGTTGAGAACGATTCCAAAGAGGCACAACCATACGACCCATTGGTGAATGTCATTCGTCTGGGGTGCAGGGCGGCCATTAAGATCAGCGAGAGAGTATGATTAAACATAGATCCTGATAGACGACATTGTGTACTATTGGTGTTGGTGAGGCATGTACTATATCTTGAATACTTTTTGGTCTATTAATACTTTGTGTGCAACTGATGAAACCAACAAACCGACCGGAGACATCTAACTTGGTCTATCGAAACAAGGGTATCCGCATAAAGATCGATCATAACCCTAATTCTGAGTCTTCTTCTCTAGATGCTCCAGGAAGTTCTTGGAGAATTGTACCACCTGCTCGTAAACTTCCTCGAAACCATCTGCCCCACCATAGTAGGGATCTTCGACCACCTCACCACCTCCGATACGCTGGGTCAAAGTCCCTCCGGGCCTAAAGTCACCGAAAAGGCGCACCTCGGCAATCTGAGCATCACGCTCGACATTGGCATCGAACGTCGCTGTCATTGCCTCCCGAGTGCCCCTATCACGGGCTGGGCGGTTGCTGCCAGGATTCTTCTGCGACGCTATAACGGACGAGCGCAAATCCAATAAGTCTTCCAAGTTGTACTGATCCATGGCGAGGAGGTAATCGAACTCGAGGAAGTCCTGCAAGGTGATTTTTCGAGCGGCGTGTTTGTAGTCATTGATGCCGTGACGGCGAAGGGTAGCCATGGTACGTCGGTCCGCTCCCTCTCCAGCATGGTAGGCGCCTGTGCCGCAGGAATCGATCTTGTTGATCAAGGGGTGCGCAGCAGCAACGCTGCGAAAGACACCTTCTGCCATGGTCGAGCGGCCTATAGATCGTTAGAAAGGCCATGGCCATGGGAGGCGTGGGAGGCACCTCACAGATATTGCCCAAGCAGACGAACAATACATTGGCTTTTCTGCCGTTAGACGGACTAGGTGGCGTCATTCTGTGTGTGAATCCTCGACGAGTTGTAGGGTGTCCTGACACCTTGAGGGAGGCGGGGTTTTTTATGCGCGACGACCTTTATCGATAGAGACGTGGGGCCTTTCTGCCTGAGGCATTACAATTCCAAAAGCAAACTCAATCGCCACAAAAAAGAATTTTCTATCTCCGAGAGCAAGACATGATCATAAGGAACTAACTAGTAGATCAGCTTTGACAATCGAAATTGAAGAAGACTCGAGGCGCCACTGTTCCTCCATAGGGGGCTTTGTCAAGCATCCATGCTGCGCATGGATACTGAGTAGTTTAAACTCCTAGTATACCTAGGTAGTCGCGTTATCAGCCCCAGACTCTCCTCATCACCACTTGGGCACTCTTTCAGAAGAGCATCACTGATGAACAACGAATAGCCTAGTTTATGTCGGGTTATGGAACATACAATCTTCTGCACTTTGGGACCATAGACAAGCTCTTTGACAATGAGATTACCCCGCCTCACTTCCAGACTTCAGCACAGTTGAAGTTTCAAAAAGTCTGCCGAAACCTCGAAGATTGGCAACTGGTTGTAGCAGTAGGCTCCAAGATAGATAAAAAAAGAACTGCAGGGACTTGGGCAAAAAGTACGGAGGAGACGAAGCGAATCAGATTGATGGTCGAGAGATATGCACCGCCACAGAGGCTGGTGAGTCGTCGCGTCGGAGCTCCATCGCTGGATCAAATCAGTCAATTGACGCTGAGGATCCGCGGTCGCTGGGCCAACCATCCACGGTTGAGCCTTGATTTCCATCATTGGGTGGAGAATAAATGAAGGGGATCATGCGCATCAAAGCAATCAAGGACTCGAGATGCAGAGTCGTGTCTCACCAGAAATCCTCTGCTCAGTACTGTACATGTGGATGAGGCAAGGTTGGTTCCTTCTTGTGAGATTCAGTCAGCGTTAGTGGAGATACCCAAGATCATGACAAAAGCGAGCTACTATCGACCTAAGGCTCCTCGTTCCCCCAGATCCAAAGAGTATCTAGGCACCTTTTTTTTAGGTCCGTTTATCCATGGACAACTGTGGCGCTGCTCCACGCCTCAATAACTTGGACTTTGGTTTCTTGGGAGCAGCCGCTGGGGCTGCCCTCTTTCAGCTTCAGCCTCGCTTCTTCTTTCTCTTCAACGTGTTCTTCTTCCTGATCTCGTACTCTCGATAATCCGTTTCCAACAACCTTGCTACCTGTTGTACAGATCCTGTCCCCCTTCCACGCTCGAAACCTCCCCGAGAAACGGGGGCTTTTAAGCTTCACAGGTGTGCTACGACGACGGTTGCATCTAGCGCATTCCAACTCTCTGAAGAATCTCAAAGGGGTCACCCACTATTGGAACAGGCCGATCGCTCGATAGTCTGCCGCCAACATGTCCTATGATCGCTTGGGTCAGTACACCATTGCTTCCCTGCTCTTATTTGCGCTGCTTGGCTGGTCGGCGTGCGCACGACATTGCGCGGCAACTCCCCTTCATTCTCGGCATCAAATTTCCCCCCTGAAACTCTAGCTCCCGAGGATTGGGGCGACTTGAGGGGCAACGAGATTCGCACTATCACCGTGCAAGCCCCTAAATGCTCCTCTGTCGCTGTGCTGCCGCCTCGGCTGTTGTGGTTGCTTTCACCGCTGTCCTTGCCATTGCGTTTGCGCATACGTTTACTCCGCATTCGCAATTTACTGACATCCAAGTTTAGGAGACCCCTACGGGGACGACACACGTTCGCCCATAATGCAACCGAGCACATTGAGCAATCGATCGCCGTCGCCTGGCCGGCCCCTCGATGGCTACCAGCTCTCCGATGGCCCATATGGGCGGCGCGACCACCTGATGCCCTCCAGTGATCGATTAGCGGAGCAACCCACGGTGAGATACATTGGCCAATACATCCTGTCTTTACCAATGCTAAGACTTGCATCTTTGTGTATAGTTTTCTGTTGAGAGAATCCCTCACTCCTATGGACATAACGAAGCCTACGAAGCGCAGCCCCAGCAGAGCTATCCAGGGTACGAATATTCGGTAGACCCTCAAGCACACCACGATGCGTACTATACCCAACCATACCAATCAACAGTCACACCGGACCCCGATGATTACGATCTGGGGCAATATCCTGGGCACCAGCAATCATACCACGATGATGAGCCGATCCTACAACCCGAGGACCCCTTCCAAGCCCAAAATCCTTACAGCGACGACTATCAGGAAGAGCTTGCACCAACACCAAGCCCCGCTCCGATTCGGCGGTGGAAGACAGTCAAAGAAGTTCAACTGTTCCAAGGTAACTTGGTGCTCGATTGTCCCATCGCACCCAAGCTCCTCAACCAGGTCCCTCACGCCGAAAACTCACAACGCGACGAGTTCACGCATATGCGCTATTCGGCGGCCACTTGCGACCCGGCAGACTTCTTTGAGGAGCGTTTCACGCTACGTCAGAAGCTCTTCGCCAAACAGCGACATACGGAGCTCTTTATTGTGATTACAATGTACAACGAGGATGACTTCCTTTTTGCGCGCACATTGATTGGTGTGTTCAAGAACATCGAACACATGTGCTCAAGAGATCGAAGTAAGACCTGGGGTAAAGATGCATGGAAGAAGATCGTGGTCTGTGTTATCAGTGACGGTCGTGCCAAGATCAACCCGCGAACTCGCGCCGTGCTCGCCGGTCTAGGTTGCTACCAGGACGGAATTGCCAAGCAGCAAGTCAACGGGAAGGATGTGACGGCGCATATTTATGAGTACACGACGCAGGTTGGTCTGGAGCTAAAGGGAACTCAGGTCCATCTCAAGCCCCGTTCTGGGGTTCCGGTACAGATGATTTTCTGTCTGAAGGAGAAGAACCAGAAGAAGATCAACTCGCACCGATGGTTCTTCCAGGCGTTTGGTCGCGTTTTAGATCCCAACATTTGCGTCTTGCTCGACGCCGGTACCCAGCCCGGTAAGGACTCTATTTATCGCCTATGGAAGGCTTTTGATGTGGAGCCAATGTGCGGAGGAGCCTGCGGTGAGATCAAGGTCATGTTAAACAAAGGAAAGAATTTACTCAATCCGCTGGTCGCCGGTCAAAACTTCGAGTACAAGTTGAGTAACATTCTCGACAAGCCGTTGGAATCAGCCTTCGGGTTCATCTCGGTGCTTCCCGGTGCGTTCTCTGCCTACCGCTATATCGCGCTGCAAAACGGCAAGAATGGTCAAGGGCCGCTAGAGCGGTACTTCCTGGGTGAAAAGATGCACGGCGCCAATGCGGGAATCTTCACTGCGAACATGTACCTGGCTGAGGATCGAATCCTCTGCTTTGAAATAGTTGCCAAGCGCAACAGCCGATGGCTGCTCCGATACGTCAAGTCTTCGACTGGTGAAACCGATGTCCCGGATCAGATGGCAGAGTTCATCCTCCAGCGCCGCCGATGGTTGAACGGTAGTTTTTTCGCTGCTGTTTACGCCATTACCCATTTCTACCAGCTCTGGCGAAGCGACCACAGCTTCATGCGCAAGTTCATGCTGTTTATTGAGACTCTTTATCAAACCATCAACATGCTGTTCGCTTGGTTTGGTATTGTAAGTGTTTCCCTTGGACGCATATAGAATGTGACGACTAATCATTGCAGGGCAATTTCTTCTTGGTATTCCACATCCTCACAACGTACCTCGGCGACGCGGACCTCTTAGGGACTGCTGGTAAAGTCCTAGGAGTGGTTTTCGAATGGCTTTATCTTGCGACCTTGGTAACCTGCTTCGTTTTGTCTTTGGGTAACCGCCCCGGTGGATCCAACAAACTGTACATGACGATGGTGTATTTCTGGGTGTTCATCATGATATACCTCGCGTTCGCTGCAATTTTCGTGACGGTCAGGTCCATTCAAGAGGAAGTCGAGGACGGCACGTTCACCTTTTCGACGCTTTTTACCAACAGTACCTTCTTCTCCATCATCGTCTCCCTTGGCTCAACGTACGTCATGTGGTTTGTCGCATCGCTCATATTCATGGATCCCTGGCATATGTTTACCTGCGTAAGTTTCTATTCTCATAAATTACTAAGCTGGGATACTAACCGACACAGTTCATCCAATACATTCTCCTAACCCCCACCTACATCAACGTCCTCAACATCTACGCCTTTTGCAACACACACGACATCACATGGGGTACAAAGGGTGATGACAAGGCCGAAAAACTTGGCTCCGCAACCGTCAAACCCGGCGGCAAAGTGGACGTCAACATCCCCCAAGATGACGGCGATCTCAACGCGCAGTACGAAGCCGAACTCGCGAAATTCGCCCAGAAGCCACCCAAGGAAATCAGGGTCATCTCCGAAGAAGAACGGCAAGCCGACTACTATAAGGGATTTCGATCAGCCGTCGTTCTCGTCTGGGTGTTTTGCAATTTTGCCCTCGGCGCTGTCGTCCTCGGTGCTGCGGGTCTCGATCGCTTCAGCGATACCGCTGAGGAAGCCGAGTCCACGCAAAATCATCGATCTATGATTTATATGGCTGTTGTGCTATGGAGTGTTGCGGGTCTGTCGATTTTCAAGTTTCTAGGTGCAATGTGGTTTTTGACCGTGCGCATGGTAAGCCATCTCCTTCTATATTACTCTCTTGCACATTCCACTCGACCATACAAGTAACATCTTCTCGTTCTAGTTCCGGGGCGTATAATACCCATCTTCTTTTCATCAGTTCGATTTGTCTCACACCATTGTACCCTCCAAGCATTTCACTGGCGGACGCTTCCTTATACCTTCTCACTGCAGGTTCAGCATGTTGCAACGACGATAAAGAAAATGGATGACGGTTTGGCTTTTATTATACCGGGATTGCGGGTTGCGAACCATCATGACTGCGCATTTTGATAATATGATTTTTTTTTGTTCTTTATTTTGACTCGGTTTGATGCTGGCGCCGATGTTTTCCAGGCACCTACATACCTGGATGGGGTATAATCGGTACATATGTTGTGTATGTAGATTACGTTGATACCTCAGGATAACGTACGATTTATTGAGATGTTCTGGCTTCTTCTCTTATCTCGGTACTAGGAGTATTCTTCCGAGTGAGACGCCTTTCGAACCGGCCGCTGAGTAGAACTAGATGAGCTCATCCTTCCTTGCATTCCGGGACACCCATCGCCGTTGTCCTACCGCATGACACAATACATGGCTCAGGCTAGTTGATGAAGTTCCAATGTAAAGGCTCTCGTGAATAAATTCATAAAAATTCAAAACTAGGGTTTCTTTATACAATATATAGCCCCGATAACTGAATGTAAAAAGGCCAGAGAAGCGCAATCATTGCAACGCAAATAATGGGTAAGCCTCAAGAAGACGGTATCTCGGGCTTTTTCCCATAGACAAAAATCCTAGGTGGAGTCAGTTGATGTATCAGAAATTGGGATGAGGGGATATCAGAGAGGACACGTACACTCTTTGGTAAGCATGGATCGAACTGTCTTTCCACTCTTTTCTGCACTTTGCGATGAGCACCTCGACTTCTGCGGTTGACCAGCCAAGGACTCGAGTGAAGAGGCCCACAGTGAAAGCGTGTAGTCCGTTGAGGTGGTTGGTCAGGGTGTACTGTGCCACGGGAATTTTGTCAGCAATTCAAGCCTTCCTTATTCCTTACAGTGTTACCTATTTAGAGGCAGCGAGGGTATCTAGCTAACTCACCAGGCCAAGTCGTTTCATATTCTTGTCCTTCGGCCATGGATTCGACGGGCGCTTCAAGACTTTGAGCTTCACATCGACGAAGCCAGCTTCCTCCATCATTGTTTTGTACTCTTCGGGAGAGGGAATTCGATGGTTAATCTTCTCGCAGCCCTCGAAGAAGAGGTTCGACCACTGCAGGGCACTGCTATCGCTGGGGATGGAGTTGTCGTCTGTTTCGAATCCGGGGTCGATCTCGTGCATTTCCATGTACGCGCCCGGCTTCAGAGCACTAATCGAGGAAATCTCTGGTTAACTTCTGTCCGGTCTTCGACTCTTTCCACAAGGGCTTCAGTTTGCGAGGGGGGCTGGATTACTCTAGAGCTTGGCGGAAGAACTTCGGATAATCAGAGACACTGGCCAGTAACAGGCGAGAGTGAATCAAGTCAAAAGACTCGCGCCGGAAGGTCCATTCATTCTCAAAGTCGTCGACTTGGAATTCGAGGTTCGGCGGGACACTATCGCTTCATCAGCCGGTATTATCTCGGGTTCTCACAACAGGTCCGGCCTACAAGGATGGCTGAACGGGTGACAAATCGGTACCAATCACAGACGCGCCTGGATACTTATCGGCCATGTCGATGGCCCAGATCCCCGTTCCCGTACCGATATCAAGAATACGCTGTGGGTCGCTCAGCGGGGCTAGGTGCAACTCTCCTTCCAGGAGGAGGAGGAAGATGTGATGTTCGAGGTCCATTCGGTCGAGTTCATCCTGTTAAGGGGTAAGATCGCGATTCATCGGGGAGGAGCCAGATAGAGTTTCGATTGCATACCTCGTCGTTCGGAAACGCATAGTCTTCAAGAAACGTCAGCAAAGTCAAACGAATTGCGCGCTCTCTACTTACGCCCAGACCGGTAAGAGTGGTACCTCCTTTACCCATTCGATGTTTATTAGCAAGGGATAACAGCGGGATCCAGAGGGTGTTTACCGTCCATTCTCGTATTCGAACTGCAAAACCAAGCTGTTTAGCGAGGACGTTTCGCTCGCACTGGGGCATGTCAGTAAGGGGCATCCAGGACCGTGGATCTGGGTGGGGAACGTGCATCAGCGATCCGAGGGTAGAGTCCGCATCATCCTAGTTGGTCTGTCAACAAAGCGAGCCGATCTTTAAGCCGCATTCTTCACAAACCTCGACTTCGATGAACTGCTCGTTGTCGCGCTCAGACATGGTGGCTGGTCTGCCGGATCCACACAGTGGGAACTTGGAGACGAACTCGGGATCGGGAGCGGCCGCTGTCAATAATAATTCCTGTTTTCCAATCGGGCACGGGATGGCATACGCACTAGCAGCTGTCATGTGATGGTCTCTTCAGGAGAACAAAGCTATTGTTCTATCCAGAGCCTTTGTTTGCCTTGTTCGGTAATTTGACATCCCTGTGCAGATCATTCTCAGCATGCTCGGCAGCTTTTCATCGCTCTACACCTTGGGCATCGTCCTAATCCTCACCGCGGGACTTGTCCGCCTCCTGCGCTCCTATCTGCGGTTGAGACAGTTTCCCGGTCCATTTGTCGCTGGCCCTACCAAATTATGGATGATGCGTAGTACGCTATATGGCCATATGCACCTGGACATTGCAGAGGCATGCAAAACATACGGTGCGCACGCATTGCTACTAATTTACACGCATATGACATTAACTCGGTCTCGTCAGGCCATCTCGTCCGAATAGGCCCAAACGATCTGGTTACTGATGACCCCGAGATCATTCGAAAGATGAGCGCTGTGCGATCTCCGTATACGCGGTCAGATTGGTACAACGCCACGGCTTTTAGCCACAAGCTAAACCACGTCTTCTGTGAACGCGATGAGCAACGTCATATTGATCTGCGTAACAAGCTGATACCAGGGGTCTGTGGTATTCCTCGAGCTCCGTGGACCAGCCATCTGAGCTGACGAATGTTTCTTCATTTTTACAGTATTCGGGCAAAGAAAATTTACATCTAGAGCAGAGCGTTAACGAACAGTTGATAAGCCTCTTCAAGCTCATTCGCAACGAATATACTTCAAGCGTGGGAGAGTTTCGTGCCGTCGACTTTGCGCGTCTCTGCCAGTTCCTTACTCTGGATGTCATCACCGCGGTCGCATTCGGTGAAGCCATGGGATTCCTTGAGCACAACGAAGATCTACACGGATATATCGCAAACCAGACAGCCATGCTTCCTATCTTCGAGTGGTTCTCGACGCTGCCAATCTTGGAGAAGGTGGTGCGCCTTCCTGGTATCAGTCAGCTAGCCATGCCCACTCCCAGCGATACAAAGGGTGCCGGCTTGTTGATGGGGTAAAAACCCTTCTTTCTTAGCAAGATACAATATAGGCCATCTAACAGAAGCTTAGCGTCGCCAAAAAGATCGTAGCAACACGCTACGGCCCTGACAAGAAAGTCCGTCGCGACATGCTCGGCTCCTTCGTTACCCACGGCCTGACCCAGGAAGAGGCAGAGCAGGAAACAGTTCTTCAAATGTGAGACCCCATACTCTTCTATCTGCGGTTACACTGCATCACATCCACCTCCCCACTCACGCATCCACCCGCGCAGATTCGCCGGCTCCGACACAACAGCAACAACAATCCGTACCGCCGTCCTGTACCTAATAACAAACCCGAACGTCCTGTTCAAACTCCAAGCCGAGCTCGACACCGCTAACTCCAGCGGTAGCCTCTCAGCTCCCATTCTCACCTACGACGAAACCCAGCGCCTCCCCTACCTCCAGGCCTGCGTAAAAGAATGCCTCCGCATCTGGCCGCCCGTCGTTGGCCTCATGCAGAAGGTCGTGCCTCCCGGTGGCGACACCCTAGATGGGAAGTTTGTCCCCGGAGGGACGCAGATCGGGTACTCGGCTTGGGGCGTGCACCGGAATCCAAAGGTCTATGGGGCAGATGCGGACGTATTCCGGCCGGAGAGGTGGTTGGAGGTCGAGGATGAAGAGAAATTGTTGGCGATGAACCGCACGCAGGAACTCGTGTTTGGGTCGGGGAGGTATGCTTGTCTGGGGAAGCAAGTGGCACTTATTGAGGTTTCGAAGGCGATTGCTGAGGTGGGTATCTCTCTTTTCTGTGTCTCTACTAGAGTCCTGCTAATGTTGCTGCAGATCTTTCTCAGGTATGATATTGTTCTCGTTGACCCCTCCCAGCCCTGGCAGAGTGTCCAGCGAAATGGTCTGTTCCTACAGTCTGAGCTTATGGTTCGTATATCTGAACGCGAGAAGAGTGCAGCTCGAATGCAGTCTCTGTAGATCAGGTTTGCCGTTTTGTATACACCCGCATGGAATGTGGGGGCCTCATGTTTATAGCTCATGTTTATAGCTCATGTTTATAGCTCATGTTTATAGCTCATGTTTATACTTTGAACATACTGGAAATTCAGCAATAGGATAATGATAGATTGGCTTCTCTAGGTAGGCTGCAGGTATTTCATCATGGACTTAGTTCACAGTGCTTAAGCGTTCTCAATACCAGAGACCCTTAGAAAAGCTGGAAGCGGTGGGTGCCGTCATTCTCGTAGTGGTCAAGCTCGTGTCCGTCCGGCAATAATCCAGCCCCAGATAGGTTTACCAGTCGTGTCAGCACCCATTGCATTTCCAAGAGCTCTTTACTCGGCAATGGTAGCTTGATGGGGTCGGGTGTCGTGAATGTAAAGCGTTGGCCGCTCATGATCTTCTGCCATTCGGACCTGACGTTCAAGAAGGCGGATCCAGTTTGAACCACGTCATCTTCAACCAACCCGGGCAGGTCTCGGGACGAGCTAGGTCGTGTCAAGAGCGGGATGTGATGGTTGATTGAGTGGCCAGGCCGTGGTTGCCAGAAGAATTGCACCTCAAGCTGGGTTCTGTCCTCGCTATATGCGAGAGGCTTTAGTGCAAATATCCCCAATGCCCACATTTGCTTTAGATCCGCCGATAAGCACATCAGGTTTGACAAGTTGTCGAGAGCCTGCATTGGGCTGCGGCGGTCCGAGAATATCTGCTGTCGCCATTCTGCGATCCGCTTGGGTGTCCAGAAGTACTTCAGCATGTCCCAAAATGGCGGGTATGCTTTGGCTTGACGACTCAGCTCTGGGTTAGATAGAGAGCGGGGGTATATTTCCACGATCTGCATGGGTGCCACCCGTCGAACGACGCACTTTCCGCGGTCTCGCTCGCTCGTCTGGTGGTTGTGCCACTGCTCCTCTCGCAGTGTTCCGTGTACTTCAGCATCGGCTGGCGGATGGGGCAGTTGGGCTGTGGTCGCCCTCTGTTCTGATCGACACTGTTTCCATAGAAGGGGCAGGGCCATGCACCCGTGTATAAAGAACTCCAGCAGGAATGTTGACTTTTCAGCCCCGATGACCATCTTCTCCAGCATCTCCATGTCCGAGAGTAGCAAGGCGGCCCAGAAACTAGCTGGCACAGGCCGGTTGTTGAGGACCGTGTTTAGTCTTCCGAGGAGATAGGTTCGCCGCTTCGATGGGGGGTTGTAGTCCTCCTCATTGATAACCTCGCGCTTGTCGGGAGACACTTTTCTGTGCCGGTTCATGAATCCATGGTCATTCCCACCCAGTGCGTCTATCTTTCCTTGGTTGGGGGGCATCGTTAGGAGTTTATATATGGCGCTTAGGGTGAAGGTAAAGATTTCTGAAGGATAGAACATAGGTTAACGATAGAGGTGCGTAAGCGGCAGTAGCTTGGGGAGAGTGTGTAACTGATGCTGTAGTCTGGCCTAGTCGAGTCCCGATGTCGTGAATGCTTGGTTCCTGCCAACGGAGGCAGGTACTCGCCTCCCCAAGGTCAGACGTGGTACCTTCCATGGTGGGTAGTAAACCCAGATTGCCGTGGGCTGTTTGCGGCTTACCGCTCACGGTGACTGCTATGGTAGTCTAGACGGTTCGGCGCCCAGTTGGCAGCTCTGGGTAGATCACATGCCCATTGGAACCCAATACTTGACGATATATATAATAAAGCCCGTGATGCTAAGCACATGTATTTTTAGGCCATGAAAAGAGCGGTATGCTAGACGGCTTCATACTATATGCAGGAGCAAAGAACATTAAATCAGGGTTACTCAGGACCATACAGTATCGAGGATAGAAACCATGGAAAGCACAAGGCTTGCCTCAAGAGATTAGGGTTATACTTATATGATCGAATTATAGAGTAAAAAAGCAGCCTAGCTCTAATATATCAGCATCATTGGTCTAGTGGTAGAATTCGTCGTTGCCATCGACGAGGCCCGTGTTCGATTCACGGATGATGCACATGCTTTTTTACTCTCTTTTTTTTTTTTCTTTGTCTGTAAATCACCATATTTGCAAACCATATCATCGAGAACACGGGATCCAACGGGTCTGAACTTAAAGTCTACGGATACAACTGACTTCACTATGTCTTCGACTGTACGCAAATACCTATACCCCCCAGCACCAACGCCATCCCTAGCCATGTCTCCTTCTCAATCACCTTCTTCTCCACATACCACTCGCCTAGAACCGTGAACAGAAAAGCGCTCGAATTCGCCAGGGGAACCGTTAACGAGAGTTCTATGTATATCATATTAGTTCAATCGGCGCATCCACGAACAGACAGGGGAAGAGCTCACCATGCTTCCCAACCAGCAAAAAGAACCAAATACTCCCAGTCAGATTGATCACCAGCGGAATCGAGTACGCCGGCGTTTGAAGGAGATTAACCACGGTCCAGAATATGGTAATTATTTTTGTTTTCAACCAGGAGGAAGACGAGGCCGAGCGGTTCATCCAGGCCGGCTGGGGGGTTGTGGTGTCCCTTGCGGTCGGTTCCGCGAAGTTCGAGGGGGAGGGTAGCGGCTGGTCTTCGTCGCTTTCGCTGTCATCGCTGCTGCGCTCGTTATCTGTAGACTGTGTATTTCGCAGCTCGGTCGCTTGCGCTTGATCCTGGTGCGCCTCCTGTCGAGCTTGAAAGTCCTTAGCGGCCCGGCGTATAAAAGGGGTTGTCCCACCCCAGGCCATTCCTACGAGGAGGAAAGAGAGGACATAATTGAAGACCGACGGTTGGTCTGAAGACGCGAAACCAGCGTCAGCCATCGGCGCGGTATTCGAGAGATGTCGTGGTTGTATCTGTAGGTAGAGATCACAGAGAGCTTAGTCGCAGTACGGAGTACCTGGGGAGGTGTGCACGTGATTATATACATACACAGTACCTAGGTAACAGAGAGACCACTCCTTGTCCTTTAACAGATCTGCATATCGAATTGTTTTTGCGATTGCTGAAGAATATATAGCTCAATAGCCTACATCTCAGTTGATACCACAATGTGGAAGTGCTGGAGTAGTACTAGTATGATCCGTAATCTGTTCAGGATCGGCCCCAGTCGCCAAGGGCAGTTTGTTCCATATATCATATAGCTACGATGCAACCCAATTACTACCGTTCCACCTCATGGCATGTCAGAGAGCCAGGCTTTCAGCAAATTGGCATGACCAGGTCCTTTTCATTTACATACCTTGGCAATTGACTTTGAGACCCGAAGCTCCTTGCAGAGTGCAGTGTTCTGCAGGAACATCGCCGGCGTACATAGCAGGTGCATGACGAACTGAAACCTCACATTGGAGTGCTCAGTGAAGAAGGCCATGGGGTGCTTAAATCGCTCAGGTACCGAAGTGTCTGCATTGAGCCATGGCTGTAATCGGCGCTATGCTCTATACTTTGACCAAGTGATCTTTATCTGAATGATATCATACAAACTCGGGATTACCAAAAGGTTGCAGTTTTAGACAGGCAATTTTATTTTCTTCACAGAAAACACGTGCCACGCCATCAATCAAGTCAGGGATGTCCAAACCCGTACAGACTATACACAGTCAAACGCTGGAGTCGAGGCGAGAGTGGGCGACACAAACAAGGCGAGACCATCTTTAGCAGCCTATCAGACTTGGGTGAGCTCCAGACTGGGCCGTGCATTCAATGGAACCCATGACAAGATGAAGCCGAGAGCTATTCTTCGTATCCGCCCTGCACATTCAGTAAATGAATCGGTCAGCTCTAGACTCAAGAGTTGATGCGTTGCTTCTGAAGAGTTGTCTCCCTGTCAAACGTTGAAAGCATGCTCGAGTTAAGATTCTTAGCCACCAGCGAATGCTCCCCAGGTGGTTTAATTTTGGAGCGGGAAAGGGTGGCTTGGAGTAACTTGATCAGGTTAGCGCGCCAGGAACCAGTGGACAACTAAATCCATGGATGGGTTATCGAGATTCTCGACTTCGAATGCTCATCGTTACTCAAAGAGCATGTACCATCTTGTGACGGGTTTTCTGGAATTGACCGCCAGCTCTTTTCACCCCCCTGACCCCAATCCTGAAAAAAAACTCGATTACATGCCTCCGCTATCCACCTGTTTGGATCGGAGGCTGATCGGCATCACGTGGAGAATGAACCTGCCTGTTCCCTGAGATTACATCAGCGCCCCACCCTAACGGCAGCCAACACCAACGATTAAGATGAGAAAAATGAAGATCGCTGCGGCCGACTTGGTCAGGCACCGCTCCGCATGCAAGGAAAGTGAGGGGTTTGGATGGGTTTGTGCGAGAAGTGCGCTCTGCCAGAGTGCTCGTTGATTCTTGCGCTGCAATCAGTTGACCGTGTAAGCCCGAAACACTGTGCGCCAAATGCTGTAACCTGTGGGCGGGCATCATTTTTGATTTCTCGAGGTGCATTGGTGCTGGATTCTGGCGTTTCTCCCGAGGAGCATATGCAGCCAATCTCCAGCTTGTGCCTGGATTTCCACCGGACTGGGTAGCCTGCTGAAGTAGCTTCGATTCCACGTCGATGGGACTGGCAACCACTTGAGCAACTGGTTTTGTAGTAGACGACTTGTAGCTGCGTTGTGGTAGGCAGCTTGCAGATAGAATTCTGGCCCAGCACGTTGGAGAGGATCTTGAGCTTATTTCTTTTTCCTCCTCGGGGTTGAGACTGAAATGCAGCGATTCTATTGCTCGCCTTCCGTTCATTATTGGGCCTTCTGGCGGTGTCGTCCTCCCCCCTAAACGAAACTACCGCCAAAAGTTGACAGCCAGAGAATTATCTAAGCCAATCGAAGGTCGAAACACTGGAGTCTTCCCTGCTCCTGTTCCTGCCCCTTCTCTCCCTCTCCAGTTCTCAGCTCCCTCGTCCCCATTATTTCCTCGACCCTTTTCGGCCTGCTGTGATCGGAATTGGCCTTCTCTCTCCGGTTCGTTTTCTCCCTTCACTTTTTTGTTTTCTCCTGTACGGGGGGCGATTTCGTTCTTTCTTTTCTCCGCTTCTTTCTCCGTCCCTTAATTATCGCCTACTATAGGACCCCCCCCATACCCCTTCAAGGCCGGGATCGAGGTTTCATAGCATCGCTTCGAGAACCGGAGGAGATTCTGACCTCCCCCCTTTGTGACGACGAGCGGATCGGACTTTGGATGGACACCTGTCTCGCGTTAGCCGAACGAACAACCAGCGTTGCCAGTGTCTCGGCCAGCAACAGCTGTTCGACTTGCTTATTATAACTTTTAATCCCCATACCGCGCGTTCACTGCGTCCTCCGCTCCTTACACCTTGAGCCTGGCGCCCATTATTCTGTTCACTCATTCAGCATCGGTTCTCTTTTTCGTCGCGCAATTCGTCCTTGACAACATAAGTTTTGCTCAGCCTCCGGAATTCTGTCCGACCCTCCGCCTGCTGCCTCCCGACCCTGAAATTCCGCCTTGAACGACTGTTTACGATATATATCTTTCACGATGGCATTCCTCTTCAAGTCAAAGAAGAACCAGCAGGCTTCTGGCCTACCTCCCGCAACGAGAAACATCCATACATCTGAAGGAGCACCACCCGGCTCTGGAGCTGTGGTAAACGGGCCGAAAGATGGAGCAGTTATTTCTCAGACGCCAACGCCGAGCAGCAGTTATAATAATTCTTTGAATTCGGTCAATAGCGCTAGCAGTCCGGATCAGCAGCGCCCGCGACAACGAGCAGAGTCCGAGTCTCAGGTTGGTAGCCTAATCTTCTCACTATGGATACATTTGCCCGGATTGCTAGGGAGACCGGCGTTCTTCCCTTATGTAGACTGACGGTTCCCAGGCCCAGCGCGCTCACCAACCTACACCCGGCAGCAATTCACCGAACTCGAGTCCTGGCGCATCCCTATATCCGTGGTCGCAGCGACGCCTGAATTTTTCGTCGCCGCAAGCAAACCCTTTTCCTCGATATGGCGCGGCAATCAACGCAGTTGCTTCAAAGGAAGGTGACATATACATGATGGGTGGACTGATAGATGGATCGACTGTCAAAGGGGATCTTTGGATGCTGGAAAGCAGTAGTGGAAATCTTTCTTGTTTTCCAATAGCAACCGTCTCGGAAGGGCCAGGGCCCCGTGTGGGCCACGCGAGCTTGTTGGTAGGAAACGCCTTTATCGTCTTCGGTGGTGATACCAAAGTGGATGAAACGGACACTCTGGATGATACGCTCTACCTTCTCAATACTTGTATGTGCCATTTCTCTCCATGCGCAATCCAGTGTGCAATCCATTGTGGCGGTTGCTAACTCTACCGCTGCAGCATCTCGGCAATGGTCGCGTTCGATACCGCCCGGTCCTCGACCTACTGGACGATATGGCCATACCCTCAACATCCTCGGTTCAAGGCTATATGTCTTTGGAGGGCAGGTCGAAGGGTACTTTTTCAATGATCTGGTCGCTTTTGATCTGAACCAACTACAGAACCCAAACAACAAGTGGGAGTTGCTTATCAAGAACAGCCATGAAGGCGGACCGCAGCCCGGTCAAATACCCCCTGCAAGAACTAACCACACCATTGTCAGTTTTAATGATAAACTGTACCTGTAAGTTTTCCTTTTCCCACGTCAACTATAACACCATTGCTCACACACGGCAGATTCGGAGGAACGAACGGATTGCAATGGTTCAATGACGTTTGGTCCTACGATCCCCGCGCGAACAGTTGGAGTGAGCTTGAATCCGTCGGAATTATTCCAGCTCCTCGTGAAGGGCATGCGGCAGCCCTTGTCAATGATGTGATGTACATCTTCGGTGGCCGCACCGACGAAGGTATCGACCTCGGCGACCTTGCGGCGTTTCGGATATCTACCCGACGTTGGTTTTCCTTCCAAAATATGGGCCCTGCTCCTTCTCCTCGGTCCGGACATAGCATGACAGCTTTTGGCAAGCAAATCATCGTTTTAGCGGGCGAACCTAGTTCTGCCCCCAGAGATCCAGTGGAACTTAGCACTGCTTATCTTCTTGATACGACCAAGATCCGGTATCCGAATGAGACCCAAAATGGCACGGCAGTACCGGCCACGGGCCCCAAAAAAATAAGTCCTGGAGACAAGCCGGGCCCACCCTCTGGCCGAACAAGCCGCGAAGCCCAGAATCTACCTCCAGATCAGCTCCGAAGGGGTCAAATGCCTTCTCGAGAGAGTATGGTCAGTCCCCCAAATCGGCCCCTGGAGATTGGACCTGGAAGTGGCCCAGGGTCTCGGCTGCCGCGAGCATCTATTGCGCACGCCCCTTCCGGCCCTCCACCACCGGGGCAGGCTCCCACCCCAGGGCCGAGGGGCCCGACGCCGCAAAACCTCATGAACTCTAGAAGCAAGACGCCCCCAAAACAAGAGCGTGGGTTTGGCGGCCCTCCTATCGACACCGCCCGGGCCATGATCGGCGATAGAGACAAAGAATCAGCACCAAAAGACTCCCCCCAAGATTATAGACCTGCACAAGAATCGAATGGTCAGCGAACACCCACCCAACAGTCATCCCGTATGTCAGCTCGGGCGATGGAAGCTGGCGAAGCTGCTCCCCTAATGGCGCCGGCTCGCCAGCGCTCATTACGCCAGCGACAGCGCAGCTCGTTGGATAGCGCGGACGAATCTATTCTCGGCCGACACGCAAGTATCGATGGTTCAATAGACTCCCGGGGCTACAGAAACTCCAGAACCGGAGACGAACCACGATCGCCTCGATTAACCGCCCACCAGGAGGTTTTGGTTAAAGAACTTGAAGCATTGAGAAGCCGGAATGCATGGTATGCATCGGAGCTTGCCTTGGCCAAGAAAGCTGGATACTCTCCTAATATTTCGTCAAACTCTGTTTTGGATGAACGCACAGCGGACGCTTTTGCGGACGAGGATCGCCCCTTAATCGAGGCTTTCCTCACCATGAGAGCAGAATTAGCGAAAATGCAAGCAACCGTGGACCGGCAGGCCGCTATTGCATCCAAGCGCGTTGCAGAGGTTGAGCAGCAGAGAGATATTGCGGTCAATGAAGCCGCTTATGCTCGCGCTAAGCTTGCTGCACACGGTGGAAGTCAGCAGAGCACCCCATCATTGGATGGGCATTCTCAAGACCTTGATAAGGCGGCGTCTGAGCGTACGACAGATTTAAGCCGCAGACTGGCCTTGGCCCTTGCATCGCAGAATGAACTCAAGGCAAAGCTGGAGGTGATTACTGCTGATTTTGACCAGGAGAAGCGTGGAAGAGAATTGGCCGAGGAGACAGCGGAAGCCACAAGGAGACGGCTGGCTGAGTTGGAGATGCAAAACAACCCTCTGGAAACGGAAAGCCTGCGTGCCCAGCTCCACCAGATTGAAGCATCGCTCAGGGAGGAGTCCATGTTACGAACTGAAGCTGAATCGTCCTTAAAGCAGCTGGTTTTGGATAAGGAGGAGCTGTCGAAGAGACTTGAAGATTCTTCTGGTCGTCTGAAGGACTTTGGTGAAAACATTGGTACACTTCGAGAAGCGGTAACTGCGTCTTCTAACAAGGCCGCTGTATTGGAGAAGCAATTGGATGAGGAGCGTGAGCGTCGAGAAAGCTTAGAAAGGAAATTGCTGCAACTTCGGTCTGAGCACGAAGAACGAACGGCCGAGCTAGAGAATGCTACCCGTCGCCTTCGAGACGCGGAAGAATTGGCCGAGATTCATGCTAGGGAAGCCGAAACTCACAAGAACGCATTCCTTTCTGGTCTTGACCGAGCTTCGTCATTCGATTCGGAGACGTCAGTACGCTCACTGGTGGACCAACGAGTGGCCAGCTCCGAAGCACAGGTGGAGAGAGCGAATACACTTGCAAAGGCCAGTCAAGCTGCTGCGGACGAAGCAGCGGAAAAGTTGAGGCGTGCAGAGGAGAGAATTGCAGGCCTAGAGGCATATCAGGAACAGGCGAGCAGGGAAGGCTTGCAGCTCCGAAGACAGCTCCAGGCTGCGCTGAAGGATAGCCAGACGTACACAGCAGAGAACCGTGAGCTGAAGTCGAAACTTGAAGCCCACCAGAGGGAGGCCGGTGCGCTGGCCGTGCAACACACTGCTTTGAAGGACCTCCTTGGCGAGCGTGGTGTCAACTACAATGACAGTCGACGCTCTCCTCGCATTGAATCGCCCGGCTCGCGATTTGGTACTCCTGAGCAAAGCCGCCTTCGGGAACTGGAGCAACAGCTCTCCACCAGTCTCAAGGCCCATGATGAGTTGAAGTCCTCCTTTGAAACTCGAGAACAAGAAGCCGACCGCGCCTACCGCGAGAAGTTAGAGCAACTCGAGAATGATTACCAGTCCGCTGTCCACTACGTCAAGGGGACCGAAAAGATGCTCAAGCGAATGAAGGACGAGCTTACGCGGTACAAGTCCCAGAACGCCAAGATCCAGTCTGAGTTAGAAGTGGCTCAGGCTCGAGCTTCCGACGGGCCATCTGAAGCACCGGCAGAATGGGAAGCCGAACGCGCCCAGCTTCAGAAGTCAATCGCCGACCTACAGCAAGATACATCAATTTCCATTGCGCATCTCGAGGAGCAAGTCGCTACTCTGAAGGAAAGCCTTGTTTCTACTGAGGAAGAGAAGGCCAAATCTCATACAGAGTATGAGTCAATGAAGCAAGAGCTGCTGGCGGTCACCGAGAAGACCCGCTCCGAGCTGGAGCAACTCAAGCAAGAGAATTCCTTACTGGAGACTCGGGCCGTGGACGCTGAGCAAAAGGTTTCCATGCTCCTGGATCAGGTTGAAGCCTCAGTTGGGCATTACCGTCGGCAGTCACAGCACGGACAAGGTGCCAACGGCATTTCTCGTACCCACAGCAATGCCTCTAGCGGCACCATTGGTGCTGGTACTCGTCGATCAAGGGCCAACAGCGCAGTGTCGCAGGATGACACTTTCCTTGACAATCGTGGATCAATGGCTCTCGATTCACTGGCTAATGAGCTCGAAGCCCTTCGAACACACTGGGAGAGTACGAATCGCAGCTACCGATTGAGTACCCAGTCGGACTTTGATCGAACACCGACCAAAGAATCAGGGTTGAGCGATAGCCTTGCAGAATGGAGGCGACGATTGGACGAAGAAGAAGCGCGAGAGACCTCCCCTGACAAGAGTACGCCTCGCAATGCCGCCGAGGGGCATGCAGCAGCGAATATGATTTGAGGGCTCCGTGAGCACTCATGACTTCTTTATACCCTATTTGAAGCTATACGATGATGTCTACCCATGTCGATTGGTCTTTGAGCTTCTTGTGCTAGTTCATCTGCAACACATGTCCGTGTTTTCGTTCGTCTTACTAATCTTGTCTCACCTTGAGATGCGTCGACGCTTGTCATCATCTGTCCCCGACTGATTGCTTTCTTTCTTTCTTTTTCTTTGCTTTTACCTTATTGCTTGTGTTTTCAGATGCCCTCCATTTCCTCTCTCTCCCCATTTATTTCTCTTTTATACCCAGTCTCATTATTTATCCACCTGAAGTGTACTATTACTCTTTACTTTTCCTTGATGAATGCCCCTGTTTGATCTATCCGGGTTGAATGACAGCGGGAATGAAGCTGCTTCGTCCTGACCGTGATGTTTGAGACTCTTCTATCATAGCAGGGAACCTGCCGATTCTTCTAGTATCCGTAAAAAATGCACCGCTGCTATGGCACTATACGCAGTTTGTCTCCTTCAGCAGCAACACAGACTACTCGAGGCGAGATAACCATGTGAGGTGTTTAGGCCTGAGTAGTTTACCCCGACAGCCAACAGCGAGCAGCCAACCATTGCTCATCGTCCTTCCTGCCCAACGCGCTAAGACTCAAAGAGTGACCAGCTCCCTCCGCTGGGAGGCATCGTCACGGGTGATGTGGCCTTCATGTAGTACTGATCAATACTTTGAACCCATGGTGCCGGCGTGGTGTTGCCCTTGTACGGTACTCGATGTCGGTATGAAAGTGGAGTTGTTGCTCCGGGTGACGTCGGCAAGGACGGGGTATTGCTTTTTCAATGTTGAGATTCTTATTCGGGGACTTTATGCACGGGGTGAGATAGGTGATTTATCGCAGTGGTGGATATGGAATGACGGGGGATGCTGGTTAGGTTATGCAACAGGGACTTTGATGGATCTTATGCTGACTGGGGAGGGCTTACGGAGGGTGGGTATCTATCTATAGATCAAGAGAGCTATAGATTGAGCTGTCTTGCACAGCATGAATACTAGGCTTCGAGAATAGTCAGGGATCCAGCATTCACTTTAGCTTATCCACATTCACCGTCCTTGTCATCTGGTCTGAAGCTGAGGTAAGTCGGAGGTAAGTCGGCGAGGATGTGATCATCATCGCCTTGTTTGAGGACCAGCGGTGAGCCCCGGTAAGAGATTGAAGAAAGCGAAGCCGAAGTAAATTTCGATTAACCCCAAGTCTCTTGATTCTGGTAGGCTATTCAGGCCACAGGGATTGGTTTCCGGGTGAACTGCATGTTATTCAAGTTGGTGGTTTGAGCTGACCATGTAGGGCGGACGAAATATTTTGTTCGTGAGGTACTGGGTACTATGTACTGAATTTCTTCTGGAAGGGGGCGATCCTAGACTAAGGTAGGTAGGTAGATGATGGATCTGAGATAAGGCGTGGGCTGTGGAAAAGTGGCTTTGTGCCCAAGCGCTTGTCGTACCTAGTAGTGTATCTGGGTACTGGATGCGTTCTGGAATGGTGTGGTATTTACGATACGGAGGATCGAAACCGCGAAGATGGCGGCTGTTGAGAGGAGTATACGGAGTAGGCAGCATGTACTCGTAGTACTATACGAGGAGGATGCCGGTCATCTGATGCGAGGCGACTGGATCTATTTTGTTCTAGCTAATTCAAATTGCCATAGAGATATCCTGGGAATAGCGTGATCTCGTTGTACTCCGGAGTACGGTGTATCCGGGTTGTCTGTCGATCGAGGTGAAGAGCCGAATTCTTGGTATCTTCCCACTCCAGTTCCATGTCTCAGGCGCCACCTAGTAACGAGCCTCGGGCTGTCCAGCGGTGATAGGAGCGGGCTAGTTGAGGCACTTGCTGCCGAAGACTGCTAATCGGTTTACCCTGGATGCAACGGTCATGATCACGCCTTTTGACATTCGAGATGCCGCCGCCACTGTGGTTATTTGTTGGTTGCAGTGAAGGTGCTTTTTGGAAAATAATCCCCCTGAATTCACACTGACAGTATATAAAACTCATAGCCTCTTCGTTTTATTGTTTCAAGCCAAATTCAATTGAAACTGCTTCACGTCGTGGATAACTATTGGTGTTACCATACAATACTGGTACTCAACGCGTACGTCGTGGGCCAATCTGCTAAACTCATCACCCGCCCCCTCAAATCTGGCAGTGACTGAATCAATCAAATCTCTCATCTCGACTCTTCTTCTTCTCTCCTCTTTCCTGTCCCCCTTCCCTCCCTCCCACCTTCCCGATATCAAGGGCCCTGTCCTTGGTTTTCGACGCTATTTTATCCTCCTCGCCTCCTCGCTTCCAGCACCTGCTCTGCATTGCTTTTGCTGTTATTCCGTCTCCTCTTCTTCGTCGTATTAGCCGCTGAAGGGGGTCAGCTGAATCCCCTTTCTTTCCCTCTCCGCCTTTTTCGCCTTTCCGGTCGGCACGGTCGACATCACCACTAGCTCATCCTTCTATCAATCTTCTTTGACCAGGTACGTTATTTCTCTTCGACTCTGCCTGTATTCTTCTACTTTTCTTCTACCCTCTCCTGGCTCTATCTGCTCCTTCCTGGGATATCTCCCAACCTCGTCAGGCTCCCTTTGTCGGGCTCCCTTTGTCGGCCTGGTATCCCTCCCTGAAGGCTGAGCCTCGCTTTGTTTTAACAAACTTGTCAGCCTCGCTTCCAACTTACAAAAGCATCTCCCGCACTTAAACCTTTTCCTGGCCTCTTCAAAACACTCTTCGTTTTAAGACCCCTGCAGGTTCTAATACATACAATAGATTATAGCTCTCTGAGCCCACACTCCCGCAAAATGACGACCATGGTGAGACTGATCTTTATTTCTGGTGCTCTGGCCATTCTGAGTTCTGACAATGCATAGGACTTGCGCGTCGGTAATAAGTACCGCATTGGCCGTAAGATTGGGAGCGGTAGTTTCGGCGACATCTATCTCGGTATGTCCATAATGCCACAACACAGATGCCCACGGAAGGAAAGAGACTGACCGTCGACACAGGCACCAACATTATCTCTGGCGAGGAAATTGCCATCAAGCTTGAAAGCGTCAAGGCCAAGCACCCTCAACTCGAATATGAAGCCCGTGTCTACAAGTCTCTTGCCGGTGGTGTTGGAATCCCGTTCGTTCGCTGGTTCGGTACCGAATGTGACTACAACGCCATGGTTATCGATCTCCTTGGACCCAGTTTGGAGGATCTCTTCAACTTTTGCAACCGCAAGTTCTCGCTCAAGACGGTCCTTCTCCTTGCCGATCAGCTCATCTCCCGCATCGAATACATTCACGCCAAGTCATTCATTCACCGAGATATCAAGCCCGACAACTTCCTGATGGGCATCGGCAAGCGTGGAAACCAGGTCAACGTGATTGATTTCGGTCTGGCCAAGAAGTACCGGGACCCCAAGACACACTTCCACATCCCTTACCGTGAGAACAAGAACCTCACAGGAACTGCCCGTTACGCCAGTATCAACACTCACCTGGGTGTCGAGCAGTCTCGCCGTGATGACATGGAGTCCCTGGGTTACGTTATGCTCTACTTCTGCCGTGGCACCCTTCCCTGGCAGGGTCTGAAGGCTGCTACTAAGAAGCAAAAGTATGACCGTATCATGGAGAAGAAGATGACGACCCCCACCGAGGTTCTCTGCCGTGGATTCCCCAATGAGTTCTCCATCTACCTCAACTACACCCGTTCCCTGCGCTTCGACGACAAGCCGGATTACTCGTATCTCCGCAAGATTTTCCGCGACCTGTTTGTCCGTGAATCATTCCAGTACGACTACGTCTTCGACTGGACCGTCTACAAGTACCAGAAGAACGCCGCTATGATTGTAGACGCCAAGAAGGATAAGGACGCCGAGGACCAGCAGCGTCGTCAGGCCGGCGGCAACATGCCTCTGCCTGCCAACTCGTCTGCCCCCAAGCCTGGTGCTATCTCCAGCCAGCGTCGCAAGATCATGGAACGTGGAACTCTCGACCAAACTCCGGATACCAACCGTGCTGTGGGAGGGAGCGACAGGATGTGAGTATCTAAAACCTAGGTTCCGTGTAGGGAACTCCTTCCCTCTGCGTTTCGTTCTTCGGTGCAGCCTTGCACGTTGGAGGTTTCTCTCTGTCATATCTCTTTGGTTCCTAGAATCTGACTAATCTCATAGTCTTCGGCGTTAGGCTGCGTTCTGCTTCTAAGGTTGCTGCTTCAGGTGCTCATGGGCCTGGTGCTAGCCGCTCGAAGCGGGACGATGGGCTCGGTCCTCAGTGGTATTAAATGTGCAGCAATGGTGGTGGAGCTTGACTTGTCTTTGCTATCCCCTTCCATTCTACGCAACCCTAGCGTTCTCTCTCTGTGGCACAACGCTAGCTAAGGAGCCTGGGATTATCGTCGTTCTAGTTGCCTCTCCTCTTGCAAGGTGCAGCATACCGTTCGGAACTTTTCGCCTTGGGTCTCCGCTACTGTTTTCATTTATTATTCCTCTTGCATTCTCTGTTAGCCATCTACCCCCGTTTTCTCGATCGTCTTCCGGTGTCATCGCCCGCTTCGATCCGACTGCGTTTTCAACCATTTTCCGCTCGACTATCGGTACCGTCATTTCCTGGGCCTCTTTTCAATCTTCAACTTGGTTTACTCGTCATGGTTCGAACCACGAGCTTTCACACGAGAGGCCCCCGATATCGACCCTTGAAGCGCTTTTCTAATTGTGGCTATGTTACGTCCTAGCCGCCCGGTTTCTTTGTTCAACTTCTTTTCGGATCATCAACCAATCTGGAGATTACATCCGCTATTAACCGGTGTGGCTGGACTGAAAGAGATGCAAATACCGAACAACCAGTTTTCTTAGGAGTATGGGTTATTCTGACGCCGGCAGCAGTCGGCTTAATATCGTCAGAATGTCCTAGCCCTCTGGGGACGGTTTGATTCGACTACACTCACACTCATCCCCCTAGTTTCTACACATCATGGCCTATCCGTTTCCCTTATGCTGTTTTGTTTCCTTTTTTACACTGCACCGACATGTCATATTCTCGTTTTCAGATTGTTATCATGGCTTATTGACGTATGAACGGGGACGAAGGGGTATGGGGAGCGATTAGTGAAGATGTGTTGGGTGGTTGGGTGCAAGTGTCCTGGCAGTGTCCCTTTTCTCGAACGAAGACTGTCGGCCATGTGTCGTATAGTAATCGGGAGGAGAAGCGGTGCTCTGGGCAGTGGTGGACACATCTTGCGTATAGGTGAATGGCGACGGAAACTGGCTAGGGTCGCTTCCGGGGTGGTATTACGTCAATCTATGCTGTTTCCTCTTTGTCTCTAGTTTTGTCTCCAGCTGTTTACACTCCCTCTGTATCTATTCATATGTGGACGCAGTTGATAAGAGAAGAGCCGTGGCTATGTGCTCCTGCGACATACATAGCTCGGCTGTTTCATAATCCAGCTACTCCACTGCGTATAATCCAAGACCGCTCCGTATCTACTTCTCGTCTCAGATGTCAATATCGCAATAATACTAGATAAAAGCCGCTAAAATTAGACCTATCGAGCTTTTAATGTTTGACGCGTTTGTTGACGGCATTAGTCAAGACATGGGTGATAAGTCAATCCTGAGTAAGCGCTCGGAAATACGGATCGGGCAACTGCGCGAGACCGCCAGAAGCAGACAGAAGCAGAAACGCAGATGGTCTGCGCGTGCCCGAGGGGCGATAATCACTGACTAATTTTTCTGTAAACCACCTTGGACTGTCATCATTGACAATGACGAGCTTCACGGCCATCCCAGCTCCGTCCAGAAGATGATTCTTCCCTGATGTGGAAATAATGAGGGCGGCGAGCCGTTCTTTTTCGACACTGGCCCCCAGCCAGCTGGGGGGTTCTAGATTGCAAGATCATCGTCACTTCATCGCGAGCAGAGCTATATATACGAACTGCCTTCTCGCTGTTTAAGCCGGTCTATCAAGCAGAATCACATAATCTCCTTCCGCTGAGAGGTTATTCCAGTCTCCAGCATCGCGATGGATCAATATCCCTACTTTTCGGGCCACCCCTCGCAGCCGCCAGCGCCGCAACAGCAACAGCAGCAACAGCAGCAGCAGCAACCGTACCCTTTATACGGGCTACCGACCCCCAATCAGAACTACCGCGGCGATGATGTTCAGGGCCCTTTTGATCCTCTGGTTCGTATACAACTTCCCAATTCCGATCCCTCATGGTAGGCAGAGACCGCTGAGATGAGGGGTCAGGTGCCAATGGCGCTGCTAACATCCTACACAGTACCACCAGCCATTTGACCCGGCTTTTCATGCGCCGTATGGCGGACCGCAATCGCCACCAGACTCGTACGCGAAACAGTCCGTTTCGGGCAGTAGTGAGCCGATCAGCGCAGGGCCCTATCCCCGGTCAATCGAGGGGCGCGATGACTTTCTCGCCGACCCGAGCATGGTGCGGAGTGATAGCGAAGAGAAAGATAGAGAGGGGCTAATGACACCGGCGCAGAGCAAACGCAAGGCACAGAATCGAGCGGCGTAAGTTTGACCCCACTCTCTCCCCGTCTTTACCCATTCCATATCTGTCCGTGCGCATACCTAGAATAAACCTCTAATGACTGATTCTGTGGTGTTTATAGTCAACGTGCATTCCGCGAACGCAAAGAGCGCCATGTCCGCGAACTCGAAGAAAAGGTTACAAACCTGCAAGCTGAATCAAGTACCCTGCTCGCCGACAATGAGCGCTTGAAGCGCGAGCTCGCCCGATATAGTACCGAAAACGAGATCTTGCGCGCAACGACAAATACATCTGCCTCTGGTACGCCAACACATCGCCGTGGCTCCCCAAGCAGTGCACCTACAGAAACAGGACCAATGACCTACTCCCCGACGGACTTCTATTCAGACCTAGTACCAGAGGGCCAGTCCGCGCGGCTTCATAGAGTTACGTACTGCAAGAACACGGGGGAGAGGCTGCTCGATGCACAGGCGACGTGGGATGTTATACAGGGGCACGAGCTGTTCAAAAAGGGCCTCATCGACTTGAACGGGGTAACGAGGAGACTCAAGCTGGTGACGCAATGCGATGGGACAGGGCCGGCATTCCGAGAGAGCCACGTGCTAGCTGCGATTGAAGAGAGTGCGGTGGCGGATGGTGATGAGTTGATTTGATTAATTCTTGCTTTCGTTACCCTCTTTACCCTTTGTATATGCAAAAAGTGGTGTTTGTTCTCTTGCGTTACTTATGAAATTCGCAAGATATGTCATGTGATGATTGTATGATTGGGAATCCGGACTGTGTTTGAAGTTTCTACCTTGAGCGGGCGCTGTATGATGCATGGTAAATTGTATTATGCTGTTTCGTTACTTTTGCTGCTTTCAAATGCTGTGCCTATCAGTTTTCATTTGCAGTACATGGTTTGCGATCTCTGTGGTTGTTCGACTTCGGAATATGTTTAAATCAGCGATGCCACTGCTCGCTTTACTTCCATCTTTCTTGGATGTGGTTTGTACATTTATCGGTTATCTATACAGGCGGCTACCTTCGCCGTTGTCAATGATCACTATCCCACATACTCGACGCAGACTAGCTGACTGACTTCAATGGCCGGACCAATGCTGGAGACGTGGCCCCGAGCTCCAAGAGTGGACTTGAGACGTCCAAGCTTGCTGCGGACTAGAGCGCCATTGAAGCACGACATCCGAGCTCATCTGTCCGGCTATCATCCAGACGGCCGTTCCGTACACTGGTGCTTTTGAGTGTCGATCGTCTCATATATATATACCCGTCTATACCCACCTAGTCCCAATCATCATCGTCATCTTCCACTGTCGTCTTTCGGATACTCGGCTTCAGCTTTGATGGCCGCTCATCCTCCGAGTCGTCGCCTTTCTTTTTCAACCGTACATCGCTCTCCTTGAGCGCGCCAATACCCACGAGCATATTTTCCAGATCTAAACACAATTAGCACCTCTCAGAAACGTGCAAAACATGAATAGCAGGGGTAAAAGGAAAACAAACCTTCAACTTTCGTCCCCGTCCCCCCCAATGCCATAAGGGTAACAACCTGCTTCACGATCTCCCCCTTGTGATACACAAGAATAGTTGGCGTGTTGCGATCCGGGTATCCCTCAATACACATATTCCCGCGGATCTCGCAGAACTTGATGTCGCCGTACTTGACCGCAAGCCTCCGCCAGATCTCGCTGAGCAGTCGGGATTCGACGTTGTTGCTTGCTGACGAGGTGAGGTTCACGCAGACAAAGCAGTTGGCCGATGCGTCGGTGACTTCGCGCGCGTAGTCGGGTTTTTGCAGGGGGTAGACTTGGTTGTGCACGGAGGCTTGGGTTATTGTGCTTAGTTCGGCGAGGCGTTTTTGGCTAGGATCCGGTAGGTCAGCTTGTGTAGTGGGAGAAGGATGGGCGCGTGGGTGAAGAATTGTACCGGTATTGGTTGAGAAATGCCTCGTCCTCCTCGTCTTCTAGTTCATCGAGCTCGTCGAGGTCCTTATCCTCCAGTCTATTCTCGTATGCCTTGCGCTCGGCCTCGATTAGGGCTTCTTGGATGAGCGGTTCAGGATCCTGCGGCTTTTCAGGTATGATTCCGTGTTTGCGGAGGATATCGTTCCTGTTGAATTAGAGTTAGACCGGTGTGGAGGTCGGCGGAGAAGTGGTGAGGGGTACCATTCTGTGTCTTCGTTGGGGTTGACTTCGACTTGCATTGTGCGTGGTTGAAGTCGAGACTGAATAAACGAAATTTGCGACTGATTGGGTGAAGATGCGATTGAGATAGTTCTGGGTAGATATTGAAAGGTAGAGGGGGGAAATGTGGTATGGGGTTCTAGGCAGATATGGAGAGGGGCAGAGTCCGCCGTCATTATTTTTGGGTTACGTAGTGTAGGAATCCAGGGTGTCTTGGCACGACAGGGGTCCAAATCAAATTTGTGATAAAGGACAACATTGGCTGGATTATTTTTGCGAGAGAATAATAAATACCTTGACGCTGTCGAATTACTGCATTCGGAAGATCGAGCCTTTGACGATGCTGTGTCAATAGCTAAGGATCTTTCCTGAGCTGAAGCTATAAATCTTCCAGCGTTGTAAGCACTGCTGCTGCATACAAACCCTGCCGGCCCTCTGAACCCTACATTGTACCAGGCACACATGATGATCTTTGAGAAGCTTCAGTCAGTTTCTGATAGCCCGTCTGCCTCTTTCCAAGTTCTCTCTGACCTTCATCTGGAGATCAATCAACAATACCCGTCTTTTGAGATTCCAGTGTGCGCCAAACATCTCATTCTTGCTGGCGATATTGGGCGCTTGGTGGACTACGACAACTATCGCAGTTTCTTGCAAAGGCAGACAGACAGATTTGAGCTTGTATTCCTGGTCCTTGGAAACCATGAGTTCTACGAGGACAAACTCGCAGCAGGATTACAAAAGGCAAGCCAGCTTGAGCAGGAACCCTGTTTGAAGAAGCGCCTCATCCTCCTCCATCTGGGACGTTACGACATCCCAGGATCCTGTGTCACTATTCTTGGCTGCACGCTCTGGTCCGATGTTCCAGATGAAGCCAGGGACATTGTCCGGTCCAGAATTCAAGACTTCAAGAAGATTCAAAAATGGACGGTTGATGATCAAAACGAATCTCACAGGGCCGACCTTGCCTGGCTACTGAGCGAGTTGGAGTCTATAGAGCGTAAGAACAAGACGGAGAACAGAAGAGATCTGTACTAGTCGTGACACACCATGCCCCCTCCACCCAGGCCACATCCAATCCGCGGCACGCAAACAGCCCTTGGGGTTGTGCCTTTGGAACTGATATTGTATCTCAGATTCCGACGTTAAGTGGCGTTAAGACCTGGGTCTTTGGGCATACACACTACACTACAGATTTTAGGGATCGAGGAATACGAGTGATTGCAAATCAACGGGGGTATGTGTTTCCCTGGACAGACCCAAAGGAATCGAAGGACGGCTTTGATGTTAAGAAGGTGATACATGTATGATCGGGGTCTAGGCTCGAGCCAATAGCGTCACAAAATGGCTCATTCATTATGCCTTCAAGATAAGAATATAAATATTGATAGCCGCATGGAAACTGTGCCGTAGCTTTTTGGCAATGCCCAGGTATGAAACAGACCGAACTCCATCGTAACAAAAGTGAAATAAAAGCCCAAAATCAGATCTAGTCCACATCCATCTCGTCTTGCGTAGTTCCATCGACCAAGATTCTGGTCTTCTTCTTCTGTCTGAGTCGCTCCTCGCCATGAACCCTGTTGGCAACCTTCGACGTCTCCGCAACAAGCGGTCTGCCCTCCTCTCTCTCGCGGAGCTCCTTGCGGATAAGGTGTTCGCCCTCCGCAACAACCTTCCTGTCCTCCTCGCGCTTGCGTTCCCGCGCAAGCTTGCCCGCCAACCGGCGCTTCGTGAAGGCCCGCTCCCGGCGCGATCTGATCTCCTCGACTCGCTCCATCGCCTTGATTGTGGCGGCGACCAGGTTTCTGTCGTACTTCACGGGAACGTTGCGTTTCTTGGCGAACTGGGAGAGGACGAGCGACGAGTCGACGATCATTTCTTTGCCGCTGGCGGCGCGGCCGGCCTTGGTCCACTTCAGCTTGCGCGGTTGTCTCTTGAGCTTGAAGTTGGAGTGACACTTTGAGCGGCAGAATCGGAAAGCTTTCCCGTCCAGTCTAACCATCTGGATGCCCTTGGAGGGGTATACTGGGCGAGAGCAGAAGTGGCATGTTTCGACCCTTTGGGGATATTAGTATAATGGGCGGCTGAAGACAAGAAACGATCAAAAGAGAGATCTCACCTCATGGCTGCGGACCTTTGTTAGGTTTATTCTCAAAAGGGACCGGTATAGGAAACTGTTGGTGTTATCTAAAAGTCGGGGAGAAAATCGATATCGAAAAACAGAAGTTTTTTGATTCTGCCGGCGCTAGTTCGAATGTGGAGGCGGCAGTCCGAGTTTTTATCTCGCTCGACGGCCGCCCTTCTTCTCCCAACGTCACTTCTCCGAGCCAGGTTGGCGAGTCTCCTTGAATCACCTCTACTTTGAATTTATTCCGGCTTGACCGTTCAATCGAGATGGCGTCGACTCTTGCTGTTGGTCTCGGTGTTGCCACGGCAGCCTTCCTGGTAAGTTTCATTTACTCTACAGGACCTGCCCGATTGACTGATTGCTTCTACCTTCTAGGGCCGCGCTGGTTTTGTTGCTTTCCGTCGGTACCGGGGAGGCGTGAATGCTGTCGGAAAGGCTTTCTACAAAGGGTTCGTTCTGGTGCCAGAGATTTGTGACGCCGAGTATTAATTGCCTATAGGGGGTTTGAGCCTCGGATGACCCGCCGCGAAGCCGCACTGATCCTTGAACTCCCGTATGTTGCGTCTGCCGGAGCAGATCCATCTCACACTCAACAGGACTGACACATGATAGGGAACGTACGCTCAACAAAGAGAAGGTCCGCAAGAAGCACCGCCAGCTCATGCTTCTGAACCACCCCGACCGCGGTGGCAGCCCGTATCTCGCGACGAAGATCAACGAAGCCAAAGAATTCCTGGATAAGCATTCATGAAATGCCCAGAAGGAATGGAATTACGCCTTGCCGGTAACTACAGCGTGATATGAACGGTCGGAAAAATGAATACGCGGTTGGCATTCCGTACGAGCCTTATCGCTCCTGTGTATAAAATGCTGTCTTTGGGTGCATAGCGTGGCGTTGGTTGGATTTGAGGACGGGACGCATATAACTTTTACCTCGTCCTAGATTTGTATTGTACTGTATATATTGGTGAATCGCCGCTCCTGAATCTACCGTGCTCGCATTCGCATTCGCATTCGCATTCGCTCTCGACAAGAATTTGAAACAGTGATGTGCCTCGGAATAATGGCCTTGTTGGGCGAGTCACGTTACTCTTGTGTTGCAACTCGGAACCTAAGTGTCTGGCTCCTGACCGTTCAGAGGATGCTTTGGATGAGTCAAATTTGGTCAACTAGAGGTTCACCATGGACGATGGTCATGGGCCCCAAGCCCCATCGTCCAGAGTCAAAACTGTCAAGCTCAAATGACAATGGCCGAACAGTCGGCCTGTGAGCATGGTCGTCTTTCCAGGATCGACCACTGCGGTGAGCAGAGCGGAAGGATACGGGCCCGATTCCAGTTGAGCTGGTCCACACGCCGCTCACTTCGGAGAGTCGGGATTTCGCACGCCGGACGAACGAGACGTTTGTGCTCTCCTCTCTGTTCTCGACGCTTTCCACTGGTCGATTCGTATCTCGTATTGGCATATGCCGCCAGAGAGGATAACCCCGAGCTGTGGCACGAAAGAGCTTGGCTCGCCGGGGTTAAGAAGTCTTTAGCTTCCTTGCTCCGGGCCCGGTGACTGTTGACAAAAGGCAACACTGTTTTTACGTGTTGCTTGTTTTCCCGTCACCCTCTTCCATTTGTCCCTGATCCACCCTCATCTGTCGAAGATTTTTGTTGACAGGCACGAGACTATAACATGTAACCTGACCGCAGTCTCGTCCCTTTCCTGCTCGACCAAGCAATGACCCCAGGCTCCCAGGATAAGCAGACGCGGTGATTGATTTCCCTGTTTTCCATCTGACTGCATTATTTGGCGGTGGTCCAGGTTGTGGTTGCCACGTGCCAATCTGTTGAAGTTGACTGAGTAAGCCAGCCCGTGCATCCGCTAAGTTACATTTGTTCCCCATGTCATCATCCACTTTTTTGCCTCCTCCTATGCTGACACGCCCACTCACCCTAGTCGCTCCTTTTGTCGATTCTCGCCGTGTGGTTGAGTGGTGAAAAAAATAACGCCTTCGAGACCTTCCAATCACGCTGAAACCACCATCTCCGAGATTCCCGCCTGCCTTGTTTCCTTGGATGGCCGCAAACCCCGCATCCGCCGCCTTTCTTTGCTCCAGACTTTGCCCGCTGACATTATTACAACTCCACATTCTCACGCATCGGACACTGCCTTGAGCCCCCAAGGGTTTCGATACCGATTATTACCCGCGATTATGGATGGGATTGGGGACGGCCCGAACGGCCTGTCCTTTGACATGCCCATGCTTATGAATCAGCAAACTCCTCTCTTCGGCGCATACGGCCACGACGGATCTCCGGTCACCGCTGCTCTTCCGAACCCGAGTTTTCATGATGACCCCTCCATGGGGTTGGATGACAATAATGATCCCAAACGAAGACGCATTGCGAGGGTGAGTGTCCCGCTTGTTAGGCGGACTGCACAGCACTCTTATTCCACAGTCTGACCGCCTTGTTTATAGGCATGCGATATGTGCCGGAAGAAGAAGATCAAATGCGATGGGAAGATGCCCAAATGTTCTCACTGTATCAACTACAAGACAGACTGCGTGTTTACGCAGGTCGAGAAGAAACGAAATCCTCCTAAAGGGTACGTCGTCCCCGCGCCGCTAGTAATGCTTGACTTACCTCTAAACGTTTATGTGCTGACGATCTCCGGACTTCAGTGCGAAGTATATCGAAGGTTTGGAAAATAGGCTAGGACGGATGGAGTCATTGCTTCGATTATCCGGCTTGTTGAATGAGGATGATGGGAAAACAGACCTTGGAACTTTGGAAAAGCGGTTGGCCGATCGATCCTTTGCAGCTGGTGGCATGAACAACTCGAACAGCCCAACCCGGTTTAATGCGGTTCACAATGGCCCATCTCAACCAACTAGCCTGTCACGGCATTCAACGCCTCGAATGGATTCACACTCTAGTCCACGGACAACAGCCACGTCGCCGGACTCACAGAAGGAGTCTGAAACTGAAGTAGAAGGCTTGTCAGACATGATGTGCTCCTTGGTAACGAACAATTGCGGTGAAACTCGGTATATCGGTAAGTGCATACGTAATTGAAGGTTGACACAGACTAATGAGGTTCAAGGGTCCTCGTCCGGGTTTTCTATTTTCTCGCCGAAAGGGATTCAATGGGTAAACGAAAAGACCGGCGATACTTCTTTCCAGGATATGATATCATCAGCTTATATTGATGATAACAAATGGATGTACTGGAAACCGGAGATTTTCAGTGACATTTTTGCTCGCCGTGTTTTCAAGCCATTGCCTCCCAAAGAGGAAGCATTGTCGCTTTTCCGGGATTTCTTCGACAATTTCAATTGCATGTTTCCGCTCTTTCACGAACCGACCTTTATGCATCTCGTCGAGAAGCAATATTCCCGCGACCCTTACGAAGGCTCTGGCTGGTGGGCGAGCATTAACGTGGTCCTTGCTATTTCTCATCGGCTGCGCGTAATGAGTAATCTTGTCCCCCAAGAGGAGGATAAGAAAGCATGGCTTTATTTAAAAAATGCTATGGGTGTCTTGACCGAGTTGACGATGCGAAATACGGATTTACTGAGCGTGCAAGCTCTATTAGGCATGGTGGGTTTGCCTATTCAATTTCGACTCATTGCAGATCTAACCATCCCTTGCAGTCGCTCTTCCTCCAAGGAACCCCCAATCCTCAGCCATCTTTCTTCCTAGTCGCTGCTGCTATCAGATTGTCCCACAGTATCGGACTCCATAAACGTGGGTCCGGCTTCGGGCTTAATCCAGTGGAGGCCGAGCAGCGAAAGCGAGTGTTCTGGATTGCTTACCTGCTGGATAAAGAGTGCGTTGCCTTCCAAGTCCGTCTGGATATATAATTAACCTGCGCAATAGTATCTGTCTTCGCTCCGGCCGCCCTCCTGTGCAGGATGACGATGACATGAATGTCGAATTACCCAGCGAAGACCCTCCAGACAATATCGGCAACGTTCCATTATCCGACGGTAAAGGAAAGTTTAACATGTTTCGCACTCTGTGTCAGTTCTCCGTAATCGAGAGCAAAGTTTACAAGCGTCTTTATTCCGCCAGAGCTTCTAAGCAATCTGATGGTGAACTGCTCAATACCATCGGAGACCTCGACAAGGAGCTCGAGGAATGGAAAGATAGTATCCCAATTGATTTCAGACCGGAGCACGAGATAAAAGCATCGCACACACCACTCATTTTGCATATCGTCGTCATACATTTCGCTTATTACAATTGCCTGACAACCATTCACCGGATGTCTGTGCACCACGGGTACTGGACAAGCCGCCTCTCCAACTATGCGATTCAAGGTTTGAACGCTAGACCACTCAATCCGCGAGTCTTCTTATCGGCAGTCCTATGTGTCACTGCTGCCAGAGCCTCTATTAACCTGATCAAATACATTCCGCAAGGTGATTTTGCCTGTGTCTGGTAAGTTACAAGATATCTTCATGTCACAACAAGCTTTTCTAACCGACAACCAGGTTGATATTATACTATCCGGTCTCTGCGCTGGTTACGCTGTTCGCCAACATTCTTCAAAATCCCAACGATGCACGTGCTCGGTCAGATGTTAAGCTGATGAACGTTGTTGTCAATTTCCTTTCAACACTCGTCTCTGATGAGTCTAACGGAAGTATAAAACGCATGCTCAGCGTGTGTGGCGAATTCGAGCGGATTGCCCAAGTAGTCCTTGACAAAGCCGAACGAGATTCTCATTCCAAGAAAAAGCGCAAGGCACCGTCCGAAGATCCAAAGAATGTCCCACAAGCCACGGAAGAAGTAGCTTCGCCTGGTTTCAACCCCGATGCCGCTAATGTGCCACCTACGACCATGCCTTTCTCGCCCCGGTCGTTCGGCACAACCTCTCAAGATACTGGCCTTAACGGTATGAATGGCGCATCGAATTTCGACCCAGGCCAATCAATGCCTGCGTCAGGTAAAATCCCCAACAATTTATCAGGAAACATGCCTACAATGCCAAGGGTCGGCCCCAATTTTGGAGAGATGCTTAGCCCCAACCCGCTGGACAGTCTAAACTTCGGTGGCCAGCCTCCTCTAAACGCTGGCGGCGATATCAACATCACTCCTTCGTTCCAACAGCCGTTTGTTCCGCAAGATCTCTGGCAAATGCCAATGACGATCGAATGGGACTGGGCCGACATGTCGACTAATTTCCCTGTTTTCGGCGGCGATCCAACTTCCAATCACTAAGCTTAATGATGAAACGAAAGAACCCTGCTTGATGCGAATACTTCGGAAAGGACGATTCTCCTGATGTTTTACTCGGCGATGCCAGATGCCAGCGGACGCTTCGTCACTGGTTCTCCTCCGCCTCCATAATCTTTTCCCTTAATATCAGCAACTGACAGATGGGGAGTATGGAAATGGCGTTATTATTGGGCTCAAGGAGCATTCCTAGGTGTATAATGTGCATATGTACCTAGTTTTTGTTGACACTCCACACTCTACTATCTGGAAAGAGGAGGGCAATCTGTTTTAGATGTATACTTTAAATTTTATTCTCCGCTATACTGTCTAATATGCCAAAACAAAAAGAATTAGATATCCGAACTGTTCTTCCGTTGAAATTTGATAGGAGATTTAGGTCTCCATCCTATGACGAATGAGGGCCACTATCTCTTTCCCTTGGGTTCTGAATGGGGATGACTCAGCCGGTGTCGGAACCGCGAAAAAACCAGGGCCGAGACGAACCTCCCCAAACGGCGGACGGCAGCAGAGAGCTCTGCTAGCAAACTCCAATTCTCAAATCAAACACACTTCATTACGCCCGATTTGTCTGGCGAGGGCTTCTATGGATTCCGGCGTTTATCTTTGATACTAGACATTTGATTTCCGTTTGATCCGCTCCTCCCCGCTCAGCCTGTGGGCTCACCGTCCTCGACCATGGCCAGCTTACTCCGACGGCCAGGCAATCTTGCTCAATACTCGAGGGGAGCCGCAGACCGCATTTTCCGCGCAGGAGCGCTTTATACACGCCTACCACAGTCGAGATTATCCATACTACTTATAGCGCAACGCAGACGGACGTTTGCTACGCAAAGCCCCGGTGAACCGAAACCTCCGAACGGCAAGGATGAATCGAAGCCGACGCCAGGAAAGAACGGGGAAAACAAGAATGGCGAGAATAAACCATCACAATCGCCTCATCCCGAGTCAAAGTTGACTCCGGAGGAGTACCAACAGGCCGACCTGTTCGTTCAACATATGAAGGACTGGCTACCGGGTTCGCAACATAAAATGATTGACGATTTTCGAGCAAAGATGGACAAGAAAGGGATGTCTGCCGAAGTGCGGGAATTCGTTGAACAGTATGTTATAGCTGGAAAGCCGCCATCGATGATGGACCACATGAGGATGACTCGCCACATTTTGAAGGAGTTGAGTAGTGAGGAGAGAGAGGAGCTGACGTCCAAATGGAGTGAAGTAAAGAACGAAGGTCAGAAAGAAAAGGGCAAGGATGACAAGGGCAAGCAACAAGGACAACAAGGATCGCAGGGTTTCCAGGCCTTCGAGTTCAAATTCGATCCTGCATCGTTCTTGATCAGCTCGCTCATAGCTTATTACGCCTACCGAAGTCTCTTCCCTGGTGAAAACGGCAAGGAAATTACGTGGCAGGAATTCAGGAACAATTTCTTCGACAAGGGTTTGGTGGAGCGCTTGACCGTTCTCAACTCAAACCGAGTTCGGGTTGAGCTGAACCGCGATGCCGTTTCCCGAATGTACCCCGATTCGCCTGCGACTTCTCAGAACTTCCACTACTACTTCAGTATCGGGTCCGTCGATAGCTTTGAGCGCAGACTTGACGAGGCACAGAACGAGCTTGGAATTCCCAGCTCCGAGCGAATTCCTGTTCAATATACCGAAGACGTTCCATGGGGAGCTACCCTTCTCTCATTCGGCCCAACGCTTCTCATGATTGGTACTTTCTTCTGGCTTTCAAGGCGTGCTGGTGGCGGTGCCGGTGGCCAGAGCGGTATATTCGGAATCGGAAAGAGCAGAGCTAGGCGCTTCAACCACGAGACGGATATCAAGATCAAGTTCTCTGATGTTGCTGGAATGGATGAAGCGAAGGTAGAAATCATGGAATTTGTCAGCTTCCTTAAGAGCCCGGAAAGGTTCCAAAAGCTCGGCGCAAAGATTCCTCGTGGTGCCATTCTCTCCGGTCCTCCAGGAACTGGTAAAACACTCCTTGCCAAAGCCACTGCCGGCGAGTCTGGTGTGCCCTTCTTCAGCGTCAGTGGTTCAGAGTTTGTGGAGATGTTTGTCGGTGTCGGTCCTTCCCGTGTTCGAGATCTTTTTGCCAACGCCCGCAAAAACACACCGTGTATCATCTTCATTGATGAAATCGATGCCATTGGTAAATCCAGATCGAAGCAGAGCATGGGTGGTGGAAATGACGAGCGGGAGAGCACTCTAAATCAGATCCTTACCGAGATGGATGGTTTCAACACATCCGATCAGGTGGTTGTGTTGGCTGGTACTAACAGACCCGATGTCCTCGACAAGGCACTCATGCGACCTGGGCGATTCGACCGACATATCACAATTGACCGTCCCACGATGGACGGCCGCAAGCAGATCTTCCGTGTTCACTTGAAGAAGATTGTTACGAACGAGGATATGGATTACCTGACTGGCAGACTGTCCGCTCTGACTCCCGGATTCGCTGGTGCTGACATTGCCAACTGTGTTAACGAGGCTGCTTTGGTTGGTAAGTGCAAGCTGCTCCGTTCCTCTTTTCTATCTTATCCCTAGGCCAACATCCACTAATGAATGCAGCTGCCCGTGTGAACGCGGATAGTGTGACTATGAAGCACTTCGAGCAGGCTATTGAGCGTGTTATTGGCGGCCTGGAGAAGAAGTCCGTCGTGCTCTCGCCCATTGAGAAGCGCACTGTCGCCTATCACGAAGCTGGGCATGCCATCTGTGGCTGGTATTTTCAATGGGCCGACCCGTTGCTCAAGGTTTCCATCATTCCCCGTGGCTCAGGAGCTCTTGGTTATGCCCAATACCTCCCCGCCACTGGTGACACCTACCTGCTGAACGCCAACCAACTCATGGATCGGATGGCAATGACTTTGGGGGGTCGTGTCAGCGAAGAGTTGCATTTCGAAACCGTTACGAGCGGAGCTAGCGATGACTTTAAAAAGGTCACTCGCATGGCCACTGCCATGGTTACCCAGTGGGGTATGTCAAGCAAAGTAGGATACGTCAACTACGAACAAGACCAGCAACAATTTAGCAAGCCATTCTCCGAGGAAACGGCCAAGAGTATCGACCTTGAAGTTCGCCGAATCGTCGACGAAGCATACAAGAAATGTCGTGACCTCCTCACCTCAAAGCAGAAGGAAGTCGAGCTCGTGGCAGAGGAGCTCCTGTCCAAGGAGGTGCTTAGCCGCGACGACATGATTCGCCTTCTCGGCCCCCGTGAGTGGCCCGAGACCGAACAATTTGCACAGTACTTTGACAACAGGCACGGCCAGACCATTGCGCCTCCTGAGCCCGAAACCGGAAAGGAAGCCGAAGGAAAGGACGGAAGAGATCAGACGCCCATTCCCCCATCATCATAGACATACAGACATGAATCAAGAGGAAAAGGAAAAGCAAAAAAGGACTGACCAGCATTTGAGAATCCTTCATCTGCCTTGCTTTTCTTTCGTTTCTGGACTTCTGCATCTTTGGGTGAATCTTGTATCTATTTCTTCTATGTTTCTATGCCCCCTTTTCCTTTCTCCTACTCTACTTCTCCCCTCCTGGTTCCTCTATCCATCTTCTCTTTCCCCCCTACTTATACCACGCAACCTGTCTCTTGGTGCAGGTACCGGAACATATCACCATGTACATTCCTGGTATCTCGCGCTCTCTTTCTGTCTATCTCCTGGCTTGTTCTCGACCATCTTTGCACTTTCCCCTCATAAGAAGCCTCGAGTGTAATGTATCAGTGTATAGTAGGTAGTTATGAATTATTTCTTTCTTGACATGAAGTTTCCAGGTTGCAAATGTATATCGTAAAAAGAGCTGCGTACCTCTGCTCCAGTAGGCACATACGATCTCGACCGGCATTTCATCTTGGGTATAGACCTGGAAGTACGCCTACGCTTTTGGTTGCACCTTCCTCGAGGCGTAGGGAATAAATTGATTCCCCCAAGAGAGGAAGGAGCGACTATCGTACCTCCCATATCTGACTGTCTCACAAGGCGTTCCTTCCTTACACCTGTCATCGTTCGCGCAAGGCAGGTGCGGCATTGGGCTAGGTTGCGCCTTCCTCACCTCTAGTTATCCGTATCCTTCAACGAAGGAACGAGTGACGAGGTGTACTTACCGTTCTAGATGTTTTGATGGGTGTTTCTCCCCTAGACCTAGATTTCTTAAGAAGGCATTTTGGCCTACAAACTTTACTTTGTTCACATTCTAGAATAATAAGCTACCTCCAATGACAAGGAAAAGCACGACCTAGCTAAAACCACATATCCACTCCGGTCCTATAGAAACCCGCAAAAGCCAAGATCAGAAAATACAGAAATAAGAACTGGAAGGAATATATCCAATTACAAAGAAATATATATGCAGTTCCCAACCAAGCCGTGATAAATGGACTCCTTCCGGCATCTACTCCTCCTTAACCTCGGACTGCGCAACCTTCTTTGACTTCTTCTTGCTAATCTTGTACCTAGGTGCCTGGGACAGGCGGGGAACGAACCTTCCGACGCGGGCCTGGTATTCTCTGTACTCGGGGTACTTGCCGGCGCTGATTTCCTCGGTAAGGCGGACGCTGCCCTGGAAAATGAGGAGGAGGCCGACGATACCAACGCCGGTCCACTGAATGTAGGTCTCCATCTTGTAGGCGTTCCAGAGGTACAAAGTGAGCCAAATGGCCTGCTCTGCGGCGAAGTTGGGGTGTCGCGAGAGCGACCACAAACCGCTGACGACGAAGCCGCGCTCCAGGTCTTCCGGGCTATACTGATCCTTGAGCTCGGCGGGGATGCGAGCGGTCTTGTTGTATTCCTTCTTGGCGTTCTGGAATTTCCATTGCTGCTGGTCGGCGACGGTCTCAAGAATGAGGAAGACAAAGGCGGCGCGAGAGAAAATCAAATCGGCGAGCTCGAAGGCCTCGCCGCCGGGGAGGCGGGAGAGCAGGAGGAAGTTGTAAGTTGGGGTTGTGATAAGAAGTAGTAGGAGGGGCTGAATCACACTGATAAAGGTGATGTTGAATAGGAAGAAGACGAATCGGTTGTTGACCCGGGAGCGGATGATAGACCAGCGGTAGTCTTCTGAGCCGATAGAGTAGCCGCCTTTGCGCCAGTAGTTATAGGTTAAGCGGACCTGTGTGGATTAGAGCTGGTCTGAGGGATAGTGAAAATATAAGGGACGTACAGTCCAGAGAACAGAGAGCGCGGCGATGGTATCTAGGGTGAGAGTGCGAAGGCCCGTCAGACGTGCCCAAAGAGCGAAATGGACATTGAACACAGATGGCAGGATAGACCAGAAGCGATCAACTTGGGAGTAGTTGCGGTTGATCTCAGAGGTGATTATGAAGAGCACGGAAATAGCAAGAGTAAAGGCGGCGGCACTCGCGAGAGGGTTAGTCGAGATGTATATTTCTTTGAGGGCGTTGACATCTTTCGCGACAACTGCAGGGTGCAGCTGTTCGGGGAGCGCAGCGACTTGCGACAGGAATGGTCGCACGGCATGGTTAAAGGAGACGCAGTCTGCGAGAGACTTGACCTCAGGGAGGGGGAGAGTCATTGTAGGGGGCACCGGGACAGAAGGCGCTTGATTGCGGGCAAAGTAATCCCACATCGAAAAGAGGAGATAAGAATACTAAATGATCAAAGACAGAATCATTCTCGATGCAAACCAAAAGAGACGAACACAACAAACACAAACAAACCTGAAAGATCAGCGAAAAGAGCTGGAGCTGTTGTACGCTAACTCAACTAGGATATGATGGCTAAGGCAATAAGGCACAAAACCATCCCGTGACACGCGTCGTTTTCGCGTTTCTTAAGCTCAAAATGAAGCATCCGAGTTCAATTCATCTCTTTGAGGTCGAAAGACTTATAGAACCATGAAATCAGACTCTCGGTAGTAATAACACTGGGCAACCGGCTGTAATGGCCGGCACAAAGATCTTATGTGTGGCAGAGAAGCCCGCAATTGCCAAAGCTGTCGCGATACACCTATCAGGAGGTCGAATGCAGACTGTAAGTGTTGCGAATTCTGATTGTAAGGCAGTGACTGATACTACTGAAGCACAATATAACTGGAAATCCGTATGTGAAGAATTATGTATTTGATTTCAACTTTGAGGGTCGCTGGGGCGACTGCTCAGTCACCATGACCAGCGTCCTCGGGCACTTGACAAATGTGGACTTCCCCCACCAGTACGCTGGTTGGACATCTTGTCCACCGGCAGAGCTGTTTGAAGCTCCCATCAATGTAACCGTGGACCAGGTACCTGGACCGGCGCTTGATTCGGTGCGCCAGACGCTAACCATAATCTAGGACAAAACAGCGATTGCAGAGAATATAAAGAGACAAGCACGAAATTCCAGGGCTTTATTTATCTGGACTGATTGCGATCGTGAAGGAGAGCATATCGGTACAGAGATACGCAATCAGGCTAAGGAAGGGAATCGCCAGATCGTGGTCAAGCGCGCCGTGTTCAACAACACGGAGAGAGCGTATGTGAATTCAAAGGCTGTCATCATCTTGCTGTTAACAGTGCTAATATATCCATCAGCCATATTATACATGCTGCAAGGACCCTTGAAGAACTGGATGAACGCCAGGCTAATGCGGTAGCGGCGAGGATTGAGCTCGATCTTCGCATCGGTGCTGCGTTTACACGGCTACTAACCCTCCAGCTGCGACCTCTCCACGAAACCTTGGAGGGCAAAACTCTAAGCTACGGTATGATACAACTTGTTCAGAAAAGCACTATCTTTATCTGATGGGTACATTACAGGATCTTGTCAATTTCCAACGTTGGGGTTTGTGGTAGACCGATATTTACGAGTCAAGAGGTTCAAGCCGGAAACGTTTTGGGGGATCAAGGTTATGCACACCCGAGATAATATTAAAGTGAACTTTCTTTGGAGTAGGGTACATCTTTTTGACAGAGCTGCCGTGATCATGATGCTGGAACGGTGTATCATGGCGGAAAAGGCCAAGGTCACTAAGGTCAACCAGAAACCAACTAGCAAGTGGCGGCCTTTGCCATTGACAACAGTTGACCTGCAGATGATGGGTTCCAGATTCCTTCGTATGAACGGTGCGGCTATTATGAAGGTATGTCTCTGACTCAACCCATTTATGTGCTTCTGAACTAAGTGACTTGTGGAACAGACAGCAGAGGCTCTTTACACTAAAGGATTCATTAGCTATCCCCGTACCGAGACTGATCAATTCGATAAAGCGATTGACCTCAAGAAGCTAGTCGAGAAACAATTACCGGACCAGAATTGGGGACAGTACGCTCAAGGGTACAAAGCCTCCCACATCTCTGTTTGTCTTGTCATCTGCTGATCGTTTGCATGGATAGGCTTCTAGATGGTAATTATAGGACTCCCCGGGCAGGACGAAACAATGATCGCGCGCATCCACCTATACACCCCGTTTGCTGGGTTTCTCCGGATAAGTTGACTGCCGACGAGAAGAAAGTGTATGAGTTCGTCGTTCGACGGTTTCTTGCGTGTTGCTCAGATGACGCAAAAGGGCAGTCAACTGATATCGAAATCCAGTATGGAGACGAGGAGTTCCATGCAAGAGGATTGATTGTTCTGGAAAGAAACTATCTCGACGTGTATGTCTACGACAAGTGGGAGAGCACCCAGCAGCTACCCAACTACCGAGTGGGCGAGGAGTTTGAGCCTACTGTAGCCGATATTTTTGAAGGAAAAACCACTGCCCCAAACCACTTGACCGAACCTGAACTTATTGGGCTTATGGACGCCAACGGAATTGGCACTGACGCCACAATGGCTGAGCATATCGAAAAAATCAAGACACGGTCATACATCGTTGTCGTCTCTCGAGGAACGGGTCGAAGCGCAGTCAAGGTGCTTATTCCCACTCGCCTCGGTATTGCCTTGATCTTGGGCTATGATGATGTTTTCGCCGGTCTGCCAAATAGCCCGTCGCTAAGCAAGCCATTTCTGCGAAAGCAGATGGAGCTGGAGATGCGGGAAGTTTGTGCCGGCACTAGGATGCGCCGACAGCTAGTTCAGGAAAGCTTGGACACGTACCGGGAGTTATTTATTCACACCCAGAGGAGAATGAACTTGATGAAATCGGCTTTTCAGAAGTATCTCGTCGAGGAGGCGGACGTCTGAAACCCATCGCCTAGGTTTCGAAGTTACGATAGAACCTACGACATTATTATCGAACTCTTCTCAGACACTTATGATGCAGCCAAAAACACACAATATCATATTGGAAATTATTGCTCGCAATAACGGATGTCATTAACAGAAAGTCTCGTTGCATCACAGACACATAAGCAGAATACAGAAGCTGCCGATGGCAGAACAAACCACGACATTCATTCTTATCACATGACCGCTTCTCTTGAACAATTTCCTTTCTCCGCATTTCAATTATTCTACTGCCCAATGATCGGCCCCGGCGACGCGATGCTTGTGCGGTATGGACAGTCTAGCTTTCTAGCCGGCTTCATAAACGACATCTTGGACACCACAGAGGGCAAGGCTCCGGAGAGCAGTGGGCGTGTCCATGGAAAGGATTAACCGGCATAAAAGCTATGAAGGGAGGGGGGAAATGGGCTTGGTGGTAGTTGTTCCTGTGCTGCTGGTGAGCGCGGTGAGCGCGATGAGCGAAATCGCCGTGGACGTTATGATGTTGGACGTAGTCTTGGAAATGGCTTTGAGCGCGGCGATGGCCGTTGTAACGAGGACGGTGAATTGTATGGGAATAAACTTCAGCTTCAACTTCGAGCTCAACTTGTTCCTGAGATCGTGCTCGTGCTTGTTCTTGGGCTTGCGCTTGTTCTTGAGCCCGGGCCTGTGCTTGACCTTCCGATTGCCTCTTCTCCAAGGACGAATTGGGCCTGGTCTCATTCTTCTGAATTGATTGACCCGCAATACTAGCGGCTTCCTTCGCTTCGTTGGGTTCGGCTGACTTCCCAGGCCGTTGTCTCGAGTGCTGAATCTCGCTTTGGCCAGACTGTCGAAGGGTCTTCGCCATCTCGCATGACTTATCAACCGGAGAATCAGAGCTAGATGAGTTCCCGCTCACTCCATTCTTTGTATTGGTAGCTTCTGTCTGGACGTCCTCAGTGAGTTCGCGAAGCGTGCGGTTGATATCCCGAAAGACCAGGCCATGTCCATAGTGAGTGGCTATACTCTTCGCCGCCCAGTACATCAAAACACAGAGTGGCGCAATCCAAAGAACATCCATGAGACTCAACGAGCTGGGGATAATCCCCCTCTTCCTTTCCTCTACCCAACTGGTGGGCAGAAGGGTTTCCCATCCAGACCGCTTGGGCTTGGTCTGCGACAGATGGTATCCTAGAATGACTGCTGCGCCAGCGGCTATGTTAGCAAGCATTGTTGTTATGTCTTGAACTGTCGTACGCTGTGGCTGCGGATGGGTTGGGAATCGGTTCGGTGATCTTGGGGTGGAAATAAAGCTGTTGAGTCAACGGAAGCAAGCTGCTGGCGATGATGGAAAATTGAGGGCAAGTCGCGCTTTCTTATAGCCATCTCTGCAAGAGGGTTATGTGTCATCGAATGACTGGATTACGACAAGGAAGATCAAAGCACCTTTTTTTGCGAGGGTTTGGTCTCAATTGTCACATATGTAACCCGAATGCCACGTCTTTGTCGATCTTTGCGTGGAAGGCAAAGCCCTAAGACAATGCATCTTATTATATGCACAGAATTACACCCAACCATGTCAAAGAGCGCAGGCTCTCATTTCTTCTCTTCAAATCCACAAAGTCGCCCAGACATTTCCAGAAAAAAAAAAATTATTCCGCACTTCATATATCATGGACAACAGACTATATACAGTTGATCATCACTTGTCATGGACCAAGACGATCCATTTACGCAAGTTTCTTGCTCAGCACAACACCATAGTAAACAGTGACCCCGATCGTAACCATGTTTATCAAGCTAGACGCCCCATGCAGCCGACCAAACTTCTTGTTTAGGGCAACCATCTCCTTCGAGTGCGGAGCTGGATCATAGCTCTTCTTGCCATCGCGGGTTTCTAGAGACAAAATCAGTAATCCATTCCATTTGACACGCGGTATAAACAGTCTAGCGCCGCCATACCCTGATGCTTCCTCTCCCGCATCGTATTAACGGTCAACGGACGAAGAACAGTCAAGTTAATGAGCCCGGTAACGAACGCCGTCGCGAGCGGGAGGAGGATTTTGAATTTATTCTCTGGTTCGAGAAGACCAAAGACGCCGAGTGGCTGGCCACTGCGCGAGGCAGTCAGCGCAACGACGAGAGGGAGCGCGGTCTGGATGGCGAAATAGGTAGGGAATGTCTTGGCTTGGAGGGATGCGAATTGCGGACGAGGGAGGACGCGGAAGGCAATTATTCCGGAGACAAAGCTCTGTAGAATTCGCTGTTATATGATGATGCGCTTCTGAAAACTTGAGCAGAGTTATAGTGTCAGGTACGTACCTGGTAGAGCTGGACACCGAGGAGGGTGCCGTAGCTTGGGAATGTTAGCAATGCGTCTAAAGCTGGTGCGTGTAGTTGGTACCTTAAGATGTGAAATGGACGAGGGTCGAGCATCTTGACTTTGGAGATGTCGGAGGTTGATATTCGTAGGGAAGAGGAGGAAAAGGGAAGAAGTCCAGCTTGAAGCATCATGCGATTACATTTATGCGGGATGTTCCGAGGTTCTGCGACCGACAGGCCCTCTGTAAAGTACACGGCTTATCACCATAATATTACTTTTGTTTCCACAAGAAATAGCTTGTGGGGTTTCTCACCCACGCACTATGTCTGTACAGCGCACAGTTAGATGATGTCATGTGCTATCGCGCAACAAGTTCCCAAAGGGGAAATCCGTATAGCGCGCGGCGCCGCGTCTGCCTACCGCGCTACCTAGTATTCATCGCCTGCTGCCTTTTGGCGGTCCTTTATCAGTCAACTTGCCGCTGCTTGCCTGGTACTCAATTTGTTTCCGTACCACGAGCTCATTATGGCGGAAAAAGAAGCAACTATTTACATTGTGGATGTGGGCAAGTCCATGGGCGAGCGCCGCCATGGTCGAGAAGTAACAGACCTCGAATGGGCGATGCAGTATGTCTGGGATAGTATAACCTCAACAGTATGGATTCTGGAACTCTTGAGGGTAATAACCTGACCGAATTAGGTGGCTACCGGGCGCAAGACGGCCATGCTTGGGGTAATTGGGCTCAAAACTACCAGTGAGACATTTTGGTGGATAGCTGATGGGACCTATACTAATGCGATCGGCAGACACATCTCATGAACTAGAAGATGACGCTTACTTCTCAAATATATCAGTACTATCGGGGATCAAGCAGTATGTGGTCTCTTGAAGCTTAATGTACGCTTGAAACTGATCAAGTGTTAGATTCCTTATGCCTGACCTGCGACAGCTGGGTGATGAAATCAAACCCAGCACGACGGATAAAGGTGACGGTAAGAGTTTCTACTTGCAAACTGTTTGTCAACCTAGGTATTGACGTGACCAGCAATATCTGCTCTCATTCTCGCAATCCAAATGATCATCACCCACTGCAAGAAGCTCAAATGGAAACGCAAGATCGTCCTCATCACCAATGCCATGGGCCGGATGAGCGGCGAAAATCTAGGGGATATTGTGTCAAAAATCCAGGAAGATAACATCAGCCTGGTAGTTCTGTGAGTGCCCTAAGCTCCGCCACTGCAACACGGCTAACTTTCGCAGAGGTCCTGATTTTGATGACTCTGAGTATGGCTTTAAGGAAGAAGATAAGGATCCGCGAAAGGTAAAGGCTTGCTTCTTGGTTGACTTCAGTGTCTAATGAGATGCAGGCCGAGAATGAGGCTCTTTTGCGTACCATCTGCGAACAATGTGACGGAGTGTTTGGTACGCTCGAACAAGCGGTTTCGGAAATGGTTATCCCTCGAGTGAAGGTTGTTCGATCACCCAACAGCTTCAAGGACGGCTATCTACAGCTCGGTAATCCGAATGAATATAATACCGCCGTCCGCATTCCTGTTGAGCGATATTCTCGGACAATGGTAGCAAAACCACCGTCAGCTAGCCAATTTGTTCTGCGTTCGGATCTTGCCGCCGGCGAAGAAGTGCCGGAATCGTCTGCTACTGTCACTGGCACTCAGCCCCAAGACGGCGGCTCTCTCACGTCTGTGCGAAACCTAAGAGCCTATCAGGTTAGTGACGAGAGCGCACCAGGTGGGAATATCGACATAGAACGCGAAGACCTGGCCAAGGGCTATGAGTATGGTCGGACTGCGGTTCATATCAGCGAGACCGATGAGAATATCACTAGGCTGGATACTCAAGCGGGACTGGAATTGGTTGGGTTTATCCAGAGCGAAAAGGTATATCTACACTTGTTCATTGGGGTTGCACCTGCTCACTTTCCTAGTACGAGCGTTATATGCACATGTCAACCACGAACATTATCATCGCCCAGCGTCCGAACGACAAAGCCTCGCTTGCATTATCTTCCTTCATCCATGCTCTTTTTGAACTAGAGTCCTACGCTGTTGCTCGATTAGTGGTAAAGGAAAACAAACCTCCTCTCCTGGTTCTGCTCGCCCCTTCTATTGAGCCCGAATACGAATGTCTCTTAGAAGTACAGCTCCCTTTCGCAGAAGATGTTCGAACATACCGCTTCCCACCTCTTGACAAGGTAATCACTGTGTCCAGAAAGGTAGTAACGGAGCACCGAAATCTCCCTAGCGACAACCTTCAAGCTGCCATGGACAACTATGTCGACAGCATGGAGTTGATGGAGAAGGATGAAGACGGGTAGGCCGGCCATTCCAGCGCTCTATGAGGACGCATCACTAACTGTAACAGTGACCTGGTCGAAGCACCATTCCCAATTGAAGACTCATTCTCACCAGTTCTGCACCGTGTCAACGCAGCCATTCGCTCCCGCGCCATCAACCCCAACGACCCAATACCCCCGCCAGCCGCAATCCTCACAAAATTCTCACAGCCCCCGCAACACTTACTCGAGAGCGCACAGCAACAACTCAAGAGACTCATCGAAATAGCCGACGTCAAGAAAGTTCCACCCAAAGCCAAGGGTCGAAAACGCGCCCGCGAACCCGAAAAGCCCCTCTCAGGCCTCGACGTTGACTCCCTCCTAAGCCAGGAGAAACGCGTCCGCATCTCACCCCACAACGCAATCCCCGAATTCAAGCAAACCCTAGCACACGCCGAGGATATCGAGACAACAAAGGACGCCGTCAAACAGATGCGTGCTATTGTCGAAGACCAGATTAAGCATAGTCTCGGTGACGCAAACTACGACCGGGTTATTGAGGGGCTCGGCGTCATACGTGAAGAACTCATCTCGTACGAAGAGCCAGGCTTGTATAACGAGTTCTTGAGGGAGTTGAAGGAGAAGATTCTCAAGGAGAAGCTTGGTGGGGATCGGAGGGAGTTGTGGTGGTTACTTAAGAGGAGTAAATTGGGGCTTATTGATCAAAAGCAGTCGGAGCTTTCAGATGTTACGGAGGAAGATGCGAAGGCGTTCTTGTCTGCTTCGTGATGGGATAAGATAAGATTCTATGATACCACATACTAATGTTCAGAGTAGTATATCAAATGTCAACAAATAGGCAATGAATGGGAGAAACACGCTAAATAGCTAAGCAAGGTAAAGAGGTATAATGTAAACTCGAGAAATACCATTCCACGGCCGCACTGAGCCCCCTGCATATCTCCAAAGGGAAACGGAAGAGCAAGAAGTCTATGAGATCTTGCCCACTCTCTTCTTTGCGATATCCATCTTCTGCTCCACCCTAAACAATTGAAGTCAGCAACGAAAACCAACCATAATATCAAGCAGAGAGGAAAGGCATACCTCGTCGTATCCTCATCCACCATCCTCAGCATCTCATTCTGGATTTCCAACTCCTCGTTAATCCGGATTCCCAGCTCCTTCTGACGCCGTACAATTTTCAGCAACTCCCCAGCACTCAACTCCTGCTCACGGATCGTATCCTGCTGTAACTGTAGCACGCCCTGATTATCCAGCTCGCGGGTCTTGTCCGTTTCCTTTCCAAGGACACGCCCCGATCGCGCGGCCGGTTTTCTCCCCGCACCACCACTTGCGCCCGAAGGGCCAAGAAGAGCCTCCTTATCCTTGATGGAGGCAACCGCGTTGTCGATCCGGCTCTTCGCAGCCATGGTATTCAGCAGGTCCTCCAGGCCATCTTTTTCCTTGCGCGCGTTAATAAGCAGGTCGCGTCGGCGTCGGAGTTCGCCTTCACCTAGGGAATTCGAAAAAGATTCACCCTTATTCCTAGGATGACTGCTGCTAGTCTTCAGACCCTCGTCCAGGGCTGTAATCAGTGTTCCCACGCGCACAAGGCTACTCTTCGCCCGTGCCGAGCTCTCATGCTGCTTTTGCGGCGTGGTCTCCTGATCTCGTCGTGTAAGGTGCAGTCGCGCGTCATGTAGATGCGACTTCAAATCCCTATAGCAGTCGAGCCACAGTGTCGGGTCGCGGATCGGTTCGCCGCTGCCTCCGATCCCGGGCCCTGTGATTGCTGCGTGCAGACGGGCGGAGGAAGCAGTTACACCGTTACTATGTCCATTCCCATTCGCGTTCGCAGTTTCGGATGACGCCCCGCTCTTCACATGTGCGGGGCCGAGACTCGGGAGGTTTAAAAATGCACGCCAGGCCGGCGAGTTCCGCCAGCGCGGGTCATCGGATTCGTTTATGGCGCGGAGGTAAGATTCTAAGCCCTCGCGGCGGGATTCGCGGAGGGTTGTGTTGGAGACTGTATTTGAGAACCAGGACTTCGGTGGAAGAGGAGCTGGTGGTGAGGCGTTTGATTGCGACGTTAGTTCGCTGTGGAAGGCTGTGAAGTCGGAGTAGCGCTTGGAGATCGCGAAGGAGCGGAGTGGAAGGCGGAGGGTTATGTTGTAGATTGTATGCGGTGGGGAGGTGGTTGAGGTTGTGGTTGTTGGGATGGAGATTTCGAGGGGCGGAGCCATGGTGTCTACCTCGACCTCGGGCCTGAGTTGTGCATGTACGAGAGAGGGAGAGATGGCTGAGGATAAGGAAGAAGTTGGTTGGGGTTGATTTGGAGATGACGAGATAAGGCAGAGTTTAGCCTGTGGCCTGGGGGTCCTGGGATGAAGTCCACCGCAGCCTAAGCCAGAATGGGATCTTCCAAACAATGACGCAGCACGAGACTTGATACTTCGAGAGAAAAAAGTATATACCGTGTGGTATTATTTATATAGTGAATTACAAGTATCTAGGGGTATATTCTTGTATTGATCACATGAGCCGTTGCTCCACATCGGTCCATATTTCGCGCGCCTCCAGCAAGTCCCTCTGTCCATAGTGCTCTCCAACTATGGTGATAATCATGTCCAGCATCACTCGGGTTTGTGTTTCGACATCAGCTCCAATCGCTTCCTCCTCAGTCTCCCCATCATCCCCACCTATAATCTGAGATGTTGACCCAATCCCAGCAGCTTGAACTCGCGCTTCCAGCCGTGCTTTCGCCCGCTCCAGCTCCTCCGCGTCCGTAGCCCTCTCCGCACTGGGTTGGTCGAGGCTTTGAGCTGCGCCCTGATCCTCGACTACTCTCTCGCTCTCCGCAATTTGGACATTTTCATCATTTTGCATGTCCACATCAGACTCAGAGCCATCCTCTTCCCCATCATCCTGCACCTCCTTCGTCTCTCTCAGCTTCTGCAGAATCCTTATCGCCCGCTTTCCTAGCTCCCGAATATCACCAATCTCCTGAGCTCCCAACTGGCCTGAGTCTCTACACTTTCCCAAAAGACCCCATATCCACGCTCCGATACGCCGAACCAAAGTCGCATCTCCGCTCCGCACATTCTCTGACATTAGCCGCCCCGCAATGATCATCACGCCCAGGACGGTGTCCATATCCATGCACGCGAGCTGGACCATGTGGGGATCAACTGCAAGCAATAAGCGCCGCCATTCCCTTTGCGCGTTTTTCGAATGTCTTGGGAAGCTTATGGGATGCGCGTCGTCGAGAGCGGAAATAGCTTCGGGCGGAGGAGTACATTTTAGGATCGAGCGGAGGAGTAGAAATCGGTGGTGGAGAAGGTTGTAGTAACTAGCTTGGGCCTCTGAGAAGCACTTGTCACCGATGGATTTTGAGAGCGTGAGGCCGATGTATACGCCGTCGGAGTACACTCCGTCGAGAGGCCGCTTGACTAGTGTCGGGTGTTCCTCTGGAGTCTCGGCTTTTTGTTGTGGCTCGTTGCATACGTTCTCAGTTTCGCGGGTGACCTCGTTTGCTTTCGCTGGTGGCTCCGCCGCTGCAGGTGCAGTGAAAAGCGTAGGTAGAGAGTTGGCTTCGGACCTATTCATGATCCCGAAAGTCAGCTCAAACCTCAAATAATGCGCAACACATCCAATACAGAGATAAAGCCAAGAGAAAAGAGTGCATAACGAACTTTGCCTCAATCGTAAGCTACAAGAGAAGCAAAAATGCAAACTTAGCCAACGAAAAACACGACGTGGAAAAATTCCAGGAGAGTGAAATTAACCTACCGAACCATCCTCAAATACTCCAACCCATCATCAGCTGGCCCATAAAAGAGCTCGTCTCCATCGACTGAATCGAGGCCCGGGAAGGCGCTTCGCTGTCCAAAAACAGGGTGGTTGCAAGGCTGTTCGTAGGGGGTTACGGAGTTTTGCGTTCCCTCGTCATCATTGGCATGTGAATATTCGGTGTTCGAAGGGCGGGCGCGTTTGGTGTAGGGTGAGGGCCCGGAACCTGAACCGGAGAAGTTTCGCTTTTGGGGCATTTTAGAAGAGGAGGAGGTTGTTGAGGGTAGTTGGAGGTGAGACGAAACCTCGGAAGCTTCCGCGGAGGTGGTTTTGGAAAAGCTTAGCTTTCCTCCGCGGCGGTTCCGCCAGAAGCAGGAAAAAGTCAGATTTGCTGTGCAATAATCACTGTAAATAATACCGAAAACTGGTTTCTTACTCTACACCTAAATAGACGTACAGCTTTCATGAAGAATGCGTACAATAAATCGTTATTTTCGTTCCTTTTATACTATGTCTAGATACCGGCCCCATCTAAGGACGCAGACGCTGAGGATCACGAGGGAAGAGAGTCGCCAATCGGATGTTGGGCAATCCAAGGAAGAACATTACAATACGGTTCAAACCCAGGCCACCACCGGCGTGAGGAGGGCATCCCTGACGGAAAGCGGACAGGTAGTCTTCGAAGCCCTCATGCGTAGGGTCGACGCCCTTGGCAACCATGGACGCCTCGAGCTCCTTCACGTCGTGGATACGCTGGGCTCCAGACATGATCTCCTCACCACGCATGAAAAAGTCATACGAGTTGGAGAAGCGGGGATCCTGTGGGCAGGATTTGGTGTAGAAGGGACGGACAGCCATTGGGAACTTGTCCAGAACGTAGAAGTCGGTGTCGTACTTGTCGCGAATGATCTGACCCAGCTGCTTCTCCATGGCGGTGGTGAAATCATTTTCAAAGCGCTCCTGTTCTGAGACGTCCACACCAGCTTCCTTGAGCATCGCCACGCCGTCCATGTAGTTTAATCGGAGGGCCTTGCCGTCCTTGGGGAGCTTGAAGTCGCCTGCTTTGGGGTAAGACTTTTGTACGATAGAAATCTGCTCCTTGTATCGCTCCTTGAGTTCGGTGAGGATAAAGACCAAGAGGTTCTCGGCGAATTCCAAGACCTCGTGGTAGTGAGAGCGGAAAGTCTTTTCAAAATCGAGACCGGTGAACTGGCAGAGTATCGTTAGCATGTAGAAGGAAATTTGGAGAGGGGTATGAAGCGGACATACCTCGGTCAAGTGACGGTGAGTGTTGCTCTCTTCCGCACGGAAGACGGGGGCGATTTCGAAGACATTCTCCATATCACCAGCAATACACATTTGCTTGTAAAGCTGGGGACTTTGCGCCAGGTACGCGTTCCTCTTGAAGTATTTGACCTCGAAAACACCGCTACCACCCTCTGTAGCAGCACCCACCAACTTCGGCGTAGAGATCCATCGGGAACCGCTCTTGATCATGTACTCTGCGAACAACTGCGCGACACCGCTAGAAATGTGGGTAATGGCCTGGCTGGTCGCAGTCTGGAGGTCCAATACACGGTTGTCAAGACGGGTCTTGAGGGTAACAATGGGCGCACCGGACTCGTCAACCTGGAAACCCTCGTCGGTGGTCTCTGGTGGCGGCCTCTCCGCGTCCTTGACCTGCATGGGAAGTTGTTGAGCCGCCTCGGTGATGGTGTAAACCTTGCGGATGTGAATTTCATGTTCGCTCAGGGTCGCTGAGGCGATGGGAACACCGGGCTTCTTCACGATACCGGTAACCTGGACAATGGAGTTGACATTGAGACCGCCTGTGTACTTGACCATCTGGCGCGAGATAGGCTCTGCCGCGGCAATGACAGCCTGCAACTTCAGACCCTGCTGCCTGAGCATCAGGAAAGCCAGCTTTGCGCTCTGAACACGGGCATTGTCCACACGGGCAACAACTGTGATCTCCTGTTCGTAGTGCGCGTCGGTGATTTCGGCGAGGCGGGTGCTTGGGAGGACGTCTTCGGATTCGGGGATCGGGCCATATAGATGCTTCGCTGTGTCGTTGGCTTCTGCGGCGGCCGCCTGAGCCTGTTCCTGGGCTGCACGCTGGGCGGCCTTTTCGGCCTTGGCCTTCTCCTTCGCAAGCTTCTTCAAGGCGCTCTTGCTGAGCTTGCCGGGCTCTTCACCCTCCGCAGCAGCCTCAGCCGCGGGGGTCTCCTCGGGCTTGGGGCGAGTGGGCAATTCAGAGTCCGCCATGTTTGTTGGGACAAGTGTCGCAAAAGGTCTCTTGCGGGGAAAAGTCTTAAAGATTCGACACGGGGACGGGACTGGGTCAAACTGAGCTCCTCGTTGACTCAACAGCCCGACAGCTTCTGATTGAATCACCCCGCCGAGAACGTAGCCCTAAGCCCTATGAAAGGAAAGTTAATGCCTGAGGCATCACGCTCTATAGTTGCTGCAATGAGAATCATCATGAGTTTGCCATACTACTCATGATAGTATGTTGAAGTTGATAAGATGAATTAACAAAATCCGCTAAAGCTTGGTGTTCACAGATGTAAACCCTGCTCTATTTGTTACACTCCCCTGTATATACCCATTTTTGTAGCCTGATGTGCGATCCTCATCAGTCATACTATAGAAATAAACCGATCTACCCGCTCACAGCAAATTGCCAAAGTCTAGAGATCAGTCTGAAAGCCGGACTGAAGTGGTTTGGTTGTCCACAGTTAAGGGGACGACGCACTCAGACATAGTAAACGCCCGGATCAACCCTTCCAGTGCCAGTCTGGGAGGACTTGCTAGTTTCAGCGCGTTTCAACAGAAAATCATCGACCGCATCATCGTCTAGCGAGTCCTCGCCGGAGCAAAAGATCTCCGCAAAGCCTACGGCGGTGAGGTTTGGAAGTCCGTAGTCAAGGGCTTTGAGCAAACTCTCCGTAGTGAAATAAACCTCTGGGTCTACACTCGGATACCCGAATTCAAGGACCTCGAGTGTAGGAAGACCGATGTGGCAGAGTAGCTCAAAGAAAGTGCCATCGACCATGTCACCGGGAATGCTGAGAAAGGATAACTCGGGAACCATGGCAAGGATTGAGGTGATAGAATCCGCACTTAAGTGGCGGTTCTGCCCCGATATGGTGAGGCGTTTCAGGGTGCGACTCAAGTCCGGGCTGCACATGAGGCTGCTGAGATTTGTTAGAGAGAGATCGGCGCAGTTCTTCAGGGTCAAAGTTGTGAGAGACGGCGGCCATGGGAAGGACCGCATGGGAGCAGCGGAAAAGTGGCCGCTGAATTGAAGTCGGCGGATATGAGGCGGCCAAGGTATACTGAACGACTCAGCATCCATGACAGAAGTTGACTGCGGAAGGCGGAGTGTGCGTAAATCTTCGAGACCACTCAGGCTCTTTTTGAGGTCTTTGAACATCATGGGAGTCGCCACGAGAGAAAGGTCCAGGAGCCGGAGTTTGGAACATTTCGAAAGCGAGGGTAGACTATTCGACGCAAATGATGCCCTGGGCGCCAAAAAAACCTCCAAATTATCTTTTACCCGCCCCAATAGGCGTGCAGTCAGACTGGGAGAGCTGTGATGGACGAGGGAGCTCAAATCGAGACGGTGAACGAGCGCCCCAAGATTCCACTTGCTCTTGCGGGCTCCGATCGGAGGGCATATTGTATTCGTAAATCTCGTAAAGCTCGTTCCGGTATTTATTTGCGGATTCTCGTAAAGCAACTTAATGGCACATGAGTACCACTGCCGGGATACTAAGCAGCAGGCGAAAAGGGATGTTTGCGCGGACTCATCGGCAGCGACGTCGGTCACGATCTGAACGACAATTTCCGTCGGGAGATGGATCGGGAGCTCGGAGGTCATTGAGGGAGAGTAGCGGCGGACATTCCATGATAAAAGGCTAAATTAAGGCCCTGTAAGTGCCTGTCGTGATAGATTGGGGGGATGAAAAGTGGTGGAGGTGGTATCAGTGATATCATTTGGGAAGGCTCCGCTGCAACTCCGGTTACTCTCCGTCTCCCCTTGACAACCCGACGCCCCAGCCCACACCTCTTCGGCGACTGCCTTACATTTCTTCTAGCTTCTACACCAGGCAATAGACTCGGATTGTTGTCCAAGATGCGTCCCCAGGGCCTTTGGCGGTCCCTGGGACTGATCCAGCGTTCTTCCACCCGCTCCTTTCTCCCCGCCGGTGCAAGCCGCTGCAACATCCGACATCTGAGCTCTGCACCTCGAGTCCCTGATTTCGCCTTTGCCTTTGAGTATGCATACGAGCCAGTGAGCTCATCCTGCCCACGCTAGTTGCGTTTGCTGATTTCACATCTTGTAGCATCGATGGGGTTCTCCTTCGATCCTCAAAGCCCATACCCGGAGCCGCCGAATCGCTAGCCCTCTTGAAGAAGGAAGGAATTCCGTTCATCCTTCTGACAAATGGCGGTGGGAAACACGAAACTGAGCGAGTTGCCGAAATTAGTGAAAAATTGAACATTTCCTTGGACGCCGATGTGATCATCCAAAGTCACTCGCCCTTTGCCGAGCTCGTACGAGGAACGGAGACACAGCCTCCTTTGGAAAACAAGCGCGTGCTAGTTGTTGGAGGAGACGGCAATCGCTGTCGCGAGGTTGCGGAGCGATATGGATTCAGGAACGTCATCACGCCTGGTGACATCTTCATGGCCAATTCCTCTATTTGGCCGTTTTCCAAAGTATTCCAGGACTACTATAAGACCTTCACGAGACCGCTATCTCATACAGGAGACTCTAGCGACCCAACCAAGGGTCTCAAGGTTGATGCAATTCTAGTCTTCAACGACCCAAGAGATTGGGCGCTGGACGCTCATATTATCGTTGACCTCCTGTTGTCGTCTCAGGGAGTCCTAGGCACTCTGTCGGAGAAAAACGGAAAAACCGACCTTCCCAACCATGGCTACCAGCAAGATGGTCAACCACCACTTTACTTCTCCAACCCTGACCTCTGGTGGGCCGCAGCATACAGTCTCCCGCGTCTAGGCCAGGGCGGCTTCCGTGAGGCGTTGGAAGGTACATGGAGCGCAATTACCGGCGGACCTAGCAAGGGCGTCGAACTATACAAGACGGTTATCGGCAAGCCGTCACAAGGGACCTACGAATTTGCAGAGAACCAGCTCCTACGGAACCGTTCTAAGGCATTTGGATTCGACACAACGCGGCCCCTGCGAAACGTATATATGGTTGGTGACAATCCGGAGTCGGACATCCGGGGTGCGAACTCGTATCGCAGTGCGCATGATAGCAGGTGGCATTCCATTCTTGTGCGGACTGGAGTTTACCGTGGTGGCGAGCCTACGTGGACGCCGGAAACGATTGCGGACGACGTCCATAAGGCTGTTGAGTGGGGTCTACAACATTCAAAGTGGGAGGTTAAATAATGCGACAGTGTCTGACATACCGCCATCAACAGCCTACTAAGCCTGCTCTGTATACGTGTATGCGTACAGATAAATATAGGCCAAACAGTGCGACCTGAGCATGCATCCCTTATACATATATCTCTTAAAGTTCTAGTAACTAGATATGGCGTGGGAAGTATTCAATAGATGATAGAATAGACATATTACGATCTAGATCCACCATCAATCGATATGATCTTGTTGCTTTCTTCTCTACTTTTCGATCTTCCCAACCCATCGCTTTCCAATCCTCAATTGTACATCTGGCTCTGCACAATACTATTGAGATACCTCGTCTGCTCAAGACGATAATCGCCCGCCTCGACATAAGACCATTCGTGTTGAAGACAAAGTTTTGTCCCAAGATGCCACCCGCTTCGGAACCGTTCCAGACTGGCCAAAAGGGGTACACCGGGTACTAGATTGTCTCGTCATTTGCCACTCGCACACGCCGGGCTGTAGAGAGAGATTACTCACCTCGATGCATATTAGGATCCAAATGTACCACAAACGAAGCCCAAACCAGACTCATCAGCTTCGCCAAGTTCTGGAGAGCTCTGTTCCCGCCAGCATCCACATTACTAAACACATAATCCAGCTCGACGGAGTGATGGGACCCTAATCTCGGCGCCGAATCAGGAGCAAGGATACTGTTTCTTGCCGCGTGTGCCGTCCCTCCGGCTGCTTTCCAGGCGTCGACTGTTCGGCGGTGGGAGCAAGTTTCCACGACATTAGTGTGGAAAGCAATAGACTGTTTCCATTGCGTACCGCGAGCTGCGGTTTCTTTTTCTGTTGGTGCCCAAGCTGTTGGTAGGCCTAGATCTTTAGGGTAGAGCTTCTCGATCTCCACGATTGTAGCACTGTCAGCACCGCCCGCTGCTATGAACGCTCGAACGTCGGCGTCGGTGGCGACGGAGTCCACGAAGTTGAAGACGGCGGCTTCGTCTGTAGTTGTTGTGTACATGATGGAAACGGGACAGGATGAGCCTTGTCGAGGGAAGCGGTTGGCCGTCGAGAAGGAAGTCCCCATCGGCCTGGGTGAGCCATGGGCCGAGGCCGGAGCCGGAGAAGACAGGAGTGTTGCTGACGTTCAAGGCAGCGGATAGCGATTCGATGGATAGCTTACGCAGGCACTCGAAAGGACTGCAGGTTTTCGCACACCCCGTAGTCGTGGTCTGTACAGATCCCTTGTGTAGAATTCGGGGTCTTGGATGTTGTACGGCCACTTCTCTGCCATCCCGCCGCTCTGCATGATTGCAGCACGGAATAGACCGCCGTCACGACCGCCATAGGCGATAAGCTGTTTGCCGACTGACAGGCCGCCAACATCTGGCCAAAAATGGTGACTTTTCTCTCGCATCGCCGCCGAAAAAGCCTATGTTTTCAGGGCCCAGGTTAGGGCGAGGCCTTGGTCGCGCAGGCTATTGCTGGAGCTGCCGTGAATGGCGACCTTGTCAGAGCCTCAGAAAAGGCCGAGTGAGTTGAGGCGGTTATTAATGGATACGGCGATGAAGGGGTTCCCTGATCCTGTGCCTTGAGAGACAAAGATAGCGAGGTTTGTATGGCGCGACGAGCCGCTGTAGAATCCACCTCGGTAAGAGACAACGTTAGACAAATAAGATCGGCTATGACACAATGGGCATGTGTGTATATACCCGTGAATCCAGACTGCTACTGGTATTCTCCCAGAGGCATTGGCGCTGGTTGGGCGGATGATGTTCAACGACAAACAGTCTTCTGACATGGGATAGCCGGGGTTTGCCTGTGATCGTTCTCAAAAGTCAAAACAAGATCATGGAATCGCGCATGACAGACTTATCACATATTTCATGCACACATCCGAATACTGGACCGCAAATCGAGCGCCTTGCCATGTAGTGTTGAAGCTTTGGGGGCCCTCAAATCGCAGATCTCCGACGGGGGGTTTGAGCATAGGGCAAGCCTAGGAAAACATCTTGCTTCTGGCTGGATGAGTGGTATCCCTCATACGGTCCATTGAAGACCGTTACTGAAGGGCCGGAAGCGCAGACGCAAGTCGCAACCAGTGATAGTATGGTCAGAGAAGGGAACATCTTGAGCTCGGAAAGCCGCCTCTAGCTCTGTCAGACTGGTACAGCTTCTCTCTTAAGCCCCTTTGCTCTATGATATGATAGTAGACAAGGTCTCCAAAAGGCACTTCCGAGCCGATAGGGCGCACCCGCAGCTCCGAAGCAGGACAAGGAGCCGATGCCAGACTGCCGGTAGAGAAATTGATAACTTGATAAGAGCAGTTCGAGTCAACAGCTCTAACAGGTCGAATGAACCATACTTGCAGGTGTGGGCCAGCTTCATATCGGCAATATGCCGCGGTTCGACATGACAAGACTGCCGACAATAAAGCTTATCAGTACTCAATAATCCACCCTTACAACGAAGTAGCGAGACAAGCACAATGTATACTCTTTTATTTGCCAAGACGCAATCATCAGGTTTAAGACACAAAGCTTGGAGAAGAAAAGCGAAGAGAATATTGAAAGCAAGAAACAATCATTGGGGATTGGACGCCTACACAAAACATTCGTCGCATCTAAGGTCACTGACACCTGCATTATAGACGAGGGGAAATTGGAGGGAAAAAAAATAGATGATGGGAGGACGCGTCCAAAGATCATGATGCAAGGACTCATCGCTGCCATAATATACCTCTGAGAAAGAATAAACACACCTCCATTACGTCGCGACCTTAGGCTAAAGAAGCAATCACAGCAGCCGCGACACCTTCTTCTTCAGCGCGCACGGTAATCTTTGTTGTGACTCCAGATTTGCTAGAGTATGCCATCTTGATGAGGGCCGTCACTCGGCCGCCTAATACAGTCTTTCCGAATAGTTTGAGGGTATGTGTGCTGTTGCTGAGGGCCACGTCGGTGCCTTCGAGAGGTTGGAGGGAGAGTGCAGAGACGAGTTGCTCGGTGGCATCTGTGACTCCGTCAGTACGGTCCGAAAAGGCGCAGCGAGTATACATACCGGTAATGCCCTTCATGTTGCTGAGTTGCAGAGTCTCGCTAACTTCCTCGCCATTTGCCCCCGTTTGCTCCCAGACGTGGTCAAAGCTGCCAGCGAACGTGGGAATAACATAATCACTGCCTGTCAGTTCCAGGTCGTTGACCTGGTATTCATCCTCGTAACCACTATCTTCTGGCTCTCCAGTTGTTGGGTCGATCTCCTTGCTGGTGAATTTCAGGTTATTCGTGAATGAGACGACAGGAACGCTCTGTTCGCCCTCGAGTTTCTTGAACGTGACATATACAACGCCCGGCTCGTTGGTGCTCAGTTTAGGTGCAGGAACAATGAACTCTTCCTCCAGGGCATCTTCCTCGGACGGCGTCGCAACAACGGTAACATCTTCCAAAACAGTATCCGGAAGAGTATTTTTGATGTCGTACTGCAAGACAATATGCTCCTTGAAAATGTGCTTGACGGCAGTGACAACGTACTCCGTTTCGCTTTCACTGAGTTCCACGGGTACGGAAGATTTGAGCAAGGTGCCATACGCCCTGAGCTCGGGAATCTGCATGAGCTGCTCGGCATACTTCTGGGTAGCCGCTGCAGTAGCAGCTTCGGCCACACCGTTCGCCTTGGCACCTTTAGGAGGACCGGTGGATGGTGCCTTAAGCGTAGGTGTAGCGTGATTAAGCTTCTTGGTTCGTTCTTCAGCCAAGGCTTGCTCGAGAGTGACGACAGGAATGGTAGAAACGTCAAATGCGGCGGCGAAGGTGTCTTTGTCATTAGATGTCACATACATGACAAGCTGGTGTTCGAACGTTGAAAGCGAATACATTGATTCTAGATGATTTAGTAAAGCAGGTACGACGTCGGAGCTGAACTTACCATTCTTGATGAACACGTCAGCCACCGCGTCCTCTTCAGCCATCAACCGAAGGTTTAGGGCCGCACGATCACGGACTTCGTCGTCGGTATCATCGAGGCACCGGGTAAGCAGAACAGAAACGCTGGACTTGACTTCGGGATCCTTCTGGCCCACACCGAACTTGGCCAAAGCTGTCACAGCAGCAGCTCGAACAATGGCGTTTTCAAGGACCACTCTGTTGTAAATGTACCGAATATACTTTGTCGGCTGTGACGTTTTCGGGCCCTCGACACCAAGAAGATGCAAAACTCGGACAGAGAGTTTTGTGAACTCGCAATCCTCGATGAATTCACACAGATGAGCGAGAGCTGCGATTCAAGTTAGTAGAGAACAGATTATGTAGATCAACCCCTTACCGTCCTCTTTGCTCTCGGGAACAAATTTGATAAGGTCGAACATGCTCTCAACGACGCTCCGCTTGAATTCATAGCCACCCTCGTCTCGCAATATACCACTGAGGAAAGAAAGCATGCCTGCTTGCTTGCTTGGGAACTTCAAGCACAGGGTTCGAATGGCTTCCACAATTGTGATCTTGAATTCATCAGTGATATCAGCCATGAAGCCCGAGATTTGCTTCATCAGACGGTCGACGCTAGCTTCGTTGCCGGTCTTCAGGAGTGTGGTGATGGCGAAGGTGGCGATAGACCGGTTGGAATTGGAGATTAGCGATTCAATATCAGGGTTGCATACGTTTACAACGTGAGGCTTAAACGACGCGAATCGGTGGAGAATGCGGATGGCTGCGAACTTGGTGATGGCACGGGGCGAGGAGAGGAACAGCTGGAGGACATGGACAGCTTGAGACGCCTCCGCATCGGTAACATCCCTTATGTCGCAGATTGCCTTTGCAGCCTCGAAGTTCACCATCTCGTGTTTGTGCCGAAGCCATCCATCCAACATCTGCATCATCGGCTTCCTCAGGCCTTGATCCTCTTCGGCCAGTTTTGCGGCGAGTCGCACGAGAAGAACAAGGGCAGCGGGGCTCTTCACCACGCCCGCAGCGCCGTACTGTTGGACCATCTTGACAAGTGCCATACGGTCGTGAGAACGCATCTGATACAGAAGACCAATTGCATGATATTGGGTCATAAAATTTGACTGCGAGATGGCGTGGGCCTGGGAACTGCCCCCGAATCCAAGGAAACCAGTCGACTGCTTTGATGACGAAGCGGCTTCTTGAGTCTCACTCTGCCACCTGCGGACCACGTCACGCGCAATTGGGAGAAGGTGATATGAGGAAACTAGCGCGGCGGAGGAGACGGAGGGGGTCTTGTCGACAATGGCCGTTTTGATCAATCGCTCGATGCCCTGTACAGTCGTTGCCTAAATAATTGTTAGATGACCTTACCGTACCCCAAGCTTGTTAGAGAGACTCACATCGATGATGCGGCACAGGGCCCGAATAGCATTGGCTCGGTAAAGAACGTCACTACCGACTGCGGTATCCTTCATGATAATGCTAGTGGACATAATAACATCTTCGGCCGTGTTTGCTAGCTCCTTCAAGATGAGGTATACCATCTGCCGTAGTGAGGGATCCTTGTTCTGGAATAGTTTTGAGATACCAAAGAACAGGGTAGTTGCTTCATTTGTGGGGAATTGTTCGCCAGTGAAGACAAGGACGGCAATTTTGGTCAGGAGCGTGCGGCATTGCCGTGGGGATATCGGCGAAGTATTGAACAGCCGTGCTGTAACGGGAGAACAGACACTATGTCAGTGAAAGCTCCTCCGGGTAATAATGCAGCTGCGGTTTGGGAGTGGCCTCTCACCATCTTGGAAAACAGAGGTCCGATCCAGCTTTATCATAGTCTGGTCGGCATCCTCATCCTTTTTCATGTAACTCATGATAGCGAGCCGCTGAACGTGCAGCAGAGAGAAGCCTCTCTAGCTTGCTCTTCGTCGGGGATTCGTGTGCTTGCGGGGAGAGGTCAGGGTCACGGAGAGGGACCCAGATAATGTGGGTTTAGATGTTCGGATTGCGCGATTGATAGACAGAAGGAAGAAATTCGGATCCTAGCATGCCCTCATTATCTGGTGGAGAGGAGGGAGGAAGATATAACGCCGAAGGGTAACCGGCCCGGACAGCAGCTTAAGTTGATACCTTCAACAGTCCAACTCCCAAAAGGTGGCCTCCCGCCGTGTGGGCGTCTACTAGCCACACTGTGGCTGGAATCAAACACTGCAAACTCGCCCTCTTCATAATTCGATCTCATGCACCTATGTATGGGCTTCATGCTCAGAAGGTATTCTTCTTAACTGACTATCTAGTTCTCTAACGGTCGGCGGCCTGTAAAATTTCACAGTTTACCCAAGTATCAGTTGGGACAGAGCATTCTTTTGATGCACCCGACCGAGTCTACGCAGGTTTCATCCAGCACTAGAAGATAGCTTGGTATGAACACTTGGAAGTAGCCCTACGCTTGTAGTGAGAAACATCAGAACAATGTACAATAGTTGATGTATATAGTAATATACAGTATTTTATTGTCTACTCCTCAAGAAGACCAAGGGGTCGAGCAGCTCTAGCTGCCTCATACTCCACCTTTGTCATTTCCGCACCAAACAACCACTGCGGGCGGACGACTGCTGGAGCCAACCGAAGCGCTCTTTCTCCCTCTCCAGGCTTTTTGTTCCACTTCAAGTTCCAACGTTCTTCACTCCTCGTTCTATCCTACCACTCTCCATATACTGTCCTCCCTCCTCAACTCTTCTTTCTCCCCTCCTTTCTCCTTCCTCTCTCCCCCCTCCTTCACTTCCCCTCCCGCCAGATCGTCCGATTTCTGTTCCTTTCGCCGTCCCACGTTCCCCCGCCCAACCCCTCTGGATTCTGACCCCCCGTCCTCGCGACTCCGCGTCAACCCATTCTCCATCTAGAACTCCTCTCGAATATCCTTTCTTCACCTTTCCACAGCTCATCCTGTAAGTTATACTCTCATGAAGCCGCTGTTTGCCACCGACGTCTCTCCCGTGTGCGCAACCAGGAACTGGACGCCACTGGGTGTCACCTCCGTTCGACACGCGATAGTTTCGAAACAATTGATCAACATCCTTGAAACTAACTTATGAGGCAGTCCACTTCATCACACTATCTATCCTTCAACCTACCTACTCAAAACATTCGAAAACATGGAGCCTACTGACATCGACCTCCACGAAACACCCGATGCTGGTGATGTCGACATGATGTCGCGTGAAGCTCCCGAAGACGATGTCCCCGTCTCCGAATCCATGGAGACAGATTCCCCCTCGCAACTGGGTCACGTGACTCTACGTGCAATCATTTCATCCAAAGAGGCCGGGATCGTGATAGGCAAAGCAGGCAAGAATGTGGCTGATTTACGCGACGAAACAGGCGTGAAAGCCGGTGTGAGCAAGGTCATTCCCGGCGTCCACGATCGCGTCCTTACCATCACCGGTCCTTTGGCTGGCACTGCGCGAGCTTATGCTCTCGTCGCAAAGGGATTGCTGGAAGGTGCCCCGCAGATGGGCATGGGTGGAATTGTCTCCAATAATGGCACTCACCGTAAGCCTCCCCGCAGCACCTAGTACTAAGTATCAGACTGACCTTTTTTCAGCTATTCGTCTCCTAATTTCCCACAATCAAATGGGCACCATCATCGGCCGCCAAGGTTTGAAGATAAAACATATTCAGGACGCCTCAGGCGTGCGAATGGTTGCTCAGAAGGAGATGCTTCCCCAATCTACTGAGCGTATCGTTGAAGTACAAGGAACCCCCGAGGGAATCGAGAAAGCTGTCTGGGAGATTGGAAAGTGCCTAATTGATGACTGGCAACGCGGAACGGGAACCATTCTGTACAATCCCGCCGTTCGCTCAACAGTTGGAGGTAGCGGTGGCCAAGTGCACCATAATGGTGGAAATGGAGAGAGCTTCAGCAGCCGACCTTACAACCGCACTGGTAACGGCGCTGACTTTAGTGACCAGTCCGGCGGTTATGGCAGACGCTCGAACCCTGACACTGGCAACCGCGGTTACCCTCTTGTCACCGAAGACGGCGAGGAGATTCAGACGCAGAATATCAGCATTCCGGCTGATATGGTTGGGTGCATCATTGGTAGAGCTGGAAGCAAGATCACTGAGATCCGCCGGAGCTCTGGAGCCCGCATTTCCATTGCCAAGGCTCCCCATGACGAGACTGGAGAACGCATGTTCACCATCATGGGAAGCGCTCAGGCTAACGAGAAGGCTCTTTACCTTTTGTACGAGAACCTTGAAGCTGAAAAAACCCGCCGCAGCCAGCTGCAAGAATAATTCCTTGAGATGCCTTGACTGACCGATTCACCACTTCTCAATCTTTCTTGCCCAAATACCAGAATTGTTTGCGTCACTTCCGCGTTCCTAATAGCTTTCCCTGTCGCTCCTGTGTTTCTTCCTTAATATCTTCTACCGTGCATCTTTCTGGTCAACCAGAAGCAAGGAATACGCCGCAAATTGCGCATCACGCGAGGTATATTATCTGATCTCCATGTCTTTTCTGATCCCAGCTGATCGGAGAGGTGAATTACCAGCGTGATGAGCTTCGCCTTAGTCAACTTCGTTGTTCCCTGGTGCTTTCTTGCCTCTGTTTGACCACTCCGTTCCTCACCCTACTTTCATTGCCGCCGATTGTCACCCATCACCTGTCCTTTCTCGCCCATCGCCTCCCATATCCTGAAACCAATTACGATTCCAAGATTGACGACTTTGACTTGAATATCTTTATTCCGTCTACTTGAGATTTTCTCCTATGTGGCACAGCTACCTTGAAAATGTTATGACGACCATCAAATATGTGAAGCCTGCGCCAGCTTGTTATTTCCATTTCTTGTTGCTTCGAGCGGAAAACTTCATCATGCACATTGATGTCAAGTCTACCAGCTGGGAAACAAGAAAGCAAGGAAGGACGGCTCAAGCATGGTCAACAAGCACCATGTGAATTTCGCGCAGCAGACGGCCGAGAGTATAAGACGAATGATTATGACCTGTCTTTGCCATTCAAATTTTTGTAGATCGTAGTCTATGGTAACCTTGTACGACTTTGGGTCTTTGGTGGAACTTGGAGTCTTGAAGGTCTCCATTTGCTATTGCTAGGAAATAAGCAACAGGCACTAGCGGAAGCTAGTATAGAAAAAGATTAGTTTGATCAACACAATGGGCCAGACTGCAGGTACACTTTGTCTTTAATTGTACGCACGCACATATCTACATAACTCGATACGGCTTCTTTGGCATCACTTTCGGGCGGTCGTCTCATGGCCAGGTAAATAGACCCGCTCATACAGTCCTTTTCAAGAGCATCAGCATCCCTACCTACGCTGCAGAACTTATTGAGAACCCAGGCCTATAGATTAGAAGCAACATTTCTCTTACTACAGAGTAGTTTGGTGTGTGCCGCATTAGGTGCAGTCGGTTTAGGGACAGCTGTGTCAAGCATCGTTTCAAGTAGTATGAGCGACGCACGACTTGAAGGCATACGCAGCAACAACCCTGAATTATCAACTCGCTCTCCTATTATCTGAGTTTATCGGCAAGAAACCAAGTAGTGGATGTAGTCTGATCATTCACCGGCCGCAAAGCGATAGAGAGAATTCGAGAATGCATTACATGTATTTGTACATAGAAAGTGGTCAGAGAAACGCACCTTTATCCTATCAATGAACATAGAAAGGCAGAACTGAAAGGAAAAAGAAAAGAAAAACACCAGTTCTCCAAAAAGCCAAACAGAAAAGCAATAACAAGAGGGCAATCCAGAAAGATGCCCGTGATGAAATGATCCTTTGAAACCTAGGTACAATAGTAGACAATAATAATAGAGATAAATATGATGCCATCCATACCCATGCCAGTCGCTCAAACAGAATGAGAATGAGAATAAATGAACCTCGTAAAGTGTATCATATTCAAGTTATGCATGCATGTTCCATTTTTCAAGTCAGGTCAGGTCAGGTCAGGTCAGGTCAGGTCAGGTCAGGTCAGGTCAGGTCAGGTCAGGTCAGGTCAGGTAATGCCATTGCTCAGATCTCGTCGTAAGGATAATTGCGTGTATGTCTTGAAGCGGCGCAAGAAAAAGGACAAAGACGGAAAGGTAAGTGTAAAGCGAAAAAGCAAGAGTCATTATAGAAAAGCGCCATGGTGAGGAGCTCTCAAAACGCCGGCTAAATTAAAGAATCCAGATGGTGTCGCTTGCGTTCGTTATATGGGATGTTGAATGGTGACGTGAGAATTGTCTTTTGAGTTCCCGAGGACCAGCGGAAAATATGGAAAGAAGGGAAGAGAAGAAATCTATTGAATTGGTAACGACGGTCAATCAATGCTGTCGTTGAAGGATTTGGATTGCTTGCTATCGACGGTCGACATCGGGCGCTGCCTGATGCCGAGTCTGCGGCCTCCGAGGCTGTTTGTCCGAAATCGATTCTGCGAGATGGGGGTGTAGCTGGCGGCTAGTTTACTGGACGGAGCAACAATCTTCGTCTGCGGGGTTTCCTGGCGTGGAGAGATTGGTACATCGTCCGCGGGGTTTTCCGAGGCGGTCGATAATCCGTAGCGGCGGGATCCAGCTTGGATATTTGCGCGGGGTATCGCAGGTGTATAAGTAGACGGTGTCATCAGGCTCCGACGCATAGGAATCGCAGATTGTGAGGTTGGGGTTCGCGGTTGAGAAGACCGCTGGTACTCAGCAGCTGATGGCGTAGCCTGGTACGCAAAGGTGTTTCGCTGTCGTGGCGCTGGTCCTTGCGTGGAAGAAGCTGCCCCAATGTCCGTCATACTCCTCGATACTGACCGGCCGTGGGGACTGCGATGTTCTGCACCCTCGTCATCCTGCAGCCTCCTTGCGCGCATGGATACGGAAAGTCGGCTCAGCCTACTCCCGGTCGCTGGTGAGCTCGGCGAGTGCGTTAGTTTGGTGTTTTGCGCAGATGTCTCCGGCGAATGGTGATCGGTGTGATTTGCGAGGCTAGCACGGCGTGCTTCAAGACGGCTTGCGGCCCTGGGGCCACTTTGCCGTCGGCCCGCCTCTTCAGGCTCCTGATTGACACTCCTCCTGTATGATAGCGTCGGAGTGATTGTTCCTTCATCAGTGCCATTCGATTGAGATAACCGGAATGACGCATCTTCGCCAGGCGACTGCTGTTTGGTGTGTTGCTCGTCCGACAGGGCAAGGCATAACTCTGTCAAACTGCGACAGACACTGTCCACTTTCCGTCGCGATTGTCTCTCGGCCGGCCCATATCCATTGACAACAGAGACGCCCCCAGACGGCGTTTTTCCCGTCCCCAATAGCTGTGAGAGCGCCATGGCATCCGTTGCCGTAGCCTCTAATGCTGTATACACTTCCTTGCTCACTGAGCTTCTAGCCTTGACCAACGCAGATTGTAGAAGCGGGTGCACTGGACTTGGCACTGTGATTGTATCGGACTCACCGGAAGCGCTCGTTCTCCGGTGGCGGGGAGACGATGACATGGTTGTTACTGTAGTAGTCGCAGTACGTGGACGCTCTCCAGATGCCGAGGTAATGGCTTCCTGAGACGATGGGGGTAGCTTTCCGGTCAATTCTAATTTCTTAATCCGCGACTTGAGATCCTCCAGCTCATCCCAGACGGTAGAAGGCGCCGTGGTAGAAAGGGTGGATTCTGTCCCATCTTTTTGCGACCGCTCGAGATCGTAACGCGGCTTCTCCGTAGCCTCGGAGCCAGAAGCCTGTCGACTGCTTCGAATAGTAGAAAGCGTGGAGTGGCGGAACGATCGCGAATCATGGAGAGATGAGCGTCGCTCTGAGTTAACCTCATCTTCAGGGCTGGCGCGACTCAGTCGGCTGCGAGGAAGTCCGATCGTCGAGCGCGCGCTCGAGGTGAAACTTGTCTGCGGCGCCCGGCCATGGTCCTCCAGAGGATGGGCAGATGCCGAGTACGAATACGGTAAAGAGCTATATCGCGTTGATGGGGAGGTGTTTTGCGAATTCGCATGCAAGGGGCTTTCAAAGGTATTTGAACGAGGTAGTTGATCGGGAGACGGTGTCACATCGCTACTGACACGAGACGTTGAGGAGCGGAATCCATTACCGGACATCCTAAATCGCGACTACACAAATGAGATAATTCCTTCGTCAGTTCACAAACTATCCACAATCAAACAGTCTGGGGAGAACTCTAATAAACCCCGGAATTAGCTCACTTACCCGTCTAAGTTCGGAGCGACCCAAGGACTCGCGACGGTCCGAGTCCGACCTGGCAATGTTTAGGAATATGTCCTCATTTTTGGCCCGCGATTCATCGGTAACTGAAGACCGCAAGCCATCCTGATGACTGTGCCTCTCGACGCCTTTGACGGCAGGGCCATTCTCGTCACCGTACGATCGCCCTTGAACAAAGGTCGTGGTGGACGATGGCATTCTCCTCTTTACATCCGGAGGTTCCTGCTGGGAGTACAACGTTGATTTGCGACGCTTTTGTGCATTGGGACTCAGCACGCGAGCAGTTGGGTTGGCGTGCTGGGAGAGCGCAGAATCACACCCCTGGGTCGTAGGAGATGGGCTAGGAGGAATTCGCCGAGGTTCTGATGCCGCTTGTGTTTCAACGTGAGACAAATGGAGGTTTGGTACGGATTTTCGGTGCCTGTCATACAAGGAAGGATGCTTGGGGGTTGTTGTCGAGGGAGATTCCGACGCAAGTGTACTACTGCGGTCGACACTGGCAGACTTGAGATGCGAGGTCAAAGCGATCTTGCGAAGAGGTGACTGGAACTCGAAACTGAAGCGACTCTGAGGGAGGCGTGGTAGAGCAGGCAGGGAGGGGGGTTGATGAAGGCGCGAGGGAGATGAGGGCGAAGGAGATGAAGGAGGGTGATGGAGAGAGACGGCGCCGACGGAGGTTGATCCCGTTGTTGAACTTGTGGTGCCGGCGAATGTTAGCGCGCCAGCTTTCCCCGTGTCACGGGGATCTCCCGAAACTGTGAGTCGTCGGTCAATGGCAGCAGAGCGAAGGCGGCCAGACGATTTGCTTCTCGTCAGGTAGTTCCTTTCGCTGAAGTACTCGGGTTTGGTGGTTGGGCTGGCTGGTTCCCTCTGATGCAGCTCAGTCCGGTACCTCGTCCGTGGCGTGAAATCCATGGTCGAGGGACGCGAAAGACGGGCGAAAGCGACGAGACGGTCGCTTGGGGGGGCATCTGTGTCTGGATGGACAATGGAAACGGTCTTTCGGCGGCGTCGAGGGTCCAAACTTGCAGGATGGTTCTTTGTTGCCGGAGTGGGAGTGGTTGGAGAAGGCATTCGAGTGCCAACAAATCCTGCGTCGGGGAGCATCATGCAGCGCTGGTCAGGCATCCAAAGGATGCTGCATATTTAGTCCAATTCAATAGATAGTGATGCCTTGAAAACTCATCCTAGTAGACCAGTTTGCATGGAGAAATTTTCTGTCTCCTGGGCGCGACTCTCTATACAGTAGTACACAAAGTGATTAATAACTACGCCATACATCACAATCTCTGCATGGTCTCTCCCGATCCGATTTGCTAATAATATCGCTTTCATCCACAGAAAACAGGGCGACACTGACAAAAATAAAACAAAATGAAGGACCTGTCCACTATTCTTAACGCTGTGAGTGGTTGGGAGCTGGAATATAAATCTGGCCTGTGGACCTCGCCTTGTTACCTCATGGCTCGGAGAATAATTGCACTGGATCAAGCTGACAGGTATTACTGTTCATACTCCGGACTACTCCGTAGAAACTTATAGGGCTATTTCTTGTATCTTAGGTGTGTTCTTCCGCCGGAAATCCTATCAAAGGCGTGGCTAGAAAAAGAAAGAAATCGAAAAGTACAAAAGCCCCACTGGGTCGTGTTGTCATCTTATACTCCAGTTCCTCTAGCAACAGTGTGCCCCCGGTCACGAACCGTGGATTTATGCCATAGTTCCATGGTTCCGATGCTGGCAAGCGAGCCATGTTTGCAGCCCACCGAGACAAATGGAGGAGAGGATAATCTCTCACACAGATTTGATATCACTATTTAATCCAACTAAAATAATATGTGGGATGACTGGAAGTAATATATAAGGAGTATTAATTAATATTGCTAAAGTGCAGTTATCTGTTGTGATATAATAAAAGGCGAAATATCCATGATCTACTCAGGGAAGCCTAGTCTAACGGCCATGTCGAGTCTCCAAATGACGGAGATTCTCCAGACGGATATGTGTGCCGTCCGTGGAGCAACGAATGATCGCCTCCATGAAGTAAATTTGGCTTACCATTATTGTCTGTGAACTTTAAAGGGCCGAAGGCTGCGAGTCTCGTCCGACTTATCGCGACCTTTCCGCCAACAACGGCTCTCAAAGCCTGCTTTCTCGGACGTCTTGTCTGCAATAACTTGATGGGTTTAAATTATTGCCATATTCTGGTCGATGGCCTCGAAAGATTGCATCCTGCTCGGTTCTCCAGGTCTCCGTCTTGTGTATGCGATTACGATCAAAACCGTGAACTGGAGGAACGAGTGATCCGAAACTCGCCCTTGTCACTGCCAATGTTTCCATAAGACATAATAGACTGTGATGCAAATGATTGAGACCCAACCGTGAAACTAGCTCCCACGAGGCGGGATACTCAAGAGGAGGAAGCAATTCCCGTCCTCTCGATTGAATTGTTGGCACGTCACTGGGTTGCAACCATGACATGAAGCCGTTAGCAACCAGTGTCATATGTTCAGACGTTGGCCGCATGAAACAACCGCGAAGCTTTGGCAGGGAAACGCTCAGAAGAGACCGTTGCGCTAGATTGTTTCAGCATAAACTGCGCGCAACGAAGACTTCATATATTTCCTAAATCAGCCATCGCCATGAGTCCACAACTCTGTCGCGGCCCGCAAGGGTCGTGAGGAAGGCATCAAGTAGATTGAACTGGCTGTGCTCACCTTCCTGAAGAGCCTCGCTTGGGCAACTCAATCACAGATCAGATGATTTTCTGAGGGAAATTGAGTCCATTGCAATCAAACATGACCCACAAAAGGCACCAAAACATCGCAGGTTGAAGAGAACAGAGGGTCCAAGTTCTTCTCAGTTTGTCCATTTCCGACTGCAAAAGCTCAAAGGATCATGCCAACGCGGCTCATATCGCGCGGTGCGCGCACTTGCATATTGCCACTACCGTGGGCTGGACCGCTGGTTTTTGTTGAAACCTGAGTGTGGGAGACAAGCTCCATGATCACCCATGGCTTTCAGAAGGGCGTAATTCGCATGTAGATAAGCTGGTGTCAATCCGCAAGAGTACAGGCCAATGGAGACAATCTTGGGCGTCAATCATGATGCCATGATGGAGCAGCGCTCGGAAGGAGAAACTCGAGATTCCCCAGAAGTTGATCAGGGTACACGTGACCGTGGGGAATTGAGGCGTGATAGTTAGAAATAGTATCGGTCTGGTGCGTTTCAGATTCAGCCGAATCCACTTCGCCTCATCAGTTCGAACTAGCGCGCGCTGGTTGTGTTTCACCTGCAGCATCGCCAGCACAGCAGCGTTCGTCAAAATGATTGCTTGCCCATTTTTCGGCGAGGTTTCAGTGGTGGCAGTTCGTAGAGCTTCCCCGTTCCAGGGGTCACTGTCTGGGATAGACTGGCGCACCTGGTTACAGTCAGCCTTTTCTGTTTCATCGTCTCGAGCTAGGTAGCGAGAGGAAGCATTTCTGAATGTCGCAATGCGGCCACTGTCTCGTAAAAACAATCGGTCGACCGACTGGCAATTGATCTCAGCTCCAAACTTTTCTTTCCTCTCAAGCATTGTTGTTGTTGATTCTTTTCCAGTTCTTCTACTGTTTCCTGTTGCTGCGTTTGGCTTTCCTTTGTGGCAGCGCTCGAGATATACTCCAAATCAAAAACCGATCACACTGCAATTTCGCAAGGGGAACCGTGCTCGTAAAGAAGCGGGTCAGGCGTTCATCAGCACGATCATCAAGGATTCGAGGTTCAGTTATCTTCGCCTGCAGGAGATTCAAGTGTCGCATGACTATTGAGACCGTGGGAGGCGCGTCTTCAGACTCTCGCAGCTTCAAGTTTCTCCCGCGTTGAAGACACAATCGTCCGCATCAGTTCTAGAAGGCTTCTTTGAGGCTTCGATTCTTCGACTTGCCGTCCTTTGGGCGACAGAGTTTGGTGCTGGTATTGCGATCGCTGGCGGGTGTGGCATTGGCAGATAAGCATCCTGCGGATCTCGTATCGCCGCGGTATCGATTCATTATTGTCATTTTGCTCGCTGACAGGGCCACCCCAACGCCCAGGGCTTCGAGCCTTCGAGGAATCGAGGCCATCTTGTTGTTCGAGTTGGGGACGAGAAGAACAGAGAGTCCCAGGTAAGTAGTATGCAGCTTATCCAAGTTCATACCCTTTATTTGCCTCGTTATGCTCCCTGTTTGCCATTTGGAATCCCGATGACAGTCCCTGCACATGCCCTTGTTACACACAGCAGAGGGAGACACGCGGATGAAAAGCTCCAGAAGCAATTTGACTATTTGCATCAGAATCTGGAATTCATCTGACTTCGCTGAAAAATGCGTTGCGATCTGTGTGGCTTCTCCCGATTCAGGTCCACCCCTCCGTTCTATACCCACCCCGTTCATTTTGCTTCTGTTTCGCCTCCTCTCTGCAGTCTGGAGTCTGAGTTGCTCCAACTTCCTCCGTTGCAGACCCCCTCCGGCACAGAGCAGCGCATCTCGACTGGCTCGATGCGAGAAGTGTTGGGAGGAGCTGGCCTGTGATTTGCGATCGTTTAGCGCCCTGATGCAGCTTCCAGCCTCTCGAACCAACCTGGGCGGCTAAATTTAGAGCTCCAGCGATGGCGGGTTTGTGGCTCTGCGCTGTGGTTGGCTTCGCGCATCTCGCTGACCGGGGCCCGTCTTCCTCCTGTTCCACTTGCGTTGCAGCGGTCATTGGCCGTCCTTGAAAAACGCGGCCGACTCTGGCCAATCCCCAGCACCAGTGCCCCATCTTTTTCCCTTCCCGTCGTCTGCGACACTTGAAGCTCGTTTCCAGCTGTATCAGTATTGCTTATGTACCGGTATTGTTCCAGTTTCAGTGTGCTTTGCATCTCTCCAGCGCTGCCATCGTTCCTCCACTCTCACTCTCGCTGCCTCTTGTCTTTTGGCTCGTTCTCAAGGGCTTTTTTTTCTCTTCCTTCTCATGTGTGACGGCCTGGTGTCTGTCTCTTCCTGATTCCTGTCCCCAATCTCCAGCGCTCTTCATCTCTTCCCTCATCTCTCAAGGCCTCTTCCTCTTCCTCCCCTCCTCACCACACGCCCCTCCCTCTCTGTGTCCTCGTACCTTTCAACCTGCCCTTCGCCCTTCGTCGCTGCTGTGGGCAGTCGTTATAAGGCCATTCTCCTGCATTTCCCTCCAGGCCGACGCAAAGAACCGTTCCTTTCGTCATTCCCAGGGAACGACTGCCCACACGACTTCTACTCGGAATACCGGGTGGCACATATTCCTTCTATATCACTTTGACCGTTGCACCCAAGAGGACCACTTTGTTTTTGTTCTTTCTCATTGGCCCCTCTCTCTATATTCTTCTCACCCCAGTCTCTTGACATCGCTCCTTTGATCCTCCGAACCGTCCTTGCGCCTTGCAGGAACCTCCACGTTCCCTTATACTGTTCTCTCGCTGACAGATCCCAATAGCGAACACTCTGGTATGTGGCCTCGATAGAAGTCCATTGTTGGTCGAGCTGCTTTCCGTCGCTTTGATACTCTCGTTTGCCTTTGCCGGGCTGTGGAATAAGCGCCTTCTTGCGTCTATCTACCCCCTCTTCATCCAATAGCTTTATTGTGATCACTTGCGAACCGGACTGATCGTCGGTCTGGTTTCACTCTCCTTGCAGCTCTGCTTCCTTTTCTTCCGGCGGCTTCCATATTTGAACCGCCAACATAACTGAAACATGGAAACTGATTATCCTCTGTGCAAAAGGTCGTTTGCGCTGGTAGCAAGCACGACTCTCCCCAGTCTTCCCAAGTCTGCTCACAGACACTGCCCGCCGGATATAACACCGCCACTATCTGTCATTATACCTACTACTACACCCCAATCCTGCGGCGATTCCGGGAGGGCGTCTCCTTTCAAACGCCGGTGTACCTCGCAGCTTGATCTCACCATGCCCGTTCAAACTAGCCCACCGTCGCTGCCGGATTCGTTTCCATCATTTATGTCGGTGTTTGGTGGGGAGTCGCATATCTCGCTTGGAAAGGAGGAACAACATCCGCAAATCCATCCACTCAGACTTCCGACTAATGTTACGGTCAACACATCGCGACGTCCCCTTCCTTTCCAGCACCGTGAGAGCGTCTCCTCTGTAACATCTGGATCCGCCGATTCTTCTCCAACAACTACCGTCTCAACCTTCGACTCGCCCATCACATCCGATACTTCTCCGGGGTCGTCGCCTGAATCGCCAACGTCGATGCCGCTTTCATACTCAAAATTCATGGCTGCGCCGCGCAATTTCGAAAATCAAGCGCTCTCTACGGCACAGAGCAATCTTTCCAAGATGACGTCGGACCTACCCCAGCGGCGACCTGACTCCCCGGGGAGGCGGGACCGTAACCTTAAAAACCTCTCATTGAGAATGCCTCCACCGCTCAGTTCGTCACGTCCTTCAATATCAACTGCTTCTATAATCGAAACAAATTCTCAGCATCATTTGTCCGCTCCTCCTTCGCCCATAAATATGCCTGCAAAGGGTATGCGGCGCAAACCTGCCGGTCTTACGATCCGCACCCCGGGATTTGATCGCTCTTTCTCCGGCAACATCCCCGAACTAGTCCCGCCAACTCCCCATGGCCGACTATCATTGCGACACACAGAGTCGTCGCCTTCTCTTACCTCTGTCTTTTCGCCGTCATTTGGCCCTAAAGGTGGCATGTCATTGCCGCGACCGAGCACGCAACATGGTTATCGGCGGCCGTCTGCCGCTGCCTCCGAGGATAACCTTTCGCCCGTGCCTTCGGTTGCTGGCGAGGAGCCAACACCGGAAGGGATCTTGCACGAATTGGCGGAAGAAGATGACCCGCCGCTCGATTCTAGAGAATCTGCGCAACGCAGCGAGCGCGGCTACCCTAACGGACCCATTCAAATATATGATTCCGGTGTGTTTTTGTACCTCGAGCCGACAATGGAAGAAGCTTCCAAGTTTGACGTCGTCGTAAATGTGGCCAAGGAGGTGACCAATCCGTTCAAGAAGACCGATGGCTCTCAAACAGTAATGAGTACTTGGCGCAATGGAGCTGAGAATCTCAAGCGACAATCGTGCTCAACACCTTTTACAGCATTTTCTGACACATCCTTCAAGTCGGCTTTCGAGTACCTTCCTAGTGACGAGTCGACTCCCGCAGCACCGCGCAATGAACCGTCTGGGCCGGAGTATGTCCACGTAGGGTGGGACCACAATTCGGAAATTCTGGATGATTTGTACCCACTATGTGAGCTGATTGACTCGCGGATATCCCAAGGGAAAAAGGTCCTTGTCCACTGCCAACTTGGTGCAAGTCGATCTGCTTCCCTGGTAATCGCATACGGACTGTTCAAGAACCCGACCTTGGATTTCAACGCCATGTACGAAACAGTCAAAGAACGGAGCCGGTGGGTCTCGCCGAATATGAGCCTCATCTATCAGTTGACGGATTTCCGCTCGCGGTTGGTGCGTGGCTCACGGCCTTCTTCTGGGGACTGGTCATTCAGGGGTTCAGCGCCCCAAACGCCGCTCTCTGGTCGAACCGGGTCTCAGGCCGACATTGCAGCTGGCAGTCCTGACAATGCCCTGCTATCATCGAATACGTTCTCACAAAGCTCCTTCAGCTCTAACTCTCTCTCGGTACCATCCACCGACCGCACAACACCCGTGTCGACCAACAGTTTGGGGTTTCCCAAGTCCTTATCTAAGAAGCGGAGCGTTTCACCAAGGCCCTTGGCTCTGCGACAAAGTTTTTTCAACCCAGAAATAGGAAAGGCAGAATCTGTTCCCACCGCTGGGCCTTTCAAGGACGGGAAAAGCGATGACCCGGCTATGGATGCTTTCAAGGAGCCTGCCCTTTTTTCTCCACGAACAACAGGCTTTCTGGCACCTCGTCCGCGCCCGTTATCGGGAATTTTGGAGAATGGTCAACCGAACGGCCTTCCACTGCAGATTGCGGACCCTCGGTCGCCTCCGCAAGGTCAGGAGCGGCTGATTATGAGAAACATCGACGAGTTTTTGTGATTCGACACCGACTCACACTCGCGAAATGATTCCATGACCACCTCGCCTTCGCTTATATCTTCTTTTTTTCCCTACGGAATTTCCTCATATTCACTTCAAACGACTTCACGAACCGAAAGCAGGCTTTACGGTTGTTAATTGTTGCATTCACATTCCATTCGTCCACTCTATTGCTGCCATTCTTCCAGCCATCGAGCTGGGCATGGCATGCTTCATCTTGGCGTCCTGGGCGTTCAAAAGAGATAAAGGTTCGGATACTCGTGCCTATTAACTTGTAATATTATTGCGATATGGTTGGGCTGGTGGGCGATCTACACCCCCACATACATTCTTTCTATTTCTTAATCTGTGATGGCGGTCGAATACCCATGGGACTATCAGAATACATGTTATGAACTGCACAATTCTTCCTGAAAACATATCGTAGTGATTGTAAATGTACATCATACCAATGCTTCCAAAGTAATGCTGGAACTATCTACTCACCTGTAGACTGAGGGGATCTCAGTGCGGGCCGAACAACAACCCGAGATTTTTTTTCCTCCTCTCCTGACCTCGCTATGCCACAGCGTAACGAGACCGATTTCCAAAATGGCAGACTCTTCGGATGACCCTCATCCATCCCATCTCTCTCCTAGCGAACTAGGAACGAAAGAATAGTACGTTTTATTACAAGAGCCCTCCCTCCCAAAGCTACCCCGCTACTACCCCTCGAAAACCACAGGAAGTCGAACTTCAACTCGCATGTATACCTTTAACTGACAAGGCCCCAGCTGGGAAACATTCTACTCCAGAACCCTAACGCACATCTCCTCAAAACCAGACCGCGGCAATGCCGTAACCTCCCTCTCCTCCTCCGCCGCCGAAGTTGCCGACAACAACATCTCAGACGACGAAAGTGAAGACTCCTACAACGCCGACTCGGACCCCGGCACCTCCTGGTTCTCCGAACACAACGCGCCCCAAAAGGTCCTCTCCTTCCTTACGCGAGATAAATTCCCGCTCGCGCCATGCAATACACTCCCCGCGACCCTGCAGGGGAGACGAAAAGCGGGGAGGCCACTGAGTGCCACTGAGAAGGACGCGCAGCCAAGTATCTTGGACTTGGGTACGGGGAACGGGAGCATGCTTGCTCTTCTAAGGAAGCGGGGTGGGTTCCGGGGGACAATGGTTGGGGTGGATTATTCGGAGAAGAGTGTGGAGTTGGCAAGGGAGTTGCAGAGGTCTAGGAGGCATGAGGCTTACTTGTCGGGTTCTGATGATGAGGAGGAGGAGTATCATGGGTCTGCGGATGAGGGTGAGGGTGTGGGTGATAACCCAGCAGACGCAGACGCAGAAGAGGAATGGGAGGAAATCCGCTTCGAGGAGTGGGACATCCTCAACTCCGGCGATGATCTCGCCTCCGAGAAGCTAGACTGGTTTCCGTACGGCAAGGGCGGGTTTGATATCGTCCTTGACAAGGGGACGTTTGATGCCGTGTCGCTCATGGTTGAGAAAAGCGAGTGTGAACGGTACCCGGGGATTGCGGCGGACTTGGTTCGCAAGGGTGGATTTATCGTTGTCACCAGCTGCAACTGGACCGAAGAGGAGCTTGTGCGGTGGTTTACTGCTCCTACGGCGACTGGGGCTGGTGACTCGGAGAAGGCGGCGAAGCTGGTCGTCTGGGGAAGAGTGCAGTATCCACGGTTCAGATTCGGAGGGCAAGAAGGGCAGGGCGTTTGCACGGTGTGTTTTCAGCGTGTCTAATTGATATAGTCTACAGTCTATAGTCTATATCATAAATCGTATAGACGCATGCCCCATGCAGTTGTCTTTGAACCCTAAACCCCGGGCTCGCGCTCAAATTCAAGAAGCATGCCTCAGCAGCGCAATAACGCACCACCTTGTCCGATTCCCAGGCCCCTCTCCCTCTCTAACCTCAACCCATTCTCTCCTCACCTCCTCTCCTTCCGCACTTGAGATCAAATCCCGCTCGAATATTTCCTCGATCTCCAACCCCATCTCGACAGCCGTCGCAAAGAACCCAGCCACACTCTCTCTTCCCGTATGAAATCCCGCGACAACCCAAACTATCCCCCCAGGGGCAAGGAACCACTTCATCGTACGCGCGAGGTTCTCGTGTTGCGAGGGCATCCAGTAGCAGTCTGCTGCAATGATTCGCGTGTAGGCGGCTTTGCGGGAGACGGCCCAGGGGTCAGAGGAGAGCTTGCCCCATTCATGGGGGACTATTTCGACTGTACTTGTGCTTGTTTCTGGTGAGGAGCTGAGATTATGTGCGACGTTGAAGGATATTGCGCCTGAGGGGCCGAGAGCTGGGGAGAAGGGATGGTCTGTGATTGTTATGGATGAAGCGCCAGCGAGCGCGGCAATGATGGATGGGAGTGCGGCGCCTGTCAGATTTACTTGATTAGCAACCTTCTGACGATATAGGTGGGAAGATAAGGGGAACGAACCAGCGCCTAGCTCCAAAACCGTCTCTCCTTTGACTTTCCACATCCCCGCGTCGCTGTCATGAGCCCGCTCTAACCCATCCGCAACAACCATGCCTGCGCTCCATAATATATGCGCAAAGAGCTTCCGCACCTCGTCCACTTCATTCGCTTCCGTCTCAGCTGCATCCTCCTGGTTCCGGTCCTCCGATTGGCCCGGGTACGAAGGGACCATGATTGTGATGTCGCCGTAGCGTGGAGAGGAGTACAGAAGGTGTTGGCCTGGATCACCATGGAATTGAGGTGCGTCATCCGGGAACATGGTTGAGAGGGAGGAGGAAAAGAGGTCTTCGGCGCTTTCGTCGTCGACATCCTCAGCATCGGCGCCGGGGTCTGTGGTTGAGATGCATGGGTCGGAGGGAAGAGGTTGGTCTGCACGGCGGCGGGGAAGGGCGCGCAGGCGCGAGTGAAACATCTTTATCGAGAGCTGGTGCGATGCATTGATGTGGGAGATAGAGGGGGGAAAACTGCTCTTGTGAAGAAAACTCGCCGAATTTTTGTTGTTGTGAAGGCAAGACCCAGCCCACTATGGCCAATCAGGTTGCGGGTTCAGTGAACTTGGAAGTACACAACGTACTACTAGGTACTCACCAAGACCTCGTCGAGCACCACTTGGTTATTCTAGCTGTATCTTCCCAATGTGCCTATCAAGATACTCGTCACGGCGCTTGTCGAGTTGCTTGGCTAATTCCTCGATGAAGCTTATTGCAAATTGTAGTTGGTGGTGGATCACTCCACATGGTAGACCCATCAATGATAAGGCGAAAATGCCCGGCTGTTCCCCTTCAATTTCCAATTAGTTCCCCATGCAATGATCGGTACTATGCCGTTGCTCTTCTGTTACTGCCTGTGTCCGTTGCGTGTGCAACCAGCTGAAACAGCAAACCGTCTGCTTAACTTATCCCGCATTTCCATGGGTAAACCCTGATGTCAGGATGAGCGGACACACGATCAAAGTCATTGCAGGGGTTTTGGGGGTCGTGTAGGACTCTATCAATGCCCGTCTTGGATCTAGATGCTCGTAAATTCGTGCTGCTGTCGCAGATATATGTATGGGAGCCAAGTCTGATATGCAATGGCGGGCAGAATGCCGATATGGCCGTTGAAGCCTTGGAGGGCGGTCTTCCCCACCGGATGTTTGTTGCGTTGTGGGTTTACGATTGACGTCCCACATTCGTCGTTCTTTCTTATCATTTGTGGTGTCGCGTAATGATAAGATTGGTCTTGAGACTCAGATGTTTGACAATGTGTGAGTGTGCAGCGATGCTGGAGGACAGCCCCGTATTTCAAGTCCGGATCCAAATCCTCGTCTCGTGGTTCGCACAGTCGCGGACAGTCTGGTAACAATGCGGGGGCGGAATTGGCTTCGAACCTTAGATCGTCTCGATTCTTCTCTTCGGAGTTCGGGAAATGACGCTTCAATGCTGTCGAATTGCGCCATTTGACGAGCTGGAGGGCTACTCATGTAAACTCAGCATTTGAGCGGGCTGCGGAATGGGCTCGGAAATATATAACCGGCTCACAGCTCTCCAAGAACTACAAAGATCAAATAAAAATAGTAATGCTTAACATACCTCACCAGCCTGCGAAAAATGAAACTATTTCCCTGCGATTATTGAATAGCTTGACTGAGCTTAGCGATGATTATCATAATATTTGAACACCAATTGCTCGTGATTGGGACGTTATTTAAATTCATTATTGGCAATACTGAAGATCTGAAAGATAAGCTGAGATACCCGGTGAGCAATGCGACAAGGCCCATTATTGTTATCTCGACTGCGATATCGGATGCCTTAGTTGAGGGAACAATTTCAATTAACCATGTTTCATCCTCTGTTCAACGAGTGGGAAAAATATTTGGACAGCAGCAAGCAAGAAAAAAAAAAGTTGGCAAGATGAGAGCTGCACATGACGTTGCACAGCATTGACCTTCTGAACTCCTTCCACCTGGCCATCCTGATAGGTGGCGTAAAACGCAGCCCCGGGACAGGGTCTGTACTAATTTGTTACAATCAGTGGCAGAGCACCCGTGTAATACCGGTACCTGGGTAAGCCCAACCTGGAGCTGGAGAGTCGGAGGCAGTTCCGCAGGGGGGATGATAGTCAGGTTCTCAGGTTTTCTGACTTGCAGGTGGTGCGCTCAGGGCATGTAGAATGGATCATTATTATGAGGTGATATCGACCGACTGGACTGACCCTCGGTCGGCCAACAGTCTAGCCAATTAACGCTTGAGGCTGGCTCAGATGACATCACTTCTTGCCCTAGACCGGGCGATAGATGGGTATTTTGTGACAATACTCATACACTCAGTCTGGCACTCTGAGGCCTCCGCAGCCACATCATGTTACCTCGAGTGACCTGCGCTTTACGAGGTTAAATGCCTCAATATGGAGATTTTAGTGCCATTTGAGTTCAGACTTCCGCTGGTTGTTGGAAATGTTGCCCTGGGCTTGAAAGTCAGAAGACGTTTTACCTAAAATCGTGCAGCATATAGGAAATCATTTGAAGATTAATAATTATAGCACCCCAGGGCCGTCAGGAAGGGGTGTCCTATCATTCGTAGTTTTGCAGCTCTCGGCTCCCAGATGCGGGTGGAGCAAGTCACATCATCCTCTCTGCCTTGTTGTTCGCCCGTTAGTCAGGAACCAGAGCTGAAGATAATCGCTTTTGATCTTCCTGGTCTCGATTTTTTTTTCCCGCCAGGCTCTGTCTTTTCATAAAAAGGTGTAGATAGCAGCCGTCTAGACAGGAGCAAAAAAAAAAAAAGCCGAATTGTTGCGTGTCTGATCGCCGACCCCCGCATTACTGAACTGAATCCATTTGACTAGCAAGCAAGCGCCAGAATCAACCCCCGCAAAGCGAAGTCCAGGCTCCAAGGAAATATCCACTTTACGGTATCCGTCCTGTATCTCTCTGGACTCCCACTCTGTTCCACTGTATTGCTTGTACAGTATTGTGCTTCTGGTGCTCTTCCTGGCTCCCTCCGATTCCATTGCTTCTTTGGCTCAACTCCTGTGACTTTCTTTCTCCTCTTTCTCACCACCTCTCCCTCTCGTTATCCCCTCAGCTCAACCATCTCTCCTTTTTACCCTCGCCTTCTCGTCTCCCTCATTGCCCGTTCCTCTCCTACCGAGCCCTCTTTTCGTTTCCTTGCTCCCTCAATTCCGCCTCGCCCAATTGCTTATCACCGGTGCCCTGAACCTAGTCTTCCTTCGCCCATAGGTACCCTGCGCTCTTCCCGTTATATTCCTACTCCGTACACCCATCTCTGCTCCTGGCATTGCTTCTCCAGCTCTCCTGGATTTCTCCAGACAGCCACTAACTGCAGACTATAGCCTAGTTTTGACTTTACACGCTCCACGGACTTTCTGGGATTGACTTTCCCAAAAGTCCACATACCCACACCATGGCTTCATTCAAGGTAACTTTTTGTTCCCTTTGTCAAGCGTGTCATCTTTTTTTTTTTCCCTGGACAAGACAATGAACTCATACTCTCTTTTTTTTCCGTAGGAATTATCTCTCTCTCGTCCCTTCCCTCAATCTACTCACCGTCACCACTCGCACTCCATTTCCCTTGGTGCCGTCAACTCCAACCATCGGGTGACTCGCCGGAAGAGCGTGACCACCACAGCCGCCGCCAACGCCGCCGCCGCAGTTGCTGCCTCCTTGAAAGATTCTCCCGACTCCATCGGCATTGCCATGCCCGCCCATCGTCGAGGAAGTCGGAAAGGACTAGAATCTAGTTCGCTCGGAGCTACTTCTGCCCTCAGCTCATACCTCTCCCGCAGCGTGAACAGCCCTAGCCGGGACTCCCTGGTCGCCCGCAAGACTTCTCCCAGCCAACGCCAGGACGATTCAACAATGGCTCAGACCGCGGTGGATGGAAGCGTGCCGCCTGGCAAACCCGTCAGCACGAAGAACAGAAACCGACGGGCTAGCGAAGGGTCGCATCTGGTCGTCAAGGGCGAAGGAAAGGGTTCCAGGCCTGAACTTCGCTGCGATCGTTGTGGGAAAGGGTACAAGCATGGCAGTTGCTTGTCCAAGCATATGTGTGTATCCTCCCCCTTCTGCCATCCTGCCGCCCGACTCGGTGGAGCAATGCACCATGTCGGCTTTGCAACAGCCGCCTTCGTGGTCCGCTAGATCCCCTTTTTAGTCCCACGTCCCTTTACACCCCTCGTTACGAAGTTGCAGTCGGTTGACAGTTGTTGGAAAATAATTAGGTGGGAGCATGATCCGGCATGGGCGATCACTTCCAAACTCTTGATTTCCAAGCACCAGCAGGTGCAGCTCTTGGAAGCGGCTTCGGTTCTTGTCACCATGAACGTGGACGACCCGACCGCGGAAAGCGCCGAAGCCGAGTCGGAGACGTCTTCAGCTTCACCAGACGCGTCCTCCGACCTCCGAGACGGTACTAGCTCTGCGGAGACTACACCACCACCGATGGATGAGGATACCGGCGACGATGACATGTTGGTCGAGCCTGAGAAGCACTTCGACTTTGGCAACGCGGGTCCCCAGTACTCCCACTCCTTCCAGTCCATCCCCTCGAGCTCGTTCACGGGCAGCGCGCCGTGGGCTTCCCCGGAATTCTCGCACTTCCGGCACTCGAGCATCGACACCCGTCCCTCTACCGCCGAAGCTAAGCTACACGACGACGACGAAGCGGATTTGGCCGCTGCTATCGGTCTCTGCAATTTCGGGACACCCCGAATGGGGCCGACGTCGATGTCTCCTGGCGTTCCACCTGTGCCACCACTCCCATCCCGCTTCCTGGACCAGGCCGGCTCTGCGGGGAACCACAATCTAGGCCAGTCAGGGCCTACCGTTGCCAATACCACTTTAGCAGGCTCCAACAAGGACACGTTCCTCTCCTTGTCCTACAATCCGTCTCTGTCGTACAAGGTGTCGGACGAGCGTGAGGTACGAATGGGGAACACCGAACGCAGCAACCGACAAACCCGCAATGCCGATGTTGATTTCGGCAGCCGCCCCACTCACGCGGATGACGACGACGACGGTGTTTTTGGGCGGATGGAGGAATAAAAATCCCTCTTTCTCTCCAGGTCTTTCTCCAAGACTGCCTATAACCACGTTATAATCCTCATGACATGTACGAGAGCCTGCGTGAACTTTGTGCGAATGTTGTTACTTTGACTAGTTGGAGTTGGAGACCCCCGTTGCGTGTATGACCATTTTCAGGGACTGTACCGCCTCGTTTACTTTGGAACAGGGGCGTTCCCTGCTGCATGATGGAATTCAAGGGTATATTATATTTTCTTTTGTTCTAACCGTCTATGGCCCTACTTGGCTATTTCATACACTTTTTGTATCCTTCCGTGGATCCGATCTCTCCAGATGTTTTCTTTTTCTCTTTATTCTTCTCTTCATTTTATAAACGCCACATTGCAGGGCACTTATACCATCACATGTATAAACATGTATAAATCCTAACAGAGAACATTATTCTAGCATATCCAGCTTATACTGGTCCCGAGTGGTCTCGAATCGCATTTCACCATAGGCTGCTGCCAACAGGCCTTCTTTCCCCCAACAGACTTACAACTTCACACCACATCCCCAATCACCCTTTCCTTCCTTGCCAGGAATTTCAGATCTCTTCACCTTCCTGCGAATCATCTTTAGATTCACCTATTTCCAAGCTGGAAAATGGCTATGATGCACCAACCCGCTGAGCGGCCCAACAACACACGCAAAGAACATCATTTGAATGAGAACACATCACAATCTTGCCTGCCTCTGGAAGAGGCCCTTAACACCCTTTGTTCGTGGATTAGCGATAAGCCTCCCGGAAGAGGATTGTGCTTTCGACTGAAGCTTTCCGCATTCGCAAGTCCATATTTCTCACAGGCCTTGAACGCAGTAGATCCCGATACTTGGGATTTCCACTACGACCCAGAAAGTCAAGTCTTCAAGCTCATTCCCCTACCCCGTGCCGTCCACGAGTCCTTTGACTGGTTTCTCAGAGACACGCTGGCCTACGAATACGCCATGGTTAACACGAGACGAGAGACGGCACCTCCAGGTCTCTGGCGTTCACGGACACCGAATGACGGGATCTGTACCTTCTACCCTTGCCAACCGGAAAGCACAAGCTGTTACGAAATGTCCAGATTCTGCTGTTGTCTTCGGCAACAAGCGTGTTGAACCTTTGATCCCAACGGTAGTAGTGGAAGTCGGGTTCAGTCAGTCGTACGAGGATCTTGTGCTGGACGCCCGACAATGGTTGCTAAGGTCTACGCGACCGCCGAACGTTGTTATCCTCGTTAAAATCGAGGAGGGCATTGCAAGCCTAAGATCGCACAAATGCACCATAGCATACCAGTCCCGATTGAAGACTTTGCTCCTCCAACACTGCGACGCCTACGCGCTCGCCAGCGCTGATTTAGATGGGACCGGGGCCCCTGAGATCAACGTGGATGTTCTAAGGAAGCAGATTGTCATTGAAGACTGGGTAGAAAATCTGAGGGTTTTCATTGAAGTATGGCTTCGCAGTTCTGCGGAGTCTGACAACATTTGCAGTCGAGGCGCACGCTGTGTAAGTTTGGTCTTTTTATGGTTTTTTTCTCGGGCCCTCCTTGGTTTTCCCCCGTCCCGCCCGCCCACTTCTCTTTCGAGACCTGTACATTGTTTTTGCCTAGCTAATTCATTCAGCACATCCTACCAGTGCCCGAAACACCGACAGACCCCGTCCTCTACATCACCGATTTGATCCCAGATCAGCACCAACAAAGATTCCAGCCGTTTGACCGGAATAGGCAATTAACACTCGATATGAAAGATTTTGAGTCCGTGTTTCCAGACAGTTGAAAACAACTAGCTATGGACCATGCGCAGGATGATACTTCGGTGCGGGACGAAGTACGATGTTGTTGACCCGGATTTTTCTGTCTAAGACTATGTTTACTCGCATATGAAGGCCCGGTGATATCCTCCACATTTAATTTCCTCTGTGTGTGTGTGGTGGGAATGGACTCTTCTTCGGATGGAGTGCTACACAGCCTTGTAACGTGTTTCACTTGAAGCCTGGATAGTGGATTATAATTTGTGTTTTCACCGGCATTTCCTGATTCTTGCGCTGTCTGAATCGCTACACTTCATCTCCGTTATGTGCGTTGTCTGGAACAATTTCTGACAACGTAGAAAGAATATCTTCTGACCATAGGCAAAATAAGTGATAACGGGAATCCAACCTAGAGAAGCCATGTCTGAGCAAGAGGTCAACATTATCTTCCTTCTGGCACTCGATCGCGTGATGTAGGGCTGTCTTGCAGCCTCAATCTGCGACCTGTGTATGTGCAGTTGCTTTGAGGATCATTGCTGTCACTTCAACTGCGTTGAGCCGTGCAGCGTACATCAAAGCTATCCAACCGTGGCTATCTGTAGCATCTGCGTGTGCGTTGTGTAGCAGAAGCAGCTGTATGGTCTGGGGACCTGCGTGCGAAGCAGCAGCCCGCATTAGGGCTGTGTTGCCATCCGGAGACTTCCAGTTAACATCATGGACTTTAGTAAGAAGGTATTTTAGCATCTCTTCGTGCCCAGGGTGTGCAGCCTCAATCAAGGGCCGCTGCGCCAGGAAAATGGGCATCTCCTCCGAATCCAAGCCGGAGGAGATGAGCTCTTTCGCAAAGTCAAAAAGACCATGGCGTATAGCCAACAAAAGCTGTATTATCACTGGGTCCCCATCGTAAGCCATAGTAGCCTAAGTGAGCGGGCAATAGAACAAGTCACGAGGCGATGATACGTCAAAGCCAGCATTAATCAGAGCTTCCACCACCCTCACATAACAATTTGCAATAGCTTCACTCATCAGAGATCCCATTGCCCAGGGTCCGCGGCTAACATCTAGATCTAGAAGAAATCGCAAGACATCATCATGACCGTGCGAAGCAGCCTCCTGCATGATCAGAAACCAGCCATACTTCACCAAGTAGTATTGCATATTGGAGCTTTCAAGGTAATACTTTAGATTCTTGATTGCCGTGAGGTTACTGGTGTGTGTGGAAGATTTGAATATGTTAGCGAGATTTAACATATAGCCGAGTTCTCGAAGAGCAGCGGCGTATATGCTCTCTCTAAGAGTAAAGTATAAACGCTTGGACGCTCGGACAAGGAAATTCAAGCTACAAGGAGATAGCTCCTCGCTAATACAAAGGAGGAGTGCATCTAGGAGAGAGAGTAAGCTCTTGATTGATTCAGAGATAGTGTTTTCACAGCATGTTCCGGGCATTTTCAAGGATATTTCGATAATAGCATCTCTCTCTTCGGGAAACTGGACAAGCCCGAGAGATGTTGAAGAGCTGCATGGTGCCAGTGTGACGCAGTGCGGGATGAAAGTTGCCTGGAGAGATCAGCCTCATCGATCTGCTGAGGCCCAAACGGTCTCAGTCAGGCACTCGCATTTCCAAGTTCACTATAGCCGGTACCGACATTTAGATCAAAGAGCCTGGGAAAGACAGTTGCGTTGACTTGGGAAACAGTTATTCCTCTTTCCAATAAATCTATAACTAGAAATGACATGATAGTTGGCACGCTCGTTGCTCACTAACACCTCCAACACCGTACACTAACCAAAACTACTCTATGGCTAAGGTGGCCTATTTTCCAGCATCAAAGATCACCTTCTGTACTTTCATCGCATTGAAAATATCATAAGCTTCGGCAGCTTGCGAAAGAGGCATGATATGTTCCGTCATGAATCTATATCACCATTAACATCGGCTTTCTAGCCAACCACGACGGTGAAGCGAATATCGATTACATACCCAAGCAGATGCTGATTCTTCTTCAACACCTCCAGCGCAGCATCCGAAACAGACCGAACGGGACACCGACCCATCTGAAGTGTCACATTCTTTCCGTATGCCTCGCTGCCGTTCCAGGGGATCTATTCAGCAATTAGTACAGTGACTAAGTCGTGCCCCGGAGAATGAAAGAAAACATACCTCTCCATTGTGAACCCCAACACTGCTAATCACTCCCCAAGGCCTGAGCAAATCAAATCCCATTCTCAACGCCGGACTCAACCCTACAACTTCAATGACTGCATCTGCCCCTCTCCCCTCCGTCAGCTCAAGGACTCTCTTGCCCAAACCTTCACGATCGGTCTGGAAATTCCACGGCTCGGCACCGAGGGATCGTGCCAGTTCGAGTCTCGAGGGGACCGAATCGACAGCGAGGATATGCTTGGGTTTGTACTCGAGGGCGTTGATCAGGGCGCAAAGACCAACTGGACCACATCCTATCACGACGGCAATTTGCCCCGCGATTTGCTCAGCGGTGGAGTTCTTGAACGCGTTGAATGCGGCAAAGTATCCTGTTGGGAAGATGTCGCCCATCAGGACGAGGTATTTGTCTTCAATTCCCTGGGGCGATTTGATTACTGTTCCGTCTGCGTGTGGGATTCGGACCTGGGTACAGGCTTTAGTATCGCCCGCAACAATTTCTCTTTCATGTTTCCTCCACTACCCAGCGACCAGGGAAGGAGACGTACGTATTCAGCCTGCGCCCCATCTAGATCATCGCACCCAAGCAGCGCATTCTTATCACACCTGGACGAGAAGCCCTGAGTGCAGTAGAAACACTGCCCGCTTGATAGCAGATCCCCAGATCAATACGCATACCCGGAAGCCAAAGGGTGGGGAGGTGTGGACATACCACGACGTCGTAAACGCTGAGACAACCACATCCCCAACACTCACAGACTTGACCGCGTCCCCAACCTCAACCACTTCCCCAGTCAACTCGTGGCCCATGATGAACCCCGTCCCAGCGGGTTCCAAGCCGCGGTATACATGTAAATCACTGTTTTGCTTTTCATTAGTTCTGTACTTCACCTTTGTGTGACTCAAACCATATTGGTAATAAGTACATACCTCCCACAAAGCGCAGTATAAGTTGCCTTCACAATGATGTCCTCGGGGTGCTGGACTTGGGGAAGTGGCCGGTTGTCAACGGAGACTTTGTATGGGCCGTTGAAAACAACAGCGCGCATTGTTTTGTCGGGCATTGTTCTATTGTTCCTCAGGGAGAATCTTGCTGCTGTGATGTTTGAAGTATCTCGTGGGGTATCGGGGTAGCTCGAGATAAATATCGGCTCCATGTCCGATAAACGGCCTGATGGGCATTTTCTGGTGGGGCCATCCAGTTAACCGATCTGGATCTTGACGATTCGCCGATCGCCAAATGGATTTGACCTCGGCATGTCATAGTATCTCGAATCTATGTTGAGAAAGCTTTGGTATGAGCTGTTCATTAGCATCGTAAAGAACTGAGTTGAGCATGTTGAGTGGATTGGGCGCGACTAACTGAGCTATTTCAAGCTGAAACTGGATCCATTCTGAGAAGCAGCCCCAATCTCACAGCCATCATTCTAACCATATGAGAACAAGTAATAACAGGAATCCAACCATAGCTGCCGAGGCTTGACCGTGCTTGGATCGAATCGACAGTGCCGTATGTGTATGCACGGCATGGATTCCCAGCCTGAACTTGACCAAAACCAAAAAGAGCAACCCGTCCAACGCCGTTCACTTTGCGCCGTGTTGGAAACCACCATTGTACCATCCAATCTGCCCGCGTGTTTCGAACCGCACGAGCCCTACTGGGAAGCCTCGCATGGGAACAAATCCAGTTCGACGATCCGCTGATGTGTCTCTCGGGCAGGGGCCCAAATCAACATTTGATTCTAGCACACCACGCACAGGAGCTCCTCCTCCAGGATGAACTTCCCCTCCTTGTATTTCTCACTGTTTTCGTACGCTTTATCGTATCTCCACCCTACCGTTTCTCTGCATTGTCTGCAAGCGATGTCACGGACGATGTGCCTCCCCGTGGTCATGCTACGTTCCACAGCCTCCGACTGGGTGATATTGACGACATTATTGAAGAGGTACGCTTTGCCATGTTGGCCCCGGAAATTCTGCGCAAAAAGAGAGGTTTAATCAGCGACATCCTTCCAGGCAAAGAGCAAAATCAAGCGTAAAACCAACCCGGCTTATGATGTCGTCATAATCAGCGAGATGAGTTTTGCACGCCTTGCACCCAAAAATTTTGGCGGACGTTAGGTAGACGTTATAGGACAGCCCCATTCTGCACTGTCGCGGAGACCAGTCTTCCCAAGTGCCACAGGACAAGCGAACCTCGAATTTTTGTGGTATATGAGCTACACAAGAGCTAGGCAAGTGAATACGAAATGGTGTCAGTTATAAGATGATGAAGAGTGATATGACAGTCGAGAAATGGTGTGCTGTCTGTATGGTGAGGATCCCGCCTTGCTGTGAAAGCGGAGGTGCAAGGCGGGGAGAGGGGATGACTGGGAAGGAACCGTCAGGCTGAAGTCGCCGGATATCCCGTGGGTGGGGTGGTGGTGGTTGAAGACCTGGTCACAGCTTTAAACGGAAGTTCTATGGGAGGAGAAAAGGCTCTGAGAAGAATGGTCTGTCGTAGGTTGTTTGAGAAGCCGAGCTGGTCTGTGAGTTCAGGATGTCAGGAGAAGGTGTGGAGTAGCCAGATAACCCGATAAGTCACGGGCGCCAGCAGCAGACCATGTCTAGTAAGAGGACACAGCGAGACACTAAGCGCGGCAAGCTCGAATGTTCCGTTGAATTGACTCAGCTGCGCAAATATAGGGTGACAAAGAGGAGCCTGGTCAGGGTGGTGGTCGGGTCGGCTGATCCATGGAGAGCTGAGGTTCCAAAGTACGATAGATTGCCAGGAGGATCATTGACCATCGGCAGCCGCCCTCGAAAATCCTCAACTTGACCACTTTCCAGGGGTACTCACTACTGTCTGCATGAAGGCAAGTGATATTCAGAACGCCAGGCTCATAATTATCTATTTGAATCTCATTATTTCGGTGCATGGAGCATATACTGCAAATGCCCACAGGTTGTAAGATGTACGTGGGGCTTTACTTATCCCTTATCGCTTATCACCAGCCAGAGAAGTAGAGCTTCACATGTCAAATATGGCTCTTTACTGGTTCATAGTAGATTCGGAGCGTGCGCAACAGAGGCACGTCAGCTGTACGAATGCACCAAGGCTGCCAAACTCACCGTTGGCCGAGAAGACCCATGTTGTCCTCCCAGAAATGCCTGCATTCGGTGTGTCCCCAGTGCTCCGTCCACCACTCGCCAAAACTATCCTCCACATTCTCGTCGAGCTTTGGTATCCGTTCGTCTCTCTTCAAGCCGCACAGAGCACACGCATGGGAGGCCTTGATAGCTCCCTGCCCGAGCGTAGCTGTTGTGACTCGGGTAGTCTCCGAGACAACCTGAACTGGGCGTCTTCCAGCAGCCTGAATAACAGAATTGAATAGTGCAGCCCGGTCTCGCCACATGTTTATCACATCAACAGCCTCTTGCTGCTCCTTAATATCCTCATTCTTGGTGACAGTGCTCAACTTCATCCCTCCAACTTTGCCAGAGCGTGCAGGGCCGATACGCATACTCTGACTCAAGATTGCGTCTCTCTTCCACCGCAATGTGCGGCCTGCGACAACCCTCGCGACAGCTTTGAGTGTGCAAATAATGGATAGAGCGACTGCACCTAAGCTTTCCTTTTGCTGAGCTTTCTTTTTGGCTTTGGTACCCTCCTGTCGAAGTTGTTCAAAGAGCCGAGGAAACAGCCCGAGTAGTATCGACGGAGGAGGAATATTGGTTGGACGCACATGACTTGTGGGAGTAGACTGTGTGACTGGCTTGTGTGCTTGCATCGTTCTTACTCCTGATCCTAAAGCGGCCTTGGTGGGTTGTGACAGCTCTCCGCTCTTGCTGGAAACCTGTTGAGCACTTGTCTTTGCGCTAGAAGGTTGACTAGTCTGGATAGGCCCATCGGTAAAGTCTCCCCATTCCTCAAAAGGTTCTTCTTCCATAGGCAACTTTGGCCTCGGCGGCTGCGGCTGGGAGACACAGCTCCCTATTGTCAAAGCATCGTCAATCGACTTTTTGTTGGAAGGGCGGTTATTATGGGAGGGCCTTTCATTCATTGATAAAGTGTCCAAGGAGTCCAACAAATTTGGAATTGCTTGAGCCCCTCGGGAAGGCTTAGAATCGTGCGAGACCTTGGATTTGGAAGCCATCATGGCCTTCTGCTTTTCAGGAGGGTTTAAGTGAGATCGAGTGGGCGGCGCTTCTGCAGTTTCGAATTCACCCCAGTCATCGCTGCCGTCATCTGAAAAGCTCTCCAGCGTAGCATCGAAAAGCACATCATTGCCGTTGACAGGCTGCTGGGGCTGCTCAAAGTCACCAAAATCATTGAACTCAGAACGTATCGGGTAACCAGTAGCACCTTGCTGTTGTGTATATGACGGAGTAGGCCCATTCAGATGATTGGAAGATTGAGCTGTGAAAGCCTGATCGGCTATGTCGAAATCTGGGATTAAAGAGCTGGTCTGAGATATGACAGCTTGCTGGTTTGGAGCTCTTGAAGGGTGGCTGGTGGATGGCCCAACTCCAAACTCAGCGAACAGGTCTGCCGACATGGGGAATTGTACACTCCGTCCATGGGATCGCGTTCAGCTGGGCTTTGAGAAGAATGTCCTTTGTGGATGTTGAGAGGTGTTGGATTTCGTTGGCGGGGAGAAGGGAGCCTGTGCCAAGACCCACACCCTGTATGAGGAGACCGGCCCCAGACATCGATCGTCATAATTGTCAGTTACTGTTCCAACTCCCGTCTTATCTGTCAAGTCACCCTCCTTTCGAGCTCCCACCGCAGACCACAACACACTGGACATGGAGAAATGAGGGGTATCGAAGATTCCAGGTATATTCTCTCTTGCTATTCTAAAATCACATTATAGCTGACTGTCGCATTAGACAGAGATGGAATACCCTGTTTCACCACCGCGATACACCTTCAGACCTTCGAGATGCGCTCAAGTCGGAACAAGAAGATGATATATGCAATGATGGGCTGAGGTCAATATGCTGGAAGGCATGCGCCCGTGATGGTTTTCACATTGGTTCCTGCGCTTACCCGGGTACAGGCGTTTCTGCTTTTCGAAGACTCTAGTCGTACACAATGGCCAAGCAAAATCTCAGAGGCGCGTGGCGCCTACATCGCATTGAAAGAGCACTTTCTCAAGTATATCGAACATCCGGATGATCTGCAGTCGAGTATCGATCCGCTTGCGGACGATGAACAAGTACGCGATATCAGATATACGGTGGAATCTACTAATGCCGTCATAGTCTCCATGGCAAACGTTGCGAGAAGATGAGCAGATGAGGGCAGATATATCCCAAGATGTTGACCGGTGTTTGCAAGAAAACCTTTTCTTTCGCGAGCCCGCAACCAAGATGAAGATGATTGACATATTGTTTATCTATTCAAAGCTCAACCCCGACTTGGGCTATCGCCAGGGCATGCACGAGTTATTAGCGCCCATTCTATGGGTAGTCGACAGGGATGCTATTGAGCTAAACGTTCATAAGGACTTCAGACCCACAGAAGAAGATGATGAGATGATGGTACATCTTCTCGACCCCGTCTACGTCGAACATGACGCCTTTAATTTGTTCTGCTCGGTTATGCAGAATACTAGAGTATATTATGAGCACAATAGGCACCGTTCAGCGAACGGGCAGACGGACGCTATACCGATTGTTCTCCAATGCGAACACATTCACAACGACCTTTTGGCGGCTACAGATTTGCAGTTAGCCAATCATCTCCAAGCGCTTGACATCTTACCGCAAATATTCTTGACGTGAGTGCTCTAATCTGTTTACGAAACTCTGCTAATCTGCAGTCGATGGATGCGTCTATTGTTTGGACGCGAGTTTCCATTTCAAGATATCCTCGTAATATGGGATCTTCTCTTTGCAGAGGGGCTTCGGTTAGAGCTGATTGACTTTATTTGTGTCGCCATGTTATTGCGCGTCCGTTGGCAACGTTAGTGATCTGCCTCCTTCCGAAAGAGCCCCGTTGCTAATGAGCCTAGTACTAAGTTCCGATTCATCCGCTGTCCTAACGACACTGCTCCGTTACCCCTCACCAGATCCTTATAATCCCTTGAGCTTCGTTCATGATGGGTTATATTTGGAGCAAAACCCTACACCTGAGCGTGGGGCATTTCTGATCTCCAAGTACTCAGGAAAACCTCCTGATTCATCCAAGATGTCCGACCTAGCAGGAAGCAAAATGCGCGCAGGGAGAAAGTTTCAATTTCGCAGCGACTTAAGAGATGCGAGTGGAGCAAGCTCTCCTTCGAGGTCTCCAGCTAGAAGCAGCCCGTTGAGCATCGAGGCTCTGCTCCAGGATGTCTCGGAGGGTATACAGCGGCGTACAGAGACTTGGGGAGTGGCGAAGGCTGTTCGTGGTGCTGTTAACGAAGCGAAGAAGAATATGCAGGTAATCCAGTCCGAACACACTTCCCGGATGGTGAAACATGGCGATGCGGCTATTATTTGTGGCGCCGATCCATCATTACGGCAAGATCTCGAAACCGTCGTTCAACTAAAGGCCAAGGTCAAAGGTCTCGAGGAGAGGAATCGGATGCTTGCCAACACCCTCGGCCAGGCAGTGAACGATATACGCTCGCAGGTGGCAAAGAACGAAGCTGTGGACCCCAATGCTGCAAATGTTATAGAACAAGCTCTTTCCAAGGTCCAATCGGTTCGAACTACTCTTGAAACACCTTTTTCTACCCCGGATGCGAGGCCATATATCTCAGCCAGTGAGAAGCCACAGGAGGAAAAACACGCGACACCTACCGAAGTAGAACGCAATCTGCCGGAAAATGCTAAGTTTGCGCGTTCATCTCTTGATTATCCTGCGTCAGATACAACCATTGGCAAGTCTCCCGTTGGAAGTCCGCCTGGCCAACGCAACGTCCTATCAGCAAAACCAGTCAACAGCCCTAAACCGCTGCGGCATGCCATGCGCCCATCGTTGGCAGACTCTGGATTTTCATGGATGCTGGGAGAAGACCGCCATCTTTCCAGCTTTGTTAGTCCAGCATCAGTGCCACCTGAACAAACCAGACACGGCGAAGCTAAAACCAAGCAAAATGCCCTGTTCGGCAATGGTGATACTCAGCAAAAGAGTCCACAAACAGAACCTGACGGAATGGCTTTAAATAGCTTGAGAGGCGGCAAGGGCTGCGAGAATTTATGAAGAGAGTTTTGCTGATTTCCTGGATTTCACATACCCCAAGCTATAGCGTGTCACTCACTACCTTACATACGGAGTACGGAGCACTTGATGACTTTATCCGTGACTCTCGGCACGCAGACCCTTAGGACGGGGCAGCAGCAGCCAAAGGACCCTAGCCTCGTTTAAACTATTCTAGCTTCGTCTGTCTGTCCTATCAGCCCCTCTGTGCTTGGACTGGCTTTGATCTAGTCGTTTTGCCAAGATGTGGGAGACTCGAGAATCAGATGTTGGTGAACAAGAATCCGGTCTCCTGGATGTCAAAAAGAATGATCGGAACAGCCGAAGTCGATTCTTCGAAGCTACTATATACAACAAAGAAAGAGCAACTAGTATACTCCGGATTTGAGGGTACCCCACCAATACTAGTAGCTCCAGATCTGGAACAGGAACCATCGAGCAAGAGGAGAGGTACTCCTCAGAATTACATCACCACCTTGATTGACACGGGGAACCTGAACGACGGTTCGATTTCGGACCGTGAGGTGCACTAGTAGGAGAAATAACATAACTACTGACCTATGATCATTTCAAGTGATTACTAGGAGTGACCGTGCTATATAAGTGCGACCGGACCCTGGATGGAGTCAGCCCCAGTCAGTCAGTCATCCTTCACACTTCTGGAGGTTTTGAAGATTTTATTCTACCTGCCCGACCGGACGACCTACTTTTCTTCCCTCACATACAAGGCCCCTTCAGGCTTTGCTACCCTCGTTGAGTATTTAAAATCGCCTTCCTAATAGCGCCCTTTCATGTTTAAATTAGAAGCACAAGAAAAAGCAATTCAACGTCATAGCCTGCGGTCCCAATTTCCATTGGAATTATCCAAGTCGAGACCCTCAAATTCTTCAGCATCGCCATTATCTTTCTCCCCGCTTTTCCTCAAGAAAAATACAACACAACTGCTACATCTTACTCCTCCGATAGTATATAACCCCGCCACCATCTGAATTATACGGGGGCCGTTTGATGAGCATCTTACTAGTGCTAATAGTTGTTCCCGCTGTATTGAAGGTTGGTACCGGGTCCCAACCTTGAACCTCTTTCTACCCCCAATAGTTTCCACACGGAAATTCCGTTTGGGCACCTGCTAATGGGCGGTCATTGATCCCTCACTACTACGACTACTTCTGCAGCAGTTTGCAGAAAAAAATCTGACCACTATTCCATTTGCAGTTTGCTACAAGAAGGATATCCTCGCCCACTCGCGTCGTCTTCCCCCGCGTGCTTCTCGCCACTGGTACGGTGCCTGTGACCTTCTGGGGCAGCTGTTCAACCACCGACCCTCTGACCTTCGCGCCTCTTGACCTTTTGACTCCTTTTCAACAGCGATAGCGATCCCTTTATCTTGCCCTCGAACCGGTACCTCCGAAAAGAGCAGGCGATCGTTCCGTTCGACCTTTTTGCCTATCCGAACCTACTCGCCTGGAGAAGAAAGTGAGCTTCGCGAGCCAATCGCCCACACCAACTTGAATTGAACATTGCTACAAAAACCCAAGGGGAACCGGAAATATATGCTCACAACCACGGCTCGCGGTTGATATCTGGCTGTCCCATGTATTACCGCATCGCCGTCGTTCCCACTTAGTTCCTTTTCCGCTCTGTGATCGAGGTTTCACCGTTTAAAGCACCTGCTGTCGAACGGGCCGACTGATACTGGCCACTGGGCCGCTGATTGTCTGGGAAGCTATGGGGTCTGCTGCATATAATCCTGATGGTCAGTTTTCTCGTCATTCATTTCCCGAGGAATATGTTTTCGTTGTTTCTTTTTGAGGGGCGACAATCACCCGGCACATATGTATGAGCTTCAGGAGCGAGAATCACGAACCTGTCATTCCACGGACTGGTCCGAAAGATAAGACGAAAGGGATATGGGATTCTGCGCAACTACTCTCCTCTGCTTTAAGCTTTGCATTCTTATCTGCCCGTTTGGGTCGCGAGACTGAAAGCATTTCAAGCCACACATTGAAGCATGATCCAGATTCGTGTGATGATTGTGGAATGATGCTAATAAGTTGTAAATACCAGGCGAACCAAGTCCCTTATCATCCCCATTGGGCCCCCTCTCAGAATCTCCGGAGGCTGATTCTTATATCGCACAACTCTCCGGCAACCCCGGCGATTCGTTAAGATGCTCAGTGGAAAATCTTTCAAGTACTGGGTTCGATCCCCTCCCAAGGTGGGTCAATATCCAACGGCAACATCCCCTTGCATTGCCGGCACCACATTGCCACTGTATAAGAAGTGCCCAAAACTGAAAAACAACAACTTGTATCTTTTCCAGGTCTCCGCTCCTTGAACATGAACATGGACTCGGGCCATCCGGCTTAGATCGTATACGCTCTCAACCATCCTCGCGGGTCTTTACACTTCCGAACTTGTCTGCCTCTTCAATAGGCGCTCTTAGCCCGCGAACTTTGTCCCCTTCACCGCGATCCCTTTCGTCGTCTAGAGCTAACTCGATGGCTGTTGCACCCGGCCAACAAGATGTCAATACGCTGGAAGACCTTCACCGATTTCCTTCTGAATCATTACATTCTTTTTCGTTTGCCCAGCAATCCGAAGAGCTCCTTCATAGTCGCCAGAATATCCTGAAAAGATCCATAGATTTCATGCGCGACCGCTTTGGATGGGCCTCCAACAGCACCGCAATTCCTGGTTCTCAGAATCGTATACGTGGCGGCGGTGGTGGCACCGACACGCAGGCCATGGTGGACCTCTTATCTCAATCCAGCATATCCGGGAAAGGTGACAGTCTATATTATCCCGCCAGCGCCATGCGAGGACCGTTCACTGGACCCGCAGACGTGGGCACCGACAATGTATTCGACAGAACGTTCACGGAACTTCAGCAATCACCACCATCTCTGCCAGAAGTGAAGGAGGCTGTACAGGAGCCAATTCAACCGCGATTAACTTCCAGCCAGCAGCTGCCTCATGAGAGAAGGGGATTGATATCCGCCCCTACTTCCAGGCGCGTAAGCTTAAAACGTACTTTTACAGATGTCACCTCATCCACACCCCAGGGCCAACTGATGGAAACTCTAGCGCAACCCTACTCGGCCGCGGATCCCTTTTCCCCGCTAAGCACGTCGACATTTGGATCAGTTTTCCCGATCCCCGCTTTGCACACCCATAGCAGCAAATGGAATCCGGTCTCACAAGCCGTCTTCCGGACTGAATCCAAGGCACCCTGGACCATCATAGCGGCGAATGACCTGTCATGTCTTGTATTTGGTGTTACACAAGCTGAAGTCCGCAAGCTAAGTATCCTAGAGGTTGTACAGGAAGACAGACGGCAGTGGCTCGAGTCAAAGCTGCGGGATCCCACCACCGATGCCGCAGCCAAAATCCGACCGTCGCCCGATAAACCCCGTATGAAGCCAGCCGCTACTCCAAGGCCCATGGGAATGGGTAGCGGTGTCACCGCGCAACTCCTCAGTAAACCGCCTTCTCGAGCTCGGCCCACGCGAAGAGCTCAGACTGATGATGGCTACGGCTCAAGTGCATATGCCTCGAGACGACTGAATCACCCAGCCACTAAGTCGCGCGGTGTTTTGTTGTGTGGTGATGTAGTGCCGATCCAGAAGCGCAATGGTACCAAGGGCTCTGCAAGCATCTGGGTTATGGAAAAACGTGGCGGCCTCATTTGGGTCTTGGAAGAAATTCAAGAAGATGTCGCTGTTGTCACATGTGATGGGAGCTGGAAAGTTTCCGATGCCCATGGTGCTACGGACAAAGTTTGGGGCCATGGCGTGGTTGAGACCGGGAAAATTCTGACAGAGCTGCTGCCTCACCTTCCCCCAGAATGTCTTATGAGTCCGGTTGAGAAAGGTATCAGCGAGGTTGCGGAAATCAAGTACTTCGCAGCCAGCACTTCAGGCGCAGTCGGTGTTCCGACGACAGTCTCCAAGGGCGATAGCGCACGCTCTCTCCGGATCTCAAGCTTCCCCCACGTTGCTGGCATCATGGTCTTGTCATCTACAAACCTGAAAATTATAAGCTCGAACTCGGTGTTTTCCTCTGCGTTGTTCGGTTATGAACGCCCAGAGGGGTTAAGCATCACGGATCTCATACCTGGATTCGACGACTATCTTTACGTGATCTCCGATGAAGAGAACGTTCCTCTGGTAGACGGTGTCGTCATTCCGGAGCTCAGCTTTCGAAGGGCGAGAACCCTGTCTATGCTACGGGATGGCAAGGCTAATGTGGCGTCGGTATTCTTGGAACCTGCTGGGATCACAGCTAAGCATCGCGATGGGTCTACGATCGCGGTAGACGTTCAGCTGCGCGTGGTGAAGAGTGGGTCGATTTTCCCCAAGCCGCGCGAGAAGAAGTCTGAATCCCAGAGCGAGACGGATGATGGCTCCGAAGATGCCGTTACAGTCACGGAGCTTGTCTATGCGCTTTGGGTCACATATTCGAGGAGCATCCACTCCGCCGGACCACCAGGCAACATTCCTTCGCCGCAACACGCCTCGCCAGTGCAGGAGAGCGCTGCTTCTGATACGTCGACTCCCAGGCCTCTAACAACCATCTCAACGCCACGGCCTGCAGGTCCAGACAGAATATCAGTGGAAACCAGGATTCCCGCCTCTACACTGAGTCAACAACTAAGTGAAGCCGCATCGGAGCCATTAACGGATAGGCCTATCCAGTTGATGCCCGAAGTGAAACTAGTTAATGCGAAAGAAGTGCCGAAAAAGCGAACAATCGCTGATTATGTGATCCTTGAGGAGATGGGCCAAGGAGCCTATGGTGAAGTGAAACTGGCTCGTCTGAAGAAGATTCCAGCAAAGAAAGTTGTCTTGAAGTACGTGACAAAAAAAAGGATCCTTGTTGATACGTGGACCCGTGATCGTCGCCTCGGAACGGTTCCGTTGGAGATCCACGTTCTGGACTACCTTCGAAGGGACGGGCTGAAGCACCCGAACATTGTGGAGATGGAAGGCTTCTTCGAAGATGATATCAACTACTATATTGAGATGTTGCCGCACGGATTGCCAGGGATGGATCTTTTTGACTACATCGAGTTGAAAACGAACATGGACGAGCAAGAATGTCGGAATATCTTCAAACAAGTGGTTAGCGCCATTCATCACTTGCACACCAAGGCTCTGGTTGTCCACCGGGATATCAAAGATGAGAATGTGATTTTGGACGGCGAAGGCAGGATCAAACTGATCGATTTCGGCAGTGCGGCCTATATCAAGAATGGGCCGTTTGATGTTTTTGTTGGAACGATTGGTAAGCTAATCTACTTTAATCTATACAGCTAGAAGCTGACAGGTCGACACAGATTATGCCGCTCCAGAAGTCCTACAAGGCAAGTCATACCGAGGCAAGGAGCAAGATATATGGGCCCTCGGTATCCTCTTATATACGATTGTATACAAGGAGAACCCATTTTACAACATTGACGAAATTCTCGACCATCCGCTCAGGGTTCCGTTTCTCCCATTCTCGGAAGAGTGCATCGACCTAATCAGAAGGATGCTCGATCGCGACGTGGATAACCGCTTGACAATAGGCGAAGTCTTGGAGCACTCGTGGATGGTCGACGGCTAAGCTGAGCCACAGACCCCGTGTGCATGCTTTGGATCAACCGATTCTTCTCTCGAGCACCGTATATACCGACATGACATTTTCAAATCAAATAAAAATTCCTCAACATCCTCGTACCGACACACATCTCCAAAAAAACACCAATACAGCATGCCTGAGTTGCACGCATTACGAAAGAGACGACCCATTGGGAGTTGTGACGAAGGACGTAAGACTGCAATGGCGCGCCATGCAGCAAGTGCTGGTGGTGTTGAATGGCAGTCGCAATCGGTCTAGTCCATTTGAATTTTCCCACTTTTTTCCTTTCAATCCTTTTCATACTGAGAAGAGAGGGGCAAAAAGACCAGTGCTTGACATAGAAGGCGAGGGAAGAGCGAGAGATACCCACTGATATAGCCGAACCTTATATTACTTGGCTAATTTTGATGCATTGGATCATATTGAATTCTACGAAGAGAAACGAGGGGCGAGGCCGCGAGGCACAGTAGACCCGGAGTACGGAGTAACGGCCGTTGAGAACCGTCGCCTGTCACCATGGCTAATGTGCGCCGGTGCGGGGTGAAGCGGGGGAATTGGTACCTTAGGATGAGGGCTTGGATGGATTTGGAGAAGCGCAAAGTCCTCCTGGGCTGTCAAACGCAGAGGCAAAAGGTTCGGAAAAGCTCCGTCCGTGAGAGAATTAAATTGGCCCCACAAAAGAAACCCCCAATGGAGCCTGACGGGCCAAGTCGCTGGTTGATATGACTCGTCAGCAAGAAGCAGTATCTGCGCCGCTGCGGTGGCAAAGCTGTTGTCCGACGGTCCACGGACGAGACTGGTCCAGGTACGGCTGTTGAAAGGGGTATTGATGGGCAGGAGGTTGAGTTGAATTTCTCCAAGATTGCTGTCACTTTTCTGGCACTTTTTGAGGAAGCTTTATCGGAGTCCTGTACAACGGGAGGAAGAGGAACTTGAAAGCCATGAGAGAAGCACTGGATAATCACGTGATGCGCTTTTTCCTTGGTCTCGTCGCGATGTCTCTGTATCATGGGCAGAGTGGGGTCACTATCGATAAAGAATGCAGATAAGCCGTGGGGTTGTTCAATTATGGCAACATTGTCTTTGACTTGTCAATTCTCAAGAATGGTCTCAGTCCTCGACCACATACGATATGGAGTCTGGATTGTTGTTTGTTGCAGCCGGCCTGTCGTCTGACCGAGTGGCTCTGGCTTGTCTTCCCCTCCACTTCCTTCCAACCTCCCAAACCAGCCATACAGCCGTCATCCACTCATCCACTGCCTCCACTCACAGTCTCGCGCTTCCAAGTCTACGAGGAATACTTCCGACTCTTCTCTTATCCTTCTCTTCGTCTTCCTCCCCTGCATTTTCCACAGACCCTCGTGAATCCTCGAGTGCTTCCTCACTTCTGCTCAAGTGCCACCCCAACCCGTTACTCCTTTGAGCGCACAATCTCTCCACATTGTCAGCCGGCCATTACGCGACAGTTCCATGGTACAATCGTGACAGGTCTGAGCCGAGCCTGAGCACCACCATCCCGACCCGTACGGGTGTCGCTTGACTTACGTCCTCCTGGTGACCTTCAGCCTTCGCACACCATTTTTCTTATCTCTTTCCAATTCTTCTCCTTGTCTTCGTCTTCGTCCATTCATTCCTCGTCCCCTGCTTCCCTTTTTCTGTTTCCAGCCGGAGTTTGGGCGCCATCTGACCACGTTGATCGCGGGACTTTTGACGATGAGACTTTAAGATCTGCGTTCTGGCGGGTTTCCGCGCTTGTCGCTGGTTGATTTCTCAAAGACCCTGTTGTCTTTTATCGGCGTGTTATTGTTGATTTCTACTCGCTCTGGCCTCTCCGTTCTCCTCCATTCGAACAAACACGGCATCTACCAACCATGGCCACAGTCGATGCCGATGAGATCGTCCCCTTCCCGGAGGTGCCTACCTCGGTGAGCCCAGCTTCATCAACGGGCCAGATTCCACTCGATCAGCCTCCGAAGGCGAAAGGGCGGCATAAGCTGCTACAGAGTCTTCAGCGCATTTCTTCGAGTCCGACGCTAACTCGGCGCAGTCGATCTGCGTCAGCCGGCTACCATCGAGATGGAAAGGCGTCACTGTCATGTGTCTCTCTCTCACAGTCCTCGTATACTCCTTGTCTCACCAATGGTAGCAATTCCCAGCTATATGGTGGACTGAACATGCGTCCCACAACGCCGGGCCATTCCGGAAGCCACACCCCAGATGACCAAGAAGGGAATGCTCGAATCCGTTTTGTCGTGGACGCTGCGAATGGTCCTCAGTCGAGAAAGGTTGCGTTACCCACTGAATTGAGACCGGGATCACGAAGCTCTCCACTCGCAGCCGCCGAGTCCTCGACACGGAAGGTATTTGATTTCTGGGGAAAGATGCCCATTGAGCTCGGAATGCTCATCTTTAGTTACCTATCCCCCAAGGAGATTATCCGATGCTCTGCTGTTTGCAAATGGTGGAACAAAATGTGCTATGATGGACAGCTGTGGTCTAGCATTGACACCACGGACTACTACCGCGATATTCCGAGCGATGCGCTCATGAAAATAATCATGTCGGGCGGACCTTTCATCAAGGATTTGAACCTCCGCGGCTGCATTCAACTGCGAGAGAAATGGTTGAACGAGAGTGAGAAGATTACAGCCTTGTGTCGGAATGTTGTGAACTTCTCATTGGAGGGCAGCCGGATCGACAAGACAGCGATACATTGCTTCTTCCTACGCAACCGGCGCCTTGAGTACATCAATGTCTCTGGACTGGACAGTGTGACGAATTCAGCTATGAAAATCATTGCCAAATCATGCCCCCAGCTCCGGATTTTGAATGTCTCTTGGTGCGCGAACGTGAATACGACCGGTCTCAAGAAGATCGTCAAGGCGTGCCCTAGGCTGACGGAACTGCTCGCTAGCGAAATTCGTGGGTTTGACGACAAGGATCTGCCCTTGGAGCTGTTCCAGCGGAATAGTCTGGAGCGTCTGGTTATAAGCCGGACGGACATTACTGACGATACTCTGACAATTCTCATGCACGGCGTGGACCCGGAAATGGACGTTCTTGAGGACCGCCCGGTTGTTCCCCCTCGACGGCTAAGGCATCTAGATCTCCACCAGTGTGGAGGTCTCACCGACAAAGGTGTAAAGAGCCTCGCTCACAATGTTCCCGATCTTGTAGGGCTCCAGCTTTCAGGATGTTCCGAGCTCACGGACGACTCCATCGTGCCCATCATCCAGACCACGCCAAATCTCACCCACCTTGAACTTGAGGAATTGGAGAGCCTCACCAACCAAACACTTACTGAGCTTGCACAATCGCCTTGCGCTCCGTTCCTTGAGCATCTCAATGTCAGTTATTGCGAGGCCCTAAGCGACCCGGGAATGCTCCGTGTGATGAAGAGTTGCCCATCCCTCCGATTTGTCGAAATGGACAATACCCGCATCTCGGACTTGACTTTGGCTGAAGCCAGCTTTCGGGTCCGCAAACGCGGCTACGGCGAGAACCTTCCCCAGGTTGGCTTGCGCCTAGTGATTTTTGATTGCCCGAATGTAACGTGGGTTGGAGTCAAGGAGTTAATGTCCGGGAATACTCGCCTTCCTCGTCATCGCAAGGTGCCCCAGGCCGTGTCTATGGTGACCCAGACAATCAACACAGACGGCACGCCAGGGCCAACGCCCATGATTACATCCTCGATTACGCCCCCTCCACCGCCCATTGTATACCCGAACCAGATTATCCAGTTTAAGTGTTTCTACGGCTGGCAGATGACCGTGGAGGAGCATACTAAGCGTGTTTTACGCGGAGATCTCGCGGCGGCCAACCGGCTCGAGCGAAAATGGTCTGATTATATGATTGCGACTGAAGAAGCCGGTGCTGTTGGTGCGGGTGCCAGAAGACGTCGTCGCCGTGCACGCGAAGCCGAACGCATCTACAACGATGACGATGAAGTGGAATCGTATGGTTTTGGGGGCATGCTCGGGGGGAGAAGACGTGCACGAAGTGGAGGCAGCTGTACAGTTATGTAAGAGTGTACCGACTATATCAAGATCTGGCGATATTTACGAAATCTCATCCAACGGACCTGCCTTCACCTTGCTGTGCTTGCGAAGCGGGAGCGGAGATAAGACTCAATGCTGGCCATGCTGAGACTCTCTGCTCAGCCATTCAGAAACCGGATTTGCAGGACTAAATTCGATGACCTTTTGCTTTCTTTGTTGCGAAATCACGACTCTTATGTTTGGCGAACTGGTTCATTCTTGCTGTTTCTTCAGAACGATCTTTAGAAGGGGACGGTGAAGTTGGAGTTTTGTTCTTGTCTGTTGCGTCGCATTCTCGGTCATTTAACCCTACTTCTCTTCGTCGCTCAAGGCCTTTTTTCATATATGGCCTAGATTTACAGTCTGGGGTTTAGCTACTCACTCAGCAACTAGAAGATTCAAATGCGAAGTATCTATTGGGTATCCAGCGAAATCCAACTCCAGTTGTGCGTGTAATAGGAAATAGGGTACAAACTCCGTGAATGCTGGCAGTAAACAAGACTACATCTCGAAAAAGCCTCCGTCGCTTTCATCATCCTCTTCCTGCTGCGGGGGTGCGTGTTTGGTGCTCCTCTCTTTCCGAGTATCAGCTTTTCCAGAGTTGACATTCGGCTTGTCAAACTTCTCCTTGCTCCCCTTCTTCCCACCGACGTCGTTCCTCGAAGTGGTATCTGACTTATCTGACCTCTCCGCCTTCGACTTCTTCTCCCCATTCGCATTCAACTTGCCCTCCCGGAGAAGATCCAACGTCCCCTCCTCCATACACTTCTCAACAACACGCCACATAGCGGTCCGCTCAGCTACGGTCGAACCACCAGCACCCGCTTCCTCTTGCTCTGCACCCGACTGCTCTTCATCGACGTTTTGGTCATTGCCCTTCTTTTTCTGCTTCTTTTCCGCGTAAATCGAGATATACTTTTCTGTGAGCGGGTAATAGATCGTATAATTGAGGTTCACTTTTGCAGTGTGGATCCGCGCCACTAGCTTCGCGAGCTTCTTCTTCGCTTTTGCGTCACCCTCCGTGGTGTCGGATTGCGCGAGTTCGTCGTGTTTGCGTGTTAGGCGGTTGAGTTCTTTTGTGGCTGTTTTACGGTCTAGTTTCCATTAGCATACACTCGCCTCATCTCATTACTCTAAGCAAGGCAAAAAAAAGAAAGGAGGGAAGATTTGCATACCCAAGAACCTCACAAAATGATATTTCTTGATCATCTTACTCCTCTCGCGCCTCCTCTCCTCATCCGCTAATTCCTTCTCATAACCCTTGAGCGCGCGCTCCTGGATGATGCGCTTGTCGGCAGGAAGATCGGGTTTGTTTAGGAGACGCTTGACATCCCGGATTCGGCGCTTGAGGTCGTTGATTGAGGTGTGGGCTGGTTGTTCGTCCGGGTTGCGGGTGATTGCTGTGGTCTTTTTCCGTTTGTCGGAGGAGGATGGGTAGGGTGATTTGCGTTTCGAGGGGGTGGACACTGTTGGGGGGTCTTTGGGCATTTTGACCTTCCTTGGGGGCGTTCTCTGCTGTATAAAAGGGTGGATGTATAGAGTTGATCGACTGGAAAAACAGATGACTGGGCTGTCTGGGAAATAAAAAATGGTGGGTTATTGTCGGCCCGGAGAGTGGGGATGGTATCGGGGTAGGTACCTTATCTGAGCTTCCTCTCGAACAACGCGAATTATTTGACGAGAGACTCGACTTTCTTTGAGATTTTCCACTGCGACCCCGACTCTACTGCGAAACACTCTGATGCAACCCCTTCTAGTGATTCCTGCGCCGCGAACTATGCGCGCTTGATCTCGCCCAGAATCATGGGATGGACTAGCTTCCAGAGGTCAGATACACAGAGTGCTCCGCTCATCACCATCGACTTGAGATAAGAGCACAGAAAAAGAGTCCGATTTATCATAGTACGGACAAAATGGACCGCGCCATTCGCTGGTCCCCTTCCTCGACCGCCGCCGAACAACGCTTCCTCTCCGTGGACGTGACCGGTAAAGCATTCCGCCTCTGCAGGGTTACCTCCTTCACGAAACATTCTCTCGAGCACGAAGTCCTCGCAACTCACACCAAAGTCCCCGCCTTCCGCGCCTTTGACTGGTCCCCCATTGACGAGTCCCTCGTCGCCGTCGGGCAATCTTCCGGCGATGCCACGATCTTGCGCATGCGCGACGACTCGCAGGAGTCGTTTTCCTTCCCTGTGCGGCACCAGCGGTACTGCAATGCGATTGCATTCAGCACACATGGACTATTGGCGGCGGGATTGGATCGCGTGCGTAATGACTTTTGCTTGAATGTTTGGGATGTGAACCAGCGGTTGGCGATGAGGGGGTCGAAAGGGATGGTTGAGCCGTTAAGAAAGTTGGCGAGCTCGGAGCCGATTACGAGTGTCAAGTTTTTTCGAGATCAGCCGGATACGCTCGTTACTGGAGTTAAGGGGCAGTTTGTGAGGATTTATGATTTGCGTGGTACGTCTTTTCCATATTCTAGTCTGGGTCAGAGTGGTGGTTGACTGGCTGGTGTAGAGGGACCGGGGAATCCGTCGCTGCAGTTTCCGACGAGATGCGTGCATAATCTCGCCATCGATTGGCTGGATGAGAATTATATTGCGTCCGGGTTGACGACTACGGATTCGACAGTTTGTATCTGGGATCGCCGCGTTGGGGCTCGTTTGTCTGCGGCGGTCACGCCGTCACTTGAGACTGGGCAGATGGATCCGGCGCTCGAGTTTAAGAATGTCCTCCCGCCCAAGTCGGCGCTTTGGAGTCTTCGGTTTTCGCGGACTAAGCGCGGCTGCTTGGGTGTGCTTTCGAGCAGCGGGCATCTCAAAACGTACAATATTGTCAAAGAATACCTGGTCGAGGAGTACCGCTCGCCTATTGATCGGACGCTCGGCCGAAACGTCAGCAGCTACCCAGAGCAGATTTACACCAAGTCCGTCCGCGATGTTTTCACTCCATTCGATCACCCTTCCCGGGGTTATGCAGAGTCCGAACGAGTTGTGTCATTTGACTTCCTCAACATGAGCACCTCCAATGAGCCTAGTGTTCTGACGCTATCTGCGAATGATCAGATTTGCGTGACGGCAGTCAAGCCACCTGCGCCTCCGGTGCGACTATCTTCTCAAGGAACATTGGTCTGTGGAAGTCATGGCAAGCATCGCGATTTCAAATTAGTGCAGCCGCTAGAGGCTAAATGTTCGAATATCGGGACGATATTGAAAGATCTCCGAAGTCGCGCATTGGCAAGGCAAGAGACACAGAGCGGTGGAAATGGAATTGCGCAGCACTTGTCGAGTCGACAGGACAGAGAGCGAACCCTGTCTGTGGGCAAGATTGGTAGCCCGCTCATGGCACAAGAGGCGTTGACTCTCTTGACGGTGAATAGGCAGCGATGCAAGGAGGGATATCTGTTCAATGGAACTCGAAATAAGCAGATACTTGTGGACGATGCCACCCTGCAAGATTTCTGGAATTGGATCGAGCGTGAGTCCTCCGTACGATCAGCAGTTCTCTACTAATGAAGTAGGTGCACGATCTGATTCTGCGGACCGTTCGATGACTATATACAACTTGGATCTGAACTATCTGGGCGTCTATGATGTTTGGACCGGTGATCTAGGTATGCTAGCCTTTTTCATGGCCTTGGCTGTGCTAACTTCCGTAGGGGCCAGCCTTGAAGCGCGGTGGCTCGGCCCGAATGCCGCGCATTACCCAGACATCAACGATACTATAGTAGAACTAGTTCAAAACCAGCTCAAGCTACCTCAGCCCAAATCCTGCCAGACGAGTTTCCCTGAGCACAGGTGCCTTGGACTACGAATATGCGGCGCCGCCCAATCTCAGTCTGAACTAGAAGAGCTTGTGAAGGGATTGACCGCCAACGGCCAACACACGAAAGCTGCTGCTTTGGCTGTTTTCCAGGACGAGCCCAAACTAGCGTACTCGGCGCTGCGAAGCAATACACCTACACAGGCACATAAGCTTCTTGCAATGGCCATTGCGGGTGCTGCAAAGGGGGACACCGACTCTGATTGGGAAGAAACGTGCGCGGAGATTGCAAAGGAGCTTACTGATCCTTATGGGCGGGCAATCCTTGCGCTCGTCAGCAAAGGCGACTGGCGCTCTGTTATCCAAGAAACTACCCTTCCTCTGAAATACCGCGTCGAGGTCGCCCTACGCTGGCTTCCAGACGACGAGCTCACTACATACCTAACCGAAACTACAAAGGAAGCGATCCAACAAGGCGACATCGAAGGTATCGTACTTACCGGCCTCGGCCACTCGGCCATGGACCTATTCCTATCGTACATCAACAAATACAACGACGTGCAAACACCCGTCCTCGCCATGAGCCACACCGTCCCACGCTTCGTCAATACCCAACCCAACAAACAGCGCTTTGAATCATGGCGTGAAACCTACCGCTGGCAAATCAACTCGTGGAAACTGCAACTCGAACGCGCCCGCTTCGACGTCGGCTCCCGCAAATTTGCCGTCACTCATGACGGACGCCGCCTCATCGAACCCCCACGTCAACAAGTCAGCCTAACCTGCAACTACTGCACCCGCCCTCTAACGCAGCATGATGCCTCCTCGCAACTCGCGCCCTCGGCGGGCAACGAAGTCGTGCACCCGACGCCGGGGAACCCGCTTGGCACGGCCGCCATGTCCGGGATGATCTGCCCCCGGTGCGGACGGCATATGCCGCGGTGTGGTGTGTGCACGCTGTGGCTGGGCTCTCCCGACCCAATGTCCAAGGCGTGTATCGCGGCTGAGACGGCGGCGGCGGAACAGCGGCAGTTGCCCTCCGAGGCGGAGATTATGCGGAGGTTCATTGTCTTTTGCATTAACTGTAACCATGGGTTCCATGCGCATCATGCGCGCGAGTGGTTTGCGAAGCATAAGGTTTGCCCTGTGGCGGAGTGTAGTTGTATTTGCGATCGTTAATACCCATTTATTTCTTATTTCAATACAATAAACTACTATTTACCATGGAGAAGTTGGGGCTCGGAGTACGGAGTATAGAAACCTTGAAATCGAATGAGGCTGAAAGTGGAAAACTGGGGTGACGTAAACCCAAAAACGAAGCCAAAAAATCCGTCGCCGGTGACTCGACCATGACCTGGACAAAACATCCTCAGCCGCGAATGATTCACCCACTGACTAGTACTCTGAGTCACAGCCTGCATTTTCGTTGCCTATGATCTTTTTTTCCTGGAACAAATAAATAATCATCCAAAATTAAGCTCAAAACCCCCCTCCTCGCATCGCACCCTCTCAAGCTCCATCTCCAACAAATCTTCCGTTCCCCGCACTCCCACCACTATCACCACTACCGATCACACACGTCGCCACCAACAATGCCTCGCGGAGACCGACGAGGAGGCGGAGGACCGCCCAGCCGCGAAGTTACAGTTTCCAAGGCGCTGAGTTATCTCCTCCGCCACGCTGCCGAGCGCGAGGGGTTAAAGATTAATAGCCAGGGATATGCAAATGTTGCGGATGTGGTGCGTTCCGTTTACCAATGCACTTGTCATGGTTACTGATGGATCTGTTCGGTATAGCTCGCATGGCGAAAACTCAAATCGCTCAAGGTTACGTTCCCCGAGATTGTAGACGCCGTCGAGACATCGGATAAGAAGCGGTTCGCGCTGCTGTATGCGCCGCAGACAGATCCTACATCTATAACTACAACTACCGAATCAGAAGCTGCAGCCGAAGAAGCGACGTCACAAGAAACCGCAACCGCAAAAGCCCTAGCGGCCTCGACCACCGACTCAACAGCCTCCAACTACCTCATCCGCGCCACACAGGGACATAGCATAAAGAGCGTCGAGGCCGAAGCTCTCCTCGAGCGACTTACGCTCGACCAGCCGGATAAATTACCCGAGACAGTTGTGCACGGCACGTTCCACTCTGCGTGGCCGCTGATTCTGGAGTCCGGTGGGTTGCGCTGCATGGGCAGGAACCATGCGCATTTTGCGACGGGGCCGAGTCTGAGTTCTGCACTTGAGGGGATTGAGAAAGTGAAGTTGAATGGACCGGCAGGCAACCATAAAGTGGAAGAGAGTGCAAAGGTGATATCTGGAATGAGAGGGGATGCGCAGGTCTTGATTTATATTGATCTACGGAGGGCGCTGGAGGCGGGTTGTCCGTTCTGGAGGAGCGAAAATGGGGTTATACTGAGTGAGGGGATGAGTATTTCTGGGACAGAGAAAGAGGCAAAGCTGATTCCAATCAAGTTTTTCGATGTTGTCGTTGAAAGGAGGAAAGGGTTAGGGAAGATCTGGGAGGGCGGGGAGGTGCTGCAGACTTTGCCGGAGGAATTGACGAGTCGAAGAAATCCCAAGGGGAATCAGGGAGGGAAGAAAAGAAGATAAGGCGAACTTCACTGATGGTCGAAGAGAACTGTGAGATATGTGCATCTCCTTCAGGCTTCAAAGGCAATAGATGATGATAGTCTCCATCTCGAATAGTCCACACAACCGGCGACTTCTAAGTGAGTCGAATCTATGCTATACATCTCAATCAGCAATCAACAGTACTCACATGGTTATGGAACCCGTCAGAATACCAGAGATGACGGCATAGAGGAGAGTAGAAGTTATATGGCCCCTATAAGCAAGAATTCGTGAGGGTGGAGAGAATAGTAGATACTAAGTACTATAAGCATCATGGGATAAATATGGATTAATAAACTCTAACCTTCTTCTTAATTATTCCTCTTTGAATTGCACTTAGAAGGCTTGTCTGACTATACCTTCCTCATACATGATATCAGCATGTTTGATGGAATGGCCACCTTACTTTAAACCCATATGTTACTACATGTGTGTATGTATTTAAGTATTTAACTTCTCTAGATGGAAATTATTTATCCTAGTTTTATACTTCTAGTATTGACAAATAATCCGTCGTTATGATATGAATAAGTATAGAAGCGGATGCGTCCCTGAGCCAATCAAGCCCATCGCGATCCGACATCCGACACGTCGGAACGCCTCTCGTCCTCTTCACGGCCATCGGAACCCAGTTTCTACCCCTCACTCATACGATGAGCAAGCTTCCGACTGCAGAACCGCTCTTGAATGCGGGGTCTCTTACCAAACACGGCCAAAGCAGGCAATCTGGGGACAACCCCGAAATGCACCCATCCTCATTGGCACGCGCTGGAAACTATGGCTCAGCTCGGTGGCCTGTAAATCTATAAAGGACGGTCCGGGACCGTAATTATTCCAGAAAGGGCGTATCCTTTCTCTATCCTTACGCTTGGAAATAAACTATTCAAAATGACTTCCCACCGCTTCGACCCAAACTTCACAGAAAATGTGGTCTCTGCCATGGGCGAGAATGTCAACCCGCGCTTCCGTCAGCTTATGGCGTCGCTGATCCGCCACGTGCACGACTTTGCGCGCGAGAACGAGCTCACTGTTGACGAGTGGATGGCCGGTGTGCAGCTCATGAACTGGGCGGGGCAGATGAGCGATGCGAAGCGAAATGAGGGACAGTTGGTTTGCGATGTTATTGGGCTTGAGTCGTACGTTCGCATCCGACCCTACTTACATACATGAGCAAATGGCTAATGGAGCTGTAGGCTGGTCGACGAAATCACATTCAAACTTGCCGACGAGGCCACCGACGCTCCCACAGCGACCGCCATTCTCGGACCCTTCTTCCGCGCCGACACACCCTACCGTTCAAATGGTGAGACAATAGTCAAGACAGTGCCAAAGGACGGCAAGGGCGAGATCGCATACATGACCGGGCAGGTCGTCGACTTCGAGACAAAGAAACCGCTCGTCAACGCAGATGTCGAGGTGTGGCAGGCGTCGACGAATGGTCTCTATGAGCAGCAGGATCCGGAACAAGAGGAGTTCAACCTGCGCGGCAAGTTCAAAACAGACGCGGAGGGGCGATACTCGTTCTATTGTCTCCGCCCGACGCCATACCCTGTTCCGGATGACGGGCCTGCAGGAAAGCTGCTGAAGCTTATGGATCGGCATCCGTTCAGGCCGGCGCATATTCATATCATTGTGAGCATTCCCTTTTCCTGCTATGAGTGCTCTGGACGAGTGGGCTAATAGGCGACAGGCTACATGCGAGGGCTACAAACCACTGACCACGCAGATTTTCGACCGTAGTGATCCCTATCTGACCAATGACTCGGTCTTTGCAGTGAAGGACTCGCTTATTGTCGACTTTGTCGAGCGCAAGGGTGATCCCAAGGCTGCGCTCGAACTGACATACGACGTGCGACTTGTGCCGGATGGGTTGAAGAGCAACGGCGCCTAAACTTCCATTATGAATTGTTCTGTGTATTGCAATATGATAGCGAGTTGAATCTTAAGAATTATATCTTTTCGTCAAGAATCATGTCTCCCTTACTATAGCCATAGTATGTTCCTAGTTTGTATTAGAAAACTGCACCGGTAGTCGTGCCTCCCTCAATTACTTGGTTCACCTCAGAGGGAAGGAGCTACCCATGACCCCAAGCCAGGGACTGTTCCTTCCTTTTTGGCCATCTGAATTCGAGAAGAAGGAACGACCACGGTCAAGGTGACCGCGCGTTCCTGTTCCATAATAGGAATCTACCTCTTCCAAATTGTAAAATCCATGCTAGATACATATCCCATCTTTCAAGATGACCTAAATGTCTACAGCCTTCCCACAAACTCCTCGATCAACTTCCCGACCTCATCAGGCGCTTCAAGACAATGCCAATGCCCTATCTGCTTAAGAACCTCCATCTTCTTATTCCCACTCGCGACACCATTGAAGATAATCTCACACCCCTCCATGCTTGCAGACTTGTCCTCTTCCCCTGCAATCAGTAAAAACGGTGAAGTAATCGCACCATAATCGACCGTCGGAGCGTTTGCGATTGCACGGCACAGCGCTGCGTAGGCCTTGGGGTTCTGGCCGAGGACAAGTTCGCGAATGAAGGAGCGGACGAGAGCGGTAGACGCGCTGCCGGTTGCGGCGTCCGGGATGGAGTTTGCGAGGGGTTCCATGCCGGCTTTTTTTCTCTAGTTAGTACAGATTTCTTACTCAGATGAAGTGAGAAGGAACGGGGAAGGGAGAACATACACTCAAGCGCAGTCTCACTCCTTTTCGTCATAACCTCAGCCAACTTCCCCCCAGGATGCGTCGGCCCAATTGCCACGATCCCGGCAACACGCTCCTTATACTGCGCGCCTAATAGGGTAACAACCAGCCCGCCCATCGAGTGCCCGACCACAATGGCCTTGTCGATGCTCAGCGTATCGAGGATTCCCACGACATCGGCCGCGATGGAAGCAATCGAAACATCTTGCTCTGTGTAGGGCGAGCGTGCGGAGCCGTAAGTGTCGGGTGTGATGCACCGGTGGTTCTTTGTAAGGTAGGGGAGGACGGGGAAATAGTAGTTTTGCGAAGAGCCGAGGCCGTGTGTGAACACCAGGGTGTGCCCGCCTGCGGGTGCGCCGGATGGATGACTGTCTGTGTAGTGGAGCTGGTGCTTGTTGATTGTTATGAAGGGCATATTGCGGGAATGAGTCAAAGGCGACTGAGGATATGAATTGATTTGGGTAGGAAACTGTAGATTGTAAATGTTTATGTCCAAAATCTGAGGAGCTGCGGGAATAGTAGAGGATATTCAAAAGTCCAAAACACGAGCCGCTCAGATTAGCCAAAATGGTAACGTCATTCTCGTTCGTCCCCAAACACAAGTTCCCTTCCGACTCTGTACATCCAACGCAATGCAATTAGGGATTAGACCCATTCCGGGAGAACAAACTGTCGCAGAATCCAATAGTAATCCAAACGGCGCCTTCTTCGGCGTGACTGATCTGCTCCGTCGGGTTGGGAGGAGGGGTTGCGGCGGCGTCAACATATTGTTGCTGAGTCCGAAGGAGGGGCGAGACTATCCGAAGACAGAACCGGAGGCTCCGTCGGATCGGATCCGACCCACTCCCAAACTGCGGGATCATTGATGTACATGAATGCGGCAAAAATGCTGGGACCATCAGGATATCTAGTAAGGCAAATTAGCGAATGAGTGAACCTCAAATGTCTTCGACAGTTACTTCAGGGGAGGCAGCTGGTGGTACTTACCGCTTCTCTCGTAAAGCACGCTTGGTTAGTTTCTCGCAACTGTCACACGGCTTGATCATTGTTTTGTTTTGTGGTTCGTGGTTATGTTGATGTTAATTGATCGAGTTGAGCGAGGGCCTCGTCGAAGCTGGAGCTCGGATCGAAATCCTGGGTGAACTGTTCAAGTATCAGTGCGGTACCGTCCGTGAAGGACTCTTCTTTGGGTGGTCTGGGCACAATGGGCACTTGTTCAGCTGACGCCTTCGTCGCGATCGACTCAGTCTCTTTCAGGACTTCCTCATCGAAAGAGCAGTCGGAAAATTCGTCCTCTTGATCGTCTTTGGTGATCCATGACGCCTCGGGCTGTCTCCCCTCGCTCTTTCCAGCAACAGGTTGATCGGAATTCTCCGGATCCTCAAGTTCCATGAGAAGGTCATCGATCCCTTCCTCTTCAAAGCCCAGAGTGTCGTCATCAAGTTCAAGGTCGCAGTCGAAATCAGAAGGAACAACCGTGCTTGCTACAGCGGTATCATCACTCTCGTCTCCCAAGTCATTCTCATCCTCTTCGATCGTAGGTTTCGCAGGCGGCCCTTTCTTGATGAAGTTGAATAGCAGAGGCTGACTTGCAGGCACTTTCCTCGCATTCGGATCAGGGATACCAAGTCGCATTCTCTCCTCTCGCGCTTTCGCTTCCTTCTCCGCGCGCTTCTGCTTCTCCTTTATGCGGCGTTTCTCCTTCTCTCGCAGCTTCTCGGCATTATTCTTTCTCTCCTCCTCTCGGTCAATGCGCGCAATCTGGGATGCTGTGAACTGGAAGCGCTGGTTGCTGCGCTGGTATCGACGCCGGACGACGCGGGACTTCTCGAAGGTAACTCGAGGACGATGAGCCATTGTTATGACGGTGTAAAGATTTGTATTCGTGGTAAGGGTAGGTCAAAGACGATGGTTGTAAGAGTAGACATTGGACGCGGCGGAGGAATCCAGCTGTTGTAAACAGACGGCCGAATAGTAAATAAAACAGGCTTGCAGTTGCCTAGAGATCTCCTTCACTTTGTAAATAAAGAGACACCGGGATGGAAGCGCTGGATAGGAATAAACCGGTGATACGTTTCACCGGGGACGCTAAGCCATATCGGCTTATTTCTGTAAAGGCCTGCTCCACAATAGTAATTCACTTGCCCAGGGCAGCATGACGTATTGCCCTCGATATTGAGGGGCAACTCCATTGGGCACAACATGAGAGAAGCCAGATATGAGAAGAGTAGAGCGAACACCCAAAAGAATGTATCCAGAGCTTTTGAATTCTTTACTTGGGAGCAAAGAACACTGGCCTGGGAGTTCCAAGAGATTAGGGCAGATCCACCCTTATCGATAAGCCCTTGACGCTAGCCCACCTAGAAATGTCCCGCATTGCTGCCTGAGGCTAATTATCGTCATCAGAATTATCGAAGCGCTCATTGCTCTCGCATTCTCCATTCGCAATACCTTGGTACTCGATACCCTTTTCTCCTTTTACATATATATAGCATACAAAATGCGCCTTGTCAAAAACAAAATCGAGTACAATGGCGCCGGCAGCGTCACCCTCATCCCCGAAGAACCTGAGGACATGGTACATCTCCCCCACCACAGCACAGGCATACAAATCGATATTCCAAGGCTGACAACTGCAGTGGCATGCCTACAACCTCATCGTCCCCGGTGACGTCCTCTACGCAACAGCCATTCGCCGCGTAACCACAACAGGCACAACAGGGTCAACCAGCTCCTCGCGCGTACGCCTCACGCTCGAGATCCGCGTGAAGAGCCTCGACTTTGACCCGCAAAACTCCCAACTGCACGTCAGCGGGCAGATCATGAATGAGACACCACATACAAAGATTGGGCAGCATCATACACTGGATCTTGAGCTCAACCGGCAGTTTACGCTTGAGAAGGGGTCAGGACCTGATGGTGAGGGGAGCGGGTGGGATAGTGTTGCTGTTGAAGCGCTGAAGGATGCTGTTGATGAGGGGGGAAACCGGAGGGCAGAAGCTGTGGCTGTTGTTATGCAAGAAGGGCTGGCACATATCTGCTTCATCGGGCAGCATCGGACGATATTAAAGCAGAAGGTTGAGATGTCCGTCCCGCGGAAAAGAGCCGGGGGCAGTGACCATGACAAGGTATTGTACCTCATTCCCAAACAATAAATTGTACAAACTGACAAGCCATGCAGACAATGACAAAATTCTACCAAACAACTCTAGACACCCTCCTCCGCCACCTCGAATTCAACACCTCCGCAACCTCAATGAGCACGTCGGACCCCATCCGCCCCGTTCTCCTCGCCTCCCCAGGCTTCATAGCAACCTCATTCCAAAAGCATATCCAATCCGTCGCAAACACTTCAACCCCAGCCCTAAAACGGCTCCTCCCTTCCATCGTCGTCGTCCACTCCGCATCCGGCTACCTGCACTCTCTTACCGAAGTCCTTCAATCACCCACCGTCAAGGCCCTACTCAGCGACACGAAACACGCCCGTGAAACAAAGCTCATGGATGACTTTAACGAACAGCTCCGCAAGGAGACAAACAGGGCTACATACGGCCCCCGCGAGGTCGAGCATGCAGTTGACCAGGGCGCCGTGGGGCGGGGCGGGGGCGTGCTGATTATCTCAAATCGCCTGTTCCGGGCTCAGGACGTCGCGGAGCGGAAGAGGTGGGTTTCCCTTGTGGATCGCGTGAGGGATGTCGAGGGGGGCGAGGTCCGGGTCCTGAGCTCGGAGCATGAGAGTGGTCGGAGGTTGGATGGGCTGGGTGGGATTGCGGCCTTGCTGACGTTTCCGATTGATGACGAGGATGTGGGTGATAGCGAGTGATCATCGACTGACAATATTCCAATTTCTGCAGCTATATAGATACTGCTACACGTTATCCTACTCCATAGACCCGAGATACTTGGTTCTAGATCTGGATCTTACGGATTTTTAGGCAGGTCAGCCTATCGGAAGCAACACCCAACATTCCAAATACATATCCACCATAGGCCTTACAAAAATATGCATCCGAAAGGGAAACTCATCATGGACTCTTGAATCTCGATTCCAAACCCCTCGAGTCGATTCACGTCGATCTCGGAGATTTGTCCAGCGGGAAAATCGCACACGTAAATCAGGGACCGTCATCTGTCATACATCGAAGACAATGACAAATACCGGATTGACATTGAACTTTGTCGCTTAACACACCATGTATTTGGAAGGCTGCGGCTATTTGGCTCCACTGAAGATTTACATTGTAGTAGATTGAAAATGACAAACACTCTGAAAACCGGAGTGTACCAGAGTTGGATCTAATTCTAAATCCCGCGGTACCGCGGGGTAGTTATGGGCCGCCACTCCGCCCCACGGCGCAGAAAATACTACGGTGGATAAGAATAATAATATCATTAATATGTGCTACAATCTAAATATAGCAGGGGCCATGCGAGTCACATTCGGATTCGCCGTCAGAACTCAAGTCACTTTGCCCCAACGGCCCGGGCTCGCAATATAATAAAGTGCAATATAGAACGAGCCTGACGGAGATGAGTATCGCAGCGCCAAGCGCGATGGTAGGACGGCCAGGCGCGTTAATTTGGGGACCAGGGCGGAATTTAGCATCGTGTGGCTTGGAGAGTGGCTCTGGAAGCGGGCCATGGTTCGGTTTGTCAGAATTCGGTGGGGAAACAATTTGATTTTGCTGCTTTTGCAATCTCTGAAATTTAGGTCGTGATTTGGAATTGAATCTCATTTGGTTCTAATATTCGAGGGTTTCCTTGAATGCTGGCCAGGAAACTGAGGGTATATCGTCAAGTATGCAAAACATTATAAAAACAAAACCCCGACTATGCAAGATATGCAATCACACCAGGCTCAAAGGAGGCGCCAAAAACAAAAGTAAGTCTAAAAATCGAAAGAAACAAGATTGCTAGCGCGTTGTCTTGGGTCTCTTCTCTCCGGTTGATTTTTTCGAATTTGAAGTTGTTGATTCGGTTCGCCGTCGTTTGCGCCTTAGCTCAGAAGTCGCTTGTGGTTCCGGTTCGCTCTCTTGTTCCTCTCTTTCGCGTTCCTGCGCATCAATGTACTCTAATTGCGCCTCGCATTGTTCTGCTGTGAAAAAAGTACTGGCCCCGAATTCTGTCATCTACTCGATTCAGAATCAGAAATTCCTGTGGAACGCTTCTCAGACTCACCTTTTGTGCAATCAACTTGTACTTTTCCTGTTCCCAATAATGTCTAGCGCGTAAAAGAACCTGTACCTACAGCACCAGTTGTTAGTACGCTGCTTCGTCTGTGCTCGAGCTTGTGTGGTACACATACTCACATCGTGCTCTTCCCACCGCTGCAGGCGTTCCTTACGTCTGCGCAGCTGTCGCATCTGTAGGCGCGCCTCGGTTGCGTCCTTGTTGTATCGTTCACGGAACATCTCCCGGATGACCCTCCATGCGAGGTTCTGCTCCCGAAGCTGCTCTACAAAGGCATCTTCCTCTTCGGCTTGTGGGTCCCTGCGTCCGCGTCCTGGGGCCCGGGGGCGTTGGGGATGCGACTCGGAATTGCTATGCCGTCTCTCTTGTTCCAGGCGCTGAAGCCCTTCTGGATGTGGGAGGATTGACACTGGGGGCTCGCGCGATATAGATTGTTTGGAGCCTCTTCGAGGTCTTTTCTTTGATGGTGGCGGTGAGATTGTTCCTTCTCTCAGTGCGTATCCGCTGGGCGCAATTCCCAGGCCAATGCTTGGGTCTCGGGTCAACTCGCTCGGAAAAGTTGTCGTAATCCCAAGTCCGTGATGGACTCCAGGCTCGGAAACAGGGTACTGATACTCTTGGGAATGGTGACTGAGCACAGGGCTGGGTCGTGGATGTACGTATGAACTGTCCGGAAGGCTGATTGGTGTCATAAGCGCCGGGTTTTGGTACGCTGACGGTGCGTTATAGGGTTGGGTGACCGCTATGTAGGGAGACTAGAAAGAGCCAAGAATGTCAGTCTGCATGGCCAAAACATCCTCTGCAGTTGTAGCACCTAGACATACGCGCTCTAAAGTTGGCCACTGAGACTGTATACTCCCATAGAAGTCTTCCAACCCATCGTTAGGGTGGCAATTGCCCTGGCCAAAAGACATTGGTCTGGAGTATTCACACGAAGACTGGCGAAACATGAACGAGCCGATGAGGATGCCTCTGGAAGCGCCGAGGGGGGGTGCGCGCCGTTCGAGGGTGGAACAGAAACGAGATCGAAGCGTTTAGTGAAACGGACGACACGGAGGTCAGGTTCGAGGGCGGCAAAGGGTGCTGAATCAACGAATGATTTGAGTCTTTGGGGGGTAGCACTATATGAATCCCTCCCAATATAGATTGAAGAGTTCCTGAGTCGATTCACAGTCCAAGCAAGATGGAGCTAGAGTTTCTGAGCTCTAAGAGTATGCGTCTGTGTGAACCAAGTAAAGGGCGTTTTGGTAAGGACTCTAGCAGCAGTGCCGTGAAGGTTCATATACTCGAGTTGTGGGTATCAACAGAGGCCAAAATGCCTTGCAAGGCAGGGCCAGAGGCATGAAGCTCTTCTTTCAACAGGCCCAGAGAGCACGAAAATGTGTGATAGGTGCCGCCGAACATTACCGTGCCACACAGATTCTCTCCTAACTAGAGGCCCAGAATGGAAGATGAGTCTGAATTTAAGCGCCCTGCTTATATTCGGGAACGGGGTCCGTTTCCATGAGGGAGGGAAGAGGGTAATCTTGCAGCTTTCAAATAATAATAATGACATGGGAAACGACAGTCTAGCCCCCAACTCTCTGGGGCTCAGACACTGCATAATAAATTTTTTTTCGAGGCCCACTGCGGTCATTGTTGACAAGGCGCTGAGGCAGGTCCGATCGAAGTTCCAGGGCTTCGGATCTCCAGGCCAGGGGTGGGAACCATGAAAGAGGGATCACGAATAGCGAACGGAGAGACTCGGTTTTAGCGGCCCTAAAAATCGAGAGACCGTCGGTTGATTAGCGCTTAGTTGAAAGAGGGTACTAGCTAGGCAGTCCGGAAACCTTCGCTAGTCAACGGCTCTTTGCTCCGTAGCTAAGTCTAAGTTCATAAAGAGCTGTTGATGAGATATGCGGGACGAAGATCATCCTGAGGTCTGTACATCTACCGGCTATGATGACAAAAAGAGGGCCGCGGTTGAAGAGCCGGCACGCATCATGATGTTGGCATTACTTGACAAGCTAGGTGCAAAGGGGCCGGGGCGAGTAGTGCAGTGGATGGTTGGAGCAGCCCCCAAAAAGCGCAGTCCTGACTCCTGGGCAGGAATTTCTAGTTTCATTGCGACAAGCTGCGGTGCTGGCTAAGGAATCCTTGGCATCGCGCGTACAACAGGGCACAAGACCAAACGGAATGTTTTCAAAGAAGCTTCGCTGGGCCCCGGTTCCGACTGTTTGCGAGGTAGTCGTGGGAGAAGCGCTGAAGTCAACGGGAGCTTCTTTTCTTATTGCGGCTGTAAACCCCGGGTGGATAAGATGCACTGCCTAGGATCAACTCGGGTTAGCGCTAGTAGGCCGCACGCCTCTCGCCCAGGATCAAACCATAACTGAACTCAATTAGACGCCCAGGCTGACCACTGTGGTTGGCGGAATTGCATCGTTCGTCGTGGGCCTCATGAGGGAGACTTGCGCGAGAAACAACATGAGCGGGCACGGCACTCACTGGGCTTCTGGGGCGAGAAGATGGAGCCAGTGGAACGGTCCATGTCAGTACGTAGTGCATCATATACTAGTAATCATATTATTCCCGAGTCGGAGCATAATTTCGATATTGTTTTGATTTCCATAATCCCACCCTCGCGACTTTTAAGAGATCCAGAGCCGCCAGGAATTCTGAATTCCAAGATCCAACTCAGGACATGGGCCGCAAGGGTCTGCGTATGCGTTTCCTTACCAAGGTTACGGCGGCCCTTCGCTCTTCCCGTCCTGGTCGTCTGCATCCAACATAAGCCACGTGTCGCTAAAGGCAGTGGCTGGTTACGCGCCAGACGACTTGAGGATGGATCGTTAAAATGCTTTTCGAGCACCGGTTTCCAATCGTTAGGAGGGAAGGTTGAGCTGGGGCCAATCCCGGCGTCTAAGACCGGAGTAACGTGGGCATTCCAAGCCCAGTAAGGTCCCAGTTGTTCGGGTGGGGGTTACTGTACTTTATCCTCTTGACCAGAAACAAGAGTCAAACGACGGACGAGCGATGAGCGGCACGGTTGCTCCTCTCCAGAGAGAAAAGAGATGAGGTCTTGCCCAAGGTCCAGTCATTCTTTCCAACCAAGACATGGAGCTTGTGATAGCACGTGATGCCTTCAGCGACTCTTGTCCATACTAGTAAATTGAGGCTTTCACCAAGATAATAAAAGTCCATTTAATCGGCAAGTTGGATGATGAACGGCGCATGAACCAAGGAGTGGTAGCTCCCGAGCTAGCAGGAGCCATCTCCAAACTAATTTCGCGTCCTGTGCGTTCCGACCTCCCGAACTTCGAACGAGCAAGACTACTAGTACTGTCTAAAATTGAGCAAGGCAGTTTTCCCCAGCATCAGGCTGTTTTCTATCTCAGATGGCCCCTTTTCATCCTCTTGGACCGTGCCGTCCATGCGATGACATGGTATGATCGTCTTGTCACTTGCTCCCTTCAATCTCCTTCGTTTGACCGTGGCTATGCCCTGGCGCAGCAACGGCTCAGAGTCAATCCGTTTGAAACAATCGTCGCCCTCACACTTGGGTCCAAGAAAGTCAGGTTTTATGGCTATCTTGCGTTTACAATTAGGTCCGCCTCTTTATGCACAGCTTACCCATGAAAGTTATTCCTGGAGATTCTGACTGTAGCTGCCACAGGGCTGATTGCCCTGCAGCTTATCATCTCCTCTTCCTACACACCATCAGAGGCTTAGAGCACTCTGATGGATAGTTGCACAACAATTATCAATCGCGGCAGATCCCTAGCCGAGTTTGGTATGTGTATAGAACGCTATATTCCGTCGTAGCAAGGGTTTAAGTCGTCTCGTGAGTCTGTTGCGGCCAGCGGAGGCCCAAAGGGGCAGCCGTGTTTTAATTGCTCTCCTCATCTGAGAAACCTTCTGCATCACGGTCCGCGGCGAAAGGTTGCTCACCGCGTTGGTTTTCCAAAGTATCATCCGCCGAAACAGATATTCCCCTCGCACCCCAGCGGTTATTCCTGGACTGGCGCTCGTCGCCGTCACCTTCCCCATGGAGCCTCTGCTCCTCCTCATCTTCGCTTCTTCGCCGCCTAATATTGAAGACTTTATTCACAAGATAGCTATTCCGGTAGTCCTCCGAGTCGACCACCCCTCCATTTCGAAGCTTGACGCGTTGACGTGTATAGTATACCCAGGCAAAGTCGACATAGAATGCTGTCTGTATGATACCGAAGATGATTGATATCCAATCCACATGACGTTCGGGGCCGACTGCTCTGACGAACCAGTTTATAATGTAGAAAGCGCGGTAAGATCCCAGCATTAAGAGATAGTACGAATTAATCACGGTAGGGACGGTCGTCTGGCGCAGGAGTAACAGCTGTGGGAGGACACAGACTGATTCTAGGATGATTGAAAAAGTCCATAGGATCTGAAGAGCATGGACACCATTAGCCTCAGTTACCAGCAAAGATAATCAACCAGTAAGTTTCAACTCACGTCTTCAAACCATGATCTGCTATACTTCTCGAAGATGGGCCAGACGATTGGTGCGAGGATCAAGGAAACTGCGATAGAGCCCAAAGCCATCTTCCATGCCCTCTCTCGTTCCCGAGTTCGAGGGAAGACTCTCATCATCAAATATATGGTGTAAAACGAGGATATGAAGTAGAAGATTTTGAAAATCACGTTGTAGGCACTACTCCAGCCCTTTGATTGAAATAAATCGACATAGCGTGTCAGGAAGACCAGCGTGTAGAGGCCTTGAGTCAGAAGCGAGACACCTGCGAGTTTATGGACTTCTTTAGTCAGGCATTCAGAGACAAACAGATACCACAATTACCTTCTGCGCTCCGATTTTGATGAATGGTCCATATAAGCACACATTTTGAAGCGAGATGGGTGAAGTCCGCAAGGACTCGTGGGATAGTAAAAGTCACCATATTGTATTTGAATTGGACGTCGTAATGTATGCGGAGGTTTAAATCAAATCGTTATACAAGCTTCGGGTTGACCGTTGGCGGAGTGAAAGCGACACTACGAGAGGCTGGGGGACGGTCCGGCTCACTCCACCGTCTTTTTTTGAGCTGAGAGCCTTTTGACGTCGATACCCTTGTAGATTATAAGACACCACAAGATAGGCAAAAGGCAGCAATTGAGATCAGGGGGCCGAAGGGGACAAGGCGATGAGATGAAGACGTGGTCGCAGTTGGCTGAAGCCTGGGAGAGTCAAGACGGAACGGGTACGGAGCTCAAGGTGGAGAGGTCGGGGACGGTTGATAAGCACGCAACGACCAGACCGGGAATGCCGCAATAATGGTCTGGCTTGCCAAAATTTGGTTCTCGAGATAAGTTGACGAAGCCTGCAACGATTCAAAAAAGAAACAGAACCAAGACACCGTGGCTTCGCTTCTTCCAAAGCTGCTACTGCTGCTAATTGACTGCGTGGCTGGATGTTCGTCACGTGAGGCAATAACTGAGGAAATGACATCAGGTGGCCCTAGTCCGAAATGGTAGTAGCGCCAATTTCTTCCGTACGGAGTATGTATACTACTCTGTAGTTTACTCCGAATTGTCCCAAGCAACAAAAAGAAAAGGAATGAGCTTCGGCTTTCCAACTCACCAGGCCTGATGTATGATCAGCAGCCATTTGGCCACAGCCATGAACAGTCCATCCGACTTCATTCCTGACTGAGCTGACATCTACCTGCAAGTTGACTCACGTTTGATGGAAGTGCATTGACAGTTTGGCAGGAGGGCAATGACCCTTGTCTGGGAGGGGCTCAATGGGTCCTCAGTACTTAAGGCTCAAGTCCACCCAACCAGAAAATACTCCTGAGCCGGAACAACAGCTCAAAAACAAGATCCATCTCGACCACTCACAATTCCCGTCTTGTCGCTGAAGCGGTTTTGCCCGTCTTACTCCGTTCAGCCACTCAACATCCTCATCCTCGTCGTGCAGTTGACTACAGCTACCCCGCTTCCAGGCTCCCTAACAGGAACGACCAGGGAGCTCTGACTGCCAAGTCCCAAACCGATGAAGAGTACGTCTGGAAGTTTGTCTCACGGTCACCCGATCCGCTTAATCGCTTGGATACGTGGACAGGCATTCTGCGGAGTGAGAAAATCGAACGAGACAGAGTCAGAGATCGACGCATCGCCTGATGGCGCATTAATATGACATCTGATCCAACTCTAAGGCGTCTAGATCTGTCAGTGAAAATCATCCGCTGACGAAGGTCGATGAGGAAGGAGCAATGCCCCCGGTGCCCAATCAGCAGAATTTCATTTTAATTTCCGTCTGCTTCCTGTGCCTCTGCTTTGACCTTTGAGTTGGCGTGCAGAAACGAGTCAACATGCCGCTGGGAAGGAGATGGAAAAAGCAAGCGCCATCTAGAGACGGCGCGATTGGCCTCAGGTCACTGGTCTCAAGCGCTGTTTTGCTGTCTCATCCTCGCCTTCGCTCCCCGTCTCTTCCATCGTCTCCGTCTCCTCTGTATACCTAGTACTGCGCTGGATCCGCCTCGTCCATTACCGCTGTCAGGGCTATCTTTTCCCCTCATCGTCCATAGGTGTGGAATCTGTAGACATAGTATCAGTGATTCGCCTTGTACGTCCCATCTATAATATATTTTTCTTTTTCCTACACAAACCTCCCGAGACGACTCAGGTGGACCATGGACCTCGACCAGTAAGCCTCCCTTTGCCTTTCCACCTTCTCCTGGTCTGCTCTGGTCTGGTCTGTCCTGACCAGATCACCAGTACCTCTCTGTATCCTCCGTACTCTCCCCAGTCTCTGGAGGTGAGGGTGCTGGGAAGGGACCACTTGTGACTGTGCCTAAACCTGTTTATACATATTCTGCTACCCCTCGCACCCCCTTCCTCTCCTCCTCCTCTTATCCTCTTCCCCCAACGCTTCTCACTTTTTCTCCACTTCAACCCCCAGGGGCCCCCTCCCTGACTCTCTGGCCTCCCGTCTATCGCTTTACATACATGCATGTAACACCCCCATCTCAGCTATCCCTCTGTCTGGTCGCTTTCCCTTTATCCTGCAGCGCTACTCCCACGCTGTGGGATGTGCCCGTGTCATCGTCACTTTCTGGTGTAACAGAAGGCTCGTCTCCAGCGACTTGACAGGCTAATCTCCCCGGACCGTTCTTGCGCGGCGGACTTGCTAATCTCCTAATCATGTGTATGTACAGATGAGCCGGCGCAACGTGATTGGGAAGCCTTCACTTCGTCCAATATGTCGTAAGTTTTGCCCTTGTTCTTATGAGCCTAGTGGTGCCCAAGCCAAAAAAAAGCCTATTCACTTGTCTTGCTACCTGCTTGAAAGTGTGTATACCTCGAGTGTATATATACTTTTATATACTTCTATCATATATCTATATATGCACGCACGGATCCATCTTTAGGTCTTTGTCATGCGCTCCTCCCTCTCTTCTCTTTCTCACTTCATCTTTCTCTCACTTTCGACCCTTTCAGCGCAGCTGAAATCTGGTTCATCCATCTCGAAGACCCTCACTAACCACTAGTCTCTGTCTCCATCCTTGCCTTGCCAGCTCACCTCCAACTTCCAAGCGAATCAAGACGTCTATTCCTCCAGGCAGCCCACAACAACTACTTTCCCAGCAACAAGCGCAACAAAACCATCCTTTCCAACACGTACCAAGCTACGAGGGCATTCCTATGCCCCAAACTCAGATCCCAGGGTCGAATCCGCGTAAACGCCGATCTTCTCCCCCAAGCTCAACCGCGGCAATGACGACCAGTGCGACGGGCGATGACCCTGTGGCTGCGACGGCAGAGCCTACTCCTCGGAAGAAGGGAAGAACGAACACTCCCTGGACCGCGGAGGAAGAGCAGAGGCTGAAAACGATGCGCGATGCTGGTCGCAGCTGGAGTGAGATTGCCAAGGTTCGTAAGACGCCAGCTATGCTTCGTCCACTCCTCTTTCTGTTGCTCACTGGGTTTTCAGACATTTCCGAACCGGACTGAAGGCAGTGTGAAAAAGCACTGGTACAAGGTAATCCGAACACAGCCATTCCATCTGATAGTGTTACTGATCTTGACCGCTTAGGATATGCACTATGCAGAGTTTGCGGAGGACGAGGTGAGATCAACTCTGATGGAGGATTTATGGCGGCAATCTCTGATCGTGTACACAGTCCATAGCACTGCGTGAGGCAATCAAGGAATATGAGGGGAACAAGTGGAAAGTTATTGGCCAAAAAGTTGGGAAGCCGGCCAAGGTAAGTTTTGAATCCGCAGTAGAGGGCTCATCAGCGTCTAACTTCCAGACTATAGGCGTGCGAACAGTATGCGAAAGAACATTTCAAGGATCTCTAGATATAGGACGGATTTTGACAACGTAACGACCATCTCGATGTTCACATGGATTCCCCCATGCTTTGGATCTATAGCGCTGCCTCTCGCAACTAGTTTTATATCTCAATTTGCAATGTACCAGGCGAAAGGATACCGGCGTCGTTTCGTCAATTATTCTCGTTGTTTTCTTTAGGATCTGTTTTTGGCTGCTGGCAGCGGTGGGTGCCTTGAGTATCGTAACATGCTTAATGACAAGACCGATGTCGCAGAACAATTTCGATAGATAACGAGTAGAATGTAAGTGTAGTGCTATCACAGTTAGGGCGGGAACAGAGTTCAGTCCGTCGAGCGGCAAATTCCTCTCCAAACTTTCTCTTCTTCATTTCTTTCTTTCCCCACCACTTTCCCCTCGTCAACCCCGAGTCCATCTTGCTTTCTATAATCCATTCAGCGTCGACTTGCTTTACAGAGGTGAAATCAATTCTTCCCTCCGTCCCATCCATAGACTCACACTAACCTTATCTGCTGTTCCCCCGCTCAGGTCCCGGCTATTCTTCCAGTGTACTCCACCTTCCCCATCTTATCCGACCTGCCATGGCCATCATGAAGCCGAGTAGCATGGATTTGTCTATCGATCAAGGTATCTAGGTAATCTGCCTGCATGATGACCGGTGTTCGACAACTGTGTGCCTGCAGGGTCAGCCACTGGAGGGCCACACAGCTGTCGTTCTGAGATCAAACGGTTGAACTTGATCTGGATAATTCCAGCGAAAGAACTCATGCGCGCATAATAACCCCTTTACTATACTTGCGCGGATGTGACTAATCTGTTCCAGCATGTCATCGGGAAGCAACCCAACGCCCATGGTAGGAGAGGCCACCAAGGAGAATGCGACACGCTCGGAGGCTGTTTTCGACGACTCACCTTTTCGCTATGATGACGGGATTGAGTCTAACGGGGCTGACCGTCGTGGCTCTGTTCCTGCCCGGCTGACTTCCTGTCTCAAGAAGCTGGAGAATCAGTTGGTTGAGTACAGCCTCGAGGCTCGTGGTATCGAACGTGTGCAGGAGCATGAACGAATCCCAAAGTTGACCTGGGTCTCGTACTTGCAGGTCTTCCTGCTCTGGATGTCAGTCAATCTGGCAGCTAACAACATCACCTTGGGTATGTTGGGGCCTGCGGTATACGGCCTTAGCTTTCTCGACTCGGCTCTCTGTGCGGTCTTTGGAGCGCTTGTCGGTGCGACAGCTGCGTCGTGGATGGCTACATGGGGCCCTATCTCTGGTATCCGGACTATGGTATTGTCTAAGCCTCTGGGAGTAATATCACATGGATCTGACGCTTACAGGCTTTTGGACGGTATACAATGGGATGGTGGCCGAGCAAGCTTATCGTGATATTGAACTTGATTCAGATGATTGGGTACTGTTTGATCAACTGCGTCGTTTGCGGGCAGATTCTTTCCGCTGTATCTCCCAACGGGAGCCTGTCGGTGGCAGTGGGTATGGATGTCTGGTTCCCTTGATGTATTGGTTCGACACTGACACTACTCAGGAATCGTCATTATTGCCGTCATCAGTTGGATCATTGCAACCTTTGGCATCCGAGTCTTCCACTACTATGAACGGTAAGCGACATTGTAAAGGTATAAAGACTGTTACTGATTACTATAGATTTGCTTTTCTGCCTCAGGTCATCGTAGTGAGCATTCTGTTTGGAGTGTCTTCCTCAAAGTTCGACCTATCCACTCCATCCCATGGCGATACACGCACCGTGATCGGGAATAGGTACGATTACATTCCCATGTCTACCTTCTCCCTCTAACCCAGTCTCTTGGCCAGACTATCATTCTTCTCCCTCTGCGTCAGCGCTGCAATCACCTACACCCCACTCGCAGCCGACTTCTTCGTCTACTACCCGGAACGAACGTCGCGGGTGAAACTCTTCTCCCTCTCCCTCTTCGGCCTCCTCTGCTCATTCACTTTGGCCTTCCTCCTCGGCATCGGCCTCGCCTCGGGAATAACCAACCACCCCTCCTACGCAACAGCCTACAACAACGGCCAGGGCGCCCTGATCGTCGAAGGCTTCAGCCCGCTCAACACATTCGGCAACTTCTGCTCCGTCGTCGTCGCACTGGGTCTTATCGCCAACGCAATCGCACCAACCTACTCCGCCGGCGTCGACTTCCAAGTCCTCGGCCGCTACGCCGAGCGCGTGCCCCGCGCGATCTGGAATACCCTCGGCGTGATCATCTACACGGTCTGCGCGCTCGTGGGCCGAAGCCACCTCGCCGAAATCTTCACCAATTTCCTGGCGCTGATGGGCTACTGGGTCGCTATCTGGATTGGAATTATTCTGGAAGAACGCTTCATTTTCCGTCGCCAGGGGTACAACTGGGCTGTTTGGGACGAACCAGCTAAACACCCGATTGGGATTGCGGCGCTCATTGCGTTTTTGGTTGGCTGGGCTGGAGCGATTCTCTGCATGGCGCAGGTTTGGTATATTGGGCCTTTGGCTGGGTTGGTGGGGGAGTATGGTGCTGACGTATGTTGGATCTCGCCACTTTTATTCCAGCTTCAAGGGTTGCCTTGCTAACGATTTCGACTAGATGGGAAACTATGTTGGGTTCTCGTGGGCTGCTGTGGTTTACCCGCCTCTCAGATATCTTGAGCTGAAGCACTTTGGAAGGTAAATGGTATTGAGTTAGTACTTTCTGGAACACCTGTGTCAGGTGTGCTGTGGATTGGTAACAAGGCAGTGGCTGGGGATTGAGACGGTATGTTGATGGAAGTGCTTCCTAGCTCGCGTTGGACACTTCTGTCGAGACGGAAGTTGTGGTAGGATTGTACATATTCTGTACAGAGTATATGGCTCTTAGGATTTAGTGGTTTAAGCATAGAATCGTAATATCTCTAGGACTGAATGAAACTTGAGAAAATCTAGAAATGAAATAAACCACACTTTACTCGTCTTCACTTCACTATTCTACAGAGACAACGCAAGGATTCGGTAGGTAACAAGATACGAATACAGCCAACCCTCTGGGTGCATGTTTTATACCTTGTCATCTAGATTCACCCACACCACGGCAACGACATGGACATATATCAATCATCTTTGAACACCGGGAAACGGAGGATTGAGTGAGATACAAAAGAGAATGCGGCAGAGGGAGCAGCAACCGTGCGCAAGGGATCTGGTTTCGCTTGACCGGAAAGGAAACCGTTTACCGGTACCAGTACTCGGGCTTGACGTAGTCGGCGAAGGTCTTGGGATCCTCGTGGACCTGGTGGTGGTGGCCGTCGTGGCCGTGTTCGTCGTCTGGTGTAGCGTTAGCAATTGCACTGGGAGCTATATAATTGATTTGTATTGGAGCGACTCACGACCGTGAGCGTCCTCGAGAGGACCGATGTAGTTCAGCTTGACGACGTTACCGCACTCGCCGCAACGCTCAATGGGACGTTCACGGGAAACCTGTTGGCATTGTCAGTATCCATTTCACTTGTGATACTCACATGCAGGGTGGTTCATACAGTGAGCCAGTTAACCTGGTGAGAGTCGGCGGGGAAACCAGTGCAACCGGCGTACTGCTCGTCACCAGCACCGTTGACAATGATGGGGTTGTCGAGCGTTCCTAGTCTCCGCGTCAGGCCTCCGTCTTTCCGTATACAATGATTCGCGGGTAAACATACCCTTCCGGGAGGCATCAAGGGGCCGCATGTCGAAGATGTCAATGCCCTGCATCTTTCCGATAAGTTCGAGACGCTCGAGACCGGTGGCTTGCTCGATGTCGGTAGGGATGGTACCGGGCTTGGCACCAGGGGGCAGAAGGTCATCCTCAGTCTTGATCTCTATACGCCGAAACATGTCCAGTTAGCACTGTGGTCCCCAGTTACGTCAATGTATGGAAGCGGGTGGGTTGTCGAGCTAATATCGGTGGGGAATAGGCGGCTCTCGGGACTCAATTGCGATTGTTACCGCTAGCAATGTCGTGTAGATTTTGTCGGCAATCAGGAAGGTTGTGCAGCGCAGTGGTTCGTTGACTACGGAAAGGCAGGTACTAACCTTCGAAGGGAAGAATCTTGCCCTCCTGCTTGGGCTCCCACTTCTTCTGGTTGACTATAATCCGGAAAAACAGCATCAGCAACCACATTCAGAGAGGCCATGTCCATTGACGGTGGTATAGAAGACCAGTCGCGCCCAATTGAGTCGCAATTCGGTATGGCATGATCTTATCTCCCTCGGGTCGAGTATTTTGGGGAGTTGGGAGTCACGTACAGCGGCTGACGGAGGAGGTGAAAGGGCGAGCAGAGAGGGCCCTCACAGGGGCGCGCCTCGAGAGGGCAATAGCTGTGCGTTGGAAGAACATGGTCCTGTGCGGGTGGGATGCAATGCCAACGGACAAGGCGTGGAGGACTGGCGAGGAGGGAGTTTGGAGGTTGAGGTGAGTTTGAAGCCGCTTCGGCCCGTGGTCTGACGCTCTGCGGCCACCGCCTTAGTCATCCGTGCCCGCTGGTTGGCTGCTGAGCTCGTACGGTGTCCCGGGAAAGCCCGTCTGGCATATTACCTGATCCGGCCACTAAGATAGGGCCTAGGGCTTCTTGCTGGACATCAGGCCATACGGCTCTTCACTTGCTATCAGCGTCAGAGAAGGATTATTATTTAGAAGGCCAGCTCATGTCATGCGTCTTTTTCACAGGCTAGTAGATATTATACATTTACCTTACCTCAGCCGTCCGGTCTAGAGCCACTGCTAAGAAAGAACCAGTGTCCTCCAGGTCGCCCGCCTCGTTTGTACAACCTGCCAAGGAAAGGAGGTCAAAGGGCAAGAATAAGTAAAGATGAGCTAAAAGGTACGAAGGATAGTCACAATAAACGGTAGATTAGAAGTGAAGAAAAGGGGGAAGAGGAGAAAGAGAAGGGGAATGTGGTGTATGCGTTGAAAAGTCAAATGCCCATTTCCATATCCATATCAATGCCCATGTCCGATTCGTGACTGCCATGACATAATCCATAATCCATACATAACAGCTCATTTCAAATCAAAGCTGTGTTGCCTTTTCTCGACATGCTGCTGGCGTAAAACCATTACCAACCTTCCCGGCAATAATACGCCAACGATCGTTTTCGTACTCTTGGATAGCGCGCCGCAGTCGTTGCACCTGCCATCCCGAATCAGTGCACAGTACGGAAAACAAGCATAAGGAGTCTCACCATTTCGTCACTCCAGGCTACATCCTTCGCCTTCAACTTGGTGCAATAACGGACTTGCAAGGTGCCGCTCGTTCGACCAGGGAAAAAGTCGGCTATTTGCTTCCAGGTCAAGTTTTTATTCTCTTTTAATTCAACCAACAAAGCATCCTCCTCCGGGGTAAACTTGAGCTTGGGCCCACGCGGTCGAGGCGCCGGGTCAGGCATCCCCGGCTGCCCCACGACACTTGGTGGCCCAGACGGCAGAGGTGATGTATCTACATTCAGGCCCTGACCCTCTGTAGCTCGAAGTGATGCGTGAGGAGGGAGATGGTGGTGGTGGTGATGTTGTGGGAGGGCCATTGAATCGGTTGGCCCAAAGCCGTGGCTCGACATCGCATGATGGTGCTGGGAAGACTCTCCATGCACGGAGAAGAGCATTTCAGGAGAATGAGTTGCCTCTGAAGGTGCATTTGGTGGAAGGACTGGCAACTGTCTGATCCCATGGTCTGTGTTACCAACCTCTGGCTCACTTTCGGAATGAGGCCTCTTCTTGCCACGCTGGATCGAGGGCGCGATCTCGTAGCTGGCGGCAGGCGCGTACTGCACCGGGAGCTGGCGGGGGAGCATTTGAGCCTGGTTGAGGAGAGCTGTTTGGGAGATATCGGGGACTGTTGGCTGAGGTGTTGCGGTTGGGAGCACGGTCGCATTCGCATGATGCTGCTCAAATGCTGCGCCGTGCGAGTTGCCGGTTGAGAAAGACGGGTCTGTCTGTTTCGCGTGCTGAAGGTGCGGCTGTTGGGAGTGATAGACGAGCGTGCCTTCATGTTCCTCAGGTTTGCGGGTAGCATGTTGAGAGTAGTCAATGGCATAGTCTCGGTACGGATCCGCCAGCGTCGCGGACATACATCGGTGCTGCTAGAGCCTAGAAGCCCCGGCAAGCTACCGAGCTAACTGTTGAAGTAGTGATTTCAAGACGTTATAGAACAGGATAGAGCGAGAACGAAACGGCTGTCGAAGATACTTGCTCTGCTGCTGCTGGCGTCCTGTTGCTATACCTGATTGAAATCTCGTTTTGGTTCCTGGTGAATGGGATGAGGAGAAGATGCGATCGCCATGTACTAGGCCAGAACCAAAAACACCCCAGACTTCACTTTAGTCCAAATCAAGATGTTGTTCCCAGCTCTACCTCCGCGTCAGAAGCAAGCCCCAAAAAACAAAAATAAATGAAGATAAGGTATCGCAATACAGTTATTGGACCGCCAACAACCGAGTGGGCCAAATGATAGCCAGAGCAGAGGGATGTAAAACGAGAGGCTGGACTGAACCGGAGGCGACAAACACGGCGCGCGAACCAGCAATCCTAGAGGAAGTGGGGAGGCGGGAGAGGGAGAGTAAAGGGAGAAAGAGAAGAGAAAGGAAAGAACGAACGACGAGCGTTAAAGTCAATATCAGGGATGGTTTGTACTCACCGGGGTCTAGGGCGGACTTTTGGAGTGCCAAAAATACTAACTTGTATTTCTTCAAGCGGCCGAGCAAAAGAGCCCAGGTTAGCCAGATCTGAAGACGGAAAGGGCTGGGTTTGCTCTTTCAGCAGCAAGTCGGATTATCCAAACGGCTTACTAGCCGTAACTCGCGTTGCGTCTAGAAGTTGCAGATGTGGGATGGACAATCGAATATTATGCAAAAGGGGCCCGGCCAGAAGAGCCAGAATAGAGGTGGAAACAGGGTCACGGCCGTCCTGCATACAGACAAAGTCCCTGTGCAGCAACGCGTTGAATACTAGACCGCGGGCGACAGCAGCCAGAAACTGGGAAGGAAAGATTCTGGAAAGAGAAAGGGCACAGCGGCGCGGTACATCGCCAGAACTCGAGAGATGCAGGTGGATAAAGAAAGACAAATCGCCCATTTGGTGGATCTGCGCTCTGGTCAAGCTTAGCTTGCAACGAGGGCCGAAGGCCCAAGGGACTCTAGCACTCAAGTCGCAACGCCAACGGTCGTTTGGGGATGCTACCACAAGAGGCGATTTGGTGGAATTCCTCAGTGTCATTTCACCCCCTCCACCGGGCCGTTCTGGTCGAACGCCAAGGGCATGGCGGAAGGGAAAATAAAAATAATAATCGGGGTGAGGAGGAGAGAAAAAAGCATCAAACGGGTTAGAAAAACGAATTATGAAGGCCGTGGCATGAAACGCTCAGCACGACAGAAGAGCGTCTCACTAGAAATCGTCCTTGGCCCGATTTCTCAGAACGCCATTAGTGATCACCAAGAAGCGGGGGGACATCCAAGCCCATTCCATTCGCAGTCCTAGCAACATCTCGAGTTAGCTTATTGGATGCGAACGTGGGAGAGAGCAGGCTGGTGGGTTTCGGAGTAAGGGAATCAAACCTGCGGCTGGGCGTGCTTTAACTAGCTCAGGAATCCCACCCCTGTCAGGTCAAGGACCTGTCGTACGTCGCCGCAGCAACTCCACCAGCAAGAGACGCCAGTACTGGCTCATCGGAAGCACCTGTCGGCGAGTCACCCACGAGGAGAGGGGGTTTGATTCTGGCGCAGTCCATGGGGGGGGGTGTATCATCCAGGTTGCGAAGAAGAGAATCTAGCCTTGCACCCCATCATCGCTTGACTCGAAGGATATCTAGATGACCAGGCACGGGAGGTCTCGCGATACTCCATACATTTGATACTCGAACCCGAGGGTCCTATACGCGACAACTGCATTGCGACTGATCGAGATGGAGCCGTCCGGATGAAGGAACACCGTTGTATGTGGCGCCGTCAACTATATCGCGCATACTCCGGAGTCGCGCGACGGTCCAACAGCAGCAACCAGCCCCCGGCCTTTTGTCTCTCTCCCCTCTTCCGCTGAAGGAAGATGCCCGGCAATCAAAATTTCCCATGTTTTGCCCTGGCGATAGGAAGGCAACCTTTTTACTCTTGGAATTCTTCGCCTGGAGACCGTGACCCTTCGCCGTGAGCCTCAGACAGCCTTATTCTGGCCCCATTGTTCTAGTCCCTCGGGCTCTGGGTCCTGGAACGAACAACAAAGGCGCCTGTCCCTCCCTCGATGAGACCGGACAATGGTCGGACGGAGCAAACCAGGTCTAGCGTCCAAGTGTGTCAAAAGAGCAAGCCGTGGCTGGCGGACGCGGACAAGACTCCAGAGAATAACAAGAGAGGGAGGGGTCGCTCGAGCACCGCCCTATGCTTCTTTCACGACTAGCTCAAGCTCGGTACGGCAGGACAGAGCACAGCAACCATTCCAAGTGTATCACCATCATCATCCTGATTTCCAGCGAGAACCGAGCCTGCCCGCCGATGAGCTGACGAGAAGGAGGGCACAAAGCCTTTATCTAAGAAAAGCGTAGTTGCAGCAGCAGGGGCGGCCAGCTGCTAGCTGCTGCACACCCCGTAGCGTCAGCTCTGCCAGCCAGGCTGTTGTCAGCTCGTCAGCGCAAGCCATCGCCGATGGGACTCTCATCTCACAAGCAGCGATGAGCACGAAAATATCGCAAGCATGACGGACGAGAAAAGAGAGGGTCTTTTCGAACCCAACGGCTCACCATGGCTGCATCGCATTCTCATCCGTCCACTGTCTCCTGCATACGCGCAGTCGCCCGTCTCTTTTTCTTTCTTTTCTGCTGCGGTCTCCCTTTTCTCCGATCGAAATTTAGGTTTGCGTCCCGAGCTTGAGTTGAGACCATGAAGCACTGGTGAAACAGATAATCACACCCCCACGCCAGCTGGTTGGCCCGAAGCAGGAAATGAAAGCTGGTCCAGACTGCCAGGGACCCAGACCATTCTCGCGGAGGATAAGATGGCTTCGGATACGATCGGAGACAATGATGATGCTATTGATTATTCAAACTGGCTTGAAAGGGCAGGAGAATGGATGGCTGAAGCCACAGTGGGCACGGTGGTGCCTCATGAGCTCTTCGCCTCTCTACATGCCCCGAAGTCAACCATCCTTCGGTCGGTTCCAAGACTTGGCCAATGAATATACTGTTGACTTAGTAACGTACTATACATACAAAGAGGCCGCAATGTCATCCCCAGCCTCGCTAGCTTTTCCCCGCCATCCTTAATAAGATCGTCATAACGAAACACATGCAAGAAAGGGTTTATCACAGATGTATTATTGCAGGGGATAAAACATGAAGAAAATCAATAGGTAAACGATCAACGCCCGCAGCGATCGCTTAAGCAAAGTTATCAGATCGATCAACCCAGATATCCTCCAGCTCGGCGAAATTCTGGAAATGAAGCGGACGATGTTGATCATCGTAGAACCGCAGCGGCGTGTCAATCTTGACATAAACCGGTCGTTTCTCGACACTTCCATATGCGCTTCCCATGAAGCTGTAATTCCACACATTGTCCTCTGGCACGAGGAAATATCCACGGATCTTGTCGCTCAGTAGCAATTGGCACTTTTCGCCCATGCTGGTTGAGAAGCCCTGCGGTTGGTCCGACGTGGTATCCCGGTTCTCGGCACCCCACTTGTAACCCTGAGGCGTGAGACCCCATGCTGCCAGCGAGACGGAGCCCGGTGTGAACGAAACGGTCATGGTTACCGTTTTCTTATCCCAAGACGAATGAGCGTTCATCAGACGCGAGTGCTGAGTCACATCTTGCGCTGTCATGTACGGCGGTTCATTTCCGGAAAGAGTGTGGATGACTCCCAGGGGCTCCAGGTTGGCGAGATAATCGTGTTGTGGGAGCTGCTGCGGAAGTTGAACCTCGCGAGTATTACCGACCTGCGGGATCATGACAATGGTCCGAACTTCCTTGACCTGGTCGTTGTCTGGTGGCGAGCTACCGTACAGGTATCCAGCAACTTGCACCCGGAGATCGGCAATCATGATGAACCGCTTTAGAATGTTCTTGGGCATGATGTACGTGTAACCCTCTTCGCGGATTTCATCTGAAGAAATGTAGATGTTGTTCGCCCTAGTGCGGAGATTGGATGTCGCAATCGCTCGGGTACGCCACTCAGTCTTCGACGCGAATGACTGCTGCTCATACTGCGACGTGGTGGTGACAATGATGTCCTCACCGCGGACATTTTGCGTCTTTGTCGTCACAGCCGTCAGCTGCTTCTGCTCTTCCTGCTGCTTCTCGATTTCTGCTGCCTGTTGCCGCTGCAACGAAGGTGCACTGATTTCCATACCAAGAATGATGTCTCGGACTTCACTGCTGGTCAAACTCTGGACATTGACGTTGTTCTTCTTGCCATAGTCATTGAGAATCAAGTCACGCAGCTGGACTTCAACCTTCATCCAGCCTTCATCGGTGAGCGAAGGCCAGATGTGGTGTTCCAAGGTGATAACACTTTTGTCGGGACGAAGAATGATCTTCGCCTTGTCAATGTTGACATGAAGAGCTCGCAGAATCAAGATCAATCGTGAGAAGGCGGTGTACGGTGAAATGGTCTTGAGCCACTCATCGTAGAGATTGAAGAGAACCATTTGAGGCTCCGTAGCACGCAAGATCATATCTGCGAGCTTCTCGACCTTCATGGCAGCCTGGAAAGGCAATTGAAGTTCGGAAGCACGGATAGAGATGTTAGGGAAATCAAGCAGGTGAACCTCGAGGGGATCAAGAAGACCCTTGCGAGTAACAATGAGCTGCTTGGGCTGTTCTTCGACGGGCAGAGACCGAATTAGGGCCGCTACTTCTTCTGCTGTCTTCCACTTGGCAAGCTGGCCAAGACGTTTCTGTCCAGCCCAAACGCTAGTGTGGATAATCTTCAGGAACAACTGACCAGTCCTAGGGTTGAAGATAAAGATGGCACCGTTGATAGGCTTGGTCGTAAGGTTACCCTCAAATGTCTTGTGGATGGTGACACGGTAGACATTAGTATCGTCAATGAAGAGCTGGATCTGCGGGCTGAAAAGTTCCGAGTAGTTTTGCGAGTTGAGGAACTCCTGGTTGCTCTCGGAAGCATAGAGCTGCAGACCCTTTCGGATACGTTCTCTCAAGACATACAGGGCAGGGTTAGCCTTCATAACCTTGGCCATGGCTTGTTGTACCAAAGTCTTGAGACCAGGGAAATACTGCCCGTAGGCGGAATAGAGGTTATAAGCAAGGTCAATTGCGATCATAAGACCCGTCGCAGAAGGGTAAATGCTCATGCTGTCGGTTGTGTAGTCAAGATACTTGGCGCGGACATATCGCTCAATATCGTGGGAATCGTAGTCACCATACCGCAACTGCACATCAAGCCAGAACTTATTGGTCGTAGTGGGCTCGTAAACGTCCTTGGTATCAAATAGAATAGACGGCCGGGTCACATTCCACTTGTTTGTGGCGAAAAGTAGGATGTCCGCACATGAACTGTTCATCTTGTATGACTTACGTGGATGAATCGTTTCTTTCTGGACTGCTTCGATGCCCAACTGTTCGAGTTCTTGATCAAAGACCTGACACAGATCCATGACCACTGATTCGTGGATCTTCTGCCACAAGTGCGCCCGGAAAATCTGGATGAGGGATATCTTCAACGTTGGGATCTTGCCATGCAAGAAAATGCCAGTAAGGTCCAATTGGACCTGGAAACCAACATATACATTGGCTCTATTGATCGTAGGAGACCACCAGAGGGTGAATCTTCGGTTCGGAATTTGGTTTAGACCGGACCGTTGGGCGTTGGTGAGCTTTTTGAACTTCATCGACCTAAAAACCAGTCAGCAAGGTCAAAATACATTCAAATAGCAGGAATTGAGAAGACTAACTCTTCGAAGCCCGAGGCTTTTTCCCAAAAGAGGCCCTCCCAGGACGGAAAAGCTGTTGCTTTGAACAAGGTGTGCTCAAGAATGGTCTCTACACCACCCAGCGCCTGTATAACGTCGGTACGGTAAGCATTCAGATTCCAGAGTTTTCCATCGTGCCGCTGGCTCGTCCACCAGAAAGGATTGCTCTTCATGAGCTGGTATTGCTTGAATTCAGCGCGTAGTCGGAAACCCTTGTCGAAACTTAGGGTACTGCGGTCCTTCTGGAACAGGGTGTTGATACGCGGGAGACCACGGTCCCAGCTGTCCTCCAGATCCTCCAGGGTGAGACGACGGTTTTGCTGCTGTGCTTCCTGTCGCTTTTGGGAGTATTCCATCCAAACGCGTTGCGAGTCGATGAATTCGGCCTCCCAGGGGATGATGTAGCGGAAGATGTTGGGGATCAAGGTCTCCTCGTCATGTGACATACCCGCACGGAAGTGAGTAATTCCTGTGTCAGTTTGCTTGGACCAGCGCTTGTCGCTCGCGGGGATGAGGATGTGAGAGCCTGAAATCATACCCAGACCCCCAAGTTCCTTTGGTGTGTAAAAGACAGCAGGGGGGAAACGAGAAGGCATCTTGGAGTTGAGGCCAATCTTGACACGTGTCTGGATCTTGGTTTCGCACTTGACAATTGTGTCGAGCAGGTTAACAGTCGACACGGCGGCTTCACGGTAGTAGGTGAAAAGGGCAATCAGTGCCGTGTTCCACTTGTTGGCGATCTTTGTAAAGGTAGTTGAACCGGACGACATGAGAATCTGTCGGATGCGGTTATTAAACTTTTGAATATCCTCCTCGGTGACCTGCAGGAAAGCGTGTGCCGTGCGTTCCTTGGTGGAGTTGTCGACCAGAGACCAAACGCTGTCCTTGACGGAGAACTCTTCATTTTGGTTGCGGCTCTTGGGGAGGATTCGGACTTCAAATCCAGACATCGAGAACAGCAGGTTAGGGTTATCCTTGCTGTACACGCTGGAGAACGTGTCATCCCAGTCGATCGTAGTAATGGACCTTGGAAGACGGTTTTTCAAATCCCAGAAGACAGCACGACCCAGATTAACATCATGGCGCATCAAGCGCATCCGGCAGTCTCGGGGCCAGCACTTTTTGTTCTTGTACCCAATGACGTTCTCGAAGTTGGGATCCGGATTCTCCGTCAAGAATCGCTGGATAAGATCACGCGACTCGTCTGCGTTGAATCGGAAAAAGACCCAGATCTTGTCGACATAACGGGTGTACAGCCGGATAGGGTGCCTCTGCTCGGTAGCACGGTCTCGGAACTGCAAAAAGTCGTTGGGGCTCTGAGGAGGTCCAGCCATGTCGCTAGCTCGTTGCAGGCCGAGAAGGAGCAAGTCGATCATCAATCCGTAGAACTGGAAGACGAAGCCGGAGAATTGGAGACCACGGATTAGACCATAGCTGTTCGTGTGGTTCATGTCCTTGTAACTCAGCTGCACATTGTTCTTGGAGGTAATGTAATCCGCCAAGTTGTGGTCCATGATCAAACGGAGCAGTCTGTTGAGGAGTGTGAGATCGATCTTTTCGTAGACCTTGGAAAGCTCCGTCTCGATCATGACGTTCGTCTCGCCATCAGCGGTCTCCCAGACGTTGGAAAGGTTGTTGATTCCTTGCGCCCACTTGTACGTCAACAGAGGGGGGACTTCGGAGTCGGAAGGCTTAATCCACGCCGGGAACAGGTGGCGCTGCTCAGCCTGGTACCAAAGGTACTGATCAAGATAAGCGTCTGTGATCTTCTCAATAGGCTCGACATCGTAGACGGGGTTGATATTGTTATAGTTGTCGTTCATGTCGATCCCGACTTCCTTGAAAGCACGTTGAGTCAAAAGGAAACGCTTAATTCTGGCTAGAGTGGTTCCGGGAGAATCATATGCTTGTTCGATAAGAGCAAGTTCCTCACGCTGGCTTTGGTTCAAACGGCCCTTGACAGAGTAAGACTCGCGCAGACGTTCCAAAGCAAGAATCAGAATCTTGGTGTCATGCTTGTAGGACACGCTCGGGAATGGAATTGGCGTAAACTTGCGCGACTCGAGCCAGTGCACCATGGTCGTGTAAATGGCGACGGCCTCCTCGGACGACACATAAGGGCCGTCTTTGAGGTAGTTGTGCTGCCGTTCTTGCTCGGACTTGAGCCATAAACGGGTAAGACGACCCAAGTTCTTCTTTGCAACCGTCTTGTCCACCGTAGCACCACGCCGAATTCTCTCACGGTTGTAGTGGGCTACTGAAATCCACCAGTCGGCCTTGCTCTTGACGTACCGAAGGATAATATTTTCAATAGGCGCAGGAAGACCAGGCACCTTCCAAGGAATATTACTTTTCCAGCACCTCCATGCTTCTGAAAGATGCTGAAGTACAGTGTTGACCTTGTTCTGCTTGATACCCTCGGGCATCATGTCCATCAAGTCGGCCATGACGGAAGCACGAAGTTCCAGATCAAAGTGAGACTCGACACGCTGCTTGGTTACCGTCTTTGCGACACCCTTGCTGTGACGACCTTCGAACTGACGAGAGAGCAAGTTTCCAAGCCATCTCTCGAGCAAGGGGATGATACCGCGCATGAAGAAGAGCCACACACGCCAGGCTGGAGCCCAGAAACCACAGCCGGGCCCTTTACCAACGGGCCCAGAGTTGAAACGGTAGTATATCAAATGCTTCAAATCCTTGCAGGAACGAATCTGGTGCATCAGTTTGTACTTGTAACGGTACATACCAGTGAGCTGTCCAACGTGGTTGAAGGCGTAGAGAATACCGTCAGCAAGCTGGAAAGCATCGATGTTGCCAAGACGGTATTGAACCTGGGCATCGACAATCAACTTGGTCAAGCGCAGGATTTCGCGCATCAAGTGAAAGGCGTTTCCGAAACGAGACTTCTTCCGCTCCTTGGTGGTCAATGTTTTGACAGGCTTCAAGTTAAAATTGTAATCGAGATGCAGGTATGTCAGGTTCTTGCGATGAATCAAGAGGTTCAACATGTTGAAACCTTGACGGCAGACCTGGAGGCCGGCCTCGACCCAGTCGATCGTTGTCTGCTGGAAGAACTTGGTCGACTTGAGCGTTTTGAGAAGGTCCTGCTTGCTCTGGGCCTTGGGCTTCTTCTGGTGAAGCTGGTTGAGCACGTATGTCTTGAGAAGCTTCTGGTACGACACGCGAACTTTGACGGGCTGTCCCTGAGGGCAGTGCTCCAGATACCACTGTTTCACGAGCGGCACGTCCTGAGCACGAACCATCTTTCCAGAGCGCTTGTTGAACGGGTGAGGAGCCCACCACAGAGCGATAGCGGAAGCAGTTTCGGGCGTGTAGAGCTCTTCGTCGCCAAAGAAGGGCTCAACATCCCCGGGAAGCTCAAAGTCGTCCTCGTTCTCAGAGCCAAAGATCTCATCCTCATGACTAACAGTGATATTCTTGGGGGCAACGGAGCGGGAAGAGATAGGGTTAATAACAGGGTCGAAGTAAAAGGCGGGGAGGTTGGGATCATCGGTTCGGACATAGACAACTTGAGGGTGAGAGTACCAAGAAACCTTGACGCTTCTCGGGAGGGTATTGTACAGGAATGGGAATGCGACACGGTATTCGGTTCGAATCGGCGCGCGGAAGATGATACGGTCGATGGCGTTGAACTCGCTAAAGTCCTCATCATTGGGATCAATGTCTTTGTAGAGCGGCTCGAATCTTGGACCACCGGGGATGGCAACATTCAGCGCCTTCGCAGTGAGGAAGCTGTTGAGATCGAACAGGTGGAAATAGTTTTGGTCGACAACGTCACTCAGAAGCTGATGACTTAGTCGATATAGCGTAGCCATCTGCGGAAGATCCAAGTTCCACTTCCTATAGCTCGGTCCATTGACATGTGGCGTATCAAGGAGAGGTCGGTGGTCGTAGAACCATTCGTAGACGGGGCCATCTTCCACCTCGTCGAGTTCCATCTGGATAGGCTCCAGCGGCTCAACATCCTCGATATTCTCCGACCAAGAAAGCGGGGGTTCCTCATCATCAAAGGGCGGGAATCGCATTCGCTTGAAGTGTCTCCGGTCGCTCTTTTCCCTTCGCATGCACACCCACATCGTAGCCCACTGGGCATGAAAGACCGGCTCGATGACCCTTGGCGTTTCATTAACAAGGGTCAAACATCCGTTGACATGATACAAAACTTTAACCTCCCTCGTGGACTCCCACGGCATGGGCATATTCTCCAGCAGCTTCAGAACGGCATGGGGCATGAACTTGAGAGCTCCGAGATAGCTGCGCTTCTCGTTGCTGAATTTTTTCTGAGACACGTCACCGATGTCCTTGACAATCTTGCGAAGATGCTCCGGGGGCATGTCGGCCTTTTGTGATTCAACAAACCCGCCCTTGCGCTTCTCGCCGAAGCGATTCCGTTGCGTCCGTAGCCATTCTGTCTTCTTCTGGGCAAACTTTGCGACGGTTGGGTCGGCCGGGGGTTGATATCCTGGGGGCGGCGGCGCCATCGGCATCGAGGGCGGCGCAGACGCACCCCATCCGGGAGGAGGGGGAGGAGGCAGCGATGCCATTGTGATTGACGCTGAAGAGAAGGGGCGCTCTTCAGCTCGCTCTTCTCCGGGGGTTGACGTGAAGTCGCGTCAAGACTCAGATGCGAGAATCCTGCCTGACACCGGATTCATCAGTTGGATTATGGGTCAAAAATCGCGTCAGTGATAAAGAGAAGGTCCTGAAAAAGAAGAGACGAAAGAAAAACAACTCCAAGACAATCCCCTTCCGCGGCGACGATGGAAGACGAATCTTTCTGCTCTCTTTCCTTGGCTCCAGTTTCTCGCGATGCAAGCTTGCAAAAGAGGTGGCGGCTCCGGCCCAGCCACGCTAGTCCACAAATGGCCTTAGCGCAACCTCGCCAAATTAGCGCTAGCGCGGCCTCCCAGGGCTCCGAGAAACCCACACAAATCCAGACGACTGCAAGAATTCGACGAAGTTCACGACGACAACCGACGACGACGCCAACATCTTGACCACCGCACCAGAGGTTCAAGCACAGTCAAAATGGCGAACAACAGATTGCAATACGTGAGTTTTATCCAGTAACCTATTGTTGATTTGGAATTGAGCAGAGTGCTAATCGTACTTTTTTTTTTCTCTCCAGCGCCGCCGGAACCCGTACGTGAAATCCCCCAGCAACCCCTCCTCAGTCGTCTAGATCACGATCAGCATGGCGACAATTCTTTTGGCTTCACGACGATATCTCATGCGTTCGAATCGATATTGATGGATTGATACAGGTACAACACACGGTCCAACCGCGTCCGCATCGTCAAGACCCCCGGCGGTGCTCTCCGCTACCAGCACATCAAGAAGCAGGGCACTGCCCCCAAGTGCGGTGACTGCGGCATCAAGCTCCCTGGTGTGAGTACCCTTTCGCCCAATCCGATGATTTAGCAGGGAAGAGGAGAAGGGATCAGAGCAAAGTGGACAAGGGAACAAACGAGGGGGAATGGCCGAGTTTGACACAGCGACTGATTGCGAATTTCAGGTCCCCGCCCTTCGCCCCCGCGAATACTCCCAGATCTCTCGCCCCAAGAAGACCGTCAGCCGTGCCTACGGTGGTTCTCGCTGCGCCGGCTGCGTCAAGGACCGCATCGTCCGCGCCTTCCTGATCGAGGAGCAGAAGATCGTCAAGAAGGTTCTCAAGGAGTCCCAGGAGAAGGCCGCCAAGCGCTAAAGGGTTGCGTCGCATAATCAAAGCTCGGTGTTTTGTGTTTAGTGGAAAGCAATCAATGCAAAAATAAAATCTGGCTGGGTATGAGTTCTTTTTGTGAACACGGGCTAGCGCGGCTATGTCGATATAGCTAGCTATGAAATATATTTCATGACAGTCTTCTACTTCAAAGCATGCGTTTTTTCCGAAATCCTTCTGGAGTTGTTAGCCAGGGTCCAACGTGCAGCAGTTCGGCCACCAACCCCATGTCCTTCAGCAATCATGGTTATCTAAGGTTGGCAAACGATAGCCGACTAGATCATAATCCGCCCCATCACGCGATGAAGCTCCCTGTCTTATCTCGCTGATCTTGATCCGGCCCCATGGTTTGCGGCGTGCAAATCTCACCCGCACCATGTGTCTGTACTCGGATCCGAACAGGGAAATTGGTGCTGAAGGGCACCATGAACAATCCAGAGTAGCGCAGGTCTTTACTCCAGGTAGTCCAGGCTAGATCCCTCACGTGGAAACAGTATCTACGACTCGGCACTTCTTCACAAGTACCTTCTTCGCGTTTTCTATAATGGACACATCATCTACTTCGAGAGAAGGACACTCAGGCCCCAAAGCAGGATCAAACTTCTACCCTCTCAAACACGCCACAGAACATCTGATCCTGCAAAATCAGAAGAACGAGCGTAGTACTTTTCCACAGGAGCGAACGAAGGAAGCATAAGCAATGCACAGAAAGTGGATAGGTTGGAGCAACAACTGCCGAGTGCGAAAGTACCACACTCCACTCCTACGACTCGACACACAAAGTCCTTGTGTACTTTCTTCAAGACTGTGATTTGAGATTTGTTCTCTCCAAGGATAGATCTGGAAGCGAGATCAGATCCCATCGGAGTTTGGATGCCCTCGGGAACAGGCTGCTGGAACCTGCACGAAAGAGAATTTAGGTAGCTATGGTGATATGCATACCATATGGTAAACGGGTAGCGGCAGGGTGTTCGACAAGCACGCCGCCGTCAGGATGGCATGCCTCTACACTGAGGAATAAGGATAGCCTCTCGTTCAAGGCTAGCAAGCGGGCCAGGCCGGTGATTCCTGTAGATCGTTCTGCTCCTGGCCATAAGAGGCAACTAGGGTGTTCTGAGGAAACACATTCCCGACGAGCTTAGCGGGTGGACATTGTAGTCTTAACTGAAAATCTTGTTGTCGTGTGTAGCCGTGCTGTAATGAGTTGGTGGGGAGCTGAGGTCTGACAAATATCGATTTCGGTGCAAGTCTGTTCTATCTCGACTTTTCGTGCTTTTCCGTTCCGCCGACCTAAGTATAGAATTAGTGTACAGTGTCTCGGGTGTTGAAGACCCTTGATGATCCGACTTCTGTGCAAGGTCCGTCCGTCGACCTAGCGGTGAGCACAAAATCCTCTGCTATCAACATCATGGACCTTGTCGATGCGCACGTTGGGGGGATCTTAGCCGCCACTTGCACGTCGAAGGCGCATAGACTATTGAATGCCATGTAATCAAGACAGTGAGGATCCGAGATGGAGGCGTCCGGGTTGTCATCAGGACTGAAAATGATATATAAACTCCATTGCATGCACGTTGGAGCCGAATCACATTCAGGCATCTAAAAAGAAACAAAAAAACCAGTAAGCGGGCGGCGGCTCCCGAAGGCAAGATCAGGCAACTCTGTTAGATGGGACGATCGAGCTCCAAGATGGAGAAGATGTCGGTTGCAAGTGTGATAGCTCAGATTATTGCTTGCCAGTCCGTGGTCAGTACCATGAATAACGGGTGAATCCTAAAACACGTAGCAACGGCACGGCCCGCCTGGTACCTGGTTCCGAATGGGCGGCAATCTATCCAAAACACCTCGAGGGGTTGACCATTTGGACTTTTTTTTATCAACGGGATGATCGTACTTTGGTCGTTGCACGGGGGAGTCAGAGATGATATTCGGATGCATCAAGCACGGGCCCTTGCCCTTGCCCTTGAGTCTGGACTGATGCACATTGTCTACGAGATATATGTAGTGGATGATCGAGAATCAACCTGAGAGGCGGGTGGAACAGAAGTGAGGATGACAGAAAGGTCGCGCGCGGCGGCGATTGGACAGCACGGGCTTCCTCAGGTGCCGGAGCACGTACTACTACGAGTATCTTGCAGCGGCTAACTCGCTGACAGTGACAGTTGACGGGCAGAGTGATGGTTACAGTCCTGCAAGCTGCCACTGACACACTACCTACCTTGGCCGCATTAGGGCTCTGCGGCCGGTGGCTGTCACTCTCGCACTTGCAGTTCCTCTTTATGATTCTGAGGCCTTTCATTGTCTCATGTCCCGAGTCCCGACAGACACAATAAAGCCTATGTACAAAAGAATATCCTCAGGAAGGTTGGTAGAGAGGTTCCTCCCCGACCAGGTCAACCTTGTCATCGCCATCTGCCCACTGCAGTGGACGGCACAGGACGGTACCTTGGTCATTCACCCTGGGCAGTCCCCATTCGCTCCAGCTCACTCTCCTCCCGACGTGCCTCGTGCGCTCGCCCCCCAGTGAGTTTCTCAATAATCACGAGGAACGACGGAAAAAATAAAAATAAAATCCAAAACCCAACCATCCATGATCCTGGACATTTCCCACCACTCACCCACCACCCCCGGCCACCATCCTGCAGACCATCTCAGAGGAAACAATAATCGATCATTGGAGGCTAACGCATCAAATAGGAGAATCTTCTTAACAACCCCGATGATGATAGCCGCCGCTGAGTGGATGCCTCAAATCATTCATCTCCTAACACAAGCTACTAGGGCACCCACGGACTCAGGACTGAAGAACCCCGACCCCAGCCCCCTCCCAATCCCCCGCCCCGATGATGTCCTAATGCCTGCCCTATGGCGAAGGCGAGGAGCGAGGATACAAGCCTAATATAGGTACCGAGCGCTGCCATATATGCTTCTTTATACCCGCACGTACCTCGTTGCCTACATCTCACCCTCGATATATTATAGTTAGAGAGAGCCCAAGCTCCGACAGCACCCCTTCCCTCTCCCCATCGTCTACGTAGTCCCCTGCACAACATATTTATCCAACCCCAGCCTCGGATTAACCACCATCGATCAGAGCCTTATATTTATACCAAGGGTGCAATTGGTGCCGCGACAGCTCTTTCCCGGGGTTGTATCTCCACATGGAGTACCTACCTAGCTATCTAGGTAGCAGAAGAGTTATGCTAGTCAGAGCGCCTAACGGGAGCTCCTCGTCACAGCTGTCATCCCAGTCGTTTCTTTTTCCTTCCCCTAGTACCCTTCCTACTAATCTCCTCTTCATCGAGCAAACGATTGCACACCACACTCCGCGCCCCCTCCCTTGTCCAATTATTAATTATTTTTATCCACTATGACAAGGGTCCTGTTGAACCAGGTGGTGCGGCCTGGCCTCAGGCTCAAGTCGCAGTCGCAGTCGCATCGCATCGCATCGAGTCACACCATATCACATCGCAGAGCATTCAATTTCCTCCTAAATACCCCCAATCTAGTAATCAAAGAGTTGTCGAAGGAATTGTTTCTTTGCGCGTGGGTGCGCTGTCTCCACGGGGATTGCAAAGTAGGCAGTAACCCGTCATTAGCCAGTTGGACCCTGGGTAAGAGAGTGAAGGCCACAGACCCAATTGAAATATCAGCGAGACGAGCGGTTCGAGGCGAAAATCAAAAGGGGAACAGACACCGCGGACAGAGACGAGCAGACCAATTCCGATATGCCACACACGCGGTCCTGAATATATCTTTCCAACGGGGCTTTCGGGCGCACATGCCAAAGAAAGTGAATGGTTTCTTTTTCGCTCTTGTGGGCGGCTAATTTGAACTGAGTCGGAACTTGACTGGATCTACACGAGAGAGACATTGTAGAAGGAGATTGATTATTCATTCGCAACACCGGCCTGATTATCGCCCCAGAGCCCGAAGGAAGAACTAAGAAACCTAGCTTGAGCATCGCATCGCATCGCACATGACAATCGTATCCTGAAATAACGTACAAGTCGTCTCATCGAACTTCGTACCCCGGCAGCAGCCTCATAACCCGACATGGAGATCCGCCGTCGAGATCTCAGAGTTCGCAAACGACGGATGCATTCCGTCCCACCCCAGAAACCCAGTGTCAAAGACGAGGCAATCTGGGCCGGGCCCCGCCATGTCACAGAAAATAGGAGTAGGGGCCGTGCAGGGAGGGGCGTCGGTACAGCCAACGATATTGCCCAGATCGAAACCCTCCACTGGAGAGCGTGTTAGCGGGAGCGTTGTTCCTCCACCTCCTCCTTGCGGCAAGTGCGTTGCTGTTGTTGGTGTCGTGGACGGTCGATGAAAGTATTGGTTGGAGAGAAAGTTCTTGGTCGGGGGAAGAATGTGATGGTGCTGTCGCTGGGAAGGAATGACTCGCTGTGCTTGGTGGTGAGGATGATTTGGCCTCGGGAAAGGCTGGTGCTGGCGACAGCCTCGTTCTCGTAGATGTTCTTCTTGGCCCATACTAGCCATGCTGTTTATGCTCTGGCCGCTGCGAAATCTCGCGGTGACTTTCGTAGCTTTGCCCCCCTTCGCTCCGGACCGCTGACGCTGAGGGGCCGGCGGATCCGCAGCCGCTGACTTTTTGTAATTCGCCTGTTTTCTATACCGCGTTGTAGATTGGATGCCGTTTGCGATGGCCTCTTCGGTCAAGCGCCAGTAATTTACTGCCTTTTTGCCTGGCGTCGTTTCTTCTCGAACGGCTTCAAAGCCCTGTCTCGGTTAGTACAGAGATAAATCTGGAAAGATATTTTTTTTTTAAAAAAGGATGGAGACGTACCGCGTTCATTGAAAGGTTGTGTCGAATGCTGTTTTGCCAGCCCTTGGAGCCCCGGTCTTTCCCCTTTGCCGTGTTCTTCTCGAACCATAGGTAGATGCCCTGAAGAGGCAGCTTCTTCTCAGGTGCAGTGAAGAGAGCTTCATAGATGAGTTGAGAATATGGAGGATCTGCGTTGGTGTCCTCTGCCTCGTCCATGGCAATGTCCTCATGGTCCGTCTCAACCTTGACCTGGGGGCTCACCATGCTTAGTGGCAGCGATCGATATGGCATGGTTGCCAAGGTGGGCGATAAGCTTGTTGTCGTCGTAGGATTCGTGGACGAAGATGACAATTGCGAATGCGGGGGGAGGGCTGCGGCTGGCAGTGAGGCCTTGTACAAGGGCCTGCTAGCAGGTAGCCGCCGCGTCTCAGTCTTCAATTGCCTTGTTGGAGAATAATTGGAGGGCATCACAGGGCTGGACCACTCAGGAGAGTGGCCGCCCGGGATGATACGGGGCAGTCCGTCCGCTATTGGCGTTGACGGCGAGATAATGGAGTAGTTCATGGCCGGCTCGATGGCCCAGGGTTGCTGATACGGCATCATCGCCTCTGGACTGCTCGAGCTTGAGTCGGACCAGGTCTCGCAGGGCGAATTGCCGTAGCACACACTGGCACTGTCCAAGACAGACGAAGGAGAGGTGTCTGAGGTCGAGGAGATGGAGTGCCGCAGGGGATCACGGGCAAAAGAAGGATGGCCAAAGCGACTCATGATGAGGGTCAGGAAGCCAGGAAAGTATGAGAAATTAGGGTCCAGAAGCTGGTCTCGAAGTAGGGGGAAAGGCATATAAAATCATCAATGGAAGGCAGGAGGAGGCAGGAGCCTGCATGGCATGCCTCAGAAACGTAAGGCCCTCGTCAGGCAAAAACAAGACAGGGCTGGAGGCAATTGAGAAACAAAAAGCAACGACGACAAAGTAGAAGTACTCTGCAAGCTCTGCTCTGCAAGTGTTTCTAGTACCTGCTTGATGCCCACTTACGTGTGACCACTCAATACAAAAGGGATGCACAGTGACTTTTGCCAACACAGACAGCAGGAGGTACAGTCCAGTACTCCCTCTGCTCTGCAAACAGCCAGATTCCATTGATTCCATGCATCCATCGCCTCTCCCTTTGAGATCCCCCAAACAAACATCCTGTATCGGCCCCCTCCTTGTCAGGGCCTCTGGAGCTTGGGAATTGGGGGATTTTATCTCCCTTTTCTCCTCCCCGCCAGCCTCTTGATCCTCCCTCGCTAAAAATAAGACGCACTGAAAAGGAAAAGAGGTCGTCTCCCGGGGTTGTTCTAGCAGATTTTGCTTCAGTTGCTGCGAGACTGGCTATTTCGCAAGTTTGTGAAACGCGATCATGCTCACATGTGGCCAATGATCCCAGCGCCGGCCGCCAGAGGCTAGATCTGGTGCTACAAGGGGGCTGCAATGGGTCTACTGAGGACTCTACGAATGCCTGAAGGACCGGGATTGAGTCCGCTGTTGGTACAGGGGTGGAGGGGACGGCCACCTGCAGCGCGCGTCCTGTCGGTCGTCCATTGTCCTGGCCAGAACCCGAGCACTGGACGAGTGGGCGGCGCTTCTGGAACTCTGACCCTTTGACGTCCTCCCGGATTTCCCGCAAAAGGTCCTTTTGAAATCTAAATGCATCCTGCAGACACTGAGGGCCTTTCCCGCTTCCCCGACCAGCCGGAACTTCGGAACCGTCATGCAGGCAGGTTGGTAGCATGGGAACATATTCACTCCCGCACCTTCCATGAACGGAAAACAATAAAAACAACCCTCGCGCACATGGAACACAACTCGGGCGAACTTCTCTAGGAGACGCGCTCACGTGATCGGTATTGGTGAGATCAAAGTACGGGCGTGGCAATTTGAGTTGCTGAGCCGAGACGATAGTACAGGACGGATCGGAGGATAAAAGGATGACGTGGTAATAAGCATTCTATATTCGTTCTGCGCACGTGCGGATCCCTAGGTCTCGTAGAGCCGCTCCTGTATCTGATATCTGATATCATATGTCCGAGCTTTACCAACTAGGCAGATCCCCAATCTGTTCACAGTTGAATATTGTTCCTGACCCAATCGCAGCTTCAGCTGCTTCTCGACCCTGGGCGAACAGTTGAGGAGGCGCCATGCAGAAACGCAAACGGTCGGCACTGCGGGCCCATTCCAGAGCCTCCCCATATGCTTTATGCGGCTGCGGTGGATCAACGACGATGCTGGCCATGACGCGCAGGGAGCCACAAATAAGTTTTTTTATTTGCGATAATAGATCTAGATCTGTTAGCCAGTGGAAGCGGCAATCAGAGTGCGGGGATAGACATACTCGTTTGAATTGAAAGTGTAGTTGCAGAATTCCCTGTGTAAGTTAGCAAATGCAACAAACATATTACGAACGGCTGCACACACCTTTTCAAAGGTGCTTTTGAACCCTCTTTCTCGCTTTGCGCTGTAGTCCCACTCCTTGTCCACAATGCGGAAAGCAATATCTTCATAGGGTGGCCCGGCCATGAACCGGATAAGGCAGGTATCCTCCTCTCCAGCGGCGGCGAATGATTGACCTCGCTTTCTTCCATGTTCTCGTTCTATGCGATAAGTAGGCGCTTTTGTTTTGTCGATGAGGTCAGGGTAGAATATATTGAACTTGTATCCTTGGACAACTTTGGGAGGCGGGTTATCATGATCATAGTGGGTTTGGTTGTACTTGTTCCATTCATAACCCATTTGGACGCGGTTGAAATAACGTGGTTTGCGGGGCCGATATTTGTTTGCCCATTGCGGCTGTGTACCGGTGCTGACAGACTCTTCGCCAGTAAAGATCTCTTCATTCTCGCTGACTCCCTTAGCAAGCTCCCTTTCGTACAAAGCTTTGGTCGCTTGAGAAAAGTCTTCGTTGGGAATGGAGGAGAAGCGGGTTGAATTGCTAGCAACAGGAGCACTGCCAGGAGTACCGGAAACAGGAACTGTAGCCTTTTCGGCTTGGCGTTGTCGTATAGGAACATATCCCATCTTCAGGATTTTCTGACGCTCGCGGGCCTATCCTCAAGAATCAGTATAACCATCTCAACGGAGACATAACACTTTTTGGAGAAAAGAGTAACGTACCACCTGATCGAGGAAGACCTCTTCCTCCAATACCTCGTATATCTTATCCTCTGGGCGAATTTGGAGCAAAGGGTCGGGGTCAAGACCACGGAAGTCCTCAGGGTTGATGGCCGTAGCTTGGGCTATATCATCGCGGACCACGGGCGCCAACGGCGCCAGTTTAGATCGTACGGATTCGGCTTCTTCGCGCTGTTGTTGACGAAGGTTTCGAACACGCTCATCTATGACAGCCTGGTAGACGTTCTTCAGCTTGGCGCGGGCCTTCCAGACTGTGAGACTCCGCAAAAGCTCCTCCCAGTAATCCGTATCAATGGGTTCATTAGAGTCCAGCTTTTTTCTGACCTGGCCTTCAAGGGTTTGCAGCTGTTCGTATGATTTGGGGCTAAGAAGTTTATTGATATCGGCAGCGACGGAGTTGAGTGCACGTCCTTCAGGAGCCGTAACCTTTTGTCGATCTTTGCATATCACTTTCATCGTCTGCGTGAGGTTAGCTCTGCTATACATAGAGATACTTGAGAGAAATTACCTTCCAATAATCCCTATTCTGAGAATTCGACTCTAACCCCAAGAATGTATCAATATCCTTCTCCAAATCACCCAACTGGCTTTGAGACAATCCCTCAAAGACGCCCTGGGGGTCAATCAAGTCCAGTTCCGAGTCTGCAATCTCGTCATCGAGCGGGTTTCTCGTCGGATCGATTACCCGCAGCATAACCGTGAGCCAGTCGATCGGTTTCGCGCGACCCTCCTTGACTCGGATTTCGGCCTTTTTCTTGGCCTGCTTGAGCACGAAGATATCCTCCTGTGCCACCCATTCACGCACTCGCTCATCCTCCTGTAGTTGGTTCAGCTGCATCTGATCTCTCATACCCCGGGCATGAGATTGCGTCGGTCGCGCATCGCGATCTCGGTATCTATCGTTGTCATATCGCTGGTCTCGCTGGTCGGATCGGGCGTATTTTTTGTGAGAATCTGAGTGCGGCGATCGTGATCGGAATCTCTTCGTCCTCGGCCTATCTGGGAATCGCGATGTCATGTTGTGTCGCTTGTGGTTGTTTTATGGTCTGAAGTCCAGAAGGCGAGCCTGGAGAAGCTCTCGAGCACGCTGATCAGAACTGCCCAAGGCGGAAGGTGTGCCGCTCGGCAAAGCTTCTCTGCGAACCTTGGAAGCTTTTTATCAGATACTGAAGACATCATTATTGACCTTTGTAAATTCTACAATTTCAGTAAGATATTACTATTACTATTACTTAGTTTTAAAGCGTGACTCAATCAGTCGATCAGATAAGCATTTGAACAGGTGTTTGAAAAAGGGATATAGTGTAAATCCTACTCGGTCAAAAGCATATCCCGATTTCAAGTATATGGTCATAAATCATTACTACTGCTCCAGAGCGCCGCTATTCCAAAGCACTGAACTGCACAACAAATATGCATAGAATCTCAAAGCACTCAAAAGCTAGAACCTCCGCTTCTTCTTCGCAGGTGCCTTACTCTTTGCCTCAAGCTGCCTTTTCAATTCCTCACGCTTCCTATCTGCCCTCTCTTGCTCAGTTTCTTCACGTTCTGGCTCTGGGGGTGCTGGGGTATCCTTTTTGACCATACGGTCAGCAGGCGCTAAAGCGCTAGGCGTACTTTCTCGGAGTCCTTTCCTGTCCTCCTTTTCCTCGTCCCCCACCTTCTCCCAGATTGGCGTCGGGAATACGCTTTCTCTAGGCTTGGTGTTTGTCTTTGGCTTGGCCTTTGAACCGCCGATAATGCCAAGTTTACCGATAGGTTTATTCTTCTTGGGTTCGGACACTGTTTGTTGTGCTTGTGTTCGTAAATCTGGGTCGGGAGACTGCGAGTCTTCATCGGGTTTCGCTTGAGATGGAGATTGAGACCGAGTTTCAGGTTCAGGCTCTGGCTCTGGCTCTGGTTCTTTCTTCTTCTTGCCTCCAATAACACCCAGTCCGCGAGAAGGTTTTGGGGCCGTTTTCCTGGTGTCGTTGTTTGCTTTGGTTGTTTTAGATGGCTCATCATCCGTTGTTCCGTCGTCGTATTCATTTAACGGCGGTTTAAGCGGTTGATGTTTCGTGGTTTGTGGTGAGGTTGTTTCTGCTTTTGCCTCTGGTGGGCTTGGTGCTGGTGCTGGTGATGGCTCCTTAGGCTTAGGCTTGGCCCCTTTTTTGCCACCAATGGTCCCAAGACCCTTTGATTTCCCAGTTGCAGCCAATTTGGGGCGGATTGCGGGGGATTTCTGTTGCTCTAACGCTAATTGCTTTCCCTTCCCTTTGCCCCTGTTTGGGAGTCGTACATCTTCGTCTTCTGATTGTGTCTCTTCATCTGCATCCTCGAAGACAGCCTTTGGTGGAGTTTCAGTGGGCTTCTTGAGCTGGGGTGGCGTTTCTTGTCGCTGAAAGGGGTGAGATTTTTTGACTTTGTTTGATGCTTTGATAGCGGATTAGACGTACCTCGAACTCTTCATCTCCGGTCTCCGAACCCGCGTCAGTATCTATATCCATGGCATCCAAAGACGGCTTGGTCTGTTGACGTTTCTTGTTACTCTTCTGCGGCGTGGAGATTATTGTAGGGCTGTCGGATACGGTAAGATCATTCCACCACTCATCTGGTGGGGGCTTTAATGAGGCTGACTCTTTGGAGAATTGACTTGACACCGCCGCGACGATATTGCCGACAAGGCCGGAGTCATTGGCTGATTTGTCTACTTCTTCAAGCCATGACTTCTCGTTGAAAGGGGCGAGGCCTTTGATGTACTTTGCCGCCTGTGCAAGCGTTGGGCCTTTACGGCCGGATCTCAAACCAGAAGTACCAGGGAATATTGTACTAAGATCGATACCCATGGCTTCGATCTTGTCAAACAGCTTTGAGAGGACCCAGTCCTTTTTGCCCAGTTCCTCTATGAGTGATTGTTGACGAGCCGCGCGATCACCTTCAGCGCGGATGAGAGGTAGAAGTAGATGGCTGGTGGTGGACGACTGTGGCTCCCTGAACAAATGTAGACGCCATTCGAGTGGTCGAAGCGGAGCAGGAAGTTTTGAAGTGACGGTGAGCGCAAAACCCTGAGTCTTGTCGTGTGTCTTGGGGGTAAGAATGGAGCTACTCCCAGGCCCGTTCTGTAGCCCCTCTCCAATTTTCTGTAAGAGAACTTCAAACTGTTCAGGGTCCTCGCTAGGGTCAATTGTGGTGTCTTCCTCGTCAGCTCTCTTGAGAATTGCCTTCCGGTCTAGGCGCTCCGACCAGATATAGCTGAGGTCTGTCATAAAGAGCTCATAGCCGCTTGCTGTGGTGGAATACTTGAACAGAAGAGGTGGCAAATTCCCTTGATTGGAGAGGCGTAACTGTTGCCATGCTGTTGACATTATTGTCCTCACCTTTTGGGTGATTGACAGAAGCAAAGAAGATAACGCGATACCACTCGAAGTCAAAAGTCTTAGTTGTTGTTGGCAGGCAGGCAGGCAGCCCAGTGGTGAAGGCAATAGTGCACGGGCCACTTTTAAATGACAGACCTTCCGTCCACCTTCGCGCCTTTCGCAACTCGAATCAACAGAACATCTACTTACTCCCACCTTTTTTCTGACTCGGGCCTTCACTCTCATGGCCGTGACGATCGCATTACTTTTTTTTTTTTTTTTTTAGAAAGTTTACTTGATTGCCTCTTGGGCGCTTGCTTAAAATAACTGCGATAACCCCAACTTGGAGTTAAGCATTATACGTAGCTAGAAGGCGCTCAAGCAGGCCCGGTGCTCGGCAAGGCACTCTTGCAAAGTGGGGTCATGGTAGAAATCAGAACAATGTGAGAAAAAGTCACGGGGCGAAGACTATCTTGAAAAGATAGAGTGCAGTATGCTGGCCCAAGTCACTGTGGCGGCCCACGGGCTTGCCAGGTTGGGCGCTTCGTCATGCGGAGTTTCTGTGTTATTTTATGAAAGCTTAACTGGAGATTCATGATTTGGGCTGCACCTGTCATGGGTGTAGTTATATGCTACGGTACATATCATTATCATTGAGGGCATTATTGAGCACAAACTTGGGCACAACGCCCAGTATGCCTGGAGCCTATAGGCTGTCTCTATCAACTAAAAGCACAGTGTATGGTGGCAACGGGGATGCATTCTGCCCGAAGGAGGTAATTATTTAGAAAAGAAGAACAAGAGCCCAGTGGCCAGATAGCTCTTTGGGCTTATAAGGCCCAATCTCGATATGGTTTACCCAAGACTGGTGCGATTCGAGCCAGTTCTCTGGGGCTGCTGTTGCTCGCTAGGCGTGACAAGCCGCACCTTTTTGGGGGACGACATAGTGGTCGATATAGTCCCACCGGGAGCAACATTAGCAGTCACGGTGTTGCTTGAAGTCACATTTCCCGCTTGGGCACCAACACCCAACATCCCTCGAACCTTTTCGACGGCTTTACTCTCCCCTCGTGTCCAGGTGTCGCGTTTGACGAACCCTACACCGGCCTTTCGGCTGGTGGAGTCGCGCTTCTTCGATTCCTCGAGAAGAACGTTGCGGTTTTGTTCACGGCGAGGTCCTGAACCGCAATCGTGCATACATCCTGGAGTCGCGCAGCCACCTTCACTTACGTCAACGTCTTTCAGCCATGTACTTATACAAGCAAGATGGCCGCCGTGACCGCAACCCTGGCACCAGGACCAGAGAGCAAGTCCTTTTGTGCTTGGAGGTTGGTACTGCGTTTCAAAATCCTCCGACGAGATAGGTTCGGTGGAAATGGGTTCGGTGGGCGAGGAATGCGATGACGAAAGAAGACGCGAAGAGAGGGCAGTATGTAAGTCATGAGAGAGGCCGCCGGATGAAAGACTCTGCTCCGCAACCCATTCCGGTGGCGGCTCAAGGCTCAGACAGATGGAACAGGCCTCTTGAGGAGTATTGCAGCGGTAGCAGCGAGTGTTGTCATTCTTGGGGTTTTCATACGGTCTTTTGCATGTGAAGCAAAAGACGTTCATATAAGTATCTCCCTGGGCATATTCGTAGACCGCGGGATAAGACGAGACGCAGAGAAGACGAAGTTCGGCTGCTTCGATATACATGGATTGGCGGACGAGGGTTTCATTGTATGCTTTGAATATGGTTTCACTCTCTTGCCTTGGGAGAATATTTTCGCAGTCGTCGAAGAGAATATGTAGCTTTTGAAGCAAGTGCGCGGCAGATTGCACGTCAACATGTGTACTGCTGTGGTAGTGTCTGATCGCCTCCGTCAGAAGCAACTCTGCGCTCCAAGGATCATCTCTCTCCATATTAGACATGATGGGAATCGGGGTTAGGAAGACCTCGTCTTCGGATTCAGCGCTACCACCCATCGACTCACCGTTGGTGGTTCCAGCTGGCCCCGCTAGCTCCTGCTTTTCTTCGTGCATAGTCGTCAGGGGGGTCGATTCCTTCAACAGCGGAGGGGGAGTTGAGGGCCTGTCCAGATGGAGATAATCATTATTTGCAAGGTTTTCTCCAAACAACTCATCCGCCTGGAACGCTTCTTCCGCCATAGAACTCGTCGTGAGAATCGAATCACTTCGTGTCCTGAGCAGTATCTCATTCCTGGCTGCTATTTCATGGCCGTTTGTAACGCCATTTCCCTCTGACGCATCATACAGCACTGCCGCAGAACTAAAGGAGGCAGCCGGTGACTTTGAAGGACGAGAGCTTGCCGTTGATGCAGAAAACATTGGGAAACTCTCCGATGATTCATGGCGATGGAAACCAGGTTTTGCGGTTTCCGCGTGCGACTCAAGGGACAGTAATCTCTTCGGAAAATATTTGTAGTCACGGATAGCTGCTCTTTTGTCCTCCAGCTTCTGGTCAAACTCGTCGACCTCCGAAAGCTCTTTTCTCGGTCTAGGTCGAGCTCGCATGTGCCAATCCGCCCTGCCAGCAATTGCTAATGGAGCAGATCTCTGTTCTTCCTCAATCTCATGAAGACTTGCACCACGTGGTGGCTCGGACGGCGGGCTGTCAGAAGGATTGCGCAGACTTCCGCCGCTATCATTGGATTCCCGGTGCTGAAACTGATGAGTAGGACGAGAGTCGATATCTGAAATGGACGACCAGCCGTTCGAAGCCATGGTATCCTGGTTTGAGCTGAGAACTGACGGCGGCAAAGGCTGAATGTCCTCGGCGTCATTCAATGACCTGATCTGGGCTAGAGAACTATCATAAGAGTCGGACGGAGAATCTGGTAAAGGCTGAGCGAGAGGTGTTGTCATGTTTGACGCACTTTCAAGTTCAGAGAGAGAATGTTTCGTCGATCCGCCCTCTATAACCCCCTTGAAGAAGCGACTCTTCATTTTCTCGTGTCTTGCATCCGCCGCCGCCGGGAGACTTGCCTGGAGCTCATTGGAAGGCTTCTTTTTAACGGTGCGAGCGCCATTATTAGGGATGTCATCTTTCTGCCTTGCTCGGAGTTCCTCCATAATAGCATACTTTGCTATGCGCCATGTCTGCGCGAGCTTGAGGAGCGTAATTCCCTCGGCGCACCGCGCATTTTGGTCAAGCGAATATAAAAGCCGGCGTAAAAGGTCCCTCTGTGTGCCATCAAATCTGCCTTGAAGGAGAGGTGAGTACTGCCGAGCAAGATATCGAAACGTTTCTCTATCCATAGTAGCTCCAGCAACGTTTCCCACCATTCCCGCCTGACGCAGCGCTATGGGCGTAACCTTTGGAAATAGTTTTTCAAGTGGGAGGACTGGTAGTGCTATTTCTGGCGGAGTGCTGCCAAGCGACTTGGAAGTACGGACACTGCTGGACTTGCTATGTCGAGGCCGGAGAGAAGCAAACAATGGCTCATCAACAATCTCGTCTGCTTCTGTCTCAATCGTTTCATCGCTGATACTCTTTTCTTCATGACCGATGAATTCGTTCGAGCTGAGACCTAGGGTGCTCCTTCTAGGACGCTTTTGGCCAAAGGCAACAATCTCACCACTAGGACTCCAGGCCACTGAGCAAGTTGGGCGTTGATTTACCATCTGCGGAGCATAGCGGATGTCAGTCTGGGTGAAGACACCGCTATCACCTACGGTCCAGAGAAGGTCCTTTGAGTGCCACAGCAAATCAGTAGCAGGGGAATCATAGCGATCGAACTCTCGGAAGGGAATATAAGGCCGGCGAAGATCCCACAAGTGAGTCCGTGGATCATCCTTGTCATACGAAGTCACTACTTGGAACGATTGCCAGTCACCAGAGCCTTCTAGCTCACTGGTCCATGATGGCGGACGCCAGCGGACATTGAGAACCGCCTGAGGCGTGCGAAACACAAACGTGGGCTTTTGTCTCCGTTCTGACGTAGACTTGGAGTCCCAGACTTTCACTTGTCTATCCGAGCCGCCAGAAACCAGGTGTCGACCGTCCGGGTGCCAGTCAACTGAGTAGCACGGTCTATCGTGGGCGGTGATGCGCAAGACAGCCACATTCGGTTTGCGCCAGTCCCAAAATTGGACTGTACCACTATCTGTTGCTGATGCAAAGACGACCCCGTCGGTGGGAGACCATCTCACGTCACGAACGGCATCACTATTGAGTGGAAACTGGTCTCTACTTCCACATACAGCAACACCAGAGTCTGTTGGCACGGTCCGCAAATCCCACATGCGGACAGTGGCGTCCTGACTGCCAGAAAGAATCCATGCTGGCTGATGTGGATTGAATGCTAGTCGGTGAACCTGGCGGCTGTGACCCTGAAACCTGCAGAGCTCTAGCCCATTCCTGTGCAAATCATAGACGACGATGCGACCGTTGGCCACCGCGGTGGCGATAATTTGATCGTACGGTCCATGTGACCATTTCACGTCCTTTACCGTCAGCTGGTCCTTGCGCGTGTTTCCGCTTCGGTGAGTGGAGGAGTAACTGATGATAGCATTGCGTAGGTTGAACTCTTCGGACGAATGGTCGGAAAGAACTCGAATAGTTTTGAGAATCTCCTTTCCTCCGACTACTGCATGTGTCCGTTGCGGGGAAATATCCAAGGCAGCAATCGAGATGCCCGTTTTATGGGTGACCGTCTGTGATGCTCCGGGCCTACCAAGAAACGAGTGTTAACAGTGCTATTTCATTTAGTTGCGCATCTATGGATTTTATAATAACGGATGCCAATGCAATAACAAGGTATTACAGAAAGTTTCTCGCCCTCTAAAATAAGAGGGGCGGGGTAATGGAAGGGAAGGGGGGTCAATGGTAGGGGAGCGGGAGACTATACAAAGACCTGGACAGAGAAGAACGGACAGCAGCAGACACGTCCGCGCGCACTTCGGGAGCGTGTGGGCTAGGAGGCCGAGAGCCCGTCAAAAACGGCTGGGCGAATCTCGCAAGAGCACTGGCAGCGCGGTGGGAGTACTTGCTCTGGGTCTGTTGTACGGGAGCAGGCGGAGGAGGAGGGGGCGGAGCTGGGGAAGAGCTGCCACCACGCGTCGGCAACCGGGGAAGGTCGGACATGCTTCAGTCTTTCTCGCAACGTCCGTCGTCAAGACGGGAAGTCTATCAAGACCTAGCCCAAAGCAGACCGGGGCTTCATGGTCGTCAATAATGAAAGCTGGCGACAAGCTGTCAGGAGTGCTTGAAGTGGGGAAGAGCTTCAGATTGAGCTGATGACCAGTGACTGATCTCTGCGGAGATTCAGCGTGCCAGCCAGTTGGAAGAGGGGTGATGCGATTAGTCAGGCTGCACTTGCGTAGGTTGGCTCAATCTAGATCCAGATGGACGAGTGAGAGTTGAGATGAATTGTGTCTGTCAAGCAAGGAACTCATGCAATTGGATTCCGCGGATGCTCAAGTTGGTTCCCGCTAGGTAGTAAAGCAGTCACGCGTGGTGAGGTACTAATCAGGCCTAGTGTATTCTTGGTGATACTACTAGTACAAGCATTTCTGTGGGGAAGAGCGTAAAATACCAGCAGTAAGTGTCTCGGATGTGGTAATTTTCAAGCCAGCTTCTATTTTTTGCCTTCGCCGACGAATTGACCTGTCCAGCTGATATGTCACTGGCGCACTGTATCCCAAGTCCTTATTTTGCCTCCCTTTTGGTCTTTCGAGGGTGTTGGGTTGGGTATCCCTGTGGCTTGATCTCAACAGGGTTGGATGGATGCAGTAGCAAACGGAACAAAAGGGAGGGATCCGGCCTGCATGCAGCTTTGATCTTCAAGTTCAGCAAGGGCGGTGTAGCTGGACTCGAGGATGCCATGTTGTGTCTGTCTGACCGTGACGTGGAGAAGAATGGACAGAGGATGGGAGGACGAATTGGACGACTTGAAAGATTCCAAGTTGATCATGAGATTCGAGTTCATCCTGTTGTGTTATCTACGGAGTAGTCGATATCGAGACCTTTCCAGTCTAACAGTTAACGGAGATGTTTTAGACCATCCACAGCTCCGGGTCTCATAGGCGGGGTTCCACTGGCAACTATTGATCGGAAAGGATAGGATCATTCCATCCCACAGCATCAGCCGTATGCTAAAAAGCAGTACTCCGTAGTCATGGAGTGGCGGGCAGGTCTCAAATGTGCAAGTGAAAGCGTCGAGGGTCCGTCTGATGGCCAGTGCGAGCAAACACAGATCTAGCATCATATGCATTTGTTGGATGTAAGTTTCAATTTGCCTTTCCAGGGTTCAGTCCGTGCTCTGCTCCTGTAACAACCTTGAAGCTTAACCTTCTTTCTCTCCTCGAAGCATCAATCGTCTCATGCTATGCTTAGCAGTACCGTGACATACGTCAACTTCAAATTACTCTGATTTTGAGACTGTTACCGCCATCTCGCCTACTAGTACACTCTATGGAGTACGTTGTATGTATCAAGTCTACAACTTGTTGATTGCCTGTTCTCATTGGGCACTGGACCTCTCAGCTCCGGATGTTGTTGTCCATTGATGATCTTCTACTACCAGCCAGATCCTGGGGACTCTGACAAACAAACGCACACAAGTTTGCATCCGCAAACTTTTTTTATGTCCAATTTAAATTTGGAAACTCTATAAATCCGCCTGGGACCTAGGTACATAGATGTCTCCTCAAGGCCGGACTCAGGAGAACATGAAGGAAGAACCCCCTGGTTAAGTTGCCGGTGCCTCTGCCAGACTCCGGAAAATTCTCACCGTACAAGGAGAGAGCCGGAGAGATTATTCCTCAAGGATTCAGTTCCCTAAAATTGCGACTCCAAAAAGTCCTTTGAGCCTTGAGAAAATAATCCCTCTTTTTGCTTTTGGGCTGGGACCACCGAGCGTCTTAGTGCAGGACCAGGTCTGGGTCCAACAGCTGTGCACTAGTCCAGTCCGGAATTGTTCTGGACACAGGGCACTGCTGCACATGCACCACACCGTCATTCTCCATTCTTCATACCGGCTCTACTTCTTCCCAATCTCTGCTTCGTCTACTAGTATTTGTATCCTCCAACGATCCTTTCCTCTCTCTCTCCTCTCCTCTCTTTTCCCCTTTCTTCTCCTTCCTCTTCTCCTCCACCCCCCTGCTCATGTTCATAGCTCCATTTTCGTCTTGGGTAGTCCATTCTCCGGAGCCTGCCCGCCTCTTCTTCTTTTCTTTTGCCCTCTACCCAGTATAGCCATTGTATTCATTACGCGCGTGCCTTGTTTCCGTGCTACGACATTCTTCCAATTGCTCATTTTTCGTCCATTTTCTCTGTTACTTCTTTTGCTGTAGACATATCTGTCTCTCAGAAATACTAATCGGAGGCGAAAAAAGAACCCCGGCGCGCGGAGACGTGCTCCTCTGTCGATCTCTTCAGCAACCACCAAGCCTGCCTAGACTCGACCTCCGAACCCTGTCCCCTCATTACCTCGTCGATCTGTCGTCAACTCGTTTCCCGTTCGCAACCATTATTACACTGCATTGGGCTGAACTGTTCGCCGTGTCATGGAATAACTTTGATTGACGGCCTCTGTTAAAGTTGGACCTTCCGCGAGGGAGTTCCATGATGGGTCACAATCACGTAATGCTGGGCTCGCTAGAGTACCTGCGGACAGGTTATCCAATCCTCCTCCTCGTTGCTTTTGCGTCAGCATTTGTGGCCAATTCAATTGTGACAGCCAAAACCGCGTCCCGAAACACCAAAGCTTCACAAACCGGTCCAGGCGGCAGGCCCCTTCCGAAGCGTTCAAGGAGCACTGTGGCCGTGGTAAAAGCGCCACAGAAGTTCTCCCGAAATGCAAAACTATGTTTCAAATGGCTGTCTTTCTTGGTCCTGGTCACACTGGTTGCGGAAGCCGCCGTTAACGTGACCCATGTGATGATAGCCAGATCAGAACAATGGTGGTGTGGGCAAGCTGTAGTGGTATGACATTCTACCTGCATGTGTGGTACAAAAACACCGCATTGTGATTCAATAACCCGGCTAACGCTTGGCAGATCTACACAGTAGGATCCTTCTTCGATTATGCCATCATCCTCGTCTCGCTATTGGATACCGATCCGTCACCCACATTTGCTCAATTCATCCCATGGCTTCTAGCCGTACCTATCGAATTCGCGATCCTGGGGCTTTCACTGTCCATATACAGTCACCCGCATCATGAACCGGTGGTGGGAAACCCCACTGGTGGCCCGCTTCGCGAAGGGTTCACTCTATGGGAAATTGCGGTAATTGTCTGCAACAGCATCCGCCTCCTGCTCTTATTCATCCTAGTCCTGTTGTATACTTGCGGTTCCTTCCGGATTTCGTGTACCGCGCACAAACCCGGCCGTATTCAGGACGACGGGCCTACGGAAACTACGGGACTTCTTCACTCTGGTACAGAGAACGGTCATGCCTATGGTGCAGCGAATGGTTCTCACCCCAACCAGCAAGAGTCGAAGCCTACAGACCCGTGGGTTCGCCCAACAACTGTGCCATCCACCTCCTGGTGGGAGTATCTAAGCGGCTATTCCTTATTCTTCCCATACCTATGGCCGTCCAAGTCTCGCCGGCTACAGCTTGTTGTGCTCGTTTGCTTCCTGCTCATCGTTCTTCAGCGTGTCGTCAACGTCCTCGTCCCCTATCAAGTTGGTGTAATTACCAGAGCCTTGTCCAACCAGGGCAACGAATTCCGTGTGCCGTGGTATGAGATTTGCTTATACATCTTCTACCGTTGGCTACAGGGCAACCAGGGGCTTATAGGATCTCTACGCTCCAGCTTATGGATACCAGTCAGTCAGTATTCCTATATGGAACTTTCGACAGCTGCTTTCGAACATGTCCATAGCCTTAGCCTGGATTTCCATCTTGGAAAGAAGACTGGCGAGGTTCTTTCGGCTCTGAGTAAAGGCAGCTCTATCAACACTTTTCTAGAGCAAGTCACCTTCCAGGTCGTTCCGATGTTGGTCGACCTCTGCGTCGCAATTGTTTATTTCCTCGTTGCTCTTGACGCATACTACGCTCTTGTGGTTACGATTGTGACGTTCTGCTATCTTTATGTGACTATTCGTATGGCTCAATGGAGAGCAGAAATTCGGAGGAAGATGGTCAATTCCTCTCGGCAGGAAGATGCAGTGAAGTGAGTTCCCTGCACATTACCTCTTGTAAACTTTTTTATTTTTTGCTCATATGACACACGCAGAAATGATTCTATGGTTTCATACGAAACCGTAAAGTATTTCAATGCGGAAGACTACGAGTTTGGACGGTACCGAGGCGCGGTGGCTGACTTTCAGTCCGCCGAGTATCACGTCCTGTTCTCTCTCAACCTCATGAACACCTCGCAAAACACCATTTTTATGCTGGGCCTGCTGATTGCATGCTTCATTGCCGCTTACCAAGTTTCAATTGGCCAGCGAGATGTAGGTCAATTTGTCTCTCTGCTCACATACATGGCCCAATTGCAGGGGCCCCTTAACTTCTTCGGAACCTTCTATCGTTCCATCCAGTCCGCTCTGATCAACTCAGAGCGGCTTCTCGAGCTGTTCAGAGAACAGCCTACAGTTGTTGACCGACCTAGCGCCCGACCATTGCCGGTGTGCAAGGGAGACATCAAATTCGACAGTGTTGAGTTTGCTTACGACGCCCGTAAACCTGCTCTGAATGGTCTAACATTCCATTGCGAACCTGGGACCACGACGGCCCTAGTCGGTGAGTCTGGTGGAGGAAAGTCCACCGTTTTCCGCCTACTGTTCCGATTCTATAATGCGGGAAGAGGCCGCATACTAGTCGACGGTAATGATGTGGAAAGCATCACCATTGACTCCCTCAGAAGGCACATTGGAGTGGTGCCTCAGGATACTGTTCTCTTCAACGAGACCCTGATGTACAACTTGAAATACGCAAACCCCAATGCCACGGACGAAGATGTCTTTGATGCTTGCCGGGCAGCCAGTATTCACGACAAGATCACATCATTCCCTGATGGCTACGACACCAAGGTTGGTGAGCGCGGTCTGCGCCTAAGTGGTGGCGAGAAACAACGTGTAGCTATCGCTCGGACCATTCTCAAGAATCCGCGGATCATTCTCTTGGATGAGGCTACAGCTGCGCTTGATACTGAGACGGAAGAGCATATCCAAAGCGCCCTGTCTACCCTTTCTCGGGGTCGCACAATGCTCGTCATCGCACACCGACTGAGCACAATCACAACAGCGGACCGTATTCTGGTGCTCAGCGAGGGGCAGGTTGCAGAAAGCGGGACGCATGACCAACTTCTTGCTATGAAGGGCCGATACGCGAGCATGTGGCGCAAGCAAATCCGTGCTCAGAGAGCCGCAGCAGAAGCCCAGGTGCTACAAGACCGAGCTCAACGCTTGCGCAGTGCCTCAACTTCGGCGGCCGCGGATGACAGCTCTAGCCAGTCCGACGAGGACCAAAACAACAACCGTGGCACAAATGCAAACCGACAAGTGCAGTTTCACCACCCATAGGGTGGTTTCTTGGCGGCAGTCACGCGCTGATTTACCTTATGCATCATCTATTGCAACACAAGAACATGATTTAGAAATGGCGGGCGGACCACTCGATGCTCTTGTAGAACTGAGCGGGGAGCGGGCTTTTATTTTTGATGTTTAAACTGCTTCACATGCTCCTTATTGGGGGCTAAAATGGCGTTTCGGGTGATATACGACTTGTTATGACTTTATTTGATACAGGTTCTGGGCCTCCCGCGAGAGGTAGCAGAGCAGCTCTAGATTATTGAAAGCTTGGAAACATGCCGTATCATAGTATCTTCTTCTAATAGAAATGTCACTTACTCAGAAGGCTTACCTTTGCATTTTGCTTTCGTCCAGGGTGACAAGACTGTCATCGCCAGGCTCCCTATTGGTTGAGTACTATTAACGCCTTGCGAATCAGGCACTAATCACTTACAACTTCAGGTTGTAACCTCCGCGGCTTCTCTCCACAAGTTATCTACCTTGCTATTTGAACCTCAACTTGCATCTAACTTCTATTTGCATATATCCTGAAGATGCACCCACCATCTCTCCAGCTCCTCCGAGCTCTGCGTACCTCCCTCACGAAGGGCCCCAAATCCACCGGGCCACTCTGCGCAACCCCAAATCGAATTCAGCCTCTCAGCTCCTTCCTCAACCACCACCGCAACTACAGCAATGGGTCCTCCAATTCCCCGGCACCCATCCGTCCAACGCGCATGGTCTCACGCTCCCACCCAGCAAAGCCGCGCAGCCATGACCGCGGTCCCCCATCGCAAGAAGATACCCAGACTGATTTTGCCGCTCTAAATGTCCTCGGGAATATTCCTGCGCCGACGACCGCCGTTGACGCCTGCCTAGACTCTGGCTTTCATCTCGATAACGGGGTGAAGATTACAGATGGCGATGGTGTGTTGCTAATTGGTGGGGAGGCGTTCTCGTGGAGGCCATGGAAGGCAAGAGAAGACGGGGAGAAGAGTGGCATGGTAAATGCAAAGGGTCAGTTTGAGGTTGACGAGCAGGCTTGGGGGGTTTTGGATTTGGTTTGGCCTCGTCCTGGTATGTCTTGGCTTTGCTTTCCCTATGCTTCTTCGGCCTGTCCTAGAATAAAGGGTTCTAACTACGGTAGATCTATTGATACTTGGAATGGGAGCCTCGGTGATGCCATTATCTCCAGAGACGAGGAAGCATATCAACTCTCTGGGAATTCGGGTCGAAGTTGTGGATACGAGGAATGCTGCCGCGCAGTTCAATCTGCTCGCCACAGAGCGTGGAGTTTCCGAGATTGCTGCAGCGATGATCCCTATCGGGTGGAAGATGATGTGATGGTCAGGCGCTTCTTTGCTTAATCTGTATCATATTTTGCATATATCTCAAATTCAACTCCGAGTTCGTCTTTAGAAACTCGTAACTACGGTGTAGTTTGTAATGTTTTAGGATCTCTTCAGTTTTGGTGGATCTGACGTAAATGGGCGCCAAGAAATCCAGCCAAACCCCCAACTTCTGACTGAACCCTCCAGCTGTTCCTCCGCATCCCCAAAAGTATCATCGTTTCTCGCTGCGTTCCTTCACCATGCCGAGAGAAGAGCCGCTCTTGGCACCGCGAATATCGTCCGAGCAATCGTCTATCCGAAATGCTGAAGAAGAAGACGCCTTGCTAACCGGCGAGCGTACCCGCTCCGGCCACCACCACCGCCGCGGGTGGGGATTCTGGAGAGAAGTCGGTCTGTTCGTCTGGGCGCTGATAGCCACCGTCGCCGTTGTCGTTATTGCAGTCGTGTACCAACATGAAACGAGCCGAGCGCAGAACGATGGGAAACACTCTTGGGGCCCTGGGGGCAAGCCGACCGGGAAACGTAACCTTATCTTTATGGTGTCGGACGGGATGGGCCCAACCAGCCTTACAATGACTCGCAGCTACAAACAGCTGACCCAGGGACTCCCAGCTGACGAGATTCTCGTGTTGGACAAGCATATTCTTGGTACGTCGCGCACGCGGTCGAGCTCGAGTTTGGTGACCGATTCGGCGGCCGGCGCGACGGCCTTCTCGTGCGGGTCGAAGAGTTACAACGGCGCCATCTCTGTGCTTCCGGATCACTCGCCCTGTGGTACCGTACTCGAGGCTGCGTCTTTGGCGGGTTACAAAACCGGTTTGGTGGTGACCACGCGCATCACCGATGCTACGCCGGCTTGTTTCGCATCGCATGTGAATCTACGACAATACGAAGATCAAATCGCGGAGCAGGAGATTGGCGAGCATCCTCTGGGACGGGTGGTAGACCTCATCATGGGTGGTGGACGGTGCCATTTCTTGCCGAATACAACCGATGGAAGTTGTCGGGCTGACGACCGTGATCTGATAGCTGTTGCCAAGGACAAGGGTTTTAGTTATATCAATGACCGCAAGGGCTTCGACGGCCTGGATGGCGGTGCAGATGCAAAATTACCACTCCTTGGGCTTTTTGCAGAGAAGGATATTCCATACGAGATTGACCGCCGATCCCAGAATGACGTCTATCCCTCTCTGGAGGAGATGGCCCGTTCGGCCCTTAAGATCCTCAGCGAAGCCACCAGAGACAGCGAGCAGGGATTCTTCCTCATGATTGAGGGTTCGCGGATCGACCATGCGGGCCACGGCAACGATCCAGCTGCTCAAGTCAACGAAGTCCTTGCCTATGACAAGGCTTTTGCGGCTGTCCTCGAGTTCCTCGACAACGACTCCACGCCAGGTGTCCTTGTCGGCACCTCTGACCATGAGACTGGCGGCCTTGCCGTTGCCCGTCAACTCCACACGACCTACCCAGAGTACCTCTGGCTACCTGGCGTCCTCGCCAACGCAAGTCACTCTGCTGAATTTGCTGCTCAAGAGCTGTCGGACCACCTCAACGAGCAACCAGATAAAGAGGCTTACATCCGCGACCTCCTCAAGAAATCCCTAGGTGTCGAAGACGCCACCAAGGAGGAAGTAGACGCCCTCATCGACCCCGACAACGAGATCCCGCCTTCCTACGTCTTTGCCGATGTCATCAGCCGCCGTGCCCAAGTCGGCTGGTCGACACACGGCCACTCAGGTACGTACATTTCCTTCTACCCCTTTTTCTATACAAATCCATCATTTGCCTAACAACGAAAAAAAAACGCAGGCGTCGACGTAAACATCTACGCCTCCTCCACAAAGGACGCTTGGCCGCTTCAAGGAAACCACGAAAACACTGAAGTTGGCTCCTTCCTCGCCAGTTACCTCGACCTCGACGTCGCGGCCATCACAAAGCGCCTCCGGGACGCGGAATTCTGGTCCTACTCCACCTCTCAAGACGAAACGGCTACAGCGCCATCGAGCTTCAACTGGCTCGGTGACCCGCTCGGCCAAGATGTCCGCACTGAAGGGCTAGATAGCTATCATGGCGAATTTAAGAAACGATCTGTCTTTGGGGATGAGTGTGGGTGCGGGGCAGCACATTGAGCTTTGAATGCATTTGGGGCCTTTTCTTTAGGGGACTATATCGTCTTGTTTTGGCTTTGGTTATGTTGTTTACTCGGTGTTCGGGCTCTGTCTTTCTCTCTACTTGCGTGTAAGAGATGCATGCACGCATGTGATAACTCTCAGATGATTAATCCACATCTAGCATTTATTTTGTCGCTATATGCTTTTTTGGCGTTGCTCGGTTGGTATACATGCAGACACCTACATACACATACACAATGCCTACCTACATTGGTATAACATAACCGCATTGCTATTTCGTCTCACTCCAAAGTACGCTCACTCTTCCTGTCGCTTCTCGTAGGGTATCTGCTCTATGAAGAGCGGCAGGGGTAGAGTAACTCGAGTACTGAGCTATCAGATTTAAGCAATACCCTAAATATACTATGCTGTAGCCGAGCCCGCATGAGGACAGAAAGCAGCACAAACAAGACTGGGTATCCCTTCATCAGGGTAAGATCTGAGAACACAACACATGCCGATGTAAGACCGATGAGACCACAAGAGAGGACTGCAGAGATGAAGAGGAAGAGCGAGGTATTATATTTGCAACCAGGCGACCAAGCACGGCTCACTGTACAAGGAGGAGCAAGAGAGACTAGAGACTAGATATGAGATACTCGCCAGTAAAAGTAAGGTTTGTTGAGTAGAAACTTCACTTAAAAGCAGTACGGCTCCGGCGCAAAGGACGCGTTCGTGCGCGAATCATTAAGTGTAACATCAGGGACATCCGAGTCAGGGTTTCGAGCAAAAACAGATGCATAAGTAATCAATAATCAGTCAACCAATAGACATGTGAAGAGAGAAAAAGAGACGATATGGGTGAGAAAAGCAATGGATATCAAGTTCAGTGGTAGGTACCGTGCCGAGAAAAAGGGTACCGGGTTGAAGTATAGAACATGAATAGAATGTGTCAGAAGATGAGACGGCAGAAATTCGTGTATTTAAAAAAAGGAAAACGCAGCCATGCGTAATGCTGTTGTTTGTCCAGGAGGGCAAAGTGGGGAATGTAGAAGAAATAAATAAATAATATCCAAGAATGGGTGAGAGAAGAAGAGTAGTGACGACGGTAGGAATTTCACAGGGTAATCAGGACAACAATTGCAACCAGGACGGCGAAGAAGGAGCCTTTCAAGACGCGCTCGTTGGGAGATGCGGCCGCGTTCTCACCATCCTCGCTGCTGGTGTCGGTTCCCTGATTAAAAGTGCCAGGGGCGTTGGTGCTAGTTGTCTCTTCGCCAGTTCCAGTAACAGAGGAACCGCCACCGCCCTGGCCACCAGTACCACCAAGGTTCGGGGGAACTGTGGAGTTGTTGGTGATCGTACCGGTAGAGTTGCTGTTGCTGTTGTTGCTGGTGGAATTGGACCCAAGGTCCATGTCAAGACCGGTAGCACCGAGGGATGCAAGGACGGTCTTGTTGTCGGTGATTTCCACAGAAGCTTCAAGACCCCTGTCATCCTTGAAATCGTAGGAGACATCACCCTCGATATTAGTGCCAGACGGGGGGTCGTAGCACTCCACGGTCACTTCGCCGTAAGTGGCATAGTAGTAACCCTTAGTCTTGATATCCTCGTGGTCCCAGTCTATTTCACCTCCAGCCCACTCGATAGTTCCCTGGGCGTTGCTGGCTTGTCCGGCGGGCCAGAGAGACATTTGCATCCGGGACGGGGTCTGAGGGTACTCGTAGCGGTTGGAGGTTTCGTTAAAAGTAGATTCCTTAGTGAGGGTACGGACGGTTTTGCCGTCAATGTTCCATTTCAGCTCTTCAGGGCTCCAGTCGATTTCATAGTAGTGCCACTCCTCGAAAGTGTCGCCGGAATCAACCTTGGACGCGTCACCGTTGGTCCCTACAACGATTAGTCTCCTACAAGAAAAGAAAGCGGGTATGCTCACAGTCCAGAATTCCCTGGAAGTACCAGTTGGTCTCGACCTGGCTCAGATCGGCACCAACCCATTCGTAATCGATCTCGTCCTTGGTATCGGAGAGAAGGATAAATGCAGTGACCACACCCTTACCGCGGCTACTCTTGATGTTGGCACCAATCTTGCCGTACCAGATATAGTGGTTGTTCGCGAAGAGAGATCCCACACTGTTCTTGGGCATGGTGAGAAGGAGGTTTCCGTCCTCAAGCTCGGGGTATCCGCTGTAAACCCAATCGGATTCGGTAGCGTTGCCGAGATATTCGTTGTTTGTAGCGGCATTATCAAGGTTGTCCCACTTGTAGGTCTTGCTCTGGCAAACGGGCATGGGGGCGCAGGAATCGAGAGAGTACGACATTAGGGGATCGCATCCACCGAGACAGTAAGCGCCCGTACCACATTGTCCGTATACTAGTGGAAGATAAGCCGGTGAACCAAGTAACTCAGGATCAACTTTCAAACATACCAGAGCAACAAGGGTACTTCTCAGGGCAGTGCTCGTCGAGACTGCAATTCGGTGGGGTGAAATCATCGTCTGCGGCGACGGCGCTAGTCGCCAGGTAGGCGAAGATAAGAGCGGGTGCGAGGCGCAACATGGCAGCGAACTGGCTTGAATCTACTCCAAAGCCAGGATCATATACAGAGTTTCTAAGAAGACGGAGAAGGGTCAGTTTAAAACCGAGCGAGGGAGTCAGGCATAGTGGAGGTGGGCCTGGGCCGAAGGTCTTTGTGAACGGACAAGCTCTGCGATCCACTTCAGGGGATTGTGCCGGAACTGGACAGGAACGACCCTGGACACGTTCTCTTGACCGGGCAGATAGACAAAAGACGTCGGAATGACAGGCGTTGCTTACCAAAAAGGAGGCAGAAACCGCGTTCCAGATATACAAGGGCAATATAGTATAGGCGTTTGTAAATGGGTATATAGCGCACCAATCAACGAGGGACTGCGGGAAAAAGGGGACCTTTATCACCGCTGAGAGAGGGCCGATATGGAGGAGAGACAAAGTGCTCTGCTCCTGAGGCGATGGGGTAGGTGAACGAAAGAAGAAATGAATGACCGGATCGAGGAAAAAGAGACCAAGAAGGAAAAGGGAGGGAAAAGCGCTGTTAAATCATTTAAACGGCCGCCTTGATTCTGGAGTTGCAACAAAGTCGGGGTTTTTCAAGGTTATCCGCTCCTGTATGCATGCGGGTCTGCTTGTAATTACAATACGCTACTATGAAGATAAGAGGGCTGAGATGAGCCCATACAGCTTTGAGCGCAGTCTTTTAGGAGATTAATTGGCATGCCAGAGTCAGCACCATGTCAGCGCAAAGAACCGCTAAGACTCTTTTCGTTTGGCTCCACAGTTTTCGCTTGAACCTGATGTCTCACTTCAAGTCATGAGGATATTTTTGGTCAATTGCCATTTGCCACACGGTCACAGCTAGCTGTAAGTAAGTAAGCCAGGCAACTGTGTGCGACTGCTACTACTACTATCTACGTCTTAGTGACCATTAAGTTCCAACAGCAACCTTTAATTAGGCCTGGAAACAACTTTCCCGAGTGCCGGTTCAATCTCTCAGTCTTGTGACCCTTGTCCGAAAACAGTCCCTGGCGGTCCCTTATCGCCAATACCGTAACGACGGGTCTCGGTACCGGTAATACTGGTAAGAAACCAGGGAATGCCCACCCTCTAGTGAACTCAATAAAAAGAGCTAAGAATAACCGGCATAGTAACTCAGTCACAGTCTTCCAGGTCTCCAAGATATGCCCTGCTTCAGACCTGCTCAGATTGTATTCTTGGGCGCTTTTTGTCGACCTTCAAATGCAATTCTACTACCCCGTCAAAGCTTCGGTCTGGAAGAGTCCGTCGCGACGAAACCGATTGAACTGAAGCAACCCCCTTGCTTCTCAGATCGCAAGGCATGCGCCCACTTACCTTTCTACCGCGTGGCAACGAGACAATTTCATCCAACTTGACGTCAAATCGGCATTCCAGGTGATGTTGCCCTTTTTCCGCGACCAGATTTACCCCAGTCGGAAAATTGTCAAGTGGGACTCGGAACCTTGGTTCTTGGGCTGTTCACGGCATCTCTAGATCAATGGCTGTTGTAGAATACCTCTGACGACAACATCGTTTCCGAGTATTACTTTTGGCCATGCAAGGCACAATATCTCACATATAGAGTTCGCTGCCGCGTCATCAGGAGGTTCGTGTACCAGCTGTTGATACAAGCTCACGACCACCCACGCCACAACGCCTGCAGGTTCGCGCTGTACCACACACGTCGAATTTGCGTTTTGGCTGGCCCGGAATACGATAGGTAACCGGGATTCCTATATTTGAAGTACACTATCCATATGCATGTATGTATATATATGTTTGGGATCGACTCTGGGAGGATGTAGAGTGGCCCGACAAGATATATAATCTAGCGAGTCCTCATTATGTTTCACGGATCAGAAAGTCAAAGACAGAGCAGCGTGTCTACATCCTTAGCTCGGGTACGAAGTTACACAGCTCGGGCAGATGCCGATGTAAATCATGGTTACTACCTACTGTTTAAGCTTACTGCGATCCCCAATGGCAGATGGTACAATGTAACATTATTAACGGCTCTGAAGCTGTAGACAAAAAGCAAATCATCCACCAGCTGCTCCATAAACATCCCTGACATACTCACACATTTGAATCTTGCCCTCCCACCCACCCCTATCACTCCTCTCTCAACTATTGTCGGGGCTTTGTACCATGCCACGTTGACTCGATATGCATACCACGGACATAGCCCAGAGGACGGTCGTGGTTGCTAATTAGGAGCCACCTCGTGGTTGCCGTGGCCCTTGCCCAACTCTTTTTTTCTTGCTTTTCTCTTTTTTGTTCTTTTTTTTTTTCCTTTCTTATTTCTGGCCTTTTTTTTTTTTGTTTGTTTTTTTTTTGTTTTTTTTTTTGTTTTGATGACCACAACTGATATCCCGTTCACGGGCGAGTTTCCTAAGTATCCTACTTCTCGGCGGAGAAAGACATCTCGGCGGAGAAAGACATCTCGGCGGCAGCCATGCTAGTTGCAGCTACTGAAGCGGTCTCCTCACCAGATACTTGCCATTGTGGGGTCGGTTGGTCTCTTTGACCATGGTGAGATCCTTCTCACACGGGTCCGAGGAATAGGTGACCGAGACACCACTATAGACGTTGTGACTATCTTTCCATCTGTTGAACACTTCCAAGACCTTGCGAGCAACGCCGGTGCTGGTGAAAACGGCGGTCGCTGCACCCTTGTTAGTGATAGATATTCAAATATCTGGTGAGGTACTGAGACTCGTCACTTACCATTGCCAGAGTTGAAAACCCAGAGGAAATCAATGTTTCCGGCACCGGCAATAGCACGGATATCGTGCTTCCACTTTTCGGGAGACATGTTGTCCGCGAAAAGCCTCTTCCTTGCAAAGGAGAGACGGCGGCGCTCTCTAATCGGCTGGTTCATGCGATGAAGATCGTCGTTCCAATCGACGATTTCAGCCAATTCCACACTATAGCCGGGTCCAAAACGTCCGTGTCCGACCAGGGCCTCCATATTTTGGTTGGACTTGAAAAGCGCGAGCGCGTGCGACGCATGCTGAAAGATAACACGGATTCTTTCATTAGTCTCAACGCGGATGTCGTGCAGAGGTCCCTCACGGATTCGGGTAGTGATATAGTTCACGGCATCTCTGGTCATTCTTCCGTAAACACGGATTATTCCTGCCTTCTCAGGAATTTCGGGCACAGTAGGGGCGGAGAAGGGAGCAAGCTCCTTGCCGGATTTATCTTGATCGTCGCTATTCACGTTCTCCTTTGAAGGGGAGCTAGATGCTAGCGAGGCGGGCGACTTGAAGAACTGTGCAGAACGGGAAGAAGAGTCCTGAACACTGGAAACCGAACTGGCAACTTGTGCCCAGCTGCTGGGATGCAGTGGAGCGGGTCCAATGGCTTCCTGGATCCTGTCTAGCCCAGCATTGGCATCTCCTCTTTTACCCTTCTCAACTTCGTTCATGAGAGCCTCATGGGCTTGACGTTGTATTATTGCTCGAGGGTGGGCCGCGGAATGATGCGCACTGTCAGGCTTTTTACAACGTTAGCCGTATATGCTACCACGGCAGGCAGGGGTAGTAACCACGAAGTCAAAGACATATTCGCTTGGAGAGAGTTGAGCTATGCCTTCATTGAAGGCTTCGACGAGCTTTGCACTCGCCTTTCCAATCTCATTTGCAGTTCTAGGCTGCTCGTGGTTGCGAAACTGCAATCTTGTTACTATATCATCACCTGATAGAGCAAGCTGAAGCCCTCACATGTTCAGAAACGCGTCTGAGGTGGGTCAACGCCTCGGTCATCGCAGCCTCAATAGTGTAGGCCATTTCGAAAGTGCGGATAAAGTGAGGTGGACGTGCAGGTCTACAAAAAAGGACCTATCAATGAGCATGATCCAGATTAGCCAGGTTCTGTTACTGCATAGGGGGTGGGTATTGGGGGAGAGGAACCTCGAAACTGGCTGCTGCAGAATAAATACACCGCGAATAATAAACCAGATGAGTTCCGAAGAGTTGATAATGGAGCCTGGCAGATAATAATGAGTGAAAAGTCCTAGGAAAGAGCACAAGCGTTCTTCGATTCTAAGGATGCTCCAGGTCACAACACACTGGAAGCTGCTTTAAAGATCACTCACGATTTACTCACTACCCACGGGAGAAGATGTAAATAGAGAACTTCACCAAGACAAGTCAAGCAATTGCTAATAAGAGTTGGGCGAAAAAGGGATACGTAGATGAGGAAAAGAAAGATGGGGGGCAAAGGCCTGGAGGAAGCCAGAGAAGAAGAGGGTGAGAGAGAGTAGAAGAAGAAGAAGAAGAGAGCAAAGAAGAGGGAGAGGAACCTAGAAGAGGGGCAAGAGACAAGTGAGAGAACACTGAGGGCCACATAATCTGTTGATGGAAGGAAAAGTGTTACTGAAGTGAAGGCCGGTCAAAACAATGCGCGCATTTGCTCCAGCTCCCATTCCCTGTTTCCCACCTGCTTTATCACCTGCTCAGCTTTAGGGCCAGGGCCTCCCCCCAGACTCTGGATCAGATACACAGAGCTGAGGTGACAGCCTGCAGAGCAGACTTTGCTCTCAGTGTGATTCTAAGACGCAGTGGCCCAAATCATGGGTTGAGACCCGTGGGAACGAGACAGCCGATTTCATTACAGATTGTGTCCGGCTCTCAGCTCCAAGATACAGGTGAAAAGTGAATGATATGCGTCTGATTCTTTCTGTTCATCATGAGCTAATGAGTTGATACGAAGTTGCAGGAAGGCGGAGCACTTTCCCAGATGCCACAAGTCCACACCTATATCCATAAAATCATTAGGCGCTGAATATTCCCACTTTCAAATCCTAGCCCCTAGTCATTCAGAAAGCGGCGGGAAACTTCTAACAAAGCTACACAAATCATCAGTAAACCCTCTACCAAGCCGCGCCGGAGAGGGGAGAAACGTACTGCGCAGGGCACTCATATCCAGTCGGATTCTTATGCAAGTAAAGCTGGTGGTACTCCTCCGCATCCCACCACTGGCCCGTAGGGATAATTTCCGTCGAAAGAGCCTGCTTATACCACTCCTTGCTCACTTTGTCCGTGATCGTCTCGGCAATCCGGTGCTGCTCGTCGCCGTGCGTGAAAATAGCGCTGCGGTACTGCGTCCCGATATCCGGGCCCTGCCGGTTCTTGGTCGTGGGGTCGTGCATGCGGTAGAAGAATTCTAGCAGCGAGCGGTAGCTCACGAGCGACGGGTCGAATGTTATCTGGAGAGCTTCGGCGTCTGTACAGTCCGAAGGAAAGGAGACATTAGCGCTACTTAATCAAGACAGATGATACAAGGGCTGGAGAGCACTCACGCCCCGTATCTCCGGTGCAAACAGCCGGATATGAGGGGGACGTCGTGTCCCCCCCGCAGTAGCCAACCTTGGCCTCCAAAAGCCCCTTTCCTTGCCCAAACTCCTTGCGGAAGAGGTGTTCTACACCCCAAAAGCAGCCCGCAGCGACGGTTGCCGTCTGTATTGTTGCGCTCGCCATATTCCGGGATGCCGAAGATTCCGCAGGTGTCAGCGAAAGAGTTGGAGAGGTGGTGGAGAAGGAGCGGAAAAATCGCGAGAAGATCGTTGAGCCGAGGGCGGGTACAGCGAAGGCCATCAACGTTGTGCGTATCTTGAGGTCAAAAGTCTATCTGTAGGAAAGAGAGAAAAAGGAAGCGGCGAGACAATCAGAACTTAGGATTTAGGCCGTCGTCCGTCAAGAATGTAGCTCCTCGGGGTTTTCCCCGCGCTAGATAAGCTTCGTGTTGGTGGCGTCATCGCTGGGCAGATTATCCTATCGAAGTTTTGCCAGAATAGGCTTGGTTCACATTTTCGGCGCTTTATTCTTAGGTGTGCAAGTATCATGTTCATGTTGCTGGGCGAAAAATGGATTGAGCCTCAGCCAACAGCTTCAAGGCTAGTAGATACTCCAAAGCAAGTTCTGGTATTGTACACGTCCTAGGAAAATAGTATGTCCCTCGAAGAAAATAGAAGAGCACAACGCCCCCTGAATGATTGTGTCGCCAGATAATCAAAGACAAAAAAAGAAAAGAAAAGAAAAAACCCAATCGCTATCACATGTTATACCCTGATTTCAATAGTAAAACTCACATCATAAGCCGCCGATGGCACTCAAACGGACCGCATCTCGGCCGGTGAGACTAAAGTTTCTGGGCCGAATGTCTCCTCCAAACGTCGTACGTCTCTGGCTGGTGTTCTTCATGATAGGCAGAGTTCGAGGTCCCAGAACCGCTGGTTTGTTCTCGAGCTCATTGTCGCCTTTGGTCATTCGCCTGGCCTGTGCTGTGAACATTGTATTCTCGGGTGGCGAGCTACCATAGGTGGCTGACGGCGGACTGCGGCGGCGATGAGCACGAAGAGCAGCGGCGGAAGCGCCGGGTCCGACTGACCCTATCGAGATGCGCCTCATGGCGCTGCTGATCCGTCTCACATCGTCTTTGGTCGCCTTCCATTCGCCTTTGGGCTCGGGTACCGGGCTGGAATTGTAGTTTCCGCTTGGCGTTCTGATAGCAATCTTGGACGGGCGCTCCACGGAGGCGCGGTTCAAGAAGCTACTGTTCTCAATGTCACGCAGAGGTGAGCTCCGATCGTGCTGTAGAACTGGAGGGAGCGAAGGGCCTGGAGAGCCGCCCGCTTTCTTAGACAAGAAGCCGGTCTTGAACCTATTGTTCTTCGGAATGTTCAGTGGCTGGTCGGACGGGGTTGGAATTGGGGATGAACCACCCGAAGGGCTAAAGTTTCGGCTCGGTACTGGAATGCCACGTGGGATTGGAGATGTTCTGCGGAGCGTGGGCTCATACGGGCTATCTTCTTGAGGAGCCGAGGAAGCTTCAGCTCTCTGAGGCGTCTTTTGAATTTCGGTTAAGGTGCCATCTTGTTCGTCATCCTTCCAGCGGACGCTTCGCTTCGGTGGCTTGCCCTGGACTTTCTTGGGCGAGAAGCTAACGCTCTTCCTGCCGCCACCCATCTTGCGACGACGAGGACTTGCCCTCGTCGGCGACGGTGGAGCTGTTGGGTTCAACGAGATAGGAGCGTTTAATCCCTTGCTGGGGGGAACAAGGGCCAAGCTTAACCTCTTCTTTTGTTTTGAGGGGCTAGCTTTGAGTGGAGTAAATGTTTGCATAGCCGGCAAGCCGCCGTCTGGCTTGACTATGCTTGAGGCCACACCGCAGCAGGAATCAAGCATCTTGGTCAGGATTCGTTTTCCTGCCTCAACAGCCTCTTCCTGGCTGAGATGCATGATATTCTCAATGGCAGAAGCGGTTTCGAACTGTGCCTGGAGTAATAGTTGCACCGTAGCAGCCTCTCCTGCCTTGTCTTGTTCCGCAATCGCCGAAAGAGACTCTCTCTCAGTATTCGCCCTGAGAAGTTCCGCCTCTCGTCGGAGGTTCGTAAAGTCACTGTTGTCGGTAATTTCGAATTTCTGAAGTTGAGCAATGGCGTTCTCAACAGCTGAGGTCATGGCACGGTCCCAGGTACTTTTTGACAGGCGTTGATGGTAATGTTGTCTGCTTCCTTCCAGCTCCAGCAAGATACCTTGAGCTGTCTTTCGAACAGCTTGTAGGTTTGACAGTGGCTCAACGTCTTCGGAATTTCCGCAGACATTGTCAAACGCGGCGATCCACGAAGACAACAACCCAATCCTGCGGCTGACCTGTTTCAACTTAATCATGTTGTTAGTTCTCTCCTGCCTCTCAGGTAGTGAATGGTCATAGGCGTTACGAATCCGGGCTAGACCCTCGCGGACGGCAATATCCTTCTTTTCCGTTTGCTTCTTGAACTTGGCGAACGCGACCTTCTCTGATTCCTTCTGTTGCGCCTTGAGCTCGTTTATCAACGCCATCTGCTCGTCGATCTTCACTAGAAAATCTTTGACATGGCGATTGACATTGAACACGTTCCGCGTGACTTTGGTTTGGATGTTTTTAGCCCTGTTCGCATAGCGCAAGGTGTTTTGGGTCTCGTCAAAATGTTGACTAGAGGGACTGACACAGACAATCATGACTGTCTTGCAGTTCCCACCGAGTGAGAACTTGAGGAGGCGTGTTAGCTTCGAGTTCCGGTATGGAACATGGTTCCGCTTTCGTGGATCGCAGAGTGCATTTATACAGCTACCGAGGGCGAGTAGAGATTTGTTGATGTTTGCCCCTTCAAACAATCGCTCTCCCCTATTCTTTGTTGCACTAGCACGCTCACTCCCAGCCAAGTCAATGATGCTGAAGGTTGCCATAGTATGGGGTTCGTGGATATCTGCGTTTCTGTCCTTCTGAGCAATATTGATCTGGAGGACTGCGTGGGATCGAGAAGAAGTTGCATTTGCCTCTGTCGGAGACATCGTGCGGCATTCATTCCCCCGCATAATCATATCCATAACCTCTTGCACAGACTTGGGATTATGACTCGACAGCCCAGATACTGATACTGATTTATTTGTGTCCTCTCGCAGCGTCAAGCCGCTCTTCGATCCACCGGGAACTAGAAGGTCGCGAATGGTTTCGTTGTAGATCTCCAAAAACGAAAGAGACAGCTCGGTTTGCTTCTCCCCGGATCGTTCTTCAATACGCTCGAACAGTTCCTGCATAGTGAGGAAGATTATGCCTGGTTGTTGCGGGGTGCCTGTGATCGTATGGGTCTTTCCACAACCGGTCGCACCGTAAGCAAATACGGTGGCATTGTATCCGTCCAGGACGCTGTCGAGCAAATTCCGCGTTGTCGCTTCATAAACTTCTCCCTGGCTAGCACTTTGGTCGAAGATTCTGTCAAAGGCGAAAGTCTGGTCTTTCACTCGCTTCCCCTGGGGTACGACACTTCTAGAGAACTTCTGGACGGGATTGTCTTCGGGTGGATCAAAAACTCTGTTCAAGAAATCGTAAGAATGGCTGTCCATGTATGGCAGAGCATGTACCTACAGACACCGGTCGTCAATGACCTTGATAATGGGACGAATGCCCTTCTGATTTAGTTTCGGTGTTGGTACCCCCGCCAGGGAGCCGTCACCGAGAAACAACGGGCCATCTTCAATCTTGGACAGCTGTGCCGCCTCCCGGATCGTGAACGGCCTTACTCGAACGGCGACGGTGATAGATGAAGAGTCGCTCGGAGACCCCATCTTGTCCAATGTTTGTCGAAATGCTGTTGTACTCGGCGTGAGAGATTGGTGCAACCGAGGGCCATCCGCCCCGTACCGTTTGGCGCGACAGTTGGGGAGCGCAGAATGTCTGGACAAAAGATGAAAAGAGCGAGCTCCCCAGAGAAGAATGTTGACAGTGGACCTCTAGTCTCAAAGACCCGGAGACTCACCAGTTGAGCTGCGCTGAAGGATGAGTGGAGGCTTCAGCCACGCCGTGTGACTTGTTGACATTGGCCCTTATTATGCGGGCCGCGTTGCTCGGGCAACACGGGGGATGTGGGTTTAAGTCGAGTGCTGGGGTGTGCAATTAACGTTTCGCTTGGCAGCGGCAAGCTTCCCATGCTGATCGTCTTCCGTGCACAAGGAGATTTTTATCGACACACACATGTCTTGCAGGGGAATACCAGCTTCATAACGGCGCATCGCCGCCATCGCGGCACGCCAAGAAAATAAGGCCATTTCCGATCGGGATGGAGACTACTACGTCAGTGCCGTTGTCTGTAAAACTGCGATATCTAATGAGTTGGTGGTGGGGAGTGACAAGCCATAACGTTGAATACCTTGTACACAACGTTTTTATGATAAGAGTATCATTTTGTGTCGTAGAAGATCGAAATCGATAAGATGCAAACTTCTGAGGTCATCTGAGTTACATACCCATTGAGAGAGCCTCTTTCACCCCCGAAAGCCTAACAAGAGGGCCGCCCAAATAACCATATCCCCTTGCGCCAAAGAAAGAACGAGGCTAATGAAGCCGAAACCAACCCACCTCATGTTGCCAGGCAGGCTATGCTTCCTCTTCGTCATCAAGGCTAGGAAGAACGACATCCCACCCCGGGTCAACTAAGTCGAGATCGTCCTCGCTGTTCCCCGCCTGTCTGAACCTGAAAGCAATGGATTGACCGTTGTTGATTTCAGCAGCCTTCAAACTTGTGGATGCGGCTTTCCTCCCCGCCCCTTGCGTGGGAGCGTCGTCCTCATCAAACTCTAAGCCCTCGAGGCTTGTCCAACCTTTCTCCATATCATTCTTGTCAATTGCGACGCCGAACTCGATCTTCTGCGAGTCTTTAGGAACTGGATCTCCGTTAATCTCTGTCAAGCCGCGAGATTGGAGAGCATTGAGCAGGGCAGTCTTTGTGTTGTTGATCGATTCGGAAGGTGGGAGCATCAGAAGCACGGTTGTTCTGTGCTTTTTGAACAGTAATGTCCAGCTTAGTGCGTCAGGTTGCGCCTATGGGGTAAACAGTTAGTGTGGGTACAGAATTATGAGAAATATATAGCATACCATGTTCTGAATTACAGAGCAACGAGAATGGAAGTTGTAGTGAATAAGAATTGCAGGTGGGCTGGACAGAGCTCGAGCGGGTCCGCGGAGCTCGAAATAATGGCTGCCGGGGAAGCTTTTCCCTTCCCGAGACTGACCTCATGTCAAGACCTCCCGCAAGCTTCAACGCATCGGCCACATTATTCGACAACACCAAAAAAAGGACAAGTCTCCTTTCATAACTGTTTTTAACCTCAGGTCTATATCACTTGCTTCAAAAGGAGCCGGCTATCCCTCCACAATGGCCGCCGAACAGCCCTCGGAAATGCGCAACCCAGAATCAGCGACTCTGCTCAAGATACTTCATTGGGACAAATTTTTCGAATCAGAGGCGCCCCCGCGGCTAGGAATGGAGGTTGGTCAACGGCTACCGCTGACTGCTCTGTCTGCGTTCTCTGCTGGAATGGCCATCGGATCGTACTATGGTAGCAAAACTGCTTCATACCGTTTCCGCGCCGAAAATGCTCATCGCTTTCCTACAACCTCAACCGGGTGGTTCCAATACCATAAGACAAAAAACTACGTGGCTATTGTTGGTGGTGTCAAGAATGGTATGAAGCTTGGATTCAAACTTGGTGCGGGTGCACTGGCTTTTTCTCTGTTTGAGGAAACCGTGGACTATGCCCGTCACGATAAAAGGGACTTTCTATCCACGGTCACGGCAGGATTGTCATTCTCTGGGATTTACAGTCTACTAGGTTTGTTCCTCAATACATTTTATAAGGGAACCAGATGTTAATATTCGCATTGGCAGCGCGACACGACGTTTACACCGCCGCACGTACAACGAAACTGGGATTGAAGCTGAGTCTCGCCTATGGATTGATGCAAGATGCTCTTGAATTGCTCAAGGGCAACCGACCTGCCTTCGTTGACTTTATCATGAGTCAAGGCCGAACCAGGGCCGAGTAAGATCACATCGAAAGATATAATTAGTTATATGCTCGCCAAGCATACTATTTTATCGCCGACTGGGTTTTGGTTTCACACCATGCACTGAGCCGGACGGTACAGCCAAGCAAAGTTGGTAATTTAGGGCGGAGGCTCAGCGCAGCCTCTGGAACCAATTCGGAATCGGGGACATTGATTTCTTCTTGTCCCCTGCGATTACTTCAGATCAGGCTGGTCTGACTTCGAATAGCGATCACGGCCCAGACAGGCATATAATCCCCTTCGTCAGTGGCAGGACGACTACGGAAGATGGAAGTGTTCGAGCCACTGGAATCGACCGATGGGCTCTCCGACGTGGTTTGGTGGCGATTATAGGATGCGATCTACAATCCATGTGCGGACGATGATGGTGACTCTTTTCTTTGTTCCCGCAGGGTACAGCAAGAACCTGGAGCATCAGGTGACTCTGCCCCGCCATCCACCATGGAGAGAACGAACCTCACGGTGGGAGCCAGCGGCTTCCCTCCTCATCTCGTTCTCATTTCTGTCTTGAAAACCGGAAGTGGCTCGGTATGACAGCGACCTTTTTGGAACATAGCAGATGCAGTAAGAAGTCTTCTAGAAACGTCCTGATGTTTGAAGCAGGGGAATATACCCAAATTTCGAATCTGCAGCATTGTTGTGTACTAGACAAAAACTTCATCAGCATACGTACATCATGCGGTGCTGTATTTATCTGAACCAGGATTTGTAGAGCCTTCTTCAACCCTCCGTGCCATTGCCTAGCCATAATAATGCTGGCTGCAGAGCGTGTATTGCCTCAGACGGAGAAAAAGCAAAGGGCTGCTAACTGATTCAGGCCTGGGATTCAGAAAGCACAAAGGAAGACGGGCCCGACCTTCTTCTCACCTTCTAGAAGGTATCCAGAACCTTTCCTCCTTCTCTTTCTTGAAGGCTTCGCCTCCAAACCCTCCGCATTTTCATTGTTATCCACCCCTACGACTCTTCTGTTCATTTTCCTTCTAGGCAGCTATATCTCTTGCTTGTTCTCTTTCAGATCCAAAGATCTATCCAACATTGATCTTTACTGTTCCGAAAAGGACAATCTTAAGCTGGAGCTGAGCTCCTCAGTCCCATCAAAAACTCCACAATTGCCTTTCGATCCGGTTTCGAAGCGACAGAGTATTTCTGTCTTCGCAGCGAAACTGAACCTGAGTTGAATCCCTCCTCGTATGTAGTCTATCTACCAGCGAGCAGCTGTTCGCTAGTGGTGCTGGTGGAGCTTGGCAGTATCAAATTAATCAAATTAATTGTTGCCGTTTGACGTGGGAGATCCCCGCCTCCAGAGGTATTCAGTCTGGCCCAGTCCTCACAGTACCGAATAATTCACCACCGCTTCAAGCTCTCTTACTAACGCAGAATGCTCGCTTTCAGTCATTTGCTAGCTTCCGATTTCCGATCTTCGTTCAGTCGATAGCTTTCTCGCTCGTGTCGATCCGCGACTCCTGCTACTCAAATGTTTGCTCGCTACTGACACTCCCCCGCGCCGTGGAACTGGGGATGCTTTTGTGAAGCTCCCGTCATCCATTTTCGTCGACGTCATCGGCTCGTCGCTGGTGCTCTCACGAACTCTATGCTGGCGCTGAGAACATACAATCAATTCCACTGAGTTTTGCGTCCTACCTCTTTCATAGAAAGCTTCACAATCGATCATCATGCGGCGTCATGGCAGGGCCGGCGGGGGTTCAACCAAGGCTGTGACACCCATCTCCGACACCGTATCGCTCATCCATTCCTTCGATTCATTATCGAACCCCAATCGCCCCGTGCGCCCATCGCCGTTGACCTCGTCTAGTATCCAAGCTTTGCCGTTAGACCTCGTTGACCGATTGCGCTCCTTTCCGTTGTTCCAGTCCACGCCAGAGTCTTTTCTGATCGACGTCGGACAACACCTGCGCCCGCAGCTTTGCGCTCCAAACGATTATATCTTGACGGAGGGCGATGAAGCCAAGGCAATATACTGGTTGGTACGAGGTGCGGTCCTGGTTACATCTCGAGATGGAGAGAGTATTTATGCGGAGCTTGAGCCGGGCGCTTTCTTCGGCGAGATAGGTGTCTTGATGGACCGGCCCCGTACTGCCACCATCATCGCCCGCTCCAGATGTCTGTTGGTGGTGCTGTCCAAAGAGGACTTTAGGAGCATCCTTCCCCGGTTTCCCGAAGTAGAGCGTGCTATCCGGGAAGAAGCTCAAGAACGGCTGATGATTTTGGAGAAGAAAAAGAAAGAGACTTCGGCACCGTCGGCAGATCTTATAGACACATCTCGGAGAGGATCAAAAAGGCTAAGAGACCTCTCGCTTACAGATCAGAATGGTGCGAGCTTAACGTTTGTCAATAAGAAACGCAAATCCCCAAGCCCGGGACTGGCTGATGGAACTTCAAGCGCCCTCGCAAATGGGCTTGTCAACGTCCGACTTCTACTTAAGGAGCTACCTCTCTTCGCGGGTCTTCCGCCCGAAATCCTCCATTTCTTGGGTCTCAACGCGCAGCCCCGATCATTCCCACCGTTCACCGACATCATCAAACAAGACTCTCAGGGACGGGAAGTCTATTTCATCGTGCGTGGCGAGGTCGAAGTGTTAAGTGAACGAACAGACTCAAGAAACGGCGGCCTCTCGCTGCCGACCACTATTGAACATCCTGGCTTTGAAGTCAAAGCACGTTTGAAGCAGGGCCAATATTTCGGCGAGGTAGTAAGTCTTTCATTAGCACCTCGCCGGACTGCAACAGTACGCTCGATTACTGCCGTCGAATGTCTCATGATTAGCGGTGAGGTGCTAGCCCAGTTCTGGGATAGATGCCCCCAAGATGTTCGAGACCAGGTGGAACAGACGGCCAAAGATAGGCTCAAGACTGCATCTGACGGCGATGTTGTCATGTCCGAGGCTGTAGACACTCCTGATGGACCAAGCACCAATGATGATCGGTTCAAAATTAGGGCTTCCCGCAGACAATCCATGCCACTGTTAACTTTGACGGAAACAGAGTTGGACGGCACTCATAAGCCCAATGGTATAGATGATCACACGGTACTGCGGCCGTCAGACCCGGACCCCTTTCTCAACGTGGGTTTGGACAATGTTAGACTTCGCAGTCGACGAGGCTCTGTCGCGCCCCCAACGCCAGAGGAGGTCACCCGAGACCAGCAAAGGGCCTCTCATACTGAGCCTAGGTCCAGTAGCTCCTCCTTTCGTTCCCTTCCAGAAACCTCAGCCACACCAGTTGCGCAAAAGGCAAAGCGCGAACCCAGCAATGACAATCACGGCATCATTCCTGATGACTTGCTCGTACGCATCTTTGATTATCTCGAACTGCACGACCTTCTTGGTCTCCGCGCCGTGTGTCTCCACTGGTCAGAGATTATCAACAAGTCTGCGGATTTACTTCACTATCTTGATCTGAGTGTCTATAATCGCTGCCTTACCGATGACGTCTTGGCAAAGATCATTTGCCCGTTTATTGGCAATAGGCCACGTCACATCGATATCAGTAATTGCTTCCATATCACTGATGAGGGTTTCAACAAGCTGGTCAACACCTGTGGGTCTAATATTGTGACCTGGAAGATGAAGAGTGTGTGGGATGTTACTGCATCCGCTATTCTGGAAATGTCCAGCAAGGCTACCGGCCTAGAAGAAGTCGATCTGAGCAATTGTCGAAAAGTTAGTGATACGCTCCTAGCTCGGATCATCGGTTGGGCCACTCCAGGCCCATACAAACCCCCAGAGGATTCTGGCAAAAGTGGCAAACCTGCCATCAAACCCACAATTCAAACGCCCAAAGGCGCAATCTTCGGGTGTCCAAACCTCAAGAGACTGACCCTCTCTTATTGCAAACATGTGACTGATAGGTCGATGCATCACATTGCGTCTCATGCTGCTTCCAGGATCGAAGAAATGGACCTAACACGATGTACCACAATCACGGACCACGGGTTCCAATTCTGGGGAAATGCTCAGTTCACCAATCTCCGAAAACTCTGTCTGGCGGACTGCACATATTTGACTGATAATGCAATTGTTTATCTCACAAATGCTGCAAAGGGACTGCAGGAACTTGACCTGGTAAGACCTTCTCTACTTTCCTTGACACCAATACCTCACTAACATGTTTCACAGTCGTTCTGCTGCGCCCTGTCAGACACGGCAACGGAAGTCCTTGCCCTACAGTGTTCTCGATTAACATATCTAAACATGTCATTCTGTGGTTCGGCTATCTCCGATTCGTCATTACGCAGCATTGGCCTTCACCTTCTTCATCTCCGGCGACTTTCGGTGCGCGGCTGTGTTCGAGTCACTGGGGCGGGTGTCGAAGCCGTGGCCGATGGCTGCACTCAGCTGGACACCTTTGACGTCAGTCAGTGCAAGAATCTGACCCCCTGGCTTGAAGCTGGCGGAATACAAAAGTACAAGGGTAAAATATTGTTCGACACGGTTGCCGCGAATGGAAAGCTTTATCGATAACCTTACCTTTCGCCTACGCTGTCCTGACCATCTATCGACTCCTCTCTTTTTATTACCTATCTCTTTGTCCTGCCCAGTGTAGGATTAGTTCACCTTTCACATTCATTTTGTTGGTTTCATATCGGAGTTGTGGCCTTTATTGGAGTGGGTTTTTTTTGTTGTGTGTTTTGGTCGGCGAGAGTCGGGTCTTGCTGGGTTGCATTAACTGAAGCGCATTTGTCTCGGAGTGTTTATACCCTGGCTGTCTTCAATCTTTCTCAACTGGGATACTTTCTTTTTACAACTTCCGATTCTGTCCATGTGCACAGCAGTGCACAGAACACAGCGCATATAACAGCATATATTGGTCAAGGGGTAGGGCCCATGGTATGTTCATTAGGATTGGATGATACTTTGGAAGGTTTGGTTTATACCTTAGATTTCGTTTGCTTTGTTTTACACCGTTCAGGCTTGGCACTCTGCCCTGAATGGATTCTAGAGTTCAATAAGAAGTCTCATATCATTTAAGCAAGAAGAGCCAAGTCTTTGTTGTTCCTTGGGATTTGTGCTGCTTGTTTTCACATACCTTGATGTTTCATTCAGCTTTTGACACCCCTGATACTAACAAAGGAGCGCAACAAAGAGAGCCTGAAAAAAAGGGTACGTGACTACCTCTTGTCTATAGACTCCAGACACTGACTTCTTTCACCAGCCGCAATGAGCTCATAATACCCATTATCCTATTGTAGCAGACATATCTACTTGAAGCTGCATTGACACCAAAAATGCTTTGAGGTAATGAACAATGACTTCTCTCTCGTCCAAAGCTCGGCTGTTTGAGCCTCCTCTTTGACAATTGTTTCAGATAGCGTCTGCATATTGTCTACCAAGCTCGGATCCTTCATCTTATTCCTCATTTCAAAGCAGATCATGAAGATATTGGCTTCTATGTGGGAAAGATGTTATATAGTCGACTGCAATCTCGAGTCCTTAACCTCAAATGCATTTCCGGCAAAATTACTTTCTCATTCCAATCCCTGTCCTTCGGATGATACCTTTGCACAATAGCACCCGTTTACAAACCGAATCCCACTACTAGCATTACACTCAGTGAGTTTATCAGCATGGTTACCACTAGGAGCAGAGCCACGGCTGGCCCCAACGCCAGCAGCAGCCAAGCACCGACTAAGAAAGCGACCACTCAGGCTGGCCTTGGTGTGACATCTGAAAAGGAGACTGCTCGACGAAAGCAGCAACGGCGTGGAGTGAAACTGAAGGTGCACCCGAGAAAGCAAAAAGACATGAGGTTCCGCGAATTCCCTCCTGATGGAGATTTTGCGGCCGAAATTCGGAAAAAATACAAGAAGGTCTTGAGAAATCAGCGGTGTGACCGTTGCAGATTGATAGGTTTCTCGTGCACCAAAGAGTTTGATGGTTGTCAATCTTGTAAGAAGATCGGAGCCCGCTGCACAGTTACTGACTTGCGCCACGACACGACTTATGTCAGGGGCGTTTCTGCTCTTCCCCCACTGGAACAGATTCAGAACAATATGTTGGAGAACCGGATAAAAGACCTAACGAAACAAATCTTCGACTTGAAGAGTTACTTAAAGTATGACTCGGAGGCGCAAGCGCTCAACGATCTACGCCAGGAAAACGAGCGTCTGCGCGCTGAGAACGAACGATATCGATCAATGTCTATGTCTACAACTGCTGTCACTGGAGCGGCCTTTCAGACGGAAGAAAGCAGGCTGACCCGTCCAAGCTCGATGTTGGCAGACGCACCATTCGCTACACAGCAGCTAGATCTCGGCGGGAATCCATACACACCCGCCGCTCATGCTGATATCACCAACGACAGGGCCGGTACCACTGCCAACCCTATTACCCTTCCTACGTGGGCTCAGCCTGCCCCGGGGGGCTACGTTGCCGACCCCGGATACATACCTGGGGTGACGAATGCTTTCTCCGGACCAGCAGCAGAACCTCTCCAAGGATACCAAGAAACCCAGAGCCACGGCTATCCGGGGCTTGCAATTGATCCAGGACTACTAGCGGACCCAACCGCGAGAGAGGAAGGGCAAGAGTTAGTTACCCAGCCGTTCCTCGACTTTGTGTCCGGTGACGAGCAGGCGAACAAACAAGCGAGCGCCAACGATTTCAACAGTGTTGACGCTGGAAATTATCCAAATGAAGAAGACGTAGTCGACGATGACACTTTGTTTCATGACATAATGTGGGATCAGTGAATTGCTTTCTTCTGCTCCTCATGGGCACTATATATCAGTGATTGTTATTTTCTCTTGCTTGTATTATTTATTATATTAGAAACTTGATTAATAAGGCGTATCGTTTGTTCACAAGGGGTATCTATCCCAATAATAGCTCTGTGTATGCAAGTCAAAATAAAAGGACCACCGGAGATAATACACTAGTTATGTGGACGCCTGCAGCCAAGGCTTAAGATCGCAATTCTGAGAGCAAAAAGCAACCTCTAAAAATGGCCCATTTTCTTGACTTTATAGCAACAGCAAATGCCTTTGCTTTCACACCACCGACGAACAAGGCCTGCATCAACTTCTCGGTCTTCATGTACAAGACTGAGACCCTCGGTGTTCAACCAAGCAGTGAAATCTTCAAGGTATATAGGATCGTACATGAGGATCTTCTCGTGCCAGCTAGGCCTTGGGTATGAAGTCCCATCCTGAGGCTGCGCACGCACGGCCTTTGTGATTGAGTCGCTGAACTCGAGCAGTAATTTCTCGTCGGTGTTAACCTTCGAGCTAAATGAAGTAAGATAAGTAGTAGTGGTAGCCGTGGTAATGGAAGTTCCGTCGAGTTTGCGGTTGCTGGACACGGGTCGACTTGGGGTTGGGCTCGATGGTATTGTCGACGTGGGTAGCTCGCTTTTGGTTTCCCGCGATAGGCCGGAGAGCTGGGTTTGGAGCTGGCTTGGGGATGGGAGTAGCTCATCCTCGGAATCTTGGATTTCTTCTATATCGACGAATGATCGGATTGATGTTTGTTGTTGACTCGCTTTGTCGCTGGATGTGCAGATCTTGTTATCCTGATCATTATCCAGATGCGTGACTGGTTGGCTGCTCTTGGTCACTGCGCCAGTGACAGTATCAGCTTTTGCCTTTGTGAATTTGAAGCTGACTGGCTGAGACTGATCCTCCTCTTCCTGTGAAGATTTTCGAAGCTCTTGGGGTGTTTTCTTAGCTTCTTGCGGCCTAGACAAGGCAATACCCTGGGTTGAGGATTCGGTCTTTTGCAGATCGTCGCCCTCTTCCTGATTGTTTCGTCCATGCTGAGCTGCCCAGCATTTTTCTAGAACCTCGATCATCTTCTTGCGATTCTTGATCGCTTTCAGGCCGCTGCTTTTGATTTTCTTTGCCAGCTCAGTGTCTGTGAGTTCCATGTAATCTGGCATTGAAGACTTCAAGGCAACCCTGGGCTCATCAGACGTCTGTTCGACAGCCTGCGTGAATGAGTCAGGTAGCCTCTCAACACAAGATACAACATCAGGCGCTACTTCTTTGGCTGGTAGTTGATCGCACCTATTACCAGCATCGTGAGTCGTAATTTGTTTCTCCATCTCATTGGCGCCGCTGGCTGGCATATTTATTGTCTTGGTCGCTTCAGGGGTGTCAAGCAGCTCAATGACCTCGACATCTCTCAACAATCCTTCCGAATCTCTTGCCGCAACTGCCCACATATTTTTCGATGGGTTCGTAATATGTGACACGCTAGTGGACTGTGCTAGCTCTTTTTCTTGTGTCTGATGCGACAAAGAAGCAAAACCATCCTTCTCGGATTCTCCGACTGCGATCTGCGTCTCCTGTGACAAAGTAGGAGAGTCTGATCGCTCGAGCTGGCTACACGTCCCAAAAACAAGATCCTGATCATCCAACGACTTGAGTGCTGCCTCGGGAGAAAGCACAATGACAGTTGGCACCTTTATCCTAGCGTTTGCTGTCTTTTTTGGTTTGACGGGCGCAATAAAGGCTCCAATATCGGTCGACCCGGCAGATTCTAGATAAGGAGCTGTCACACGAGCTGTTAAGGTAGTAAACTTTTTAGGCCGCGGGTTTGACTTCTTGCTTGACTTTAAGTCTGCAGGCATGTTGGCATCTTTAGGATCGTTGCTCGATGATTTTGATCTCGGAGCAATAAAGTTCGAGTCCACAAGCTAAATGCACGATTAGCATCTACCACCATCACAACACTTGACTAAGATATAGCAAATACCTCTATTCGCCGGCGCTTAATTGGGCCATTAGCTCCAAGGATCTGAAATTTATCCGAAGCAATGGGGACTTCGTCGTATTCGTAGCCGGACAGAATAGTCCCCAACTTGCTTTGGCCATTTCCAGCGTTGTCCCTATCTTCTGGGGCAACAGACGGAGAATCAAGATCCTTTGCCGGTGTCCAATCCAGCCTTCGTTTTAGGGCGGGTTCGAGATGTAGCTCTGTGTCATCACCTTCAGCACTTCGTCTGCGCGTTTGCCGCGGTGTCGAGGGACAATCTGCAGGCTTCGCGTCCGACTCTTTAGGATTCCTCGCTCGCGGTTTTGTTATCTTCCCAGTTATGGTCTTGTTCTTTGTTTTTTGGCTTCCGGTGCCGTCTTCGGCTCCTTCTTTCTTGGTTCGCTTCGCTTTCCGTGACGCATTGCCCTCGTTTTCCACCTCGACCAAGTCCAAATTGGAGCCTGCTGCTCGCTGTACGACAGTAGGCTTCCTTCCTTTCCCTTTTGGTGCAGTACTCGAAATAGCGGGAGCTGAGTCTTCAGCTGCTGTCTGTCCCTCCTTCGTTATCCTGTCTTTTGTATTCGGCGGATTGTGATCCAAGACCGCAAAGAATCTGGAACGCGACCGGGGCCCGAGTATTGATCCAGTCGACGATGGCACTGGAGACGAAAAGGCGGCGCGTGGCCGTTGTCGTCGTCCCTTTTCCGTAACCGCGGCCAACGGTGGCGGATTGCGAATTGCATTGCGCTCGGGCGAGGAGGAGAGGAGGATGAGATCTGAGTGCATGGCGGGGCTAAGAATGAGCGAGATGACAAGTCAAAAACATATCCAGCGCCCATATGATTATAGACCCATGCTGGATGTTTTCAAAAGCTTTCAGACACAAGGCGAAGTTATCGATCTTGAGGAGGCTGAGAAAGTGCTGGCCGATAAGGACTGTTATCGGTCTTGGCAAGTTTGCAATACTGCCGGTTAGGATGTCACTTGGTAGGCGGGGCAACCAATAATGGATCCTCAGCATCACACGTATGTATCATGAGCGCGGCCTGCTAAAAGACTGCTCGAGATTCCAGATGAAAGAACATCTCTCTCCAGTATTCCATTTCGGGTTCTACGGGCCACACTAATTTTTCTGATCGATCCAGGTCATGTGTGGTTGCTAGAATTGCAGAGGGACAGGACCTGGCTTCTAGGCAGATCGGCGAATCAAGGGCCTGCAAGTCCGAGGTATTAGCCTCATAGACACCTCAGCCGTAGTATAGCTTCCTCCAAAGTTTGGAGTGCTGTTCCGGGGCTGCCCTTCCGAATGGTGGTCTAGCTGACTCCTTCAACAACTGGGTATCCGACAGTAGTCCGAAACATGACCTGGGTGGAAGGCTCTAGTCGCCTACTCCAATGAAAGCATCATGTGGCCCCCCGCAGTGCAATAGCTCCCAACACAGAAAGTTCAAGACGTCTCTTCCCGTCGTTATGAGCGCCATTCGCCTGGTTTGAGGCTGCCGAAGGCAAAGATCCTAGTTTATAAGCTTTTTTTATTTTAGCGACGTCGGAAACTCGGGCGAGTGCCGCATCGGTGAATGGTATGCTGGATCCCTGGACATGCTGTGCCAGATGCGCAGCGACAGACTCATGCGTCATGTTGGGAGTCATAGAAACCTTCACCACCAGTAGGTTACATGTGCTATCACTTATACCAAATTTTCGAAACGAATCGGCTATCTGATGTCGGTCAGCACAAAGTAGAACCAGGTCTGGCTGTAGCTCGACGTACGTTGTTTGTTGGGCTCAACGAGAAGACAATTTCCGAGTGAACGTTGCGGGACTTGAGGCGCTCATTTGAATAGTCGTTGACTGCGCGAAATATGGCCGCTACTGCATGCGCTCGAGACAGAATCTGTGAGGGTCAGTATGAGATTGACGGCCGAAATAAGGTTCAATTGCTCCTACCATGGTTGCATCAATAAAAGCATATTCAAACTCGGCATTCGCAGATAGCAGCTGTTGCCGCAGATATGAAGCATTTTGTACGTCCTTATATAGCGCAACGTGGACGGCCAGCGACGAGGGCAGGTGGGGTAGATCGATGGTTTCCAACGACACAGTCATTGTTGTGAAAGGTCGATTGGGGGCTGCTGTAGCTGTCGTGGTAATTATGGATGGGCCAAACAAGCGAAGTACTGCAATCCCAATCCTTGCGTAGAGACGACGTCCGTTATTGCCGGCGAAACCTTTAATATCCTGAGTTCTGCGAGAAACCCCACGATAAGATGCCGGAGTTAACTTGTTAGGGCCGGGGCTTAGTTAATCGGGTCCCGTGACCAATCACTTCTCGAACGTTCGGGGTACTCGCCATCAGTGATATCACCTCCGCGCCTCGCCTTTTAATCGTCCCCTTCGCCATCAGTATCACATCCACATCGACATCGCAGTCATGGCGCTCTTCTTACGGCGCCCCTTTGCCGTGCCGACGGCTCTTCGTCAATTACCCAAATCCACAAATGCCGCCCGATTCATCCATAACTCTCCGTTCAAGCCGGTCCAGCCGAAGCCCGTTTCTCCCGCCTCATCCTCTATTTTCGCCAAGTCACGACAGACATTCCAGAATGCATTTCGCCGCACATACATGCAGCCTACGTACAATGCCTCGCAGGGTGATTTGACCCAAAAGCTGATTTACGGCGCCGCCATCATCGGTGGAACAATTCTGGCAACAAACTTGATCTTCAACCGAGAGACAAGGGAAGATGGTGGAATGCCGCATTACGAGCGAAGCTATCTGAACGAAACATTTTTGCACACTGGACTTGGTGTTGGAATTATTGGTATCGCTGCTAGAGCTCTGCACTCGAGTGGATGGTCGTATCGTCTAATGGCCACCAACCCTTGGGCTGTTGCCGGCCTCGGACTGGTGGCGAGCATTGGAACAATGTACGGAACTTTCTACACTTCTCCGGACAAGTAAGTTAACATCCATACGCTGAAATGCGATCAGCGAGCTAATAATTTCATAGCTATGTGATGAAGTACAGTCTCTGGGCTGGGTTCAACCTCACCCAGGCTGCCCTTCTTTCTCCATTGATGTTCATGCACCCGGCGTTGCTTGCTCGTGCTGGTCTCTACACCGTTGGAATGATGGGCTCGATTGCTTTCGTTGGCGCCACTGCTAAGCAGGAGAAGTATTTGTATCTAGGTGCCCCCCTCCTCGCTGGTGTCACCATTGTTGCCCTTTCCGGATTCGCGCCTCTTGTCCTTCCCTCCACCGCCACTCGTGCTCTGATGTGGTCTGAGAAGATCTGGCTGTACGGCGGCCTCGCTGTCTTTGGAGGCTTCACCCTATACGATGTCCAGAAGATTTTGCATCACGCCCGTATGGCTCAACAAGGCCTTGTCCGCAGGGATGTCGTTAACGAGAGCATCAGCCTCGAGTTGGACTTTATCAACATCTTTGTCCGCATGGTCCAGATTCTGGCTTTGCGCAACAACAACCGAAGATAGAGAAAGACCTTTCCTTGTCAATGGTTGTACTAGGGGTCATATGGTGTTGCTTATTCGCTTGGGATGTAATGATAGGGTGCATTAAGGAGCTTTTCTAAGTCTAATTTTTGATATGTGATTACTTACCTTCCATCTTCGGCATCGCGGATTCCTATCAATCTTCATTGAAATCGCCGCTCAAATTATGAACTGGCAAAAGAAAAAAAAGAAAAGGAAGAAAAGCCAACATTTCTCACATTTCCTGATCTCTACTACAAAATATGATAAACCATGCTGTGTAAATCTAATTAATACTCGCAGAGTTGTTTTACCTACGTAACTTCAAGGTTGGAACCCTATATGCCTAGAGCAACCAGCCCTAACAACAAGGCAGCCAATGCCAGCCAAGAACCCCCATCTACCCGCGTTCCCAACGCACCAGTCGACGCCTCATCCTTCGTCGAAGGTGGCGTATAGCTCTTGTTAACAAAATCCAAATAACTTACCTTTGCCTCCTGAAACCCACAAAGCCCGCTTCCCTTCATGAGGGCCTCGGGGTACAAAACCCTCGGCTCACCCTTATCCATGTCGAGCCTTAATTCTCCCATATCATTAACAGTCCACGTGCGGCAACTCAACACATCCATAACCACATATGAAGGCTGGTAGCCGTTCATCATGCGGATTGTATATGCTCCGCTGTTACTCCCTTGTGTTGAGAGGACCATCACGACGTGTCGGCCCTCGCGGCCCTTGCGGAAAGCCATTTCTGAGGAGCCCCGATAAATGGGATAGGTTTGGGTAGAGATGTAGTAGTCGGGGTCGATCTGAATGGCGTGTTTGCGGAGTTTGTTGAGGGTAGCCGTCAGCTTGTAGAGTGGAGAGGAGGTGTTGTAGGAGGAGAGCCAGAGGGCTTCGCGGTTCTCGGGGTCACGGGCGCCGTTGAAGTGCTGTTCTTGGCCTTGGTAGATTATGGGGATGCCGTCAAAGAGGAGAGTGAATGTGAGGATATTTTTGGCGAGCTGAGCTCTAAGATTAGCATGTATAGATCAAAGGAAACGGCGACTTGGGACGAGAGAATCAGAGCCTACAGTGATGTCGTCTTTCATGCTTGCAAAGCGAGCGATGTCATGATTTTCGGAAAATATCGTTAGGGATGTTATATTGGGACATGAGTTCTTCATGATCTCTACTTGGTTTGGGAGAATGTCGGTGTTTCCACGGGTAAAGGCATCCAGAAGGGCGAAATAGATGGGATAGTTGGTGACGCTGCTGATATCTTTTTGGTAGTTGCAGACGATGTCGACGGACTTCTCGAATACCTCGCCTGTGATAAACGTGTTGGCTGCCTCTTGAAACTTGGGAAGAGATTCTGGCGTGATATGTTTTGCTGCGTCGAGCCGCAATCCGTCGATTGAGTAGGTCGTGATCATTTCCTGGATCCACATCCCTAGTATATTCTGGACTCGCTCGTCTTCTGTCTTTAGATCAGGAAGCGAAACAATGTCATCTCCTGTCCAGCATCTCTGGGCCAGCGGATAATCGTTCCAGTCAGTGATCTTGCAGTATGGGTGATAAAAGTCTGGACGATTGAATGGGTTGAGAGAGGTATAGTTGACATCAGTTGCTGGGTTGCCACCATTGGTCAAGAAGGCCATATTATTTATGACGGTATCCATCATGAAAAACATCCCTCGATCGTGAAGCGCTCTACTCAAGTCTAGTAGGTCTTGACGAGTGCCAAAATGCGGGTTGAGGGCGTACATATTCTCTGCCCAGTAACCATGATAGGCCTCGCCATATGGAGCCTTTCCTTCAATGTTCTTGATGATGGGGGAGATCATAACAGCATCGAACCCCATTCCCTGGATGTAGTCCAGATGATTGATCATTCCTCGCCACGTGCCGCCACAGTATACACCATCTGCTGCCTTGCAAGCATACGTTGTTGATCCATCAGTACGAGCGAAACGGTCGGTCATGGTTTGGTAGATAGACCTCGTTTTCCAGGCTTCTGTGTGAGCTGCGGAGGCCGATATAGGTAGCGACACGAGTGTTGTAGAGCTGAGCCACTGCATTAGATAAGTAGCTGGCCGCATATTTGACCGTAAGATAAAAGAAAAAAAGGAAGTATGTATATTTAGCTCCGCTGGTGTCTAGCGAAATTGGAGAGATTCCCCACGGCGAAGTAAATAGCTGGGGATTGCTGAATGGAACTAAAGAGCAAGTGCGTAATCGGTAGAAAGAAGCGACAATCCACAATTGGAATGAAAGAGTTTTTGTCAATGCTGTTGGAGGCCTGGAAGAACAAAGGTGAGCTCAACCCAGGCCAACGGGATGCGGCCGGTGGTAAAAGTTCAATCGCATTATGGCAGGGCGCCGCGAAAAGCAGGGACAGTAAAACCTGCATAGGGATGATATCCTTCTTTTCTTCTGGGTAAGGGATTCAGGAGCTATTCATAAACCTTGGAGGGCCTGTTCGTTGAATGTGTTACTGATAGCGACTATCAAAATGCGATCTGTAAATAGTCAATTCGTCTGGAAGGTAGCTAGGTGTCACTGCCAGCCAGGCTCATCTCATGTCTGCGTCCAATCGCTTAGCTAGTAGTAATAGAATATAATGTCAGTAAAAACTTACCGAGCATCGGATTGTTGCTCATCAGTGGGGTGGGAAGGAGGGGCTGTATCCCTACCGAATGCAAGGCATGGGACGGTAGATTTTCTCCCCGGTAACTAGAAGACAGAAGAGAATAGAAACCAATGCCTATCCCCATGTCAAGGCTACTGAGTACAGGACGTAATAAATAGTGACAATCCATTGCCTCTATTGTTCCCATGAAGTTACCCACAGCAATTGAATCTCAGTACTCGTTAAAATTCATCGAAATCATCAGACATAAGAGCCCGTCTTTCGCTTCCCAAGCCCCAGAGCGCCAGGTATCTAAAGACAATAGCCAACTAAATACGCCAAGTTACAAGTAAGCCCCCATCTGCTTTTTCAAGAACAACCAATACAGTTGAGCACACGTCTTGACACAGACAGACCCTGTTCAGCATTTGATAAAAAGCGCCTTCTTCTGGGCCGCTTTCTTTGCCTTCTTCTTCTCGATAAGAAGGTGCATCTCCTTCTCTTCATCAGGCGTAGTGCTCGGCGAGGTTTCCCCTTCCTTCTTAGGCATCAGACTACGTTCAATCTCTCTCCAGTCGAGACCCGCAACCTTGGGTGTCCTTCTCAGATTCACCAAATGGCACCAATTTTCCGGAGTGATTCTTTGAAACGTCTGCAGGATGAGCGCAACTGTTTTCCAGCCCACGGTGCGTTCAGCTGGAAGAAGAAGCTCAAGGTGTTGCTCAGACCATCTGCACATGTAAAAGTCATTGTAGAGTCTGCTGTCGAAACGGTTGGCTGAAAAGCCCTGGCATTTCTCCTTGAACAGCATCTTGCTCCTGCCCTCCGCTGCACAGGTCGAGGTCCGCACTCGCATCGAGAGGAGGAGGTTGTTATTCGGGAGGCCTTTGAGATTCAGGAACCGCATCTTCTTCGTGTCAAGTATCAAGCAGATCGAGTAAGAGCCTTTAGGGACGGTGGGATCTTCGATTGTTTCGCGAAGGGACATGGTGTTTCCGATCAGGTCAAATACCACGTCGAGCTGCGCATTGGGCTGGTCAAGACGGCAAAACTCCTTGGACGTGGAGCCACGGATGACGAGTTCGAGCTTTTGGAAGCCTTTTTTAGGGCGCGGATGGCAAAGGCATTTTGGGTTGTCGCTATGAGAAGGGCTTTCGTGAGAATCCAAAGCTATAGGGTGGGTTGCCCGAGACTTACCACAACATGTTGCAGAATCAGGTCTTGAATCACCAGTATGCAATGCCTCTATGGCGTGGAGCTCATTTGGATCTGTTCAATTTCCGGCGAGAGGCGAGTAGGAAGAGGTCAGGATAGAAAGTGAGTTCAAAAGCGTCTGTTGCTATGGTGAGTAACATGATGCCCACTGGACTCAAGATTTCTGAGTGACTCGTCTAGTCTATTCTTGCAGAGGTAGCACATACTCTTCGTCTTGAAGATAGTCCTCCACCTCGTACAGGTACAATGATACGCTTCGAGAAGATCCGTACTTGACCTCACAACTTGAGCAGAAGTTGTGAAGATAACCCTCCTTCGGCATACAAATTAATTCATCTAAAGACAGCTGCTCTCTTGAGTTTCTATAGGGGCATATGCGTTGGCCCAGGTGGAATTCAATGTTATTCCTGTGTGCTAGATATTCGCTCACGGCTCGATCCATAAATAGACACAACACATTCACCTCTACATCTAAAAAGGGCTTATAATCCAGTTAGAATTAGACCAGCTCTGAAGGCACTCAGGCTGAACTCTCTCCTTCTGTTTCTTGTGGAATTTGGTATCTAACAACTGGAAGAAATCGTTCAACGCCATTTTGTGTTGGCCGCGGGTGACTTTATCAACATCCAGACTAGGGCTTTCAGTGGATGCGCAACTTAACTTTCTTTTTGCAACATGCTAGTACTCCGTATATCCTTTTAATAGTTTGTTTATGAAAGCTACGGCGTTTTGCAAGTTCATCACTGTACTACGTACATACCAATGATTGTCGAGTTCAACCAGAGCTGTTCTGTTATTATGCAAAGTTTGGAAGCCTTGACTTCAATAGTCCATATACCTACATAGTAAAGAGACCTAAGAATCTTCGAATCCCTTTTGAATCATGTTCCGACACTGATTGCAATCATTTCGAAGACAGCTCAGAGCAGTTTCTATGCATGTGATTACATAAGCATGCCAAAGCTCTTGGTCGATCAGATCTCCCAGTCGCAACCCAAGCCCAATCTCACAAGACATTCCAGTGCTCGCTGCCATCTCTTTTCCCCCGTCTTCATCCACTTCGTTTCACTTCTTGAAGTATCATTATCACTAGCGCCGATATGTCTGGGGAAATGGAAGTCGACCCTCCAATCTCGCAGGAGCAAGCCCTCGAACCACAAACCACCAGCGGTAGCGACCCACGAACAGAGACTGGCGCTGTTGCGGTACGCAGCATTGAAGGATGGATTGTGCTGGTGACGAACATTCATGAGGAGGCGTCCGAAGAGGACGTGACAGACCTGTTTGCAGACTACGGCGAGATCAAAAACTTCAGTCTGAACCTTGACCGGCGAACTGGTTACGTGAAAGTATGTATGATAGCTTTCCGCGACGGCTCTTCTTCAAGCAACGGGTGCCTATTTCGTATATCTGCTAACTCGCTTTTTCTCTTAGGGGTATGCCTTGATCGAATACTCGACTCTTCCCGAAGCGACAGAAGCCATCAAAGCTCTGAATGGAACTAAACTGCTTGATCAAACAATTGAAGTTGACTACGCATTTGTCCGACCACCTCCAACAAACAAAGGGAAGGCTGGGGGAAGAGGCGGTCGCGGCGGACGAAACCGTAGCCGGAGCCGTGATAGGAGCCGCAGCCCTGGCGCTGAGGGCGAGAGGGAGTAGTTGCATGCAATACATGACGCTCAACCGATTCGCCATTCTACCCCAATCCATTGTCTATGAATTGAGATGAGCTTGCTGCATGTTTTTTTCTCTCGGTTCATCGTTCAGCCACTCGCTTTCTTTTGGCTTCCGTGGTCGAATCTGGAAGTGGAGGAACCAAATGTCGGCGACGTCTCTCCCGGACACCTCGGTGATCGCTGCGCCAGGAGTTGAAAACCTCGTGGCCGGCAGTATTTCCTGGCCTTACCTGGGGCATTCGTGAGATGCTTCAGTTGAAAGCGTGCCAGGGCCTACTTGCCGGCATCATGTATAATGATTGGCAAGGTATGGTTCGTTTGATCGTTGTCTAATCACTTTTACTAACGTGCGAGACAGAAAGACCAATCTGAATTCAAGAACACATCAAAGCATCTTCAGAATCTACCATTTTAGTCTCGAGTTTTCCCCGCGTGATCCCCACACAACCCCCAAAGCGTCGTGTGACTCGATGCTAAAGTTTTCTTACCTTTCTCTACATCCGCATATAAGCGCTCGAACAGGGACCTTGTAGTTCTCTTCGATGCATCACCCTACATTCGACGAATAAAGCACGAAATTACCCCTACTCATGTTGGCACACTGCAGGCGAGGCTGAAGCCGCGTGATACTAGTGCCAAGCACCGCTTGAAGGGTGCGTAGAGTGTAGACAAATGAGTGAGCGATACAACATAATACTCAGTAATTGACACTGTCAATTATATAGCAAGGCAGCATTCCCTATTGTCCTTCGAGTCAGGCGAGGCATTCCGGTGACGTCGGGACAACCGAAGTACCCCAGCAGGGGGGACGGGACAAGACAAACGAAACGGACTCCAAGTTTCTCCCCGCTTCTTGACATTTCAATCTTGCCCGCCTCCACCCACGACCATTGCATGCATGGCGGATTCAGGGGAATGCTGAAGATATGTGAGAAGATTCCCCTGACCTCCTCGATTGCACACGGGTAGCCTTTCTTTTCTTTCTACGCTCAACCATCATAACCTGGGATTCTTGTCTTCAAGTTCTCTGGGCATCTTATTTCGCTGACGACATCGACCGTCCTATCCGCAAGATTTTCAGGCCCAGGGAAGAGCGCACACAGGATTTCGTCACGATGGCTTCGCCGCTTTACTCGCTTTGGGGAATTCTGGTGTTATGCTATTTGCTTGCGTCCGAGAGCCATGCGCGGGTCCTGTTACAAGGCGCATCCCCACCTTTCTCCCCGCACGCTCAGATCCACGAGGATAGCCAGCAGTTACCTCTCACCACCACCAAATCCAAGCAAACACTACGCGACCTGGTGAACGCTCTGGATGTAATGCAGGATACCTGGTTTGAGCTATGGCAGGGCACATGGCCAACCGGCAATGATTGGACTAGAGCTGTTCATGGGACGCACGTGTCCGCCACGCTCTCCTCGTTGACTGCGACAACGGACGATGCGCTGCTGGCAACCTTGTTGAGCAATACTGGCGAGGATGGAGGGAACCTTGTTGCTCAGAGCTCTGTGGCTCTTGAGAACCTTGTCAGTCATTTCTTTACGCATGTGCAGACGTTCTACTTTGGAGAGCATAGCTTCGCGCTCAGGAACCAGGCGTTTGATGATATGCTATGGGTTGTGCTTGACTGGCTAGAAAGTATCAAGTTCGGGGTACTGCATTCCGAGCTACACTATGAGGGCAAGGCCTCTAGAACTGGCGACCGGCCGTGGCATGGGACGCAATTCCGGACGCCAGCTGCGCACCGGGTGCGGGTGTTTTATGATCTCGCCTCGCAGGGGTGGGATACATCCCTCTGCGGAGGCGGAATGATCTGGAACCCATATCTGGGTCCGTATAAGAATGCTATCACGAACGAACTGTATATATCGGCTAGCATTGCGATGTACCTATATTACCCGGGCGATCGAATCGATGCGCCCTTTGTCGTCGAGGGAGAGTCTGCAGACGGTCTTCCCCACGACCCTCTCTATCTACGTACGGCGGAGGAGGCGTACCGGTGGCTCCGCAACTCAAACATGACGGGAATCTTCAACTTATACGGAGATGGATTCCACATCCGTGGCTATCAGGACCCGCAAAATCCCGGAACGCGCAAGTGCGATGTACTTAACACAATGGTATACACTTACAACCAGGGTGTGATCCTCAGCGGGCTAAAGGGCCTGTGGCTGGCTACGGGGTCGGAAGCGTACCTGAGTGACGGGCATGAGCTCCTGCAGAATGTGCAGAGGGCGACAGGTTGGCCCAATATATATGACCAACAATGGAAGGGTCTAGGCCGCGCAGGGATCCTGGAAGAAGCATGCGATTCGCACGGCGACTGCTCCCAAGATGGCCAGACATTCAAGGGAATCTTCTTCCACCACTTCACCGAGTTCTGCCGCCCTCTGCGCCCGCAGGAGCTGCGCTTCCTCCGCACCCAGGCGTGGGCGCAGAGCCGTGGCTGGGAACGCTCCTTCGAGTGGCACCAAACTCTGTGCAGCACATACCGGCCCTGGATTGAGCGCAATGCAGAAGCAGCCCTAATTACGCGGAACGAGGAGGGAAAATTCGGCATGTGGTGGGGGAAACGCTATGGGGTTTTCGACGATGAAACCAGCAGCAGCACGCATAGTAGCCCTTTGCCAAATGGGGCCACGGACTATCGTAACTACCCTGACTCGGCTCCGCCATACTGGTGGAAGAACGAGACGGCAGCAATGGTTCAGCAGCTGGGGACAGCGAATGCCCAAAATGGCCAGCCAGAGTACAACGATCGGGGCCGTGGCCGCACCGTCGAAACCCAGTCTGGCGGTGTCGCTGTTCTACGTGCGTTGTATCAATGGAAAACGACACCATCTTTGTCAGGTGATCATATATAGGTGGAATATACTCGAGTCGGAGGACACGCATACATACAACATACTACGAACATATCTTGGCGTTCACATCCATTTCTGGTATTCACTGAGTATCTACATTCTACTCACTGCATATTATGGTCTTTATCCTATTCTGTCTACAGTTTCGATACCGTTTATTCTACTTTTTGGCGTTACTATCCTTCCGATCCCCAAAGCTCCAGTCCAAGCTGGCAGCTAACACATAGATAGCCATCACTCAGCCATTATTGAATCAATTTAATAAATCTCCACTTGTCTTGTTCTGGTAGGCAAAAACCCGTCTCCATAATTACCGCACCCTTGGAACATCGCTCATCGAGCACCTGTTAATCTGCACCGTCGTTGGGCCGGAGCAAATCTTCAAAGACAATCCGCCCCTTTGGGGGGAATCCTTCGGCCCTCGGAGCTATGCTTGACTCGGTTAGGGATCGGAATACCCTGGGCACACGAGGCCGCAAACGTGGATCTCATGCGATCATGCTAGATAATTTATTACTGGGGTTGCATGGGATAACGTGTCAGGCTCGTGAGCTGTTCATCTGTTGGAACTAGTTTTGTTTGTGTTTGCGTATGCTCGACGGCTTCAACCGGGGTTGCGAGGGAGGATCTAAGGACCAGTTGTCCGTATATTTCCAGGAGACGAGGAAGAAGAGGTAAATGTATTTCCGAAAGCTTGGCAGTCGCACATGGATGTAATCAAAATGCGGTCTGACTACTCCGTGATCCCACCCATCCGCACCGCAACTTGGCTTCCGTTCTTGCGCAACGCCTTAGCCGACGCTTATGAAGTCTCGGACAATATCTCCCATGTGCATTCAGCTGGACTTGACACGAGCATCACCAATCGAAAAGCTTCTCTTGTCTTGTCCTACTCCCAAAAGCACCTCCTGCACCTCTACTAGTACACGGCCCAGTCCTCCCGAGTCTCAGGACCAGGTATCGAATCGGTAGACTTAGTCGCCCTTCGAACTGGCCCTGTAGTGGTACAAAGTCGGTGAAAAGGAAGGGTGGCTGCATCGCGGAACCGGCTTTCAAACCCCGGGCTTGTGTACCCATTTGACGGTTTTGAATGCGACTGGGTACTGCAGTAAGGTAGGTGGACATAGATATGTAACCAGTAGTAGTACCTAGTTGTTGTTGTAGTGACCGCACCAGTCACAATGTACTGAGTACTCCGGACTCTGAGTCTGCCAACTAGAAAAGAAGACTACCCCCGTACGTCCAGTTCATTGGGTTGACGTCCGTCTCTCCACTGTTTCATCCTCCATTGGAAGAAACTGAAGCTTTCTTTCATCAACGGCAGAGCGGAGAATAACTGTAATATTAATGGGCAGTTTTATTATGGTACGGGTGTCGTTTTTACCTTCCTTAACGGGCCAACCGGCTCCTTCTCAAATAGCTCCAGAAGACTATTAGAAAACATCAAGAACCCACCGATCTCATCATGCAGAATCAGATGGAGATGAGGACGGCATTCTGAAATGGTGCAATACAATGGAAATGCCGGAAAAAAGCAAGTACCCTTCCTAGCTAAAAACTAGGGTCTTGAAGGAGTAGTCTCACGTTGCCCCGTGGGAGCCTTTTCAGAGAAATTCTTCTCTTCAAGAGGAGATCATTGGATCCCATGGGGAGATTTTCCTCAATTGAAAGGATTGATTGGTTGTGTCGCGTCGCGCGTCTTTTGATTTTTCGCTCTTTCCATGAGCCTGTGATGGTGGGGTTTTATGTTTTCTCCTTCTTAATGTTGGGTTGTTGTCTTCACCGATTTTTGGTGATAGGTTGGTCAGTTACCGGACGGAGTATGGGTTGGCGATCAAGGACCTAAGACGGTGGATTCGAGCAGAGGCTCCCGTACTGTTGAGCTGATGGAGACATTCGATATCAGGCTGTAGGGAGATGATGTATGTATGGAGTTGTATACTTTGCTTATACTCCATCCCGCTGGGATCTTCACCGGGTTGTCATCCATTGCTTTTTCGATAACAGGGTTGAATCTCCGGAGAAATAAATGATGGTGATAAGCCCAATGCGTGCAGATAATAGCGCTGCTAGTCTGGTTGAGGAGAGTGAGATAAGAATCCAGCGGCCTGGGCGTTAAGCCACATGTACAGGTGGGGTTTAGCAAGTGGTGCTATTCATTTTTGCGTGGCAGGGTTCAGCTCTCGCCTGCTATATTGTTATTCGTTACCTCCGGGTTACGCTACTGACCTACCCCTCGTGAACGTGACTGGGACGGTTGAGGGCAAGAAGAGACGGACGCGGGTACTCCGGCGAGAGACACTCGGCATCGTCAATTGAGCAAGTCATATTGTGACTTTGTGTAGCCTGAACTCGGGTCACCTCGAGGAGATGCTCCCGAAATAATATGGATGGTTTTGTTTTCATTGTTCACCAGAAGCGTTACTTTGTTTCTTCCGCATCGCAGGCTAAACTGAGCAGGATCAGCCTTATGGATGAACACGGGCTTCTTCCGAATTGGGGTTCGACAGATCATATCAACACCGAAAGGCAGCCTCCGTATGCCTGGGTTTGTTATTTGTCTGTCTTTTTCCTCTCGAGTTTCGATCGACTTCTTGAGACTGAGAGTTTCGGGAGTATACATAGCTCTGACATGTTTATCAAAAGGTGCAAGAATATCGATGACCAATCGCCAGCTTGCAAAAGGCAGTGTGGACAGGAGCCAATGGCCGTTTGCAGATCAGCACCGTTCTTTATCAAACAAGCAGGGATTATTCGCACTGACTTCATCACCTTGAGGAAGTCGGTCCCTTTCCACGGCGCTCCAGAGATCTCAGCTGAAGAAAGGGCCGCAGCGGCTGTAAACAAATAAACAACAGCAGCTGAACTCAGCCTCATGCTAGAAAGAAGGGAATGATTCTGATTTATCGAGCAGAGTATGGAACTAGGAAACGAGGAATGGCTGGTGGAGACCCTTGGGAGACCCGCGAGTCACGCGGCTGACCTTCTGGCTGTGATACCCAACCTTCAGGGGAACCTTACGTACGCTACCGCTCTGCTCCACCGCCATAGTCAAGACTGAGAGATTCAGTATGGTATGGTAAGCCGTAAGTACTATACCAGCCCTGACCGCCGTCGAGTCGCGTCTGTTGCGCTTCCAAGATCAAGGCTGATCAAACCTGGAAGTTGAAGTTTATGAAATGTCCCAAGGTTGGAGGGAGCAAGTCGGACGAGGATAGTCCAGCATAATTATACAGATTGAGGCCGAGACGATCACAACAGTGCTTCGAGAATTTGATATGTGCTTTCCGTCGGGCAAAGTCACCGTGACCTTGCCAAATTGAATGCGGGGTGAGGTAACGGCTTCAACTGGATCCTCTCTTGCTTCGCCCTCGCCTTGTCTTTGCTGACAGCTCCAATCTTCATTTTCGGAGTGAGGAAGAGGTCTCATGGGGGTGAGAGTACTCGTGTTCAGATGCGTTGGCAGTCAGGACATGCGATCCAGCAACAACTCGTGAGAGGGCGTGGTTCAGGCACCAAACAATTTCACGCTTTTCGATCGCATTTTCTAGCTTGCTTTTCCGCGAGGGAGCAGCCGGGGAAACATTCCGGTGGCCTGCCACCTGATGGGGCTCATGTATGTTGACACCGCGCCTGCAGAAGAAGAAATCACGATTCCTGAATCCTGGTCCCTAGCGGTGGAGCGATCACTGATCAGCTGCTTTTGTGTTGCCCCCAGCATACGGACAATGATCGAGCGCTGCCGAATGACGTAAACCATCGCCCCAGACATGGGGTGAGTTTTTGAAACATGTTCTGTTTCTTTTTTGCCAGGCTGAGCGGATGGTGACCGCGGTGCGCAATTCTCAATCTTTATCGGAAGTGTTCTGTTTCTTGTCAGAAAGCGGTGACGTTCGGAAATCTCCATTCAGAGGCCAGAAAAGCGTGTTTGAAAGACGTCAACGGACAAAGGCCAATGAGAAGCCTCAGCTATGATGTGCTCTGCCGTTGTGGTGCCAATCCTTCATCTTGGGCCTGCGAGGAGCAGCAAGCAATAATAATGAAGAGGGATGAGCTTTGAAGAAGCCCTTCAGAACTCCGAACTGCCCTCCAAGCCTCTCAGCGGGTTGGTCCAATGGAACCGCAAGGGACATAACGAACGGAAGTTGGAACAGGAACTTCGAAAGGAAAATCTGTTTCCCTTCTTCCAAGCTCCTTGACCACCATCGATCTTTGGTACCCGCTAATTTGGGTCGGCTTTTTGAGAGCCACTCCTGGCAGGCGCCTCCTGCACAGAGAACCGACGACCTGCCGTTTTCTCATTCCCTCACAATCCATCAGCCAAGCCAAAGAGCAGTGCGTGCGTGCATCTGATATGCATCTATCTGATACTCTCATCCTCTGGTGGAAAACTCGATATTCCTCCCTGTGATGATTGATCGGCGTGCTGGACCATCACATGGGGAATATTTTCCCAGTTTCATATTTCATCTTTCAACTCTCGCTGCCGTCTGCCGGCAGATCAACCATTAAATCAATCCTAAGTGTTGCCTCTGGAGGAATAGATCTCCAGTGGAGCGTACTCCGATAGAAAAGCGAAAGTCTCCCTGCCACTGTTCCACGGTCACCTTTCCATCATCTGCCGTGTAATTTAGTCCTGGGATTCTCACTAACCAACTGGAAGTAGCAGCAGGCAGCAGCACCCTGGTGGTTTGAGCCATTTCCTCTGTAGAGGCAAAATGCCGTTGAGCAGAAGCATCACGGACGACATGTCTGACAACTCGATCGGCATTGCGTGACCTCATCCCCTGGGCATGAGACCTTTAATTCAGCCACCCCGTAACCGAGATGGATTGGCTTCCTCGACCCCGTATTCTCAACGTCACCTCGGCAAAGCCTCATTATTGGCGCCGTTCCCTTGAAGACAAGCTAAAGGAATGTCAGTTGCGCCTCCCTCCTGGTGGCAGTCGCCCCTTGACTCAGTGACTCAGTGACTTTCTTGATAGTGGGCTCAAGGCGCAGCAGACAAGAAACAGCTGTGGCAACCCGCGAGTGAGATAATCGGAAGAGGTGAATCACTGATCGCAGGGGCGGGAAAGTAGGACCAGTCTTTCCCCATGATGGCCATTGATCCCTCGTCTCAAGCAGACAATGATGAGGATCACCGTCTATCCTCCGACTGGTGCGTCTCGTTGGTTGGATGTGTGCCCCTCTTTAGGGGCAGTTTTTGGCTCAGTTTCGCTGCTGTCGAACCAAGGGGCCTACCTAGTACAATCCTGGTACGCGCGAAAAGAACCGTGGGTGGCCGACCGAACTCCGGTTGAAATGTGTGGGAAACGAACCCCTAAACAACCCCGCCGGCCAAACACAGCTTTTTCCTGCCTTCCCGAAGATGCGAGAGGGATTATTCTCCGTGCAGGACAATCTTGCGCATCTTCCAGAGTCAGTCTGCTTGCTGAGAAGCGCAATGCCATCACCAACCGTCAGTGGTTTGACTGTATCTTCGGCGTCTCAGCCTGTAATACCTAGTGCTTTGTACCTAAACGGGGATCCGTTCAGTGGCGGCCACGAGTTCTTTGGGACCACCAGCCCTGTTCGGGCTAGCGGCTACTACTAGTAAACGGATCCTGATGGCATTCCGTATCTTACACGTACCACAATACAAGCGGTTCCTGCCCGAAAACTTGAGGACGAACTTGAAAAAAGTACCTCCCAGCTTGGATCTTCCCCCTCAAATCGGAAGACGAAGTACGGAGAGGCGTAATTTACCAGATTCTTCTTTTCTTCTTCTGCGCTTCGGCCGCGAACTGGGAATGATACTAGTACGAGTAGGTAGTTTGTTAGCACAGCATTGGCCCTCACTCCTACGACTACTACCAACCATCTTTTCAACCTGTTCCTCTCAAACAGTGTCCAGATATACAATATTCCCATTTCCACTGCGTTCACGCGTTGCAGCTATTACTATCATTTTGAGGAAGTGCAGATTGATATTGCACCTTTCATCCTCACTTCCTTTCCATTCTGACCGTGGACGGCGGCTGTGGCAGCCCTCGGAGTTGAGAATACGCCCCAAAGCCGTTTTCAGGCTTTACCACCAACTTTCTTCACAACCAGCCATAGTACAAGAGGACACCCTCAAATCTTAGAAACGAAAGAGGAATAACACGGGTGCAGTTGCATCGGGAAAGAAGTCCTCGCTTCCACCTTGAGAGGAAGCGGATCGCAGAACATTCCTTGAATTGCTTTGTTCGCAGCATCAGTTCTCTCTGCGCTCAAGGACCCCAACCTTCGCGAAAACCCAGGCGAAAGTTCCACCCCTCCAATTCAAGTTCAGTTCTTTCAAGCTTTCTTCCCCTTCCCCTGGATCCCTCAATCCGTTTCCTGTCCAGTTTTCTTTTCTCATTTTTTCAGTACTATTTCCTTTTCCCCCTCTTTTTCTCTCTCGCTTCTTACGCCTGCCGAATTTCTATTGTCAACCTTTCTCCCTATCACGCCCTCTGCGTCCGTTCGGCCTCCCCCGACACCACTCAGGGACGACCCTTTACAGCGCCCACGACAGCTACCTCCAGCGAAACGCAGATTCTTCATCTGAGGTGATCGCTAGAGGTAGTTTTCAACTCTATAGCGAACCGTTCTCTGTCTGCCCTGGCACCGCAAAGTCAACCTTTGTCCTACCCAAGGTTCTCGTCGACTATCTCGACCATAGAACTGGCCAAAGTTAACCACGAGCACCGGTTCCCCCGTAATATGGCATCGACGTCAGACGTGCACCACGGCTCTTCTCCGGTTCCGACGCTGCCTCAGCCGCATGAAAGCAATCGTGCCCATATGTCCTCACTTTCCTCATCATCTTCCATATCCGACGCGGAAAACGATCGCAGAGGCCGCTCCGAACGCCCTCGTATGGCTAGCCGGAAACCAAGTGCCTCAATATTAGTACCACGGGACCATCCCGAGATTGAAATCGAAGAAGAAGAATTTCCCCCCGACGACGCGCGCGCTATGAGTCCCCGACGTAACTCCGCAGACCTTGAGCGGCTGGGCAAGGAGGCCAGGCAAACACTCCAGGAGTATGTTTCCACCACAACAGAAGATATTTCTCTCCTCGTTCTGTTTCCTAACGATCATTCCTTCTATTTAGACAAGCCAAGGCCCTTCAGTCATCTCTCCAGGCTTTAGCGGAACGCATTGACGCAGTCAAGTCAGATCATGACAAGCTCGAAAACGAGAATCGATTCTTACAAGACTACATTGGAGGATTGACTCGGAACATGAAGAGTGAAATGTCAAGATCCAGTACCACCAAGGTCAAGAAGTCGCACAAATAATGCGAGCGCGACGTTGCCTTTACGAAGTTTCGCCCCTCCTCAGTCGGAATCTTTTTTTTTCTTCGCTATGCAGCAGCGAAAGATTACTTCGTTTTATGAGATATCTTCACGCATTTTTTTGGTGTTTGGCGGACATTATTTGCGCGGTTATTCGTCACCATATTATCCAACAACTACGACAGATTCAGAAAGACACATGGTACCCCATGGAGAACAAGGTCTATGGCAATCACTTTCGGCTTGCAAGGACGTGGCATTCCAGCCCTGTCACTTTTCCCTCGCTTTCTGCACTCACCGTCTGATCCTCTTAGGTGATCTTGCTATCCTGAAAGGATAGCTAGCACCCAGTTTCAGACCATGTCTCAATTTCTGCAGCCGTTGATTCGCCATTAATCATTGCTCGCCAGCGACATTCACACACAATCCCTCGACCCTTTTATTCGCCTCTCACCCCATAACTCTTCTGTCCGCCAACCATTATCGAGGGACGGTGACATCACCGCTTGCTTCTTCGTTGGCCACCTGAGGTCTGATCACCGGTCTTGGCAACGATGCGTGACAGATGACGACCAATCCTCAACCAGAATTCGCGGCAGTGTGACACCTTTGCTCAGATATTTCGGGTTTCAACTGTTCATATTGTCCACTTTTCTTCCAACCCCGAACCTCTCGCATTTCCGATTTCAATCTCTTTCAGTTCTACGGGCGGCATGGTGTATTTTTGTGGCATAGCACGCTCGGCGTTAGGACAGTTACGTTTTCTCTCTCTTTTTTTTTCATGCTGGGGTCATTCTGTTTTTAGACTCGGTTCGATTGATATCGGAAATCGTCATGGGGTGCATTTGTTTTCTCTCATGGTCTTGTTCTGCTCAGCAGCGACAGCGACAAAACCACAAACCAAAAAGGGTTGGAAAGCATTTTCATGGAGCAGCCAAACTCTGCATACTGTTTCTTTCCCTTCTTTTATTCTTCGACCTCTTCTTCTTCTCTCGTCCCCATTTTTTCTTCTTCTGACATATCCCGACTCCCTTTTCCGTCACCATCATCATGTACATTGGAAATCGTCCTGGTCTGACGATTCGGGTGACAACCACACTCAATATCCATTTGGGCTCTGAAGATATTTGCTTTATCATACCCCGAGGCAAGCGGTTATTTTACTCAAACAAATCAATTAAAAAATTTATAAATCAGCTCACTTCCTTTGCCTTTAGTAACCTAAAACCGGGATTCGACCAAGTCAGTTCGCTCAGCGCAATTAGCAGTATAGGAAGCACAATTCAGCCTAACTTCGCAGGTACGTAGGTATAAGACACCCTCTCATCAGTCCGACCAAAAGAAAAGAAGTACCCGAAAATAAAAAAATCTCCGACATTTCCACTCCCCTGGGTCCTGGTACCAGGTACCAGACGGAAGTAGACAGCGCCACAATTCTCACCAAGGGCCCAAGCCAGCCGTCAGCCACCACTCAGCCACTTACCCTTATTTATGCAGTTACATACTCTGGGACGGACCCAGTAGTGAATCGAAGTAAAACCGAAATACTAAAGTAGTATACTACTATTTATATGAGACAGGCCCAAAGACTCAAGACTGGCCAGGTACTTGGGTCCTACTACCTACCAGTACTGTAGTACGTAGTACAGAGGGGGCAGGACAGGAAGTCTTATCCGGTTATTATCGTTTATTTGGAGGATAAGCATTATTAAAAGTACGAAGTTCCCTTGATCGGCATGAGGGTATGATGTGATATGTTCCTTATAGTATGTAATTCTTTCCCCTGCGGCGAGATGGAAGTATCTACGGGTCAACGAGAGAAATGAAAGATGCAGAGGCCCGGGGAACCGTGAGTGTAGAATGTACGAAAATCGCTGTACTCCCTCGGTGCTGCTGCTCATACTTGGTATACATGATCTCTGATGGGCAAGGTTGTATGTAGTACCTGTAGAGTAATTGTACAACATTGCCTACTTACCGCACTCAGTATGTACTACTACCAAGCTAGAGAAGAAGAACATAAGTACCATGCGTAGATCTTCGAGGAGAAAGAACGAAGAGAAAAAAGAATTAATTATACAACGCCCAGTCTGCATCTTTCTACAACATAGTACGAAACACAAAAACATACCGTAGTACTCTGAAGCCGGTTTCGTGAGGGGGAAAAGAAAAAAAGAAAAGTAGGAAACGGCAAAACCGAGACGCGGAAGATCATGTGGGGCGTTGTTCAGAGGCTCAGCTAGTTGGGCGTCAGCTCAAACGACGAATGCATCAATGAGATGAAGAGGGCTAAAGATGAAATTAAAGGAGCGAGATTTGGTGTTTGGTGTTTGCTGTCAAGCCGCATACGTCATTTGTGCTCTGTCAAGTTCTCAAGAACTCGAGTCCCGGACGAGGGCGGGCAGGAGGGCTCAATGTCCGAGAGGCGAAGCTGAGTGAGTGATGAGGGATGCGCTAAGAGGGAAGTTGAATTGTCTCTGTTTATGTTGATTCATAGTTGGTACTTGGAAAGCAATTGGCGTAACGACGAAGGCGTTACGGCTGCTGGCAAGGGTCACGGAGTGAGATGCAATCTCAGATTCAGGTCGACAGGCCAGTTTACAAGTGCTCATCTACGAGAAAATGTAGAATTTCAACTTTCTTTGAAGCCACTGCCGGACTTGAGATCTAAACTCGAGCTAAGGCGACAACAAACGCCATACGTGGCACAAAAGAGGTGAGACCAAGACAACTTTCATAACATAGTCAAGGCTTTGGGAGGGAAACAATCGACTGGGGTAGGTGTGGTAAGGGAAAGGTATTCTTTGCGTGTCGAGGCAATAGGCAAAATGTAAATTAAAGAGACCAACGAATATATGAATCGACGTGCCACGGGGACAGTGACGGGGGAATTTGCTGGCCAAGCTTGCGGCGTCAAAGGTATAAGAGTCGAAAGGACGGCGAATCGAAGGGGTATTTCGAACCGTCATCCCTCCCTACAGCCTCATGTTGCAAAGACATGCACGCTGTTAGAAGGACGACTGTGCACGTTCCCCTGCTTTGAGCCTCCGATATAAACCCTCACTACTTTCGCAACTGGTAGCTCAGCCTTGTTCCCCCAATTCACTTGTCATCCGTGTCGGACGCGAGTCCTTCATCTTTTCTTTACTCGGCGGGCTTCTCACCCTCGGCAGGGGCTTCCTCCTTCTTTTCAGCGGGGGCGTTCTCAGGGGCGGGCTCGGCCTCGGACGAAGTCCAGAGGGTCTGAAGAAAGTCAGTTCGAAAGTCAAATCGTACCAAGGTGGTCGGTCTTACCAGGTTATCCCTGAGAAGCTGCATGATGAGGGTGGAGTCCTTGTAGCTCTCTTCGCTAAGGGTGTCGAGTTCTGAAAAGCAGATCAGTCAAAGTTCGTTGGAATCAACAAACAGCACATACCAGCAATAGCGTCATCAAAAGCAAGCTTGGCGAGGTGGCAAGCCTGGTCAGGAGAGTTGAGGATCTCGTAGTAGAAGACCGAGAAGTTAAGAGCCAGACCGAGGCGGATGGGGTGAGTGGGGGCAAGGTCGGTTTGAGCAACTTCAGTAGCGCTCTTGTAGGCCTCGAGAGAGGCATCAGCAGCACCCTTGCGGCGGTCGCCAACAGCGAACTCGGCAAGGTAACGGTGGTAGTCACCCTTCCTGAGAAGTAGAAGAGGAACTGATTAGTATTTGCTTCTGAAAACCTCCTATGACGGAAAAGCACGGAATAGCGGGGTAAACCTACATCTTGTGATAGAAGACCTTAGACTCGCCGCTCTGGGCAGAGGGGATCAGGTGCTTGTCGAGGACCTCGAGAATATCATCACAAATCTTGGCAAGCTCGGCCTCGATCTTCTGGCGATACTCCTTGATGAGGGTAACCTGAGATTCGTTGCCCTTGGACTCCTCTTTTTGCTCGATGGAGGTGACGATTCTCCAGGACGCACGGCGGGCACCAATGACGTTCTTGTAGGCAACGGACAGGAGATTCCGCTCCTCAACAGTGAGCTCTACATCGGCGGAGGCGACAACCTTCATGTTCTCGACCATCTCTAAAGATAATCCGTCAACATCAGTGCGTGTGTTTGCAGGTGTGGTCCAAGGATAACGCACCCTCGTAGCGTTCAGCCTGCTCGGCGAGCTTGGCCAGGTAAACAGCATCTTCGTGACCCATGTTGAGAGTATCTGTCCAAACGAAGACGATGTTAGCGACGGTCGGATTCTGTTAAAGAGTGCGTCTGGTCTGGTATTGATAGATCGAGTAATTTGGCATCTCACAACGTGGGCAATAAAAATAAATCAGGCGCGAAACAGAGCAGGAGATAAATAAAGAACAAGATCCGGGTTCTAGAAAACCAGGTGAGGGGCAGAAATGCGGCTATCACGGGGTATGGGAAAGTGAGGCTGTGAGCAAAAGCTGCCCAGGTCTGCCCTGCCTGCCCGTCACACGGCTGATAGCGAGATACGCTCCAGAACCCAACCCGGACGGCCTTTGCGATCGCGGAAAATCCATATGCGAACAAAACCTGGCTCAAGAGTGTTGCGGTTTTTGTTGACAGTGTATATCGAGGAGATCTCGTCATTGTTGATCGCCCTCCACCCGTTTGCCGTGAGACCACCGTCGCGGTTGGGGGAGACTCCAGTATCGGCAGAGGACTCGCAACACCGAACACCGCAATTCGACCCCCTAACCACATTGTATAGAGAAGGCGAGTGATTCTCAGAGCAGCCAGCCCGGGAAGTGCAGCACAACACAATCGATGAATTCGTAGATAAAAGTGATGGGTGCGGTGAAGCGGAGGCTAAGGGCGAAGGAGGGGAAAACGGTGGAAGGAGATAGAAAGGGGATAGCTACTCACCTGACGTTATAGAGACGACAATAATGAGGATTTAGTTGTAGGGAGGAGTTGTTGTAATGAGAAAGAATGAGAAGAGGGAAAGATGAATGGTTGTGAAAGTGGTATGAGATTGGAAAAGTGAAGGGGGAGATGGAATGAGACTAGAGCGAAGTCGCAGAGTCAAAAGGAGGAGAGGAAGTCGAAGAGGGGGGAAAAGTGGGAGGGGGTCACTTTCCCTCTGCCTCACCGTTGAGCCACCATCTTGTGTGCTGCATAGTCTACGGTGCTTTAGGGATATCACTTGGATGTGTCCATTAATCTATTGACTAGCTACTTTATTTAGCCATCTGCTCCCTGTCTATCCCCAGATGTCGTGAGGTGGGAAGAAGATTGATATTCTTTGTCTCCCTTCCAGGCGCTTGATTATTGTGTGTGTGGTTTAGCAGTGGGCCACTCCAGCATCATCCCTATTCCACTCCGCCAGTCGTCCTCGCGCGCATTATTGAATGAGCCTCGCTGCTAGTGACTCTCTAGTTCCTGTTTACATGCAGCAAAGAGCTATATTTACAATCATGCTATAGATGTTAGTTCAAAGACCGTTTTTCTGGCGCCTTTCAAAGTTCTATCTCGCTTTGCGCGAGATGACGACGAGTTCTGGGACTCAGTGCCGCCTGAATCTGGAAATGGAGTGCTCCCGCGGCTGGCTGGTTCCATGGCTACGCCCATTATTTCCCCTCCTCTTGATATCGTCTTTTTGGAGTGTTTGTATAGTGTCACTTCCCACGAAGACTTGAAATTCCTCTTCATGCATGTTCAGAGCAACGAAGCTGAAGAAGCATCCTCTCTAACTTGTTCCCTCAATCTCTCAAGCTGTTGTAATCTTGGTAAAATACTGTATGCTAGCTAGCTAGTTAGTTACTGCAGATGAGCTGACTCAGCTGTATCCATATCACATGACTATCTGTGTCCTCTCATGTCGTCATAACCCGAGTTCATACTTCCGATTCGCAGGCCTGGAACCTGCCATGCCGCTGCCATATTCCCAAGGCAACGAATAAGGTACATCAGCTTGTTGCTCGACATCAGCTCACCCCCTCCTCGCTCTCAAGTTTCTCCTCTTCCCATCCATTCATCTTCCTTCATCATCGAACCAAACATCTTTAAACACTCTTGTCTCTTTTGACCTCCAATTCATAATGATCCGCCAATCCGTTACTCGTCCTCTCACCACGACATCTCGTGCCGTCCTCACCCGCCCTTTCTCCGCGGTTGCTCCCAGAATGGCTGCTGGTGATACCGGGGCTACCCGACCTGGTGGTATTCAAACTAGGTATGTACCGTATATTCTCATCTTGTTTAATGTGACAGTTCTCAATCGGGGATCTCATGCCTACCTCTCATCTCGTCCATTCGTCCCGGAAGCGCATGATGTCATCTCCTTAGCCGCCACCGAAACGGCCAAAGAACAACGGCTAACAGACCACGCAACAGCGACTCATTCCAGAAGCGCGAAGCTGCCCAAGAAGGTCTCTACATTTACGAAAAAGAGAAGGAAAAGTACGTAGCTCATCTGCCTTTCTCCCGTCAAGGAGGTCATCTCGAACTTTGCACTAACCTCGGAGTACAGGCTCGCCGCTCTCCGGAAGAAGATCGAAGAACAGCGCTCACATCTCAATGATTTAGAGAAGAATCTGTATGGCTTCCCAGTCTCCCTCGCCCCCTTCTCGGATCTTTTTGTTTCTTTTGTGCGGACCTCGAGCTAATGCTGTGCTATGTAGGGATGAGTTCACCAAGGGTGGAGAGAAGAAATAGACAGACGTCTACAGTACAATTCGGATGTCTACCTCGGGTCACATATTACATATCATCGCAAATTTCAGCGCTGATGTGTTTGTCTCGAATGTATTTTAAATAATCGACACCCTTCTCAGCGTCATGATTTTCCGGAAAGCTACCCCGTACAGAAAAGCATGGTATTAAGCCGCATTCGAGCTGCAAACAGGCTCTCAAAGATAAGTAGCCTTGGAACGATCTCCGAATAAATAGTAGTAAACCCCAAAGCCACCGAATACAAAGGGCCTCTTAGACAACCAGTACATATTGCGCATCTTCTACCAAATTGCCATCCTGTTTTTCATTATTAAAGAACACGGCCATATGAAATCATTTACCGACGGCCCATGTAAGAGCGGTAGAAATCATCTGCAGCATTCCCGTTTCCACTCCCTGACATGCTATACCCGTGTCCGAAACGTGAGGACATTGCTTGACCGGCTTTCTGGGCCGCGGTAACCTTTGTCTGGAGTTCGGTGGTACCTTGGTCGATGGTCTGTAGCTGGGATAGATGTGTATTGAGAATGCGCACAATCTGAGAGATCTGCATAAAACAGTAAGCAGCGTTCAAGGTGGAGTAGATGAGATCGACTAACCGGTTCGTCGGCCTTGTTTGTTTTGCTGAGTGTTGCTGAGGCGCTGTTAACTTCCTCAACCATGCTAGAGAGGTCCTTGCCCATCTCGTCAAGGCGTTCAGAGAGCTTCTCGGCGAGTTTATAGCTATAGTAAATTAGCTTAGCCAATGCAAGTACTAAGATTTGTTCAAGGGTACGTACGTTCGCTCACGCTCCTGGTCAGGGCCCTGTAGGCTCTCGCCTAGACCTACCTGCTTCGACATCATCTCATCAACCTCACGTTCATAGCGATCGAGCCAGGAGCTGAGTTCATCTTGCTGTCCTTCAACCGAGGCAAGCTGGCGCTCGACTTCTTGGGTAGCACGCTCGGCATCCACTGTGCTTCCGTATAATTTCTGGACTTTGGTACCATTCTCTACGAGCATTCGATCCCACTCGGCAACCTTCTCGGCCTGTTCACGAAACTCCTTCTGGTACTTGGTAAGGTCGTTGGCCCATCGTGTGATAATCTCGTCCATAGTCTTGTTCTTGAGGCGTGACTGGGCTGGGGGAGCTGGGCCAGCAGTCGAGGCACCTAGTGCTGGAGCCCCAGACGCTGCAGTGGTTCCAGTGCCCGTGGCTGTGGTTCCAGTAGATGTTCCCGTCGTCGCTGTGCCAGTAGTGGTTGTGCTCGTTGCCGCAGGTGCGGTTGTGGCGGGTGTGGTAGAGGCCGCAGATGCGGCTGGTTTGCTGAACAAGCTTCCGATGGGAGCGGAGGCCTGTTTAGATGCAGTTTCGGTAGGCTTCGATGCGCCTAAACCGGAAAATAGACCACCGGAAGGAGCAGGCGCTGGGGTTGATGATGGAGTGGCGGACGATGACTGTCCGCCAAGTCCTGAAAAAAGAGACTTTTGTGGGGTTGCAGAAGATTTATCTGTCTGAGTGTTCGTGTTGCTAGTGAGGGAAGGGAAAGCGGGCTTCGCGGCCGTATCGGCGCCGGAGGATGCGGCCGGAAAGAGAGAGGATGACTGTGCGCCGGCGGCCGGAAAGAGAGATTTGGGTGCATTGTCCGCGGTTGTAGCAGGGGTGGTTGATGCTTCGGGTTTCTTTAGAGAGAAAAGACCGCCGCCAGACGCACCAGAAGATGGGGTGTTTCCGGAAGCAGGCTGCTGGGCGGTTGCGCTAAAAAGACCGCCACCAGTAGACGGCGCAGCTCCACCAAAGAGTGTCGAGGTCGAATTACCCGAAGCTGGAGCAGAGGATTGTGCTGTTGATGTATTTGAGAACAGGCCGCCTGACTTCTGGCTGAAAAGGGACTGTCCCTGCGCAGGAGCGTTTCCTTGGGGAGGAGGACCAGCAGGAGTTGTCGATGGGAATAGAGAATTTGTACCGGATTGAGCAGGGGTCGCCGTAGTATTCCCAAAGATACCACCACCACTAGGCTTGCTAGCACCGGAAAACAGCCCACTGGTGGCAGTTGAACCAGATGTGGAAGCCTCTGTTGGCTTCGGGGTTTGCGATGTAGCACCGAAAACGGGCGACTGCGTGCCAGAGGCCGCGCCGGTTGAACCTAGGTTTCCGAAGCTGAATGGAGAGGTGCTGCTACCCCCCGAGCCAGCGGTGGCAGAGCCCGCGCCAAAGGGAGTTGAGCTTGGGGAGGAGGTAGCTCCCACATTTCCAAAGAGGCCGCCGCCGGAACCAGTATTCGTCGTAGCTCCAGCAGACCCAAAGATACCACCGCTAGAAGCGCCGGAAGAGCCCGGGGCCTTATTAAGGCTGAAGATGTTGGACATTGTGGAGAGGACGGCAGGGCAAGGATATCGCGAGAGGGCAGCCCTGGAGAGAAAAGACAAACAATCCGTCAGTAAGTTTTGGGTAGTTTGTGAAAGTAGAAAAATGCGCGAGATGGCTTACTGCGCCCAAAGGTAGATGATTCCTTGTTATTCCAGTGAGCAATTGCCAAATCCAGGGACTTTAAAGCAGAGTCAACAACAACACCAAATAATCGCCCAGAATTACCTGCGACGTGAAGTTTGCCGCGCTACAATGATAAATCACGTGAACCAGCGTTTATCATGGCTATGTCTGGAACGAGCGCCTCAGGCACCAAAGTCAGTTGCGGCCTCAGGCGTCCAGCCACCGGACGATCAGGCGATCCGGCCCTCAGGCGCTCAGGCCGCTCGACGTCGGGGCTTGACTTCGTCACCAGACAATCTGGACCCCTGCGAGCTCCTCTCCGCTTTCTCCAGTCTCGCTTCCGTTTCGTGCGTCTTCTTGCATTCATCCTAGGGCACAGATATTATCTCGCCTACATGAGTTTATCGCAGGCATAGAGCCAGATTCTCTCCTAATGTCGGAACGCCCCTCTCCTCCATCCACCTCGCACTTGGAGCCTCCAGGCAAGAGCGTGGAGCTAGAGGACCCAGGGGCTCCTGATTATGGTGAGACTTTTCTATCCTGATCTATCACGTTTTGACTGACACCGGAATGTCTGTAGCCTCGAATAGCGATGAGGAGCATTTCTCAGATGCAAGCGAAGGCAACTCACGGTCCCGTTCCCGCCCAACGTCTCGTGCATCTCTTGTCCCTCGGACGCGGGTAGAGAAAGTAGACGACACTCCTTCACACGGCGAAATCCCAGGAACCAGTGCCTACGAGAAGAGAGAGCTGGATGCTGTCCCTGACGAAGTCGAGGTAATCTCGCGCAGCAGGAGTCCTTCAACTGCGGGGCAGCGCCGCCGGTCGTTAACTCCGGGGGTTACAGCAGTACCTCGGACTGTGGTTGAAAAGGTTGACCCGGATCAACCAAGTTATGGCGATGTCCCTGGAACCGAGGCATACGAAAAACGCAAAGCAGATGCTGTCCCAGACGTAGTCACGAAAACCTCGGAATCCTTAAGTCGATCAGCATCCCCCACCAGGTCCGAGAGAGCCAGTACGAGCGACACTCCTATCCCAGAAACGCTGCTGTCTGAAGCAGAGTCATCGCCAGATCAAGAGCCACCGCATCCAGGTCCGCATGCTCACCGCAGACGTCCAAGCGATGCTCTTCCGGATGCGACAGAGCCCGCATCAACCTCTCCCGGTAAGCATATCCAGTTCTTTTCTCCCCTTTGAGGGCTCAAAAACTCAGGGACGATTGACCAATTCAGATCTGGATAGCCCCGAGCATTCGACTCACATTCGACGAAGATCAACAGTAACAGAGGGGGACTTGGCGCAAGTTCCAGGTGGTGATGACTTTGACGACTTCGAGGAGGGTCAAGATGACGATTTTGGTGACTTTGACGATGGTTTTCAAGAGCCGGATGAGGATCTTGTTGAACCTGAATCTGTCCCAATGCAGCCCTCTCAGCCACTCACGCCGCCTTATGTCGTAAGGGTCCTCTCTCCAAGTGGTTGTGCTCAAGCAGACTAATTCAATTCACGCCTGCAGCCACCTTTAATAGAGTTTGATGCCATCCAGACCTTTTCCGACCTCCTCACCACTCTGGACGAATCTCTTGACCGATTATTTCCTGCTTCCAAAGATGCAATTTCCAATCAGACCGAACTCGAACCCATCCCTAACTCCTCCGCTATCTTCAGCACGGAACGCTCTCTTTCATTATGGTCACAACTTGTTGCCCCACCCCCGCTCCAACCCCAAAACTGGGTCAAGTCCCGCATCCGCCGCCTCTTTCTCGTCTCCTTAGGAGTTCCCGTAGACCTAGACGAAATTCTCCCCGCATCTAAACAAAAGAAACTCATCCTCCCATCCATCAACCTTGGGGGCCCCAACTCAACCGCACAGGGCTCCCTATCCCGCTCTCAAAGCCTCGCCAGAAAAGGCTCTCAGAGCGGACCGAATAGCCCGCGCACATCCAGCACCGCCGCCCGACAACGAGCATCTCGACGGCGCGAGGCGTCACCACCAGACCTCGATCTTACTTCTGTGCGTCGACTCTGCGCAACAACCGACGCAGCCCTAGACGGACTCACCGACTCCGAGCTCCAATCGCACGTCAAAGAGCTCGAACAGCTAACGCTCCGCGCCTCCGCCGTCCTCGAATTCTGGCTCAAACGCCGCGACAGCCTAGTGAGCGAGAAGGAAGCTTTCGAAGGCGTGATAGAGAACCTAGTCAACCATGCCAGACGAGTACGGAAATGATTTATTATGACGCCAAAAGAATCCAGCAAATATATGTTTAATCAACCCTAACCATCCCAATCAAGATTCATTCTTACTCTCATCATGTCTTAGCCATAGAGAAACCTCTTTTTCCCCACCCACCTTTGTTGTACTCCCTACTTCATCTTACCTGGTCAGTTCTTACACCCATTTCATTTCTTCTTGGACCAAGGTCTATATGGTTTATTTCCCCGGATGATTGGAAGATTGGCAAGGCCGCATCAGTATCACACCCTTTGGAGCATATTTGCGGCAGTCCGCGAGCCTATTTATTTTCCCCAAACCTGGTATTCTATTCACGAGTGCTATCACTATACATATATGATATAGCAGTCACACTTTACTTTCACACTTCCTTTGCTTCTGTGCCTGGTTTCATAGTAGGTGTCTTCGAGCGCGCTATTCGGGTTAGTGTCGAGGAGGGAAGAACCACCTGAAATACCTGAGGCTTAGATTAACCCTCCCCTCGATTTTCTTATTTACTAGAGATCATCCCTATCAAAGCTATTGCCTATACGGGCGTGGTTTAGTGACAAAATCCTAGTTGTTGGTAATAGGTCAGCACTGGTTTTATAGTAACCGCCAGCTGCCGAATTACTATATATTATTCACACAAAAGTCTATTGACGGGCGGGATTCTTGGTCTGCCACATCATCCAATATCCCCAACCAAGGAAATGGGGATCAGTAAGTCGATTGTTCACTTATAAATAGGTTTACCCCGAACCTTCCGGGTTCGATTTGATCCCGTTGTCACTAATATCCCCATCCTATCCCATGTGGATCGGAAGCTGTCCATTAGGACGCAAGAAAGAGCCAAAGAAAAGCCGCCCTCCGTATATCTCAACAAATATGCGAAAAGGAAATAGTAGAATAAGAAGAATAATGATGAACAGACAATTCAGTGATTGAAGAAAGTTGCGGTGATATAGCTCGAGGGAGCCGAACCACTTCTTTTATTTCTAGCTCGAAACACGGTGAGTGATGACGAGATGGATAATATGGGAGTAATCATGATACATGGATCTAGGGCTAGGAAGACAATAGAAAAAGACAATAGAAAGCATCCGAGGGGTATCTCGTGCAACGACCAAAGCGCCTGAAACTGTGCAAGTGCGAATTGAGTTGAGCAATACAAGGAAAAAAGACGCGAAGAAATGCCTGGTAGGACAATTAGTCCAGAACAATGACATCGGAAGACTGATTTGCGATTCCGTCCGGCAGAGACGATGAGCGATCGATCTTTGGTCGTTGACCAGGAGGATACATGGCATTTTCCAGAGCAGCTGATTTCCGTTTTAATGCAGTGCGAGAAGGCTCAGGCGTTCCTCCCTCGGCGTCTTGGTCGGTCTTCACCTCCCAGGTCCCGTCTGCCTTGATCTGCAAGGAGCGAGCACCGTCGCAACGATTTGTCCGCTCGAGCTCCGAGCGGATTTCAAGCAGGAACCCATCTATAATAAGGCTTTGAGGCCTAGCATCATGGCGACAGATGGGACACTTCCAGTCCGCTTCTATCGCAGAGCAGTCTCCAGGTTTGAGGGCACGAGTTTGAATAAACGTCTCGTGATCGAAGCACTCTGAGTGCTGGCAGTGCCGGCCACGCACCGGCACCGTGAAGATGCGTGCAGTATAAGGATCGACAAGTGTGACAGTGAGATAATCACTGACGATACTTAGTTCATCATCGTCATCGCCTGTATTGCGTGAAAGCCTTCCGCAAATTTGCTTCCGCGACTCGATGGCTGGAAGCAGCTGGGCAAGAGATTTAGCTTGTGGAAACGAATGAAACGAAACCAATTCCACGCCCATGGCGTAATTGACGAGGCCCCTCTGTTCAGCCGAGCTTCGAATAAGGTGAACTGCAACAGTATTTGCACCTGCTCGGAGGGCGGTTGTGATGTCTAAAGGGAGATCTCGGCCATTGTGGATCTTGCGGCGCGCGTAAAACTCTTCACCGTTGACGAACATGTATATAGTGCACGGCCATACGGTTTCAGCAACGGACCAGGAATGCTCGTTCACATCTGAGGCTGACGGTGGCACCTTGATGCATCTGATGCGATAGCTTTGGTAGCCCTCTTTTAGGATTCTAATGTTTCGCTCGCCTTTCCCTTGACTCTGAAGCCTGGGAACGCGGTCCAGGTCAGCCTGTGTTAAAGAGAATTCCCAATTAAAAGTACACGCGACCGGATCGAAGGGTTGCGGCTTCACAGCAAAGGAAGTCAGGTAGGGGAATAGCTCTGTATCTTTCTCTCCCGTAGAATCGATGGAGACTGGTCGATTCAACGGATCGCGAAGATGAGCCTGGTGAATCGCGAGCCGCCGAGGATCAGGTCGTGTGTTCACCACAGGAGGTTCATTTGGTGGCGGTAAAAACGGCCGGGAATTGCGAGGTGGTTGCTGTAGTGTGCCAGGGTACTGCACTCGGTGACCACGTTGAATCAAAGGGGCGCCTGCTGGTGTCTGCGCTAAATGACGCGGAGGATGAACAGGGTTCATGTTCTGTGGCCTTGCGTGTTGTTGGTGTTGGGGTTGTTGCTGAACCTGATATACCTGAGGAGACTCGCGCTGTGCCATGTACTGTGAAGGTGAGATTGCCATGGCCGGTGAAGAAGGTGTGCCGGCCATTCGTGGTGAAAGTACCTGCGGTCCTGCACCACGTTGCTGGACAAGTGACGGAATACTCAGTTGTCGCGGAAGCCTGAGTGACGTCGTGATAGGCGGACTTCTAACTGAATTCGGGGTTGCACCGTTCAGAAGATGTGCCTGGGAATTGACATTATGAGGAGGCAGACGATTATGAATGCCCGAGTGACCTGCCGGGGCGGGTATAGAGACTGGTGTAGGCTGGCTCGACATTGACGGAATAGGAGTGGGAACATTGAGGCTTGGGCGAGTAATACCAGGCGCATTCGGCCCGGCTGGTGCTGAAGCAGAATCTTTCATGGCTGCAATCACGGAGCGATATGCAGATATGGTTTCCTCGTTCTGCCGCTGTTGCTGGGCCACGGGTATCTGCTCCACATAACGACGCTTGAATTGATCCAGACTGCGGATAAATATCTCTTGTAGTTTTCCCTCAAGTCTAGCACCAGGAGTCCGCCGACATAAACACAAGAAAATGTTGAACAGCAACACCGGCGATTTGATGTTGAGATCGTTCACAATATCATCCACAATAGGAGGATAACCCCGGGACCGCACTTGACGTTCGAAAGGGACCCAGCGGTCCACAAAAACGACCAAGATATCAAGCACTTGATTGAGAGTGTTCCCAAACCCTCGAATTTGCATCAACTCGTGGAGAGGGTGGGGAAAATGAACACACCACCGAAGAAAGTCGCCCGACACCCGGGCATTGTCCACCAAAAGGTGCTTAACGGTTTCCAGTCCATGCACATGCTTGGCAGTGATGCCGGGCAGCTTTGTGAATTCGGATGGATTGTAACTGCTTAAGCAGTAAACTTGGTGAAGGATTAGATACATGAAATCCTGCTCCGAACAGGCATAGTGCAGGAGCTGAATTCGGGGCGCCTCCACAGCGTCAGACAGACCCTCAGCAATACCCGGCAGGGATGCTCCGAGCGTGTCCAAGACATACTTTGCCTGTACGAAAAACCCGTGATTCAGAACCGGAGTATGACCTCTTGAAGGGAAGGCTGTGGCGGCACCATTCACCTGTGGATGTGACGGCAAAGGGATCCTCGTAGCATTGGGAGCAGCGGGGGTGGGATGAGCATGGACAGGTGTGTGTATATCTCTTCCAGCTGGCGGATTGCTTGGCAAAACGACGGGAGGGCCTCTTACGGACCGAGAATTCGGCTGCGGAGGATGATCCAAAGGGGTCTGCTGATGGGGAGGCGATGGGAAAGCAGCGACAGGGAGGTTGGGAATGGTAGGCTCATTCCGCTCAATGGCGTTAAAGGACGGACTGGTATGTGATCTGGGAGGAATGGTGGGGTCGGGCGAGGGAAGCGAGGACGCCGACTGGGCTTGCAATTGAGCTTGTTGTAACTGTGTCTTCTGCTGCTGCCGCTGCCGCTCTTTGAGCTTCGAGGATTGGTCTGCTCTGATCGGAGAAGGGGGATGATGAGCGGCGGGAGAGTGAGTTACCGAAGGAGGCGTATCGGTGGTGGGCGATATATGGGGATGGGATAGAGCGACATTTCGAGTGCTCGTACAAGCCGACAACGCAACTGGAGGCGTAGGAGAGGATGTACTAGGATTGATCGAATCTGGCTGAGGTAAAGAAGGGATATTGCCCATGCGCATGCCTGGGGATCGCGTCGGAGCAGGCGACGAGGCCGCGGTCACGCGCAGCGCTGAAGCAGACGAACAGGCAGAATGCGAGGGAGCAATAGCAGACTCAGCAGAGGACGGAAGCGACGCTGGAGTCGAGGTGGCAGGCGAGCAATGTGGGGTTTTATTGCTGCTGCGCTTACCAGGATTTGGATGAGGATGGTTAGCGGTCGCCATCCACGACTTCCGAGCGCCGCCCAGAAAAATGTTGGCGGTGGAGTTGGACCTGTTCAGATCTAAGACTCCGCCAGAGGAAGGATTATTCCGGGGGGGATCTGGTGGGCGACTAGAGGCAGTCTCATTCGGTAAGGACGCCATGCTGGCATGATGAACGAATGCTTAAATAGATGATAATGGGAGTTTGGTTATGATTCCTCTGATTGTTTGATTGACTGCGACGGAGGAGGTGCAGCTAAGGTCGATTTCCTGTTTGGGCGCAGCGTGAGGTCGGTGAAGCAGAAAAAGAAACAAAGACGCACCAAAGCGAGCGGGAGGTAGCTTATATACTATTCCTGGCTATCCTATACTTTCAATGGAGGATATTCACTGCGGCGGCAGCGACTGAGATATTCACTCAAGCAGCCAGTAGTACAACTGGAAAGTACCCAGATTTAGGTGCAGTGAAGTCAGATAAGCTTGACGGATAGCCTTAGCCTTTTCCAAAGTATGTCTGAGACAGGAGAGGGTCGTCGATGATCGTCTGATTGCCGCATCCGACAGCTACTCCAAAGAACCCTAGGTACGAAGTATAACCCGTCTCCAGAAGACTGTTTTCATCACAGCAAGGGGATCACAGAGTGGACGCCGTCCACACTACCAAAGATAGGTAGTCGAGTATGCTGGCTCCAATCACAAGTCCAATACAACAAATGATACTTCAGCCCTCAAGTCCTCTTCAGGTCCCAGAACCCCCTTCGTGGACTCGATTAAGATTCAATTTCATCATCCTGACTGTGTACACTTTGAGTTCTGCTCCTCCTACTCCTACTGGGGTTGACCACAGATTGTGCCTTCCTGGCCATTCGAAATCTGGTCCGCCGTCGACCATTCCCTGGCAGACCGTCTGGACTCTGGATCAGCACCCATTCTCTTCCCCCACTACGGATTAACTGCCATCTACGCGCTCTCTTCGCGACGCTCATTATTATTTGGTATCTTTACTATAGCTTTTTTTTTTTTGATTTTTTTTCTTTCTTGATCTTCACCATTGTGAGAGGGCCGGAGACGCCCAGGGTGCTGGTCGGCTTCTTGTATTAATCAATCTGATATTGCACCGGCCGGACTAAAGACGGAGAAATCCCATCACATCTCCCTTTCTTCTCCCCTGTCCTCGCCGTGTTCCACCCCTCCAGTTGCATCCCCTGGGATCTCCTCGGGTCGAGCATCATGGCTAAGGCTTCTCTCCCTCGTGGGTTTCGCCCAGGAGATCTTCTCCTCGTTGTCCGTAAGTTGCTCTGCGCTGCTCTGCTTTTTCCCGGTCGCAAAACGATTCCTCAACCCCACTCCTTGACGGTCCGCGCCTCGGCCTTTCCCCTCCTCTCCTGTTTCATGATGTGACTGACACATGCAATCAATCAATCTATAGATGACTTTTCTGCGCGCGGAGATGATGAGCTCACTTTGCGACGGGGCGAGAAAATCGAGCTGGTCGAATTGGATGATGGGTTCGGCGATGGGTGGTATTTGGGCAAAGACGTCAAGACTGGAGTGACCGGCCTATTCCCTGGAGGTGTGTGCCCCCCGCCGGCTCTTATAGTCTACTAGGCCGTCGGCACTCGCTAACATGGGTCTTTACAATCTTTAGTCTATACCACAAAAGCCCCCAATATCCTTGTGCGACCTCGGACCGACGACGACTCAGAAATTAATGCGCCCAAGCCGCATGAAGTTGGAGGAACAACGGCTGACCGAGAAGGCACAACACTCGAGACACGCGACCATGTTTCAACACCCAAAAGCGAGGATACAACGCCCCATGCATCACGGCATGGTAGCTTGACAGACCTTCGAAGTGCTAATGAGACTGGCCCTTCTCTCCACGTGCCAAAACAGCAGCAGCAGCAACAACACCGATCTAGCTCGTCTCCTTTACCTCAGTCTAAGATGGCCGTCGACATCCAGCAATCCATCCGCCAAACCCTCGACCCTCACATGAATGGCCAAGATAGCCCGGTCATGAACGAGACCTTGAGTGTAATTGACGAGCATATCACGGATCTGAGTACCCCACGCCACAGTGTGAAACCCTCCGCAGACCAGAAGACGCTCAATGATTCAGCGAGTGAATACAGTAGCCACTTGGACCATCGCATGTCTTTCATTAATGGTCATGAAACTGATGAGGAGGAAGGGGACCAGCCTTCCGAGGAACAAGTTCGCAAGTGGGGTGTTGAGGAGACCGTCAAACATTTGCGTGGACTCGGACTGGACGAAAAGCACTGTGATATCTTTGAGGAGCAGGAAATAACAGGAGACGTACTTTTGGACATGAACCAGGATTTCATCATGATGAAAGAGTTTGATTTTGGAGTCATGGGACGACGTTTGAAGACGTGGCATAAAATCAAAGCATTCCAGGAGGAGACCAAAGGGTACAAGGAACAGCAATCGCCAACTGTCCGCGGCTCGACTGCTGCATTCTCAACTACTTCTGAAGAGCGCTCCGCGAGCCGTGCCGGTCAAACCGGTCCACTGCGTCCACGGCCTCCGAATTACAGGGGATCATTTAGTGGTGGTGCTACTCAACATCCGCGACTGGTTAGCAGTAGTATGCAGAGTGACACCAGTTCACCCATCACACCGCAGGCGCCTTCCGTCCCGTTTATGGACCATTCCCGCCGTCCTTCCGCTGCATCGATCCGCGAGATCAATCATCAGAGGCGTCATTCATCCCTGGACGCGACGAGTCGGTATTCGATTGCTGCTGGAGAGACGTCTCCGCACGTTGGGTCACATCACGGGAAGAAGGCATCTTTTGATCGCAGTTGGACAATGTCCCTCGCGGCACAGCGAGCATCTCCTCGTCCAGGCACGGCCCTCAGCTCCACCAACAATACTGGTCTGCAACACACTAATGGACTGGACCCCGACGACTTGGACCGCGGATACTTCTCGGGACCGGAGTCGGATACGCGGACGCAACGCAGGGTTCTTCAAAAGCGAGCATCAGTGAGCGGTAGCGCTCACTCACTGCAGTCAAGCCTGACTGATGAGCAGATTCGGGCAAATCGAAGACATTCGCGGATAAGCAGCATGGAATCGGTGACAGATGCGGCAACCCCGAATGCTTTAAATCAGGGCACAACGTATCCCATACCTTCAAAAGGGCGACTACGAAGCTTGAGCACCCGAATATCTGCCCAGCAAAACCCTCGTAATGCTGGAATTAAAGGATCGGGGGGCGGTTTCTTCTCTTCATTTGGTCCACGGACAGGAAAGCCTGACTCGGACGCCTCGCGGTCAACACCACCGTTACAGCAAATAAAAAAAGCTGCGCCAAAATTCCGACGTGCTGTTGGGCTTCGTGCGATGTCAGATGCTGCTAGCAAGGGCGCGGACTCGTCTGCCGCCCCAGAATCTCCAGCATCCCCTGTACATGATACTGACCCTGCCTCTGCACGAACAGGATCAACTACTCCCTCAACGTCAAAGAGTTCGGACCGGCATAGCACCGATGGCTCTGGAAAAGCCGCCGACAGCGGCATTTCGTTTCCCCGTCCACGTCCCTCTGTCAAGGGGGGAGTGAAATCGAAGAAGGACACCAGCGCTTACACCCGTGGTCTGGAGAAGAAGACGCCGCAAGAACAGATGGAAGGCTGCGACTTCTCCGGTTGGATGAAGAAGCGATCGTCAAACTTGATCTCGACCTGGAAACCTCGACTGTTTGTCCTGCGTGGTCGTCGTCTGTCATACTACTACTCAGAGAATGATACCGAGGAAAGAGGTTTGATTGATATCACCTCTCACCGAGTGCTCCGCGCGGACAGCGATCCTATCGTCGCACTGCACGCGACCATCACTGGTGCCACTGTTTCTCCCACATCACCAGCAGGTAGTACTCCTACTGGCGACGGGTCGATATCGGAAAATGGCTCAACATCCGAATCTCAGCATGGATCGCGTACGGACAAGGAAGGGCCATTCTTCTTCAAACTCATACCGCCTAAGTCGTTGCGTACAGTACAGTTTACGAAGCCCGCGGTTCATTATTTCCAGGTGGATAACGTTAAGGTTGGGCGGCTATGGATGGCCGCGCTGATGAAGGCGACCATCGAGCGTGATGTCCACCTTCCAATCGAGACCACGAACAAACAAAGAACCATTAGTTTGAAAGAGGCTCAGCTGATGAATCAGAGACCCCCTGCTCTTATGGTTGACGCTCAGATGCCAGCAGAAGACGCCCCGGCGGAGCCTGCTGCGACCAAGACCGGACTGATGATCCAAGGTCTTGACATGGAACAGGTCGAGTCCCCAGTCGATATAGGGGATTTGAAGCGCTCGTCCAACCCGCTGGGCGACATCGATACGGACTCGCCTTCCCTTCTTCCTGATTCGATTCGGAACTCTGGATAATACATGTGACTGCTGATTTCTCTTCTGCTTTCGTTTGTTTTTCCCATTTAAGTCTCTCTTATGGCACTCTGGCTCTACCCCCTTCGGCGTTAACGTGATATACCCCCCTGTTTCGGAACGTGTTTCTCAACTTCTCGACCGTCAGCGTCATCCTTACTTTATAATTTGGTACGATTTGGGTTGGAGTGATTTGATTTCGATGAGGACACTGTCGGATGATGTATTGGAAAGTTGCTGGGCTGTCACGAAGCAGCGAGGAATATGTAAGAGTGGGGTATTGTGTGCTTCTGACTATATAGTGTAGTAATAACGACTCGATAGCTGCTCTCATTAATCTCGCGTGCCTGTGTTCGTTGTAAAAGAACTAATATGAATGAAATTGATCAGCGCTTTCCTCCCCACACGCCGAGCCGCCAGCAGAAATGAAGCAGTCCAAAACTCAAGCTTATTTGCACCTACTCCCCTTTTCCGCTCAAGCATGGAGTGAAACCAAAGCATCAAATATAGGACCATGAAAGGCTAAGGTGAAGAAACGAGATGGTTTTCCGTTGTTTGCTGTCCCGCCTCCTCCTGGGTCTCCTTCCGCTCGCCGTCGCCAGCACCGTTTACCTGTACCTCTACCCCGTCTTCAAAGGCTGCGCATACCCTCTTCCCCAACTTGCTCCCAGCAACGCTTCTTCGCAGCCAAGGGCATTTCTAGCCAACTTTCGCCAACATTTCAATTTTAATTCCGCACAAGAACCCGAGCCAGCAATCTTCCGCCTCCTTGTCCTTGCGGACCCTCAGCTCGAAGGTGACAGCTCCCTTCCCCGCCACGAAAATGAACTCGGCGCCAGAATCCGGAGACATTGGGACGATATCATCGCCGCTATCAAGACCACATCGTCACCAGTTTATGGCGACGTACTGAGTGCCCTCTCGGCGGCTCTGCAGATACTCGTATCAGAGGATCTTCCACGTGCGTTTGCGGCCGCGCGAAAACGGCTCGATCTGCTTGGGAACGACTATTATCTGGCTCATATCTATCGCACGCTACACTGGTGGACTCGGCCGACGCATGTTACGGTGCTGGGGGATTTACTGGGTAGTCAGTGGGTTACGGACGAGGAGTTTCAGCGCCGCGGAGATCGCTACTGGCATCGGGTCTTTCGGGGTGGTGAGCGTGTTGATGATGAGATTACGCGGACGGGGGAGAAGGGTTTTTCTGGAACTGGAGGAGACAAAAAGTTGCCTGAGCCAGAGAAGTTGCCATCCTCTCCCTCCTGGGCACGCCGCATCATCAACGTTGTTGGAAACCATGATATTGGATACTCTGGCGACGCGAGTGAGCGCCGCATCGAGCGATTCGAGCGCGTCTTTGGCCGCGCAAACTGGGATATTCGGTTTCAACACCCGCCGGTTGCCAGTCGGGAGGAGGGGAAGCCAGACCTCACACCTACACTGCACGTAATCAACCTGAATAGTCTGACGCTGGACACGCCGCCTTACTCCGAGGATGTCCTAGGCCACACCTATGCGTATCTGAACGATATCATCTTGCATCGGTCGTACGCTGTCGAAGACCGGACAACGTTCACTCTTCTCCTGACGCATCTCCCCGTGCATAAACAGGCGGGTGTCTGTACGGACGGTCCGTATTTCAGCTTCTTTGAAGCGGATGACGAGTCCGACAAGCAGCGGTACCGCGCCGGTGGGCTTCGCGAACAGAACCATCTTAGCGAGCACATTAGTGCGAATGGGATCCTCCAGGGCATCTTCGGTATGAACGGTGACGGGGTCACGAAATTACCCGGGACTGGACGGGGCCGCAACGGTCTCATCCTTACAGGCCACGACCACACAGGCTGCGACGTCCTCCATTACATAGATACACCACCTCCCACTACGCAAACAACAAACCAATCCAACAAGACGCTTACAAACGACGAAGAAGAGGAATCGCCCCGCTGGACATGGAACGCAAAACGGTACAGCTCTTCCGACCAGCTACACCTCGACTCCACCATCCCCTCCATCCGCGAAATCACCCTCCGCTCCATGATGGGCGAGTACGGCGGGAATGCAGGCCTACTGTCTCTCTGGTTTGACGCTGAGGCCGCCGAGTGGAAGTACGCTGTCCAGATGTGTTCCGCTGGCGTGCAGCATATCTGGTGGGCGGTGCATGTGATTGATCTTATAACGGCTAGTGTGGGAGTTGTATATATTCTGTCAAGGGTTTGTGGATCTGGGTCGTCGACGCGATCGACCCCAGGAGTTGCGGGTGATAAGAAGACAAAGTGATTTTACAACCAGTAGTACTAGGTACTTATTGGGACATTCTTCACCCGAGTTATGTACAATAGATTCTGGATATATGTATATATGTATGTACGTTTATAGAATGACAAACGAATACCGAACATACCAATCTACTAGAGACCCTCCCAAGTACTATATAATGCGTACGCCTCTAGGCATTGCACTTTTAAGTGCGCGCTACTGCTAGACTCTACTTGACCCTAAACCGGGACCTAACACGCTCATCCTCTATATGGAAGGAAAGAGCCACTGGCGTCACGGGTGCACAGGGTGCTGCAGGAAAGAGCAACAGAGGGACGCAAGGTCCGCACCTTCCTTATAGATTATGATAGCGCCATGATAGGAAGGCACGAACATATCCTGGTGGGCGGGCCATAGGCCAGATTAGCAACGCAAGCGCAACGGACCCTTGAGAAAAGCGAGTTGTACTTTTCTGAGCTTTACAATTAAAAATACCTTCTAGACTTCAAGTCATTCCATACTAACTACTACATAGTAGTTATGATACATTGCTGGGACTGCGCCAAACAATCTTCTTACGACCATTATAGTTGAGTTTGCTAAATCAACAAGTCGTAGAGAAAGTGACAAAGGTGGCGGTGTTTGTCATGGCTGCATCTCTCCACCTCCATATTGTACGTTCTACTACAAGTACAGCACAAGAGCAGCTCCTCTGGGCAGATGGAAGGATCCGTTAAGAGTTCATGATTTCTTTTTGATTTTTGGAAAGAAAAAAACCCCGCTGGTATTTCATTCTAATACAACCGTCCCATATCCAAACCCCGTTTACATGACAACACCGGAGTTGGAGGCGATACGCTAAAGACTCCAGTTAGCGCTATGCGAAATGAGAAGAGTAAAGGACAAAAACTCACAGGCCAAAGCTCAGCAGCCTCCTTACCGACGGGACCGGTAATGGCAGAACCCTTCATCTCACCCTTGGCGTTGACGATCTATGTAGATATCCTTATTAGTCCCTGCATCTCATTTGGCCTCGTGGCCTTGGCATGAAGGGCGTAAACGTACAACACCGGCATTGTCCTCGAAGTAGAGGTAGATGCCGTCGGGCCGGCGCCAGGGCTTGCTCTGGCGGACAACGACAGCGGGCATGACCTTCTTACGGAGCTCGGGCTTTCCCTTCTTGACGGTGGCCATGACCATGTCACCGACACCGGCGGCGGGGAGGCGGTTCAGACGAGCACCGATACCCTTGACGGAGATGATATAGAGGTTACGAGCACCGGAGTTGTCGCAGCAGTTGAGGACGGCACCGCTACAAACGTTTGTCAGTCTGGAGTTCATCTTCTTCATTGGCCGTGTTTTCCGTGTTAAGCGATCGGAAGCGAGATATTGACAGAGAGATTGGGCTCATGTTCATGTTCAAGGTTTCGAGTTCGGAGTATTCTCTTGTTTTGAGGTGAGGTGACGGTTGGAACGTACCAGGGCAGACCCAGGGTCATCTTCAGCTTGTTGCCGGCAACACCACGACTGTTGTAAAAAGGAAGGTTAGCGAATGTTTTCACAAATAGTTGCAATGCCCAGTATTCATGCTTCCAATCCACATCAAATCATTCAGTCCGGCAGGCGGGAGAAATTGCAAGTCCAGCGATATCTGTTGAATCCGCTATCCTCCTCTCTCAATTTCCCTTCCTTTGGCCCATCCTCTTTCTCTGCGTCGTCGTCGATGTCGAATTGAACCCGCCTATCTCCCGCCCGCCCGCAGCGCAGAAAGAACCTCAAAACCGGAACATAAAAAAGTCACCGAAAAGACTCACCCTCTCTTAGACGACATCTTGGCTATGTATTCGCGTTAACGGTGTCGGATAACGGGGTTTGGCGACGAAAGGGACGAACAAGGTCGAGACGGAGTTCGAGTTGGCTTTCCACTCGGGGTTTCTGAGTGTTTCTCGCTTAGTGCGGTCACGGTTTGCAAAATCTTGGCGGCCTCATTGGTGGTGGAGACTGGTGGGTCATGGGGCCCTTGAGCCCTAGAACTTTTCTGCTTTGGGGACTGCATTATTTGTCAGCAGGATAGTCTCTGCATAACTCCAACCCTACAACAGGGTCAAGAGTCACTACATCAGTGGCAGGGTATCTGCAAGCTGCGTATGTATTAAGAAACAGTAGATTGAGTACAGGTTTATCTCATCACCAGGCTAAAGCTTAAAAGTATGACATAACATAGGCGAACAAAAAAACCCTCCATAAAAGCAATGCAATAGGTGCCCCAAAGTCTCCCAAACACCAACCTGTCCGTTGCGCCAGGAACCGAGAAGAACGCCGCTGCAAGTCTGCTGCGCTTATTCCTCTCTCCTTGCGGCCTCGGCCTGAGGATCTGAGCTCGGTTCCTTAGCCTTGGAGGCCTCTTGGTCTGGGTTCACAGCTGAAGGCTCTCCAGCCCTGGGCTCTTCCATGGTCTGAGTGGTTGCCGTTTCTGTAGGTTCAGCCCTTTCTGCAGCCTCGCCTGACGCCTGGTACTCCTCAGTATTCAATTCGGATGGGGCTTTTGACTGCGCCGCCGACTCGATGGCTGGAGCAGAAGCCGTTTCAGCCGCCTTGCCTTCTTTAGGTTCGCTCGGTGCTGGCGCTCTCTCTTGTTCGGATGTCGCTGCAGTATTGTCCGCGTCTTCCATTGTGATGTCCTCATCTGGGGGCCTGGGAGAATCTGGGCGCGAAACAGGAACTGATGTAGGGGTCGATTCTTGAGCGCCGGCCGCAATTTCATTGAGTCCTCCAGCAGCAGACCCAATCTCACCCCTAGCCGGTGGCTGCGAAGAAGAGGACGTTCCCTGAGCCTCAGCCTCCACTTCGGGCGCTTCAGTCATCCTCGCATCACCGCCGAGGTCCATCTCCTCGTCTACCGCCGACGAAGCATCATGTGGTGTGGCAATCCCGCTTTCAACACCAGAATCCGCAAGATCTAATCGGTGGCTGACTTGGTCTCGCCGCTTTAGGTAGGCCGGTTTGCGGCTGACACCATTTGCAGCATTCTCATCTTCATCTTCGCTATCGCTCAGCTCGCCTGGTTTTTCAATATATTGGTCGAAACGTCGTTTTGTAAACCGTTTGTCTTTGTTCTCGTCTTCGTCTAAGTCGTCTAGTATTGCCTCTGCTTCATCGTCCATGCCATCCACAAGCGGGTCGCGGGGAACATCGGTCATCTGTACAGACGGGGCAAACGCCGTGCGCTTGAGATTCTCAACAACTTGCGTGCGAATCTTGTCAAGATACTCTCGTGTGTTCGCGTTGTCCATATTTGACGGACGCACATCCAGCTCATAGTCTGGCGCAAAGTACTGTACCGAGGTTAGCATATCAGAAAAGGTATAGCCGGCAGCACACGCACCTCGTAGTAATCATTGTAGGGCAGATCTGATCCGAGGTTCTCTCCGACAAGTATACCCGTCTCAAACGCCCACGTTCGGGCGACGTTACGCATCGTGTATCCACCACCACCGAGAATCAAGGTTGGCAAGTTGAAGCTCTTGACATAATTGACGCAGTTGGCGTGTCCACGCATGCTGAGATTGAAGCAACCCAGGCGATCACCAGAGAGACTGTCGCCACCACACTGGAGAACAACAGCCTCCGGTCGGTACCACTCCATCACGCTCTTGATGACGGGTTCGAAGATACTTTTGTAGGATACATCATCAATGCCATCGCGAAGCGGAAAGTTGACAGCGTAGTATTTACCTGTACCCACACCGATATCACGCAGTTCTCCTGTTCCAGGGAAATACTCGCCGTACTTGTGGAATGAAACGGTCATGACGCGGTCCGTAGTGTAAAAGGCTTCTTCCACACCGTCACCGTGGTGAACATCAATATCAATGTATAGGACTCGCTGCTTGAAGCGGAGCAGCTCGAGAATACCAAGAACGATGTCTAATAGTGTCAGCTCATCATAGAAAATCCCCAGTCATCGCGTCGCACTCACCATTCACGTAGCAGAATCCACTAGCTTCACTTTTCTTCGCGTGGTGAAGACCACCTGCCCAGTTCACAGCAATATCGCATTTATTTCGATTGAGCCGCGCCGCGCCCTCCATACTGCCACCGGCACTGATACCGCAGAACTCGAAAAGTCCGTCGAATACGGGACAGTCATCTCCAACATTATACTTGCTCTGCTCCTTCGCATATGTTTCCATATTATCCGGAGTAACCTTGGAGAGAAAATCGATATATTCGTCGGTGTGGAACTGGGTCATCTCGAACTTTGATGCGGGCTTCGCACGCTGTGGGGATTGACATTTAGTAACCTGCGGTTTCAGGACAGTCGACAGTTAACTCACGTAGATTTCCATCTTCTTGTAAAGACTGTAGTTCATCACCAAGCTGTGTGTCATCCTGATGCGATGAGGCTTCATCGGGTGGCCCGACACATATGCATAGTTTCCCACATCGGAGTCGTAGAAATAGGCGACCCGCTTGCTGCGATCCCCTGCCCCATTCAGAGTAATGGGGTCAAGAGGAGGGCCTGAAGCCATCTTGAAAGGTGGCCCAAAAGATGGCGACAATCAGTCTAACTCACCACGAAAAGTGGTGGGAGGAGCGCGGTGTTTGCTCGGGGGTCAACCGGGCTTAAGGGACAAGGAAAGGAGAGGACACAACGGATGTAATTTGGGTGAGCGTGCCGCCGAGGATACAAAAGCAAGTATGCACCTCGAATAAAAAAGCTAAACAGTATGAGTGCGAGAAATTGGCTCTCTCAGATGAAGCATGAACCGGAACGAATGAGGAGAATCTAGAGACGAAGCGACGAGGAGGCCGAGAGAGGCGGCCAGAAGCTGCCCTCACCGCCTTCGTCAGCCTCTCTGCCTGCGAACAACTGGAGCTCCAGAGTCCAGTGCTCCGGCTCATCTCGTCACGGCTGCTCAAGCAACGCCCCATTCGATTCCTTTCCTCCATCTTCGCTTTTCTCCTTCAACGAACTAGAGTCTCCTCATATCGACCTCTATAAAGTCTCGACAGTCCAGTTACTTCCCACCTATACTTCCGCCTCAGTATTTGAGGCAATTTGGAGCTTCCGTTGAGGAAGTGGTTCACGCATTTCTTCGTCCATATCCCTTGTCTAGATAAATCAACAATCATGGATAGACTTACTCGGATGCTTCAGGCTGCCCAGGGTATGGGCATGCCAACTTCCGCTCCCGGTGGGGTGAGTTACTCTTCGGCTATCAATACCAGGATGACTTCCATCCAGAAGACCCTCGCATTGCGCTTGGGGGTAGAGACAACGTGACAAATGCTAACAACAGGGTATATCAGGATACCCCAAACCTTCTCGATAACTGCGAAACTGTACACATCTCCTCCCTTGCGCTGCTGAAGATGTTACGGCATGGTCGGGCAGGTGTGCCGATGGAAGTCATGGGCTTGATGTTGGGTGAATTTGTGGATGAATACACAGTGCGAGTAACAGACGTCTTTGCCATGCCTCAAAGCGGTACCGGTGTTAGTGTCGAAGCTGTGGACCCTGTTTTCCAGACCAAGATGATGGACATGCTCCGGCAAACCGGACGGTAACTTCAAACTACCCATTTGTGCCTGAAAGCTCTTATGGATGCTTATTTGTGTTTTACAGACCGGAACCTGTAGTCGGCTGGTACCACTCTCACCCAGGATTCGGGTGCTGGCTCTCATCTGTCGATATCAACACTCAGCAATCGTTTGAGCAGCTTACACCCCGTGCAGTTGCCGTTGTCGTCGACCCGATTCAGTCCGTTAAAGGCAAGGTCGTCATTGACGCCTTCCGTCTCATCCAGCCACAGACCGTTGTTATGGGCCAAGAGCCCCGTCAAACCACCTCCAATTTGGGCCACCTCAATAAGCCCTCGATCCAGGCTCTCATCCATGGCCTGAACAGACACTACTACAGCATTGCAATCAACTACCGCAAGACAGGACTAGAGGAGAACATGCTGATGAACCTGCACAAGCATGTCTGGACGGAGGCATTGCAAATGAACGACTTCCACGACGAGTGCCAACACAACACCGACCGTATGAAGCAGCTCGTTCATCTGGCCGAAGGTTACGAGAAGCGGGTGAAGGAGGAGACAGAGCTCACCAAGGAGCAGCTGAAGACAAGATATGTTGGAAAGGTCGACCCTAAGAAGCGTAAGTCTTTGCCCTCTAGTGAATGGTTGACTTTGCTGACAAATTATGTATCCAGACATCGAAGACATGAGCCAGCAATTGATCGAAGACAACATCGTTGCCGTGTCGCGGCAAATGATTGATAAGGAGGCCTCCGTGGCACGAGAGAATGGCAAAGGGCCTCAGAATGGCACTGGCATGGATGTGGACGAGGAGCTATAGTTGACATGTACACATACTGCCTGAAGATAGCTAAATCTTCACGAGTCTATGAAATAACATTCTGAACGTGCAACTATCAAGTCTTTCATTCCCTCACATGATCAGTGTATAAAGCAAAAGCGAACTATATATGTCTATCTTCAAAGTTCGGGTTTTGTAAGTGGGCTTGTGTCATGGCTCGTAGAGTTCGTCTACTTTACCTCTTCTACCAAAGAAGAGCTCTTTGTTGTGAATTTCGCAGTCTGAGGCTTCCGAAAAGACAGCCCATAGACCATCCTCTCCGCAACCATGTCTTCTTCATCATAGTCCGTCCATCGCCGCTGTGGACCCCATACGATCTTCTTCCCAGCGGCTCTAGCTTCCTGAAGCAAGCTCTTCATTAGAGCACCATTCTTCATGACAGATGGATTTCCGTCGAATTCGACGTGCATCAAGTTCGGCAGCCTCTCCAATATCTGCCGTAGCAGGCCACCCGCAAATTCTGAGTAAAAGTTCGTGGAAATGCGCCAGCCCTCGAATACAGGATGGGACGGGTCAACCTCGATAAAGACCTTGAGAAGGCGCAGGCGGGTCATCTCTTCCAACCCTAAGTGACGGCTGACTTTCCACGAGCGCGGTGGCGACGTCCAGCTGGATCCGAGAATCAACTCGATGGTGCCGATTGACGGGAGGTACTTGCGCGGCAAGCCCCTTACTGTCGGCATCCGGTTGTAATCTTGGATGGGAAAGATGCGAAAGGCTTGCGTTGAGTAAAAGAAATCAGCAGCCTCATTGTGCATCTGCCGGGAGACGAGGAAGAGAGAGATACGGTGGGAAAGAGGCGAGCGCAAGGGGTTCTTTGATGAAGCGCCTATACTGCCATTTCCATGCCGTGATTTGTTGCGGCGCGGAGAGAAGAGGGCGTAATCATAGATACGCAGGCGGAGCTCGGCGGGGAGGTCAAAGAATCGAAAGGGTTCGCTAGGAACTGGGTATTCCTCCTCTTTAAAATCTTCTTCATAATCGTAGGCCGTCTCGGTGATGTTTCGAAGATAGTACTCGGCTCCGCGCGGACGGTCATCAAGACGCACTCTCTTGAGAGAATCTATGAGAGGGGCGGCCATTTTGTAGTCTAGAGAAAGTACGCACAACGATACAGAATTGGGGAAAGGCCGTCAGAAAGGCAATTGCTTTGGTCTATACCATGCCATTATTGCATTTAACTCGGTCGATGATTAACGAGAGGATACACTCAAGCGGTGGCGAGCATCAGCCTACCCACTCGAGGACAAAAAGTCGTGATTATATCCCACTAACGGGGCTGCAACTGCACAGAATTTCTTCGCTGCGGCTCTTGGGTGTGGGATAGAAGACAAGCTTCCTTGGTCTCCCCAGCTAATACAACCCGGCATGCATGGGAAAAGAAGCCTGAAGGGTCAAATTCGTGTTCTGGGTGTTCAACTTTCAAATTGGAGAAAAAAAAAGAAGAAGAAAAGTAAGAACTTGGCCGGCGGCGGGGCCCTTATAAAGGCGTAGGAAGTGCGCAAGTGGTTCGTTGCCACCAGCCGTACCTAGCCACGCCGATGATGAAACTCTTCAACTTTTCCTGAGAAGATGCGCTCAACCTCGCTCGCCGCCCTCCGGTTTCCTGTCCCAAGTTGTCCCAACCCGCGAGACTCCCATCGTCCTCGCCGCTCCATTCGTACCGCTGCTCAGGAATTGGCGCGGCTTTCTTCTTCACGAGTTAAAGCTCTCACTTTTTGGTGCGGAGCATGAGTGTATTGTTTCCCTGATTTCTACACAACCAAATATCACAGTATGCTTCGCCGCGCTATCCTACCTCTGGCGAGGCCAAACGCCCTTGCCTCCGCCCCTCGGTTATCAGCACTTCCGATCTCTCATTCTCGATGGTACGCGAAGAACACAAAGAACAAGGCACCCTATAAGCTCCCAGATTCCGTCAAGGCCTCAAAGCCTGCACAGCCTGCCAAGTCGTCTCAACAAGAGCAGTATGCCGCTGAGCAAGCTGAGTTTGAGACGAAAGCAGATCCTCAAGTAAACACAGCAAACACGACATCACAAGCTTCCGAGACAGTAAGTTGTTCCTAGCGAGAAACTCAAATGGATTTTCCTGTTCTTGAACTGACAGCCTTAGCCGGAATCTTCCCCGACACCGCCTGAACAAGATGTATCAGAAAAACCACTACCGGATCTTACACAGGGTATCCCTTCTACCCTCTTCGCAGAATTAGAAGCTCGCTCTAAGAAGCGCGAACCTGGATCTTTAAACCTCACGGAGGACCCTTCGCGCTTCGAAGAAGAATATAATGACGACGGCCGTGGGGATATCCCAAAGGGAGGGTATGAATCGTCTCTCGACCGCAAGCGCGCCCGCATGGCCAACTTGATGTATGCCCTTTTCTTGTTCGGAAGCGTTGGTGGTATGGCCTACCTGGGACGCAACTGGGATACAGCAGAGGAGGAGAAGCAGCACACCGATGCCCCGTCAGGATGGGCCTTTGGTCTTTGGTACAACCGCGTCAAGGCTCGCCTCGGCGATATTACAAGTTACTACAAAGACCCCGCGTTCCCCAGGTTGCTCCCCGATGAGGACCCCAACCTGCGTCAACCCTACACCTTGGTACTCAGTCTGGAAGATTTGCTCGTCCACAGCGAGTGGAGCCGTGAACATGGGTGGCGGGTTGCCAAACGACCTGGAGTCGACTACTTCCTTCGCTATCTCAACCAGTACTACGAACTTGTTCTCTTCACCAGTGTTCCCAGCATGATGGCCGACCAGGTCCTTCGCAAGCTTGATCCTTACCGCATCATTCGCTGGCCATTGTTCAGGGAGGCTACTCGCTACAAGGACGGAGAGTACATCAAGGTATGCATAAGCTCAAGTCTGACCCTTGTCATCAGTGATTAACATCATTCTTAGGACCTTTCTTACCTCAACCGTGATTTGTCCAAGGTCATTCTCATCGATACTAAAGAAGAGCATGCCCGTCTGCAACCAGAGAACGCTGTTATTCTCGACAAGTGGGACGGTAACCCCAAGGACAAGACCCTGGTCGCGCTAATTCCATTCCTCGAGTATATCGCTGGTATGGGCGTTGAAGATGTCCGCCCTATCATCAAGTCGTTCGAGGGCCAGTCAATCCCGATTGAGTTTGCCAAGCGTGAGAAGGCTATGCGCGAACGATTCGAGAAAGAACTCGCCGAAGAGCAGAAGAAGCGACCTAGGAGGAGCGTGGGCAGCCTTGCCTCAGCTCTTGGGCTGAAGTCTAACCGCACCCTGGATGGTGAGCAGTCACCCTCTGAGGGCCTGCAGGAGGGCAAGATGCTCTGGGACCAGATCCGTGAACGCGGCCAGAAGAACTATGAGATGATTGAAAAGGAGATTCGCGAAAACGGCGAGAAGTGGCTGGCCGAGATGGCTGCTGAAGAGGAGAAGCTCCGACAGGAGCAGATGGAGAGCATGAAGGGCTCCTTTACCGGTTTCTTCGGTGGCGGCAAGAAGGAGTAATCTCCTTTATGGTCATCAAAGGATTCCGTCTGTCTACGGCGTAACCCTTCATATAACGCTGTTTATTTCTCCCCTCTGATCTTCTTTAATACGCGCCTAAGCCGCTTTTGTTTTCTCAACTTGGGGTGTATCTCATAGAGGTCTTTGCTGCTTCTTCTTACTTCTATTTTTTGGCTGCAACGATCTACTAAGCATCATGGGTGAATGTAAAATAACTAGCATCTATATTCCAATGTTGTATAAAATGAACACATTATTAATAGAATTACTGTGTTGCATAGGTCCTCGACTAAACGTGTATCATGTCTTGTATTGTTGAATGTACATATATAAACTTGTGGCCTACAACCGGGTATATATAAGCAAGCATAAGCACAACCCGCCCAGGCACCTGTTAAGAGGGGCTACTTGATCCCATCCACGCATCCAGCCCACCAGTTTCATAACCCTTACCATACTTGTGAGACGTGGTCAACCCAAGTTCACATCCTGAAAAACCGAAACATCCCAAATCCCTGTCATATCGAACGGAAACCCATCCATAGTGCCAAACGTCCCCGAAATCGACATCATATCGTCCACAATATCATTATTTGTCTGTGTCTCCGGCAACGAGATCGAAATCGCCGCCGGGTTGACCAGCCGATTCGCGCCACCATCGGGAGGCCCCATGAGTCCGTTGACGCCAACGCCAACGGCATTGCCGCCGCTACTTAGGATGATGCCGTTGTTGGATGCGTCGACTGTTGCTCCGCTGTTATCTGTGCCAGGCGGGAGACGGGTGAGGATGCGTTCGCAGTGGTCGAGGCACATGTCTGCGACATCCCAGTCGTATTCTTCGCGGACGCGGCGGAGGATTTCGCGGAAGGATTCGACGTTGGAGAGGCATGTACGGGCGACTTCCGGGTCGGAGGTCTCCAGGGCGCACCGCACGAGGAGAGTTGCTGTTGAGGTTAGGTGGAAAGCGCTGTCTAAAGTGGTGGTTAGTTGATGTTCATCTTCTTTTCTGTGCAGCAAGAGAAAGAAAGAGAGAAGATGCATGAAGGCGTCCTTACAGGGCAGCCAGAATTCTTGAAAGTTTTCTTTGCGGAGGGAAGAGATAAAGTGGACTATCTCTTCAGCGCCTTTGCGACACTCCGTTTGGAAGTATCTGCGAGCTTCGGGGAGGTCCGTCTCTGAATTGTTGACGTCCTGGAACGCAAATAACGGTTAAACAAGGACATAATTGTGGACTGCATATTAAAAGGGCCTTACGTTCAACTCTACCCTTCCGACGAGCAGTTTCACAGCCAGAAAAGCCAGCTGTAAGCTGCAGATACCGGCTATTCGATCTTCTGAAGTGTCTAAAGGTGACCTTAGCCAGTCTGGCAGAGAGTCTTCCCAGACATCTAAATCCGTCCGGATCTGTCGAATCTTCTTTGTTGTCTCGCGTGGAGAGCGCTGCTGAAGGCCGTAGACTAGAGGGAGTAGCTCGCCTAGGATTTCGGTCAAGCGGCAAAGTGCAATATGGCAGTGTGCTGCCCTTATTCGTTCAGGAGTGCGCGAACTTGGAGACACCAAGACATCCACCGTGGGAAGAGGCACATCATACTGGTTTTTCGAAATCTGAGGCGGAACACCATGTCCAAAACTCCCCCTTGATCGGGTTAGCATATATGTGGTACGAGGGCTTAGGAAGAAACTGACCAGCGATCATGTATGACCACAGCCCACCAGAGGCGAATGCGCTGATTTTGCTCTTGCCGAGACAGTTTCCAGTTGTTTGGGTCCCGATTTAGACCAAGGCAATGAGCAAGCGAGACCATGCGCCCAGAGCTGATTGCATTGCCGGTCATGGAGAATATAGGGCGGCCAGTCAGATCAATCAGAGCTGCACTGATAGTTGACAGCCCTGGTGCGGAAAATTCCTCGTGTAATGCTGCGACGGTCAAGTTAACGGCGTATCTGACGTCTGGCTTTGGATGGCAAGCAAGCTTGGGGGTATGCTTCCAGTGGACCAGTGACATAGAGTAGACTTGACATAAGAGCGATGCTGGCGGCTCGCTAGGTGAATCCGAAATATAGGCTTCCCAAAAGGCTTCGCCGTCAAATATGGGAAATGCTGCATTGAATCGATCTAGGAATCTGCAATATGTTAGCCAGGGGACTCGCGTACTCATAGACTATGGACACATACAGTCTCACTAGATCATCTTTGAATGGTCCAAGTATTTGCTCCAAAATTTCCTTTTGGTTCTCCCCTGGTGGTATACCAACGCGCATTCCCTGTCTCCGCCTGGAGACGGTGGTGTAAAGAATAGGCTTCCTAGGGTCATTTGAGTAGACGTTGTATGGATGATTATTCCTCGGCTCCACCGATTTGTTAGACCTCTGCGGAGGCATGTATTTCTCAATCACATTTGCATCGTCAGCCACCACTGGTCCGACAATGAAAACAGATTCATTTTGGCCGTCATCAATTCCATGCCGTTTGTGCTCATTTGGCCGACTGGGAACTGCAGAGTTGGACCGTCGAACTTCGGGAAGACCTTCCACTCGACGAGATGACTGCATAGGAGAAGCGGATTCTGGAGTGCGTTTACGCTTCTGGCCCGCGTGAAGATTCTCCGTGACGTGGTCTGTATGCCATCCTGTCGGTTCTACCGCGTGCGAATTCGGCAGCTCACTGTTGCCCTCTTCCTGGTAATGGCAGTCCGCTCCTTGAACACGGCACAGAAGGCATGACTGGCCTGGAATATCCACGGTACATCTGGATTTGCGTTTCCGGCAAAGATCACAAGCTCTAACCTTGTGTGACCTGTAGGGTCTCGCTCCCGCATTCAATGCCGGAGAGGCTGGAATCTTCGGGGCCGAGCTAGGCTTCACAGCTGCAGGAGGCATGATGTACCCTAATAACGCCAAGTGAATCCGTCCAGCGTCGTGCGTATAGATCAGAGACCGTTGTTGCTGAGGCTGTCGCACGTGACGCCTCCGACTGCGGGGGTCGAGAAGCAAGATTCACCTCACAGTGGGAATTGACGAAAGTCAAGAAAGAAGAGTATGTTGTAGCGCACAAGATCTCTGCAGTCGGCAGTCGATAAGTATGAGAGCCCTATCTCGGGGCTAGAACATTGAGCGAGGCTTCTTTCGCCTGAGACGGTGATTGAGCGCAAGGGTAGCCAATTGCCGAGTCACTCGGAATGCGACATTGTCTCCGCGCGCAATAATAGAGCCAACAGGGTGAATGTGAGAAGCCTCTGATCTATCAATTGCAGCCGATATCCGTGCCTCTTCTGCAACGTCTCCTCTCACCAACCAGCATCGAGAGAGGCGTCTTTTCTTTTTCTGGAGCGTACTCTAATCTCTTATCGCAGACGAAAAGGACCGTCCAGCAGCCTGGGCAGCTGTGGGGGATCGCTGAGTCATCTGCTGGTCAACTACTGGCCAACCACGTGCCTGCTATTTTTATCGCGTCCTTTTCAGGTTCACCTGGGCACACTTGTGATAGCCCCCGGCAGGCTCCGATCGAGTCTCTCTTGGCTTGTCCATCACTCCACGTCGCCAAACGTTTGGTGCTGCCTTGTCACCATTTTGCCCTCGCTATCGTGGCCTTCATCGCTCCTTTTGATTCTGTGTCAGGTTGTATTAGCGCGTCTGAACCTCTGCGGGGGTCGCTGTTTCGCTTCAGCTAGGCTGAGATCGAGAACCAATAAACAACTGTCGTTCAATCCTCGCCTGCTTGGGCGAGATCTCCGTTGCAGCGGCACAGCCACCAGCCCAAGTCGCTAGCGACACTTCTGTTGGCATTTAGAAGGACCAGTTTCCCCCCTAAACTTTCCTTCTTTAAGACCACAGGGAAGATCATGAATACGCGCAATTGATCTGGATATGCCTTTGTTTGATGCGATGAGTCTTGACTGAATATGGAGGAGGATGTTCGGCCCCCACAGCATGAGCGGCTTGGTGTTGACGGCGAGTCGCTCCTCGAGCAGGAGCCCATTCAACATCCCCAAGTGCCGGTGCCACTAAAGACGGCTCTAGCACCGGCTGCACCTCAAGCCAGCCAGCATACTTCGGCAAACCCATTCGGTCGTTTACCCCGGACTGTTATTGAGCAGTAAGTTCAAGCTTGTCCTTGGTGCACCCACAGCTACTACGGTAGCAGGAATGCACGCGTCCTATCCGACCCGTCGTATAGATTATGGGCAATTTTAACTGATCTCACAGCATTCTTTATGTAGCAGATGCAAGTACATTCGCATGCTTGGCATTATTGAACAGAAAATGGCGGCGAATATCTGACTCGTCTCTGCTGTATGCCCACCACTTGTCACGCTGTCCCTCCTTCGCCCTGTCATGCAAAGCTACCGAAGAGAGCCCAAGACAGCCTGACGATCTTGTTCGTCTCAAGCGGCAATTCTTCTCTGAGATTAGGCGCAATGGGTTTGATGTTTTCTTTCGGCCCCATCATACTTTGGTCAAACTCATCTCAACGTCTATGAGCTCTTCCACAGCATTCCCGCATGGGGAGGCTTTTCGTTTTGCATTTTCACAGAATGCCCAACTTATCCTTTGTATCAGCTCATCGCGAATTGTCGTTCTGGATGTGACATCAGAGCCGCCTGTGGTAAGGCATGAACTCAAAACGTGGAGACGCCCGTTGCACGCCACTATCCTCGACGACGGATCGCTTCTTGCCGTGGCATCTTCAACTCATCAGGTTAATATCTACAGACTTTTCGACACAGAAGCCCAACTCATCCAGAATCTCAAATTGACTGACGTTCCCCGGGCTTTGGCGTTTTCCCCAACTGGAGGTGTCCTGGCTATTGCGTACAATGCTATGATTGAGGTATACGCCGTCGGCGAGGGAGCAGCAGTAACGGAACGAAGAGCTGTGCGCTGCGCAGGGGTTGACTCGATCTCCTTTTCGTCGGATGGCGTGACTTTGCTGGGTTCTTCAGATAACTCTCAAACAGGTAATCTGGTTACGATCACCGTGCCTTTGTTTGGAGAACAAGATGCCGACATTTCTGTCAAGGATGTTCAGATTCAGATGTGGACCACTCAAATACTATTCCCGGATACTGTCCGCAATTACAGCCACGCTTGTCTGCTTCCCTTGCACACCGAGGGCGAAGGGAGCTGGATCTTGGCCTTCGACAACCAATTGGGAGTGTACAGAGCTATTGGGGCCAGTAACAGCAGTTCCGGTACGACATATTTTGTGAGTCCGAGGTCCGAGGATGACCTCAAAGAGCATCCCCCGATGATGCTGGCTTCTTCAGACTGCCAAGGGGAGCTTGTTGCTCTGGGATTTCAAAATTCTGGAATTTGGGTATATGGTTTGCCTGACCGTCTTGATATTGCTCCTGTGGCGCAGAACTCGGGCGATTCCCAGAGCCGGCCTGGGACTGCTCAAACTCGACCGATCGAAGATTTGCAAACCAATATGAGCCGACTGCAGCACACTATAACGCGGCCGAAGGTGCTAATTAAGGGTCATAAGGTTATTGAGATGCCAGGTGTCACTGCTGCTCGCTTTGTGCGGCATAACCCTTCAGCGGGTGGACAGCGGAGACTGGCTGCCGTGGCTCCTGGTGGAGTTGATCATACAATATTTGGTGATGAGGATGTGCCCTTAGATGGCGGGAGGGTTTTGCTTCTCGACTTTGCGCGTTCAGTAACGGATGGGGGTTTGACTGAACTGACCATTGAGATTGGGGAAGCAGAGCCTACGTTACTTCGGGAGCCGAATTCGACTCTAGCCACCGAGGTTGAATTGGAACGAAGAAGAACTCGCCTACACCGTGGTAACTCGGCCGGGATGACAGCCAGGGGACCTCGGGAATCATATCCAGCAGCTAGCTCGAGTGCGCGCGGGCGTCCTCGCAGGAACAGTTCTTATCTCTCTGCATCCTCAAGCGAAGTAGGGGGCGAGAGTGAGATAGGTGCTATCCCAGATAGCCCTTACGACAACACGCAACCACGATCGCAAGACACGTTACGGCGTGCTGCCACAGCAGCAGCTGCAAGCCGCCGGCGCGTCGTCAATGAACCACGTCGTGTGTACCCCAACACGCCTGTTCCTCCAATTTTCCAGATTCCCCATGAAAGCGACGCCGACAACTGGGTTCCTCCCCCTCCCCCATATCAACGAGAGCCCGATGTACCTCTTCCAGATTTTCTAAGAAGGACACTACTCCCTCCACCACCAGGCCGCGCTCGAGGCGCCAGCAATGCAGCAGATTCGATTCGAAGATCTCTCACAACCCGCTTTCTGACGGACGCTTCGTCTCGGCCCTCTCTGCACAGACTGAATACTGTCACTGGGCCAAGCCTGGCCTCCCGCATGAGACGACAGACCAGAGAACCTTCGCCTCCTGATAACGCGCGGAGACACGCTAGTTTTCTACGAAGGAGGGATACCCCTGATACCCAGAGCCCTCAGACACCTCAGCAACGTAACAATGTCAATGGCTCTCCTCAGCAGGCCCGTACTCCCTCCATGCCTCCGCTTCCAGTGCAGAACACCTCTTTAGCGGTACCGAATCCGTCATTGATACTTCCCAATATTCCTGTGATGGCAGGCCCATCGCAGAATCCACTCCCAGCGGCCCAAGTTGAGCCTGTTGGACAGTCACCAAACAGTGATGAATTGGACGGCTGGCAACATGTTATGCCATCGGTTCCTATGACTCCACCTGCCATGAACAATTACCTTTTCTCTCTTTCGTCACCGAACCTTATTCAACCGGAACTCATCGAGGAAGTTCAATGCCCTCAATCACCCGGACGACCCCATGACCGCACCCAATCGCATGATATTCGGCCACCATGGTCAGCAATAGCCCTTCGGAACCGACGGGCATCAACCGACCCTACCCACTCGAGCGCGCAATCTGTTGCACCAGAGCAACAATGGCGGAGGCGGATCGAAGAATGGAACGAGCGCACCATTTATGAACGAAATAAAAAGAGCCGAAGCAAGTGCACCGTGATGTAATATCTACCCCTAGTGGGCTTTATTCTTCTCTTTCCCTCTTCTCTCGTGCACTTACTTGCCTCCATTATTGGCATATACCGATATTGACCCTTGGAGGGCGATGATACCTAATGTTGATCATTTGGATGGGCTTATCTTTTTCGCATATACCCATTTGGCCATTCGTTCGCCTGCCTTGCGGCTTTTCCGTACAGCTTTGGTGGTTGGATAAGCATACAATTTCCTACACAATCCATTCAAAATGTCATGAGCGTAAGAAGAAGTTGCTGCAAATTCGCTTAACGGAAGTATGTCAAACTATAAAGCATTGTAGCATTGTCGACCTTCCCTCTGGTATCAACACCACATTTCTTCATCTCAACAGCCCCCTCCTCCTCCCCCACATCCACCGCCGCCTCCACCGCCGCCCCCTGAGCAGCCTCCGCCCGACGATCCCCCGCCTCCACCACTACCACAGCCGGCGCCAGCACTCGAGCCCCCCGAACCCCCAGCACACCCACCACTACATCCACCCTTCCCACCACAGCCCCCAGCAGCAACGGCGCCACCACAAGTTCCCGAGGCACAGTTCCCAGGATGCCCAGGGTTCAGATTCATGCAGGCCGGATCCGCAGCATACACATCGCAATGGACACTCGGGTCACAGGTGTAGGGTGCATAGTAGGGGACGTAGACTGGATACCCCCACATAAGCGGGTACGTCGTGTAAAAATCTCGGTCGCGCTTCTCGGCATCATCGTCGTCCTTGCCGTGATGCTTCTCGTCAATCGCACCTACTGGGGCTTTGCCGTCTCGAGACGTCCGCTTACCTGCTCGGCGGCGGGCCTTTTCATACTCGCTGCGGAGTTTCAGAAATTTCATATGGCAGGGGTCGACTCCTGAGGCGGTATATGCGACTGCTTGTTTGGTCTTTACGGCGCTGTGCGCGGAGATATGTGGGTTTTTATCAGGGTGCGCAGAGATATCTGGGTTGTCGTGCAGGTTGGCGGCTGCGCTGCGAGCCTTTGAGCCGGAGGAGGAGAAGATGGTGAGTTTGCCCTTGAGGTCGGACCCTCGGGTGGCTTCGCAGTACCAGCAAGTGCACTCAGAGTAAATGCCACCGTCTGTGAGCTTGCGGTACATCTTGGTAGTCCACTCGAAGGCGTCGGAGAGTTTCGTCTCGGAGACTTTGTCGTCGTGGTCAATGAAGATGGCTCGTTTGCCATCTTGCTCGGTGCGGTGGGTGGAGTATTCGAAGTAGCGGGCTGGGGAGAGTTGGTGCGTATGCCAGGCGAGGTCGACGTCGAGGGTTGGGACAGCCATGCGGCTAGGATTGGAGGACATGATCTGAAAAAAGACGGCGTATTTGCGAATAAGGCGGAGCATGGTTTTGGAAAGGGTGGGAGAGCGCAGCCAGTCGATGTTATCCATTTTCTGGATGAATGTCCCCTGCCGAACGACTGCGCCGACTAGGTCAAGGGCGAATTGTGAGCTGTTGTCCCAGTAGCGGGACATCATGCGTCGAAAGGCAATCCTTTCGTTTACGTAGAGCGTTGTTTGGGAACTGTTAAGAGCTGTGCGCATGATTTGCCGCTCCTGCATTAGGGCACCGAGGTGATCCCGTATCATGGACACACTGGGGCAAATCCAGATGGAAGAATCCATGTAATCGGTGATATCGCGCTTTGCAGCTCGAATCAGTCGATTGGGGAAATCTGGTTGCTGTTTCCGTCGTCGGGTTGAGCTGAGACGTTCCGGCACGCCCCATACGTTCAGAAACGTCCCTGGCATCGGGATGTATCCCTTCACAAGCTCTCTGACATCTGATCTGAATTTCTGAACGCGCAAGGTCTCGTGGGTAATTCCAAGCCGGCATCGAGTACAGAATGTACCGAAATTTTTATCCGAGAAACCGCGCCAGTATTCAAATGTTTGGTCAAGTGGCGCCGTGAACGTTCCATCAGTCCAGGGTACAGAGTTTTCGTGGTCGCAACTGGGACATTCGAAAGTCTTCATCGGTAAGTCTTGTAGGTTATCCCAGTTGAGACCAGTAGCCGCAGAAAAAAACGTCTCTGCAGTCTTTCCGGCGTCGAATACTAGCGTTTGATCATTGATACACTCATTGATCGCTTGCCATGGAAATCCTCCTGCCCAAAAACTAATCTTTCCATAACGAATGCAGTCCTCAAGGAAAGCCCTAGGGTTGAGCAGGTGCGCATGCCAAACCATTAAGACATCTAGAACAAACGATGAGCAATCCACTACGGTCTATGGGTCGAGAGTGTGAGGTAGGCTCACCTAGAGGAGGCAACATGTCACGAGTCCAAGACATAGGCTCATTGCAAACAGTGATATTCTCATATACGCTGGATGTAAAATGATGAACACTTGGTCGAGGACGAGACGCCGGGACGGAATGATTCCACCAGGTTGTGTATCGCTGGACAGCTTTGGCCGTATAAACTGCCCATCGCTTCTCCTTGACCAAGGCCCACGCTTCGTTGATTTGGGTCGAAAATTGCCGTGCTGAAGGATCTGGGATATCATATAGGTTCGGCAAGCTTGTTATCGTGTCACGCAGATCAGAGAGCGCTGCGAGAAACTTGAGATGAGCGATACACTCAAAGTGAGTGACCGTGGTGTATTTTGCAGGGCCTGCATCCTGAGACAAACTCAAAGCAGGAATAGCCGGTAGCTGCTCTGTGGTCTGGGTGTATGTTGGAGGACTGTTTTCAAAACGCTGCAGCTCAACGTCAAGTTTTGTACCACTTGTCAAAGCCATGGTGACCTTTTAACATGAGATAAAGGAGTTCATAGGAGTCATATGATACCGTTCAGCTGGGCGACGACAACTGGTCCTTCTTGATGGCTTTATAGTCACCTCACCCCAACCAACCCCCCCCCTCCTCCGGAAGAGAACTTGGAATAATCTAATCAATGGGGCGAAAACAGAGGCAGCTCGCAAAGCCACTGCAGGCGCAAGAGAGGCAGTGATAACCGAGTTAGCAGCCGCAATAATAGCGAATCAATCATCCAGGGCACCGTTGCCCGGCACTTTGATGGTGCACAGGAGGTTTATCCCTGGGCAGGCTGTTTCACAGCCGGGGAGACGTAGTTGGCTTGGCTGAGGAAGTAAGCCTTGCCGACACGACGTATGGCACTCGGCGCCCCATGACGAGGGGACACAGCCCCAAAACTTTGTCTAAATCAAGGACCATGGTCTGCCTCACTGCCGCAGTCCGATGGCTTGAAATTTCCCGATCCTCAGACCAGGTAGCCTTCGGCGGAAAGTTGCAGAAACACGGACCCTGAATGGCAATGTTCTCGAAGGCGTGGAAGCTCTTGGGAGGGGCTATGCCGCCGCGCCGAGCTGCCCACGGGCTGTGGGGACAGGGGACCCAGAATAGCCCGTACATGATGCAATATGATCTGCTGCGGTGCAGTGAAGATCGCGCTGTACAGAGTACAATATCGCAGTAAGAAATGATACATGATTCAGAGCGGCAACGTCTTTCAAGGATGGAGTACGGAGTAGAGAGTCAGAGCATGGTAACTTGCGCGTGATTAACCTGGGGTACCTAAAGCGGCAGCGTAAACGACATACGTAAAAGCGGCGGAACTACCAGCTTCACGTGCACAGAGCCACGTGACCTGCAGCCTCGCTGGCCCCGCTCTCTTAGCCCGTTTTTGAGTCTCGTTACTCATCCACCGCAGAGGCAATCCAGATCATCCCACCGTCAAGTCGCATCTCCGACACCGCTTTCGCAAATAAGATACTACGGCAAACGAAGCTCAAGCAAGGGCCGGCTTATACACTAATTTTGCGCTGTCAATTCCGCTGCACGTTGGTAGTTTGTTCGTCGACTCGAGAGTTAGTGACTACCTTCACCGGGTACTTTTTTCGCCTTCTGCACGATTGCATCCGTCTTTCGCCTGTCGTTCTTCAGAAATAATAACCGCGCCCTGAACTCCGCATAGCTTGTCCTTGACAAGCTTCACTTAGCCCTCTATCCTACTCCAGCCTGGCGTCCTTCGAAGGATCGTCCGACGGTATCGGAGACGGGGGTCTGCACCAGTCTTTCTTGAAGCAAAGCCCGCGGAATAATGCTTCTGTTGTCACCAGCCCCGTAATGGGAGGTATTGATCATACGTCTATGTCACCGGCCGTCGCCTCTGATGGCACGGGCCATGCCAGGAAGCGTAATGTTGGTATGGCGGGGCTCGACAGCTCCCCCGGAAGTATGGATGATGTTGAAGATGTTGAGAACCGCGAGGAGAAGAGAAGGCAGCCCGTGAAGCGCGCTTGCAACGAATGTCGGCAGCAGAAGGTGAGCCTGCATTTCCTGTTCGCCCGCGCCGTTGACTTGACCCGCTGATGACTGACTCGTTTTCGTGTTTTGAAGCTCCGCTGTGATGTGATTCAAGACCCGTGGATGGACTGCTCACGATGTCGCCGGCTGAAACTCGACTGCAAGATTGAATCCAATTTCAAGCGGGTCGGAAAGCGAAGTCGCAACGCGGAGATGGAACGAGAGATTATTGAGTTGAGGAAGCAAATCGCCAGTGCACAGGCCGGTACAGTTGGAACACACCCGCAACCGCATGGTCTGCCGACGGCGCAACAGACACCGAAACAGGAGAACCCGTCTAGCCAGGTTAGCCCGGCCGGTGTATATCAGACACCATCCGCAATGTCTGCAGCGGAGCAGTTTATGGGGTCGCATGAGGCTGTTGCTTCATTGCTTGATTTGCGATCAGGGTTCGACGGTTCGAATTATATGAGGAATGGGAGTCCGCCCTTCAAGCGAGTCGAAGACGTGGCGGTGGGACCTGACAGAGTCGCAGAGCTTTTTGATCTGTAAGTTTGGCCAGAATCGGCAGGTCGGATGGATTCTAATCCCGGGCCAGTTTTTTCACCTACTACCACCCGTTTCTACCGTTCCTTGACCGAGAGCAATCCGCAGAGGACTATTATACGGCTTCCCCTTTGCTTTTTTGGACTATCATTAGTGTCGGGGCTCGACGATATCAAGCCGACCAAACTCTACTCAACTCACTCGCCGGACCTGTAACGCGACTAATATGGAGTACGATTGCCGATGTCCCACAGAGCTATCACCATGTCAAAGCGCTTTGTTTGCTCTGCAGCTGGCCGTTCCCAACTAGCAGTACGTCGACAGATCCGACGTTTATGCTTTGTGGCCTGATGATACAGGTTGCCATGCAACTCGGGCTACATCGCCCATCACATACCCAAGATTTCAGCAAGTATAGGGTAGAGCTTATCGAGGAAGAACTGAGAGATAAAGTCAGGACGTGGGCAATCTGCAACATTGTCGCTCAGCGGTATGTTTCTATGAGCTTCATTTCTAGACCTTTGGCTTAACTTTGTGGCAGTGTTGCAACAGGATATGGACAGCCGCCCTGTACATTGTATGATTGGACTCTGTCATCTCAAGAGTCGATGGACCCAAATTTCAAACTTCCTGAAAGCATTAGGCACAGGCTCGACATCGAGAAATTTTGCGACAAAGTTACTAAAGCACTTTACACCAATCGTCGCGATCCCGTCGGACTGTGTGGTAGTCAGGAGCGGTCAACCTTGACATCGCTCCTTACGCGAGATCTTGACGAACTCGAGACTCTCTTGCAGCCGCAAAATGATGGTATGTTGTCTGCGTTGGCCAGTTTGAACTTCGCACTAATTACTGCAGGTATTACTGACTTATATTTACGCGCATCCAATCTTCATCTTCACCTGTCCGCCTTTTTCGACGACCCTTCCGCCAAAGACTATAGAGAACGGCTTCTTTCTCTTTTCTTTGCTGCCACCTCTTTTCTTGAAGCTGCGATGAAACTTCAGACAGAACTTGGCCCGCTTCTTGCATACACGCCGTACTACATCTATCAAATGATGGTTGCGGGGGGCTGCACATTGCTGAAGCTATGCAAGAGTTTCTTTGCCGCCCATATCGACATGGAGTATACAAAGGATCTCTTCGCTCGTACAATCTGGTCTATTCGGAAAGCATCGGTGATCTCGAACGACCTCCCTGAGCGGCTGGCCGAGGTTTTGGCCCAGATGTGGAAACTTGGAAGCACGCCGTCGCCGCAACCACCTCCGGATGGGGTTGAAATGGATGACTCGCTAATGCTCAAAGTGCGGTGTCGCATGAGTATGTCGCTTCTGTTCGACTCGGTATGGCGATGGCGAGAGGATACGCGGACTAAAGGCCGCAACATTGAAGGTAAGTTCAATCAATGTGAGGCGAGGATCAAACATTGACGTGTATGCAGCCTATCTCAAGAATCCGACAAATCCCGATTCCAACGCAGAATCCTCCGCTTCCTCATCAGTCGGGCCACCGCGTACATCTCCCGCAATTCCCGGCGGTGACCCCAGCCTAGCTCCGCCTCTGCTATCGCAAGCCAATCTCGGCGTACAATCATCAAACGGGCTCGGATCATTACCGAGCGGGTTCATGGAGCCCAACTACGAGGTCTTCGATCCACTAAACTGGTTGCTCGACGGTCTAGTAGACATGCCGTATCCTTACTCCGTTTCTGGCATGGAGGCTCAAGGAATCGCATGACCCTTCAGTTCGCATTTAGCCCCTACCTGTGTCTATCTTGTCAATTTGTATCTGGCGCTTGTATTTGGGAGGACGTTTGCTGCATTACTATACCAATGGGATGTACACCCGCCATTTTGTGGGGTAGGCGCGAGGCGTCGGCTTGAAACTGCATGTTTTGGCGATTGTTCTTTTTACCCAGCCACAAGCTACCAGATTTACACATGATTTATGACTTATTATCACTATATATACATGCAAATTCATCAATGACGTTCTCTATTCACCCTAGACTGTTTCTGATGGGACATGAAACATGACGACGAGTCGGAATCGTCTATGCCATCCTCGGCCGCTCATAGTCCACTCCACCCTTTCTCACACCCTTCGAGATCTGGATTGCGTCACCCTTCTGTGCATAATCCCATATTTCATCAACTTGGAACGCTTCCACGTATAGCCTACCTACTATACGCCGATAGCGACAAGAAATGTCCTTTTCTACAACCCGCCCAAAATCCTCCCTCCTCATCCCTTCAAAGCGACCCCTCTCTCCACCCACACGCTCACAATCAACACGAACTACAACCCCGACGCTCCAAATCCGCATCCCCGCTCGAGCGCAGTCGAATGAGAAGAGACGGATAGAGGTTGATTTCGCCGCGGCGCCGCAGCCGTTCCTGACTCCGGAGCTCTGGGAGAAGATGAAGAGTAAGAGCACCGGCGAGGGTGCGGGGACGTGAGACAGGGGGTGGGAATGAGGGGGTGATGAAGGGATTCGATCTCTGGAGGGTTTTATGGTTGCGTGGTGTTTGTTGGTGAGCATCTGGTACATTTGCCAGCTGGTTCGGCCCTGTCGCCGTCTCAAGGGCGTCGCATACATACCGGCGTCATTGGTATGACTTGGATTAACACCTCGGCTGGAGGGCCGTGGTTTAAGCTATGTATCGTGCCTCGACAAGCGTGCCAACATGGATAATACCGAATGACACGGGTGGGATCTCGTTGTGGTTCTTGGTGAACCTAATATTTGCCGCGCTGTTATATATGGCGTTTGAATGAAGTTGTCGCCGGTCAGTGAGGGCATACAAGCAAAGCTACGATTATGGGAATCAGAACAAGGCACCAAGCCCTGTTGTTGAGATCGTGTTAGGCTCAAGAAAAGAACGCACGATTCAAGATAGCAGGCCGCTGGAAGACTGTAGTAATATTTATGATACAGGAGTAGTCATCATCATCGTCACGGTCGTCACCTAGATGCGCCATTCCCGTCATAAATCATCGCGGAAATCGATTAATAGCTCCAATCGCACAGAGCAAAAGAAGACGAAACAAGAGTAGGAAAACGAGGAAAAGGGGAAACAGGAAAAAAAAAGGGAATCGAACATTATAACAATCGTCGCAATAAGTGTATATCATATAATGTCATGTCGGCGTGGGAATTCTAGGTCGTAGTCGTAGTCGTGTCTCGTTATGTTCATGTTTGTACTGTGGTTCTCCGAACTTGGATGCTCGAGTTTACCAGGACGGCTTCGCCAATGCTCTGTTTTAGTTTCTCTCGGCGCGCTTCACGTCTATCCTCCGCGCGGCGCTGCATCGAGCGTCGAAGCCGCCAGCGCAGGGAGCGTACGATTCCGGATCGAAAGCGTAGACGCCACCAGGATACTGCGGGAAACTGGCGCTGGTGAAGAGAGGTCTGGGAGTACAAAGCCTCCTGTGTGAAGATGCGGCTTCCCACGAGAGCGTCTCTGTTCGCACGGTGATGGCCCACAATTCTTCGCTTGGCGCCATGACGGCTCGGGGAGAGTGTAGGCCCATCAAAGACAAGTCGCCTCTGGGGCATGCCCAGCGAATTACTGATAACCTCATCTGGTTGCTTTGTGTTTTGGGTCTCAGCACCATTTTCCTCCTCTGGTGAGAGATTTTCAGGCGAATCATCCCAAAACCGACGCGGACGCCAGAAAGGCTGGAGCCGGCCGTCGATATCCTCTCCGGCTTTGGGATTTTTGGCCGAGTTGAGCGAGAGTGATCGCACAAACGAATTGAAAGACTCAGAGCGCGGTCGTCCAATCCACCCCCGTCTCTTATATCCGGGTCTGCGATTAAGACCGCCTGTCGCCTCTGGCTCAGCATTGCCTTCACCCAACGGCTGGTTCAGATCCAGTTCGTTTTCCCAGATGGCAGTAGAGATCGGTGGCTGGGGAGGCGGCCGTGGGTTTCGCAGCGGCGAATCTACATCAGAAATAGGCTCCTGCACCATTTCAGGAGTTTGTGGTAGGTTGACGGGGCGCAGTTGCTCTTGCAGACCAAACTGCCCCAGCGGATTGACCAGAAGGAGGGACTCATTGTTGTGTGGAAATATTGCCACTCGTCTCACCTCATTGATCTCAAATGGGCCGGGCGAAGAAGACGGGATCGAGTGTGGAGTAAAAAGCACCGATGGAGGCCGCAGGTAGCTTAGGTCTTCAACTCCGATCAGGATGGACTGAGTTTTGGGAAGATCCGCAGAGTCATGTCTAGCATGCCCAGGAGCATCTAGAGCAGGTACCGGAACTGGCGCAGCTACCGGAACAGACACAGGTGCGGGTGCCAAGTTAGTGGGCTCTTGCTGACGTTTCATTCCCTGTTCAACGGCTAGATTATGGCTCCGTAGGCTTTCTGAAGTAAGCGAAGTTGTCCGGGAGTTGTTTTGGCTTGTAGGCGCGGATAATGACGAGCTACGCGGAGGAATATATGGTCGGTTCAGAGTTCGTCCTCGAGTGTCTGCGACATTGGCGGCATGTGGCTCAGATAGAGTACGCTTTCTCTGGCGTGGAAGATCCAGAGACCCGGGTCGGTTCTTGGGCGCTGATGGCCCTCGACTGGACGCCAGGGAGCGCGATACGGATGGGTTCCTGCTAGTCACATTCGAAGGACGATTTAAAGACGAGCTTCGTTGAGGAATTACAATCACCGGCACCACGTCCACCGACTGTTGTGGGGCGCCCAAAGTCGAACTCCCAGAAATTGAAATCTCTGACACGATGCTCCTCCGATCGTTCTCTGTGATACGCGCAGTTTTGTGACTCAGTCGTCGCTGGAAGTCTGAGCTGGAAGCAATTGAGGTTCGCTCAGACCGTGTGATAGGGGAGCTCGCCGAGCGCAAGGATAGCCTTTTTCCCGAGTGGCGGAGAGCCCGCCTGGCTGGCTTGGGCGTCGTGTCAATGATCATGGCTTCGACAGTGGAAGACGTGGACACGCCCGACAGGCGTCGAGAATCCTCCCGCTCAGACGGGCCAAGTTGGTCATCCGCCGACGGCCAGCCGATTTGCTGACGGAATTGATCCAGGGCCGTATTATCATCGAAATGTTGCACATGTGCCACACGGTCCCGTAAGCTTCTTCTTCCTCGCGTGGAACCGTCTACGTGGGAGGTATCGGCATCCGTTCCATTGCGAGATTGTGTTGACCTTTCGCGTGTAGGCTTTATGCGAAGCTCTGGGACTTGGCCACTCGAAGATACTTGTCTGCAGGGAACAGCGGTCGGAGATTTCTTTCCATAGCTTTGGTAGAGTGCATCGACAGGGATCTTTGATGAGCGGGACGACGCACGGAAGCTGGGAGATTGGTCACCAGCAGGTGTAGTCTCTCTAGTCCTTGGATCAGTTCCACCTTTACTGCGAGTGCTTCGAGTGCTTTTGGTGCTCCTGGTGCTTCGAGTGCTCTTCTGTGTAGTTGACCGCGATAAGGACGGCGGCGAAGGACGCGGAGTGACAGCTTCCGTTTCACTGTCGGACATCCTCTCGTAAGCCGTTTGGAAAGATTCCGCCCGCGATGAGGAAGAAATATAACCAAAGTGGCCCAACCCCGGCCGGTTTGTAATCATACTCCTGGGAGGTGTTGTTTCCGGGGTGGGAGGATGCGAAGGTTTGGATGGTGTAAGCGTCGCAAGGCCCGAGTGAGGAGTCGCGTTCTGCATTTCCGCCTCGGTCGGAGAATCATCCATAGCAATACCCGGGGGTGTCAATGGGAGGTTTGGAGCGGTCGCCAGAGGTAGGCCATTCGAGCATTGGCCATCGTGTCTCGGACTCGATGTTTGAGCGACTGGGTTTGGGTTTGCATCGACCCGTCGAGGAAGCGACTTGTGAGCCTTGAACAGGAGCCGGTCCGGATGTTCTGCTGAGGCGGGCGAGGTGACAGCAAGGTCGACACTGGGCATTTTCATTAACACTCAACAACGCACCGTGATCCTGAGCAGAAGAAGCTGATAATTCTGCCAGCCGGGTCGACGCTATCACAAATAGCTGCGAGAGTCAATTGAGGTGAGGATCATGACACCTAGGCCGTTTCAAATGAAGTTGGAGGATACAGGCTGGCGAAGGCGCATAGCGGAAGCGGGAAATTTCGAGGTCAAGACGCAAGCTTGACTTGGTCTAGAACTGCGGAAAGTTTCGCCAGGTCGCCTTCTTTGAATCCAGGGAGGATTCTGCTCGGTGTGGAGAATGATGAGAAGTATGCTAAACGAAGATTCCAGACGAAAGGGGATGAAAAGCAAGGTTGTAAGAGTGGACCACTTGTCCGTGAAGCCGCTGGCCGCAAAGCGCGTCTCACAAAGCAGCCGACACTCGACTACTAACAAACAAACGAATCAGAAGCAACTTGCGGACATGAAAGGAACAGGTCATGAAAGTCCGAAGCAGAGATGCAACTCTTAATGGCGGAGAGGAGCCAAGGGCGGGCTGCAGGAAGCGATTCTGAGCAAGCGACAGGCCGACCAGCAGCCAGCAGCAAACAGGTCGACTTTCGGGGCTTTCCACGTTGCGGACAAAAGAAATGTGTCCCCTAATTCGAGCGGACAGCCGTACAATATGGCTATTATTAGGAAAGTGAGGCTGCAAAGATGAAAATTGGGAAGTATCCCAGCACTGCAGTGCATATCTATAACGCTGGTGGGGGAACTTTTGAGTACAGGTCACGGGACCTGTCGCTTTTTTACACTTTGGGTGCCTGAACTGAGCCGAGTTCGCAAAGGCAAATTGTGCTGCTTACTCCGTACTGCTTGGACTACGCTAATCTAGAGAATCCTCCGGGAATGCGCGGCTTCAACCTTGTCCCATCGTCCATCAGTCAGGATAGCCTTTCCATCCAGTCCTACATATTGGAGTACAATGTCACGTGCGGCCATATAGGCCTCCACTGTGACAGCCGGGAGGCCGATCCTCCAGTTTTTCAATTGTATGCGCACCTTACTCGCAGGTTGCCAGGACTAGTGCATTCGTTACTCCGTAGACCCTGTATCACTTGACCATACTAAATAAGATCAGGATCAGGAAATTTCAAAGCGCAACGACTAGCGAACTTTCTCCTAGCCTCAAATCTCCTCCAGCGAGGCCCCGCTGAGTCATCCCATGACCTCGGACCCGACGTCATCGCCGCGGGCCCAATGAGGGATGACGAGATATCTTTTTCATTGATAAACATAGACGCTCAGAGGGAGGGGCGGACAGGAACCTCCAGGACAGGCAGAGGGCGATGATATTGCGGTTGCTATGATACAACTAGGGCCCTGCGTCTGACGTCGTTATCCGTCATCTGCCGTTGCTAAAATTTGGCTGCTTCTGCGCGCACTGCGACAGACAATCGGTGCCAGGTTCCAACAGTTGGGTAATCCTTAGGTCGTTCTTATTCCCCACCATCCGCCCGGTCTTAGCTCTTATTCACTGTTCAGTCAGCTTCATTTCCAATCTTCTTTCCTCTCTGTGCGATCAACAACCTGAAGGCCTCTCCTTCCGACCAGTCATCTTTGCTGTGCTCTCTCTTCGAACCACGCTCCAACCAGTCCCGTCTCGAGCAGCTCTGCCAATCACCAGCGCCTGCTTGCTCCTCACCTTTCGCCTCTTCGCTCTCCTCGACTCGCTTGGCGGGGTAGCTGAGTAGAATTAAGAAATTAGGGAGAAAACCCGAGGGTGACAAAGAAAGGAAAAAGCAACCAGCCTGTCACGTCATTGCTTGCCAGTCCACAGTGTCTTGAGTCTCCCCAGCTTCAGCCATCATTCATCATCATATCAGCCTCCTGCTCATTTCTTTTCTTCTGCCCTCTTCCCCTCTCTTTCCCTCTCCCCTGCTCCCTTTCTTCCTTCCTCGGTCGTCGTCCCCTCCCCCTTACCATTCGTCCCTCTCAATATTCCCTGTTCATCCTCCCGGGAACCCCTGCCCGGCCCCCTACCTACCATGAGCACTATCCAGAGCCTAAAAAATTTCATACGTCATGGGAAACAAGCCCGCCTTGTCACCCCCCATGCTGAGCCTACCACAAACATCTCTGCGGTACATGCTGAGCAGCAGCGCCAGCCCCAGGGTACATTTTCTCCAGCTGCTGGCAATTTAGATGCCATTGATAGCAAAATGGGGAGTGGTCAGCCTCACCAGTCGCAACAGTCGTCTCCTGACGCTCCCGCCGCCAAGAGGGCTCGCGAGGCCGAACTCGAACAGATCATCGCTGAAGAGAAGAGCAGTCGCTCCAAGATGCCTAAATACCCTGGTCTCGAGCGCTGGATCTTGGTGGAGAAAATGGGTGACGGTGCCTTCAGCAACGTTTATCGGGCCAAGGACACCACTGGTGAATTTGACCAGGTGGCTATCAAGGTTGTTCGGAAGTTTGAGATGAATAGCACTCAGGTAGGATACTCCTCTTCTATTGTTTCGCATGCTTTGTTGCTTTCAATTGCCTCGGTGCTATTTTTCGTGTGTTGTGGTTCCTATCATGGTCCGTCTTCACTGCGAACCTTTTCGCCAATATTTTGTCTTATCTAGTCTGTCGACCACCTACATCCCGACTTCAAGAAGAAGCCGAAAGCCGCAGAGGTGCGCCAATTTCCCTTAGTCCCTAATCCGAGCAGCATGCGATACGATCGGATTCCACCGCCCCCAGATTACAGTTTTGTTCTTTGCGCGCCAAAATATCCTGCAGCTGCATGATATGATAACTGACTAGTGTGCCTGTCTAGCGAGCCAATATCCTCAAAGAGGTCCAGATAATGCGCCAAATTGACCACCCTAACATCGTCAAATTGATCCAATTTTCCGAATCGCGCCAATATTACTACATCGTCCTAGAGCTTTGCCCTGGTGGCGAGCTGTTCCACCAGATTGTCCGCTTGACTTACTTTAGCGAAGATCTTAGTCGACATGTTATTCTCCAGGTTGCCAAAGCCATCGAGTACCTACATGAGACCTCAGGTGTTGTACATCGGTAAGCTTGCCACTACCTTGTCTTCATGCTCTCGCAGCCGAAGCTCATGTTCTTCCTTAAACAGTGATATTAAACCCGAAAACCTTCTATTTTATCCCACCGAGTTCATTCCTTCAAAGAATCCTAAGCCGCGTCAGCCTGGTGATGAAGACAAGGTGGATGAAGGCGAATTCATTCCAGGAAAAGGCGCTGGTGGGATAGGCGTGATCAAGATCGCCGATTTCGGTCTTTCCAAAGTTATCTGGGATAGTCAGACAATGACGCCGTGCGGAACCGTCGGATATACTGCCCCGGAGATTGTCAAGGATGAAAGATATTCCAAGAGTGTGGATATGTGGGCGCTCGGCTGCGTCCTTTATACTCTTCTCTGCGGTTTCCCTCCCTTCTACGACGAAAGTATCCAAGTTCTCACAGAGAAAGTTGCTCGAGGACAGTACACATTCCTTTCCCCCTGGTGGGATGATATCTCCAAGTCAGCCAAAGACTTGATTTCTCATCTTCTGACGGTAGACCCTGATGAGCGGTACTCGATCAAGCAGTTTTTGGCTCATCCATGGGTCCGACAGACCGATGAGGAGACACAAGCCGCATCGGATGCCCCTCCATTGATAACACCTTCCGTCAAGGAGATTCGCAATCAACCGCTCGACGCAGTTGCAGCAGACCTCGCCCCATACCCACCTGCAAGCGCTCAACTTACTGCCGGAGATCGACCGATGGACTTCCGTTCTCCTGGTGCGATCAATTTGCGGGAAGTCTTCGATGTTGGATACGCGGTTCACCGACAGGAGGAAGAGGGTAAGCGACGCAAAGCTGGTCGTGGATTCCGTGGAACGAACCCAGCTTCTACATTCCAATCCGCACTCAATCCGCTCAACGAAGACTACGACAGTGACGATGCAATGGCAGTTGAGGAAGAATACCCTCCAGCTAAGATGCAAAAGTCCTCGAATCCCAGTGATATCGCTGCTATGGAGGCCAAAATGCGGAATACCAACCTGGGCGCCAATAGCCACGCAGCACAGGCGCGGCAGTCCCATCAACCCCGACAACAGGGCTACGGGCAGCATAGCGCTAGTGTTGCAGCTGCCGCGAAGAAGAATATGGCCCGCAACGCTCGGCAACCGTTCGAGCTCAGCTTAGACAATGCGACCCTGCTTGAGAAGCGAGGCAGAAGACACCAAGATCAACCAGTTGCATGATAGAATAGCTCCCGCATCTCTGCTTGCACCCAGCCACGCTACTGCGTTTCTGAAGACATTACGAACTCATGATATCGTCAGGCTAGACTCCCCTATGACTTCGATGACGTCACATTTTCTTTTCGACTGATTGTGGGCAAACCTGTTGATCGGGCAAATCCCCATTGTGATTTCAGGCGTTCTATGTACCTGTCTTTCTCGTCTCCTCTCTGGGATCCGGATCGGCGAAGCGTTCTATATGCATCTTATCTTTCAATGTTACGGTCTTCTTTCCCATTACATTTGGTGGAGTGCTTTGCTTGGACATGTGCAATAGTCCGGGAGTTTATTAGTTGTTATCTTCTTTTGTCCTGCATATCCCGCTTCCACTTGTTTTGCGCTTATAAAGTGATACACCGTTCCAACTTCAATCTCATTGCTCCTTTACTTGCTCACTACTACTACGACGCATCGTATTTCATCCTTTTTCTCTCATTGTTTTCTTTTGAAGGTTTGAAGGCCCGAAGCTAATGCCATCCTGACTTAATTCGGAAGTGACCTGCATGTATGATGTCGACTGTTTGACCCCAACCTTTTGAGGCAGCTAGTTGATTCGCCCCATCACCCTTGCCGTCACCTCATCTCATCTCGGCTCTAATTTCCTCAATTACAAATTCTTTCTTCTCATTTCCATCTCCGCATATCCTAGTCCAAATCCTAGTTTTCATCCTGCCTTGACTCGATTGTCAATATACCAATTCCAAGTTTTGATGGTCTCGGCGGTGGCAACGGCGCACTAGGCCTGCCCCATAACTTGGACACACGCCTCGTCAAACCAGGTCAGACCGCATCATGATGTTGGGGAGTACTTCCTCCACTCCGGAATAAGTCCCCAAATCGTAACCCAGTGTACTCCAATTGAGCCCGGCCCGAGCCTCCGCTAAAAACAAGGGACGCGATGAGTAAGTTAGGGTACTATAAGGTAGTACTCCGGCGTCGTAGGCTGCGACGAATTTTGCGGTTTCCCGCGCCTCCATCAGAGGGATGAGCATGCGCCAGGGTCATGTCACGCTCCAAGCGCGGCTTGGTATTCGGTGCGATTTGTCTGATTGATTGACAGGCTGCCGGTGGCGACACGCTACTCTAAGATGCACAGTTATGTAGAACCGGCACTACGTTGGTCTGTCATCAAGTTATCCTGCCTCTACTAGTCCTAATAGTAGCATTGTAAGTGTAAATTACTTTTGTTAGTCACTATTCCAAAATTGAATTGGCTGTCAACCTTGCGTACAATTCATGAACATAAGACCATAAGCTTGATTGTAACAATAGGGGGTGTTTTTTTTTTTTAGCTATTCATGAAACACACTCTACACATCCAACAATCCAGCCACAAGGGTTATCGTCATGACCCAAAAACAGAGCACTCACAAGGCGATACAAAGCAATGATAAAAGACATATATAAGCCGCCTGGTATCTGGTATGAAACTGAATCCAACGAAAGCCCTAATGTTAGCAGCAAGCCAGGATGAAAACGTTTATACAGCCAAGGATCGATAACAATCCTTCAAGATAAAGACCTGAATTGTGATGTTTTCGAGCATATGTAATGGTTTACAGTGCCTGCCGTCCTCTCGTCTCGATGGGGAGGAAGATCATCGCCACGAACGCGGCGAGGATCAATGCACCAGAGGCATAAATGGGCGCATCGGGATTCGCGCTTCCGCCGTAGATAGCCACGATGGGCGCGCAGAGACCAGCGATACGGTTTAGACAGCTGGAGATACCGGACCCGGTACCGCGGTAGGGGGCTGGGAAGACCTCGGGTGTGTAGGCGTACAGGACACCGTACATGATATTCTGGAAGAAAGCCTCCAGCGAGGAACAGACGAGTTGGATATTAGAATCGGTAGATGCAGTGAAGCAGAAGAGCAGGACTCCGGTAATCAAAGTGGCAATGGTCATTGTACCCTTGCGTCCGACGTATTTGATGTCGACTGTGTAACAGGCGAGGACGGATCCGGGAAGACCGGCGATGGAGGTAATGGCATAATTACGGTAAACGATGGAGGTCGGCTGGCTGGTGTCACCGCCGGCCCGGGACAGATACTGGGGAAGGAAGGCGTTGAAAAGAGGATAGCCCATTCCGATGGTGGTCCAGCAAAACCAAAGGATGACGGCTGTTGCAGGTTAGCTATGTTAGGCTATTAAGTATTCAAAGGGCGTACTGGAGATTCCAAGTTTTTTGGTAGCAAAGAGACCACGGATGCGGTCGAGAGAGAACTTGGACATGTATCTCTGAACAATCTGCTTGTTGCTGAGACTTTGTGTGTTGGTGGACTCTTCCGGATAGCCGCCAATCTCATTAAGGATCTCAACAGTGAGCCATGTTTTGACGCGGTTCTTGTATGCGATGCCGTGAACAGCAGCGACGGCCTCGTCTTGGCGTCCACGCGAAAGCAAGAACTTGGGCGACTCGTACAGATGGAAGAGAAAGAAACGGCAGATGAACATGACAAAGGTGATGGCACCAAGGGTAATAACCAGGTACCGCCAGCCCATGTTCTGCTCTTTCGTGCAGGGCCCTGTAGACGGGCAAGTGAAGTTCGGAATAAACGCCCAGGCCAGAAGACTAGAATGCGTCAGTAAAATCGAACCGGGGAAATTATGGACTGCACTAACCTGGAAATCAAGTTGCCAACCGGCCACCACACACTAAGCATGGTCAAGAGATTACCGGAGGCAAATGGCAGGAACTCCAGGAAGAGCGCTCCATCAACGGGCAGATTTCCACCAACTCCAAGGCCCAGACAGGCGTACAGGGCACAAGTGCTGTGGTCTGTCAGTCTACAAAGTCAAGATGAAAGGTCCGTTGGACTTACCCAACCCAGTTGGGACCGCCACCAGAAGCAAGACCGAACACACCACTGATCATGAGAGTAAAGTTGAAAGCTGGGCGACGGCCAATAACATCGGAGGCGATACCCCAGAAGGAGGCACCGATGCAGAGACCCACGAACAGCGCACAAGTAGTAAAACGAACGTTGTTCTCGTCAACGCCGAATTCCAGAGACAATTGCGGTAGTGTAAGCGCAACACCCTACAGAATTAGTATAACATCGCATGTACCGTGAAGTACCATCATACCTGTAGCCATAGGCTATGCCACTCTGTCAGCCACGTTCACCAAAATCCAAAGCGAATAACTTACTTGTCTGCAAGCCAACCAAATCCACACAGCATAAAGAGCTCCCACTGATAGCGGCCCATACCAATGTCTTGAATGGCCCTGTTAATCACCTTTGCTTTGCCTGTATATGCACATTAGACCTGAAACTTGGACGTTCAAAGCTTTCATAGCTGAGGGTCGAGAGAAGAAAAATGGTATAGAATCAATAATCTCTCGAAGAGATAAGTAACGTACGATCATAGGCGGAGTCCTGGCCTGAGGCGGCGAGATCATTTTCTACTTCAGCGCGCAGAATCTCTATGGTCAGATGGCCATCTTGGCTTTGCTGGTGGCTATGGAATGAGCCCACGCCGTGCTCTGCGGAAGATGCCCTGTCGAGGCTCCCATCGTCAGTCTTCTCATCAGGGCCTACTTTCTTTTCCGGATCGGAGCTGAGTTTCGAATGCGCAGGGGCACTGGAGAGGGGCACGACAACTCCGGGGAAATCGTGGTGGTCTTGTCGCGAGAAGGGATTCACTCCGAACGGCATCGTGGCGAATCTATGCTGCTATGGCCAAGTTTTCGGCCCGTTCGATCAGAATCGGGGGAGTACTACTGGTGGCGATGCGGTTGTCGCAGAGGCAAAGTATATCATCCGAATGGCCGCTCGCAGATGGTCGCTCGGGATAGGGTATAGCAATTGTCGCTAGGGCCGAATGACAGGCGCAATGGCTTATTCGAACCGGAGGGGACCGAGATGATGGGGCGATGCTACGGTACAGCTGAATATCAATGACGGAAGCTATCACCTGGTCGGAACGCTGTGTGCTCGCAAATGGCAATAGTAATGATAATGTACAGACAAAAAGCCGCAAACTGAGAACTAAGAAGTCCAGTAAACCTGCTATGACAGGAATATGATACGACGCCAGATAAGGGGAGAGTCGAGCGTCTTCTCTGCCGAGTTGATGTACAGGAAAGAGGGCGTCTCAAAGGGAAGGAGTAATGCGGAATGGATGTCAGCAGGGGGAAACGGCCAAAGATGGGGAAAGATGGACACTTAAGAGGGAGAGCAGATGGGGCGAAAGAAAGGGACCGAAAAGAACGAGACGCGCTCGTCCATTCATCTTGCACGATAGGATGGGTAGTCCTCTGGGTCGCTCAGTCGGCCTTCCCCATGGGTGGCAACCAGCCCACCTCCCACTTCGGTCCTCTGCCCTCTGTAACTCTCTGCTGCTCTCGTGCAAAGCCCTTGTTCGGGTGTTGAGTTTGGTTTCTGCTGAATCCAATACGAAGATCGGCATCTCGCGCATCCCCCAAGTTCCAACTCAAGTATAGTGCTTATACTAGCGATCCCGCGAGCGAAAGCAACGTCTATCAGACATCGGAGGGTCCCGCGGTCACTTGGGAGTCTCCGCTTCACCTGAAGCGGTGGGGAGCGCGACATCAGCGAGTCAGAGGCTCACCCAGCGACCTTGGAACAACACAGGTCAGGGATGACTGACTTGCCCTGTCGGTCTCAGACGCTAAGAATTAAGAACGCAAGCCACCAGCATCATCCCGATCCCGTCGCTCGGGAGTGGCACATGTCCAAGCGAGATGGCCTTACCTTGGGAGGCTTGGTGAGCCTTGGTTCTCGCCTTCGTTCGGGCCGGACTGAGCCCTACGTCATGAGCTAGTCTCTATTCGGACTAGTCGAATCTCATAATCCCACGATCCCGCAGGAGTGACTGCACCTCACCGATTCTTGTCCTTGAAGTTCGGCCGAAGAAAGTCAACTGACATTTTTCGGGGCGAATCATACTGGTGACTATAGCTGCACGCTGAAGCATGCTGCAAGGAAGGGATGGCTTTTGACAATCCTGTCCTTGCACCATGGCAGCCTAAAGCGCCGCACACCTGAACATCACCACCATTACTCGTTCCCTTGCGGACGACAAGAACTTGTACTAGTGGAGTATACCCTTTGGATGGTAGCATTTTTCTTATTACAGTTAGTTACTAATGCCAATATTACCGTTTATTCGAAGCTATATGCCTCTTCTTTGTGGAAAATCCCACGCGATCTTCTTCTCCCACTACCTAGTACTAGTAGATACTGAACGAAAGTGCCGTGTAGATAAAATCAAAACATGTTGCTCAGATAAGCTGGAGATTCAGGGCTTTCCCCACTCAGTGGCCTGGAGCCATGTGGCCGTTGTCCGTCGACTCTGGAGTCTGAACTCCTAAAGTAATGCCCAAGTGGTGGTATCGTGCCCCTGGCAATTCATGTCGCCTGACGAATGCAGCAGGAAGTTGTACAAAAGCTGGGGAAAGGACGGGCCTCAGCCTCGCAGGATCGCTGTCGAGGGCTCGGCTTTCCTGCTCTGTTTATGTCTAAATTTCATCACAGAGGATATCCTCGAGTCTAGTCTGAGCACCGAAGCGATGACTTTTAAGATGCCTATACTCTGGAGATAGGACTTTATAGCTTCGCTCCACCGAGCGGGGCTGGGGAAGGTTTTACTCCAAACGGAATTTTCTTCCCTTTTCAAGTTCCTGGGCGTGCAATGGTGACCCCCATCATGCTTTCTTCTCTGAAACCAAAGTAACCGGTCTCATACTGAGCCGGCTTCTAGCAAACGCACAACTGGTGTATAAAAAGTATTCCAACTACTCCCAAGACGAGAAAGGCGACGCATTGGATAATCGAAAAGTCTGACCGCCACGTCCAGCTAAAACTGAGAACTCTCTACATTACCTCGGAATGTCATGCCCTCTCCGTCTGAGAGGGAGTTTCAAGCATGCTTCCTGTATTGAATCCATAGGCTAACTTGTAATAAGCATCTATATTTCCCGGCATGTCATGATGCCTTATCACGACTTGTTGTTGTTGTCAAGGCAGGCGACGGCCCGTACGTTGTAGTTGGGCCAGGTCTTGGCTCTGGATCGTTCCTTCTGCGACAGGGATAATTTTTATCGGCTATCAGCTCGACCTTTAATTCTTCCAACCTTGACACAGACACAGATTCAACCGCAGAATCCTTCGTCAACTGTCTTCGAAACGATGCCACCAATTCATCAACTCTCCTGCGCTTTCCTTGTAAATCCCCCCGCATCTCGAATTCACATGCCCGCGCTCCTCTGACCTTCCTGATCTCGTTTAGTGCTAACACACTGCAAAGGGAAGCCAATCCACAGAAGATGATGCCGCAACCGCCAGAAAGCAGCCAAGCCGCTTGAAAGTGGTAAATTACCAATCAAAAATGTCGTCGTTGGAGAACATGCCCACAGACCACCTCCACTCGGGCCTCAAGGCCAATAATACTCGGCGTTTGATGCCTATTGCCAATTTTTTTCACCACAGGACTTGACTCCCCAGTGTTCTCGTCAAAAAGATGTAATAATGGCTGGGCCTCGCCCTGGAGCATCTCGTCGCTGTTTTCACCATAGCAGACTCTCACCTGCCGCTCTCCGAGACAGCTTAATTGAAAACGACTCGACGTCTACGCTATTAGACCGCGAAGACGAGTTCGTGTGCGGCTGATTGTGCGGTGGAGAGCAAGAAGGTCAACCGTGGTCCACTTCGCCCCATGCCTTATACTAACATGCCACCCGACACCAGACGCTCTGGCGACATCCCATCTGGAGAGACGGGACAACGTGACGACGCGCATCTACACTCGTCAAGCCTGCACCCACAGAGGATCGACAGCTTTACTAGTATCGCACTCGACAATGCCGACCCTACTTCGAACCATACAGAAAAGACAGACCTTCATTTAGTGCAGGACCACCCCCAAGCACGGCCAATACCGGAGGATGGCATTTACAGACAGTCTTCAGAAGACACTGCTCTCGATGGACTCTCCCACCGAGTCCCCATCAGCCGGGTAACCACCGATACCGATGGCAACACCTACCCTGAAGGCGGCCTCGAGGCTTGGCTGGTGGTCTTAGGGGCCTTTCTAGGACTTTTTGCTTCCCTTGGCCTAGTCAACACGATTGGATCATTTCACGCGTACCTGGAGAACAACCAGCTAAAGGACTACAGCTCTGGAAGCGTATCCTGGATATTTGGCATTTATGCGTTCCTGACATTCTTCGGGGGTGTTCAAGTCGGCCCTATATTCGACGCAAAAGGTCCTCGGCTCTTAGTCCTTATCGGGTCTGTCCTGGTCATGATAATGGTCGTGACGATGGGATTCTGCACCCAGTACTGGCACTTTGTCCTTTCAATCGGGGTTGCTGGAGGAATAGGGACCTCCATGATTTTCACCCCAGCAGTATCATCAATCGGTCACTATTTCAACGAAAGGCGTGGAGTCGCAACTGGATTAGCGGCTACAGGTGGCTCTGTTGGAGGTGTTGTATTCCCTCTGATCCTCGAAAGCCTCTTCCCCAAAATCGGATGGGGTTGGGCCACCAGGGTTATTGCATTGATTTGTCTGGTCTTGTTGATCGGTGCATGCCTCCTGGTTAATTCACGGCTACCGAAGAAACCAGCATCCAAAGAGAATGTCTTGCCTGATTTTCGAATTTTCCGAGACCTCAAACTTACTCTCACCACAGCCGGGATATTCTTCATCGAGTGGGGGCTGTTTATCCCAATCAGCTATATTTCCTCCTATGCTTTAGCACATGGCACCGAGGACACTCTCTCATATCAAATGCTAGCTTTCCTCAATGTGGGTTCGGTTCTTGGAAGAGCGATTCCTGGATTTTTCGCGGATCATGTTGGCCGATTCAACACCCTGATAGTCACAGTTGCGCTTTGTCTCGTCTGCAACGCTTGTCTTTGGCTTCCTGCTGGTGACAACATGCCCGTGTTAATTGCATATTGCGTGATCTTCGGTTTTGCAAGTGGCAGCAACATTAGTCTCACCCCTGTCTGCATCTCACAGCTATGCAAGATCGAGAATTACGGAAGGTACTACGCCACTTCTTATACGATTGTCAGTTTTGGGTAGGTTTACAGGTCTCTAATTCTGTACTCAATAGCTATTTTTGAAGCAAGCCAGCTAATACTAAACTTCGCAGCACGTTGACTGGAATGCCAATCGCAGGAGAGATCCTCGCGCGCTGCAATGGAGACTACTGGGGCCTGATAACCTATACCGTCTGCTGCTATGCTGCCGGCCTCATCTGTGTGACAACCGCTAAATTTGTTCACGTTGGCTGGCGTCATCCATGGGCAATCTATTAGATCAAGTGAACGTCAACCCTAAGCCTCGTTTCGGATGGCGACTTGCCCCTGTACCAAAGCATTGTTTGGTTCCGGCCTGGAACTCTAAAGTGCCATCTCGAGTCACGCAAGAGATCTATGGTTCTCTGCGATCAGCCAACTGCAAATTGAGTTCAGTGGAAGATCGCCGTACTCCTATCTCCGGTGGCAGATCATATTCCTCACTTATGAGAACAAAATAAGATTCCTATTTACTTGGTCCCAGGCTCTTGTCAACTCAACTCACCAGGTTGCGCAATCCACGCCACAGGATGTATCCGTATAGTCAGATGTTCCTCTCCCTCCCTCCATTCGAATCAGTCGATGGTGCTCTTTTGCGTTTACTTGTCACCATGATGCCCGCGATACCACAGAGTATGGTTTCCGATGGGCCTGGGCCGATTCTCAGAAACTCTCTGATCACTCGTTGGCGCGTCAAAGTTTCTATATCCCCCTTTCCCCTCGAATGACATAGTTCCTCGCTAACATGCATTACATATACCCTTCCTCCATACCCGCTTCACACTTTCAACAGTCCCCTTGCTTGATTTTCTTGATTTTACTCGAACTCCCATCGAATCAGTCACTGTTGGAAGGCAACTACGGCCCAATATGGCACCGTGTGCGAGCAAGCTCGTCTTCTGTCTTTCAATTGGGGTCCTCTTTCAACACACAGGGGCTCTTCCTCAGCAGGTTCAAGCGTCGGGATGTGTTGGGTGTCATCAGACTGTGACAAGCGCCGTCACTATCTGTAGTTCGACACCTGGTACGTCCGGACCGCATGGCGTGCCAGGACAGTCTAGCACTCCAAGCCAACCTGCCACACCTGGGATTCCTGGTACACCTGGAACACCCGGAGTACCTGGAACGCCAGGAGTGCCTGGAACGCCAGAAGTGCCTGGGACTCCTGCTATACCTGGGACTCCTGGACCAAGTGCAACTCCAACTCCAAGTCTACCAGGAACAATCATCCCAAGTGGATCAACTAGCACGCCATCCTCGCCTGGGGCAACCGGTATCCCGAGCCACCCAGGGGGAATTATACCTGCTCCCGGGCCAAGCAGCACTCCAAGTCATCCAGGCGGGATCATACCAAGCGAGTCGGGCAGCACTCCTGGAACTCCGGGACCAAGTGGTACTCCAAGTCAGCCTGGAACGATAATCCCAAGCACGCCTAGTCAGAGCATTCCACCCGAAACTCCTGGACCGAGCAGCACCCCAAGCCATCCCGGCGGAATCATACCAAGCGGATCAGGCAGCACACCAGGAACCCCTGGACCAAGCAGCACTTCAAGCCATCCTGGTGGAGTGATTCCAAGCGGATCGACTAGCACGCCAGGTCAAAGCAGCACGCCTGGAGGACCTGGGCCTGGGCCTGGTCCAAGTGGTACACCAGGAGGCCCTGGTGGACCTGGCCAACCTGGACAACCTGGACAGCCTGGAGGGCCTGGACAACCTGGAGGGCCTGGACAACCTGGACAGCCTGGAGGGCCTGGACAACCTGGAGGGCCTGGACAGCCTGGAGGGCCTGGACAACCTGGACAGCCTGGAAGGCCTGGACAACCTGGACAACCTGGAGGGCCTGGACAACCTGGACAACCTGGAGGGCCTGGACAACCTGGAGGGCCTGGACAACCTGGACAACCTGGAGGGCCTGGACAACCTGGAGGGCCTGGAGCTGGTAATCCCGGAGGTGGCAGTCCAGGCGGTGGTGGAGGACCACGCGGCGGAGGAGGAGGAGGAGGAGGGGGAGG